CCCATAAAATAACCAATAAACCCTGGCAAAGATTGTCCATTGGAAAAAAAAAAAAAAAAAATGTTAAAGCCGTCGCGTGCTCATGGGGATTTATGTTAATAAAAAAAAAAAAAAAAATGCAATGTATTGTTAAAGCGGAACGCAGGGGAAAGACCTCTGGAAGCTTAGGGAGGTTACAGCGATGTTGTCGGATGCGGTACAATGACCACACTAGAAGATATGGGGCCAGTTATACACAAGTCGCAGAGACTATTCACTAGGAAACCGGCACTGATTGTCCCTCTCGGAGGACATAAAAAAAATGTTATTCTTTAAGTGCAAGTGTCATTTTTTTGGGTACAGATACTCTCAGATAAGGAAAGAATGAGACGCACGTTGAAATGCCTTCAGTTTAACCCGAGTCTGCAATGCGTGCATATCATGAAATTATGTTATCTTCACGCCGTCTGAAAGCGATATTGCTTCTATTGTATAATTGCACTATCTGCACCAGCATTACTTAGAACGTCTACGACTGCGCTGTTGGGAAAATCTTCTCTTCTCACATTATATCGCTTTGCTACACGCCGTATCCCTAACCGGCGTTTTTTGATAAAGTACTCCGCGCGTTTACTGAAGGACTACACGGTCATGAGCTTGGCGCCCCGCATACTGTGACCATATTTCTTTTCATCACTCAATCGTCGATAGATCACCCATATGGCCTTGCTCAAAATGATTGACATGCATGGTCTCTCCATCTTTAATGTTTCATTCTAACTCTTGTGATTTAACATCCATGCTTGAATGCCTGGATGCTTGAGCACTCTGCAATGCTGAAACTATGCAGACAAATACCTAGTGTGTTCTGTGCTCGGCAATGTGATAGACAGCTACAAGAAGTTATGGTTTATGGAGTACATGAAAAGACGCGTCAGCTCAACGAGCTTCTATTTTTCCTTCTCTCCCTCTTTTTTTTTTTTTTTTTTTTTGCGGACGCACTCATCAAATTGAGATTTAGCATTACTACATTAAAAAAAAGTCTATTTGCTACATATACTAACATATACTAATTGGCAGACTTTGCATTATCACGAGCAAGTTCCCGCATGTCGAGATTAAGGTTGATAGATACGTCGAGCGCATAGGGATTAAAGTAATCTTCCCTAAAATCATTTCTATCAATGATCTCGGACCGTCCCAGCTCCACTTCTGGCTCCACAGCATCCTCGCTGTCGTCAATGTCGTGATTATACATCTCTGGATGATTATGGTAATATTGATCGTCGTACGCGTATCCATCCTTCATCATGTTCTCATAATACTCGTCCTCCTCGCAAAGCTCATCCCATGGTTGCACCAATAGCCGGAGAGGCGGGGGAGGCATGGTCGAAAGATAATCAATATCCTTTTGGGTCAACACCCGTGGTGGTTCGTCATCTTCCTCGTCCGGGTGAATAACTATCGTAGGAATGATGGGCTTCTTTTTTTTCGAAAATGTATTGACGAGGTAGCTTTGCGAAAACGAAGACAGAGACGGATTTGAATTATCACCGCCCAAAGAAGACGATGAAGACGAGTTGGAACGGTTGCGCCAAAAATGAGGTAAAGACACAATACTTGATTTTGGTCGAGGGCCAATGGTGGATGTTGCAGTCGCGAGTGAGGCCAATGTCGTTGTCGTTGTTGTTGAAACAAGAGGCGGTGCTGCTGGAAAAGACGTTGATACGGAGAATGGAGATGCTGGATTAGGTTGTGGTGTTGATATCGATGCTATAGAGAATGAACATGAGGATGCAAATATCGGTTCTGAAGTCTGGCTACCAGCGCGGTTATCACAGGGAATAGGTTCGAGGGTTGAATGTTCGTGGCGAGGGCGCCCTTCAGATAAGTTCTGGTGTCTGGTTATCTGCGACAGGGATGTGAGGGATGAAAGCGAGGACAACGAATTTGAAGAATCTGAAGAATTGGGCTGCATTTGTGGTGGAGGCTCGCTTAGCTCATCAGCACAATCGGATGGCGGAAACGAGAATCGCTGTTTAATATCCTGTTCTTCCTGCGTAGTCTGAAGCCCAGGTTGTGAAACGAGTTGCTGAGCGTCGCGAACGCGCTTGGGCGGTATCGATGAAGTGATATCCTCATGTGGAGTTGCTGTTGCTGGCGATTTAGACGAAAACGCAATGAATGGCTCGCTAGAAGGTCGAGGTTGGTCTTTGGGTATAATATTGAGCGGTGTCACCGAAACCACCGTAAGTCCTTCAAAGGCATTGTCTGGACGCCGAGTAGTAGCCTCTTCCGTTCTCACTTTAAGCGTGGCATTCGTCGCCGTCAAATCCTGTTCGAAATCTTCGCCGTCAGACGTTGAGCCATTCGACAATGCAGAAAGTTCCGAAGACGAAGAGTCAGACGATAGCGTCAGGGACGTTTTCGTGGCGGTGCTCCGGATCCTTGCAGGGTTAGGCATCTCGCCCTTGACTCGGTGTCGAGCTGCTCCAGCAGTTTCTAGATGCTGCGTAGAACGCAAGCTATATGTCGCCTTTAAGGTGCCCGATGCCTGGTCACCATTCAGTAGTGATGGCTTGAAGATCATGTCTGAAAGTGATTCTCCGGAAGCTGAAAGGCTCAGAATGAAAACTTCGCTTTTCTTCCTGCTGTTACTGCCACTCGATGTACCCTCCGGCCCTGTCTTTGCCTGGTAGTTAGGGTCGTTAATGTAGATCATGGCCGACTCCAGCTTTGGCTGTTGACTGGGTTCTGCTAGGGATTGTCGGATGGACTGTGGTGGATAAACTGAGTGCGGTTGGATAAGCGAATGCGGTTGATGCTGTTCCTGGCCATCGTACATTTCATCGCTGAACGTAACAACGACCTGTGATATCCTCCGGTTGTTTGGAAAATAAATTGCATTGCTGCCAGAACTGGATCGCCTATCTCTCGTTGGCCAGGCCCTCTCTGGCGCTCGAAGATCGATACTACTAGGGCACTGACGCGTGATCGACTCCTTGCCCTTGTACGTTCTAAACGATGAATGTTCTTCGTCGCCGCTAATATTCTTTGTCTGTGAAGGCGGGGCAGATACGGTGCACCCGCCATGCGTCATACCTCTTGCTGAAGTTCCCCCAATAGGCGCAATTACCGACTGCCGGAAGTTGAGGAAATGCTGGGGCATCCTGGGGTTACTGCTAAGACTAGCTTGACTGCAATTCATTTCCAGAGGATGTGATCGCTTTGGACCTTGGACGGCCGAACCTGTCTCCGCACGCCGCGTCGCCAAGCGCAGTGAAACGAGGCAGACCAGTGTGATACACCATCCGCCCCATTGAACCCCATAGAGCAGCGGTACGACGATCTTCATAGCATCCGAAGGGTTCTTCACAATTTTCTGGCCAATGACAGTAACAGCGTTTACCAATGTCGGTGGTAATGCAACCAGTCCACAGATAACCAAGATGTGTGCTATTGCGAAAATCTCCCAGAGGCCAATCACTGTTGCGTACTAAAAAGATGTTCTAATGGGTATTAATGGCACAGCATCTCATACGAGCGATGAGGATCGGTTGAGGTGCTCTGCGGTACTTACACAATAAAGATAGCCGATACGTCGCCTATGTGCTGCAGCGATACCAAGGACGACAAAGAAAAACCCAACACTTGACACAATCGCCCCCACCCAAGCATTTGAGTCTGCTAATATTGAAGTCAGTACCAGGAGCATTGCCTATGCGTGGCGAGAAATAAGTCGAAGGCTGTTAATGATGCTGTACAAGTATATCATAAAGTGGATGTTTGCGCAAGAGGTGTCCCGAGCTTTTTTCAACTCACTGCCTGGATCCAGAGTGCGCCCATAAGAATCCTGGCTAGACTGATACTCATTATGTGAAAGTGACCAATGATGTGTCCTTGGTCTTACAGAACGGGATACGTTGCGTGTAGGGAATGAGGAGTCGGTGCGGTGCGATGTACAGGATTCGAGTTGATCTTTTTTGATTTCGGCTGAGCGGAAGACAGGGGAGTAAAAAGGGAGAGGGGGGGAGATAATACGGTTGTTCCTGGTGCTGAGTGCTATGCTCGTCAATGGGCGCTTGCGGGGCAGGTTCAATGGAAAATAAGGCGGTTCTGTCATGTATATCGGGCCAAAGACATGATGGCACGAGTGACAAATGCGCTGCTACTGCAGTGGGACAAAGGACCAAGGCTACCGTGTGTTCGGCAGAGAGAATGAGTAAGGGAGCGAGCAAACGAGGGAGCGGATGGAGAATGTGGATGAGGGATGCACAACAATGGAGATGAGGAGCAGAAGAAGAATGAATGAGTCTTCCGAAGGTGATGAATGGCACTGAGTGCATGCAGCGTGCACAGGTCAAGTCGCGTCCCTTTTTGTCCAATGGGAGGAGCTAGGTCTGTTCAGCATATGATTTATGGTTTCATCGCATGGTAGCAGGGTCCTTACACATGTTTCGGATGTATCGGCTCCATTCCTTGTCTGTGCACTCTCTGTGTATCCAGCGCTAATTGGCATTCCATTCCCTTCCCGCCTTACGCTTTGCACCTTTGCCGCCAACTTGCGCGGCCATTTCCATTCGCTGCACTACATTGCACTCCACTTCGCCTGATCTGGCGCGTCTCCTGGCTCTTCATCTGATTCTTGCTCTTGTGCTTCCCTGCCATTAGCATCAGATATCAGAAAGGAGCAAACGACCTTGTAATGTCTCCGTGCCTTTTGTTAATCATTAATGCTCTATTCTTTTGTCTTGCGGTAGATGGCAGCTCTGCGCCTCCTTTATTACCTGATAGCCAAAAGGTCTTTTCGTTCATTTTACTCCTGGTTCCCGGGAGCTTGCTTCGTGTTTCGTCTGCATCATATTGCTCCTATCCTATGCTCCTCGTGGTCACCAGTCGGCATGCGATCACGTCACGAGCAGACTTAAACTGAACACAGGAGCATGCGAGGGATGAGAAAGGGTGTACAATACAATCGCATCCAACCAATCGTGTCGAATGTCATTTTAGCGACGTCGTCGCATTGTATCACAGATCTATTCAGAATAGGCCAGAATGTGCCCAAAATGGCCGCAAATGGTAGCGTGAAGAGGCCGAGGAGTTGAGGGATGGGAAAAGAGGAGAGGATAACAAACAAGCTGGCCGTTGGACTGCGTCATTTGCTTCCCAGATTATGCATCCTCCATATTGTCTTTCAGCCTCCTTGGGTCCTCAATGCAGGAACGATTCTCTAATGTGACCCATAGCTGAAATGTTAGTAGAATAAAATACCACAGCACTGACCATATTCGTCATAATTCCCATTTCGCTTTGAGAGAGCCCGTGGCATCGTTCAAACCCGTGGCTCCCAATCCAGTACCGCTTGCCCTTGAACTAGGACTGCCGAGGACAAAATGAAAACAGAACATGAGTTCTTCTATCTGAGAAAAAGCAACCTTGTTGTTGACATGGTTCTGGTTACAGCAGGATTCGTCCAAATACACAAACACGGTGTCCTTATACTTGTCGGACCGTCGCTCTTGAAGGTAGTGCCGCCTCTTGGCCTTGATATCCTCGGCCTCGATAGAATTACTAGTGTTCCCGACATCCTGATAACGGGAATCTATTTTCTTCATCAACGAGCGAATCGCTTCCTTGCTTGGAACCTTGATACAGTTAAAAGGATTCTAACGTTAACAGCTTGTCCCTTCGTGTTCATTTCCGTTGCAATTCATCGAAGGTCTGAAGCAAACGATAGAGTGTGATTGTAGCGTGGATGGTTGCCTTGAGTGTCTCCGTTATCCTTTCTCAACACGATATCCTTGACGGTATTGAGTGAGAATCCCATGTAATAGGCCGTTCGTAGAAAAGGATCCGGTGCCGTAAAAGGTTTCGCGTTCTCTTTTTCTCCCTTGCAAAACCCGTAGCAATGAAGTACTGCTCTACACTCCTCTACAGACACCCTTTTTCAAGAAAGTCGCTTATGCTATTTGATTTAAACGAACGTATTGCTGGGAGGCAGGACCTTTCGTAATTCTCTGATCTGGCTCTGGATTAGCTTGACCTTCTTCTGCAACTTCTCAATCATCTCCAAGGTCTCCGAGGCTATTGGCTCTTCCTCTTTTTTCAGATCGTTGGACAGAGTTTCGGAAAGAGGATCAAGGCAGGGGTGTTTTCTTGAGGTGCTCATGGATGACTTGTCCGGCGAAGTAGCATGGGCTTCAGACACGGACATGGCTTTGGCAACTTGTATATCGTAGTCGTCGAAGCCATCTTCCACAGCATCCAAGGTTTCGATGAGAAAATGGTTTTTGAGAAAAACGCTCGCGGCTAGTGTAAGCAGACTGGTGCTTGAGAAGACAACGGTGTGTTCCGATGTGCAAAAAGTTGATTCAGCAGCGAGATACAAGGGTGGTGAAGAAGAAATGTCAAAGCTTTGTAGCGATGTCGATCCTCCAAAATAACGATGGAAACGAACTGTAAAGCCCTACCATCTGCTCAATAGGGTCCTCAGTGACGTTGTAGAGCCGGGGGGATAGCTATCGTTGGTGGGTCTTTACATGGCTGGTGAAAGTAAGCATTGGCCATGTCGATTGCTCATTGTGTCTGTAACACACAATCATTTCGCATCGAGCTCTTTGGATGGCCTGACCGCACATGCCCTAACATGCATATTAATCATTGTCGTTTCTTGCAGCGAGTACTTCTTTTGTCTGCAATGCTTTCGGGCTCCTTACTGAGACATTGCGGGTGTATACTCCCAGCCTCCAGTGCACCCAAGGCGAGCACTTCTAACAAATGGTTTGTATTGAGTGGATGTAGAGCTGGCCACTCGCTACAAGTACGGTCTGGTCGTATGCTGGAGCAGATTGCTGGAGCCAGCTTGAGTGTTTAACCTCACAAACACTCAGTTAATGGACATGACTGTTCTGGGTGTAATATACCCATATCCGGATGGGCATGGTCATTTGCGCTCTAAACTCGTGTCACCAAATGATACCCCATTTCCTGTGTGGCTCCTCTCCACACTTTTCGCTTCACCAATTGACATCATCGCAGATACTTTTCACCCCCCGCAACTTCACCTCTCTCTTTCTTACACTCCTCTTCTTCTCTGACCTCCCCCTCCCCCCTTTACGCCCTTTGGAAGAGTGATTCACATTCGCCATGGCTCTCCAGATCTACGACTTCGTGGCATTCTTCTTCACCATTATGCTCGACATCTTCTTCAGAGAGATTCGACCACGGGGCGCACACAAGATCCCCAAAAAGGGACCCGTGATCTTTGTCGCCGCTCCCCATGCCAACCAAGTAACCACCATTGCAATTCATTGTTCATTACATGGAATGAGGATGTGAGTAAGGAGTGTAGACTAATCGCTGTTACAATTCACCTCATAGTTCGTGGACCCTCTCGTGCTAATGCGAGAGTGTGGCAGGAGGGTCTCGTTTCTTGCCGCCAAAAAGTCCATGGATCGCCCTTGGATAGGAGCCTTCGCCCGGTCAATGAATGCCAGTAGGTGCTTCTACCAACAGTAACATGTCGCATCTACACCACTGTGGTCACCAGAAGCGATCAATTGCTTGCCCCTCCTCCCCTGCCCTGCTTCATTCTTCAGTTTATCTTTGTACGACTCCATGCCTCGATTTACCGTAATGGGTATCTTTTAGCCAATTGATAACTGATCCAACCCACTTTGTCTTGCTTAGTTCCTGTCGAACGCCCACAGGACCTTGCAAAGGTCGGATCTGGAATCATCAAACTGATGAATCGAGTTGGGGATCCTCTTCGCATCACTGGAATCGGATCTAAATTCACAAAGGAGCTCATGGTGAACGACATTATCCAATTGCCCAAGGATGTCGGTTCCGCGATTGTGGCAGAAATCATTTCGGACACGGAGTTGATTGTTAAGAAAGAATTCAAAGAGCTCAAGGCATTGGAGCTGCTATCGAGGGCGGAGGGTACAGCCTACAAGTGTCTGCCGCACATGGATCAGACCAATGTCTACAAGACTGTGTTTGAGCGACTGAATGCAGGACACTGTGTAGGTATCTTCCCTGAAGGAGGATCCCATGACCGCGCCGAAATGTTGCCGTTGAAAGGTATGTTTGGCCTCTTTTGTTTCCATTCTATGAACAATGTGGTGAATGGAGCCATTATCAGTGTGGATGATATATCATCATCTCATCTTATACTTTCGTACGAACAATATTGCTGATAGCTGGTGTCACGATCATGGCTCTGGGAGCGTTGGCCGCCAATCCAAATTTGGATCTCAAGATCGTTTGCTGTGGTCTCAATTACTTCCATCCACATCGGTTCCGATCCCGCGCTGTCGTCGAGTTTGGCGAACCGTTGACAGTTGCCCCGGAGTTAGTCGAGATGTACAAGAAAGGAGGCGCCGATAAGCGTGGGGCTTGTGGCAAACTCTTGGATATCATCTACGAGGCCCTTCGAGGCGTCACCCTCAACGCACCGGATTATGAGACATTGATGGTATGAACCTTATGGGTGTGCAAAGTTGAATCTCTTGTGTTATACTGATAAAGCTAATACAATATTCTCCTCTACTTTGTTACAGGTTATCCAAGCTGCTCGCCGTTTATACAAGCCCACTCATCGTAAGCTTCAGATCTCCCAGGTCGTGGAGCTAAATCGCCGTTTTGTCGCCGGATATATGCACTTCAAGGACAATCCAAAGGTCATCGAGGCCAAGAATAAAGTCATGCATTACAACACGCAGCTGCGTTATCACGGACTACGGGATCATCAGGTCAACATTCGCACGACGAGAAGACATGCTATCGGATTGCTCGTCTCAAGACTGATTCAAATGATTTTCCTGACCTGTCTCGCGCTCCCAGGGTGAGTTTATTCTGTCTCTGATGTGTATTTCACAGTATGAAGTGCAGGAATCGCACCCACTAATTCCTTGATGTTGCCTTGGCATCGTTGTAGGACGCTTATGAACCTCCCGGTTGCCGTCGTTGCTCGAATCATAAGTAACAAGAAGGCGAAAGGTATGTATGATTGAATATGGCCTATGAAAACTCAGTCTGTTTTTGGTATCGATATTGCAAGAGCTGATCGTACTTTTTGGTTTATCGCAGAGGCATTGGCTGCTTCAACAGTCAAGATCGCAGGACGAGATGTTCTGGCTACATGGAAGCTGCTTGTTGCGCTCGGATTGATGCCGGTCCTCTACTTTTCATACTCTGTTCTAGTCTTTGTCTACTGCGGCCAGTTCGATCTCTCTCTCAAGGCACGTCTGTTGATCGCCTGGGCAGCTTGGGCTCTTATTCCATTTGTAACATATGCCAGCATTCGATTCGGTGAACAGGGTCTGGACATTATGAAATCCATCCGGCCTCTTTTTCTCTCGATCATTCCTGGCGAGCAGGATACCATGGACGACCTCCGCAAAGCACGCGCAGAGCTGCAAAAGACCATCACGGATTTGATCAACGAGCTGGCGCCAGAGATCTACCCCGATTTCGATTCCACGCGCATCATTGATCCATCACCTAACGACCGACCAAGCCGCTCGGCTTCGGGCACCAATCTTGCTCAGACCATCTTTAGCACTGCAGCACAGCCATTAGCGCAGTGGTTGGGCAAGGACGGTCGATTTGAATGGGAGCGTGCAGAGGACTCGGATGCAGACGACGTGTTTTTCTTCCTCAATCCAGCAGCAGCAATTCGTGGGCGCTCTAGGGCATCTTCATGGGAAGGACTCAATTCGCCTTCGGGAAATGGTACTGTGGGCGAAGGTTCGCGGTCGAGGAACCGCAGTAGGACAAGTAGTTTCACCTCAGGTCAGATCCAGCTGGGGGAGGGCTTCAAACTGGAAGCATTAACAGAGCTGCCGAGAGACAAGCCCTTTGCAGAGGTGACCCGTCGACTGAGTGTTAGCCGGAAACAAAGGCTTGGACTAGAGGGCATGACTCGGTCGGACACTGACGAAAATGAGAGCAACACAACTTATAAGAGCTCTTTAGCACCATGATATATAGTTTTGACCCCATACATTGTTCCCACGACCGAAATAAAGCCTTTTGGTCTGTGCCTATTTTGGAAAGCAGTACAAAGATCTCTGATGCCTGTCGCTGTCCACAATGAGCATTTGGAGATATCCGGATCGGGCAATGGTACCAAGCCGTGATTCCTTTCGAGATCTTAGTAATCTTCATCAAGTTGTGAAGTGTGGTCTAATAAAGCGTAGCTCTCTCTTCCTTCTCGTAAGATGGCAATCAGCAAGGAATATGGACGCCGATGCTCAAGGCGTGTTCGCAAGTAGATGGCATCAAATGTTCAGATGAAAGCGTGGACACCCTTCATCCTCTATCTATAAATTACCAGCATCTAGCAAGCGACTTGGGTAGCCAACCCAGCATTGTCCATACCATTGATTATAAAAAATAAAAGACATTAGAATAAAGTAACATCCACTCAAACAAAAAAAAATGCTCTCCCCGCAGGCTACCCTGCGCAAACTCATCTGCGACCTACTGCAGCTCTCCACTGCTTCAAACTCTCCCATGCCCACTCCTGTTTCTTCCACATCAAGTTACCAAAGAGGACATAAGACCAGCCCTCGTCCGTCCCATCCCAGAGCTCCACGAATCCGACGGAGCAAAACTACCAAAAGGCTCAGCCGAGCAATTCGACCCTCTGGCGTTGCTTCACACTACCTCTCCAGCTCATCCTCGACCAGCTCTGACTCCGTATGCTCCAGCGGCTCAAGTGGCTCGAATTCGGTCACAACAAACCTCAACCCAGGTATTCTGGATGAGATTCTTGACGGTTTCCTTGGTCTGGTCCGGTCGGAGGTGCAGGAAATGCTTGTTGAGCAGAAAAGAAGGCCACAGGCTATCTCTGCAGCACAGAGTACACCCGCACTGAATACCTTGAGCACTACTACGAGTGCCAACGCGAGCATGGACTCGAATGCGAATGCCAACACGGTCAACGCGAACGCAAGTGCGAGCGCATCAACATTAAACAATAACACCTTCATTGCGGTGCCATCGACCCCGACGGCTTCGTCGGCACCATCTGGTCCTCCTTCCTCTTCCCCACCACAGCCTTCAGCCCAAACTCCAACTCCTCAACCTCCTGGCTCAATTCCTGCTACCCTAGCAGCCCCGGGGTTGACTGGGCACGACGTCCAGCAGATGATGGAACAAATAGGTATCTCAATCGGTCGAACCCTCGAACATTGTCAGAATGTATTCCATCACGAAGAGATGAGAGCACTGGAGCTCAACAGCTTTGAACAGAACCAGCGAATTTCGTGCTGGCAGGCGGAGCTGCACCGAGAACTCCAGGCAAAGTTGAGAGACCTGGAGGAGAGACAAAAACAGGTGTTCAAGGAAGCGTTGCTGCAGGCCATGACCGAGTTTTATGGCATAAAACTAAAGGATCTGAATCAGCAAAATGCACAGCAACAGCAACAGCAACTACCTAAGCATCCAGACCAGCAACAGCAATCATCTCAGGGACCTGCTCCTACTTCAACTCTTGTACCGACCCCGAAACCGTCTGTCCAGAGAAACATCTCCTCAAGGTTTAACAAGTACAATAAGTCCCAGCTGCGCAAGAAGGGAAAGGAGCTCAAGCGTACCTCGAAGGCGACTATAAACGTAAACTTTACTCCACCGGGGGTACTTGTCGCAGCTCCACCTGTTTACACACCTGCTAAGCCTAGTTTGGGGGTGGATCACAGATACAACAGGAATGGCCGCATCAGGAAAGGGTACAGGCGCGGGTGTAGTGTGTCATGTTCGTCTCCATACTCCCAACCGATTACATCCTCTACCTCGACACCACAGCTTGGTTCAACTCCCAACTTTACATGGCGACCGCCCGCCAATTCGACTACCCAGCCTTACGTTTTCATGCACAATGGCCCCGAAGTTGAGATGAGCCTCGCCAAAGATGCAGCCGTCGTTGAATGGAAATTTAGACCCATGCACCCGGATCCTACCCTCGCCGCCATCCTTGCCTACCTCGACTTCATGGCAGCAAATGAAAAAACGTCCTTCAGCTTTGGCGCGGTTATCATCAGATACGGCCAAGCCCATCTCCGATACTGCATACGCCACGTTGGTCCCAACACTGGTGTGATGGACCAGGTCTATGCGTTTTACGGATATAGAAACCCTACGAACGTATCGGACGAAGAGGTTGCTAGAGCAATTGCACAGTGGCATTATATGCCCTCGCATCCGGACCCGGCTACCGCGGCGACGCTGACGCAGTTAAGTTTTGATGCGGCAACCAAGGCGGCGCGGTTTGAGTTTGGAATTGTGATTATGGAATTGGGGCAGAGGCACTTGATCGAGTGTGTGCCGAGGTTACCAAAGCCAGTACAGGTTCAGAGGCCTTCTCCTTCTGGGTCACAGGTACAGGCATCGAATGGGCTTGGGAAACCACCGACAGCGGCTCACTCGTCTGCCCAGCCAAAGTTTACATTCACACCACCACCAGCGCCATCACCACAGATGACCCCTAATACGACGCAGGCATCGAGTACCCTTGACCAGTCGGATTCACCGTCCACACTTCCCAACTTCAAGTCCATAATGCCTACATCTTTTTCTACATCCGCCTCTGGATTTCCTCCTGCTCCTGCTCTTGCTCCTGCTCCTGCTCTTGCTCCTGCTCCTGCATTGAACGTCAATGGTGTGCCCGAACTATCCCCTTCGCAACCTATAGCGAGTGACCCTATGGGGTGCAAAATTACTACCCCGAGAAAGCGAACGGCAATTGGTAGTTTCGGTGCCTCTTCTATGTCTGACCAAGCTACCCTTGCATCCCTAAAGCAGCAGGAAACCACTCAGCAGTCAGCCACCATTGATGTTTCAACATGTAGTCCTCATCCTAAAGCAGCGCCAGAGGATAACAGCGGCAAGGCTCTTTCTAGATGTAAGGTTGACTATTCCGGTCGTGAAGATAAGGATATGTTGAGCATATCTTAATTGGATGAAGCACCTAACTTTTTTTTTTAAGATACTGCGAATACTGCGCAGAGTGACACGGGCCATGATCAAAGCGGGAATATTAGGTCCAAGTCTAGTACTCGGAATACAGACAATGGCGACAGCCGGAGATCAGCAGATGCAGAACGAAAGCTGGAAAACGATGGACCGGATCAATCGGATCATTCCTCGTCTGCAGTCATTGAGCAAGGTGCCGCCAATTCTTCCTGCGACGCCTTCAAATCTCCTGCACCAGACTCTATCTCCGAACAAGATATGCTCCCCGACCACGGGGAATTCGTCGCTGCTCGTAAAGAAAAACGTGTGAAGCACGAAGACGGCGATACTTCTTCCCATCAACCGACAGGCCGTCCGCACGATGGCATCAACGACAACGATAACTCGAGTCGCAAAGGATACCCAAGCCCTAAAATTAGCAAGCGATCCGGTGAAACCACTAGCAAAGTCGACAATGGTAATTGTAAGGAGGCGTCGTCAAGCGAGCAAATGCTATATATTTCACGACCTACGGCTCCTTTCGAGGAACACTTTGATGACATTTCTATTCAAGCAGGACTATTGTTGAAGCGCACGCGCTATGCTCTGGACGAGAATAGCCCACAAGAAGAGCGCGGTAATGAGGAAGATATTGAAGACCATTTTCATGTTGCAAAGCGTCCGCGACGTGCTGTTCAAACCATCAACATCAGAATCGTCACAGACCCCTACCATCGTCACCCATCCAGGCACCGAAGCGTCCATTCGGTCGAGAATAGGAGGTCACCTTCATCTCAGCGTTCTTCTACTCCTGTAGTGGCACTTATATCTCCATCATCCATGTCAAGTACTGAATCCCCCCAGTCGTCGCCTAATGGACCCGAATCCCTTGGCTCGGATGTTGTATCAGAGTCCAAGCCAAATGGCAGCCCTGGTCCATCTTTCCCTGAGGTCACATCATCACCAGCTTCATCCAAAGACATGGAGATCAAATTCCAACACCAGGAGCAGAAAAAGCGCCGCAATGAAGAGGACGAGCGGGGCGCTCAAGAGGCGAAGAGGGCAAAGAAGAGGTTGGTACGCGAGCAGGACGACGACGGTAAGAGAACACGGAAAAAAGAATTGAGTAAACAGCGAATTACAACTACAGGTTTGCTGCGTCGCGGGTTCCATTGGCGACCAAAACACTACCGAAGACTCGCCCGATCTGGCGTAATGTTCTTTGATGCTATGAGCTGGAGGATGAAGGTGAATCCTGGAAAGAGAAGTCATTCCAATGTTGCTCCAGAGGAGCGCAAAGGCAGTGAATGGAAGGACGACTCGAGAGAGGAGGAGAATCGTAGCATCAAAAAAAGAAAGCCGAGTACAATTGATAACGAGTAAGAGTATTTAAATAGCAGCTTGAGCAATCACCCGCTCCTAAGTACATTTTGTCTGCATTTCAGCTACCCTAGTCGGTGTTCTCGAGTTTGAAGCGGAGGCGGCTCGTAGAAGGATTGTAATAAGATTGGCTGGTCGGCTTGACATGCTCCCATGCACGATCAAACGCATCTAGCATGGCCTGAGGCAGGGGTCCCTTCTCCAGATCCGCCAAGTTCTCCTCCAGATGCTTAACGGATGAGGCTCCCAGAATGATACCGTCCTTAGCCTCGAGTCCGGAATGGTGTCGCATCCAGCGCAGGGTCGCTTCCAACAAGGTCAGTTTGTTCTCCTTGGCGGCCTTGTCCAAGATTTGCACGCCTTCAAAGTTCAAATTGTTCCAGTAGCGCTCACGGAAGCTATGCAAAAGAGATTTGTTAACGGATCTGTTTTTGTTTTTGTTTTTTAATAAGCGTGCGGTAACAGCTGGAGGACAACATGCGTAGATACGTACAATTTACCGAATCCGGTCTATGTCGATGGGGAGCAGAAGTGCACACAAATCAAAGGATAGGTTGGTCAGCGATTGATCAAGAAACGATTTAAATAAAAATAAAAAAAAAACAGTCAAGCTGTATGCATGCCTTTGGATCGTAGCGACTTCCTTCTTCGACTTTATCCTGATCGAACTTGTACTTGCCAGTCAGTAGACCACCCCCAACAGGGTTATAGGCATAGAATCCAATGTTGAAGTGCTTCAGGCAAGGAAGCAGCTCTGGGACAACCGATCGAGCGATTGGGTTGTACTTCAAGTGAGGGTAAAATGTCGTGAATGGTGAGCAGTGTCACAAATCGCAGGTTAGAGTCAAGAAGTTCGAGTCTCCTTTTGAAGTGAAGTCATCATCATGTCATAACATACCATGCCCTGGTAGACCGTGGGAAGGACATAGTCATTCTGCTTGCAGAGCTCATGGATGAGGGCGACCTGCCATGAGGCATAGTTAGACAAACCGAACTATTACGCAAAAGAATCGTTCAGTGTTAGTTGAGGCCTAAAAAAAAATATTTTTCACAGCGGCGACAGCTTTACGACAAAGCACATACGCGTTCAAAGAGTCCTTCGCGGTAGAGTTCATTCACAGCCTTGATGGTAACCTCGAAGGGTGTTGCGAAATCCGGTGCGTGCAAGTACAGGATGTCGACCTTTTTAGCATTCAACGCCTCCAGTGACCGACGGAATTGCTTGGGAAGCTCAACCGCGTCGTGTGCGCCGGGGGTAATGGGGTAGACCTTTGTTGAGATCTTGAAGTGAGCCGTCGGAAGCTGGCTCAGAACCTGTTCAAAAAAAAAAAAAAAAATAGCCGTAGGAGCGTAAGAACGAGAAATGGAAATGTGATCTTAATTCTTCTTTCGGCTACTCACCTTTTCAGTGTCGCCGTTGCAGTAAATCCTCGCAGTGTCAATCTCGATGTAGCCATGGGCATGAAAGGTCTCCAGGAAGGGCTTCACGTTATCAACACCTCTAACGCGCACGACGGAGGCCTCGCTAGTTGAGTCCTCAAGCCCAAAAGTCATTGTTCTGTGATGTTATAATGAAAAGAAGAGCATTGTCGATTAGATACTATTTTTGAACAGGTGTCCTAGTCAGAGCAATGAAAGCGCTTCCTTACCCGAGAATGACGCGGGGGAGGTTGCTGGTGTTGTTGTTTGATGCCATTGTCGCTGTGTAAAAAGAAGACGCGTTGGAGAAGAGAGAAGTGGAATAGAGGAATAGTGGGATAGTTTTTAAAGTTTTTATATCTCTCGGGTGGCAAAACCATTACCAGAGGGTGTAAATGCATAATGCATAATGCGAACCAAATGCGGTAGTCTGAGACATCATTTTTAATCCGACTACGCAACGGACCCGTATTTCAAATCAATGGCCGCGTGGCCTGTTGTGCGCGAAAATCACCCTTTAGCCACGGTTCTCTGATATTTTAAGAACTTGACATCCTCCCAGTCGCTCCATCATATCGAGTCTTAGTGGTCCCAGATAGGTGGTCTTACGGGGACACCGTGTTATCCAAGCAATGGGAAGATGGATTAGAATCGAGGAATAGCTGGAGTTGGAGAATGTACAGTTAGATCGAGTTAGTCAGTGAGTGATGAGGTCAGGTTATCTTTGGCAAGCTCCATCCAACAGTGTTCATTGCAAAGTGCAAAGTATAGACAGATAAGAGTCCGCGACAAAAAGTGCCTGCGCAAATTTTTGGAGAATGAATTAACTTTCTTTTTGGAACTAGTCAAAAAATAGATTGTTAGATACGCGACCTTTTTCTCATTCTCTGCCTCTTGGATGCGTCACTTCGCTAGGCGAATTACTGCCATCTTCATCTTCGTCCTCCTCATCATGATGACTCCCATAGCCATTCTAATTAGCGTTGCATGTGCATGGGTCAGTGTTCTGGCTCTGTTCCTAGTGTACGTGAAAACAATCCCTCACATCGAGAACGAAGCTAATTTTTTATTTGCGCAGCAAGCAATGCATTGTGGGCTGTGCTCTTGGTGCATTGAATCTTGCTCATAGGCTCGAGTGCGCGACCATCGCTGCCATCTCTACTGTTCTTCTGACTCTTGTGTCTGAGCTCGCCCCTGGATATCTCAGAGTGCATCTTCCTCATGAGCCATATGATCTGACCCAATAGAGATTCGGCTTCGGCTCTCCACGTGCTCTTGTTGTAGTTGACTATGTCATCCAGCCTCGATATCCTGGTCCCCAGATGATGACTCTTGCGATTGGTCGATACTCCATTCCACAAAGTACCAGTAGGCAGCATCTGTGGCAATGCCATATGCTCTCATGGGGACGGATTTGTCCTCTTCTAGCTCTCCATCGCCACCGTCGTCATTGCCGCGCTTGCGCTTCCTCACAGTCAATGATAACTCCAGCTGCACAAGATTCTACGCCACGCCCTTGCGGTAGTCCTCATGCTCCGCCTCTGTGACGCTCAGTACGTGTCTCGCACCATCTTTGGCGAGAGACTCGATGGAGCAGACGACCTTGCCATGACCATGTCTGCCTCGGAGCGGTCTCTCAGGTGCAAGCGTCAGCTCGCCATTGAAGACTAGAACAGCCTGCGTGAGGAACGAGCATACATAGGCAGAGCATGTAGCCTCGTTGAAAGTGTCTGCTGGTATGGCGCGGATGCGTGAGTCAAGCTCATCGAGCAGCCTCCGTAGTGACTCGTTGTGCAGGTCTGATTCCAGTGCCTCTGTTGAGACACCCTCAAATGGAGTAAGGTCGAGTATGCCGGGCGTCTCTAGGTTCGATATCTCGTATAGATTGTTAACCTCCACGAGCGTGAAGTCAGTGTGCTTCTTGGTCGGTGTCTCCAGCGCCACTGTTAATGTCCTTGTGTTTGTCTTGTGGTACTGTTGGATGATATTGCGGAAATGTGCGTCGTCGCTGGGGTACTCAGTCCCTCCGGCCCCATGCTGAGAAGTTCTGCGTGGATGAATTATTGCCAACACAGCATTACCATCTTCCCTGTCTGGGCATTATTCTAAGGTTGATTCCACAAGAACATTTACTGAAACCCTCCAGAGTGTGGCGAGATGGATTGAGCTCACCGTCCGCCAACTGGACGCTGACTTTACTGCGTGGTTCTTGACTATAATTATGGAGCACAAACCATATCAGAAGGTGTTCTCCCCTACCTTCTTTCCTCAATCGCATATCAATCTCAAGTCTGTCCTATTAGTTGCTAAGGAAGAATGGCTTGATGACGAGGCGGTTAGTGGTATTCAGGCGTTCTTCGATCGTTCCTATGAACAGGGTGGCCAGTACTTATTTGCGCCTTCTTCATATATATGGCCTAATTCTAAGGTCTGGGACGCGAGAAGGAGCAAACCAGGGGTGGACGCGCCAAAAAGCTGTTCGCGATTGCTTATATGGGACAACACTGTGGCGTTGTATGCCTTGACCTCAAGAAGTATCAGGTCCTCTTTGGGGACTCCATTGGCTGGCCTGTACCGCATGAAGCAATCTACGCTTTAGTGAAGTGGATGGACCCGCCTGCCGAGGACCTTCCCAAGTGGAGGAAAGCCAGCAAGAATGTCCTGCCTTTCTTGACCCCAAAGCAGCAGGACAGCGGATCCTGTGGCATACTAGCCGCTATGGCCATCGAGCAACATGTCAATCCATACGTCGACTGGTCAGCCCATGCCTTGCTTTGAATCATCGGTCCGGTTCTTGCGTCTATTAACGGGCTATACTTCGGTACTTTACACACACTTATCAATTGCGTCGATAGTTGGAGTATCTAGGATATAATTTAACATTTTTAACACTACTTGATTTAATGTTTAGATGGAGGATGATGACCTCGTCCGTGCCTTCAAGAAGTATGTGAAAGACGATACGCAACACCCAACACCAGAGGAGGACATGGCAGACTATCTTCATGATCTCTTCAAGTTTAGTCATCCTGACGGCCTCACAGTCAAAGGGAACGCGAAAGTGGCTGTCCAGGACGAGGCGAAGGTCGACCCTCAAGACAAAGCAAAGATCACGGTGAAGGACAAGCCAAAGCTCGTGGTCAAGGACGATACGAGCGCTCCGGTGGAGGACAATGCGAGGATTGTGGTACAGCATAAGACAGACATCATCTTCGACAAAGACAGCGATGTGGATCAGCAACCATATAATGAGGGTGACGGCGGCTTCACACCGATGATTATAGCGACGGCGAACCTGATGCAAAAGATGGCGGTAGAACAATGGGTATCAGTGGGGTTTGCGCGGGGATTGGACAACATACAGGAGCGACAGCGAGCTCGATACCACTGACGATGGTGATGTGTATCGCGCGGAGATGAGGAAGATAGTGCTGACGAGAGTGACGATCAGAGAGAGACAACTGTGTGGACAGATGAGGAGGAGTGTTGGCCAGGTCAGGATCATGAATCACTGAAACAAGACAAAGCTCCTTGGAGTCCCTCGCTCTGGTATCAGTTTTCGGACGCCAAGGAAGCGAAGATCATCGTCGACGAGTACGCACGGCATTGTGGGTTCAAGGTTAGAATATCCGGTCAAGCTCAAATACAAGTATGCTGCTCCCAGTTCGTATTCTAGTGATATTAGCTACGCTTCCGGTTCAATGATGAACTAACACTGCCTCCATATTGTCCAGTGCAACTTGTCTGTCATCAGCAGGGCTTTCACAGGTCGAGGAAGCATCAGGATCCCACCAAACAACGACCCAACGCGGGTTCCTCTCGGGCAGATTGTGGGTTCAAGATCAACCTGACAAGCCCCAAGGCCATTACTCCTTTTTGGCACATCACGAAGATCGCGCTTGAGCACAACCACGATCTACGCACTGAAGTCATGGCGTTCACGCCGCTGAACTCTGATATGGAGGCGATTATTGAGACGGCTGCGGAATTGAAGCTTGGCATATACAAGACGCTTCTATGGCTGGGGCATAAGTATCCAGGCAAGGTTTTCCCAAGCGGGCTGTGATTAACCATGGCAAGCGATACATGGCCCAGACGAGGCTGCCAAAAGTCCCTGACTCTCTCCAACTGCTCACCCTATTGGCCCCAACATCCGCCGGGAAACCAAACTGGTTTACAAATACTCCCAGGCTAAGGGCGGCCATCTCCATGGGGTATTTTGGATGAGTCCTATTCAGAAGACACTATATCGTCGGTACCACGATATTATTGTCCATGACACGACAGCATCCACTAATCGGTTCCAAATGTCGCTCCACTCCTTCGCCATTGTAGATGCTGTCTTTCGCACACGGTTGGTGGCATGTGCCTTGACGTCTGGAGAGAAGACCCTTGACTATAAGTGGGTCCTAGAGCAATTGCTTATTGCCACAAGACAGCTTGCACCCAAGGCTATCATGGTCGATAAGGACGCAGCAATGGACGCAGCCTGCGCGTACACACTTCCCCGGACTCAGGTCATCAATTGTTTGCGGCATATGTGGAAAAACATTCACCTTCACCTGCACGAGCCTTTGGGGAATAGGTGGGAGATGTTTAAGCGCGACTTTACGGCTGTCAGCCGCTCTTTCATCACCAGTGGGTTCGATGCGAGATGGCAGGAGTTATGTCACACGTATGGGGATTGTGATGGGAAAGTCAGCGAGTACCTCCAGCGGCTCTATAATGACCGTTTCCGATGGGCCTGGCCCTGGGTGCGTACCTCTTTCACGGCCGGGATGGAGACAACCCAGCGCGTCGAGAAACTCACCATCTGCTGAAGATGCTAGAGCTCAACAGTAAAACATCGTTGAGCGACGTCCCCAATGCCACCAGCGCAAGGATCGAGTGCGAGCTTTTCAAGGCAAACTACCAACCGAGGATGCCGAGGGCAAGAAGCACAGGCAGAGGGATCCGCATGCAGCCTGAGCCCTGGCCTGACAGCAGCCATGTTTCCCAAGATCGTCCAGGTGAACAACGACATGTTGGAAGGGTTTGCGCGCGACAAGATGCGCAGAGAGATGGACTGGTCATTCGCCTACGACTTCAACCCTTCTGACCACCAGGCTATCCTGCAAAAGCACTGCTCAAGCAACGACAGAATGGTAGGATGTGCCGTACGTTTCCTTCTACCCTTTTATCCTCTTGGTACGACTGATGCTGATTGAATCCATTTGCATAGGTCAATCGAACTGGGAAAGCCCTCCGCGAGTCTTCTCTGGCATCACTACTCTCAAGGCTGGACCCAGCCGAAATCATTGCTGTCTATTCCATCCATAACAAGATCCGTCGCAGTCAACAGGAGTTCGTTGTGGTTATGGATGACCATTCATATTTTTGCACCTGCCTCTTGCTGCAAAACAAGGAGATTGTGTGCAGGCACTTCTTTTGCGTGATGCAAGGGGACAGCAGGTGCAAGTATAGGACCAGCCTCGTTCTCAAGCGCTGGTTCAAGGAGCAGTGGCAGGATCTCGAAGGTTTCGAGACGAAAGTTGGTTCAAAGCTTCTAGTCGCCTACCCGCATTACATCGCCTCCACCAGGACCGAGGATCACCCCGCCAGCGCTTGTACGAGGATTGTGCACACCTTGTTCTCTACAGGATCCTCGACACCACAGCCAAGGAAGGAAGAGCGACTGAGGATAAAGCGACACGCAGATGTCGCAGGGATAGCGAGAGAGCTGGCCATCATGGGGACAACTGATCCAGCAATTCATGATGAAGCGATTCAAACGCTCAACAACCTCTCAATCTCGCTGAAGCGGAGACAGGGGCTCATGGAGCTACAGGACGCGTCTGACAACGAAGCAGGTCTTGGTGTCACCAAAGACCCACTTGTAGTGAAGCCGAAGGGGCGTCCAAGAGCCAAACGCATCAAGAGCAGCAGCGAGATGTCGCGACCATCCAAAGAATTCCGTCCTGAAACAGACTTTGAAAAATAAACGAGTGCTATTTATTTTTATTTTATTTTATTTTATTTTATTTTATTTTATTTTATTTTTCAAACGAGGCTCTATAGACTATCCCCGTGAGAATACCCCAACGACAGTTTACATCGACAACTCGGCAGTAGTTTCGCAGTTCAAAGTATTAGTGGAAGAACGGAACCGATGCATGGAACGACAACGCGTAAGATCACCGTACGTGATCTGGTGGGCGGCAGTCCACCATGCATTCGTCCAGCAGGGCAGCAGTGTCAAAGTCGTTTGGATCAAAGGACACGCTGGTGACAGCGGCAATGAGGCTTCAGACAAAGCAGCGAAGGAAAGCCATTTATCGGAGCTATGGAAGATGGGCACAGCAACCTTTTGTGCCACGCAAATATCAATGACACCATTGTGGAGGATGACATGCGACGAGTGCTGAAGCGACAGTCGGTAATCCGGAACAACACGGTATGGACCAAGCAGAATAGGACAGCAACGTATATTCCAGACTGGTAAACAGTGCATTGGAAGGCGACCTTGAGTATTGTTCACGACGGGTGGACACCAAGGAGTCCCTTCACCAGCCCTGCAGACTGTCAAAAACGTGCACATCGAACAAAAAAAAAAATTCATGGCATGCTCCCGACACTGTCATACATGAGGAACTGGCGGCCAGATCTGTATGACACCGACATTTGCAGGATGTGTGAGCTGGAGATCGAGGACATTGAGCACATATGGCTATGCGCGACCTCTAGGGGTGAACAGTTGGAAGGATGGAACAAGGCGGTGAAAGAAGTGAACGAGAATGGACAACGCGCTTGGGCAAAGGAGAGAAAGCAATGGGAGGCGAAGCAAAAGAGCGAGGAGGGCCGGGGACAGCAGTCAAGCACGAAGAAAGGACCGCAGTTCACCGCACTGGCAGAGATGACCATCTGGAGGATGTTTGAGAGCAAGATCAAAGGAGTGACGACCATCCGGTACGCGGACGAACACCTCGACGAGGCAGACGAAAGCAGGCACAGCAATGAAGTAAGTTGGGCCGTTCAAGATTTGTACCACGGGCTGGTGCCAAAGGACTTTACTACGGAATGGACAGAAGCGTTTAAGACGCCAAAGGCAGTCGTAAGGTACATGGTCGCGCGCTTTGTCGGGGCCATCGAGGAGCTAGGACGGACTGAGATCTGGAACAGACGTTGCAAAATCACTGTGGACTGGGAGCGAGAGCGTGGAATAACTTCTGTGAGCAAACGCACCAGAGGACGCACTTGTGCTGGAGGGCACAACCGTAGTAGGGGTGATTTCATGGGACCAACCTATAGACAACGACCCGCAACAGACGTGGAAGCGATCAAGGCAGAGGCGGACAAGCGCCTAGTACAGGGCTATTACCAACAGCTGGAGCTGGCTCTGATGGAGCGACTAGGTGGATGCAAGTTTTTGATGGCAATGGACACGGGCTAAAGGATGACCTTCGTACATAACAGGCCAAGTAGGGAGCAGAGCTCTTCGAGTCACCACTCATGCTGACGAGGATTGTGAAAGGGACCTGGCAGCAAAAGCTTTACGTCTCTAGCAATAGGGGTCCTAGTAATAAAAAAAATATATATCCCCGTGAGAATAGGGCGCTCACCCCCCGTGAAAAAAAAAATGCTCAAATTATTCTTGCCGGGGTGTAACCGTCTCACACCCTCCCTGTGAGATTATATTCTTCCCAAAAGAATATCCTCTCTTCTTGACAACTTCGCATACACAAAAATAAAAGATAAGCGCCCAACGTGGGGGTCGAACCCACAGCCTTCAGATTAAGAGTCTGACGCTCTACCGATTGAGCTAGCCGGGCTTTCTAACTATAAATGCCAAGATTTAAGATAATTATATATGCAAGCATCAAACCTTGCACTTAGAGAATAATAGTCATGTGACTTTGACGTGCACTTATAGATCGTTAGTATTTAGACTCAAAGTAAATGGAAGAGCACGCCATTTATAGTTAGAAAGCCCGGCTAGCTCAATCGGTAGAGCGTCAGACTCTTAATCTGAAGGCTGTGGGTTCGACCCCCACGTTGGGCGCTTTCTTTTGCTAATTTTGAGCTTTTAAAATCACCATCTTTAATGTGCCGTTCTTTGGTTTGATCCGATGATAATTAGTATTCATGATGTCTGACTGGATATTCTTTTTGCTTCTACATTGTGGATACTTTAGGCCACACTATCAAGTTACTGTGTCAGAGTTCTAGTGTTTTTTGTTTTTTTAAATGGGTAAGCGAGTCGTTGCCTTTGTTCATTACACGTGTAAAAGCGATGAGCCAGCTGCTGCCACTTCATTCGCGCGCGGTTTATACTTATCGTATCTGAAATGGATGCCCTTTCAGGCTTTCCCTTTTCCTGTATGGAATCAACATCGTGTATTCAGGATTGGTCCTCGGTCTTCAAGCAGGTAAGCAGGTAAGCAACAGGATAAACATAGTGAAGGGAGGGGTGACTGGAAAAGAGAGAGGGCCTGATGGTGTAATGCGATCTATCGTCCTTTATCTTTTTCTCAATCTCACCTTTCCTCTTCAGTTTCCTCCGCATATCTTCACAATTCAGCTTTCCCATCCGATCCGTACTTTCTCTCGATCCTACTCGCCAACCTCTGACCAAGCTTCAGCACACAATATAAAATAGATGTTCACAGAAGATCAAGTCAACGCAGCGATTGTGGAGATCAGGGATCCTGATATCGTATCCTGGGAGCTCTTCACAGAAGTTCCCAACTTCAAAGTCTATCGCCGTGCTGTAGTTAACAGCGCCTTGAATGAATACAAGGTCCTCGGAACATACCCAGATCTGCCAGCAAGGTACCTTCTCAGTGCATACACGGATCTAAATTACCGCAAGACCTGGGATAAGAATATGGGCGGTTGGAAGCAACTGGATGAGCGTCGTCTGCACTATACCTCCAAATTCCCTTGGCCGCTCTCTCCTCGAGATTACGTCTACGAGCTGCATGTGCAGGAATTCGGAGGAGGCATCTATTGTATCAATGGACAGAGTGTTGAGGACAAGACGGTGCCAGAAAAGTCGGGAACGGTGCGCGTGGATGAGTACAGGCAGGATGTTGTTATTCAGCCCCTAGAGGACGGCAAAGGATGCAATATCTGGTTCGGGTACTTTGATAACCCAAAGGCAAGTGAGGATGCTGACTCGCTGTATATGCTTCGGGTCTGGGGTCACCTCTAATTAACAGAAGGTCCTTTTTTTTTTCTATTTTTTTTCTCCGATTACTACCAGGGTAACATTCCTTCTAGTATTATTAATTGGGCTGCCAAGACAGGTCTTCCATGTGAGGATGCCTCTTTGTCTCCTCTTTTGTGTATGTTTGTATGTTTGTAAAGGAAGCATACACTAACGAGCGTTCTACTTTACTAAAAACATAGCGTTCCTCAACTCACTGAGAGAGGCAGGACACGGCTTAATGAAGAAGGATGCTGATAGGAGACAAAACGAGAAAACTCAAACAATGGGAACGGCTGCGAATACATCTGCCTCGGTCAATCATTAGAAAGTATTCCCAGCACCTCGCTGCTTTTTTTATAACTTGGGAGATGGATCAAATACAGTTAAATAAAGGAAGATTATTTTTTTTTAAACCGAGAGCATTAAGCTTTTTTTGCCACCCCCCCCAAAAAAAATACGCGACGTGACGCGACAAGACACGACAAATATTTCGTACGCGTGAAGATGAAAAATTTCTTCCCCCGGTATTTTAATGTTTCGATCTTGTGGATCGCGTTTCATCCTTGTCTTGATAATTTGCCCAAAAAAAGGTACCGAAAAGCACAGCAAGTCCGGAGATTTTTTGTTGTTTTCGAGAAGGAGAGGGCTAGTTTGAATGGGAGCCAAGAAATATGGGAAAGAAGATCCTGTTTTTATTGGGTTCAATATCAATATCAATAGCTGAATAAACGAACGAGTGGCTAAGATGAAGCAACTCCTGAAGAAGGACTTGGGTAAAAAGATATTTGAGAAAGGAGAAATTTCCAATACGCTGCTGAACAATAGGCGTCATTGCCGATGGGAAAGAGAGGTAGAAGCACAGCAAAAAAAACTGTACTCTAGCTGACTAGCTCGTCAGGATCTCAGGGACACTTCTCTGTCCCAGTAGCCTTTCTCGTTATACAGGAATGAGGCCGCGAAGGCTATTCCTGTTTGCACTGCAATCCGGGGGGTCTCCCGAACCTAACTGGAGACAAATGGGACCCGCGCAAAAGACTATCTGGTTGCTTCTCGTCTCTCCAGCAGCTTCTGCGGTTCCATTCGTGTTGAAAAATATAGACATCGCACCTCCTTTATTGAAGGAGGCTAAGAAAATATTAACAGGTCGATCTAAAGGACACTCTGTCGTTAATGGATAGATAGTTCGGGGACACCTCATCCGCGCACTTTAGGCATACATTAGAGAGCTTATTCCTATTATGACGCCGAAAGGACACTCGTTTCTTTAAATGCGGATTGTGGTGTGTGATCATCCGAGTAATGAGTAGGAGGACAATTTGACATCTAATTTATTTTCTACCTGCATCAACAATCGTACTTGCAGTCGTCAAGCCATCGGATGACCAAGGATCAGATGGGAACGGCAACTGGATACCATCCCTTGCTTCACGCTCGCTTCTTTTTTACTCTGGACGTTGCAGATAGAGAGTGGCGTTGATAATGTAAAGAACGGCGATGTTCGCGGCGCGGCAGCGGATCTCTTCATCCTGTCTTGTGCATTAATGGGATTTTCGACGCTACTTGCCGATGAATGAAGCGCTTCTTGTCAGCCTCTCTGGCTCCATCTCCATGTCACGCCATGTGCGCTGCACACGCCTACATCTCTCCATTCGTCCAAGGTCCCGCTTTCAAAGCGCTCGTCTTGGTTCTCTGGGTACCTATTGCTCTCTTTGCACCCCCTCCTCGTCTCTTTTCTTTCCCTGTCTCTTCTGGGGCTCCTGAATTCCCCTCGTCCTTTTTTCTTTCTTCTTGTTCCTTTGCAGCCATCTCCTCTTCTCCTCCTTCCCCGTGCCATTTGCATACGCTTATGGAGCCTTATAGCGCATGTATCTTGTGCTACTTGAACCAAACTCTTCCACTTCATTTTACCTTCCATCCTTTTTTAGGATGATAATCGGAAGATAAGAAGAAACCATGAGCGGATGCCGTACTTCATGTTTTATATTTAAGCGGTCATCCTTTACCTTTTACGCACTACGCTCTATGTGCTTTACCACGTTCACAAAGCCCGTAGCTCCTCATGAACTCCAGTCCGTGTTCGGTCAAAGAAAAACACCTGCGCAATTGAATAGCTCAATACGAAATAACAGGATAGAGAAAAAGGCACTACCGAGGACGCCCCTTTCTTTTTGCTGTTTTCCTGTGCGTAGTAATAGGAAGAGTATATATAAAGGCGCGTGTTGCCGCGAAAGTGTGAAGAAAGGACATGATCCCTCAATCCTATTTTTTTTGCTCCTTGTCCCGGTCCCACAGGTATCCATCCCCCCGCCCCTTTCTGGTCGCTCTTCACCTTCGCCCTGGAGATCTGCGCTTACCCCATCCGCATCTATCTTTCACCCTTTTCTACTTCCTCATCATACCCCACCCCTCCATCCCACTCCCTAACATTCCTTAACTCATACCACCACTTTTACAGCTCTTTTTCTTTTCTGCATCCCCATACACTTTTCTATTTGATCATTTCATAGCCCTTCGTCTTTTATTTCTCGCATTCCCTTCTCATCTCCAAAATCCTATACGATCGACCGTTCTATTCGTCAACACCACCGCTACCATCTTTCATATTCACAGCGACAAGTGCGAGCAACAACCTGCCTCTTGCCTCACTACCACTATGGCCCAACCAGAGATTCATCCCAACCCTTCCACGTCCACCGAACATCACCCTAGCAGTACTCAAGTCCTCCCTCGGGCTTGCCATACTGCCAGCAACATACAGCTCCACGATGATTGCAGTCGTACCTTCGATAGCTACAGCCAATCCAATGACCAACATCTGCAACAATCAAACAACGGTCCCACTTCCCACAACAACAACGCCCACAGCGATAGCCGGCTCACACAGAATCATGACAATCTACATCGTCTCTCTATCCAGAATCTACCAACCCTGCAGGCCACAGACGTTCAACAACCCCGGCTTGGAAATGAAGGGGCTGATGAGCACAGCACGATGACGGCGACAACGACGGCGACGGTACTCCGCGCAGACGGGCATGTCCTGAACCCGGACAAGCTACGGTCAACGACCAGTGCACTCACGACCTCGATATGCTCCACCACCACCGTAGAGTCCATAGACCTGAAATCTTTCAAGGGCATCTCACGTCTGATCCATCGCCATTACAGTCGTGTGGATTATGTACGCTCCGAGGCGCGACTGGCCAAGGAAACGTATTTGATTGGCAATATCAAGTTTAATCGCTGGATTTTTCTCCCAGCTGCATTCTGCTTCCAGGCCGTATGTGGTACCTTGTATGCCTGTAAGCAACATAATTCTGGAAGTCGTGGCCTCTCTCTCTCTCTCTCTCTCTCTCTCTCTCTCTCTCTCTCTCTCTCTCTCTCTCTCTCTCTCTCTCTCTCTCTCTCTTTCTGTATTGCCAGTTCCATCTTGCAAAATGAATCTGCTCAAGGTCGTTAGGGGGCATTAATTCTTGAAAAGAACGTGAGGTCGAGGCAGGTGAAATCTAACAATGACATGAAAAAAATCTAAATCCTTTGAAAAAAAAAAACGCAATAGGGTCTGTGTTCAACAACTTGATTGATAACGCGCTTTACAGCACTGACGATGGCACTCCGACGACAATCCATATGGCCGCCATTACGTTCTATGTGGCTCTCGGTAAGGGGGGAGGGAGTGGAAAAATAGAAGAGGGGGAAAGGTTTACTGTCCTTGACGCGACCCTTCCTGCATGACCACCACAGCAAAAAAAAAAAAAATGCGTGGGTCCAACACTAACCTGAACAGTGTCATCAAACAACTGCATCTCCATAGGCTGCTTCGGTGTTGCTTCATCTATCATGGGACCATGGCTTGAGAGACATGGCCCAAAAAAGGCTGGTCTCTTGGGCGCAGCTCTCTTTCTGACCGGCAACCTTATTACAGCCGTCGGTATCTACGTTAAACAAATCAGCCTCGTCTATGTCGGATATGGCATTTTTGGAGGTCTCGGTCTTGGTATCTCGTACATCTCTCCTGTTTCTGCACTTCAAAAATGGTTTCCAGATCGTCGAGGTGTCGCTGCTGGTCTGGCTGTCAGTGGCTTTGGAGCCGGTTCGATTGTCATGGCCAAGATTCCGGACCCACTTTCTGCTGCTGTAGGGCTCCCACTGACGTTTGTGGTCCTAGGATGCGTGTACTTTGTGATCATGGTGTTCTGCGCCTTTGTGTTTCGAGTCCCTCCGCCGGGTTATGTCGTTAATGGCATGAACGTATGGGCAGTCCGTGTTGACGATGTGGATGAGCTAAACGACATTAAGCTGAAAGGCACCTCGATCGAGCAGTCTAGCCATTTTGGGGGCGATACGGAAATCAACACAGGGACCAATTCGTACAACGTTGGTTCACTTCATCTTCTCCACACGTTCCAACAGTCTGATCCTCACAGAAGCGTAGATGAGCATTCGGCCTCACCGATCTCACCAAACTCTGCGACGCCGACCGTGGTACCCTCAATGGTCCCGCCCATGAAAGCCTCAGAACGACAGTCTGCGAAGACAGGGGCGCGCTCAAGTTTTGATCCCAGCACATCGTTGAATCTAATGGATGCCTTGTATTCGCGTGAGTTCAGGCTGATGTATATTATGTTCCTGGGCAATACGATGGCTGGGGTGGTTATCATCTCACGTCTTGCCAACGTTGCGACGGATATTTTTGGCCACAGCAAGGACAGTGCCTCGACCATCGTGTCTATCAACGGAGGGTTCAATTTATTGGGTCGCCTGGTTTTTGCTTCCCTCTCGGACCGTATCGGTCGAAAGAACTCGTACCTGATCATGCTTGGTAGCCAGATCATCATCCTTGCCTGCTTACCCATCATCATGAAGTCGGGTGCCAATTGGGCCTTCTTGATGGTGGTGTGGATTTTGACCGCCTGCTATGGCGGAGGATTCGGATGCATCCCAGCCTTCCTGTGCGACATGTTTGGGCCGTCGAACATTGGACCGCTGCACGGCGTAATCTTGACCTCCTGGAGTCTCTCTAGTGTCGGTGCAGGCCTATTGTTCACGGCCGTGTACAATCGTCTTCTCAAGAGTGGGTACACGGTACACGATGATTATATCTATGCTGTGAACGTACACTGGCTTCTGGCAGGAGTCGTTTGTGGTCTGTTTGTCACGCTGTTTATTCGGACAGGGATGCGCGACCGCCTATTGCCGGATGGTGCGGGCGAATGGTTCCACATTCGGGTCTTTGGGCGAATTATGAGATTTGGCCGTTTTGGCGTGAGGTGGATGTCAAAGGAAGAAGAGCAACAGGCGTGGACGGCGTATGTGGTGCAACGGCAGCTGGAGGATGAGCAGGACCATGACCATCAAAATCCCGGGGTTGCTGGGGAGCGAGATAGGACGCTGGACGGAGAAGAGAAGGCGATCCAGACTAGAGGGACGAGACTATAATGGTTGTTTAGTGCCCAATTAAGAGAGATGCAGCATAATTCTCATCTTTATCCCCGGTTGCAATTGTACCATAGTTTCCAGTTTCCCCCCCTTGGTGCTGAAGTAAAACCTTTCATCCCTCCTCCCCCTAAATTGGTTTGGCTTGGTTTTGGTTTGTCCAACGCATGGATCGCTCATTTACCCGTGGTATTGCACTGTAACAAACAGCAAAAACAACAAACAACAAGAGGGACATGGATCTATCTATTGATGTGTCTGTATTTTCATATCACTGTAGGCCGTCCGCCCATATTGTGCATATCGTAGCATGCAAACAAAATAGATCAGTAAGTCAACACACATATATTCTTTCCTCCCCCCACCCCTGTCTTTTTCGTGCATGCCAAGAAAGAGATTGGTTTATGTATGGTCTAGGAACGAGTGCCTCGGGCCAGGTTCCTGGCTGGATCTGGGATGAAAGAAAAGGGAAAAAAAAAAAAAAAAAAAAAAAAGATAGAAACGGTAAAAGGGCGGTTTTAAAAAAGAAAGAGGGAGGCGTACCAAGCGATCCATGCGATCGATACAGACACAGATACAGATACAGATACAGTTATAGCTACGGAAACAGATTCAAATACAAACTACAAAATACAAACACAGCAAGACACAGCTTTATTGTTTTATTTGTAGTCCAATTGCTGTGTTCATGGTATCCACGCAGTCTATCCTCAGTAGCCTACTGGAGTCTAGGTTGGTTGCCTGCGTGGGCATACAGCGTCGACGGATGAATGGAGGGGAGGACGAGTGAGTGAGTGAGTGAGTGTGGGTGTGTGGGGTGTGGGTGTGTGAGGTGTGGGTGTGGATGTGGCTGTGAACAGCAAACAGGTGGATAGGATCCCTGGCCTGTTGTCTGAATCTAGTCGGCTAGTCTGGTCTCGTAGTTGGCTCGTGTGTCTGCAGCAGCAGCAGCAGCAGCAGGAGGAGCGAGGTGGCAATTGCGTGCGTCTGGTCCGTGTGGGTGTTGGGCGGCAGTGGGAATACGCATCTGTCCACACACAGGCGCAGGAGGGCACATGTCCCCCTCCCCACCTCTCTCGCGCGAGAAACCCTTCTTAGTCTACGCTCGACTCCTTTTCTCGCCCGTATCTCCCCCCCCCGTTCCTGTCTTTCTCTCTCTTCTCTCGCTGTATCACTCCCTCCCTCGCTCCCCCTCTTTATACTCTCTCTCCTCTTCACACTTCCTCGTCACACCTCGCTCCTCCTCCACACTCCCTCCCCCTCTCCCTCTCCCTCTCCACACCCCATCGCCTTCCCATCGCCTCTCTTCTCTCCTCTTCTCTCCTCATTCCTCCTCATTCCTTCTCATTCCTTCTCTTTCAAACTCGTCTTTCCCTCCTCCCCCTCCCCCTCCCCCTCCTCCTCCTCCTATCGCACAACAACATATATATGAAAACACCCTCAGCCATGTCCTCCTCCTCCTCCTCCTCTGCACTGGCCAGGCGGAGTACTCCTGCTGCGGCCACTCCAACGGGGCCTTCTCCCGCTACTCCAACTGCCACTCCCACATCCTCAGACACCATCCATCCCTCCTCGCGGCACCCCTACCCCCCGCGCTCCCTTATGTCCCTCCCAAACGAGTGTCTGGCCCTCCTAGTCCAATGGGTCGCCAGCCAGGGCGTCCAGGATCTCTTCCCCCTTCTCTGCGTCAACAAAAAGTTCTTCCACCTCGTCGTCCCCTTGCTCTACCGGGATCCCTTCCGACTCTCCGCCCGCTGGGTCTGGAAACGGTCCGTTTACAAGGGCGTGATAGAACGCCAGACAAAGCTGATTCGGACCCTCCTCCTCTGCTGCACCAGGACCATCAACAAAATCACTCCAATCGACCCCGACGCAGACAAGAAAAAGAGGTCCAACAACCCCACCTTCTGGTCCGAAACACCCCTAGCCCGAGCTGTGGCAGCGGTGCGACGGAGCGATAAGGAAGCACCGGCCACAGCGGATACATCCAGGACGATACCCACCACAACGGTGTCTGCTGCAGCCCGCCATGTCGATGCACCTGTGCGCGCAACTGGCTGGGAAAGACCCACCGCGCCCTCTTTGACCTCCTCGACGACTTCCTCTTCAGCCTCTGCAACCAACATCCTAGGCCCTCATAGCCACTCTACTACACTCACTCTCTCTGATACCAGCAATCCAGACTTTGATGGAATGACAATAGCCATAGCTACAAAATACACACAGCAGGGTGGGCCCGACCAGGCCGAAGGCGATAGATCGCTTCTCAAGTCGCTCTTTCAGAAATTCGGGAGTACCCATCATCGTGCACGCGAGTTTGCGGGCGAGCAGACAAAGGACAAGGGCAAGGATAAGGGCATGGGCATGGGCATGGGCATGGGCATGGGCATGGGCAAGGGCAAGGACAAGGGCAGAGGATCACAATCGAAGCCGTCACCCCATCTGACCAGGATCGAAAAGATTCCCATTGTCTGGGACGCAGAGACGCACCAACCCGAGACACGACGCATCCCAGGATTAGGCAGGCCGAATTCACCAAAGCTCAAGTTCCCCCCGGAACTCACCAAAACCATCATCCGGCTCTCGACCGAGCCACCACCGATGGTCAACTACCTTTCCTATGTCACCCACACAGAGGTCCGTTCCTGGTCGGCAGCCTCGAACATGACCCTAGTCCATCAGATCCTCGGCGACGCTCGACCATCCTGGCACGCGCGTCTGCAGGGTCTCGTGAAACGGACTTCCAGGAGGATCATGGGCAAACACTCCGCATCCGATCGACAGGACACCGTTGGCACAGCGACCGGATTTGTTTACGATACTCGCCACGATCTGGAGGAGCCGGACGAGGAGGAGGATGACCTTATGGAGCTGCCGTTTAGCTTTCGAAGGGATCGATATCGTCGTTGGAGAGGCGGTCGTGCTAAACGGAACAAGAACCTATGGGAACTTCGAGATGTCGACTTTTTGGAATTACTCCTGCTCTTTTACACCTCTGGAAAAATGGAGTCGCTCTCGCTGGGGATGAATTGTTCCCATTGGTATCATCCTTCGCTCAACGTGCTCCTACCTGGAATTCCGGAGCGGCTGTCAGGTCTGCGCAGGATTGTGATTGATCATGCGGATACCATCGTCCACAATGCAGTCCCTGTACCGCAGCTCTTCATTCAGCGACACCAAAAGGCCTTCCCTGGACAGCTGCGTGAGATTCAGGTCAGGCAGTCCTATCATTACTCGTACGATATGTCCAAATCGGTTCTGCAGACGATCAAGACGATGGAGCGGTTGGAGGTACTGGACCTGTCAATCTGGACGGGGGTGTTTTCGGGACTGGAGTCAATTTGTACGGACCATCTGAGAAAGTTACTGATTTGTCACCACATGGATGTGCCCCGACCAGAGATGTTTGATGAGCTGCTGAAGCGGTGTCTGGTCCTGGAGGAGCTCTCGATTATCGTGCCACACCCACACCTCTTCACATGGGCTGTCGAGAGACGTGCCGGTACGACAATGCTATCAACAACAACAGCATCGGGAAGACCACATTCGCGACGGGATCTGTTTGCGTCGCGAACAGAGTCTCTCTGGTCAGACTCGCGCGGTCGTCAGCCAGCGTGCTTATCGCCGCTCAAGAATGTAACCTTGTTTGGCCATACGACCGATGTTTTGGGAGCATTCAAGGACGTTATCTTTGCGTTCCAGGACACACTCGAATCGATACAGGTGTCTATGTATTCGGATATGACAAAGCCGCCCGAGAACCATTTCGAGATGCCGCCCCCACACTTTATGGTCACGGGCGATACTCCGCAGCCGTCGTTCCTTGGGATCAACCTCCTGCAGGATGCACTCCAGCCCAGCAGCACCAACCCCTTCAGCACCGCCACCGCTGCAGCCCAGTCGACGCTCAATCCCTTCAATACCTCACCAGAACTATCGGCGCTGTGGCATCAGGAGATCCTGACAGGCATCAGCGGTGGTCAGAACTCTACGACCAATGCAACAGCAGCAACAGCAGCAACAGCAGCAGCAGCAGCAGCAGCAGCAAATCCATCGAATCCAGTCCCACCCTCGCACCTGACGTGGAACTGGCCTCTGCCTCGACTGCGGACAATGTCCTTGCGAGGCCCAGCAGTGGCCTATTTCGACCTGAACCTACTCCGATTCTGTCCACAGCTCACAGACCTGGCCCTCTCATACCATTGCTCACGTCTTCCACGTTTGGTCTATCCGAATCATAGGTCTGCGTCGTTGTCGTTGGATGGTGAAGCTACCACGAGTGCCACAAAGCGCTATCCTAGGATCATGATCTGCGATTCGCTCGCTTTCAAGTGGGGCATGAACCTGCAAGAAGATCGGCGTAGTTTGGTCATTGTCTAAAAAAAAAAAAAAAGGAGTTCTTTTTATTCCACATAACAAAAACGCTTGGGAAAGCGTCCATACCCTTGTAAATGATGTATATAACAATACTAAATAAATAAGAGAATAAATAAAAAGCTAGGATAACTCTAGCTCCTCACTCGTTTATAACAATCGAGTTTTGCCCCAGTCCTGCTTTTCATCTGCCCGTCCATCTCTACGAATGCCCTGGACCCACGCCCAAATCTCTTGATCCGTTTGTCTCAGGGCGACTTCTGCGTCTGAGATTGAGACGTCCTCGCTGAGCATTGTCTCAGGCACATGCACATGCTTTAGCGTGATTTCGTAATCTGATACCCGATAGCGGGTCGTAAAGGCAGTGCCAACAAACATCAGATGTCCTGCTCCTTCTTTGGGCTCCCCATCTTTGCCGGTCTCGGTGCTTCTCAACTCTGGCTTCTTCTTTTCCAGAGAAACATAGACGCAGTAATGGCTGTACTCGGTTGTGGAGATTGGGTCAGCAGATGAGGCACTTTGGTGAGCAATAGGAAAGCCTATATCCCATGTGAGCGTCGATGATACTGAGATCCAGGAATGTTTGTGATCCTTGCCCAATGTTGCAATCACACCCTGTTCTGGTTGTCCTTGAAGGGCTCCTTGTATGCTCGCGTTCCATGGAATCAGTCGTTCCAAAAAGACGAACCGACTTTCCTCGCTCCGCAGACCCTGGACGCATGACCCCTTGCGATACAGACTCCAAGTTGGCACCACCGCCAAGGATCCAAGAGTCACTAACGGATTCCATTCCATCTTTTGATCACCGGTTCTCTCCTCCTGCTCGTACGTTACCGTGACCCCCAGCTGGGACACCGCAACTCCAGGCATATCCTGGCAATTAACCAGGCTGGACAAATTGAGGATCAGACGTTGCCAACCGCCAGCCAGTGTCTCGACACGGTACACCTGCCTGTCATCATCCTGGGGCGATGAGGATGGATTCAATACAAATCCGGTCTCTAGAGCATTGGAGGCCCCTGGGTCATCCAGCGTCATCAAGCAGACAGGTCCTTGCTTCTTTGAAGTTGAGCTGGCTGAGATGTCAATTTTCGAAACAGAGCCCTGTTCCCTGGACTGGATTGTCGGCGTCTTGATCTCTGGGCGTATCAGCTGCGAAAATTCCTGCTTGGAGATTTTGCGGCCGGTCCTGCATTGGTCCTGGTCCTGGTCCTGGTCCTGAGCCTGATCCTTGTGGAGCCCAGCTGAGAGCATACCCATATGGATGCCGACTTGGACTTGATCCTGATGGGGCTTGTAGATTAACTCGACGGACGAACTCTGAGCGTGAGGTAAAGAAATCAACGTATCGAATAATGGAACCAGGATGGTTCTTATTCCAGAATGCAACGCTTTCTCCGGCAAAGAGAGGTCAGTCGCAGGAGTCGCAGGCTGAAAAGACGATGTTGCCAGGCTCCAGAAGATATCGTAGATCACGACTGAAGTCCCACCGTTATAAGCGTCCTCGGGTAACAGAATCCAGTTGATGAATGAACGCTCCAACACTGGGACACAGTTGGAAGAGTCCGGACCAAGTATAAGGACTTCTTTGTTCAACGATGGCGACAGGGACTGATGTGACAGATGCGACCATGGCTTGTCAGAGACTTTCTAGTACACGCAAAATTGCCATTATCTGGTTATTTTCAGAAGCAAAAGTCGTTGTAAAAACCTGATCGAATGACACTATATTTTACCTTGCCGTTGACCCAGAATCCAGTGCCAAACCCACGGTCAAAATTGGAATAGAACCATGAGGAAGTCCCCGATGGTCGTGCTGGGATATACGCCGACACTGGCAAGAATTCCGGCTGTTGCTTGCGATCCACCTCACCATCTTTGCCGTCTTTATTTCCACCAGCTGGGTTCGCCCACTGCTCACCTGATAACAATCGAGAAGCCTGGTCTGGAGATGAAGATGGAGGACGACCCTCGAAGTGTTTGCCAGCTCCCAGGGAGCCTATCCAGAAGCGCCGGTCGTTTCTCATGAACTTCTCCTTACCGAGCGACTCATACGTCCATGCCGGAGCAAAGAGCGCACACGATGTTTTTTCGCGCTGGATGACTTCGAGAGCCCTGTAAGTTGAGAAGCCTCCACCACCAAATGTATTTCCTATGCTCACCAATAAAAAAAAAAAGCGGTTTTCTCTTCTAGTTCGGTGCTCTTCTTTCAGCTAGGCGAAAAGTAACAAAGAGTGAAGGACTTACTGCCCCAGATGTCAATCCCAGTGTAGACGTCTCTATTCCGAGGACCAGCTAGAGCGACAGACTCGCCAACAAACTGTTCCTTCCAGGTGTAATTCGTAAAGATACCTATTCCATTACGAGGTAAATTAATACCCTATCGAGCTGTAGGAAGAATTATGCAGTACATATTGAGTATGCACACCTTACCATCGCTCTGTTCAAAAAACTGATAGTTCTCAGGAGTGAGCCTGTCCTGCCAGTTTACCTCACCCGTCGACGAGACCACACTGTCATACCAAACAAGTTCACCTCCAGGGATCCTAGCATGAATCTGTGCCCGAAGGTATGCCAAAAAGGCAATGGTCTGGTTGGCCTGCTTCGCGCCACCCCTGAGTATACTCTCAATATTAATGAACCACCCATCAAACTTGTAGTACACCGCCATATCAACGAGCTTATCCGCATAGGTTCTACTGAACCATCTCCGATCGACCACATCGTCCCCGTCCTCGTTCACGAATTCCTGACCGGGCCCACTGACCATTTCATCCGTCTCAAGGACACCCTCCAACCATTCTGTGATGATGGTTCCGAGACAGCGGACTCCGTTCTTGTGGGCGGCATTGGTCCAGACAGGAGGAGGAATGGTGATTCGGTAATGGGAAAAGTAGATGAAGGTGTCGATATAATTCCAGTACTGGATGCTATAGATCGTGTTGTAGTCGTTCCCTTGAGGCCAAACATCCTCTGCGTAGCCTATCGAAATAAAAAATAAAATAAAAAACCGCCCCAAGGGGAACACATCAGTATCTCGTGGGAAATTATTCCTTCATTGGAATAGAATCGCTGTACTTATCAAGGAGCGGAGTGGAAGGGCCATGTTCATTTACCTCCAGCCATATCATGGCAAACAATGACCTTGCAACCCTCAAGACCGGAATCATGGGTTTCAGGAGAAGTTTCCGGGACTGGTTTATCAGAACCGTGGCGATGATACCTGACTCCACGACGCAGTAACTCAGGTCTGGGATGGAGTGGTGTATGAGCAACATTGTATTCGTCCTGCCCTGGCTGCCAGGCAAGCAGGTCCTTGAAGGACTTGAGAGGTTTACTTCTGGGAATGGTAGTGTCTTGGATCGAGACCATACTTGGGATGAGGAAATGAATGAGGAGGAGGAATGAGAAGAAAAAGTAATGAGCGATAGACTACAAGATGTGACAGCACAGGAAATGTAGCATTCATGCATGGCACGGGTTAAAATACATTGGCATGTTGCTCCTCTGTGGCCACCACGCAGCTATGGCTGGGGATTTTACGTTGAAATGCACTGAAGCCATTACTCGGTAGTTATGTGTCCAGGCTTGTAACCAGACCATTTATTCATCCTTACCGCCGCTGTCGCGTGTCAAAATACTAGGTATGGAATCGAGCCCTATTCTGCCCTGCACCAACTTGATTCCGGAAAGATAAAGCAATCAACGAAGACTTATGGACTCAGGGATCCAGCTGGACACATCCATCCCAGCGTACCTCTCAGTAATGCCTTCCCTCCTTTAATCACTCTGCAACAACGGTATACTAAGCGAGTGGTTGGATCGGTTGCAGCATGACCCTTTCCATTGACAGTGGCAGCTACTGTCTATAAGGGGATCAAATACGGGCTGTCCATGTATCTATCCAGGGCTCCTATTTTCGCAGCCAAACTTAAAGGCGAACAAGATTGTGTGTTCCCTGCCCCACATTCAATTCTCATTCATCTCACTCTCGCTCTCACCCTCACTCTTCCATCTCTGCCTTACCTCATTCTGCACTGAGCCTCATCTCCACGACTGCACTACTAAAACGATTCTTGGTGAGATTATAGTCACACTCATTCACCTTTTCCTCTCCCCTACACAGCTTAATCGAGTCGCTAACCATGCACTCTTCCCTCTAGGCACTTATTAGAAAAGCAGAGACCCTAAAAAATGGCGCCCAGAACTGTCCTAACGATCAAGGAGCGTCTCCGGGACATGACAAGAGGCCAAAAGATCACAGCAGGAATTGTGGTTACAGTTGGGGTTGCCTTTGTCATAACGTTCTTTCTCCTAGAGAAGCAGATATTTCAGCGTAAGCAACAAGAAAAGCATGGCATCTTTTTCTGAGCTACTTTCTTTTCGTCCCTTGCACCGCACCGCACCGCAGTGCAGCGCATGTGAACGGACATTGTCAATGCTCAAAATCAACTGAGCACGATTTATTTTGTGGTCGAGTGTAGTCTTGGAGCCAGCAGTAAACTACATTCGCAACTCAAGTGCAGGAATCCCAGTACTCGCGGCCTGATTACGATTGTAACGTATTTGCACACCTGCTGGTTAACCCGCAACTCAGTCAATTATAAAGCACGAGTATTGTTGGCGATACAGCATTAGTTCATATAAGTAAGTCCTTTAAGCGATGCGCAAGTTATGAAAAGAAGATACTTAAAAAGAACCATACCATGTGCAGGAAAATAACGATGACAGAGAAGAAGCTGTCACAGGACTGGACCCCAGGGAACCCTAACAGGGCTTAAGCGTCGGCTGACGAAGCCTTAGATAGCAGTCCCACATGCCAACAAGCTCTTCGACCGAGCTGTGCCGGCCCCGTAGAACGTATAAAAAGGCCTCTTCGCTACCTGTTAATATAGCACTCATTCTTAGACTACCCCGGTTTCCTGGCATGAGTTACTGTTGGATGGAGGCAAAGGTTCTTGTACCACCTTGTCCCTGCATAATTTATTCTTTTCCTGTGCCCCAACCGCCCCCTGTCCGTGCATCAATTTCTTTCTGCCCTGAATCCCACTCAGCCACGAAAAAGTGGGTGAGTTGAATTCAGCGGTTGAAAATGTTTTCTAAAAGCGCGAGTCTTCGACCGAGTTAAATCTTTTTCAACCGCGGGTTGGATCTTGCTTCTGAATAACACGTTACTATGGACATGTTTATCTGTTGCTCCCCACGCGCTATCACCCCTTGTCTTCCTTCCTTTTCTTTCCACAGAAAAGTCAGAAAAGTAGAAGAAATGGGAGTTGAATCCAACCGATGGGGAGTGACCTATTGGTCAACCTTATTGCGCACTATTTTCGACTTTCGACTCTTTTTTCTGCTATTTCTACCCAATGAAAGAAGAAGTGAATGGGACTCTGCTGGTTTAACGTTGCTTGCCCATTCCAACTAGACGATTGTCCGTGTCCTGCTTGTCTGTTCCATGAAAGTTACATTATGTTGCGGTTCCGAGCACGGGAGCTTATAGGAGGATATAGGCTACCGAGCTGGGATCCCGAGTCATGCTTTATTCACGTGTAAAAGACCTAGCTAGTTGCCCTAGTCAAACCCCAGTCTGCAATAAAACACCTTCCTGCCTTGTACTTGTTCTTGCTCCTCCATCCTTCGCTTACATAGTCTACCTACTTGTCCAGACCTTGACAGATATAGTCAAAGTTTGCATGAAAGAGGTGTGGCGTAAAACCAGGGGTGCATGCACCTTGAAAAACGACAGACTAAATTTGATCTACTTCGCCCACACTCTCTCTCGGTCTCCTACACACCTTTTCTTTCTTTTTTTTTTTTTTTTTTTTTATTAACATAAATCCCCATGAGCACCACACAGCTTTTCTTTCTTTCCTTTTTTTTTTTTTTTTTTTTTTTTTTTCCTTTTCTTATTTTACTTATCGAGCACTCAAACTCCCCCTCACTTCCTCACTTTCCCACATAAACTCGCTTTTTTCTCTCATCACCCGCTTATAATCATCCAGACGCAGCGATGGAGGAGACTCAATCCCTCCGCTTGATCGGGAAGATCGATATCGAGGAAATAACTTTCCATCATGTGGACGGGCAGAATATCGTTTACTGGGAGGACATCGAGCAAGTCTTTCCTGGGGTCAAACACCTCAAGAACGGTAACGTTACCGTCAGTATGATGAGGGACTCGGTAGGAATCAGGTAACCAGAAAGGACGCAAAACTAAACGCCAGACATGTTTGGAATGAGACAGCGAAGAAAAATCGTACTGACCATGTACATGTACTTGATTTTAATCTTCCTTCTAGAATGGAGCCTTTCCGCATCAAGCATTGTCCGGGTACTGTCCTGGATGTTGTAGTTGAAATCCCGGACACTGAAACAGGTATTTAAGGATTGCGAATCGCCACATTGCTCCTCGACATAGCCCACAGTTCATGACAACTCTCAATATCCGGCAGCCGCAGAATCTTAGAACTCTAACTTTTTCTCTTTCGCCAATATACTAGTAGATGGAAATCGAGTTCGGAGAACTAGAGCGGCGCCACAGGATCGTGGAGTATCATCGGTCAGTGCCCCGATAGAGCCACGAGATCGATGTCCGCAGGTTCATAGCGAATCACCGTGCATTTCTCCATTGAACTCGGTAGAGCCGCGAGATCGATCACCGCAGGTTGATAGTGAATCATCATTTTACTCGGTAGAGCTACGCGATCGATGTCCCCAGGTTCATAGCGAATCATCATTTAACTCGGCAGAGTCACAAGATCGATCGCCGCAATCCACTCCCCAGAACAACGGCAGCAGCAACATTCATAACCCCGAAGAGGCGCTCAGCAATCAGGGCAGCGAGGGACCCTCCACTGCGATGGCGCATTTAATGGGCGATGGTGATTCCCAAAACTATCACGAAGCCTTGAGGTGTTTGCTTCAAGCTGCTAACCAAGGACATTCCAATGCGCAATACAAGCTAGGCGAGATGTACGAAAATGGCGAGGTCGTGGATCAAGACGCCTCCGAAGCCGCCAAGTGGTATGAAAAGGCTGGCAGCCAAGGAAACACCAATGCTCAGCGTAAACTAGGGATCATGTTCAAACACGCCCATGGAGTTCCAGAAGACTATACCGAAGCCCGAAAGTGGTTTAAAAAAGCAGCCGACCAAGGGGACGTCTATTCCCAGGTGGAACTAGGATTTATGAAGAAAAATGGCCAAGGTGGTCCAAGAGAACTTGGCAGGGCTCTCGAGCACTTTGGCAAAGCTATTGGCCAAGGACTTGTCAAAGGTCTTCGTTTCTAGTGAAACTATCTTGTACATTAGCTGTCCAGCTTTAGAGCGCAGAGGAGATGACTGAATAAATGCTACAAACCATCTCTCTAAAGATGTAAGCATTCGCCTCCTCGATATGGCTTCATGTACCGAATGGTCATTTGAATAACGCATCGCCCATTTCATAGCAGCAACGAAAAGTGGATCCTTTGCGCTATATTCGCATAGAGAACATAATAGCTGGCAGAGTCGAATAACATGACGATTCACGCTTATTATCCGATGGCCAGGACCATACACAGTACTTCATTATACTATTTAAAGGACTCCATCCTTATCTCTTTACCTCAAAACTCCCCGCCCGCAAACAAGGTATGCAAGTCTATCTCCACTGCTTTGTTGTCGTGTATGCGATTGTCGTGCCTGTCTTTCATCATTCTCATATTCAGATTTCTCTCCCTTGCTTTTTAAGATTGTTTATTTATTGGTTTTATTGTCAACCGTTTCAGTTGCAACCTGTGGATGTGAGAGCTGCAATACGCGCTTACGGAGGAGGCAGTAACATATATCTCATCTCGCAGCCAAACTTAAAGACGAACAAGATTGTGTGTTCCGTGCATATGCGGTCATCCATCCTTCTTTTTGTCCATTCCATTCTCATTCATCTCTCCTTTCCTCTCACTCCCACTCTCATTCTCACTCTTCCATCTCTGCCTTGCCTTTTACTTACATTCCCTACACCTCATTCTGCACTGTTTCTCATCCTATTCCTTTGTGAGCCTCGTTCTCACCACTGCACTACTAAAACGATTCTTGGTGAGATTATAGTCACACTCATTCACCTTTTCCTCTCCCCTACACAGCTTAATCGAGTCGCTAACCATGCACTCTTCCCTCTAGGCACTTATTAGAAAAGCAGAGACCCTAAAAAATGGCGCCCAGAACTGTCCTAACGATCAAGGAGCGTCTCCGGGACATGACAAGAGGCCAAAAGATCACAGCAGGAATTGTGGTTACAGTTGGGGTTGCCTTTGTCATAACGTTCTTTCTCCTAGAGAAGCAGATATTTCAGCGTAAGCAACAAGAAAAGCATGGCATCTTTTTCTGAGCTACTTTCTTTTCGTCCCTTGCACCGCACCGCACCGCAGTGCAGCGCATGTGAACGGACATTGTCAATGCTCAAAATCAACTGAGCACGATTTATTTTGTGGTCGAGTGTAGTCTTGGAGCCAGCAGTAAACTACATTCGCAACTCAAGTGCAGGAATCCCAGTACTCGCCGCCATTATGTTTGCAACATGTATCTTTCCACTCTTTGGTAGGCTTGCACTTTGACCATCGCCATTACAGTTAAACGGTTTTATGTCTGAAAGGGGTCTTTGCATAGTACTAATTAATGTTGGCCTCAAAAAACATCTAGGTTACGGAGTGGTTTCGATGATCTGCGGCTATGTTTATGGCGTTCCAAAAGGGTATATATAGCTGCTTACAGGGGAAAACGATTCCCTTTCGACGGTGTTCAATTTACAATTCGATTTGCATGTTTGTTGACACTCTCTGATGGGCAATGGTCCTTGATCTGACTTTATAGGTTCCTACCCGCGTTCATTGGCGATGTATTAGGCGCATCAGCAGGATTTTGGTAATAAACACGATATGCAAGACTTGGGAGGATGTAACCTGAATCTTCAACTCTGATACCCTATCCTTATTCATCTTTATTATCGTGAAGGCTATATCGACTCGCATTCAACAAGTACTTTGCGCGGAAGTTCGGGGACAACCTGGAGTTCAGAGAGATCTCCAAAGCCGTGAGCAAAGATGGGTTATTTGTAAGTTCGCTCCTCAGCCTCTTCAGTTGCAGCTGATCTTCTCATTTTTGAATCAATAATGAGCTAACTGCCGGGATGGTATATTTCTTTATTATAGATCTTATTTTTGATCCGCTTGTCTTCGTTTCCTTTTGCCGGTAGGAATATTGCGTTCTCGATGGGCAGCATATATCCGCTGTTCTATGAACATGCATCAAATAACAAGTAATGAATGCTGTCCAACTAAAACGCGATTGCTTTGTTTTTCATAGTGCTGAATGCATATTTCGGGGCATTAACACAACTGCCGTACTGGAGATTCATCCTGGCAACGACTTTGTCCACACCACGCCTCTTCCTACCCATTTTCATCGGCCAAAGCATCTCCAGTCTATCTAATCCAAACATCACAGGCAAAGACAGGGTGCTTAAGTGGGCTGGAAACATCCTGGGTATTGTTATTTTGCTAGTCGTGGGCTGGTACCTTTACCGGCATACAACCCGAAGGATCCAGCGGATTAATGCAGGACTGGTTGCAGAGGAGGGAGACGAAGAGGATGATATCGAGCGGATAGCCCGCGAAGCTGCACAACAACAACAGCAAGAGCAACAACAACAACGACAACAACAAATGCAACAGCAGCACCAACAGCAGCTGCAGAACAGCTATAAGATGGAGACTAGGAGCCAGGCATTTCAGTCGGGTGATAGACAGAAACGAGAGAACATATATGACACCCCTGCGGATATGGAGGAGCTCCAAAGTCTTCACAGATCTCATTCAGATCAAAGACATAGTTCGGATACTATAGTCTTGGTCGAAGAAAGTCAACCTGATCATAAACTACGCGGGTAACCAAAAATAAATACATGATCATACTCAATGACATTCTGGGATAAATTGCACTTGAAGATTTTTTCTATCAACATAAATCCCCATGAGCACGCGACGCATGGTCCGCAAAGGCACACCTTGCACTTGAAGAATTTTCTTGCAATTATGGTTTTTTGCATTTATAGAATGTGCTCCTTGCACTTAAAGAAATTAGATATTTGAACTTAAGAATATCCTAGAATTGAGATAGCACAAGTACCAAGCCCGGCTAGCTCAATCGGTAGAGCGTCAGACTCTTAATCTGAAGGCTGTGGGTTCGACCCCCACGTTGGGCGCTTATTTTTTATTTTCCCTAAATCTCAGTGTTTCCATAATTGGGCGAAGCAGTTTTTTGCGTTTTTTGGCAGCCCATTCGGAAATCCATGTAACTCATTTAGCCTGAAAATTGAGCCTATGGCCCAAGTAAAACCTAATACCTTTCCTGTGTCTACTCGTCTGTTTCTTTGCCGTTGGTTGGTATCGGATTACCTAACCCATCTTCCAGTGCATGTTTTTCCTCTTGGTGCTGATTGCAGTATTGTTCCAGATGTACTTAGTGGACTTATAGCTTACAGGTGTGCTTATCGCCATCACCGCCTTTACATCGGTATTCCTATGGCTCGAGTTCCTATAGCTCACGGAGAACCCTTACTGTTATCTCATCTCGTCTTACAGCCGCGTGGATGTGAGTGTCTTGCGGGTTGAGAATGCGTAAGGGAAAGGCCCTAGTGATAATAGCGCTATTTTAATGATTCATATATGTACACCTGGTAAGCTTTGCTCTTAACCTATCTTTTTTTATAGCTGTTTGGATTACACATGATTAAGAGCGTTTACAGCATTGTCACTACCATTTTGAGCGTCATGAAAAGGATCAGAGTATTCTTCATCGCCTTTGAGGGCACTATCCTCGCATTCCTGCATTTTCTGTGGACCTACACCTCAGAATGTCACAAGAGCAGTAAGGGAAAATCCATATTGATAGTTTTTTTCCGCGTAAATTTGCCACGGCGTCTTCTGCCACGTATTCCCTCATGAGCGGACGCTGCGATCTCGTGGGTGGAAAGTATGTACCGAAGGATACATCGCTGGATTCCAAATGTGATCTACTACTATACGGCCGCATCCAGGCAGGTTCAGGAGTATCACGAAAAAACCCTTGAGGAATTGAACATAAATCACGTACTATGGCTTCAGTAATATCATCGACGTTCGAAGACGAATCCGATCTGATGAAGCTACTTGGCGAGTTTGCATCCACAACACAAGTGGCTATGGTGACATGGGAGAGAACCAAGGATAATGAAAAAGGGAGGCCATGAGGGGTTATAGATGAATATGGACTAGTTGCAGACGAATATAGAGTAATTTCAGCAGGAGCCGCTTCAGGTCCAGCTGAGGGACTTGATAGAGCTCCTTCGGCGGATGAAGCATTGGCATGTGTCTTGTGCATTATGGCGTATCGTCGGTTCCAGCTTTTTTTTTTTTTTTTTTCTTTATGCTGCCGATTAGCTCAGTCAACCATAGTAGGGTTCAAGCCTCAGACCCCATAATATAGTGATATCATGACGCATTGTATTATTAAACACGGACTTCTGGATCGCATGGTGTGGCCTGTTTCGATGGATGAGCAGATCATGGATCTCGATTTAGTCAGCCCAGCTAATGGGGAACGGTGAAAAAAATCGATCATCAGGTCGCCCAAGCACGAGAAAAAAAATTAGTGGCGCAAAAATCCCCTCGCGTCAAGATCCCTTAGTACCAAATCAGCGGCACCAAAAAAAAAAAAAAAAAAAAAAAAAGAGCCTTTGTGGGTAACCAGGGTCCAGACACCATAGTAAACCAGCGTCCTCGCACCAAAGCAGCAGTACTTTGTTAACAGAACACAGTTGTGTTACATCTTGTGGTGTATGGGTGTATGAGTGCATTCGTTTCAACGGAGTCGATTTTCGCACAATTCCAAATTTCCTTTTTATCATGCTGCAGCCAATATGCTCACAGGTTAATGCAGTCGTAGGTCCATGCGGTTCAGTGAAGCCGATATCCAGATCATGAACACCATAGAAAATCAGGATCATATTTTCAAGGACACGTTCATTATGGAAGTAGTAGACACCCTCAAATGGCGCGTCAAAAGGGCATCATGTGTTAATGCTGAATGTAGGGTTTCTATACGCGCATATTTGATTTGATGGTGAGATTGTTTGAGCCCTGTGGTTCAGTTGTTTACACAATGGAAGATAGGCCAATAGGCAGATTGACGCCTGTCAAGATTTATTAGAATCTGTTTCTCTTCCTACAGATTTACAGATTTACAGATTTACAGATTTATGATCCGTGGACACTTTCATGAAGACGAAGTGGAGGAGTCCCCGGATTATGTCCATGGAATCTAAGAGATCCATAATCACGCATATGATAGCTGCATGCATACATGCGTGCGTGCGTGCATGCAACTACCAACAGGAGAGCCCCAGTTCTGACAAAATATAAAACCAGGCAGTCGAGTTCTCTACTCACTTCACTCAATGCACTGTGTTTTGTTCGTAATAGACTAAAAAGAAAGGGCTGCCCAATTTGTGTTCCACGGACCGCGATAGGACACGCGAGTTCGGCAAGATAAACAAAGCAATAACAACAAAAAGTCAGGACAACATACGGATAGTAAATAGAAATGATTTGTGCCATCATGAACAAATAAAGAACTCGTGGATATATAGATGCAAGAGATAGATGGAGGGCGGAGGATCCTCTGGGCAGTCTGCACTGTTGGAGAAGAGGGACGCCTGTCGAGCAAAAAGATAACATAGCCTGGAGCATACGAGAGCAGAGTATATGTAATGAAAACCGTTTACAATAATAAATATGGGCGATGAAAAGCTCTCTCTCACAGGTAAACAAACTGGAGTCTGCCAGTTATCACCAAGGCTATCTCGAAGGAGAAGGAGGTGCAACTGTCTGGTAGACAAAGAGTGGAGTGAAAATCAGTCCCATTGAGAGGTTGAAGCAGCTTATTGGCATGCTATCACGGGATGACATGGCATGGTATTATTAGGCACGTTGTCTCCACATGCATCGAGAGGGTGCCAGGAACCAGGGGTACCAGGGGCGCCAGGGTGAAGGGCACACTGAGCTAGGCGAAGACACTACCCCACGGGGGTAGGGGATACAAATAGAGTTTTAATATAATGAAGAGCGGGCTTGACACGCCAGGCACCTGTGTTGGCGTTTCATCTTTATTTTTCTCTCACTCACACTCGCCCACTCAGCTCTCTCTCCCTTGCCTTCACGCTCTACGCTCACGCTCTCCGTCTGCTCTTTTTGCCTGTCTACAAATATTATCGAGCAAATAAAATAGCAAATAGCCGAACAAACAACCACCACACAATCCACAATATCATTCTATCATATTATCATATTATTGTTATTGTTATTGTTATTGTTATCGTTAGTCTATCGTTGATACTACTGTATACTACTGTATACTACTGTATACTACTGTATACTACTGTATACTACTGTATACTAGTAACTGCATACTAACAGCACACTGCTGCATCGTCTTCCCTCCCTTCTCTTGTTTTTTTGCTTGCCTCGGCCATTTGCTCCTCCCCTTTTGTTGTACCTGAACCAGTGGATGAAAAACATACTGGTCCACCAACTGTACCTGCACCAACTGTCCTGTACCTGCACCAACTGTACTAAACTGCACCCTCCTTAGTCTCATCACACTTCACCTCCGCCTCTCCCTTCCATCACCTCCGCCTCCTGCTCGGATTCCCTTCCCCTTCCCCTCCCATGGACCTGCTCTCGCTGTAGCTTCTCCTCTCTCTCTCTCCAGTCTTCCAGTTTATTCTTTTTTTTATTCTTTTTTTCTTTTTTTCTTTTTTTTCTTTTTTTTTTCTCTCTTCAAGACTTTGTCTCATCTCGTGGACCAACGCACGACAATCAGCTACCCAGGTACTTGTATGTGACCGAATCAGCCAGAAACAACCAGCAGCAGATTCGGAGAACTAATCCCTCGACCTTCGGGCCCTCAATAGGACTAATTCTCAATGCAGCTGCACCAACACCAGGGGACATCAAGGACATCGACTCGGCAATCCCAATTGACCCAGGATCACTCTCCTCGATCAACACCTATACCCGGCTCGCTGTCTTCACAGGGCCACCCTTCACACTTTAATTATCATATCCCAACTACCACCACCGCCAAAAGCAATTGCAACAGCAGTCTGAACATAGGCAAGGAACCATTCGCTGTGCAAGGAACGCTGGAGTCCTCCTCTGCCGATAAGCAGTACAAAGTCCTGGGAATCCAAGCTGCTGAGACTATGCCTAGCTCAATAAACAGCGGCCAGAAGGACAGCAACCAGCCCGATCACTATTCTCCAAACGACGCCAGCTTCTTTTATTACAACATCAGCAAGGCCAGCACCAGCACCATAAACGGCAACGGCAGTGGGAGCAATCCGCGTCAAGCCTCGTCCTCGTCCTCGTCTTCGTCCTCGCCTTCGGCTGCCTACAGGCACCATCAGCAACTCCTTCATCATCAGCGCCAGCGTCTGGAGAACGACAATAGCAGCAAGGACGCGTACCACCAAGGTTCAGACTTGACATCCATGACAACCGACGACGAGACCTCATCTGCAGCCAGCTTTCGTCAAAGGCCACGCAAATTGAGTAAAGCAGGATCTGTACCATCACCCCTCGGTGATACATCGTCGTTTTCTAGCATCAGGGACGGCACCTCCAACACGCTGTCAGCATTTTCTTTTCTTTCCTCAGGTGAAAAGGGCACCAGCAGTGCCAACGTACCGGACGTCAATGGAGTATCGCCATCTCAACTCCGCGTCCGACATCTGGAGCGAGATTCGGCTTATGCAGGATATCTCACAAAGTTCTCATCCAGGACCTTTTTCTCCCGCAAACAATGGAAGCGACGATATTTCATCCTGCACGAACAATCGCTTTATTGCTTCAAATCCTCAGACCCACAACATCCGCTTCTCGAGTCGCTAGTCCTCTCACCCGAAGCTATCATTTGTGTCACGGACATTTTCTCAGGAAAGCGCTACTGTCTCCAGATCTCCTGTCCTGGAGAAAAGAGCTGGTACGTGCTTGCAGACACGGCTTCCGAAATGTCAGGCTGGCTCAAAGAGCTCAAGAATACAGTGCACCGTGTCCGAAATCTCCAGACTGACGGACAAGGAACAATCTATTCAGGCTTTTCTGAGATTACGGAAACATCGGGCACCTCAGCTACTGCGCGAGTACCTTCCGTTCCTGCCATTCCTAGTCAATATGGGCATATGCACCGCGACTCAAGATTTATGGCCGGCGCGCTATCTGCGACTTCTATGCCCCCGCTTCATGGCCAGACTTCAAGCTACAGTCAACATCAGGATATCGACTTCTACCAGGGACAGGTCACAAGTCTTAATCCGCCTCCGCGCTCCATCACCCCAAAGCCATCAACGCCAACACCCGGATCTGGACCGCAGCGACCTCAGGGAAGTTCTCAGGGACATTCATACGGGACATCAGCACCAGAGCAACCACAGCAATTTCTGCAGCCGGAAATCAAAAGGAGAAGAAACAGCTCGCTCTCATCCGGTCAGCATGTGTCGGATTACGCCAGCTTTGGATCCGTCATGGAGCGTGCAGACGCCATGGCGGACGCACAGAAGGGAGTGCCTTCGTCGTCATGGACAATTCCGGCTAAATCGGAGAGATCGGACATCAACTATGCGACTATTCCCCGCAGTAAACGAGAGTCGACTATATCGACCATGACTGGCATGTCCAACATGTCGTCTTTTCCGAACAACCACAGGACGTCAATGATCTCTGAACAATCGGAATATACTGTCTCGCTCCCTCATCGTAGTGTGCAAAAGCAAGCTGGAATCTCGCCACGGCCTATGAGCCCCGTCTCTTCTCGGCCATTGAGTCCCAGTCTGACGCGATCGAGCCCCAGGAGCTCCCTAGTCATTTCGCCTCCTCCTCGGAGCGTTCACCGGCCGGCTAGTGTATCAATCAGGCATTCGACACAGATTCTTCCGCCACCGCAAATCCTCACCGCAGGCCTCCCTTCGCAGCAGCCTCTCCCAAGCAGTCCATTCACATCAAATCCGCCGACTTCTAGTTTACCTGCCACACCAGAGTCCGGTGGAGACCAGAGTGCTAATGGATCCCTCTCTCGTATCACGAGCATCCGTCATCAGCGGGACCCTGGACTCAACCGGCACAGCATGATCAGTGTGGTCTCAACCTCGGCGAAGTCTGTTGGAGGTACAGGATCGATCCAGGAACGAGTTCAGCGCAGCTCGTCAAGAACAAATGCGATGAGATCAGGATTGCCTTCAACTGGCGGCCCTCCGCTGAAACCGGCTACTGCTACAGATTTGTTGGGCATGAATCGACCTCTTTCCCCAACACCTTCCTTGGCATCAGCACCGACTCTCCCTCTACCAGAACCCCCGCGGACTAGTTCACCAAGTAAAGCAGGCTCTTCACCACGTTCTGTGTCTTCCTCCTCCTCATCATCGTCAGCGACCCAACCCACTGAGGCATCTCGTCGACTTTCTTCTATACCGCATCACCATGAACCCGATCTTCCTATTCCCAATCGCTCCAAGGCTCGCATACGATCACAATCTCAGGAAGCAGCGCTGATCTCTGCAAAACTGGGCGATCTTCAATTATCTCGTCGAGCGACAACGCCCTCGCCAAGACTCAGTGCGGTGCTGACTTCGAGCAAGGAAAATACATCTGCAGGATCTGGGGAGGAGAACGGCAAGAGCAGCAGCAAAGGCAGCAAAGGCAGCAGCGCTCATAGCAGACAACTATCGCTTCCTATTCACGCCATGTATGTGCTGCCTGCTCCTCCCATTGGTCAAGCACCTGTTCAACCACCAGCATCAGCCAGCTCTTCTCGTCCCTTATTGCAGAGGCCATCCGGATCCAGCTCAGCACTTCGGCCCATCTCATCGTCGATGAATAATGTGGCCTCATTAGGGGGTGGTATCGCCAGAAAGTCATCCACCAGCAATTCGGCATCTGGAAGCAAACGGGATTCGACTTTGAATACGAGATTATCTGCTTTGATATCATTGCCCCCAGGACCTACAACTGCGGTGCCTCTCCCGCCAAAAGCGTCTCTGCCTGCTCCACCTACTTCTGCGCTGCCAAAGAAACCGACCTCCGCGAATACGTCCAATACTAAATCAGGGCCGGCGAACGCACAGACAGGATTCGGTGCTATCCTAGAGGAAGAGGAGGACGACGAGGAGGACGACGATGAGGATGATGGTGACGAAGAGTATGTATCGCGGCTACAGTTTGAGGAGCTTGAGGCAGCCAGGGCCGCTGCAGAGCAGGGTCTTGATCCGGACAGTAATGTCACTACTCCAACCACAGCAGCACCACGAGAGTACTATGCGACCAAAGAGAGCAAGGTTGTAGAGTACATCTTCCCTAGCGAGTCCTTTACTGCATAGACAGGCAATGCCTTTATTCTAGCCCTTCCTTGTGTCTTTTGTACTATCTTCATCATGTTCATCCGCATTGTTCCTTCTCCAAATACCATAATTAATATAATAAGTTTAACTGCCTGTTCTTCTTCGTGTGACTGTGCGCATGGTGCCCTCCACAATGGTCTATGACGACGTGTTCTCTTGCGCAAAACTCACCATACCACCGGCTTTGAATGACCAAGGCGACATTACCAGCATGGGCGACACATTCAATGAGCTTCTTTTCTCGTTAGCTGCCAGGGCTGCGGATGACCACGAGGATGACGGCAGCAAGGAAAGCACCAGCCTACTACTGAAACGAGGTGTGACCGCACACAGCGACAGCGAAGCGGAGCAGGAAAGCGATAGCCGTCGCACCAATATCTCCAGCAGCAATTCCAGTCGCAGGCATGGCAACAGAAGCATGCTCCACTCTATGTATGCGTCACCCAAGCAGACTATCCCGCAGCGGAGACAGTCTTCCGTTCCTGGATCGCCTACTCTGCATGGTGCGCTGAAGGAAACATTGATGATATTGCGTTTGCCACTGTTTTTCTCAATCAAAGATGATCAAACTAGAAGCTAATGCTGTTGCTATCAACTGCTGGGGATGGAAATTCAGATCTTCTGCAGGAGCAGGGAACACCTTCGCCGTTCATCAGTAACATGTCAGATCCATGGGATAAAGATCGTGATGAACCAAGTTTCGATGTAAGGGGAAGAGGTAGTGGCAAAGGTTCTTTAGAAAAATCGCGATCGAGCTCAAGTATGGTTATCGAAGATGCTTCTCCACCCTTGCCCTGGAAAGACCCCAAGAGTCCATTTGCATCTAAAGAGGACCTGAGTTCAAGCCACCGATTCAGCATGGACGCCATATCGGACGGCGGTAAGCAAGATATTAATGAAAGAAGTCTACTCGGAAAGCAATAGTTCTAGTGGTTACTCATGATCCTGACTATCTTTTATTTTCTTTACAGCTTTTGTAATGCCAGCGAGCCTCTCTGACTCACAGCACCTTCCACCATTGGCGGAGGCGTCCACCAGCGCTTACAGCAATCCAAGCACGAGTACATCAGCTGAGCCAAAGAAGAAAAGATGGGGCCCTAAAGGGCAAAGGGCGACATTAGGCTCGGTATCGGTAGACGATTCCTCAAAGCACCCACCATCCGCTTCAGCTTCGACCATAGAAACATCCTCTCCAATAATAGCGACCCATCCCATAACTGGATCAGAAGTCTCAAAAGCATCACAAACACTCCCTGATGAAACGTCAGCAGCAAATTCAGCCAATAATTCGTCCGCCAAACCATCTACATTTGGCCTTCATACATTTTCAGGACCAGGGATGGGCATTGTCTCTGGACTGACGTCGCTCAAAAATTCGATCATGATTCCTGCCATGTCCTCTACAGCACACAGGACCGAGAGGACCAAGGGATCCCAGGCGAGTTCCTTGACCGCCTCCCAGAGTAGCCTCCTGGACTTTGTAGATGAGGACCAGCCACCATTACAGTCTCACCGACATCAATCTATGTTATTATCTCGTCCAGAATCGCCTGGATTGTTGCGGAGCAGGTTTTTAAAGACGGCGAACGACCTAGGATCAGGCAGTTTGATGCTGGAAAGAAAAAACAACGATTCGAGGAAGGAAAGCAGGGATAGCCGCGTTGCTAGAACCAATACCCATCATTCCACATTTGGTATTACCTCGGAGCACAGATCGACATCGTCCATGTCCACGACTTCACAGCGGTACTCGAGTAGCCGGGGTCATGTTTCCAGTAGCAACAGTGCTACTCATTCGCTCTCGCTACTCGAAACAGAATTCCAGCAGCTGATTATGAAACAGGGTCAGCTTTCTGCACACAAGATTGAGCTCTGCAAGGAGCTGCTCTCGCTCTACAGTCGTCGGAATACGAACGAACAACGACAAGAGGAAGCGACGCGAACAGAGCAATTTGAGGAGGCGGATGTAGCAGCAACGACCATTCGCCTTATCCATGAGCGTGTCCAAAAGGTTGAAGGAGCATACATGGAGACGGACAGAGCACTTTGGAAGAGTAAGAAGCGACAGGACGAGCTGAGCAGACAGATCGCCGATATGCAGCAGGCCGTGATGCATGAGATGGACCAGATGCGCCAGGAGAGAGAGACGGAAAAGGGGGTTCGTCGGATGGAGTTACAAAGGGTTCGGGAGAGCGAGATGGAACGGATTCAAGGCGAACGGGACGAGGTTGAGAAGGAGAAGAGCGATATTGCTCTTGGACAAGATTTCTTGGGAAAGAACGAGGCCGAGCTGCTGGAAAGGATGGAGGAGGAGACTAAGACAGAGCAGGATGAGATGGACGACTTGATTGAGAAGCGGAATGCCACTCGAGTAGGTTCAGCTTTTGTGGGAGGTGCTTCCCTTGTGATTTATATTCTGATCTAGATACTAAACGTATTTTTTTTTTCTTTCTTTTCATTATATGTCTTCTCACACATGGGAACAAAATAGACCGAAATCAAAGAGTTGACGAGGAAGCTAGAACAGCTCAGGAATCAGGACAAGGAGTATGGTCGTAGCATTAACATCCTTCAGGGCAAGATCGCTGTCATTGCTCAGCAGTTTGACGGACTCGCCAAAGAGGTTTCGCGCGAGAAACGCGGGCTGGAGCGTCGTATGACCGAAGTTCAAGCCAAGACTCAACATCTCGACCATCAGGAATCCAGCGTCCTGAAGGCTGTGCACGAGGCAGAGGCCACGCAGGAGGAGATTGCGAGTGAGATCCATCAAATCAACTTGCAACGCGATCGGCTGGAGGAAGTGCGCCGGCTGTTTGAGGGCGAGCAGGCGATGATCCAAAAGTTGCGATTAGAGGAGGAGGAATTCAGGGAGAAGGAGGCCGGGTGGAACATGCGGGCGAGCAGTCTGGGTGAGGGTCTAAAGAAGTATGAGTCGCAAATCGAGGCATGGACGAACCAGAGCGTAACAGATCAGAAAGCCATTACAAATCTCGAACTGGATTTAGATGCGACTAAAAAACGGATAAGTACAGTTGAGACGCTCAAGACGCTCTCGATTCAACGGCGCGATTTTAAACAGGCTTCACAGTGTTCAGCCGAGCTCGCAAAGTGTAGGGAGACGATAGCTCAGCAGCAGACAGAGCTGGATAATTTGACCTCCAAGATGAATGGACAGGCGCAGAAGCAGCTCAAGAGCCTTGAGAAGGAATATGAGGACGCAAAAGCGCTTGCCAAGAGCGAGGAGGACACTCTGTTTAAGGAAATCCAGACTGCAACCACGGAGGCCCTCGATCGAATCAATGCTTTAACTTCAGATACAGCGGAAGAGCAAAAGGACAGCCACGACGCAGCGATGAATGGCGCATCTGCAGAAAGGCCTGACGACTCTAAAACAAGGACAGTATCGAGTTCCACGGGTCAACTGTCCCGCCGACTACTGAACGAGATGCGTAGCGAGATCGAGAATGTATGTGCGATTGCACGGATCCGCTTCGGCCGTGAGGAACCTGTTTATGTGGTCAGCAGCCAATCCACAGGAAATTTATCGTCTGGCTCAAATGCTGCACTGAAGACAGATTCGGTAGAAAGTGTACAGGAACAAAGGCAGCGACTAGAGCGAGATATTGAGGCTGCGGTGGCCGAGGAAGACTACGACGCAGCAGGTAATATGTCATTCTAGGATGTTCTCGTTGACGGCGGAAAATAGTGCTTGGAATATGTACATGAAAACGGGGAAATTCTAAACAAAAGCACTTTCCACCTATTGTTTGAACTACTTGTAGCCGAGCTTCAGATGCAGTTAGACGCCCTTTAGACAGATAGCAGGATACTTCTGCACGGTTCTCGTTTTTGTTTGCATCCTCTGCAGATGCAGCCTGACTCAACCACAACACCTTCAAAGGCATGATACAAAAAAAAATATACGAAAAGAACGGGGCGCAGGCAAACATTGTTATCGATTATTCAAGGGTTATATAATCGTAGCCACTACATACGAAAAGGCACCCGTCTATGTTGATCGTTGGATATGGCTGCCCAACGTCAGGCCCAGTCGGCACCCAATGCTGGGAGTACTCGGCGGTCACCTGATATCTGCTCAATGATTGGTGAATCCGTTCCCCGCTGACTCAAAGCACCGGGCTGGCATAAAAGCACGCCTTCGCTGCACGCTTTGTCCTTCTGCCCTTCTTTTCTCCATCTCTCATTACTCATCCATTCCTTCTTCCACTTCAGAGTATCTTCTTCGATTCTCTCTTGAAAGAGATTTCACTTTTATTCTTCCCACGCATAAAAAAAAAGGAGCCCTTCAACGAGGAGCAATACGCACAAAAAACAACAATATTATTCAGGCACACGATACCACCGTTTTATTTGATTCGCCATGTCTGCATCCGCTACCATCAAGACCGGCATTGCCCTGCCACCCAAGAGTCCTCACAAGTAAGGCGCCGAACATGCTCGTTTCTTGCGGTGCTCTTCGTAATTGATATTATTATACATATATGTCTAACCAATTGCTCGTACTTTGATCCACACATAATGGAACCCAAGGGTTCCAATCCCTGGCGAGCGTAACGTTCTGATCACGTCGGCCTTGCCTTATGTCAACAACGTGCCTCATTTGGGTAACATTATCGGGTCCACCCTCAGCGCCGATGTCTATGCCAGGTAACGTGTTTTCTTTTTTTCGATGGGAAAGCCATGAAGCTGTGCATATTGACTAAAGACGAATCGAACTACTTAATTAATTCAGGTACCAGCGTGTACGCGGGATTAACGCGTTGTACATCTGCGGTACAGACGAGTACGGTACTGCGACAGAGACGAAGGCCCTGTCGGACGGAGTGACCTGCCAGGAGCTGTGCGACAAGTACTATCCCATCCACAAACAGTGCTACGAATGGATGGAGATTGATTTTGACAAGTTTGGAAGGACGACGACGGAGGAGCAGACAAAAATATCTCAGGATATCTTTTTGAGATTGTATGAGCGTAACTTGCTCGTCGAGAAGTCTCTGCTCCAGTTGTACTGCAGCCAATGCGACAGGTAATTTTGGGGAAAAAGAAATATGTTTTGATTTGGTTTATGTTGATCAAGCAGGACCTTTGAAAAGCTGACTGTGTAATGGATTTGGACTGTGTTAGATATCTTGCAGATCGCTTCGTTGAGGGAATCTGCCCAAAGTGTAACTACGATGTAAGACAGCGTTTGCATACCTTGAGGAGTGCACTAGCCTTGGAATACTAGCCGCAACAACCGTACCTAACCCATGCACTTTTTCATATCTATTATACAACAGGATGCTCGCGGCGACCAGTGCGACCAGTGCGGTAACCTGTTGAACGCGATCGATCTTATTAACCCCCGCTGCAAACTCGACGGCAACCGCCCGGTGCAAAAGGAATCAAATCACCTCTTCCTGGATCTCGAAAAGCTGCAGCCCCAATGCGAGGCATGGTTCGATAAGGCCTCGACCGAGGGTCATTGGTCTGCGAACGGCAAGGTCATCACTCAGTCCTGGTTCAAGGAGGGTCTGAAGTTGCGCTGCATCACCCGTGATTTGAAGTGGGGAACTCCTGTACCACTCAAGGGATGGGAGGGCAAGGTGTTTTATGTCTGGTTTGATGCCCCAATCGGATATCCCTCGATTACGGCGACGTATACGAAGGAGTGGGAGAAGTGGTGGAAGAACCCGAAGGATGTCAAGTTGTACCAGTTCATGGGGAAGGATAACGTGCCCTTCCATACTGTGATCTTCCCAAGCACGCTTATTGGAACTGAAGAGGAGTGGACTCTCTTGGACAGCCTCAGCACCACTGGTATGTTCGTTGTTGCGTTATATGAATTACTTGCGTCTGTTGCATATCCGATACTAATCCCATTGTTTTCGATAAAACAGAGTACTTGCAATACGAATCTGGCAAGTTCTCAAAGTCCCGCGGTGTGGGCATCTTTGGCAACAACATCCAGGAAACCGGCGTCCCTCCCTCAGTCTGGCGCTACTACCTCCTCTCGAACCGTCCGGAGACGAACGACTCCCACTACTTATGGAAGGATTTTATTGCACGTAACAACAACGAGCTGTTGGCGAACCTTGGTAACTTTGTAAACCGAGTGATCAAGTTCGTGAATGCCAAGTACGACTCTGTTGTCCCTGCACTCGAGAGCGCGGCGGCACCGACGGACTCGGACGAAAAGTTGGTCCGGGAAGTAAACGAGAAACTAAAACTATACATCGAGGCTCTGGACAGTGTCAAGATCCGTGAGGGATTGCGTCTGGCGATGGAGATCTCAGCTCTGGGCAACGTGTACCTCCAAGAGAACAAGATTGATAACACGCTCTTTGCGGAGCACAAGGATCGGTGCGACAGGGTGGTGACCACGGCACTGAACTTGATCTACTTGCTCTCGGCGATTCTCTTCCCTTACATGCCCTCGACTTCGGACTCGATCGTCCGTCAGCTCAACGCTCCCCTGCGTCTGTTGCCCGAGGAGCTCACGGTCGACGCGATCCTTCCGGGACATGTGATCGGCAAGGCCGAGTACCTCTTCAAGCGCATCGATGAGAAGATGGAGGACGTTTGGAGAAGCAAGTACGGAGGCAGCTCGTCCGAGCCTGCACCCGAGGACAAGAAGAAGAAGAGGAAGGCTGCCGCCAAGGCTGCAGCTGCCCCCGCTCCAGTCTTTGAGGGCGAGAAGCCAGCAGAAGTTCTTGCTCTCGAAAAGCGGATTGAGGAGCAAGGCGCCCAGGTCAGGGACTTGAAGGTGGCCAAGGCCGAGCCAGCCGTTATCCAGGCTGAGGTCCAGACCCTTTTGGGACTCAAGAAGGATCTTACGGACCTCTTCGCCAAGCTGGCCATCTAAAAGTGAAATGACAAGGAATAGACACTTTTTGTCTGGGACATCCTTACAATAAATACAAACGAGGGTGTAATTTGGTGTTCTTTTGTATTTGTTTATAGATGCAAGTACATCTCTTTGCTCGATCTTGTTGCTACAACTCTCTCTCTCTATTTCAACATGACAATCTGCCTGCAAGACTTTCCATTTCTTCTTCATGTCCTCGTCAATGATCAGCCTGCCAAAAGAATGCCGCCGAAAACTACTTGCTCTCGTCGTCCTTTTTATCCTCATCCTGCTTTGCCTTGTCATCCTTTGGTTTGTCCCCCGTATTGTTCGAAGCGGACGAAAAGCCCTGGAGGACATTCTGGATACGAGGGTCGGTTGTGTCCACACCCGAGAGCGATCCTAGCACCGAGTTCATGAAATCGGGGTCCTGCATCGCCTCGTCAAAGTCGCCGCCCTTGTTTGCTGAACCTGCTGATCCATCGTTTCCAGTCATCGACATCTGGATTGCCCGTTGCATCTCCTGTTCTTCTGTTAGTCCCTCCATATCATGATCGCCCTACAAAAACATAAAAGCGTATTCAGCGGAAGAATATTGTCCACAAAGCCCAGGAATATGAAATAATAATCAAAGTAAACCGAATATTAAAGAGAGAGGAGAAAGGTAACAACAACTTACATCTGCCTGCGACGAAGCCAAAGCCTGTGCCAAAAGGTCATCGTCCGTCACCATAGCACTGCCAGCTCCTCCTGCAGCCGTTGCCGCAGCATCAGTAGACCCAGTGGCAGCACCAGTGGACGATGCATCAGCTCCGCCCTCAGTCTTATTACCACCACTTGCAGCCTCCTGACGGGCACGTTCCTCCTCCAACGAGATCCTGAGAGCCAATGCCAGTTCGGGATCCAGATTGGGATCGACCCCAAATTCGTACGACCCTCCGCCACTCGAGACATACGCTGGTGCCGAGCCGTCCTCTCCTGCGACGATCGAAGAGCTCACTAGCACATCGCTCAACAGATGGGGGCCAGGTGGAACCGTCACCAAATTGCTACGGAACAAAACACGCGATGAAAAGTGTAATGAAAATCGAGATATGAGTCAAGCGATCAGCAAAATGGAGCAATAAAGATACAGGATAAGTTTCCGGTCCTTGCTGAAGCCATACCTATTGTCGTTGTTGTTAACGGCGGCAACAAAAGCTTCAAGTTTTGTCGTGTTCTCGGCCTCCTCTCCGAAATTGATGACATCGACAGCAATGTTGTTCTTCTTCAGCTTCTTCGCCAACTTGACCAGCGTCTTCTCGTCCTCCTCCACGGGACTTCCTACAAACACAATGATCCGCTGTCTCTGGTTCTTGTTCTGACGATGCTTCAGCGCAAGCTACCGATTCCATTTGCCATAAAGAGAAGAGAATAGAAGTCGTCAGAACGCAACGAAACTTGGATATAGGTACAACTCTAGGTTTTAAACAAGACGAGCAAACCGGTTCGATTTAGTCGTACCTGTGCAATCTGAACACTGGTTGTAAAGGAGACCTGACCACCGATGGCGACATTATGCAAGGCTGATAAGATCTTGCCAATATCCGATGTAAATGTCACCAGCACCTTGGGACTAATATACATAAAAGCAATAAGACGTATTGAAGATTAGTAAAACACGTCCTTCGCCTCCAACAACCTCATTTGCGAGTGGAGATGAGAAGGATGAACGGGGACATACCTCTTTCCGGCCATGGTCATCAAACTGACCGTGTTCTCGGGATTGGACTGAGTTTTGGCGCCAAAGATTAGGTTGACAGCATCGGCCTGTGCCTCCAGACGAGTCGGTGTGTAGTCTCCGCTGTGGAAGGTAACAAAGGAGATCGAAAGACGTTAGGACATACATGTCAGGGATCATGTGTGCAAGAGGGAAAAAAAAGGCAGTTTTTGACTTACTTTCTCATCCATTCCGAGTTGTCGAGCCTGTGGGTCGGTGGCGAGAAAGTGCATACAGAGGAAAGAGAAAGACAAAGACTCATCAGCTTTTGCGCTTTCGAATGAGCGCATATCCATGCTTTTCTTTCGTCGTGAAAGTCGCTTTGATCTCCTGGGTAATGATGGAATAGGTGGTACAGTTGCTTACACCAAGATAGAAGCCTCCAGAACCATGGTTGAAATATGTGTTGTTTTATCTGCGGTTGAAGAGTTTGTTGTAACTGTCGCTGCTTTGCACTCGTTATTGTTTTCCTGACTTGAAAAGGAGCTTCCGAGTTAAAAAGGCGAGTTGAATGACAAACTAAATGCCGAAACGGTTGTCTATCCTGAACTTGGTTTTTCTCAGTTCTGTATCAGGCGGAGACGAGTGTTGGTTGAAGACGGAAAAAGAGGAAAAGGTGGAGAGAGTAAAGGTGTGCGTAATAAACGAAAGAAGAATGGTCGACTACATGCAAACGCGCCTTTGAGCTCGTGCTGGCTCAAAATGGAGCCAGAGGGAACACGTAAGGTGAAGGATATGCGATCCGCGGGGCTACTTTTGCGTAGTATATATAAAATCCAACTTTATTTGGTAAAAAAAAAAGTGGAATGTATTTACAAGTTGCTGGTTCCAGAAATGAAGAACCACTTGTCGACCGAGGGATCGATGGGGGCAGCGGGCTTGTGCGAGGCAGTAGGGATGGCCTTGATAACATCGTCATCGGCAGAGACCTTGTAAGGGCTATCCTCGACCGCGACGTTGCTCCTGTAAGGATTAAAACGATAAACCAGATGCCATTAGTAAGGGTTCTTAGTTCCGATGCCAATAGTCTAATGGCAAAGATGATGGAGACGTACACCTGAATATCGTAGGCCTCAGCCTTAGAGGGGATGGCACCCTTGATCAGACGCTCCCAGGCCTCGCGAGTCTCCTTGATGATATCGAGGGCGTACTTCTTGTTCTTGGCCTCACCAGAGAAGGCGAACTGGTTCTCGGGCTTGCCATCAGGGATCTTGTAGATACGGAACCACTCGTTGGTAGCACGGATGAGGCCAGGAAGGTGACGCTCGACATCCTCAATGTCGTTCAGCTTGTTGGCAAGGGGATCGTTGACATCAATCACGATGATCTTCCAGTCAGTCTCGCCTACATATACCATACATTAAGTTAGTCATAACGTACTTTGGACTCCAAACAATGTCAAATAATATAGCCATATCGCGGCGGCATGAAAAAGGAAGGTGGCAAAGTCAGCCCAGCTTACCCTCGTCCAAAAGAGCCATTACTCCGAGAACCTTGACCTGCTTGATCTGACCAGTGTAGCCAACCTGCTCACCGATTTCGCAGACATCCAAGGGATCGTTATCACCGCGAGCCTTAGTTTCGTTGTGGGACTGGGTGGGATCCTCCCAGGTCTACAGCCATTTTAAAGAAATACGAAAAAGGCAGAAATTAGGGCAGGCATTCGGTTGGAGAGTAGCCGAGGGCACGATCAGTTAGCTCCTCTCCCTTGACCATGGGAAAGTTAAAAATCCGAAATCATACCTGGGGAAGAGCACCGTAGTTCCAGATGTAACCGTGGTGGGGGAAGCAGTTGCGGACGAAGCGGAGCTTGCCCTTCTTGACATCCTGCTTAATGGGGTTGAGAGGCTCGTCCTTGGAGATCTCCAACTTTGCATTAGACCAGCGGGGGATCTCGACAATCATGTTGAAAATGTTGTTAGCCTTGTCAGCGTACAGAGGGACGTCATGGAAGGCCGAGATAGGGACACCGTTGCGCTCTGGAAGTCGACGAGAAATAGCATGTGGAGTCAGGTTAGAGGACTTTTTCGTATTCTTTTACTCCTCGAAAGATGGTGTCAGCAGCGGCGCGCTATTTCCGTGTTCCAAAGTGAGTATGACAACGCAAGAAGACGGTTTTACCGATGAAGACGCGGTGTTCGAGAGTGTTGGCAGCACCAACGACGCGAGTAGAGAACTCAGACATTGTTGTTGAGAGAGGAGAGTGGCGATGAGGAATGAGGAGATGGTTGATGGAAAGAGAGAAGAAAGAGAGAAAGAAAAGGAAGAGAGAGGAAGGAAGTAAAATGGTCAGGGGGCAGTGGAAGACACCGCGTCTGTTCGATTCGCTTCGCGGGATGTGATAGGGTAGAAAATGGACTGTCTTTTTCCGATGGGCCAAAGGGACTTCTACCCCTCAATCTTGTGCATGGCAGATATGATTGCCAATGTCCTCTTTTGTGTTCTCGTTGTTCCTTCCTGTCGTTGTTCCTGGGGAGAGGAGCATCCATCGAGGGTTCTTCTTCTCCTTTTCTACGTTTAAGATATGAATAAAATAATTGAAGCCGTGAATGACGTGATTCCAGGCTGATCTGTGTCTGTATTGTGGGGTTCAAAATTTTTTTTCTGCAGTACTTTTTTATCTTAGCCGGTCAATCTGTAGGCGTCTTCTTTTCATTCCTTTTCAGTCCATTGGCTGATTACACGGGAGCATAAAAAGGCATTGGTAGACAACGCGTCGTTCTTTCCTAGATCGGGTCTTCTACTGCTGCCCACTTAAAAATATCACAAGTGGTTTGCTACTGTGCTCTGTTTATCTCCCGGATTGGCTTGGATGGCGTTCCTTTAATCCTTTTGATCCTTTTTGCTCTGTAATCTCCTCTCAATGGGCAGCCAAGCGAGTGTATGTACCCATACTTACTAGGTCTATCCAAGTCAACGACGCCTCTAGGTGTATCTCTTCAACTCTTCACTAATGGCACTAGCCATCAAAGGAGAAATGTACTTCGATTTGGTTTCTTCATATCTCGCTCTTGCTTAGTCCGGTTCCTGGGACGAAGGATATTATTCAGGGACATATCCAATGGGAAGTCTCGATCGTTGAACGCGTACCTTTATTATTTTTTCAGGAACAAGCATTTTTTGTATGGCCATACATAGAAGAAAATACAATGGCCATTCACGCGTTTTGTCCGCGAGCCAGTGGTTGTTTTGCTTATACATATCGAGATGATTTTTGGCCATGAGCGTAAGAGTATTCCCACTCGCGTGGGTTCGTCCTGCATCCAAAAGCAGGATCTAATTGAATGTGTCTACGGCGGACATTATCAACATATCAACGAGAGCACTCATGCTGACATTGACAATGACAAATGCTCTGCTCTGCTCTGTTCTGTTGCTCTTGGCTTGGGGCACCCATCCATCGTGACCAAGTTTTCTATTCACTTTATTCCGTTCTGCCTTTACTGTCTTTTCTGACTACTTCCCGCTCCGCTTCTATGAAGTTACTTGACACTTTGGCGCGATGATGCTTCTTTTCCGCCGTGTGTAGTTGCGCACCAATTCAATGTGAGGAAATGCAAATCGACTGTCGTTTATTACCATTAACAGGCCGTTTGCATGCAGACATACGCATGGAGTATAGACTCTGCCAGAATACATACTTCGGCTTATTAGTTCAGTTTCATTGCTTCCTTGACACAGCCTCTCCTGTAAGTAGACAAGTCTAGCACCGAATGCTTAGCTTGGCCATCCTCACTTGAATTAGATTCTTCGTATGCATGTTAGTACACCATCGAAGAAGCAGAACAACGTGTGCTCTTTTCTTTTTGCTCTTGCTCAACAAATGGTACCTTGCCCTCCATTTTCAATAATACTTTTCTAAACTGTTTTCGTTTCGCCTCGTCTCGACTTCCTTCACTTTGGCTCGACTCCTTGCTCGTGTCCCTCTTTCAACGAGTAGATTCATTTTATCTCTTACATTACCCTACCCTACATTACCTCACATCACTTTTACATCGCATCACCTCACACATCGAGAGACTGAACAACACCAGTCCCCCGCCCTCTTTCCACGTCTACCTCCATTCAACATTCGTGAGGATTGAGACAATTGCTACATCGACCCTAGGGGATAAAAAGGGCACCGATCATGGCCTGGCAACTCAAGAACAAGCGCCTCCAGTCCGTCGGGGCCAGCAGCAGTATTGCCAACCCTGCCCATAGCATCACCGCCGCCTCCGCTTCTTCTGCCTCAAACCACCTCCAGCTGCATCTCGACACGGGCGATGACATGGTCCGCCAGTCCGCCACATCCCAAACTGACACACAAAAGACGACATTCATGCGATGGGTCAACGTTCAACTCGCCACCACAGCCATTTACGGCCCTATGTCCACTATCGAACGGGACTTCCGCGACGGAAAACGACTTATCGGTCTCCTCGAGGTCATCTCGAAGGAACCCCTCAAGCCTGAGCGAGGCAACATGCGCATTCATCAAATGGCCAACGTCTCAAAGGCACTCTCGTTCCTGGAAAAGCGGACGAATGAGCCCTTGGGCTCAATCGGAAACGAGGATATCGTCGATGGAAACGTCAAGTTGACCCTTGGTCTTATCTGGATCATAATTTATCGTTTCCAGATCCAGCAGATTGCCAATACCATGGGCGAGCTGTACCCGTCTATGATCGAGGATATGAACAACATGGTAAGTATTGTCACTCGTGTGCCCCTTGATATTCTTGATTTCTTCCTTTATAGAAACATGGCATTTACCGCCAGGGGGATATGTCAGGGGAGGTTTTTTTTAGTTTATTATTCTCGCTCGAATCTGCAATCTCGAGAGCAATTTCCTTCGCTCCTGGGTACAGGCAATCATTTGGGGAGTTTCTCCACGACTCTCCAGTAACTGATCCACACAATCTGCTTTTTTTTTTTTAAATACGAACGTGTATTAGGAAAGCGAGGAGAGTAGCAACGTAACGATAATAGCAGGAATCAAGCTCAAAAAGAAGGGTGCCTCGCAGCACCAAGTTGACGCCAAACAGGCCTTGCTGCGCTGGGTGCGATATGAGCTCGAGGATTATTCAGACATCATCCCGCCTATCCAGGATTTCCACCGATCCTGGAAGACAGGCCTTGCCTTTGCTGCATTAATCCACCGACACGATCCTCATATCCTTCCAGACTTCTATAACTCCATCCTGCAGGTGCCACACGAGAACATCGATCAATGGCGGAGCACCCTTACGACCGCATTCGATGCCGCATTTGAGAAGATGGCAGTCCCGAGACTTCTGGATCCAGAGGACTTGATCGACATGGAAACACCGGACGAACGATCGGTTATGACCTATGTGTCCGAATATTACCTCATTATGTCAAAGTTGGAGCGGGAACAGGATCCAGCCAAGGCAGAGGAACTGCATGCACAACGAGTTCAGGCCAAGGAAGAGCGTCTGACTGTCGCTGTAGAGGACCAACAGGTAGAATTGCTGAGGGTTCTGGAAGAAGAAGAAATCAAGAAGCGCGAAGAACAGGAAGAGCTGGAGCGAATCCGTCTTCGACGTATGGAAATCGAGGGCTGGTCCATCCGCGCGGCAGAACGGGCCAGGGAAGAAGAAGAGGCGCGCAGGAAACGAAAGGAAGAGGAGGAAGAAAAGAGTCGACAGAGGCAGTTGAGGCGTGAACAACGCGAGCGTGAGCAGGCCAAGCTGCTTCAAAAGGCGAGGCCTCACCGGAGAACGCTGTCGTCTGCAAGTTTCAGCCTACCCGAATTTTCATTTCATGAGGAGGGTGAGCCTGGATTACCGAGAATAGAGGCTGAGGCCATGGATCCGGAAGAACTGCAAAGGCGGCGGGAGGAGTTGGATTCGAAGCTGGAACTTTACATGCAGCAGACCACCGAGCTTCTGGCATGGCTTGCACGACAGGAGGAGGATTTCCCGATGACACCGGATACAGCTGCGCCGTTGGACCGCACAAAGGACATGGAGCCATTCAAGCAGGCGATCGAGAAGGCCGAGGAGCGGCGCCTGAAGAGGGAGAACGAACTAGTACCTAAATTTCATTCTGCACGCGAAGAACTTTTGGATTTCGAATCGCCAGAATTAACGTCGGAACAAGTTGCGGAGGTCGACAGGAACTGGTGGAGTATCGATGCCAGCATCAACACCCTTCGACAAAAGACCGCCAAAGCTAAAGATGCGCTCCAGGAGATGCAATGGATCCTCGAGTGCTCGCAGGAGATCGATCGGATCCTCACCGATATCCAAAGATTCGAGGATCAGCTCCGGGCAGCAGCGGAGAAGCGATCGCAGGACACACTTACGAACCGAGCACAACTCTCGCTTTTAGATCATCAGGACTCGAACCTGTTCTCGATCCGCGTGCTGCTCAAGAAGTATGCGGATATCTTGTCGACCCTACTAGATTCGAATACGTACACTCCCCCGGAACACCTCACGCAAAGCACGACAGACATCTGTGATCAGCGTCTATCTCGACTGCATTCGGATCTGGATAGTGCTCAACATGATTTTGCGAACGACCGTCTGTTGAGGGCTTTCTTGAGCACACTGGATCTGTCGGAGGAATGGGTGCTAAAGAGCGCTGAGTGGCTGGCGAGTCTTAAGGAGCCGAGTTTTGTTTCTGAGGACGTTTGGAAGGGCGGCGACAGCCTTAAGGGCTTCCTGGCGCGGGACCAGGCTCAGGATGAGAACCTGGAGCAATTGCAGTCCGAGATGGACGAGCTCAAGGTCAGGTTGGAAGAGGAGCAGACTAAAGTGGCTGAATTCCGAGCGAATGAACTGGTGAAGCTGGAGGAGGATTCTCAGGCTGTTATCAAGGGCATGGAAGAAACACACGACACCACGACAGAGGATACTACGAAAGCTGTACAGGACATGATGGAGGAATTCACCGATGACCTGAAGAGGATCGAGGTGATGTTACCAAAGGAACAGGGACGTTGTGTTTATGCGATGCGTGTGCTGGATTATCTATTCTCAATGCGTGCTACGCTATCGCATCTCGAATCCGCGTTCAACGCTGTCAACAGCTGGGTGATTACACAGCCGGGCAAGGAAGTCGAGGCTGCCGTCCGTCAAGTGGAGGCAAGCCGTGATCAGCTGGAAACAACATTCAAGGCAGAAGATGTTCAGCCAGTCGTCTGGGAGTCAATTCAGATCCGACATGCGGCATTCTCGAATCTCGTTCGGGATCTGCGTGCGACCTTTGATGAAAAGCAGGATATCCTCAAGGCGAATCAACAGATGAAGGCGTTCTTGGAACTCACAGGGCTATGTCAGACAGCCCTTCGTGAGTTCCGGGCGCAACTTTGGAACGACGCTCCGTTCAAGGGATTTGTGTCCAAAGATGCCACTCCGTTCGAGGAATACGAGGATCTAGTTGAGGGTGTCGGGCAGTCGTTCGATGAATTTGAGAGCGCGGGATATGTAAAGTACCAAGAGGCAGCGGATGCGATGGTAGCCTCAGCAAGCTCGCCTGGATCGAGACAGGATTTGGCGTTGATTCAGACCAAGATTGCAAGTGTCCATCGGCTGTTGAGCGATATCAAGGCTCTGCGAGCGGATCGAGAGCGTGATGTGACCACGATAACAGAATGCCGACGGGTCGCAGGGAAATTCCAGACCCTGGGCTCGGAATTGGAGTCGCTCGAGTCCCGATTTACCGCTTTCGAGATCACGGATCCAGATCAAAGGGGCACCTTGAATGAGCTGATCGAGCGATCGAACCAGCTGGCAAACGAAATCGTGCTTCTGGAGCAGGGCATTATTTACCGATACGTCGCCCGTGACCCGTCTTGCATCCCAATGCTGAAAGAGATCCGGGATCGCCAGACCAATATTCAACAGATGCAGGCTCGACTTCAGTCTGGATTGGAAATCGGGGAGCAATGGGAATTGCTATGGGATCAGTTTACGGACCGCGTCAGAACTCTGCAGCAGTATCTGGATGGTACCGAGAAGAGCATCCTGGACCGCAGGATCGCGACAATCGACGGACTTGCAGACGGTGAGGAGAACTGGAAGAAGAGTGAGGATGAACTGCACGAAGCCGAGGATGCCAATAACCAGACGCTTGCGAATCTGAAGGAGTTCCAGAAGCAGCGGATGTTGGAGCTCTCGAACTTAAAGGTTGCACTCTACCAGTCGGTTCAGCAGTCAGGCGGCATCGAGAGTTTGGACCAGATTCGGGCGAAGCAGTACCATGAGGCGGAGCAGCTACAGCAGAATCTGAAGGTGCATCTTCAGAGACTGTATACTCTGAATAGTCAGGAGGGCTTCCAGTTGGAGATTCTAGGGCAGCGTCTGGTGTGGTCGCAGCAGCTCGCAACGTCCAAAACGGAAGTGGAAGGGTCGATTGTAGGATGCACAGGTAAGCGAATGAGTTTGTGTGTCGATATTCTATGCATATTAGAACATTGGGCTAATCTCATTGGCCTGTTTATCCTTTTACATAGGCATTGTCGAGGAATTCACGCAATTGTTGACAAAATGCGGCGACTCCAGTGATACCTCATGTACGCCGACAGTCTTTTGCGATAAGAACCTCATTAGGGGAGAAGAGGAGGATCACATTTTGCTATCAATATTAAACTAATATATTTTCATCTTCTCTAATAGATCTGAATACAAAAGCGGCAGAACAGCTTCAACAGCAAATGCATCAAATCTCTGCCACTACGGCGACACAAAAAGAGACGACCTTCGATGTGACCCTGACCATCTACGGATCCCTGGCAGAGCTCGCAACGACCCCCGCTCCTGGCGAGTCGCCCGACAACGCCGCCGAAAAGAAGATCCCGCTGCATCTAGAGGTCGAGTTGTACGAGTTCAAGAATCAATACAATCTACTGGACCTGCACCTAGAGTACGCCCGTCAGGTGGTGGATCACGCTGGACTTGTGATCGAGCACGTCCGGAAGATCGATTCGATGGATAGTGGGTTCTTAAGGATGGCGACTGAACTCAAGGCGGAGAAGGAGGCCGACCGGATTACGCTCGAAAAGCTGGATGCGATTCGTACAGAGCTCGAAGAATTGACGGAGGAGGTAAGAGTCGTGACGAAAATGCCGAGGCCGGCGGATAAGATTGCAGATGCTTACCAAAATTCGGGATCATCACAGCCGCGGATTCGTGTGGAGTTGGAGAGGGCGCTGAAGCAGAGGCTGGAGAAGAGTCGGGAGTTGAGTCGGGCGCTGGATCCACTGTTGATTGAGTTCAAAGCGTTGCTGGCGTATCAGGATGGGCTGAGGAAACTGACTGAGGAATTGAACGAACACGATCGGTGGGTAACGAGATCTGGGCAGAAGGTCCAGTTGATGCAGGATCAAATCCGACAAATGTTCAAGTCTTGGCCCGGAGATGAGCTGGAGCAGTTGAAGGCTGCCCAGCATAACGCCGAAGAGTCCATGGTGGTATTTGATGTAGATGAGCAAGTAGTTGTCGACGAACTGGACGTGCTAATCGTAGAAATGGACCGGGAGTTTGCATATGTGCAGCATCAGAAGCAAGGTTACCAGCAGAGCAAGCAAAAAGTCGAGCTGGCGTTGTGCGGCGCGACGGCACATTCGAAGCAGTTGCAGATGGAACTCGAGTGGTATGTCGATAACCTTGCCCGGAAGATCCAGCAACTCGAGACAGATATCCGGACAAAGTCACTGCAACTCCAAGCGCTCGAGAAGCGTGCGGTCTGGGAGAAGGAAATCGAGGTTGCGAGATCATGGTTTAAGGATTTTGCAAAGGCTGTGATTCTCTTTGCGCGTGAGCAGGTCAAATGGCGGGCGAACCATCGGGAATTCGACGATGCAGCTTCAATGCGTTCCGTGCGTACGACGGCCAGTCGGATGCAGATCGATCGGCTGGGATTATCCGTGATTGAATTCGAGGACCAGGTTGAGATTTTCGAGACAGAGTCCCGACCCAGGGTCGATAAGGCCTGGTCGGAGCTGTGCTCGGCCTTGGTGTTCATTGCACGCTCGATCCCGGATGAGTTCCAGAGAAGACAGACGGCCCTGTGGAAGGAATTTGAGGAGATTCGGAAGCAGGTTACTTATAGTGCACAGATTGTAACGCAGCGCAAATCCCTTGAGGAGGTCGCTTTGAAGTTAGAGGAGTTGGAGGGATTGAAGGGAGAGAATGGCGAGAGTGCGCTGTCGATCATGAGCGGTCGGACTGGCCTTGAGATTAAGAGCGTCAAGACGAAAGGTGAGAACCCTGATATTATACTGCTCACTGATGCTGGTAAGATGTCTGGCGTAAACGCGTATTTTCTAACACTTTGTTTAAAATGTTCGTTCTATGAAAATAGGAAAAGGATGGAGTCGGTTCCAGGCTAAGGTCAAGAAACTGACCCGGAGATAATAATAGTGTTCTTATCAATTAATTCACATATACCCCCCCCCTCCCTCCCCTCCCCTCTTCATCCTCAACACCAGAACCATACCAACAGAGTAAAACACCAAAACACACACTTTACGGACGGCCTCTTGGCGGCGAACACCTGGAGGCCATCTTGATGACTCTTTTAATGACCCTTCTAATGAACCCTTTAATGATTTCCTTCTTTCTTTTTCAATAAAAAAAGAGTGTACCAGATAGAACAACAATGAAGCATATGAGGGATTGACAATGAAAATTATGAATTGTAGCATTTGCACGCCTTGAATCTTTGTAATTGTCATTGCGCTATGCATCCTTATTTCATCGCGAGATACGGAAAAGGCGCTTTCAGAAGCAATGGCGCAAATAAAACCCCTTAGAAAAGAGCCACGTCTTTACAAAAGCGTGTCCATGAGCGCTGTCGTTGACGCCTCACGGCGCAGCATCGGCGGTGGCCTCGGACGTTCGAGGGCAGTCGAACTCGCACGGACCATCCTTGGAGGCATGAACCTTGTTGTCGAAGATGAAGATGATGAAGACGATAACGACATTAATGGCGTGGTGTCCGCTCTCGAGGCCGATGCCGAGGATGGGACTGGCCTTCTGTACGGCATATGAGCACGATATGCGTCGCGATCTCGAATACGTCGGCGCATAGGACTTCCAGCTCCTCTGGTTTCTCCAGCTCCTGTTCCTACTTGTTTTCCCTCCACAGAAACTGAAAAATTAGCATTCCGGGGCGGACTCATCAACCGGACTCGATCGATCTGCTGCAGAAGCGAATTTAGCCGCGGCTCCTCCTCGCTCATCATAACATCTTCCTCCTGCAGTCCTCTGCGAGAGTCAGATGTGATTGTGGGTATGGATGTTGTGATAGATGCAATATGGTCTTGATCAGGCTTCAGTACCCTCGTCTCAGAGACCTTGCTTGAGCGAACGCTATCCATTACAGACAGGGACGACTGGCGTTTCAGTAGCGGGACCTTCCTTGGACTCGACGGTCGAGACGTATCGGGCGGCGAAGAGAAAGGAGAGCCGGGAGAGTTAGTGGTCGTGGCGCAATGTCCAGCAGACACTATCGGAAACGACATCCTTGCACGGAGGGCTGGAGAGGTGTCCATGATGGTCTCTTGTTGACTGGACTGCTCAACTTGCGCGCTGCCGTCTTGCTTCTCCGCAGTCGTGGTCATGATCGACGTCGATATTGCTCCGATATCCAACGAGCTAGCCTCACTTGCTTTCGCAAGAAAACCCTCAGTATTGTATACTTGACGATGTTCCGTAGCGGCAGCCTCGATATCAACGATGGTCGGCTGACTCGACGTCCCCGATGCAACCACAGAAGTCCAAGCCCACCATGGCGACAAAGTCAACAGCATCGATGAGTCCTCGGACGGATAAATCTGCTTAAGATCAAACGATTGGTCGTTTCTTCTCTCCTCTTCTTCACCATCATCGCCATCGTCATCGCCATCGTCATCGCCATCGTAGTCCGTCGGATCGTCACCAGTGAAGGACAGTCTAGTTGTGGATTCTCGCCTGTAGTCAAACACCGTGTTCCTGCTTTCGTCAAATCGAACAGTCTTTATGGATCTGGTCATCGTCGCCAGACGCAATTCCACGACAGAGGATTGCGAACAGCCAAGCTGACTCGAATCTTGGGGTGAGGATGAGAACAAAGACGAGGATGGAGACAGGAACAAGGGGGGATGGCAGCCTGTTTCATGGGAAGCTTGATTTTGGTGGCAAAGCGGTGCCAACGATGTCGCATGTCCTTGTCCTTGTTCCTGTTCTTGATCTTCAAGAGCTGTTGCATCTTTTGTGGCTGACATAATTACTACAGATGGCTGCGGAGTAACTCGCTTGGTCTGGCCAGGGACAACCCGCCTCCTCTTTCTTCGACGCTCCTCATACTCGAGCGTAGAAAACTATTTCGAAAAGGGCATACGTTAGTTAGGTACTGTACATTGTTCATACAGGAGGTAACACAGCGCAGACTCTAAATATAGAAATTGGTGGCAAACAAAGGAACAACATTCTCGGCGCATAGCTTATTAAGTATAGTATACATACCTGAGGTGACAGAGAGGGTGAACCCGTAGAGGATGCAGATGACGGTTGCGAGTCCAAACTATCATCTTCGTCTTTTTCATCTCTGTCTTCATTATCTACCTCGCGCTCCAGTTCATTATCAGCCATGTACAGAGGGCTGGCGGAGATGCCCTGTGATCCCAACGAAGGACTCAAAGGCGGCGACTGCGATGGCGGATGCGGGGAGAACGAAAACGGCCCTGGATGTTCAGAGTTGATCTTTTTGGATGTTTCTACATCCGCCACTGTTCTTGCACTCTTTACTGTTACTACTGTTTGATTCAATGGCGCGCCGGTTGCTCTTCTCCCGATAAGGCTGTTAGCCTTAGTATTGGCCTTGGTCAGTCGTGCGAGTTCGACATCCTCGGGTGTCTGCTTCGTCAGGCTAGTGAAGAGCGTCAGTTTTGTTGATCGAGATGGTTGAGGAAGGCTGCCGACGTTGATATTGTTCCTCTCGTTGGCGATGGCATGGGCGGTAGGCTGCGTGCTGTTCACTGCGGCAGTGTTGCTGTTGTTGTTTTTATTGTTGTTACGATCGCTATTGTCGTTGGCCGAAGCTGTGGATTTGCTGTGGTCAGTACCATTCTCGGTGGCAAAGGACGGCTGGTGGGTAAGTGTGCTGGGTGTGAGTGATCTTGCAGGTTTACGCTTTAAGGACGACAGTACTGTCGACGTTGCAGTCACTGTGGGATCGTTTCGATCGCTGTCTGTACCCATGGCGTACGCAGGAGAGGCGATAGGAGAGGGAGGGAGGGAAGGAAGAAGGAAGGAAAGGCAATATTAAGGAGGGAGTGGGGTGGGATAGGAAGACGGAAAGAGAAGAGAAGGAAGAAGAGAAGAGAAGGAAGAAGAGAAGAGAAGGAAGAAGAGAAGAGAAGGAAGAAGAGAAGAACAGCAACATCGACGGCGGGCATGGGATCGGTTCCCTATGCTTTTATACTTCTCATAATTGATGGTTCTAGATGCTTTTGGTAATAAGTGGTCTTAGTGATGGTATTGGTGATAGTAGGCAGACCTTAACGCCAAATGAAATGACGCTTTCTCATTTGCTTCTTCAAACCATCTCCCACGAATATAACCATAAAAGGCAATATTTAGCTATCATCCCCTCCGACGAATATTGCTGTGTGTATAGGCCACCGGCAAAAGGATGCTGGTATGCTGCGTCAACGAATTTCGAACGTCGATATCTTGTTGCAGAGAGTCCAGACTTAGGGCCGCTCGGTCATATACCCCGACCAGACTTGTGGTGGGTCTATAATTTATCTCTTTCTTCCTTCGTGGAATAGTGGAATGCACAGACAGGGGTTATAAGGACGTGTGCAACTCCTTGTTCCACTCAGCAGACATGCAAGTATCGTCACTTGCAGCGCCACAGCCACATTCCTATCCTGTGCATCCGTTGCTGCATGTAAACGCGCTTCATGTTGCACTACTGCGTCCAGTCATCTGAGGATAAATACAAACGAGAAAGGAAGGGATGCATGCAACAATGCATCTCTTTATTGAGTGTTCCTTAATGCACGCGTTCTTGCACGCATTCTTGCCGCGTTCTGATTCTAGAGCAAGAACCAAAAATATCAGAAAACAAAACGATATTAGCTGATGATGCATAATACCATACATCCAATGGGACTCATCCCATTGAGCAAATACTATTTTCCGCGTCGGTTCTTCTTCAGATTTTATCAAAAGTTGTTCTCCTGTTAGGCTCCCACGTCAATTCGTTGCTCCTTCTCAGAGACATACTGGTTCTCACTGCCCTTCACTACTTGCTCTGTACTCATGTAGTATCAAAGACACAATCCCATTCTCATCTCCTCATTTTCTTTGGTCACTCTCTACAGCCCAGGATCAGTAATCTCTTTCATCCAGGCTCTTTTCCAACAGTCCGCACTCAAGGCAACAGGAACTGTGGCGATCGGCCTTTAGTCGAAAAGCTCTCAATCATAGACATATCGACCCTTTGAATAAATCGCCATTTCAATCTATGCCTCTTTATCAGGACCGGTGTGCAATGGTAGTCAAGACACAGGCCAGTGGAAGAGGCAACGCGCTGGCATAGTTGAAACAGAACCATGAATAAAGAAACCAACAACTGAAACAAGATATAGAGCGCGAAAAGAAAATACGCAAGGAGACAAGGAGAAGACATCCTTCGCTACACTTTCAAAAGCAAGATGCGCAGAGAATGAGAGCCGTCTCAGAGGAAGAACAACAAGAAAGGACGCCTGGAGCCCATCAAACCTTTTACACAATACTCATCATTAGAAGAACAGAAACGGAAAGGGAGGGAAAGCTCAACATCTTAAGTCTCACGATATTTCCTTGCAGCTCATCTTACCTTTAACTTGCTCAAGAAGTAGCCACCGACACCATCGAGAGTGCCTGCTGAAGTGTAGCTCCAGTAGCTTAAGGAAACGAAAAGCATTAAAAAAAAGAAAACAAAAAAGCATCTGACAAGAAAGCGTCACCCTCTGCTTCAACTTACAATCAATGGAGTTCAAGAAGCGCACCAGTTCCTTGCAGAGCTCAAAGTCTTGGGCTTGCAGGGTCTTCTCCAAGAGTCGCACAGTGTCCTGACTCGTTGTCTGAAGGGGCTCAAGAGTATGCAGAATGAGGAGATAAGACGTCGCTGTCTTGAGCTGATTCGCTGCCAAGCATTGCTAACCATCGAAGCAATTGAGGTACAACATTTAGTATCAAATCCGTGTCTTTACATAAACCGATTGTTGTCGCTAACAGCATGTTGAGCCAGTATCATTGCTATACCTCAAAGAGGTCCTTGGGGGCTCCAACAATGGAAAACAGGTATTCCCAAAGGGCAACTTCGGTCTTGCGTGCACAGGACACAATGACGTCAAGATAATGAGGAAACTGCTGCAAAAAGCTGACGACCCTTGGAAGAACGGCGCCTATGAGAATTATCAAGCACAATCGTAAGCCAGGAGCAAAGGGTGTATGGCAAAAACAGTTCATGTCCTTGACGAAACAAAGGTCCAGGTGTCAAAAAGTACCTTCTTCAAAACCGATGCCAGATTCTGCTTCGTCCTCCAGAACGTTGTGCAGGAGGATTTCCAATGCATGTCCAAAATATCCTAGATCCTGGTAATGCTTTGCAAATTCATATGCCTCCCACTCGCCGTCTACGTTGTGAGTCAGTACATGTCGCAAAATCGTCTGCAAGAAGAGATGGGTCTACATCCAATTAGAGATGCAGAAGAAAATGTTTACAGTAATAGTTAGTAGGCTGCATAACAGAGTATGAAATAGCGAAGGAAAATGCCAAAGCAGGTCCGCATACCTTGGTAGCCATCTTGAAAATGGCAAGCGATTTGGGTTTGTGGATAGCAATTTCTGGTTCCAGACCCAACACGATGCCTCGTTCCGGTAATATGGCTAAATCGCATAGATGATTACATAACATGGATATATATCCACAAGCGTCAAGTCGCGTACATATGCCGATCTTGCACATAATTGTTAACCATCGACTCACCTAGCGGATAGAATTCAATGTCCATTTCCAAAAAACTGTGCTTGGCAAACGTCGCTAAACTTCTCTCGCTGCCTCCAGGTCCAAATACATTCCACCACATCTACGCCATAAAAAAAAAATAATTAATGGGTCTCCACAGTTAGAAAAGCGGCCACTGTCCCGATGTCTTTAGCATTCAAATTCTTACCCTTAGTGTTGTGCCATTAAATGCCCATAAAGAAAAGTCATTGGCATCATGAGCAGACCGCGTAATCCAGTAGTACTCAACCTTGTCTGTAATTTGTCTAAACGACAACCTCACGTTCCCATCCGGCTACGAAGCACAGGCAGGAGTTGCGCGATTGTTAGAAGCCAGGCCAAACAAAGATGCTAAAGCTTGAAAAGGGAGCACTATTTACCAAGAACTCAGGGCGGAGGAAATAGATCTTTCCGTCAACAAGCAGAGTAATGTGGGTTGCATCACTTCCGTCTGATCCCTCCGCAGTCAAGATGGACACAGATTTCAAAAGGGTCGGCGACTCGACGATATCCTGGAGCGAAGTCTTCCAGACCAACTGTAGATCAACACGTTTGGCTAAGACGAAAACAAAGTACAGTAGTTTAATAAGTATACAGACAGGTTAGAGAATAGAACACGTATAGTCCTGTGCAGAGAGGTATCGCTTACCACTTCCAAGAGAGTAGCAGTACAGGGTATTATTGGATGTGTAGACCAAAAGGGATGACCTCCAAACAGAGATATGGGCGATGCGTGACTCAAATTGCTCCGTGAAGACAACGTCGTTGTTGTCCAGATTGTTTTCGCGTTGATACAATCGCAGCTATTTCCGAGAAGTACAATTTGTTGAAGTTAATCAGCATGCACAAATAATCTGTCAGTCGTAGGCGTCACTGTTTCTAATAATAAAAAACTATACTTCAAATCGTTGGTCCTCAACTGTCTCGCATCCGGCAATCAAAATATTCTTGAACCATGCAAGGCCGCCTTGACATCGGAACGACTGCTCCTGCTGCCAGTTACCGAAGAGTCTCCAGCGACATGAATGAAGGTTGTAGTGCGCCAAACCTCGTCGCCCAGCAATTGCAAGATAATGTCCATCTTGGCTAAGGCACGAGTACTAGATCGCAAATAGGAAAGCGCCCACATTTGTGAGTTCGCAAGCTCGTGCTACGGACAGAGTTTCAGCATGTCCCTGCAACTTACTCTAATAGGCCAATTGTCGCTCAGGTAGACTGCCGGTACCTAAAAGATCAACAGAAGCAAAGTCAGGTATCGCGTTCTCATTCAGTCCTACGTTATCGAATAGTCATACTGTCATCAGCATACCATAACATTGTTCCAGACGAAAGTGTCAGGGTTGATTGTCGACGAGACATCTTGACGATGGCCTTCAGTGTACACCAATAGACGATCGTTCAAATGCAGCAGACACTGAGGCGCAGAGCTCTATACTCATATATAAAAAAAGAGGGCTTGTTAAAAAGAATCGTATACCTAAAAAGTGTCTCCAGAAGTCCCTCCTGACAGACAAGACCTTACGAGATGGTTCTGAACAGAGGGCAGCGCTTTGGCGCAAGGAATAGCATAAAAGGTGGCTATATTCATGGGCAATATCGTACTCCAGCGTTAATACAGCCAACCGACCAAGCATCCATTGCGCGAGAACAAAAAGCGCGTTTCACATACAGCTCGAGTCATCTGCACCTAATACTATGAGATCCATATTTCCTGCGCTCCAAAACTAGAAAAGACAGTGCGACAAAACGGGCGACATGTTAGGCCTGCGACGATAATCATCAGACGAAATGGTGGATGTATCACAATGGAAGCACTCTATTACCAGTGTCCTGGTTCCTTGAAGATACGGGTCTTCAGTGGCATTTTTTCTATGAGTGAGTGGCGACTCCTTGTTAAATCAATTGCCGCGACCATGCCGATGTCCTTCTGTGTCGACCGAACCCTGCGACTTACAAGCTCGGTATATCGTGCGAGGCGGATGGAAATAGTCGTCGGCCATATACACTCCATATCGAAGGGCAGCGTGATTCCTGACCAACAGCCAACGCCGTTCCATCCGAATTCCATGCCAAGGAAATGATCTTATCTGGAGTGCTGTTGGAGTATCCTTGTGATTCTTTCAAGGCCAGCTTGTGCGAGAAAACCCATTGTCCTGCATGTTCTCCTGATTTGAAGATACGGACATCGCCTCTATTGGATAGAAAGTCCAATGGGTGAGTAAAATGAACATATTGTCTATGATCAAATAATGGGCCTTCTCGGACATACCCCCGAGTTCCAATGGCAAGCAGACTGTATTCAGGATTGCTAGCAGCAACAACGCCCGCGTCTTGCTTATCGAATCCTTCTGGGTTACCGTGAAAGCAAAATCCATACCAGCTGTCGCCATTAGATGACACCTACACACGCGGGACGGCAATGAATGATAATGTTAGTCATGTCTAATACGTGTGTACCAGCACAAGCATGAGTCGCGATAGAACCGCACTTTACCGGGTTCGTAGATTCAGTGTCAGAAACGCTTGGGGTATAATACACGATGTAGGCCTTTCCATCGGACATGCACCATGTTTGCGTTGTTGACTTTGGGAAGCGACTCATCGCAACAATCTTGACCGTCCTGTCGAGCAAAAAGTTCATGTGTCGAATCAAACAGGTCTTTACATGAACTTTGCCCAACCATGGAATAAGTTGTACTGCTGGTGGATTGACGGTCGCTACAACAATGTCCGAGTCAAGACCGATAAGGCTAATCAGGTCCAGAAGCAATGAAGCAAGTCAGGCATTTGTTTCACGAAGTTTCACACATATTGGAGCGGATAATTATCCGGTAATGGTCACTTTACCATGATACGCCGGCGTCCATTTTGATGGTCATTTTGAACTTGATAGTGAGATCTGGAAAACCAACGCCTTCGCCTGGCCCTAACGCATAGCTTTTGCTGTTTGTTAGCTGGTAGCTGGCGCCATCATTACCCTGAGGCACAACCTTGTACAGGTGCAGGAAACTCTGCTCGGTCTACAAATATCGATGACGCATTTTGGTCTGTTAGTTCATGGTTCGACAAGTGCCAGTGGGCAGTCGATCAAAGCATCCATACAATTACTACATACCACGACGACCAGCATCGTCGAGTCCGGCTTCCATAGCACACGCTGGTTTGCACCGTGGTCTAGTAATGACTTTGGTGTCCTAACGACCTTGGAAATAACGCCAACAGGCTAAGCATGCAAAGACAGTAGCTGTTAGGACTGCAACGATATAGCGACGGAAACACATCGGATATCATGAAAGGCGCGTGTCGATGATCGTACCCGATGCACCCAGAGTTGAATCGATTCACGTGTAATAGTTGCCCAGAGCGAACCCTGTTCGCTCCTTGCCATATCAACAATTCCACTTCCTGTGCCCTTGACAATGTGAGACTGAATGCCGCTCTGAGAATTACTATCAATGTCGCTGCTTTTGTCCTGACCAGAGGCTATCACAGGGAGGACTAATTCCAGCTCCTCATCGTCGCCATCTGAACCACGCTTTAACAGCGAGGGCTCGACTGCCAGGATACGAGCACTTCCGGTGGCCCAGTACATTGGTCGGGTGAAGGCGTTTCTTTCTTTGCGATGTCGATAGCGGTGTTGTTGGCAAGTTCAATGAGTATTGAGATTGACGAGGAGACGGCCTGAGGGCCATCTTCGGTTAAGATGAGCGTGGGTCTGGTGGCTTGTTAGAGATTGGCTCATTCCGCGGCACCCTTGGGCGACCACTCTTTCAGCAACCATATTACAGCCATGGCAGCCAACAGCAACAAGCGGTCCACCAGCGGGGAATGGTCCAACGGAGGCGAGGGATCCTCCAACTCCAAGAAACGCGTCCGATTCGGTGGCGACAGGGAGAGTTTTCTTGAGGAGTTTGACGATTCAGACCTACTAGAGCAGCGCAAGGGCAGGAGGGGAGGCGTCACCGTGGTCGAGTACATGAGCGGCGAGGAGAGCAGTGACGACGAGAATTTCAACAAAAAGAAAAAGAAGGCATTCGTGGATGATATACCAGGAGCAGTAACCAAGGCTAGCGTAGAGGAAGAGGAAGAGGAAGACGACATGTTTGCGGATCCAGAAGAGATTGAGCGGCGGAGAATCCAAAAGAAAAAGAAGGCGGCTTTGAGGGACAAGGGCAAGAACAAAGGATTCGATAGGTCTGAGATCGAGGGTGAGGAGCTGAATCTGGATGAGCTTGATGAAGAAGAATATGACTCGGAGGGAAACCCGAAGATCGAGGCATTCAACATGAAGGAAGAACTGGAAGAGGGAGGAGAGATTGACGAGGCAGGCAACTTCATCCGCAAGCTCGACCCTGATCGATTCCATGACTCTTGGCTCGAGGGTGTATCTCGCAAGGACATTCAATCTGCTCGTGAAGCTCACGAGCGCAAGATGAAGCAGGCACAGGCCGAGGAACGGGAAGCGGCTGCCACTATCATGACAGAGACGGACATTTACATGGAGCTGGTCAACATTTTGAGACCATCTGAGACCGTGATCGAGGCGCTTCAGCGGCTGGGCGGCGGGAAGAAGGCGGGCGCGAAGAGCACAAAAAACACCAAAAAGAAGAGTTGGCAAAAGAACAAAAGGATGGACGAGGAAGGTCAGGAAGCAGTACAGGCTCCAGAGTCAGAGGAGGATATAAAGCGAAGGAAAGCAATCGAGAAATTGACAGACTTGTGTGATAGGATGATGGCGATGGGACATTTTGATATTTATGAGGAAACATATGAGCAGGCGGTCAGGATCCTTCGGAGAGCAGACGTCATCCCAGACGACTGGGTGGTCGGGACACCGGTTTTGAAGCCAGGAGAGCAGACTTTGGCGATGTTGGAGGACGATCCGCTGCTATCGAACCCAGTCAGCTGGGAGTACAAATGGGCTAATCCGCCAGAGGGCCAGAGTGCGGACGAGATTTTTGGGCCATTTTCCGGAGCAGAGATGAAGTCCTGGAGTGACCAAGGGTTCTTCAGTCAAGGGATCCTGGTCCGGATGGTGGGCGATAACACATTTGAGCCCGGTGAATCTGTTTCGTTTGCGTGAATACAGCGGTAGGGACATAATGCATATAAGCGTTATCAAAATTACACCATCCTTCATTTGAACTGTCTGTGTATCTCGGTGAGGAACAGCGCATGATAGTCTTTATTTTCCGTGGGATGATGGATTTACTTGTCGGGTAAAAACTTGTACGGGTTCATGATACCATTAGGGTCAATCATCTGCTTAACCTTCTCCATCAGCTGGATCATGGACGGGGACTTAGAATAGTGCAAATGGTTGTTTTTGGATGCGCCGAGGCCGTGTTCTGCAGAGACAGATCCGGCATGTTGAGCTAATGAACGCAAGGCATCGAAGAACGCATTAGAAAGTGTTGGCCAAGCAGTGATGTTCTGGACATGGAAGTATGGACCCTGAGTAGGACCCTAATGTCGCCCGCTTACCTGTCCACTCAAAGATGTAGGGCTCGATTAGGTCGGTTGCCTCTCGAGTATACTCCCTAGCGGTCACATTCAGATGAAGATTGCCTATGACAGCAATAAGGATCAGCCGCATAGTCGTTGGCTATTATTCAGTAGCAAATACGCTTCATTGAAAACAAAAAGACAGCCCTTACCATCACCGACATGGCCATATCCAATGACTGAAGTAAAGAGTCTTCCATCGCCTAGGGCACTTTTATGAAGCAAATGGCTCTCCATATCCTTGACAGCCTGATACAGGACAGGAACAGGCATAGAGATGTCGTATTTGTAGACTGCTCCCGCTTTGGAACACGCCTCTGGGATGCCCTCACGAATCGCCCACAAGTTGTGGATCTGAGTCGTGTCCTGGGCAACAACGCCATCCTGGATGATGTTTTCTGTCAGAAGTCCTTCCAAAAAGTTACTCAACTTCTCATCATCGTGGTCTTTATTGCTGCCGCTGGTTTCGACAAGAACATAGAACTGATGTGGCGTCTGGAGAGGATCGTTTGCTCCTACAGCAAGATACTGCTTGACCAGCTTAATGGCCTCCTGGTCCCAGAATTCAAACGCTGACAAAATCTCCGACAGTTCGTCCTTCGACCTCTTAAATGTCGCCTGAACTTGATCAAAGCTGTTGAGGCCCAGTAGTGCAACATTAACTGCTTTGGAACGCTTTGGCGAGAGGATAGACACGCCTGTGACGATTCCCAAGGTGCCTTCAGAGCCAATAAAAAGCTGCTTCAAGTCGTATCCAGTATTGTCCTTGCGCAATATCGACAGGTTATCAAGGATGGTTCCGTCAGGCAGTACCTACAGTTGACGATGAAAGAAGTGATAAGGCCATTGTTACATGACATTGCATGTTTGAATCTGAATAGACACTATTACCCAACACATACGACTTCCAGGCCCAATACGGTTCCATGCAATGATCCGTATCGTAGTAATCTCAGACCGCCAGCATTGGTCGAAACGTTTCCACCGATATGACAACTGGGCATAAATTAAGATATAGGCGGGTTAGCGGGACTAAGTAAGACAACGAATGTCATGGACCTACTGAGGCGCTAGAACAGTACCTGCCCTTTGCACCTAAATCGAGGGGCATAGTGTACCCACGCTCCTCCAGGTACTTATCTAGTACCTCGAGAATGCATCCTGCATCGCATACAAGCGCGCCTATATATACGATACACATATATTGTTGAATATTTATCGATGAGTCACCCATTGAACTCAATAAAGAGCAGCTGAAGTGGCGCGTACTTGCCTGAGACAGTATCAAAGCTCCTGACCGAGTTCATGTTGGACATGGAGACCACAATCTCGTCGAACACAGGCACGCTGCCACCTATTCAAGAATATTTGTTTGAGCAGGAGCTCAGTCAGTAATACGCCGTGCTTGCAAGCACTAAAATAACAAATGGAGATTAACATACCGACCAAACCCGTGTTTCCACCTTGTGGGACGACTGCCAATTTGTTCTCGTTGCAATATCGCAGGACCTTGGAGACCTGCTCCGTTGACGATGGCTTTAAAACCAATTTTGATTGACCTCTGTACTTTCTCAACCAGTCATTGTTGAATGTCTCTAGGTCTTCTTTGTCCTGCGTGATACTAGAGGGGGCCAGAATGGATTTGAAGTAAGAGATATCCTCTTCCGAAAGCTATGTCGTTCAAAGTCAATTGAGCTGTGAATTCAGCTGGGGGGGGGGGAGGGGTTTGCGTTCTACTTGAAAAGGAGAACAAGTTCGTAGTTGGTCTATACCTTCTTGAAGGACTTGTTCCTCTTCATGTGGGGAAACTTGTCGGTCGTGTATGCTAACTCTCCGGTATGTGCGGACGCGAAGCATGTTGGAGAAAGTGTCGAGAATGTTGCGCGTGCTGCAAGTGAAGCGGCCCTGTTCAGGGCCAAGGAGTTCTTTGAGGACAGTGCGCTGACCGTACGAAGCGAGGAGCGGAATCGACTGACCATGACAAGAGGGTATGAAATAAGCGAAGAGGTGATGAGTTCGGCCGGCGCATGGTATTAGTGTACAGTGCAAGAAGGTTTTATTAAGGGCAATCAGCATGGTGCAAAGAAAGAGGAAGAATGCAATTCAGCCGAGGATGCGATCCCTGGTGCTCTTTCCCTTTCGTTCCTGAAGAGCGATCTGGACAGGATCGAGCTGTGTCTGCTTTGTTGTAGCTGTGATTACGGTACGGAGGTCAGGGTCAGCAGGAGTTGGTGGCGGCACGGTGGTTGCGAGGCTGAGTTTCCTGCGGTGCTCATCCTTGAGGGACTCAAGGTGCTCTTCCCTGGCGCGATCAAAGTCAGCAAGGTCCTCTGTCCTCAGCTCGACCCTAGTGGGGTCACGATGGAGCATTGCTTACGAGCGTCGTTATGATGGAATAGAAAGGATGGGATGAAGATTGTCTTTTTTTTTTGCTTCTAAATGCAGCACAGGGAAGGGACAAGCGAAAAGCAGCATGTTGGTGGCAAAGGATTGAGCTCAAAAAAATTTTCTGTTGATCAGATTCAAATCCTCTTCTCTCGGCCATTACTCTTTCTGTTCCTTCCTCTTGATCCTCATTCCATTCCATTCCAAAAGAAAGAAAGAGGGAAGATTACTATGGACATCCAAGGCCTTTACCAGCTCTTCCAGGCCACATTCCAGCCAGACCCCAATGTTCGCATCCAGGCCGAGTTGAAGCTGAAGGAGGTACAATGCTTGCATACATGACTGAACACTCGCTTCTTTTTACAACACTTGTACTTTGTCACTCACTATCCACTGCATTTCCATTCTCTCTTCCTGGCGCAATTGTAGCTGGAGGGCACCCAGGGCACCCTCCTCCAGTCAATGCATATCATTGGAGCACAGGAATCAGAAATCCACGTCCGTCAAGCAGGTACGATATAGGGCATCATTTATTATTGAAGAACGAGATTGCACAGATCTTATTCACTGATCTTGTCTGTACATTACTGCACACTTATCAATAGCATCAATCTACTTCAAGAATGCTGTCAGACGCTATTGGTTCGAGACAGAGACTACCCCTGCCCATCTCAAGATCTCAGACACTGACAAGGATGCCATCAAGGCAAATATTCTTCAGCTCTTGGCTTCTGCTCCTCCAGTCATTCGGTAAGCAGCTTTGCCTGTTATACTTTGTAATGCTAGGGCTTGGATTGTGTTTTTTGCTGACACTCAACGGCTTTCTATGGCTCTCACTTCTAGTACTCAGCTGATCACTGTCCTTGGAACTATCTTGTCGAACGACTTCCCTGCCAAGTTCCCTGGCTATCTCAACACTGTTCAAAACTTGCTTCAGTCTCAGGATCCCAAGACAGTATTTGTTGGACTTATTGCCTTGAAGGAAGTTCTCCGCGTCTACAAGTAAGTGCGCACATTCGAGCAAAGGACATCGGGCGGTTGGAACAATTCATACTAGTATCACAAATCTGTAGCTGACCTTTGTTTCTCACTCCACGGGAGCATAGGTTCAAGCTTGATGATCGTGAGCCAGTGGATGAAATTATCGCTATGTTCTTCCCAGCCATCCAGCAAATTGGCGCCGGACTGATCAGCTCTGACAGTACCGAGGCAGCAGAAATGCTCAAGATTATCTTCAAGTGCTACCATTACACCATCCAGATTGATCTCTCGGAGCGTCAGAGAGATAGCGCCTCACTAGTCCCCTGGGGCACTTTGTTCCTTCAGATGGTCGAGAAACCTGTGCCAGCCGAGGGACTCCCTACGGATTTTGAGGAATTGGAGAAACATCCCTGGTGGAAGGCTAAGCGCTGGGCTTACCAGTGCCTGAACCGTCTTTACATCAGATACGGCAACCCTACAGCATTGACTTCGGAGTCTAAGTTTAAGGCCTTTGCTAAGACTTTTGTCGCAAACTTTGCCCCCAACATCCTTTCAGCCTACTTGAAGCAGATCGAGCTCTGGGTCGCTAAGCAGGCATGGTTGAGCCCACGTGTCCTCTGCCTCATTGGCAACTTCTTCGAGGAATGGTATGGCATCGAAGATGACCTTGATTCTGACCAGCATATACTTCGCAAAACCCTGAGGAGATTACTAACATTTTCTCTGTTTTTATCTGCACTTTAACCGATTTAGTGTCAAGGACAAGAACATCTGGTCGCTCATGAAGCCCCACTCAGAGACCTTAGTCACCCATTTTGTCTTCCCTCAATTGTGCTTTACTGCTGCAGATGAAGCTCTTTGGGTCGACGACCCAGTCGAATACGTCCACTCCAGGATTGACAAGCTGGAAGATTTTACCAGCCCCTCGACCGCTGCTGTAAACTTTATGACCACCATGGCCCGCTACCGCCAGAACGCATTCATGCAGGTTCTCTCACTCGCCAACACTGTCCTTCAAAAGTACAACGATGCTCCTGCCGAGACCAAGGACCCTAGAGAGAAAGATGGCGCTTTGGTCATGATTGGCGCTCTGGCTCCATTGATTTTGCGAAAGGTACTATTTGAATATAAAGAATGGTCCTGGATGTGCGGAGCTAATTTACTGATACGGTTTCTCTCTTGGTCGAATATTAGAAATCTTTGGCTGCCATGATGGAGCCCGTCTTTGTCGCCCATGTTTTCCCAGAATTCAAGAGCCAGTACCCCTTCCTCCGTGCACGCGTACGTCTCTCTCATTTCTGTGCGATGCATTGTATCAGTCAAACAAGATTTTCGATCTTAGGCTAACCTCGCTGTCTTTGGTCCTTACAACGGGATGTCTTGTAGGCATGTGAGATGATCAATCAGTTCAGCGATTTGGACTTCACAGACCCCAACAATGTAGCTATTGCTTTCGCTAGTTTGATGGATCGCCTGCGTGATAACGAACTGCCTGTCAAGGTCACTGCTGCCCTCGCACTTCGCCCCATGATTCGCCACGAGGCAGTGCTTGAGGCTATGAAGCCCCATCTCCAATTTATCATGCACGAGCTCTTGGCGATGACCAATCAGATTGATGTCGACACCCTGGCAGAGGTGATGGACGAATTCGTTGAGGTATTTGCACAGGATTTGGCGCCCTTTGCTGTCCAGCTTTGTGAACAGTTGCGTGATACTTTCTTGCGTATCTGTGAGGATATGACCAAAGGAGCCGATGGAGTCGATGACCTCTCGGACAGTGCCATTGACGAGGCTTCGGATAAGACGATGGCTGCAATGGGCGTCTTAAAGACCATGGGAACGCTTATCATCAGCTTGGAGAGCACACCTGAGGTTTTGAACCAGCTTGAGATTGCGCTCTTGCCTGTGATCCAATTTACTCTCCAGAACGCTCTTATCGATTTGTTCGACGGCGTCTTTGAGATCATCGACAGCTGCACGTTTTCGGCCAAGGCTATTTCGGCCAACATGTGGGGTGTCTTTGAGCTGATCTACAAGACCTTCAAGGAGTCGGCTTTGGACTTTATGGAAGAGATGTTTCCATCTCTCGACAACTATGTCTCATATGGCAAAGATGTTGTTTCGACCAATGAGAATGTCCAGCACATGATCTTTGACATGATAGAGACCGTCATGAAGAGCGACCGTCTGGGCGAAAACGACCGTGTCTCGGGTTGCAAGCTCTCAGAGTCACTGTTGCTAAACTGCAGAGGACACGTTGACAAGTACTTGGCACCGATCTTGGGCCTCGTTTTTGAGTATCTCGGCCCAGCTGACCGCATCCAAACTGTCGAATTCCGCATCCAAGCGATTGAAGTCGTGATGAACTGCCTGTACTATAACCCTTCAGTAACACTGCGTCTTTTGGAAGAGAATGGCTGGACCCAGCGCTTCTTGACTGTCTGGTTCACGAATCTGGAGAAGTTCTCACGCGTTCATGACAAGAAGCTGTCGATTGTTGCTCTCTGCTCTATCCTCAGCGTCCCCGTGGAGCAACTACCCGCCGCGCTTCAGAGCGGATGGCCTCAGGTCTTGAACGGAATTTTGAGCAACTTTGAGGGACTTCCCATTGCTCAAGCCAGTAAGTCATCACTGCTATTGTATCGGTTTTTACCTCAGGATTCTTTGGTGTTGAATTTTTGCTAGATTTTTAACCACAATGATTGATTTTTTGACACCTTTTCTAGAGCGCAAGGAAATGGAAAAGATGTACAACATTGGATCAGACGATGAGGACGACGGTGAGGAAGACGATGAAGGTCAGACTGCGCTCGAAGCCGCCCTTGCTGGGGACGAAGATGGTGTTGAGGAAGAGTGGGTTGATGACGAAGAGGATGTCTTTGACGAAGGCCACGAGTATCTCGAGTATTTGGCCCAGCAGGCATCCAAGAGCCGCCCCGCTGACCGCGAGGATGACGAAGAATCTGAGTACGACGAGCTGGAGGAGGAGATCTACTTTGAATCGCCTCTGGATGAAGTCGATCCCTATGTTCTCTTCCGGAATGTTTTCACGGGACTGCAACAGCACAACCTTGCATCTTACAATGAGCTGACCAAGGCGACAACGTCGGAGCAGCAGGAGTTTATCATGAACCTGATCAAGACTGCAGACGCTAACGCAGCCAAGGCCGCTGCTACCCAAGCATAAACTCTGCGGACAGTCTTGAACGAATACCTTTTTTTTTTCGTCATCATCTTCATAATCTTATCAATCTTCCATATCCATCACGCATCATTCACTTTAGCATAGCACATCCTCAGCTATTTTTTTTTTTTTCTAATGAGAATAATCTGCTGAGATACGAATCTGAATATGGTGCTTTATTTGATAATCGAACTTGCCTGCCACTCAAGAGAGCAGGCTGGATGCAGGATATCCATCTCCAGAAAGGGAGTTAAAGAGTAAATAGTCCATGGATTCTATTTTCGATCCAAGAGGGGGTCTACGAAGGGGAAGGTTACTGAGCGCGGTCTGCAGCGGGCTGCTGAACGGCAGCCATACCAAAGCGGATGATGGCACCACGCATGAATTCGTAGGCTTTAATAGCCTTGGGAGGAAGCTTGGGGTTACCGATAACGTGAGCATCCACACGACCACGGAGTACTGCGAACGCAGCACGCGTGTGCAACGAAAAGAAGTAGCGGAAACGCAAGAAATTAGCATACACAATTGGCGCGAGGAACGACGATTGGAATCTATTTGTATGCATATAAAAAAAACCCCTCCCCAAAGAGGAATGATTATTAGAAATGTCTGCCTCGTACAAGTTCACAGATCTTCCTCTCGAAAGACGTTTTTCGGACTTACGTGATAGCGCCGAGGATTGAAGAGCCCATGACACCGATGATTTCGACATAGGCGACAAGGACCATGGCGCTGGAATGATTCTTCTCGGTCCAGACCTGGATCTTACGCGAGATGCCAGCAGCCTGTGACGCCTTGAGATCCACAGACGAGCCAGGGTAGATGGCTGGGATGAGGTTGGTCCTTGTGTAGTTAAGTGCGTTGAAGAAGGCGAAAATGACGTAGGGGATCAACGGCGCTAGTTAATGGGAATGAAACAAACAAGGCTAAGTCAGAAGGCCGCGAAAGTTGCTTTCCCAGAGTGCGGCTAGTTGAATTTTTTCCAGCGACATCCTACCAAGCATTGGGGTTGATCGCCACCAGAAAATAGCCATCAAGAAGTACTGGACATTCTCCTCGACAAAGACGCTTTGGAGAAATTGAGCCTCGAGTTTGAATTTCTATGGCGTAGAGGAAGAACCACAGTGTTAGGGACAAATCAGAGATAAAGCACGATTCACGGATCCACAACGGAAAAAAAGGGCCTTCATTCTCATCGCAATATGCGACCGATCCTGTGGTGTCGCCCTGTTTGTTGGTAGTGTAGTCGATCAGTCCTGCGCTTGCGCTGTCTATTCGACGTTACTGCCTTGCATCGAGAAATGAAACTTACGGGGAATGACTTGTAGACGACAACACCATAGCTGAGGATGGCGCCGAGGAAGGCGCGGGAGTACCAATGCGATCCGGCCTTGTAGTTGAAAGTGAGCCAGTACGGAAGGTAGAAGACCGTACAGATCAGCACGGTGAGATGGCCCAACCACCAGACGAATTGAGGACCCTACAGAGACAATTTGACAAATCGTTATGTAAATGCATCGTCAGAATGGTTGAGAAGGAATGGAGCAACTGATTCCATCCCAGGTTCTTTTGAAATCATCCCTGGTCCAGTTATTTCTGTTCAACCTTCAGGTCGCGAACTGAATATCCGAATGGAGTGTCCAATGTCGTCTATGCTGGGGGCTCTTTTGGGGCGACATGCTGATCCAACACCATAAAAATCCTCTTATGTAATAAAAATCGTTGTTTAGCGTCTGATCAGGCTACGGGTAATGCAATGCCCGCAGCCATCATATCTCCAATGCTACATGTTCCCATGTCGATCAGTAATGAGCGAGAGGTCAATCGTTCTGTGGGATGTGAGTGTCGTTGGCGGCAATAGCTAGTGCTGATCCTCCAGGCTGGTTGATATAAAGCGGGTTCTTCCTTCTTTCCATGTCGAGTCCAATGAAGATCGGCCCTACGTGGGAACTTTCTTGCGCTATCGTTCAGTCTCAGGAGTATCGTTTATTACCTTGACGAGGGCTTGCAGACGGGCGCTTAGCGTGGAGGGCGTGGAGGGCGTGGCAGGCATAGCAGGGAGGGAATTCAGTGATGTTGAGAAGAGAGAGAGTGAAGAGGATGTTGGCGACTGAGAAGAGAAGAGAAGGGAAAGTGTGTGAAGTCTAAAAAAAAAAAAGTGGGTCGATTCATAAATATCCCGCTTCCCTTTAAAGTTGAGCCAAAACACCACACCATTGCCCATGGTTGCGCCGCCATGGATTTTGCCCCAACGCACGAAGACTCCTCCTGGTGTCTTGTCTCGACTCAAAGGACCCTTCCTGACAGCAGTCTTTCCTTATCTTGAACCCCTTGATCAATCCTTCTTCCTGTCTTCTCAGGTGGTCTAAGCCTGGCGTCCCATCCTCGCTATTGTTCTTAATTACTCTTCCCATGTCGCGTTCCTGAATATACTTTGCAAGGTATCTCCAAGGTACTACTTAAATCATGGGATAGTCTACCGCTGCTCGGCTGAATATCTTCAAAGCATGGCAATCCTGACAATGATGCTAGTCTAGAATAGGGATGAGACAGACCACCTCTTGGCTTGTCCACAGCAACTCAACTCAGCTTCTCCTATACCACCCTCAATCACCCCCTTCAAGATCGATTGGCATTCCTTATTCATTCGCCATGGCCAACCGGCAACACTACATCTCGGTCCTGCTTCAGTGCATCTTCTTCGAGTCCGCGGCGACGGTCGACGAAGGCGAATGTTATGAACTATCTCTCGAGGAACTCGCGCGCTCCATGGACGACTTTGCTGACCTCTGCAGCAACTACAACTACAACCTTACCATCCCTTGCAATATCTATGTCTATCGACACTCTCTAAACACCGAGTACGGTGTGGGAAACCTAATTGATGAATGCAACCATGATCCCGACTTTTATGACCTGTTCCCGCATTGGTGCACCCGCGAAACGGACTACTACGGTCAGGAAGTCATCCAGATCCCGGGACTTTCACAATCAGATATCAATCAGTTCCTCTGGGACTATGCCGAAAACGTACCCTTTGACTTTCAAGATGACATTGCCACAGTCATATGCTATTTAAGGGAGGTTACCTGGCTGAGCAAGGGTTCTGGAGGAGCCTCCATGAATCTGCCACACCGAGACGATGACCCGGCGGTTCAAAAGTTCACCAGGGCGCATAATGAGGCGAAGCTCAGCCGCAACCAGCAAAGGCAGCAGGAGATGCAACGACAGAAAGATCAGGCGGAGCGACAGCGACAGAAAGACGAGGCGGAGCGACAACGAGCAGAGGAGATCCTAAGACTAGCACAGGAGATCCAACGGCAATGGAAAGAGGCGGCACAAAGGTTGACAGAGAACCTCGCCGCGATCAACGTTAATATGATAAGCCTTGAGAACAGCACGATGAGTACCCAGCAACGGGACAGTGACGTGTCTAGCATCTCAGGCACACTGCAGCAAGGGCTTCAGGACGAGCTCGACGATAGCGGTCTGTCTGTAGGCATTTTGGGATCGTTTGCCAACGGCCTGAGCTTACAGAACAGTGATGTGGATCTCACACTACTGGATCCCGGCAACTGGCTGACGGTCAAGCGTCTGGGGAATGCCCTTTGGAGAATCGGTTACGAAAGAGTTCAAGTAATTAGGAACGCAAAGGTGCCCATTGTGACGTTTTGGGACCCTTGGAACGGCGTTCCATGCGACATTAGCATCAACCAGGCGGCTGCAATCGAGAACTCTAAGTTGATCAAGACGTATGTCAACATTGATGATCGCGTTCGCACTATCTGGTTTTCACTGAAGGCGATCGCTAAGGGACATAGGATCCTATCTGCCAAAAACGGCTTCTTGAGCTCCTACGCTCTGACGCTAATGTTGATCAACTATCTCCAATCGGTCGGGACGCCAGTACTGCCAGCTCTGCAACAGCAGTTACCGAGGAGGATGGTTTACAAGAAGGTGGACGGGTACGACTGCACTTACGATCACAATTGGTCCAACCACAGAGCCGCTGCGAAGATGAATACGAGCACGGCATCCGAGCTGCTTTTGGGCTTCCTTTCGTACTTTGGCAGCACGTTCGACTATGGACTCTGGGAGGTAAACTCAAGACTGGGCCAGATTAGGGCACGACCCACGGCGACCAAGATTATCGGTCAGGGCAAGCAGCAAATTAGGCAGGACGAGTTCATATGCGTGATGGATCCCTTCGAAACGAGCAGGAACGTGGCAGGTATGGTGCGAGGAAGGAACGTGGTCGCAATCAAGAAGGCTTTCCAAGATGCGCACGATGCCCTGAAGAAGGGAGATTGGAGTCTGGCATTGCATCCTCAAGACTAGAGGCGGGCGCACTCTGGTGCTTTGTAGGGTACTCAATGGAAAATAAAACAAAGTTCGCGAGTCATTTTCCGCCGCATTTCATTTTTGATCAGGAAACGCTGTGCCTGAAATAATACTATCAAAACATCTGTGCAGCACGCTGTTATGATCAGCCAACAAGAGACAAGACTGGACTCTGAACTAGCACGCCTCACTCCTTACTTCTTCTTCATAGATGATCACCCGTCGACATCCTATAGGGTTTGTTGTCGTCCATCCGGTGCTATGATCAACCGAGCCCTCTATGTCGATGTAGTATTTCGATGGTCTTTCGAGTTTGTAACCAGATCTTGCTTAATGAGGACTATGGACTATATGTCGAAAATCTTGCGCGCTGCTTTGACGCTCTAAAAGATATGTGTCTCTACCAGGGCTTTTATCCTTGCTGCCCCCTATGACATTCATATCCAACAACGCTCCTTAACCACTGTGGTCAGCGCAGAAGGGACTTCTGCCTCACTATTGTCGCCTCCATAAACATTATCGGAGCCAGTCTGTCATAAAGACGCCTAGCCTACCTAGCACAAAGTTCAACAACTTCCACTGGATGTTGGCTCCGCATGTATACCGCGGCGACATTGCCCTGCTTTACGTGCAAATCGAGGACTAGTATCTAGAATAGCACTAGCTCCGGAGGAGCCGTTGTATATCTATGGAATCGCTGCAACATTCTGGCGACCCCAAGAATAGACTTATTCTCATTCTAAAGTCAAGTTCGATCGCGGGAGAATATAGAGCGACAAAAGGCAAGGCAGAGATATGAGAAGCGACCTCAAGCAATACAACAGACGTTCAGCACGCTCAACGTAAAAATGAACGGCCTCGTGAACTACGAAGGGCATTTTCAGATATGAACTGCCGTCGTGCATTCAATCCCAGGCAATTCCCAGGATCAACTCCAGCGTTATCATATGGGTAAACCCCTGCCTGTAACCTGATGAGCTTCTTTGCGAACAGCCTCAGTGCAGATTGAGCGATATGAGTTCCGCAGTCCTGGACCTCAGTAACTCGGCGGCAATAGCGGGCCTTAGTACATCACCTCAGAACTTCAACTGCAAGAACATCGTATTATTTTTTATTTTCTATTTTTATTTTTTATTTTTATTTTTTTATTTTTATTTATTTTTTAACAGCTTCAACCATTGTCTGCTATGCGTAGGTTTAGCGCGGCCAATTATGGGTTTTTCAGATCCCGGATATCATAGCAAGCCGGGGTCCTGGCGTTAAAAGAAAAGTATTTAGCTTATGAAACCTGATCCTCACTAATCGATTAGTATGTCTGGTTTTGCTGGATGAGCAGATCGAGAATTCTCGACTCTCCACATTTTACTAAAAAAACTTGGCTTCTGCGGATCGTTTGACGCGGTCAAGAGGCGTGAAGGTGGAATCGTTCCATCGATCCAGCCATGAATACTGAATATGCTTCTTTCGGCACAGGCGGGTTTATTGAGTGTGTATGGGATGTATCCCACTACTTCTTTTTAGATGAAGTCGATTTGACCTTGCGCTTCTTGTCCGCCTTCGGAAGCTTGTTCTTTCGCTTCTCGCGCGCCTCCTCTTTGGATTTTTGCTTCCGCTCCTTCTTGGCCTCCTTGTCCTCGTTCCGCTTGCCGCGCGCCTGTTTCCTAAATGCGTCCTCGCTGTCGTCGGATTCGCCTTCCTCGTCTTCGGATCCACTGCCATCTTCCTCATCTTCCTCATCTTCCTCTTGTTCATCGTCATTTTCTTTATCCTTGTCACCGGCTTCTGTGCTTGTACTTGCTAATAGACCAGCGGCCTCGGTGGGTGCGGGTTCCTTAGTTGGTTTTAGTTTTGATTTGATGGATTTCGGCTTTGATGCTAAATTCTCGTCGTCGACACCAGATTTGGTCCGTGAGGTCGACTTATCGTCCTTGGGCCGCTCGTCGACATTCTTGATACCCGTCATCTTTGTGTAAAGCAATTCCTCGGTATCGCCCTCCAGCACCTTGCGCACATCTCGTTCGACATCAATGACCTCCTGAAGATGACGGGGAATATACGATTGAGCAAAGACGGCATCGTCCACCATGCGTTTGTCAGCCTCGGCTTGGGTCTCGTTCACAGGAAGGTTGTTCTGAATCCTCTCCAGTTCGTTGTCCATGGCCTCCTCGGACATCTCGATGCTGACATCCGTGATAAAATCAAAGAGCTCCTTTTGACCCATGACCGCAACTCTCTTCTTCCTGAAGTAGTCCGAAACGTTCGTGATATCCATTCGCAAAAAGTTAAACGCATGAGGGTGGTCGTGCTCCACAGACTGGGACACGTCGATGATGTAGAGCGTGCGTGAGTGGTAGAGGATGTTGTACTCGCTCAGATCTGCGTGGACAAGGTGGCAAGTCTGATATATAATACGCATGTACTTGACCAGCTGAAAGTACAGGGCGGGATATCGGTCCTCATCGACCTGTGCATCTTTAAGTCGGGGATACGCCCAGCCATTCTTGTCGCCCAGAAATCCCATGACAAGGACATGCATGCGAAGGACCAGTGGCTCAGGACAGGGGATGCCAGCCTGGTAAAGACGCTTCAGGTTTCTCATCTCCTTCTCCGCCCAGATCTTGACCATCTTGCGAGGGTTGCTCTTGTTGTATCCGTGACGGAAACGGTACTCTCCTGACACGTATCGGTCGCGGTCCTTGAACACCAAAATTGAAGTCTTGTAAATCTTGATAGCACGATGTTCTCCGCTCTCTGTCCTGGCATGATATACGTTTGCCTATATTCGAGTAGAATAAATAGAAATGTGGCCATAAGTTAGATTCAACAGGATATCTACAAGCGTACGACTTTTACGGCAATCACACGTGATAACATGCCTCCTTTCCTGTACTGATACAGCCGTTGACCTCGTAGATGACATTTCGGTTAAGCATCTTGAACAAGATGATGCGAGTACGTGGATCCAGTACCTGGTCCGAGGTCGCGCGGTCGGATTTATCTGTGTTTTTGGTCCTACATGAGACATGTTTGAAAGAAGACGGTCAGCGTCGTGGGTTATATGGAGATATCTCCGATAGCCGAGGCATAGATACGACAGAACTGCAGGCGATGATCTGAATTTTGGGCTCCTTACCTATCTCCTGCAGCCTTCTTGCTTCCCATCTTGAGCTCTGCTGCCACAGGTGGAGTTACGCTGTGCTCTCCAAGATGAATTCTCCCTTCAAACTTTGTGCTGAGAGCTTCAATCTGATCTCCCGCCATAGCCCCATCGTCATCCTTATGCTGAGACAACTCAGTCTTCTTCGCTGCAGCAGGCGATTTGCGAGGTTGGTTGGCGGCAGGTGCACTGACTACCGGATTTGTTGATTTGTTTGGCTGAAGCTGTTGACGAAGGCGGTTATACTGCTTCGTAAAGTCTAGTCGGCACCGAAAAACAGTAAGAGGCGAGCGAAGGCATGTGAGATCTTCTGCGCTAGTGGTAAGGTCCCAAGAGCACAATGGTAGAGTACGAAAGCGATGCGGTACCTCCTGTGGCATTGTCCCAGCCATCATAGTCATTGAGCTCATCCTCAAGGTCCTCTAGGTCAATCTCATCGCTGTCAAAATCGTCCTCGTCATCATCCTGTCCCCAGCTGTCACTATGACCGAGGTCTTCGACGACGGGGTTTTCACTAGACTGAGTGATTTCCTGCTGCAGCTGTTGACCTGGCTGCTCCAGCTGTGCCTCCTCCTGCTGCTTGTTCTGAGAAAGAGCGACGGGTTCGATATCGGCCATCGTGTCGTTCAAAATGACAGGGTGAACAGAAGGTTCTGTAACGGCTGCGGTTGGAGGTTGGTCAAAAAAAAAAAGAAGAAAAGAAAATGGCTTCAAAAAACAAACTGAAGCCACGAGTGGTGACTGTGTCCGTTCATTTACGGGGGGCGCGGTCGTTGCAGTAACCCAGAAATGTGCGAAACTGGTGGTTTTTGCAAAGGCCTCAGTTTCGCCGTCGCATCCTTTTTGTACAGCGACGCTCTTCAACACCTTTCTTTCACTTCCTTACTGATCATCGACATTGTCCATCCCACCATGGCATCCCTTGAACCATCAGGTATATAAGAAGACATGAGAACTTATGCAACACGCACGCGTGAGGTACTTACTAGAGACAGCACTGAACCCGTACCTGTTCGTCACACTGTTCCTGAACCAACTGCTTCTGCTCCATTTTTGTGTGCCAAATAGCTGCAGTCAACGACGCTACCACAGAGGAAGGTAGGCATTGCAGGCAACTGATTATTACTTTACCGTTTGCTATTTACCAAAGCAGCTCAGTTGCGCTAATACTGGGTTCTTTTCTGTTTAGTTTTGGCTTCCAAACTCGAGCAATTAGACACAAAGAACGAGAACAATGCAGATGATGCTGAGGGTATGACGATCATGGAGCAATTATGGGACGGATAATTTGCAAATACGCCGTACAGGAAATTCATCATGGCTGCTTTTCTCACCGCGACTTGATTTCGATACGAATAGAAGTTCAGACGGTAGAAGAAAGGGCCACAGATCTTCTGGAATCCTCCTACAGTGTTGTGGTGAAGTTGGCCGATCAGCAAGCAGACTCGAGTTCACCTCTTTACTCTGCCAAGTCATTTGAAGATCTCGGACTGTAAGTACCACGGGACGTCGGTCCGTTGTCTCGTTGGATTTGGTGATCATGGACACCACTAGACCCTGGATTAACACAATGCCCTCCCTCTTCCCCTTGATGCGTGAATCTAGCCACGAGGACCTTCTCAAAGGTATCTACAACATGAAATTCGCCAAGCCTTCTAAGATCCAAGAGCGCGCTTTGCCCCTGCTTCTCCAGAATCCGTACGTACCTTAGCTCAGCGGTGTTTTGCTGCATTAATGCGATGTCGATATGGACCTCAGTGATTAACCTCAAATGCAACTGTCTGCCTTAATCCATTATTAGTCCAAGGAACATGATTGCCCAGTCCCAGTCAGGAACCGGCAAGACCGCGGCTTTTGCCCTCACCATCTTGAGCCGCATCAACTACAGCTTGAACGCCCCTCAGGTGCGAAGGACGATTTCATGAGCTATACTGAGCCTCCACATGCTGTTAAATTCTCACATTTCTGCTGTTGCGTTCATCAACTGATTTATCAATATGGAGTAGGCTCTGGTCCTGTCGCCCTCCCGCGAGTTGGCTCGTCAGACAATGGAAGTCATCCAGGAGATGGGGAAGTTTACCCAGGTCACGACCGCCCAGGCTATCAAGGACGAGAATTTGCCGCCCAAGGTGACGGCGCACGTCATCGTGGGTACTCCAGGCACCGTGACAGATCTTATTAAGAGACGTGTTCTTGATCCCAAAAACATTCGACTTTATGTTTTGGACGAGGCCGATAACATGCTGGACTTGCAGGGTCTCGGGGATCAGAGCAGACAACTGAAGAGGTACCCTATCTTTTGAATAAGCATGGCTGCAATACTTGTTTGATGGAACAGCAGGATCTAGTTGGCCATTCTACTAAGTCAATTTTTGGCTTCTTGCCTGCGTATTTCTTCTTCTGTCCTAATCATAGGTTCCTACCCAGGGACTGTCAGATTGTCCTTTTCTCCGCAACATGGGCTGACCGTGTCCGCAAATTTGCAGAGGAGATTGCGCCCAACGCCAACCAGATCACCCTCAAGCCCGAGGAACTCTCGGTTGATGGCATCAAGCAATTTTACGTTGATTGCCGTCAGCAGATGGGAGGAAACAAGAACCGGAAGTACGACATCCTGGTTGGGTTGTACTCTCTGTTGACAGTCAGTCAAAGTATCATTTTTGTTAAGGTATGTGTTGTACAGCGCATTTGTTTTCTACTCGCTGTTTTCTTTTTTCAGCAGTGTTGCGATATCTGACCTTTCCCATCTCCATTCGTCCTTCAATCTCTCAGAGACGTGACACCGCGGACGAAATTGCACAGAAAATGTCGGACAAGCACCACGCCGTCGTTTCACTCCATGGAAAGCTAGAGGCTGCCCAGCGCGACGAGGTCATCGACTCCTTCCGCGCCGGAAAGTCCAAGGTCTTGATCACGACCAACGTAATTGCCCGCGGTATCGATATCGCTAACGTGAACATGGTCGTCAACTACGACATGCCTACAGACCAGCACGGCCACCCCGACCCGGAAACCTACCTCCATCGTATCGGTCGTACAGGTCGTTTCGGTCGCACGGGAGTCTCGGTCAACTTTATCCACGATGACAGGAGCATGAACGTCATGCGAGATATCGAGGCTCACTTTGACCGTAAGATGATCCAACTCCCTGAGGATCTGGATGAGGCCGAGGAGATTATCAAGAAGGCTATGAAGTCCGTTTAAAACCACGACTACATCTCTCTGAACCCATCGTGGACAACATACTGATGAGGAGCATTGAAAAAAAGTTTATTAAAATAAATTAAAAAAACCCCGTATTGGGGCACGCTATACTTTGTTCGACTCTATTAAGAACACGATAATGGTACTTATTGATGTGGTGGTGGTGCAGCTCCACTGTTTCGGATCTGCGGGACCAGAGAATTAGCGAGGGGCGTGTTCATAGCTGTCATCATTCGGGTTCTGGTAGGTCTGTGTCATGTTTGGATGCATATTACTAGGTCCAGGATCGTTGTACTGCGAGGCGCTGCCATAGCCGGTGTTCATGTTGGCTGCTTCAGCATTAGGGTCAGCTGACATTGAAGGCGAGGGCGTAGCGCCGCTGAAGTGCATGGCGATATATAACAGACCTGTCAGCATGACGAAACATCCAACCAAGATGTTGAACCACCTCCAGGATAGGCACAGGACACCCATGCTAGTTATATGAAGAGAAAATATAGTATTAGCCGTGAAACTAATGACTGAAGCCGCGTCCTTCCTTCTCTCTGTCTTTCTATCCGGGAACGTACCAAACATAGACTGAATGATACATTGGCGTTGACATGAACATAGGAGAATAAGCAGACGAGATATTGTTAGAGATAGGGTCTGCCTGTGTCGATGTTATCTAGGAACGTATCTGATAACGGCAGCTTACAGATACCGCGTCCGAGCAGTGAGAACATAAACCCCATGTTGTATACGATCGACTCTGGGATGGAGAACTCGAGTAAAAATGTCAACAGTCCAAATATCCTACAGGTGAATAAACGGAACGACAGAATCTTAGCCAAAGGCTATTTCAACCGTAAAAACCATATCGTGCACGGTAAAATACTTGCTCTTTTTCAGGAAAACGCATAGAAAACTTACACGATGAAGACACCAAGGATACCAGAGTTCCATGAGCCGATGTCGACAAAGAGAACGATACCACCCAGCACAAGCAGGATGGCTTCAGAGAAGCAGGAAAATCGCAGTAATGATATAACGTTAGCAGGCTTCGTTTCCTTTGTGTACAGCATGAGTTAAATTGGCTGTAGAATGGACACATACCAACAATAACGTTCAGCAACCGAAAAAGACTGGCGCTTAGAGCCATGATAGTAGTTGTTGTGTGAGAATTGAGCAGACGGAAGAACGTTGAAGGTGTAGGAAGAAGGCGAAGAAGAAATAAGGTGATGACAACTCGTGCTGCAAGCAAGCGTTTTTAAAGCCAATTGGTAGTGGTGCCAGGTTTCTCTTTTTTTTTTTTCCCTCTTTTTTCTACTGGTTTCGCAGGTTTCACGCCAGTCTACGCGACATGATTCCGGCGCCTACATAATACGTTTCAAATTACCACATAGTTTACGCGTTTTCATAAATCTTTTACGCGGGTCAAAAATAAATTTGTTGCCATTTATCAAGGCTCATTATTATCTTTACAATCTGATCAGTCTCTTTTGTTTCAGCCCTCATCGCCGCCATGGGAATGTTGCCGCAAAACCAACAACAGGATCAGACCTCCATGGACCACAGCCACCAGCACCACCGCATGAACGAACCCGCGATCCAGATCATCGCTCCCCAAAAGAGCGAATGCACATTATGGTCCCTGGTGCAGTACGAATGTGATCTCTCACCCGCCAGCATTGTCTGTCGCCCCGTCTACCGTATCCTGAAAAAGCAAGTCTACTTGTCAAGGCGTTCAGATGATCTGTAACCATGGTCCCCCCTCTAACCATTTCCTCTTCATCATACTTGGTTATCATATTAGATGTAAAGGAAGACCAACTGTCGAGGTGACGCCGCTGTATGACCCTGTAGGCAATGTCTTGCATTCCTGAAGAACCGCACCGCACATAACGGACCATACCACGCCATCACGGGAACACTCGCCCCCTCAACGTCCTTTGTACAGAGGACATACGCCGGCACATTCAATGTACATTACGAGCGCGTATACCACTCCCACGATGGCAATAGTAACAGCAATAGCAACGACAACAGTACCGATAAGAGCGTCAGCATCAGCATCAGCATCAGTATCAGCATCTCTCTCTTCCAAAAAAGCAGGATAACACTGAGAATTCGGCAATTGCTTTGCACAAATGAAAATAACTACGCTTTATTGCTGGTTTTCTCCCGCACAGTTGCCTTGATATACAGGACGGTCTCTGGGAAGGGATCTCTTCGCGGCTCTCTATCCCTCGTGGTACTTTTGGCTGATCAAGTATTCTTCCCAAGAGATCTTGCCACTATTCCGGAAAAAAGAAAAGAAAGCATTCATCTCAGCAAAACAACGTCCTCTTTCAGTTGCATAAACCAATAACGACACATGCAAATGCAATGCGCGGATATGAGAACGAAGCAATTGACACGTACTCGTTATCGGTATCGTCCTCTGCAATGACATGATCGATCATATCCAACATCTGCTGCAGACTGAGGGTTGATTCTGGTGCTCCCTGGTGATAATCACTAAACGCCGCTCGGAGCTCAATCCCGTCCAGAAACCCATCCTTGTTGCTGTCATGGAGCGAAAACAACATCATCAGCTCCTCCTTCTCCGTCAGGTTCTTACCCTTCTCGCCCATATGCTCCTTCGCAAACCTATTTCATCGTATACATTAATTTGTTAATCAACCAATTAAAGACAGAGAAAGAGAAATAACGAAAGGTGAGTTGTGAGGGGATCGGTTGCTCTGTAGCAAATGCAAACTTGACATTGTTCATGGCAAAGAATCGCACCGCCCCGGAATCGCACACTCTTTTAATGACTTCGAGTGCAGGTCTAGGCTTCAAGGGCTAACCAAACTTACTCTTTGGCTTTGCCCATATCGCCATAATTACTATGGTCGTTATCGGGCGAGCCGGGTTTGCCGGCCCCAGGTCCTGCCATGACTGTGGCAGCAAGGGCCAGCACCGCTACTGCTGCGATCACAGCTGTGCACTTGAGGCTTTTGAAGAACATGGAATGAAAACTTGGTTGAATGAATGGGAGGAATGAATGAATGAAAGGAGCGAAAAGGGGCGAAAAGAGCGGAGGAGGAAAGGAGAAGGTCACTGGCTGGCTGGCCTGATTACGGCGAGTGGGGCTGGGCGTTTGTGCGCAGAGAGGTTCAATGCAGCCAATCAACGCGTGCCAATCAACTCCCTGTCTCCACCGTGAAGGAAAAGGACGTTTGCTCCACTCCACATCGTGTCTTTATCATAAGCACATAAAAGCACTGCAGCAAATAAACAGAGCTCTATTTAAAATGTTGTACATAGAGACATGAATGATATGGAGGGGCCTTGATGCTGTTGCTGACTTTAAGATGCATCTATGCCAAATAGAACTAACCACGATAGTAATTCCCACCTCTAAACGGCACTACCCCTCCCGCGCCATCGAAAAGAACCCCCCAGACTGATGCGCTTACTCATCAGAGCCTGGATAGGAAGACTCATCCGATGGGTTTTCTTATACACCTCCCCCGACATCGGTCGAGGTGCCACAGGCACCGGCAGAATCGGCCTCCGATGCAACTGTTGGTCCATTGTCTTGTATGCATCCATATAATAGTACTTGTCCAGCGTGTCCTGACCCTCCCGCTCCGGCTCCTCTTCCGCTTCATCCATCTCTCGCAACACTCTCTCGATTTCTGTCTCATATCTTTCATATCGCGTATGTCCTGTCAAATGCACAGAAGAAGGGTTGTTGTCATGGCTCAGGGATGACATCGTCTCGCTGAGCTCAAGCGCCTCAACATCAAGCATGCCCGTGGAACTGACGTTCTGCTGCGAAACCCTGCTTTCTATCAAACGCGCTTCAGAATTGTTGCTGATGCTCACGCCCTCAGTGAAGGAGTCTGGACCACCACACATCCTTGTCAGATCCCTGTCAGCATCGGCGTTTGTCAACAACTCCCCTAGCGAACTCGTGCTATCTTCCGCCGAACTCACTCCAAACAATGATGGAATCGCTGGCCGGGGCAAAAACTCTGCTCTGCTGCTCGAAGCCGAGGTAATCGCCGAGTTGTTGACCGGGTAGCTGTGCCTTGCCAGAATACGACGCCTCATCGGTCTCGTCGTATGATGATCATGCAGAAACAACAACTTTGCGTTTAAAACGTTAACCTGTCCCTGTAATGTATGAACCATCTGTAGTAACTCTGCGACATGCCGATCCTTCCCGTCACACTGCGACCGCAACTCCGCGAGCTCGTATTCTGTGCGCGTCAAGACAGGAATGCTGCTTGGCTTGATCTCTGCGGTGCAAAAGGAACACGAACAGCTCTCCGTGGCGCAATGGTTCGCAGGCAGCTCGATTTGCCTGTGCGCGGTCCATTTTAGTTCCCGCATACGTGGTTGCAACGTCTCTTCAGGTTGGTCGATCGTGCCCAGCGATGTAGGCACCGTCTGGGAAGCTTTAGTCTTCGCCGCCGTAAACATTGCCTGATGCGCCAACATCGTCCGCACCGAGGGCAGGATCTCGGGAGGAATGCTCGCTGGAGAACTGGAGGGGTAGAGGCTGCCCAAGTTCGCGGTCAAGAACTGTGTCGTTAACTCTATCATCCAAATCCTTACGAATTCATTAGTGGCCGGTTCGAACAGCAAGCAGCTCTCATGAGAATTCGAACGCTGCGTACTTCTGATCAACATCGCAAAAACAAGTGCATAGTGAGCGAACCTGATTGCAGGATCTCCTTCTCTACGATACGGATCTCGTGTTCCTGGCGCTTTCGATTAGTGGACCCCTGCGGAGAGTCCGTGGACTCGAGCCCAAATTTGGTCTTCTGTTTCTCCTCATTACCCCCATGCTGATCCTCACATTGCTTTTGGTCAAGTACTCCCATAATAGAGTCCGTTTCGGCCATGATAGAATGGAGTGTTTCTAATGACGGATGAGGCAAATGTCTCTGTAATCGCAAAGATTGAGCGGCGTGTACTCGCATAGCCGCCTCTGCCAGTGTATCCACAATGACGGTCTCTTCCATGGCAGAGTCACAAGTAGCATTAGGTCGACTGCTAGGCATATCATCGCCAATGTTTCCTGTGTCCGATATCGCAGTCGTTGGTTCTACAACCCGTTGGGCAAATGCCTTGCCTTGTATCGCACATTTGTGAAAGTGTCGCGATCTCCCCGCTGGCTTGCACGGGCATTGGTTGGCGCACGATCCTGACTTTTGGTACTGTCGCTCCCTACTCTCCAGTAGCGTAGTGGGCCGATCCAAGTATGCGTTATCTGACTGGTGCCCATAATTGGTGTCATCGTCGCATTTACACAAAAGCGCTTCGTTCACATCCTCACCCTGGCCGTTGGTATCAATATCAGAGGCCCCTATACGCTTAGCTGGATGTCCTGTGGCGCCCAGCGAATGCAAGGAAAAGGAAAAGGACCCAAAGATGCCCACTCTGTTCTGCAATAAATAATGGAAGACGGTTTGGGCCTTGTTCACAACAGTAGCCAACTTCTCCTGGATACCCTTCCGCTCGGACATCACCTTGTAGTAGCGATAGAGCGAACTCTCGATCGGGGTTTCCATAGTGTGGCTCATACTGCCGCTTAATTCACTAGTGGTCGCATGGGTGCAGACAATCCCAAAGACCTCGGAAATGCGTGCGATTGTCTTCTTGTACAACTGCATCTTTTCTTTATGACCGTCATCTCGGTCAGCAACGTCCGAGGATGCATGCTCGCAAACTTGGATATGATCCTGCAGAGGTTTAAGAATAATGTCGTCCAAAAACTCTAGCAAAAACTGTAGCAGCTGCTGTTGTTCGTCGGGTAGCGACTGCACCAACAGAGATGACATTTGAATCTTGATAGGATCGGCAGTCTGGAGTCGGATCGTGTCAGAAAAAGCAGTAAAGACGTCATCTGGTATCAACGGATGCGGCAAGTCGCTCAGGAAACGAAGAATAATACGAGAAAGGTCTTTCGAGGCAACGTTGGGTATTGCGTTGGCTGCTGTAATTTCTGGCGGGCTTTCACCTCTCAATCCAGTCTCTTGTTCAGGCAGGTAGCTTAGAGCGGGTTCCATTCCTAAGCTTTGGACCAAGGTATCCAGTTCAGATGAGCCAGGTGTGCCTCGAACGGCAGATGCAGTGAGCACGCAATGCTGTACTGAGTCAGCAGCGGAAAAATAAAGGTCTTGTTTGAAAGGCCGCGTATTGAACACCTCGACCAGGGCATCGAAGGCTTCGTCCTTTTCATCCCAGTTTTCCTGGAACAACTCATCGATGACGGTACATATATCTCCTAGATGGAATCAATCGATAACAATGATCAGCAATGTTTATAATAAACACTGGGACTACGGTCGGTAAATCGCTTTGTGCGCAACATATTCGTAGACCAGGGGAGTGGATGCACTCTCGATTTGTCAATTCCCAGACCTCATACCTCGAACACGAAGCTCATCAGTCGCGTAATACAACGTGAGGGGGATTCTGTAGCTGCCTCCGAATGTTGCGGAAGCTAACTCGATCGACTGTAATGGTGATACCTTGAAGCTTCTATCACCACCGGCTTGGTCAGGCTTTAAATCCGACTCATTCTTGATTGAATCATCAGAGGAACCGATTTGCAAGTGTGACACTCTGGTGTTCTGCTGCAGAAGAATACTCTCTGGAATGTCGCTCGCATTTTCAGTTGCCTTGGATTGGGTGGTCAATGGCGACTCTCTGCATCGTTCCTCGTCTAGTCCGGAAACAGATGGCGCTGGAATGGCAGCGAAATGTCGGCCCACGGATTCCGGTTGCTGGTTATTGGGGGAGGACACGTTAATATCTTCATCCTGTATAATGTTAGGTCTGTCCATGGACTCGCCCGTCTGTGCTTTGCTTGGACGCATTCTATCGAGGTATATATATAACTAGGAAAACTATGAAGTTTCGATCAGACTCCAAAATCAGTGGGGCTACGGCGTTGGTCCGTTCCTGAAACGCGCATGCCACCAAAAATAAACTACGAGATGTTTCAGTACCTCGTGTAACGGCTGGTCAGATTCAAAGGGACAAGAAGAGGTGTGAGGGAGTAGCAAATGTAATGTATGCTCGAAAGGTAGTAGAGACAACGAGAGGAGGAATAGAAGGGTTAAAGGTAGTTTGGAGGAGCAAGGGTGAGATAATAGACGGTAGACAAGCGATAGAAAAGATTATCAGAAGAAAACCGAAGAGAACCTATGAGAAATTGAAGAGAGATAGAGGAGAGCAAAGGATAGAATGAAATGACCAGAAGAAGAGGAGGAGGAAAAAAAGAGAAGAGAAAGAGAAATGTTGAATAGAAAGATAGAAAGAGAGCGATTGGGAGGATGGGATAACAACATGTGCTTGCTGGCAGGACAGGCACCAAACCCGGACCTACTGAAGGGAAAGAAGGGAGTAGTGGCGGCTGGAGCGTTTGCTGTAGCTCAAAACCTGCAAGAATGAGAGAGGAGAACTAGGCTCGCATGGAATTTGTTATCAATACATGTAGACATGCCCCATGCGCCAACTACCGCCACTATACATCCTCCCTGGGATGCCGCCGTGTCCGCGTGTTCACATGAGTATGGGGCTGCCTCTTTCGCCCTTTCATGGTGGCCATCACCATGTCGCACAAAGCGAAGAGGAGCTAGGCGCCATATCTGGCCTGCTTTGTCAAAATACTGGCGCTCTTTTTCCAAACTTCATTATATTATAGTCCTACCCTTCCTGCTTTTCTCTTTCATGTCGTCCGAATTCCTCACGGCGTCCTTGGTAACATTTGCATCGCACCGATGTACCTGACTAGTTGGCGCTGCTGCGTGAAAAGAACAAAAAAAAAAGGCATGTCCAAAGATCACAAACTGTATGTACCCATCACCTAGATACCAAGATAATGGACAGATATGCCTTGGACGCGACAGACAGAAGGCATCCTAATGACATGCATGCTCATGCAGATTTCTGTCTGTTCTCCTTTATCGGGTCTTTTTATATCCTCTTCGTCAAGGAGGTCTCCATTCGTCAATTCCTTTTCGCGCCTAGGTCCTGTTGCCGTCCCCGTGCTCCTTCATTTTCAAGAAATGAAGAGAGTCCACAACAGGCACCAGTAACGCGAAGGAAGCATTCCAATTCTACTTTCCGCATGTCTCTGTCCATTTGTACTTCAAGGAAGGTGTGGGCGCACATTATCATCAACAGTGCAGACGCCTCAGGTCAAGAGGAGGGGAAACAAAAAGGGCGGTAAAGACCACAAGCACAGCGTCCATTTCAAGATGCCTTCATTAGCACGATGCTCACAAGCGAAACCAAAGCGAATGCTTTATTAGAGAGAACATCTGAGCGACATCCATCAGCGACATTGCCATAGTTTCACAGTCTATGGATAGCATTCCGATGCAAAATGAGAATACGAACAAGAGCAAGTGAAGACGGAGAAGAAAATGAGAGCTGCGGTTAGTATCCTTGAAAATATCATGCAGAACATGGCTCTTTTACTAAGTCGGCGGCTATACCTGATCTACAGATCCCGTGGCTACCACGGGGCTGGTCGTATTGAAAGCAATGCATGTCACGAAATGCTGATGCGCCTCCATCGTCTTCATGCAGCGCCCTGATTTCAAATCCCAGATCTTGATTGTCTTGTCGTCTGACGCACTCAATAGGAATTTTCCAGAGGGATGGAATGCGAGTCCTCGAACCCAATTGTCGTGACCGATCTACAAAACGCGCAGCAAAGAGCAAAGATGTGGAGAGAGAGAGAGAGAGAGAGAGAGAGAGAAGTGAGAAAGCATTCAACTCGATCAGCTTCAAAAGAATTACTACGGTATATGAATGTATACCAGGGTATGGATGCACTGTCCTGTCGCATCCCAGAGTTTGATGGTCTTGTCCCTTGATCCTGTTGCCGTGTACTGACCAGGGGAGGGCTGCTCCTTGGCACTAACTTTTGGCTGTATTGAATAAAAAGTTACAGCAATGAGTCCTTTGAAAGCAACATCAGATATCATAAACGACATTCATTCCCAAAATAAGATTCAGTAGTCCTTACATCAATACCGATCAACTCCTTGATGAACGGGTATGATGCGATGGGCGCAAAGGCAGCACACTCTACTACGTTGTCGTGTCCTCTGAATTCGCTTTTGCATTCGCCGTTAGAAACATCCCAAACACGGGCAGTCTACCATATTCAATAGATATCCTTGCTGGTTAGGTCCCAAACTTCGATGTTGCATGCAACTTGGACATTACTCGTACACAAGGGTTATCCGTGCTAAGTGTCCCTCATCGGCATCCATACCTGATCACTGGAGCAGCTTACAAGAAGCCGTCCGTCTTGGCTTGGTTGAATGAATCGCACCCATTCCAAATGTCCTGCGATGGTCTTGGTACAATAACTGTTGAGGACGCCAAAAAAAAAAAAAAATGTTTGAGATTAATTTGACACAATTCCACTTTCAGACAGGCGAATTCAAGAAAAGCACTAGAACATGGTTCCTTACCCAGTGGCGACCTCCCACAGCTTGATAGTTTTATCGCGCGAGGCCGATGCAATCATGTCACCAGATGGTAGGAAGGCCACAGAGGACACACTGTGATCGTGTCCAAACAGGGTCTTGACGCATTTGTAGTCCTGTTGAAGGTCCCAGATCTTGATACTCAGATCGTTAGAGCAGGACACTAAAAAAATGACGGAAAACGTATTAATAGTTCAATATGAGCACGATACATTCATCTACAAGTCATTATTTGAATGTATTCAACCAAAAGCGCACCCGCGTACCCAAAAAATTGCCCTTGGTGTCAAATGCAAGGTCCTGGACAGCTTTGGTATGTCCTTTGAGTGTCCGTTCGTACTCGCCAGTCTCGTAGTCAGAGATTCGTATTGTAGTATCCTCAGATGCAGAGGCAATGATAGAGAAGACAGGATGGAAGGCCACGCGTGTGATGGGACTGCGGTGGCCTGTCAGCGTATAGCGTTCGGGCGGTCGAGGAATCCAGTCTACTGAGCTTGTTACTTTTCTAACTGGCGCGTTGCTTAGCTCCTCCTGCATCGCAGACATCTTGTTCTCCAAATCCATAATCTAAAGTAATCGGATACTGCGGTTATTATCACGTCTTGCAATGAAGATGGAGCAATATTTGAAAATATTTGAAAATTAACAGAACGCCAGTATCGTTTTGGTTGCACGTGCGGCCGCTCACCTTTTTCTGAAGACGGATGACAGAGGTCCATTTCTTTTCTAAAAGCCCTGCCGACTTTTGCTTGGGACCTGGGGTGAAGTCCTGATTCATGGTTTCGTTCCTGAGTGTGTGAAATGACTCTGTGAATCCGCTAGCGCTCAAATAGTCCAAAATGGCCTTGTGTCTAGCATATTACGTGGTATTCCATAAGAACAAGGATTAGCCGATGATCATTAAGTTTTTCTTTCTTTTGTCGACAATAGGGTATTGAATATAATCAGGTCCATGTCATCAACGGGGAAGAGTCAGCTGAAAAGAAAAGGAAGACAAGCATAGTGACATACAGTTCATCACGCTGCCTCTCGCTAAGGACGCTCGTTGTCATGGTGCCTTGCTTTGTTTCCTTCGTGTCAACTCTCTGCCGCGTTTCTGATAGATTAGCTGGCGTAATTTTGGATGGGTTTGTTGCCGTAACTGCTTTTTTCAAGTCCTGTGTTCAATGGCTAGAGCGTCCTCTGCTGTTTGCCGTTGTCGGAGAAGGAAAAGGCTAAGTTCAGATGCTGGCTGAAGGCAAGATATAGAGTATGCTGAAGACTACACGTAAATGAATGATAGACGAATGCATGTGAGTATGACAAACAGACATATGCTTGCCAAACAGCGGCCAACGCCATCGAAGACAGCACGTTGTTCAGGTATCGAAACACGCTTTAAAAAAAATGAAAAAAAGATACAACAACAGAGCACAGCATGTGTACCTGGATTTGTCCTGTGTTTTGCTCTGGTGGCGGTCGTCGTATTTGCGCGTGCTGAATATTGCGTTGGGTTGGGTTGCGTATGCTTGTGGGTGTGCGTATGCGTATGCGTGTATATTGTTCTCCCTGTCAGTTTCCAAGGCGAGGGTCGTTATTTGGCTGGTTGGCTGGGAATGTCTGGCTAGAGGATTGGGGATAAGGTATGGATGAAAGGTTAGTCAGAAGAAACGCGGATAAGATACGACAAACGACGAAGGCAGGATGAAAGACGAGGATTAGTGAGGCGGTAAGAGGAAGAGAGATGGGCGCAAGATCAGGGAAAGACATAAAAAAAAAAAAAAAGAGGACGAGAGAAAGAGAGAAAGGGAGAAAAAAAGAACAGGAGTATTGGGTGTATGTGTGCAGAGAGGATCTGATGATGAAGACTCGCGTACATACTGCTACCAACCAAAGGACAGGGTGCGGTTGATTGAAGGAGTGGTGGATTGGACTGGATTGGATTGGATTGGATGGAAGGATTCGATTGGATGAGAGGAAATAAAGAGAAGGAGAGAAGGAGAGACAAGGGGAAGAAGGAATAGGAAAGAAAGAGAAAGAGAGAAAGGGGAGGACTGGGAACGAAAAGAGTCAAAGAGACAAAGGAAAAGGGATGGAGTGACCTAACTGGCTGCCCCACTGAGTGAGTGACTGAGAGGAGAGAGCACCTCCCGCACGCGCGTGTGTTGTGCCTGTGCCCTCAGCGGCTTGTCTACGTCACACTCATCTGAAAGAACACACGGATATCGAAATGGGGGCGGCCACTCGAAGCTGCAACAATGCTTCTAAAGGCCGCTGCCGAGCAATTGCTTTCTTTTAAGGACGGTAATATATGATATTTCGTTCATTCAAATGGCACGTAGCCTTTAGGCCTGACCCATGGGTATCCATCCATCTGCAACACACGGGGGAAAGGCTCACTTTATTTCATTTTCATTTCTTGTGGGCTGTTAGACTTTTTTTTTTCTGGTTCTAAAAAAAAACCATCATCTTTCTTCTTCTTCCTCTTTCTTCTTCACTCTTCATCATCACCACCAAACTACCTCCATTCGCTTTATTTCATTCTTCCTCCTCTAATCCACCAACACTCGACGTATATACATTTCCACCCTAAGTAAGTACTGATCCCCAACCTTCGGCTTGCTCCTCCCAAAAAAACACGCCACTTTTTTTTTTTCACACAGGTGCTATACGATCAAACGCATATCCATCCTCTCTCCTTATCCCGATGCCTGGACTCAATTGACCATACCGCTTCCCTGAAATATTGGCCTTCGCTCAAAGAAAAATAAGAGAATGGGTATCAATTGGGCCAAGGTCCTCAAGTGGCCTCGGCCCTGGAAGCGACTTTAGTACGCCTTCGTCTTGCACCGCCACGGGAAGATGGACAGGCCGGGAGGGCTTGATGGGATGACTCTCTCGCGTGTCAGCAGTGGCGATGATCTTTCCTTGAGTCTACAACAAACACACGATGGGCTGTTTCCCTTCCCCTGTGACCCTAGTCCTTTCACTTGCACTGCCCCCTTGAAGAAAAAAGAATCGACCGCAGCAAACGGATTGCTTGGCCTCGAACCCGGTTACCCATCGTCTATTCCAAAACACCAAAAGAAAAAAAAAAGGCGAAAAAGAACGTCCGACTGGTTCATCCCGCACCCAACAATCACCCCATCAACGCCTTTTATGCTGCGACGTATGCAGAACCTGACAATGGAAAAGGAGCTCAGAAGTTGCAGTCTTTCTTATACTCACATTCTGCTCTTTTTTTTCTTCTCTTTCCTCTTTCTTTTCTCTCTACCTATTCTGGCACTCTTGCTCTCACTCACTCTTACACTTTGGACTCTACTTTACACTACCTCTCACTACCTCTTTTACCTCTTTATCGCACAACAGACAGTATGACTGAAATCCGTAGAAAGCTTGTCATCGTCGGCGATGGTGCCTGCGGCAAGACCTGCTTGCTCATCGTCTTTTCCAAGGGAACCTTTCCCGAGGTAAGAGATTCTGCAAAAGCAAAAGCAAAAGCAAAAGCAAAAAAAAAAAAAAAAAAAAGAGCTGGAATCCATCATTGCCGCGCATATGACTCATAAGACCAGCACTAGCAGGAGCACCAGCAGTACCAACAATAGCAGGGCGATAACGGTAGCGAACCGGCAACCACAGCAACAGTGACGCCAACATCATCGACACTACTGGCAGCCAGAGCGCAGCGACTACCAATAAAAGTGTGCATTGCATGAGGCGGCCTTAGATAGCGTATCGACCGTAGACTAGGATGGACCAGCTTCTCGCCATGGATGCTTCCTCTCACGCTCACTCCAACGACCTATGTTGAACCAGAATGGATGACATGGCTCTCAACTACACCTGTCATATCTTTTTTCTCCTTTCTTCTCCTGGATATATTTGACTGCCTGTCTCCTTTTGTTCATGTTGTAGACAGCTCAATATCCGTCGTGGTGTTCTACGAACTCCTTGAAATCCTGATGGAAACTGACCCAGATTGTCTTTTTATTTTTATTTTTTGTATCATGTCTCTAGATCTATGTCCCAACCGTGTTTGAGAACTATGTCACCGACGTCGAAGTCGATGGCAAGCACGTAGAGCTTGCCCTTTGGGATACAGCTGGTACATCAGAGCGAGATTTTTTTTTGGATATGAACGACAGTGTGCCGTGGAGGGGAAGGACAACATGCTCACCCACCATTGTTAAATATCATGCTTCGCCTCATGCTTTTTGTCGTTTACTAGGCCAGGAGGACTATGACCGTCTCCGCCCACTCTCCTACCCTGATTCTCACGTGATTCTTATTTGCTTTGCGGTCGACTCGCCCGACTCGTTGGAAAACGTGCAGGAGAAGGTGAGACGGATTGTTATGACAATCAACAGTGACGAACCTCTGCAGCATCCATCGTACTAACATATGGCGTCTTTTTTTTTGTTTTTGTTTTTTGTTTTGTCAAATAGTGGTTTTCTGAGGTTCAGCATTTCTGTGGAGGACTCCCCATTCTTCTGGTTGCCTGCAAAAAGGATCTTCGATATGACCAGCGTACGATTGACGAGTTGAGGAGAAGTAACCAGGCACCCGTCACTCCTGAGCGCGTAAGTGTAACCGGCTTTTGTAGAGGATGGCGTAATCATTTTTTGACAATGACCCTCTTGTGCATGTTCTAATCTCTGTCCATTATGGTCTCGTTGTTAAATAGGGTGCCGAGGTCGCTCGCCACATCAAGGCTAGGGACTACCTCGAGTGCTCTGCCAAGACTGGCGAGGGTGTTCGTGAGGTCTTTGAGAGCGCCACTAGGGCCTCACTTCTGGCCAAGCCCAAGGGTGGACGCCGAAGCAGCAAGAACTGCTTGGTCCTTTAAGCAGCCAACGCAGGACCGGCACAGCAAAAAAAAAAGCAAAACAAAAAAAACCCCCCCTCCCTTTTATCTAGCAGCCCCCGGGGGATCGAATAAGAAATGGGCGCTTATATGATGGCAGTTGTCTTTTTTATTAATATCCTTCGACCAGAAAAAAAGAGAACAAGAAACGACAGAAATAAACCAAGTTTTTTCTCGCTCACGCATCTGCTTTATCGTCCTCGGAGATTGATATATATCACTATATGACGGCTAGAAGCAACAGAAATAAACCGAGTTTCTCGCGCTGCGTACCCATGCCTGCTGTAAACAACTGTGTTGTCCGCAGCTGTTCACATGATGCTTTGCCTTTTTTTTTTTTTTTGGTACAGTCCTATATCACTTTTCGACAAATTATAGACAAATCACTTTTGGACCAACGTTGGTCAAAAAGCAATATAGGACTGTACTTCGCCACCAGTCCTTTTGGGACATAAAAAGTCAAAGTCGACGAACACGAACATGGACATAAAGAGTAGAGAGAATAGAATATGTACTTGTAATATATTTAAAAGATCGTACATGAATACAAAAAGAATAGAAAAAGAGATGCATATTTGGGGGTTACTAGTGTTCCCGATTAGAAAAAAAGGTGCGCTATCTCTATTATCTAGGCCTTCAGGGCCTCCAGCGCCTTGAGCTTAAGACCGACCTGGCGAACCTGATCAATCGAGGACCACACACGCTTCTGCTGAATCGCACGGAGCTTGCGAGCAGCGAGCTTCTCCTTGCGAGCCTTCGTGGGCCAGGCATGGGCCGTGAGCTCAAAGTTCCACCGCCTGAAGATGTAGACCTTGACGAAGTCCAGGAAAATGAAGTAGACCAAGGAGATCGCAATGACGGCAATGCCCCAGAGCCAACCAATGGCCTCACCAACGATCACACCGTAGATGCAGATCAACATGGCAAACACCTGGGTACCCATGACAGCGATAAAGAAGATAGGCGAGGGCATGTTCTCCCAGAAGTAGCCGGACAGACGGGTTGAGAAGATCACAAAGTGAGGTGCGGACGAAATATGCAGGTACATGATGGCCTCGAGCTGAGGATTCGAGACATCGAAGACATCCCTGGCAATGAAGAAGTGCGCGAACGAGAGGGCTGTCAATAATGCACCGAGAACAATGGACAAGAAGATCAGTTGGCCGATTCTCCACTTGTCGGGGTGCTCCGAGATCTTGGCGTTATCGACCGAGATGACCAGAGTGGCGGCGTCATTCAGGATACAGATCAAGATGAGCAGAATCGGCTTCATGTGCCACTCAAGGGCCATGGTGATGCAGAAGAAGAACATCAGGAAATGGACGGTCGAGGTGATACGGTACAGGGCATAGGAACGCATGCGCTGGAAAATGGCGCGAGAGGTCATCAAACCATCGACAATGGTCGACAAACCGGGGGCCAGCAAGACAATATCGGCAGCAGAGCGGGCAGCGTCAGTGCATCCGTGGACAGCAATACCGACGTTGGCCTTCTTCAGGGCAGGAGCATCGTTGACACCATCACCAGTCATTCCGACGAGGATACCGCGGTTCTGGAGCAACTCAACGACCTTGTACTTGTGCTCGGGAATGACCTGGGCGAAACCATCGGCGCGAATGCAGTGCTCAGTAATTTCCTCCTCAGACTTATCGGCATCGACCAAGTGACCGGCATCCAAAATAACGCGGCCCATACCAAGACGATGGGCGACCTCCTTGGCAATGATCTGTTGGTCACCGGTAATCATCTTGACATCAACACCCATGGCGTTGCAGCGGCGAATGGTCTCGGCAGAGTCTGGGCGGGGGGGATCGATCAAGGAAATCATACCAACCAATTCATACTCCTCAAGAGTACCGGCCTTGGTGCGAGCGACACCCAGGGCACGAAGACCACGCTTGGCAAGGGAGTTGACAGCACGGACGGCATCATCATCACCACCGACGAGACGGATAATAACCTGAGGAGCACCCTTGGCGACCTTAAAGGACTGCTGGGTGTTCAAGTTCATGACGGTGGCCTGGGTCATCTTTGTCGAGGGGTTGAAGGGCAAGAAAGAAGTGACCTTGTAGCCGGGGACGTCATGCTTATGGGTGCGGTTCTTAAGAATCTCAAGCTGCTCCTCGGCAGCAGTGCGCACAGCAAACTCAATGGGATCGTTGGCACCGGGCTCAGCAGCAAGGTAAGAGTACAGGAGAATATCGTTTGAGGTGTAGCTGTTGGTCAAATAGGGCTCATCAAAGGTCAACTCGTTCAGGGTCAATGTTCCGGTCTTGTCGGAGCAGAGAACAGAGACAGAGGCCATCTCCTCCACAGCTGTGAGACGCTTGACAATGACCTTACGAAGGGCGAGCTCCTTGGCACCCATGGCCATGGTGACGGACATGACAGTGGGAAGACCGACAGGGATGGCAGCGATGGTGAGGACGAGGACCCGCTCGAGAACCTTCTTAAAATCTCCATCCGGAGTGCCGCGGTTCTTGACCAAGAGATAGACCAAGATAATGAGGACGAGGACGACGGTAATGAGAATCAAGAAGTTTCCGATGCGGTTGATGATCTTCTGGAAGTGACCCTCCTCAGTGGCACCGGCCATGAGACCCGCGGCACGACCGATGAAGGTGTCACCACCAGTCTTGGTAACAACGGCCATCTGCTGGCCCTGCTTGACGATCGAGGAAGAGTAGACGGTGGCACCCTTGTTCTTGGACAAGGGCAGGGATTCACCAGTAAGGGCAGACTGATCGACCTGAAGATCACCTTCGGTGGCCTCACCAGTGGCACCGATACCAAGAAGACGGCCATCGGCAGGAATAATATCACCGAGACGGAGAACAATCACATCACCGGGAACGAGGTCGGCAGTGTCGAGCTCGACCAAGTGTCCGTTACGCCAGCAGCGGGTCTTCAGGGCCAAAGTCTGCTTGAGGGCATCCAAAGCCGACTCGGCCTTGGCCTCCTCGACGAAACCGATCGTAGCATTGATAATCAACAGCGCAAGGATAATACCAAAATCGGGCCAGTCCTATGATTGCAAGTGGCATTCAAGGCGCCTAAGTGTAAGTTGACTGCTGTATTTCTAGAAGCCGTGTTCCATAGTGTTGTGTGTGCTTCAGCTTTAGTGCATGTACATACCTCAACGATAGCAGCGAAAATGGCGGCAATTTCAATCAGATAGGCAATAGCACCAGTGAAGTAGCTCAAGAACTTGAACAATGGGTGGCGCTTCTTCTCGATCAGCTCATTACGACCGAAGGTCTCGCGGCGGCGCTCGACCTCATCGTCAGTCAAGCCGGTGAGGGGGTCCGTCTGGAGAAGAGCCTCGAGCTCGGGCGAGATCTCCTCGACGTGCTCATGGTGAACCTGCTCCTCAATTTCGACATTGCCGGTCGTTTTTTCTTCAGTCCTGCCAGCAACGAAGCTTGAGCTAGGCTGCTGCTCAATTTCGTGCTTTTCGCTCATGGTTTAAAACGAGCCGAGGTACGAGGGAGGTGAGGGGACTATAGGCAACAAAAGACAGAGATAGCAAGAGCCATGTCAGTGAGTGCCATATAGAGCGATGCACTATTATTATTTTTGTGCGAAGCGATTGGGACAGTAGTGATTTCAGTGGAGGCTGTATATCGGCTGTGGAAGATGGATGGAGGAATCGGTTGCTGGGGTGGAAGAAGTCGCCAGCAGGGAGAGGCGGGGGAAGGAGGGCTCCTGGGTGGATGAAGATGCTACGAAACGATCTGGTGGCGAATCATTCGAGGGGGAGAGGGGATGACGGGTGGGGCAGGGGATCGCCGGGGTGTGTGATGGGGTTACTTACACAAGATGCGGAGGAGAGGGGAGGGAGAGAGGGGAGGGGAGAGGGGGGAGTGCTGATTGGCGGTTGAGACCAAAAAGAGGAGGGTCGATGAAGCGGAGGAAGAGGGGAGGAGGGATATGAGAGAAAGGAAGTGGACGAAAAAGAGAAAGAAAGAAGGCGAGACAAGTGGGGAATCCGTTTTTATTTATCGCACTTTGTCGTATGAACGGTATTGAATAAAGGACTAAGAACGAGATAGTGTGAGAGAATCAGGCGAGCGAGGGAGAGACCCATCTCAGTCTCTCGCATGGTCCATGTCCGGTGCTGCCTGATATCTGTATTGTTTGTAGGCTATCTAAAAATCGCGCGGTGTCTTTACGGAATGGGAGCAGGCAAATAGAACGAGGGACAACCTCAAAGAGGGAAGAGGCAGATTGGCGATGGAAGGCCGAGAAGGAACGGTCGAGAGAGTTGGATAGACTAATGGGCAATAGGTTAGACGCGGTATATCTGAACCACAGAGGTCTGGGCTACTGACATGCATCTGAGTGTAATGAAACAGGCAAACGCTGCTCAAACCTGCATTCGCCTTTTTACCAGGGACAGATATACATATCCACTCAGACTACAAAACTCAAACTAAACTAACCAACCAACCGCGTGTATAGCCAATCCTTATCCTTGGTCTTACTTTCTTATTGTGAAACCAGTAAACTATATAGTTTTTCCACCACACCTTCACCTCACATTTCCCAGTCCATCTTGCTGCTGCTGGTTGTTAATTGCAAGGAGAGCAGTTAAAAAGGGAAAGGGAAGGGGGGATTAAACACGAGAATAAAAGAAAAGAAATGAGGAGACAGGAAGGAAGGAGGCCTTGGATATCTTGCATAGCATGTTATCGATATAAAAAGATACTAATAAAATAAAAATAAAAAAAGAGACTGGCTAACAGACGGACGGACGGAGGAGCGGACAAAGGCAGCCTTTTTGGTTTTTTTTTTTAATGAGGCAGAAAACCACTGCTGTGGGCATGTTTGTGCGTGTGCGTAAATGATCTGTGGGAACAAAATACAACAAACGAACACCTGTTCTTGGTTCATTCCTTTGCTTTTTTGCTTGTCTTTGTTAGCACGGAGGTCAATCTTTTTTTATTCTGTCATTCGGTGCATACTCGTATTGCGTCGTACTTGAACACAGCTGCGCTGAAAATTACAAGAATTACGGCCGCTCTTCATTTGTCCTCACTCCCTTCTCCTTGTCTCCTTTCCTTCGCACACCTCGAATGCCGTTTCATAATATGCCCTCTCTGTCTCCCTCGTTTATCCACCCACTTTTTCCGCACCTTTCCGTCTCCCGTCTATATCAAGATGCGATGGATGCTGATGAATGCGATGTTACCGGGGATCCACCGATATGTTAAGGTTCTGTTTGTAGTCTGAATATTTGTGGGTAACATCACTGATTGGCCAAACCCTTTTAGGCCTTGCCAAGGTCTCCGCAAGATGTTCCACGTTATACCCAAAGAAAAAAAAATCTGGCTAAATCTTGTAGGTCGCACATATGCATCCCACGGCATCTACAACAGTAAACAGTGTCAGTTTTTGCCTGTCGATGTCGATTTCTTTTTTTACTCCCTCGCCATGCATGGCGTACCCTGTACTGCAGTGTACGACGTCAGCTCCTCCAAAAAGAGTCATCCACGGCATCTCTGGGAGGTGAGCTATCGCCCTTTTGTCTTAATTTGCCATGAACCAAGGCCAGGAGACCTTGTTCTCTTGTCTTCTTTAGGCCCCGATCAACACCCCGTTCCTGTCGATCCTGACCTATCGCAACGGCTCAATTTAAACAACATGTGCAAACCAGATCTTTCAACGTCTGATGTTCTGAGATAAACCTGCATAGATTCCACCGCTCACAATCCACTTGCCTGGCTGCAATTCAAGTCCCTTGTTTGCTCCGTCGGAGTCTTGTTTTGGTTTTTTCCCTTGTCCTGCCAACAAGTGAAGCGAATACAGCATGTACGCACCCAAACGTTTTTTAATGGTCTTGTGAGGTGCATATTTTTTTTCTTGTTTCTGTCGAAAAGAATCCCACGCCCTCCTGCACAACAAAAAATAAAATAAAAATGCAGGCGATGAGTCGACAACAGAGCACGGCGGGTGAGCGGGAACCATATAGCCGAAGCAATATTCGCTCAAACAAAGCGATACCCTTTCCCCCCCGCTCATGGACCCAACATGTAAGCAAATGGATGCGCAGTGCCATTTCACTGTCACTATTGAGACACTTACCCATTGGCACATCAACATCAACATCAACATATTGAGCTCGCGCACTCTCGGATCAACGAGGACAACAAGCTAGAGGGATAGAGAGAGAGAGAAAGAGGGAGATAGGCAAGGAAAAATAAAATAAGCGCAAGTGCATTGTGCATGGCGAACATCGGCCGTGATTGTCGTCATCCGGAAGATAGAGAAATGAACAGCTTTCTAAATCCACATGTACATCATCTGTCAACATGGAGATCTAGTGGGGAATACGGGGAATATCTGTTTACAGCGCCGAGTTATCTCTCGCTCCATCGACAACCCTTCTTTTTTTGCGGTTGCTTTGTTTGTTCGTACGACCGTTAAATCCTCGGTAACCAAAAATCCGACAAAGAGGCTCTCGATGGACCCGGTGGTATTTTTGTCCCACGCGAGATTGTCTAGAATGAACGGACGGGGGCATAGCAAACGCAAGCTTAGACCTAAAATAACGCTCCCTCTTCGGCCAGAAAGCCGTTTTTCTTTTTATGACGTTCGCCCTCCTCCTCAATGAGTCGACAAACACCAACAAACCATAACCACACGCCTGGGAATGTGTGCTTGAACAGGCTTTTTGTTGGATGCAGAAGATCCCACCTTATTGCCCAATGATATTAAAGCCGCATTTCTGCCGCTGCAATGCGGGGAAAGTGCTACCCAATTCCAATCAAGCTCGTTGTGGGGAAATGGGTCCCTTCTTCCAACTCAAACGCTATCGACTCAAATGATGATCGACCAACACTGCACCCCACTTTGTCTCTAGCCTACATCCATTAGGCTACCGTTGTCCTCCTTGTCCTCCTTGTCTTTCTGCTCTGAATGAACCCCTTCGTTTCCAAACGGACGTCGTAGACTATGAACAGATGGAACCCTTCCATCTCACTTTTCCCCCCTTGCTCATCCTTTCAGTCCCTTCGGAGACCATATAGTCTGCCCAATAAACACATGGATACAAAAACGATATATTACATACTCTTTCCGATAGTAGCACCGGCAGAAAATAATCTACGACTATGGAACGGAGGTCATCATAGCTCGGGTGTGGAGCCTGGTAGTCGAACAAGACACCTCGCCGACTATCATCGATTCTCCTTCCAACGTAGACGCCGGCCCTGGTGCTGCTAGTTTGGACTTGCAGGACTCACAATCGCCCCGGCATGTCGCAGATTTCGTCGTGCCGCCTGGACCACTGGGTTGCGCTCTGCCTGGGATGGTGTCCTCGATATCGGGCAGGGAAATATTTGCAGCTGGTTGGTCGATCGCACCCATGGTTGGGAACTGTGATGAGGTAGAGAGTGGCGAGAACGAGGCTTCAACTGCGTTCATGTCTGTACTGTGCTGTTGTTGCTGAAGCTGAGGCTGTGTGCTGAGGCTGTGTGCTGAGGTGGGTTGTCCTGATAAGGGAGTAGTATAGATAGGATGGTTGTGAAAGGATGGATGTCAACTGGAGACAGGTCGGGGTACAGGTGGGGGGGGGGGGGGGGGGGGGGAGGGCAAGGGTTGGGTTCCTGCCCACATTCATAGCCTGTCGGATATATATATGGACGTATCATCCTTGCTCCCCTGAGCGTCGCGCTGAATGCAGCCGAGTGGTGAGGGGCAAGACTGGTTCTAGTCGCATGCAGAATGCTGACGGGGCCTTTTACCCTGACCAAGATGAAACCCAGTAGGTTGGAGGGGAAAGGATGGGGGGCGCGCGCATTCCTCTTTTAGGCACATCCCGGAACGAAATCCAAAGAATCCAAGACATGCTAAAAGAGCACGAACATGTCCACATCCACACCGACGCAGCTCGGATCGTCCTTCTTCGGGTTCATCCTATACAGCCATATCTTGATCGCATCAGCCCACACCCTTTTACAGTTTTATAGCTCCATCCTCTTCATTGGTTTTAATCGTGGGGCTGCTGTGAAACCCGATGCATGCATGCAGATACAGTGCGCAATTGGTTAGTAGTAGAGATATGGGTCTGACTGCACCACGAATGGCTGGCTAACATCCGCCCACTCCGTCCCCTGACCACCGACTCCTTTCAGGCGAAGCTGATACGCCCCTGTAAGTACCCATGTCGGCATCCGTACCACCACCGCTCCCCACGACGCCGGCACGCGGTCCGTAAGAACTGCCTCGCACGGTTGCTTCAATGACTCCTTGGCCAGTTCTGCCCTTGTCCTCACCCTTGTCCCGGTAACAGACCCTGCCTCGACCGACACATCCGGGGCCTTGATCAGCTCCACAGCTAAGAGCATACGGTCCCGTACAAGCCCATCAGATGTCTGCCAGCTCACGGTCCTATCGCGATTGGCACGCCAAGTCGTCGACGTCCATGGTTGGATAATCTCTCTGCCATGTTCGATTCGGACCCCAAAGTCTATAAGATCTGTGGATGGTGCACCATAACTCTCGTTCTGGTCCATAACATCGTCATCCGCGTTATCAGGAGAGGTATCGTCCCAAACGGTCATCAGCCCATTGAGTTGTTCGATTGCAGTATTCCAAGTCTCCTGCACGTCCTTCCCTATCGATCCCTCTTCCTGCATCTCCTCCAGTTCTTCGTCCACGAAGTCAGGTGCCATGTCGCGGCCCGTCATGATGTCCATCGCTTCCTTGAACCGGAAGGTCTCTTGAGGAAAATCTGCGCGCTCGAACGATGTCGCATCGGCCCGACCCACTCCATAAATCAAGCCCATTATCATATCATGAAGTTCGGCTGAGAAACCGCGAGCCGCTTTGGACAACTGGAACGGGTTCTCGTATGTGCTCCTTTGATGCTGTTGCTGCTGCTCCTGCTGTGAATATATTACAGAATCGAATTCTCCTGCGTCGACAGCGCTCCATCGCTCCTGATGGACTTTGTCGCTCGTGGTTGCGACAAACTCACTCCACTCCTTGAACTCGGGACTCAGCGTCGTCACCTCAATCGCCTCTGCACCTCTCCAGATGCCGACCTCCCGCGCCTGTATGCTGTCAAACGCCATCGATTTCGCAACACCAGGTGATTGTACGAGACTCGACGTCGAAAGATCCCACACACCATGCTTGTCCAAAGCTTCAGTTGTTGTTGTACCTTGATGATCCGAATTCCTGCCTTTGTCCCAGAAATGAATCTCCAAACGGTACCAGCCCGGAGAGATCTCTGTCCTAAGATGAAACCTTGCCCGAAGAACGGATAAAGGTATCTTGCTCAGGAGCAGCTCACTGGGCCTCGCGGGATCGAGAGGAACAAGATGGATGTCTATCAAGAGTAGTTCGTACGGTGTGGTAGGCCGTTTGTCCTGACCAACCCCTTGGAGATCTGTATCCTTTGCAGCGCCTTGCTGGATGTCAACTGGAGTATGGTTTTGTTGAATAGCTACGATTTGGTCCATGAATTGTGGACCCAAAGACCATACTAAAGAGTATCGCATCTCATGGCGCCAAGGTGCCTGGATCGGTTGAAGTGAAAAGTTGGACACACTCTGGTCAAAGATGGGTCTGCGAAACAGACCATGTCGAGTTGGTAGCGGTCCCCATACGACCTTCTTTTTCTTTTTCTTTTTCTTCTTGTTCTTCCTTGCAGGGGTCTTTCGCGACCCGTCCTTCAGGCTTTTGTCGACTGATGCAGACGCTGGTGATTGTGATGGAGCGCTGTCAACGCCCGTTTTTCCTGATGCTGCTTCGAGTTGTACATATACAATGTCTTTTGTATATGCCGGCAATGGCTCTGATGCGATTGGCAAGGGATATCCAGATTGTGAAATGAACGAGACGGATAAGGCGAGTGCCAGCCACAGGACGGACAGCTTTCTTTTGGTGCGTATTGAATAGGACATTGGCTTGGTTTTCATGCGGATGTGGATGGATAGAATAGTATGAAAGAAAGTGTAGCAAAGAAGACAAAGTGTGAAAGAGAAGAAAGACTTTGGATGAAGCCTATTCTACATTCTTGTTTGTTCTAGGATGCTTGTAAGCACATTCCTATCTCAACCACGGGCATACATCTCGATTACCTAGATTGTGCCTCCACCTCTCCTTTTGTCCCCCAGTTTACTTCAGCCCTTCCTTGGACCCCCTAGCGATACTGCAGGCGCATCATCTTGCAACAGTGAGTATATAACTATAAAAAAAGTGGACGCGCCTCTCTTTATTTTGATTGTCTGCGAACATGCGAGTCCGACTGAGCAGCGACCCTATTTACAGAACTGGCCCCCTTCCGTCCAAGCGCTCTAGATGACCTTTGTGATGCTGTGGATGATCTCCTCCTTCGTGATCAAGTGGCACGTCTTTTCAATCAGCCCCAAAAGTGCATTGATGTCCTGCGACCACTCATTCAGCACCTCGTTTGGATGCTTCGACTTCGCAAATGATACGACTCCCGCTGGCCGATCAATCTTGGCATAGATCGTCTTCGAGACCACCAGCTTTGATAGGAATCCCTCGCAGTCCATGTCGGGCAAATCAAGCAGCTGTGTCAGGCGCTTTGTTGTGATACGAGTATAATACTTGGCAATAACCCGGATGTTCTACTCAAGACAAAAGAGAGCTGATTGTTAGCGTACCTTATACTTCACACTAATTGCATTCGTAAGTAAAGGTCGCCAGAATGCATACATGTTCAACCACGCGATTGTGAAGCTCCTTCAGTCTCTTTCTCGAGGCCTCATCACCGCCAGCAAGTGCCGGGTTCTGTCCCAGAATAGGTCCATATATTTGCTCAATCATGGACCAGCGCATCAACTCCGTTGTAATGAAGCACTTCAATAAATCCCTATCATAGAATCCGCAGATACACAGGAAACAGAAGCGTGAGTATAACCAACATGCACCACTCACTTCGCACGTACCCCAAGGTGTCGCTTCGCGGCAGGCAAACATACCTATAGACAGGAGTCTCGACGTCGTCTGCCTCCAGGTACACTCTCTGAATCAGATCCGACTGCTCATTGTCAAAAGGAGCTAGGACTACAAACAGAACTGCATTCTCGACCGCCTAAGAAATGCAACAGATGAATATACAGAAAAGTTGAAATGAGTTGGCATACACCCTTAGATATTGAGATATTGACTAAACGCCTTCACGATTCGGTGTTGGTGTGCCCAATATACCTTCTTGGCCTTCTCTGGGTCTTCCTTAATGCAGGGGGTGTCATAAATTTGTCTGTAGTGTTTGCACGCGCTCAAATACTCGTTTTCGTGCAACGAGTACTCAATCATCAGGTCGTAGTAGCGCAATTTCAAGTCCTAATCGTATTCATAGGTAGAAAGTGCGTTAGCAAATCGGCGTAAAAGCATCAATTCCGCAGGAAATGAGCATGCGTGTCGTGTGCAGCCATTGGTTACCATACCTGGACATCGGTCTCCTTAAAGTATCGAATGTTGATCTTTTTGCTGATGATGTTGGCTCGAATATAGTCCCTCTTCAACAGGCACAGGCGCATCTGCTCCAAAATAAAGTCCGTCTTCTCGCGTCTTTCCATCGATCCAAATGTCTCGACCTAATATTCAACATGTTAACGATAGTATGCTCTGATTAGTGAGGATATGCAATGAAAATGTCTCCTTAGAAAAAGCCGACAGATCTAGAGTATAGGCACGCAATGCTATCTCAGTCCAACACGATCTCGCCGTACTTGAAGGTCCTGCATGATATCGGCAGCGTCAGTCACATTGCCTTCATCCTCCTTGATCTTGGCCAGAATGCGGGTTACGCGGGCACGCTCGACCTCGAGATAGACCTGTTATCCAGTATAAAGCAAGCAAGCAATGAGAAATGGTACAAAGATACATTTTAAAACTGAGCTTCCACTCAAGGAAGCAAGCGTAACAAAGGTTTGATATCTCTGCTGTTACCTTTCCGTCTGTCACAGTTCGCAGGGTATCGATGAGCTCCAGCTTCGTCTTCATGTCGGGAGTCTTGTCAAGGCAATCCATGGATTCCTGGATCATCTTTGTGATGGCCTGCTTCAACTGACCATGCTTCTTGGAGAGAAGCACAATATATTCCTGCATCAACTTCCAATCATTTGCCTCGAAGGTGAGCTGGATGAAACGCTTCAACACGCGTGTGCTCGAGGCGAGATCTGCAGACTAAATTGAGGCACAGATTTTTAGACTTTGTCAGTGGTTTTTCGTCTCAACCATGCCATGCCTGTCGTCGATACAAATTACAGATAATGACCAAGAAGCTCGATAAATCCGCAACCCATGACTTACGGAACGTGTCTGCTTCTCAAGGGACAAAAGCTGCTCCAATGCCTTGGTAAGGTTGCCGCTCTACAATTGCATTCGTGTCGAAAAGTTGATTATCCAAAGAGGAACAAAGTCGAGTAAAATCAGTACTGAGTACAAATACGACCCCTTCGCTCCATCAAATAGAACATTTGCGCACAGGGCAAGTAATTCGCCACAGAGAACTTGACGTAGGCTGTCATACCTTGGCATCAGCATCGATCTCTGGGAACTGGGCATCAACGATGTCCGAGCAGTCCTTTTCCATTTTTTGGATTGGTTCATCCATGGTTCGTAACTTTGGTACTGGTAGTCGTAGGGTGAGTTGTTGTAGTCTTAGTTCGCTCCAAGTTGCGTGGTGCTTTGGATATCGTTCGCTTGTTGTTGCTGTGTGCCGGTCAGAGTGGTTTGAGAATGAATGGGTAAAGAAAAAAGGGACAAACAGACGGTGATGCACTTTCACGGCGCTTGCGCGTTCGACTTGGTGGACCCAAAAACGCGTTCATTCGGTGGGCGATCAACCCATATTCGATGACGATGATCATCACGTGCATTTAATCCAATATCAAGGATCGCTGGGCGGAGCAATGAACTTGTAGAGAAGCGTACCTCTTGGAATCAACTACAGCATGGCAAGGCAAGAGCAACAGGACACGGACATGGGCCTGGACCTGGATGAGGATCATGTCGTGCTGTATCCAATGCAAACGGAGAAGCAGTATGCTCCTACGCCCGACTATTCTGACTACAAGGAATCCTTTGCGTCCACAAGCACGCCGCTCGTTATCGACAATGGTACACTAGAGGGATATTGCAAAGATTGCATTCATCACGATCTGATCACCATCTGATCGCCATGTGGAGAAGGGCTCTGGAAAGTCAAAGAGACAGAGGACTGACTCTATGGACCATTGACTGTCTTTCTCGATATAGGATCGTGGCAATGCAGAGCTGGATGGGCTACCGAGGATCGGCCGAGGCGTAAGTCCTGTTTATTGTTCGGTCGCTCAAAGAACTCCTACAACAACTATACCACCCAGCTAATATGAACTTTCTTTGTTCGCGCTTACAACCAATGACAGTTATCTTTGACAACCAGATTGCAAAGTTTCGGGATAGAAAGGCCAACATATCGAATACCTTTGTCGGAAACGACGTCTACTCGGATGTGCTTGCGAGATCCAATGCTAGGACAGCATTTGATGGCACCGTCATGTGCAACCCTGAGATCATGGTAACGGCCATTTTCGGATGCATCATTATCTGAGGCACTCGCAGTGGAATTACACGACATGTACAAGCCAATTTATATCGATGCGCCCATAACTATGTAGGAAACCGTGCTGGATTACATATTCATCAAGTTGGGCATTGATGCAGAGGAAATTAATCATCCGTTAGTGATGACAGAACCTGTTTGCGTGCCTCTTTACAATCGCAACCGTAAGAACATAATGCGGATCAATGAAAAGCATGGATATGATTGCCTTAAGTTATGACCTTTATTAACCCTCATATTTGCCTTATCACGATGCTAGTTATGTCCGAGCTGCTATTCGAGTCGTATCAAGTCCCTTCAGTAACATACGGAATCGATTCGCTCTTCAGTTTATACGCAAATGACTCCGAAAGATCTAGGGACGGCATTGTCGTATCCGCCGGCCACCATTTTTCGCACATCATTCCAGTATCCGGCGGTAGAGTCCATATGGAGCACGCCAAGAGGTACGACATTTTATCCCAAATACGCGTTTTCAGGAATGGAAATAGCATTGCATTCAGGACTAATATTACTGTGCTTGCTGCGACTGTTGCTGTTCAGGATATCATATGGAGGCGTTCCTGCCAGCGAGTATATGCTCAAACTCATGCAAATGAAGTATCCGACCTTCCCCGTGAAAATGACGACCTTTCAATCTGAGGTAACTTGCAAAGCATGTCCTAGGAAGAAACAACGAGCCTCTACAATTCTAACGTGTATTTTGATGCTCTGTTAGACCCTCTTTATCAACCATACATATGTCGCTCACGACTATCTGGAAGAACTCGCGTCTTATGAAGACCCCGAAGTGTTCAAAACGAAGGACAGAGTGGTCCAGTTCCCATTTGTGGCACCAGTGATCGAGGAAAAGTCCGAGGAGGAGCAGGCTAAACTTGCAGCGAAGAGAAAAGAGCAGGGACGACGATTACAGGAGCAAGCTGCCAAAGCCAGACTCGAAAAGGTAGTGTTTGGAAGTGCAGATGTACGATTGAATGCCTGCTTTTGTCAGATGAGTTGATCTTATTCGCTCAGTGCCATCTTTATCATGTTGTAACTTCACAATATCGTATAGTTGATTCAACGGGAGCAGGATCTGGAGCAGTACATGGCACTCAAGAACTCAAGGACAACACTAAAGAAGGTTGAATGGATGGTATGATTTGGCAGCGCAAAGACAAGAGGCAGGAAGCTCATTATGAACCTTGACCACTGACATTCACCTGCACTTTGTGCTCTTGTACTTTGAATAGGAGCAGCTCAAATCTATGGGACTCAAGGAAGAAGCCGACTTGGACGCCGCTATCAAAACAACGGACGCAGCGATTAAGCGCGCACGCAACAAGGAGCTTGGTATTGAAGAAGAGGAAAAGGTATGCCAGAGATGATTAGCGCTGCATTGTTACCTACTTTAATTTCTGTCATGTCTTTGCTAATTGTTGGCTTTACATATCCCGACTTTCTAGGAACCACCAACGTTTCCGCTTCTGAGTGTTCCGGACGAGGAATTGTCAGAGGCTGATCGTAAAGAGAAAAAGAAGCAGCGTTTGCTCAAGGCGAGTTACGATGCCCGTATGCGAGCCAAGGCAGCCAAAGCCGAGGAGGCAGCTCATCAGGTATTGGCGACACTTCTGTCTTGGGATTGGTCCTTTAGATGAATTCTTCTATCTTGTATGTTAAGGCAACTCCACGATTTTTTTCTTTCTCAGGAAGAGTTGGCTCGATTGGAAGCAGAAAAGCGAGAGAAGGAGCCTCAGAAATGGCTGGCAGAAATGCATGCAAAAAGACAGGAACTGGTGGACAAGATCAAAGCCAAGAAGCAGCTTCGTCAGCAGCTGTCAGATCGCCGGAGTCATGCCTCACAACTTCGTATGAAATCGATCGCTGCCCTCGCAAGCGATAGTCCTCCTCCGAAGCGACGCAGAAAGGGACAGGATGGTAATACCTATGAGTCCTGCTCACGAGCCTGTTTGAGGCAAGCATGTGATATGGAAATTCACCTACCCTTTCGTATATTTTTTGAACGTTAGAGGACACGTTTGGACAAGACGACGAAGACTGGATGGTTTATCGTGAAATTGTAAGGGTTGTTTGCTCAAGCTTTACTTTTTTTTTTTTGCCGATGTGGTAGATTTTATGCATCTCGTACCAACTCTGCTAAATCTTTTTATGTGTATTGTAGAGTCGAGACGACGATTCAGAAGACGAGGAAGAGGCAACGTTGTTGAACGATTACGAGCAACAGCTGCTCAAACACGACCCTAACTTTCACGAGGAACACACCATGAATGCGTACACGCCAAAGAACTCGTTTCTGCACTACTATGCTAACGGCCTTGGGCCTTATGACCCAGCGGTTGGACTCTCGCTCGCTCAGACGTACCAGCTGCATGTCAATGTCGAGCGGATCCGTGTTCCTGAGGCACTCTTCCAGCCAGGAATCATTGGACTTGATCAGACAGGACTCATCGAAACTATACAAGATGTTTTGAAGCGATTCGATGCTCAAGCACGGCAGCGACTTGTCCAGAACGTTCTGGTTACAGGCGGAGTGGCACAGGTGCCCGGACTCATCGACCGACTAAATAACTCGATTCGGTCCATTCTACCATACTCGCCAGATAAGAAGACATATGAAGTCCGGGCGGCACGCGATTGTTTACTGGATGCATGGAAGGGCGCAGCCATGGTTGCCAGAGACTCTAGACGGATGCAAAGGATTGCGGTGACACGACAGGAATATGAAGAGTATGGAGGCTCATACATCAAGGAGCACGAGTTGGGCAATGTACAAGTAACGGCATGAACGAACTCTTGGCTGTTGATGGACCTTGGGCTATTGCGACAATAACGACAGCAACAGTCATGTGCCCAAGGACAGCACTCAAGATTTAAATATAGTGGGCTGGAGAGACTGGAGAATCTGAAATATAGGGAGGGGCTCCTACGCACGAACCAAGAGAACGAAGAGAAAATAAGAAGAATAGAAATCTCGGAAATCTACCATCTCCCAAAATTCTATGGCTCTTGAGGACCAGGGCCATGAGACACAGCCACCACATACGTTTCATTTTTTACGTACAGGCATACACGCACAATGCGCAGGGGGGAGGGGGGTTTGCTTACTTTGTTGTAACAATGGAAATCCTGGAAGTGCAGGACTCATCACTCGTCTAGCATAATGCTAACGAGTATACCAGGCAACCTATAAATACATACTAAACACAGCTACAGCATGTAGAGGGATGGAGCTGGTCGTATGTGTGCTGTCTTTAAAAAAGACTGCCTGCGGGTAGCTTGGGTTATATGATAATTAGGTACATAGCGCCGAAGAGGACAGGGTAGAAACTAGAAAAAGAGGAAATAGATATAGCATTGGATCGTCGTCATTACTTTCGTCATTTATGGGAGAGGATTGACACAAGGCGTAAACCAGTAGGGGAAACTGCCCCTGACTAGACTAATATGGGCCGTTAGTTTTGTGTGTCGGATAAAAACGTTTTATCCGCGGCGTGTCGGTACCCAATAGCACACAAGTCGAGGACGTGTCCGGTCCCAAACGACGGCATTCAGGCACAGAGTTAATAATCATTTTAGGGCTTCTCTGCTGTCTCTCCCTCTGGAAAATGAAATTTTTGGTGCACACGCGATGGATATTCCGCGATGTTCGCGCTAGTCTACGAGCTATGAAACAAGTTAGACAACTCTATTCTTTACCGAGGAAGCGAGGAAAGATAGCCCCATCAACAACTGCAGCTCAATTGTGCCGATCTATCTAGAAAACAGAAGGTTGAAGGTGCGAAGAGGCAGGGTAACGACAAAGGTGTAAGCTATCACTCTCTGTCCGTCTTTCTCTCCTCTTTCTTTCTCTTTCTCTTTCTCTCATCTTCACCCTGCAATACCTCTTTATTCTTCTGTGTCCACATTCACGCTTCAACCGTCTCCACCTTTCCGTACTCTTCCCAAGAGCAGACCCTGCTCATTTATTTCCCTCAGCCTTCAGCAAACTAACATCACAGTAACCCGCTCCTCCCCTCTCGCCGCCTATCATGAAGTACTTGATTGGCCTGGCCTCCATTGCCTCCCTTGCGCTCGCTAACAGTAAGTACATCTCTTACCCCTCCGTCTTAGTTACACAAAAGCGCGCTTCTCACATCCATGACGTGCCTCTCAATATCTCTGCCAACTTCTTTGCATTACACATCTAGTCACCTTCAATGTTATCGGTTACCCTTCATCCACGGGGGGGTCGTTCGGTGTCTCAATTGCTGGCACAGTCCACAAGCTGGCAACGAACGAGAACATTTTCCCGGTCTGGACTGGCGCCATTCCCGGTACTCAGAGCACAGTTGAGTACTCGTATGTCGAACTTAACGGTCAGGGTGCTGCTCTCAAGGCCGAAGCCTTCACACGCAAACTGGCCAACGAGACCTGGACTTCAACCCTGAACGAGTTTTTTGAGCGACCCACCACTCAATGGGAACTTCCTAAGCTTCCCTACACTTACTTGGCCACATACCCGTCCAAGACCAAGGCGTTCAAACAGAAGCAAATTGCCACGATCCATGTTACTGCCCCAGCGGCGTTGATGGAAGAGATGGTCGCGAATCCCGAGAATGACAAGGACTACAAGGTCGACTTCAGGTTTATCAACTCCAAGACCATTCATACTCAGCAGAACATTACGTTCTCGACCTCCGGCAAGTCGGCCAAGGAGTATACGAAGCAGGCATTCATGTTCGGCTTTGACACGTCGATGAATCAGACATTCTTTTCGCGCCCCAACATCAAGCTGCGATCCATGACCCAAGACCCAACCATGATCCGCGAGAAGCTGTATATTGACATGCTAAACTCCGTTGGTGTTCCAACACAACAGGCACGTCCTTCACATCGAGTTCCATGACGCGCTGCTTTATGGTAGTTAGCCAACAATTGAGCTAACATCGATATCAATGTATTCTTCCAGGGTGCATGGGTCCGCCTATTCGTCAACAATGAGCCATATGGTCTTTATCTGATGGTGGAGGATATCAAGAAGTCGTTTGCTAAGCAGACAATCCACGGTGGCTCTTCAACTATTGTCCGTGGATCTATGGTGCAGGTACGCGATGTGGCTTCTGCGCACCGAATATCAATTAGACTCCTTATCTAGAAAGAGGGACTTATCCGCATTCCTTTTTCCTTTTTCCTTTTTCTTTTTCTTTAAGATGAACGCGTGGATCAACAAAGCTGACCTCGTCTACAAAGGACCAACGTCCGCGAGCTACGACAAGGACACCTACAGAAGCAGGAACCTTGGTAACAGCCCTGCGACAGACGAACTCCAGGAGCTCATCACGTTCATGTCTGATCTCCAGGCCTTCGATCCCGTCTCAACTCCTGACCCCGTCGGCTACTGGAATAACACGCGCTTGGATTTGGACGGCTATTTGCGTTGCATGGCGCTTGAGTATCTGATGGGCGGCTTTGATATGTACTGGTACGCCGCATCCAACTATTTTATGTACAGGAACCCGACCCTTGCGCCAAACGGCGGCAAATGGCAATGGATTCCGACAGACATGGATAACACATTCGGAAGCGGTTATCCTTATTCGACTCTGCCCACGTACAAGAACTATGTCGACTTCACAGCCAACGGAGAGCGCCCTCTTGTCCAAAAGTTGATCTTACAAAACACTCAGATTAATGCGCTGTTTGAGCAGATCTTAAAGGAGATTGTCAGCACCGCATTCAAGCCCGAGGCGATGAATGCGCGTGCCGAAGCGTATCACCGTATGCTGTCCTTGGATGCTCAGTGGGACCTTGCGTTGGTCCGTAAGAGCCCTGGCAAGGACAGAAACACGACCTTCGCCGACTTTAACAACAATCTCTATAACGCGACCTCGGACATGCAGTCTGGTGTTCTGGGCTGGGTTCAGGATATGTCGAGTCTTGTCGCGAAGGAGTTGAACTTTGCAATTCCCCAGGGATTGGTGGACCGTGTCCCTCCACCCCCAAAGAAGGGCAACGAGGGCAATCCTGAGGACGAGGAAGACGGATCGGACGAGACCGAGGGTGATAAGGATCCCATCGGCCAGAATCGTAACGCTGGCGAGTCGCTGTTCAGCAAGAAGGGTTTGTTCGTCCAGGGAGTCGCTGCCCTGACGGTTGCTTTCGCGATGGCGGTTTAAGACGTCTACAAGCATTGTTTTACATAGAATGTCGACGGAGCTTTGTCACCACAACTGTGGTTTTCTTATGTTACTTTAGAAATGAAAGAAATGAAAGAAATGAAAGAAATGAAAGAAATGAAAAATACCTTTATGCTATGCTTTGTGCATGCCAAGACGACCCTATTACGAAAGACAGTATCTGTGCTGAGACTGAGTATGCTTCATAGATAGATCGTTAGTTTTCTCTGCAATCGATTTTTTTTTCTCTTGGTCTAAGAATAACTTCTGGCTGTGTAACAATGAGTTTTACCCGCTGTTCCGCTTATATACCCCGATGCTTCCACCCCTGCCGCACGTGGCCAGGGGAGACCGAGACTATTTCAATACATTACTGGTTCCTGGTGCTAAAAGTACATGCCACCGAGCTGTCTTAGCTATCGGTCTTACCGCCCCTGAGACGCAGATGCTGAACCGAGGGAGCAGTGCAAGTCTGCATCAGTGCTCTGGGTCCGGGCTTTCGAGAACTACCTTCCAAATTGTAGCGACAAAGGCTCTCAAAAGTAGAGAGAAGAAGGCAGGTTGCATTTAGACGCGGCCTGGATTGATTCTTTTTCTTCATGTTTTCTAAATTTATGTGGTGGAATGATGCCTATTGATGGACTGGATAATTATCTCCATTCTGCTGATTTGTGTGCTCTATCTGAGTTCCGGATAATGAACATTCTGAGCCCAGGGCCGACCCACTGTCGTGTGGTATTGAGCCGTATCCCCGAGGGTTTCCTAAAGGCGATAAAAAAAGAATGGGAAGCGCCGCGGAAGGGATGTTTGAGTGGAGAACAGTGCCGAGAACGAGGGGTGCAGATGTTGTTGCAGTGAGCGGGTGCCACTTTATTGCCTCTTTTGTACTCATTCGTCCAACCCACCTTTCGGTCCGTCCCTTTTTCACTTTGCATCTCCTGCCCTTCACACCCACGCGTCTAGACCTCACTTCAATCTACTTAAATATCCACCGGGAAGCAAACATTCATCTTTCCTTTCCCACCCTCTTCTTTCCTTCTCAACGGACCTTGGCCCTCTCCACCCCCCTCACTTCACCGACCGCCATCCTCATTTTCTACTCAAGCACCTACGCCATGGTACGCCTCTACGCTGCTTTGGCAGGTCTGGTCGCAATGGCCTCATATGCTCTCGCTGATAGTAAGTCCTCTCCCCACACAGACACTCTTCCCCGCCCTCCCTTTTATATTCATCCGGCCCTATTCCCTTCAAAGCCCGTTTAACTGCAGCGATCTAAATGAACCGCAGCTGCGAGTCTTTTTGGGAGAAACTGCATACCAAATGATGGGGCGGCAGCCACCCTAGTGCCTGCATCTTTATATGTTCTTTCTCAAAGCGGAGCGCAGATATTTCCTTTTGGTTTACCCCTGGATCAATTCATCTGTAACAGATCTGACAAAAACGCGTCTTGTTTCTAGTCACTTTCAACGTGGTCGGTTACCCATCGACCCCTAGCGGCAGCTTCGGTGTCTCCATCAGCGGCGCCATCACCAAGCTCGCCAGTAATGAATCAACATTTCCCGTCTGGTCCGGCTCCGTTCCAGGCACGACATCCTCGGTCGCCTACCAATATGTCGAGCTCAACGCTGCCGGCGCCGCTGTCAAGACCGAGAGCTTCACACGCACCCTGAGCAACACTACCGACACCAAGACCTATAACGAATTCTTTGAACGCCAGACGACCAAATGGACCTTGCCAAATGTGCCTTACGCCTACCTTGCCACCTGGCCATCGTACACCAAGGTCTTTGACGACGACGTAATCGCGACCATCCATCTGACAGCTGACCCAGCCCAGATGGCGGCCCTGAATGCGAATCCAAACCAGGAGTCAGACATCCGCGTCAACTTTCGTTGGATTGACCACCATATGATTTATTCCCAGACCAACATCTCCTTCAAGACATCTGGCAAGTCGTCCAAGGACTTCCAGAAGCAAGCTTATAAGCTGTCGTTCGATACCAACCTCAACCAGACCTTCTTTTCAAGACCCAACATCAAGCTGCGCTCTGAGGTCACAGACCCGACCTTCATGCGTGAAAAGGTTTACATTGATATGCTGAATGCCGTCGGTGTCCCCACACAGCAGGTAAGGGCCAGTAAAACAGTAAGACGAATACGATAACAACAAATAGATGAAGGGACCATTGACATTCATACTGTTCTTCGTCATTGCGTTGCTCCTCTTTCTTCTCCCTGCAGGGCCAGTTCGTCCGTCTCTTTGTCAACAACAACCCCGTGGGGCTCTATCTGATGGTAGACGACATCAAAAAGTCGTTTGCCAAGCAGACTATCCACGGCGGAGATTCTAATGTAGTCCTTGGTTCACTTGTCCAGGTAACGAATGCGAACCAATGCTGCAGCAGCAATGCGCTGGTATAGAATACCCTTGTGCTTACACACCAAGTATATCTCCCCTTTTAGATGAATGCACCAACACTGGACAACCAGGCTGACCTTGTCTACAAGGGCACCACCAACACAAGCTATGATCCTTCGGTCTACGCTGATGTCAACCTTGGCAACAATCCTCCGACTATGCCTCTGGGCCAGCTAATCCAGTTTATGGCCGACTTGGAGGCCTTTGATCCCGTCAACACCGCTGACCCTATCGGCTACTGGAACAATACGCGCTTGGATCTCGATGGGTTCTTGCGCAACATGGCCATGGAGTACCTCGGGGGTGCGTTCGACAATTATTGGATGTCCGGCTCCAACTACTTTATGTACTTCAATCCCACGCTCGGTACGCAAGGCAAATGGCAATGGGTCCCAACTGATTTCGATGGTACCTTTGGCGATGGATACCCGACTTCGACCTTATCCCCCTACCAGACGTTCTATAACTTCCAACCCGACCATCCCTTGGTTTCGAAGCTGATCATCAAGAACAGCGCCATCAACGCGTTGTTCGAGCAGACCCTCAAGGACATTGTGGGCTGGTCTTTCAAGCCCGACGGCCTCTTCCCCCGCATCGCAGTTTACAACCAGATGCTTGCCGATGACTACAAGTGGGATATATCGATCAACCGCACGGGTCCCGGCAAAATCAACGGCTACACGTTTGACGACTTTAACAACAACCTAGACAATATGACGAAGGACATGTCCTACTCGCTCAGGGGTTGGATCCACGACCTGTCGGCGTTGGTGGCCACGCAGCTAAACTTCACAGTCCAGCCCGGTACCGCTGATCGAGTCCCACCTCCTCCCAAACCGACGCACGGTAAGGACGACAATTCGTCCAGTTCGCCCAGCAAGCCTAAGGCCGCAGGCAACGCACCATTGGCGGCCCCTGGTGGGTTCCTCGCCGTGCTGATCATTGCCGCGTCTCTGAGCGCGATGCTGCTCTAAGCGCGCCATAAACCCATCATCAAACCGACCGTTAAAATAGAAAGGAATAAAAATAACAATAATAATAATGATAAACGTTTTTGGACTGATGAAAAATGCTCCTCCGGTCTTCCCACTCGGTGTTGTCGCACCCCTCTTCCTTCCGCCGCACTCTCTCCGCATTCGCACACACTCTGACTCGCAACATGACCTCACTGATCGAGCAAGCTAAGCAGAAGGCCGCCTACCAGGCTGTCGATGAGCACATCCTGCCCTCGCATAAGGTCATCGGTGTCGGATCAGGATCGACCGTCGTTCATGTCGTCGCACGTCTGCTCCAGCGCGATCCTGCACTGAATGAGAAGACGGTCTTTATCCCTACCTCGTTCCAGTCCCGCGGGCTGTTGCTCGATGGAGGACTGAATGTCGGGGACATCGATCAGCAAGTGCCAATGCCGTGTTTACTCTCTCTTGTTTTGCCTCTATTGACTGATCGACTTTGCTGATCAACTGCTTGCGATCGTGTTCAACCTTAGGTATCCAAACGTCGATGTGGCTATTGACGGTGCCGACGAAGTCGACTCGCAATTGAACGCTATCAAGGGCGGGGGAGGCGCTCACCTTCAGGAGAAGGTCGTTGCCGAAGCAGCCAAGAAGTTTATCATTGTTGCTGACTACCGCAAGGACTCCAAGATCCTGGGAGAGCAGGTATGACTCTGCCGCTCCTTTTTTCTGTTTATGTGCCAACGCAGCTCTTTTAAGACATCTCCCTTGTTACCTGTCATTCAAAACATAGTGGTCTCAGGGTGTTCCCATCGAAGTCGTTCCCTTTGCCTGGAAGGCAGTCATGAAGAAGTTGCAAAAATTGGGCTCGAATGACGCCAAGCTCCGGATGGCGGTTGCAAAGGCAGGACCTGTGGTTACGGATAACGGCAATTTCTTGATCGACGCACCCTTTGGTTTGATCAAGGAACCAGCTCAGCTGCTGAAGGATATCAAGCTGATCACCGGCGTGGTTGAAGTTGGTTTGTTCTGTAACATGGCTGAGGTTGCGTACTTTGGATGCCAGGATGGTTCTGTGGCAATCAGGACAAAGAACTGAAGGACTCGAGACGAGGGATCTTGAGGTGAGCCGCGTAGGAGAAGAACACACCTCCTACAGAACTACTGACATACATGCACACACTGCAGTAGGATGGCGTACTCAATAAATATCGATTGCGCTAGAAAAGTTTTTATGACAAGTGCTCAACGCGTATTTGCACGTGGCCATTTCAGGCCATATCATAAAAACATATACTTTTAATCTTGGTTAGGATGAAAGATCCACCTATCGCCATTTCAACTGAAGGTGAATAATGAGGCACTCCGCCCGATGTTATTATAGAATTTGTCCGCAACATCAGAGGAGCTTCCCTCTCATTGGATTTAGCCTATGCATCCATCAGGCCCGTGCAAGCGCCGAGCGTCGAGTGATTGCGATCGCGTGCAATAAATGCCTATACGTCGTATATGTCGAGAGCCGTTCAGGAAGACAGGGAAAGAAAGAACTTGATTAGAGGCATAAATGGAAGTTTCCGGTCCTTGGCGCACTCTTTTTTATAGTGCTCTTGATTATTATTGCATGGAGGAGGGAAAAAAAAAAGAAGAGCACATCGGCATAGAATAAGTGCCCAGTCCACAACCGATTACTGCTAACAATTCTGCTAAAAAAGGGCTGACATAAACAGGATAAAGGGAGGAGAAATCTGAGAAGGACGGGAACAGCGGTGAATGCATGTGCCCCCCTGGGGTTGTGCGAGTTGAGACCAAATCGAAAAAGGGGTTGTGCAGACTACTTGCGCCCTGGCATTCAAAAAGAAAAAGTAGGCTGCGACGTCTAATGCTCCAATGTTCAGATTGGATGAGTGTTAGTCGATTGGGAAAGTGTATGGTTGTACCTGTTTATGTGTACGTCAGTACGTTGGACAATCTCGTGTGGCGACAGGGTGAACCTTTTGTAAAAATAGGCTTCGTTAAGCTCTATTATTAAACCCTACACGAAGAGAAAAATGGGAACTTTGTCCCTGATCTCCAAGTCCAGACTTGATACAAAATGCCAAAAGAAGATGGGATCCCGGTAATTTCTTCTACTCCTACCGGGATTGGTATGGCCCTTGTTGCGGTATCTTATTTATTTGTGGTTGTGGTATAGCGGCCCTCGCGGATAGTGATGGCTGTTCCGAGGAAGAGACAAACGCATGCACTTAAAAAACGCAGCCTGGTTTCCTACCCTTCTATTCTTCGTTCCCTCCTTTCTCTGGTTTCCAATAGCACACACTCGCCACTCCTCGGCATTTTCTTAACCATCTCTTCCTTTTCTTCTCCTTTCTCTTCCTTTTCTCTCACCTCATTTTCCAAGCACGCACTTTCCCTATCACACATAAGCGCACATCACCTCCACCACCACCGCACCCCACTATGGTCCGATTCTTTGTTGGTCTGGCCGCCCTGGCATCCGTTGCCTTTGCCGACAGTAGGTGTCACTTCTCTTCCACTGGGACATACCCTTGACACTTTTCATATCTCTTTTTCAACGTGTAATGCACCCCCACACGACCATGAAGGTCAATTGACGACAGAAGACGCCTTTGATTCGTCGCTTACTCGCCTCACTTCAGGCACACGACGACAGCCCCGTTTCTCAGTTTTCACTCATCTCTCCCCTTGCTTGTCTTGCCTTGCCTTGCTTTGCTTTTTTTTTTTTTTTTTTTTCTCTCTTTCATGTTCTTCAGCCTTTGCTGTCTCCTGGTGCTTCTTTTTTAATTAAATTTATGCTCCTCGTCCTCTTGCTTTGTTGGTGTTGATTGTTGCTTGTTGCGGTATTTTTATTTTGGTCCGCAACTGTTTTGTGCAACGGTATCAAGGGGAAATGGTTGGGAAGGCTGGCTTGGGTTGATCAACGCTCTCTGCAAATTTAGTCAGTTACGCCGAGACAATACAAATTGGTCGTGTGGATGTGAGCACCAAACAAATACAAACAACACCAACTTGCATTTATCCGGGTATACTCCCCTTTACCTCCTCACACCCACAGACGCTTACACAAACATGAACACATCCATATTGACTAACACTATGGTTTTTATTTATAGTCACATTCAACTGTATTGGCTACCCTAGCAAGACTGGCGGCGCGTTCGGCGTCTCCATTTCAGGCGCAATCACAAAGCTCGCCACGAATGAGACCACGTTCCCAGTCTGGTCCGGCGTCGTCCCCGGCACCACCTCCGCGGTCCAGTACTCGTACGTCGAGCTCGACGCCACTGGCGCCGCCGTCAAGACCGAGGCTTTCGCTCGCAAACTCAACCAGACCACCGACACCAGCACCGACAACGAGTTCTTTGATCGCCCTATCACCTACCACGAAATCGTCCGATTGCCCTACACCTACTTGGCCACTTACCCCTCAAAGTCCAAGGCCTTTAAGGAGGATCAGATTGCGACCATTCACTTGACTGCGCCTGCAGCGACCATCCAGGCCATGAATGCCGCCCCTGAGACCGAGGCTGATGTCAAGGTTACGTTCCGCTTCATCAACGCCAAGACCATTTACACCCAGAACAACATCACCCTCAAGACCTCCGGCAAGTCCTCTAAGGAGTTTGCCAAGCAGTCGTACAAGTTCAAGTTCGATACCGACTACAACCAGACCTTCTTTTCGCGCCCTAACCTCAAGCTGCGCTCCATGTCCACGGAGCCCACCTATCTGCGCGAGAAACTGTACATCGACATGTTGAACTCTGTTGGTGTTCCCACTCAGCAGGTAAACATGCACGAATTTGCATGGGCCTTGTTCTGTCCAGTGCTTTCAATCTTCATTACTGATGCTCTTCATCGCTGTAATGTTTATAATAGGGATCATATGTTCGTCTGTTCGTCAACAACGTCGCGTACGGTTTGTTCTTGATGGTCGATGATATCAAGAAGTCGTTCGCCAAGCAGACTGTCCACGGCGGCGACCCTCTGGTCGTCCCTGGCTCGCTGATCCAGGCTAATGCCCCCACTCTGGAGGAGCAGGCCGATCTCGTTTATAAGGGACCTTTGACTGCGGCCTACAACCAGGAGGCCTACATCAGCCAGAACCTCGGCAATAACGTGGCGACCGAACCCCTGGGCCAGTTGATCACCTTCATGCAGGATCTCCAGAGCTTTAACCCCGTTACGACCCCTGACCCCGTCGGCTACTGGACCTCTCGCCTGGACCTCGACGGATTCTTGCGCAACATGGCTCTTGAGTATCTCATGGGTGGCTTTGACAATTACTGGATGGCTGGTTCCAACTACTTCATCTACTTCAACCCCACGCTCGGCGGATCCGGCAAATGGCAGTGGATCCCAACTGATTTCGATGGCACATTCGGTAACGGAGATTCAATCGATTCCAAGGGCTCGTACAAGGCCTTGTATAACTTCCAGCATGACCATCCCTTGGTCTCGAAGTTGATCATCAATAACACGCAAATCAATGCTCAGTTCACTCAGATTCTGAAGGAGATTGTCAGCACTGCGTTCAAGCCCGAGGCTATGAACCCCCACATTGACTCTGTTCACAAGATGATCTCGCTGGATGCCCAGTGGGACCTTACTCTGCCCCGCGTGTCGCCCGGAAAGGATTTGAAGTTTACCTTTGATGACTTTAACAATAACTTGGTCAACGTCACCAAGGAGATGAATGCAGCCTTGAAGCCCTGGATCGCGGATCGCGCCAGCTCTATTGCCACCGAGCTCGCATTCACGGTCCCTGCAGGAACCGCGGATCGTGTTGCTCCTCCTCCCCGCGGCAATGGCAAGGACGACGATGGCGATGACAACGATGCTAATGGTGGAGGTGCCTCCGGCAAGAACGATGCAGGCTCCTTGGCTGCAACTAGCCTGTCCGCCGTTGTGGCCATTGTCTCCTGTTTGATGTTCTTGGCTTAAAGAAAGGGCCCCTTCTTTTAATACCCTTGGTGGTAAACCGTGCCGATAATACAGATCCTTTTCCCTGTCATTCTCAATGCCTCACTCATAGATCAACTCTTTTCACTCATGTCATAATTCTCATTTATACATACTTTGCAACATATCATAAACTGTCAAACAATCGAAACTAGCGCGTCATAAGACTACAACCTGAGGTGGAGGGTCTGGCAGCCATCGAACGTACCGAGCATTCGATGATGTCTGTAGAAATAATAATGACACTATTCAATAAAAATTTAAACATGGAATTTGTGCCAGCTTCCATAACTGCAAACACAAAAAAAATACGTATCAATTCAGCTGAATTGAGTTATGCCAAAATATAATGAACAACGAACCGAAGCGATTTCACAATCTCATGGTTTAGTCTACTTACGCCTGTTCCTTGTTGGACCACCCTTTGCTTGACTAGATGTCATTATTAACGTATCATGCAATTGTTGTACCCTACATGACATTTATTTAAACGACCTTAAACGCGTTAAGCATTTCCTGCGTCATCATGACGAATGACAGGCATTAAGCATCCGGCCGTGATTCGTGCCCTGACCTAAGCTCGCGTTCCTGCCAAATACTCAAATGTATAGAAATACTCAACCTCATAAATACTCCATATTTCTCCCACCACATCACCTCAATTACTCCTTTCCTCAATACCTTCCACTACAACCAATATCCCCCTTACAGCAACAATGTGCGGAGCAATCGAATTTATCGCCTTTGACGGCCTCATCGTCATTGGTGTCATCCTTCTGATTGTCTGGATCCTTGCTCTCTGCGGCGTCTTCACCATCGGTAAGTCATCTTTTTGATGAAGAGGATTGTTCCTCATACATGCCATGTCGCATGCTGAACAAACTTTCCGCTTTTATGAACAAACATCTAGGTACTGGCCCTCTCGAGCACCTGTTTATTGTCTTGGCCATCATCTTCATCATCGCCTGGATCTTCACCCGGTTCTGTTACGGCGGACGTCGCGCTGGATACGGCAGGCGGACCATTGTCTAACAACGCTTTTTCAAATGGACCATTCCATCCAAGACCTATATCTCTTCCTTATCTCATCTACTTAATACGCAAGCTACTTTAACATTAATAAACGCCTGGTCATCACGAACGTTTTGAGGTCCTGGTCAACCATCCCTGGAATCAGCCCCAGTTAAACAGGCCAAGGAGGAAGACAAAAAACGCCAGGATTGGTGGCGCAAAAAGAATTTATGGGTTTCAACGTGATGTTCATTCGATGTGTATTTCATGCTTTATTCTTGCAGGCGTATCTCAACGCCCAGGCAAAGCGCTTACAAAAATCGGCTGTATCCTCCTCTTGGGCTTGACCTCGGTCCCACTACTGCTAGCAGTAACAGTGTTAATGGCAGTAGCGCCGCTGCTGCTTCCTGGAGCAGGCGTTAGCGTTGCCGGTGAAGTTGTCGTTGCTGTCGCTGCTGCTGCTGCTGCAGGCCGTGTCGGTAGAATGATAACAGGCGTCGTAGTAGTCTTCCGCTTCTTCGATGACGGCCGTTCACCGTCAGAGTCCATTATCGAATCACCATCCCGCTCCTTCTTGGACCGTGCTTTTGAAAACAGTTGCTTGACCGTCGTCTTCTTTCCCTCCGTATTCGTTGCTGCCTTATCCTGCTTCGCCTTTCCTTTGATCTGCTCCTTGGGCTCCTTCAACTCCTTTTGTTCCTTTTGTTCCTTCTGCTCCTTTTGCTCCACCAGCGACAGTCCATTCAGTTTCTGAAGCATGCCCGCAGTCGCTGCAATTGTCGCTGCAGAATCCATGGACTCGCTTTGTGCCATTGCAGCTCCGCTATCGCCCGTCGCAAAAAGAGCCATCACTGACTTGGGCGGTGTGTACACTGTTCCGAGCTCGCCTTCCTCAAACGATACGATCGAACAGAATCCGTCCGAAGATGTCAGAATCAAGTTGCATCCGTCGCTGGACCACGTCATGTCTGTGAATGTTGCGTAGTGGAGATGGGACACGAGAGCGAGAGCGGCCGTCTGTTGGGTATCATATATCAAAATTGAGTCCTGTGTTGCAACGGCATAGATTGACCGATAGCCCAATCCGAACACTGACGGCGGTTGAGGTGTCTTCTTTTGTTCGCCAGTCGCTTTCGTTGACCCTGGCCGCCCACCCTTCTCAAGCTCAGCTGCGTTCGTTGGTCGCCGGCTATAGTCGCTGCTCGGCGATGGACGCTGAATCTGCCGAAGTTCATAGAGTACTGGGCTGCATCTGATCGCGACCGATGGCTTCTTATGTCCTGGTAAGTGAGCAATAGGACCCCTACACGTTCATTAACATGCGCCAATTTTGGACAAAGAACATTTAGTCATCTGTATGAGGTATTGGTCGCGAGTTTTTCCGGCGGAACAAGAACTATGCCTTACCTGTTGAAATCCCTCCTCGCATAGATATAGACCGTGTTTCTGGTCTCCAGCTCCGCTGCCTGTGATGTTAACCCCGAGTCTTCATCTTTCGGCTGGCTGGGTTTCTGGATAGGCGCCTTGTATTGTCCAGCTGGCGTCAGCAGCATCGATCCATCGGGTGTGAACGACAGCCTCCTAAAGAATGATGTCAGCGTCTCGTCGTGATAGAGACGGAATGATTTCGGGGCGGACTTTGCTGGTTTTGATGCGTCTTCCTTGTCTGTCAATGTCTCTGGTTTAAGGTCTGTCTCGCCGTTGTGGTTCTTATTGCCGGATGCTGATGCGGCATTCGTTGCTGCAGAAAGTGATGGTTGTGGGACTGATCGCAGTTTGGCAAGGTCCAATTTGGTATTCTTGCCCAGACTTGTGATCAAAACATGTCCATGCTTGTCCGTTTTGAATGCATATATGTGAACCGATCTAGAGAATGCCAATGGGAAAGCAAAGTATGAGTGCTAAAGCTTTCTTCTGGCAGATTGATACTTTCATAGAAGGGTGAACCTATAGTTCCGTACCGGTCGCTGCTTTGGGTGGCAATAAATTCTCCAAGAGGGTCCCATGCTACTCCTTGAACATAGTGGTGATGGTCTGCGATGACATGTATACACTTGGCTAAGAGAAACATCGTAAATACATCGGTTAGTTCCATGTGTCCAATGGATGTACTTCTTTTCTGAAATAATTGGTGTAGCTTCGGGAAAGCAGACTATTCTCGTGACACTCACCATCCTTGACGTCCCATATCCGTGCGGTATTATCGATCGATCCTGAGATGATATAGCGGCCATCTGGTGACCATGCCAGATCATATATATCGGAAAGAGACCCTCGCATCATTGACTGAACTCGCCATGTTTCGCGCTCAAATTCGTCATCTTCAGACTCTGCAAACTTGCTCGCTCCATCCTTGGTCTCCGATGGTCGCCACAAAATAATACTGCCATCTAAGATGTTGGAGAAAAACATTGGTCAATATACCATGATGAGTCGTCATGCTTATACCAATGATCTGAGATATATAGATATATCATGCTGTATTGATATACGATAGCAAATGTCGTACCATCTCCTGCGGATGCAAGGCACTCGGCTATCACACGAGAGATATAATATGAGATGCGATAATGTTGCAGTTTAGAGGCACATTACTGTAGAAACGTTCTACTGTAATTTGTAGGGTACACGCAATCACCTGTGGGCGAGAATCGGACAACATTGACAGCGGCTGTATGGCGGTTCAAACTGGACAGGAACTCGATATGGGTGCTGTCCTTCTCCTTGTCCTTGACAACTCGCCAGAGCTATGGAATGAAAACTATATTTAGCATGCGTTCTGTAGCCGCGCAACTACTGCATAGATTTACGTGCAGAAGCAACATGATGGATATATCCATCCAGGCGGATAAAGAATATTACCCTCACGTTGCCATCGCCTCCAGCTGTGGCCAGTCGTCCTTTTGGACCTGGTTCGAAATGAGCCGAGTATATGGGTTGCTTGTCATGCCAATGGATTTGTAGGGGCTAACAAAGGCGCGAATGAAACAGAGCAAGGTGTTGAATAAGGAGAGCACCAGCATAGTGGCGATAGTAGAATGGAGTCAGGCGCAGTTAGGACAGGTACCTTGACTCTCATGTTAAGCGAGGTGATGATGCGGATGTGTGAACTTGAACGAGAGAGGGGGCGGGGGCGACCAAACAAAGGGCATTTTTTTTGAACGCGTTCGATTGTTTCGAAAAACAAATCAAATTGCAGTCACCCTCAACCCCTGGATCATATTTTGGTGGCAAGCCTTGATTGTACCTTTTTTTTATTATTATTTGAGTCGCGTCTGTGCATGGACATGACCGTGCTCATGACGGGCTTCTAGAGTTGGAGTTACCAGCACTGTTATTACTATTGCTGGTTGCATTAGCATTACTCTCTCGGATCAAGAACGATGCCCACATGTCAATAAAGCTCTGTTGTAAAGTAACAAGGATAAACAATAATTGGACGTAAGTTACTAATGATGAGTTGTTCCTTCATATCAAAAGCAAAGAAGAATTACTCACCTCCTTAGGTTCTGGATGCTGTCTCATCTGCTCCATCGATGGCGAGCGAGAGCCAGACGTCGTCGGCGTCATGGGGCCCAGTCCGCTGTTAGCTTTTCGGATCAGTCCCGCCTGCTCACGTTGCTCGTCCGTAAATTTGAGGACACCCGAGATCAATTGAAGGATCTCGAACCGCTTCTGGTCTCCCCGGGGTATGTTCAAGAAGCTAATGAACAGATTCGAGATGAGCGGGCTAGTGATAACACAAGGATCAATAAGAGCGGAGTTAGTATGAATTGCGTGAAAAGCATTCGACAATGAGCTTTTTTCGCTGTACGACTTACATATCGACCGTGTTTTGGCTATTCTCCTCCTTCAGTCGCCGCATGGCCTCCGTCAAATGCCCCTTGTGGATTACAGCCTCGTGACGGAGCTTTCCAATCAACTGGTTCTTCTCCTTGACCTCCTGCTCAAGCTGTCGCGCCTTCTCCACGTCCAGCGTAAGGTGGCGCAATTGCTCCTATGATAAATAAAGAGTCCATGCATCAGTAAGTCATTGGTAGTAATGAGCGAAGGCTAGCAAAGTACTTAACAAAACCGCAGCAGATATTGGCGTTACCTCTGCTACTTGAGCGCGGGTCTGATATTCTTCCAGCGATGCATTCGATGCGTTCAACTTCCTCTGAAGATTTTCGAGCGCGAACTGGATCTCTGACTCCTTGGCTGACTGGAACTCCTCCAAGACCGTCTGCAGATTGTTCAAACTCTCGATCTCGCGATCAAGTTCCTGGCGCAACAATTCCTTCTCTGCACGAGCTGCATTCCTTTCGCGCTCCATGGCCCTCATGGTCACGATCGCTTGGTCTTTGCTCGCCCTTTGCTCCGATGCCATTGTCTCCCAGTCTTCACGCTCACGTTCCTCGCGCTGCAACCGCGATTGTAATTCATGAATCAGGTTCTCCTTCTCGACCACTTCTGCAGAGGCATCCTCCTGAATCTCGACCAGACGTCTTCGCAGATGCTCCAGTTCACGCGAGGTCTTTTCATAGTGGTCGTGAGATGCCATGAGTTCCTCTTCCAGCTGTTTGATAGTGTGGAGATAGCTATTATTTTGCGCAGTGAGCTGCTCGATTTGTTGTCTAAGTGTGTTGATGTTTTCCTGTGTGAGGTAAAAGGGGGCAACAGTGTTATTATCATGACTCATACCATTCATTTGTAGCTCCTGGATTTTAAAAGATGCTTTACCATGTCCGCCTGCAGCTTTGTTCCAAGCGTCGACTTCATGTTGGAGACCCGGTCGAGGAGTGTCTTATGTTGGGATTGGAAGTGGTTGCGCTCACTGATCGTCTTTTGGAGGTCCTCCTTGAGCGTCCTCAGCGTCTGCTCATTAGTGGTCACGGTTTTTTCGAGGTCCTGGATCCGTGTCTCCCGCTCTTTTAATGACTTCTCCGTTGCTGCATGGTTATCATTATATGTCTTCTTTAGTGCTTCGAGCTCCTGTTGTAAACTGTCGTTGCTGGCGATAAGTGATTTCCTTTCTTCCTCATACTGCTCCCGCAACTTTGTCTGGCTTCCTTCCTCAGCTGCCTCTCTGGCCGACTTGTGCTCATCATGATATTGCTTTTGAAGATCCTGAAGTTGTTGGTTCAACTGGTCTCGGCTGGCTAAAAGCTCCCGTTTTTCTTCTTCGAATTGCACCACCTGCTTCCTCTTGCCCTCCTCCTCGGCAGTCTCCATTATGTTCAGCTGAGAACTCAATTTCTCAATCGATTCTATGAAGATAAACGTTGACATGAGTACAATGTTATAAAACAATGAATTGCCGTTTCTTGCACTTTTAAGAAATTATCGCGGTCAACTTACTCGCCATGGACGCCTCTTTCGTCTCCAGTTCAGCATTGCTTTCCTTTGATTTCAAGAGCTCCGCCTGGACCTCCGAGTATTTTGATTGAGACTGGCCCAGCTCCTGGCGGATTGCAACAATAGTTTCTTGCAATTCCTTCTGAGTGGCCTTCAGAGTATGAATCTCCGTTGCGCGCTCGGACTCCTTTGCGAGACGGGTTTCGAGCCTTGCAATTGTTGATTTGGCGTCTGAATATTCCCTAGCAAGAGCTGAGGAGGGCTGTTGTTCTGTAGGTGATTGTGGTGCGGGCCTACTCTGGCTCGAAAGTTTGACGTTGGTCTCTTTCAGCTGTACAATTTCGTCCTTTGCCTGCCCGAGCTCTTCTTTTGTCATCTCAAGTTGAATAGAAAGATCCGCATGACTGTCGCTCTCAGTCCGTTGTTGCTCGAGCTTCTCCTTGAACTTGATGTTGCTTTCCATCAGCTCCGAGAGTTGGTCCTTGAGATTTTGTACCAGTAATGTGCTTTGCTCCTTCTCGGCCTTTAGCTCGGATTCCAGAGTATGGATTCGCTCTACTGCGGTTTTGTCGCCTTGTTCGCATGTCGTAATTAAACCATTGTTAGATGCCCGTCCGTCTGATGCCATTTCTGCTGCTGATGCTGATGCTGCTGCCGCCGTTGTTACTGCGTCTGCAGCTACCTGTAACTCGGTCTTCTCCTCTTCCAGGATCTTGATCTTTGCATTAAGGCTCTGCTTCTCGTTGTTCAGGGTCTTGAGAAGTCCCACTGCGCGGTTCAGTTTTTGTTCCAGCTGCTCCACCTTTTGCGCTGTAGCGTTCCCTTCGGTCAAGCTTTTTAACCGAGCCTCGTAGTTCTGCTTTGTACGTTCCCATTCTTGATGCCTCTCGAAAAGTTCTTCACGCGTTGCTTCCAGCTAAGAGCACAATAAAATTTGAGGACGCTGTTGGTAAAGGTCCTTTGCACCTGTCGATAGCCCGCATTTCTCTCACACGCCTGTTTGTTCAATTCGCATCTTCTCACCTGCTGGCTCAGATGCTGCAACGCTTCGTTTGTCGCTTGTGGATTATCGCCATTGGCCTCTATTACAGTGAAGGCATAACCATGGGATAATTGGACACATGTCGGCTTATGGCTATGCTGTGTGATTCTATTCCCTGAAGAGCATTGCAAGTTATTTCTTACCGGCAGCGATCCTGCTGGCCAGTGTGCCCACATTCTTTGCAAGCCAGGACATTGACACAGACACGGGCTGGTGTGATGGACGGATAAACGGTTGGTGTATGCGTTTAAGGATGGATGCGTATGTGGTGAGATGAACAGAATGCGTGTAGAAACGTTATTTGCGGATGAATAACCTGAAAGCAAGACACGTTCTTTCCTGAGACAGGCACGGCACAATGGTCTCCTTGTATCACATGACAATCTCACTCAGGCATCATCTATTCGACCCCGGCATGCTTGTTCGTGCCTATTCAAATTATCGTCGAGCAATATCTAATTTTCATCTTACTTTTACTCCTAACGAGCTCTAGTATGAGAAAGGCAACATCCAAACGCTGTTTTGGTGTGCATAGCGGACATAAAGACCATCCCCAAGCTACACACCATCTGATGTGAAATCAACTTGCACATTTTCCTGTTTAAGGTGCAAAGGTGCGAAGGTTCAATTGCTCGGGCGCGGTATTTTTGCAACCTCAGCATCTCGTGCAAAATGAATGTAGCACAAAGAAAATTCACGACTCGGCTCCGAGTGCTGCCATTAACTTCACCTCGAAACGCACTTCATTCGCTTCCTTCAATCCTTCTCATTCCCCTTTCTTGGCCAACCACTTCCTCCCCCCCACAATGTGGCGGACATTGCTCGCCCGTGCTCCCCGCGGCCGGCACCAGCATAGCCCTTCCACAGCTACTGCTCGGAGCTACTCTCTCAGGCCGAACAAGATCCAAACTATTGTTCATGAACAACAAAAGGCGTTGGACAAGGATCGGGTAATGAGCGATTTATGAATCCCTTCATTCTGGGGCTTAGAATCGCCGACGAGAATGACCAACACACTATCGCTCGCTTGCAGTACCTGATGCCAATCATCCCTCTGTCACTGTGACTCATATAGGATCTGATCCTCAAGGTCATGGGCACACTGCCCTCCCCTAGAGAGGCGCGCCAATTTCTCACCAGGTTCTCCCTGCCCGCGGCAGTTCTTCCTCAAACAACATCGGTATCATCGGCTCAATTGATACCAGGGACAACACGCACGGCAACCGCGGGAACAACAGGAGTGGCTGCATTGCAGGCGTCAGGAACAGCAATAGCAACAACCAGCCAGAACTTCGTCGACACTCTCAATTGGCCCACAGATCATCTCGCCCTGATTAAGTTGGAAGGGCCTTTTGAAAAGGACAGTTTAAAGGCGATTGCCAACACTCTTGTGCAGCTTCAGCGTCTCGGTCTTATGAGTGTGATCATGCTGGATAATCAAAGTTGGTGGCGAAATCAGAGCGTGCCCCTGAGCGAGTCCCTGGCGTCTGAGGTTGAACAGCAATCTGTCGAAACCAGGAAACGAATGATGAAAGATATGACGGAAGTCGTAGAGGAGATTGAGTTGTGCGGAGGCAAAGCTCGTCCCGTCTACGAGGGTGTCTTTGAAGGCATGGATCATCACCATTTCGATCAAACGGATCGGATAGCAGGGCAACTCGGCAGTGAGGAGATCGTGATCCGTCCAGGCTTGCAACCTATTCAATCCTGTTTAAAGCTGCAGCAGATTCCAGTTATGATCCCGATGGCCGCTACTGCACAATGTCAACGAATCCCTGTCCAGAGCAACAAGGCCTTAGTCGCGCTCGCAAAGCACATGGGAAGCACCGCTGGAGAGTACCATCAGTCGTTGGTACCCATGCGCCTGATTGTCATCAACACCACAGGAGGTATCCCTCTTACACGTACCAAAGGCATCCAGGGCCCAACACATTGCTTTGTAAACCTTAAGGACGAGTACAGCACCATCATTGACGATCTGGACAACATGGACCATCTTCCAGAGCAGCTCGCCCAATCCTACCGATCAGATCTAGACATGATCAAGGAATGTTTGGAGTACTTGCCACCAACTTGCTCGGCGCTAGTGACCTCGTCACCTTCGCTTACGCTCATCACCAACCTAATCACAGACAAGCCCTTGTTTTCGTCCACCATGAGAGGACAGGATCCCAAGGTAATGCTAGCCACGACCGTTCTGCGCAATGGCTTGGATATCTTTACGTTTCGCAGCAGCCTTGAAGGGTTAGATCTAAAGCGACTGCAGGGCCTGTTGGAATCGAGCTTTGGTAAACCCCTGGACGCAGAAGGTTTCTATGCTCGAATCAAGGATACGACAAAAACGGTTATCTTGGCCGGCCAGGACTATATGGGTGCCGCAATTGTCACGCGTGAAGGAGGCGATGTTCGGAGGTCAGGAGACGAAAGACGCACCTTGGCCAGTGTGGCCTACCTTGACAAGTTTTCGGTGGCGCCAAAGAGTCAGGGCATTGGCGTTGCAGACATTTTGTGGAAGAAGTTGACGGACGAGTTTTCAGATTTGGTCTGGCGCAGCCGATCTGATAACCCTGTCAACAAATGGTAAGACATATGTTGTGGAGGCTCAATTGGTCGTTTGTCCGCCACCCACATATACTAACATTGCCTTCTTCCAAAGGTATTTTGACCGTGCGGATGGAAATATCAAGATCCCAGGGACAAATTGGACGGTGTTCTGGTATGGCCCCAAGGGTTTAGGGCTGATCCGGGACTATATCCAGATCTGTCGCGACATCCCAGCCTCGTTCCACGCTATCCAGGCTCCAAAAAAGTAGCAATAGATTCATAGACACTAGTAGGGCATATTATTAGGGCATATTATTAGGGCAAATATGGCTGGAATATTATTATACTCTAACTACTTATGATACAAGATTAGTGAAAAAAGGCTGCTTCTATAACTAGCATTCCTGTGCAGCCTGAACGATTTTTGCAAACCAGTCTGATCGCAGCAAGAGCTGAGCATGGTCCAAACCTTCCATCACTACCAACTCGCCACTCTCTTGTCCCTCTGTTAGTCCGACCTGCGTCCTCAGGTACTCTGTTACCTTGGCCATATTCAGCAAGTTGTCGTTCTTTGACAAAAACACGCGCGTCTTTTCTGGCAAAACGGGTGACAGTTGTCCTTGAAAGGGTAAAGGCTCCTGGTGTCGCCTCGCCCAAGCAATTGGGAACATGACGGACTGGTTCCAGCAAAACCTGCGCATGATGTACCAGGATGTGCCGATTTCCCGCGCCGCAAACAGGTCCATGACGAGCTGACTGGCTGTCACCGGGGTTCGGTACGCAAAGTTGTGTGCAATCGAGTGATGCGTCAGAAAGCAGACAGGGTCTACTAGGACTAATCCTGCAACAATAGACTTTGGAGATGAAGCAGAACTGGCACGACAGACAGCAGCACAAAGCATGGTACCAAGAGAATGCCCCATAAACGTGGCTTTGGGGTGACCATGCGTCTTCAGGATCCGCTCGATTGCAAAGTAGGTCTCATCCGGGGTCATGCAGTCAGTTTGGAAAAGCTGACTGGAAACATAAGGGACCTCAATTAGAATCAGGGGACGTGAGACATAGGTCAGGGCAACGATAAGATGAATATACTGGATGAGACCAATGCCAATGCCGTGGATAAAAACTAGCGGAACTTCGTTCTGCGGGTTGGTCGGACATCTATACCAGTATGCCAAATCCGGGGGGCACCTAGTATTTTGGGACGCCTCGTATACTACTTTGTTGCTAGATACAAAGTCATGTCCTTTCTCCAGAGTGGTATCATATCGCATGAATCCACAAGTCTTGAGGACGATTCCTGCAAATGCATTTGCCAGCCAGAGCAACTAAACCGATTGATAAGCGATCTTGAAGTTAAAACATAACAACTTTTGATAATGGTGATTTGAAGACAGAAGAGGGTCAATGGCCTACCACATAATAGACGAGTGGGCGATGCGTGGCCAGGACAGGATCTAAAGAAAGTCGGATGCAGTCGACATCCGGGTTGAATCCCTCTGCAAACTTGACCTTCTTGACCTCCTCGATTGTACTGACCATCTGATTCAGCTCCTGTAGATTCAAGGGTGATTTGGAGACCTCCTCGATCGGCGCAGCCCAAAACGCCCACGCTAACCTGTAATGTAATGCCAGCAAGAAGTAAGGACAGGCGCGTGAGTGAGAATAAGGAATAGGAACTCATGGTCGAAGTGAGTTCCCTTTCAAGGCTTTTGGTATATACTCCCGGCCGCTGCATTCAAGCCCAAAATGAAACCATTGTCTGCTTACCAATGAATCATGTTCAATCGTCCGATCTCCTCGAAGTGTGCTCGTCGCTTGGTACGTCCTGTGTCGAACCAGACTTCGATCCACCTCTTGACACCATCCCCTTCTTCCACGGTTTCGAGACACCTCTGGAAAAGCTCTTCTCTCTTTTCCTTTGGGCCGACGCCCTTGACGACGCGATCGACAGACTGGAGACGTGCAAGTTTCTTCCAGAACATGATGTAGAAGACTAGTTCTGCTGCCATCCAGAGATGCAGCAATGTTAAGATCCAGGCCATAGTCTGATGGGAAGACATAAAGTGCAATAAGGGGTCCAGGTGCTCCTTGATGGGTTGTAGCGCGAGTAAGTATTGGTATCCAGGAAGGTTGCGGGGATCTCTGTATCCACGATTGTCCAGAAAGCTGAGAAATACGATGAACGCGCGTACAATTGGAGACGAGACCATGCAGGACTCTGGGATGATGGGTCCTGCGGTGGAACCGATAGCAGTGGCCGAGGCTGAAGGTGAAGAGGAGGCAATGGCGGAGGAGAGCGCCGAGGCGGGGGATTCCACTGGATAAGGATGGTCGTGAAGAGGATGGCTATGCAATACCGATCCATAAAGGGATGGGTCGCCGAGAATGGAGGCATCAGTGTGGAAGAGCTGGATGATGAGAGGGATGTGGGTGAGGAGTGAATCAAGGGGCGACTCCCTATAGGCGAGCATGTAGCAAAAGTAGGAGGAAGCTAAGGGGACGATTCCGGCGATCATAAACCCCAGGGAGCGGATGCCAGCCCTAGTAACCAAGTGGTCGACGATCATGGCCAACGGAGGGGGTGCAAATAAATGATTAATTGGGCGCACAGACAGTCGCTTAGTTGGTAGGACAAACTTCCTTGTGACACCACAACTGTGCCTAAACAATAAAAAATTGAGAGAAAGGTGAGAGGAGGATTACAGGAGGATGAAGAGATGTTGAAAAGATGATGAGAGAGAGAAATGATGAAATGAATGAGGGGATGCAGCCAGACAGTAGACCGCATGTATGACATTGACAGTCAGCCGGTTGCAGCTGCAAAGAGAGGCTCCCTCACGTGTCAGCAATAGCTGGGGCTGAAAAGGACGAGTCGGCGAAAGCGGCGGATCAATTGGCCGCACGGAAGCAAATGTCTCTCTACCCTTTATCTCAGCTATCAGTTCCGCTGGATAGTATACAAAAGCCCAAATGTCCTGCAAGCCCAAGCTCGACCATACGTCCAACTTGTGCCTTCTTCTTAGGAATAGTCTACTTGGCAACCTGGGTTGTCAGTCTTATTTGACAACCCACGCGGAAATCCAATTGCCACGTTGAACATGCAAGTCAATTCCAGCAGGAAACCCATGTAATTCACTTACCTTGAAAATCGGGTCTATCGCCCAAGTAACACCTTTCTGTGTTCACGTGGCAGCTGATTCACGAGAGGGTCTATTGTTTACGCTCAGGTTGCCTTTATCTTCACCAAATATCTTACATGGACTTCCTGCAGGGGTTATCAAGTGGATTGTCCTTTTTTCTTAGTTACTTCCCGTTCTAGTGCCGTAACACCACTATCAGCATCAATCCGTAAATTGGAGTCTCTCGATGTGACAAATGGATTTCGCATGGATTGATTGTCAAATAAGACTGACAGCTCAGGTTGCCAAGTAGGTTATTCAGAAAAAAAATCGTAGAATAAAAAAAGAAGCGCCCAACGTGGGGGTCGAACCCACAGCCTTCAGATTAAGAGTCTGACGCTCTACCGATTGAGCTAGCCGGGCCTCGTGCATATCCTTTTGAAGGATAGAAAGTATATAACTTCAAAAGTGATCGTTCCCTAAATGCAATATTGTTCTATATATGCATTTTCTTTCTCTAAGTGCACCTAGGCCCGATGGCTCAGTTAGCATACTGGTCAGGGCACCTCCCTTGTAACGCGAAGGGACCAGGTTCGAGCCCTGGTTAAAGCACAGTAATATGTGCTACGCATAGAAATTTATTTGGAGCATGAGTCGGGCGTACTACCCCACTTCAGTTATGTGGGTTTCCTTTCCCCGGCGACCCCCACATTGAGTGGCACTACCCCATGTAATCGTTGTGGGTTTCCTTTCCCCTTCCTTAACGCTTGACAAAATGCTCAGAATAAATTTCGCCCTTGCGCTAGCCTCCGGACTTCGAGAGGCGCTGGTTCAGAACTTCCCAGCTATACACCAGGGTGTACAAGTTATTCCACTGCACTGGCAGCATGCGTCTTAGCTACCCCTGCCGGGGTTACAGGTATAAGTTCAAAAGTGAGTAGGCCCACTTTATAATAGGCTAATCTGAGCTCACATCCAGTGACCTCAGGTGGAGGAAAGACGGGACGAGGAGGAGGAGGAAATGTTACAATAGTAGAGGATTCGGCTCGCAAGCCAGTAGAACGGATTCCGTGCTCTCAAGAAACCAAGACCATCTCCCAGATGTACAGGTTACAATTGGAGAGATGGTCTTGGCAGATTAGCAGGTGAGGAGCCTGCCAGCTAGCCGAGCGGATCGCAGGAGAAAGACCTCGGGACGCTTAGGGAGGTTACAGTGAAGTTGTTGGAGATGGTGCGACTGCCACACTAGAAGATTTAGGGCCAGATAGACACAAGTCTCAGAGACTATTCACTAGGAAACCAGCACTGATTGTTCTCTCTCGGAGGCCATGTTGAATAAAAAAAAAAAAAAAAATTCTCTAAGTGCACCTATAAGATACCCTTCTTGTAACAAGGTGTTTTCAGCTTTTAACACACTGATGAGGTGTGGCAATTGTTGCGCAGGCCCTAGGGGCAGGCCCGGGGAATGTGACCTGTCTTTTGGCGACTGTGGATCGGTTCCGCTTTGGTGGTGAGGACAGCGATAGTAGATCTTTGCTAGTTAGTCTGATAGATTCGCAGAGTCAATTGACTCGAGAGACAAGTTGTTATAAAAAAAAAAAAAAAAATCCTTCTCTAAGTGCACGTAAGCGAGAATGGGTGGATCATAACCAAGAACTCATGGAGATTTATGTTAATAATAATAAAAAAAAGTGGATCATAGCCAAGATGAAACGCACACCATACAAGGGCCCTCGAAGAGGTTGGAGTGAGGACAACGGATACATTTGCTATGCTGACCACTGTCATGGTGGTGCGTTGCTCGCCGATCATTCAAACGGGGGCTGTCGTGGCCCAGTGCAGAGTCCTGACGCTGCGTATCGGAGGTTACTCGACTACCTACAAGGGGGAAGGTGGTCGACAACCATGGAGAGGATGGGGAAGATATCTAGCCTTCAGAACACTGATGAGGTGTGGGAAATGTGACTCTGTAGTAGATCATTAGTAAGGTCTGGAAGGGACTCGAGGGAGAATTCTTTAAGTGCAAGGATTCAAATATTTGTGTTCCTGGTGACTGTCCGCAAAAAATCAAAACAAAGCTTACTTTTTTTTTTTTTTTCTAGAGCATCACACCCCCTTTTCTAGCTTCCTTCGCTATCGTCTCTGCCCTCCCCTTTACACATTTATTATTTCATATGGCTGTTGCAGAGAAAAGAGTACGCGGCTCTCGCGGAAAGAAGAACAAGAGCGACAAGGATCAGGACAAGTCTAACCAGCACGATTCCAATCCCGGAAAGTCTTTCCAACGCTCACACCAGACCACCTACGACCGCAGCGCTGAAGGCGGCGAGGAGAGCAGCCGTCCTCCTCGTCCCGATCGAAGGGAAGCCATTGATGCTGCTGCTATATTTGGTTTTATTGACCCTGATGTCCAACAATACTTCAAGGGTGTCGAGCAGACCCTTGATGAGCTTAACTTTGACACTGCAGAAGGTATAAATCGACACCAATTGATGCTATTATCAAAGACTACAGTAACGATTTTCTATTTTTCTTAACAGGGTACTGATATTACTACTCTCATATCTCTTTAAATACTGTAGAACAACAGCTTTTCCTTGAGAATGTGTACACTGAAGTCCAAGGAAAGGAGCTAGTCCTGGCGACGGAACATTCTTGTTCGCTTGTTTTGGAAAAATTGCTAAGGGCCTCCAACGACTTTCAGCTTCGAGTATTTTTTGACAAGTTCAACGGAAAGTATGTTTAAATGAAATGACGATGAAAAATGAACAGAGGGTGCTGTTTACTTACTGGCTAGTTGGATGACTGAACTGACATCCCCTGTATTCGTACTTTTCCTCTTAGCTTCTTGAAACTCTTTACTCACCGTTTTGCCTCTCATGTGTGTCAGACTCTGATCACCCTTTGCGCCGATGCTGTCGAAAGAGAGGTTAAGAGCAACGAGCTCAAGACCAAGGAGGAGCGCGAAGTGCCTCAGGAAGATGGCGTTTTGCTCAGTGCTGAGGACATGATCTTGAATATGTGCAACCAAACCCAGGTGGAATTTACTGCTCTGATCTCGGACCCTTTTGCCTCTCATATCATCCGTGTCATTCTCTATGTGCTGGCAGGACGAACGGTTGCCGATGATGGAACTGGAAAGGGCAATGTCAGGAGTAAGAAGTCCGCCAAATACAACGATGCCAATAACAGCAAGACAAACACTGGCAACTTCAGACCTACTCGCCTTGTCCCACCCTCATTCAAGGACATGTTGCGCACTATTACCTCGACCATGATGAACGGGCTCAGTGATTCGGTCGTGCGTTCGTTAGCTGTACACCAGGTCGCCAATCCGGTTCTGCAATTGCTGTTGGAGGTCCTCGTCAAGGACGACGAATCTGCCAAGGATGCGCTTGTGGACAAGCTGCTGATGGATATCACACGGGAAGAGGCGCCAGGACACAAGAACAACGACCGCGATGCTTATGTCGAGACACTACTCCGAGACCAGGTCGGCTCTCACCTACTGGAGAAGATTGTACAGGTCGCCTCTCCAGCCCTCTTCCAAAAATTTTATACATCATACTTCCGTGGTCGTCTCGTCAAACTGTCGTTCCACCCAATTGCCAATTATGTCATTCAGCAGTTTTTTGTCCATGCCAAGACGCCTATTCAGCTCGAGATGATGGTTACCGAGGTTTTGCCTGAGTTTGAGAACTTTTTGAAGTTTGGCCGTCCAGGTGTGATCCGTGCAGTCGTCGAAGCCTGCAAGAACGTCGGAGCGTGTCACAAGGAGGTCATCAAGGGTCTTTGCAACGCCTTCCACACCCAAGCATCCATCGAGCGCAAGGAGTTCATGCATGTTGTTTTGAACATGGAGACATACGAGGCTTTGATAGAGCGTAGGGAGCAACAGGAATCAACTAAGCCCAAGTTCCATCCTCAGGGCGCCGTCATCCTACAGCTCTTGCTGCAGTACCCCGAAGAGCACTCCAAGATCGTGGTTGACAGTTATTTCGCCCAGAAGGAAGAGTTAATGTACGCATGGACCATGGACCCGGTCGGATCGCACGTCATCGAGGCCTTCTTGACCTCACCTACATTGAATTTGAAGGTTAAGAGGAAGATCCTGAAGTCGTTCCTGGGCAAGTACCACTCGATGGCTTTGGATCGTTATGGTGGCCATACCGTCGACAAGTGTTGGGCTGTCTCGGATATTGAGATGAAGGAGAAAATTGCAACAGAGCTTTTGGAGCACGAGCATGCATTGTCACAAAGCTTCCACGGAAAGTTCATCCTCCGCAACTGCAAGATCGACCAGTTCAAGCGCAAGAAGGAGGAGTGGGTTGAGCGTGAGAAGGGTATTGAGCGCAAGAAGGACATGTTCAAGGATATTCTCGGTGACGCAGTCCTCGCGACCTCCCATGGCAAGCAGAAGGCGGCGGGCGATACCTCAAATGCTGAACTTCCTGCTCCAAATCCCAAGATGGCTGAGCTCGGCTTTGGAGGCGGTATTGCTGGTGTCAAGACTGTGACCGAAAAGAAGAAGAAGAAGAAGTCCAAGAAGAGCTCCGAAGATCCTGACAAGGTAAGCAGGCCTAAGATTGGAAGGCTTTATACTTTGGAGTTTTAATGCGTGTCAGTTGTGCTGATTGTCCTTTTTTCGCTCTTGACTATAGATGTTGATCAAGGACGCGGATGAAGAAAACCAGGTCAAAGAAAAGTACAAGTCGGACGAAATTGACAAGCTGTTCAAGAAGAGATCGCATAGCGAGAATGCCACACCCATGGGCAAGAGTGCTGACGAGGATGTGGAGATGGCTTCGGCATCAGAAAGCGAGGCTGAGGAACCAGAAGAGGAGGAGGAACCCAAAAAGAAGAAAAAGAAGGTTTCTAAGGATCTAGAGTCAGTTCTGGATGCGATTGATGCGACCAAGAAGAAGAAGTCCAAGAAGTCCAAATCCGAGAACAATGAGGACAAGAAGAAGAAGAGCAGCAAGAAGGACAAGGACAGCAAGAAGCGCAAGTTCATGTCATAAAAGGAATTGAGTGCTCGTTTTTTGTTTTATTTTTTTCACTCCAATTGTACCATAATGCATATCCTCATCCACTTGAAAATAAAAAGTAATATACATGACTCGATATTTATTATTTCTCGCCGACTATCGTCTCCTGATCGAATACGATCCCGCGAATTTCTCAAGAGAGGGAAAGAGAGAGTACTACCGGCAATAGGGCAGCTCAGATATCGGCTGCATGAACCAATGGATATATTTTGTTTGAGACGAATAAAAACGATATTGTCCTTCGTTTCTGCGGGCAACTGAGGACGCTCCTTATGTCGATTTCCCTTTGTTGTCTGTTGAAGACGCCTCCTGTCGTTGTTTCAGTGCTGTAGCTGCGGCCTTTGCCCTGCTTGGGAGCCATTTGGTTGGGTCCTTGTTGAGATATGGCCATGCAGGGATTATCAGCTACAAGTACAAAACAAGAGATGACATGGCATGAGTGTGTGGTTGGGGAAGGTGTTAAAATTGTCCTGGACCCACTTAAGCGTAGTTCGAACGAAGAATCGGCAACATGACCAATAATAGGCTGCATACCAAGCCGGCCAAGACGACTCCAGCAGCAAATATGTAGAGCGTGAGCCGAATATCCTGCAGCACGATCCCGACCAAGAAACCGAGGACCTATTAATGAAACAGCAAACGAGTTTGTATAAGCATGTAGACCATTGTATCGAGAGCAGCAACAAACACGTTTGCTTGAATGTCAATATGACGGGATAAATAAGACCGATGGACGGCCACATACCCCGAATGCAGAGATGACGACCTGAGTAATCTGTTCTGCAAGGCTCTGGCCCTGAAAGTCCTATTTGCATGCCGAAACAAGTATAGCGAAGTGTCAGACCGAGAGAATGAGGCAACTGGTTGGTTCGTGCTGAATATGGGTTGGTGGTAATGTGCTTACATACAATATGGTATTCGAGCATTGTATCTGACAGGAGGTGGTTGTGAAGGTGGTGAAGGTAAGGAAGAAGGTGAGGATGAAGAGATCAAAAAGGAATGCTCGATTCGTCGCGACACGTCACAGAGGCGCCTGCAGAAAAGTAGTCTAGGATGGGGTCTGGCCCCCTGTGTTTTTATTCACCAATCTTTATTCCTTTCCATCACTTCAGTTTTCATTTGCCATTTGCCATCTATTATAAGAGGAGGAGAAAGAGCTACTCATCAGTCCTCCCTCCTTCCTTCCTTTTTAATTCTCTTTTTTCTCCTCTTCTTCATCAACTCTTCCTTGCATCACTTTCTTTTTTTTTTTTTTTTTTTTTTTTTTTTTTTTTCCCTACTCTCTTTCAGTTCTAATCCCATTCCATCAACAAGAGACGCGACCATGTCCACTTCCCTTCTGCTGGAGATGCTCCGCCGTTCTGGTCTGGAGCACTTCTACCCTAGGTACATACATTTACACCAAGCAAAGAAACTTTCTCCTTCTCTCACTTCGATTGCCGCCAATCCTGTTGCATATTGCATCGGCAGTCTGTAATCAGCATATTACTCAACATGCACTTTCTAACCCAGTTTATTTGCTATGGGATAGCTTCTCCACACATGGCATCACTCAGCTCGATAGTCTTGTCCAGGTAAGCACTGACAGGGCTACTCGTTTATCCTGACTACTATTCCTTATTTTATCTCTCTTATCACCCCTTCTTCCCGTGCCTATCACGCGTTTATAGCGACCCTCCTCTACAGTAATGAACTAACATTATATTCTTGATTTACAACTCTTCTATCACCATAAAATGAACTGGACTCCACAAAACGGCAGCTGTCGATGCAGGACTACAACTCTCTGGGCGTCACAGGCATGGAAGACCGAAGACGACTTTTCCAGCTCATTCAGACTATCAAAGCCGAATACCCCGACGTGTCAGGGGCAGCCGCAACCCCAACGACGTCTACTCCAGTCTCACACGTTGCTTCGGTCGGAGGGATAGGTGGAATGGATGGATCTGGATATGGCATGGCCACCATCACTCGCGGATACAGCGGACATGGAATGAATGATATTTCCTCAAAGCCCTTTGATCCCAGGGCTATGGTCCGTCGATCTGGATCTACAACGGCCGATGCATTGAACTCGTCGCAGCTCGGCCATTCTAGAAGTATGTCCAATTCCATGGCATCACTGCCTCAGCAGCAGGCAGATCAGATACAACAACTACGCCATCAGCAACAGCTGCAGCAGCTCCAGCAACAGCAATACCAGCAGCAACAGATGCATCAACAACAAGAGCAACGACAACATCAGCAACAACAACAATACCAGCAGCAGCAATATCAGCAACAATTTCAACAGCAGCATCAGTTCCAACAGCAACAGCAATTGCAGCAGCAACACCAGCAACAGCAATTATTTGATGGTCGTAATTTTAAGGAGGCTTCTGACGATGAGGAAGATCCAATTCCTGTGCACGAGTCGAAGCAGCGTGGATTGGACGCATACTCTGTCCCTTCAGGCATGGGCCGCAACAAGCCAGCGGGTCGTAATGGAGGAACAAACACTGCCGGCGACATGACAGCTAAGATTCGTGTCTGTGTACGCAAGAGACCACTCAACAGCAAGGAGATCAACAAAGGCGAAAAGGATATGGCGACCGTTTTGGGACGCCAATTGGCCGTAGATGAACCAAAGTAAGAACTTTGCATAAGTGGAAGTGCCCTTCGCTGCACCGTACAATACCACCAAATCTAACACATGTCATCGTTTTCATCCATGTGTAGGGTTCGCGTGGATATGACCAAGTATATTGAGCGGCACAACTTTGTATTCGACGAGGTCTTTGATTCGGATGCGACAAATGAGGATGTGAGTCACGGATGGCTGCTTTCATTGTGGGGGAAACGATGATTTTCGTAGCAGTGGACTAATACTCTGCTTAATGGCGGCACGTATCACTTATTAGGTTTATAGGAAGACGGCCTTCCCTCTTGTCCAATACCTCTTTGAGGGTGGGAAGGCGACATGTTTTGCATAGTAAGCTCAACGTTGTTTGTACGAATCATGAAAGTCTCGTCTTCAGGATTGTCTTGACTGACAAAACGCCTTTTCATTTCAAAAACATCAATAGTGGACAGACTGGAAGTGGCAAAACGTTTACCATGTTGGATGACAAGCAAGGTACGCAGAAAAAAAAACTGTGCGCCATCATACGACATAAACAATGTGCATATCCTAACGCATGATGTTGGATGGAAACTAGGTCTTTACGTCCTCGCTGCACGCGACATCTTTGTCATGCTCCGCAAGCCCGAGCATTCGCATCTGTCAGCATACATCGGGTTTTATGAGATCTATCAAGGACATCTTTATGACTTACTGAATAGCCGCAAGAGGTTAAATCCCCGCGAGGACGGCAAGAATAATATTGTCATTTCAGGGCTGAAGGAATACGAGATCATCAATGTTCAAGGATTAATGCAAGTGTTCGAATACGGAAACAATGCCCGCAGTACTGGTAAGTGTCATGATACGATCTCATTTTGAGCAATGCACTTGAAAAAAATCTAAAGAAATGTTCTCACCGCACCTTATTGGATATTTAGGAAGCACAAATGCGAACGCGGACTCCTCTCGATCTCACGCCATCATGCAGATTGTGCTGAAAGACAGGGCAAGCAAATCGGTGGAAGGCAAACTGAGTTTTATTGATCTGGCAGGAAGCGAAAGGGGTGCCGATCGTGGCGAAACAGATGCCAAAACAAGGCATGTCCTTGTTGGGCGTAGTTGTTTCTCAACAAACATGGCGAATGCAGCACTTCGTCAATCATGCTTACGTACTTTTATTTCAATATTAACCTTTTAGATTGGAGGGAGCTGAAATCAACAAGAGTTTACTCGCACTAAAGGAATGCATTCGCGCTCTTGACCAAGACAAAAAGCATACGCCATTCCGTCAAAGTAAGCTGACTCAGGTTCTCAAGGACTCATTTGTCGGCAACTCTAGGACATGCATGGTTGCCACCATTTCTCCGAACAACTCAAACAGCGAACATACCCTCAACACACTGCGCTACGCTGATCGGTAAGTTTCTTTTTATTGGGACCACCTCTTTTTGGTATCATGGGCACTAGACGTGTTATGCTTTTTATCTAATATACGTCTATTTGAAACTCTAGCGTAAAAGAGTTGAAGGCAGAAGGCGGAGCAAAGAGTGCGCTTCAGGACCAGGGCACAACTTCTGGACAAGAAGAATATATGGATGATGTGGAGGGTTATGGAGAGGTAGACCTGGCAGCTAACGTGTATGACGACGACTACTTATCATCCGATGGCGAGAATGTGGCGGATGTAACAATCGACCTTCTCGAGGACGAAGAGTTTCCAGATATGCTGGATCAGGAAGAGATCTCCCATCATGCCCTTGCCATGAACACTTATGAGCACGAATTGGAGGATTCAAGTCGGAGTGGAGGCGTAGGCTTTAATGGCTATGGCGGTGATGTTCAGTCTCAACTGCAACAACAACCGCAACAGGTGCAGTTACAGCAACAACAGCAACAACAGCAGATACCATCACAGCGGCATATTGCTCAGCAGTCACAACACTCGCCATTAACTAGCGAACGGAAACTTTCTCGCGATCGGGAGCGCGATCCTTCACATGCACTTAAAGGCCGGAAGTCTGAGGCGTTCAGCAGGCTACCTATGCCAAAGAGCTTTCAGCAACATTCGTCAGCATCTGGCATTCCTACCCTCCAGCATCGCCATTCGAACTCTACCACATCTGGCCGCAATAATCCGCCCAATACCTCACCACCTTTGGGAGGCAAATCTCGAGAACCGAAGCCAAGTCCATCTGAGATGATATCGAGTCCTGGACCAGCAAATGATTATATCAGTCAGAAAGGAGGCAGCAGTGTATCGCCCATCGCTGTGAAGCAACATCCGTCTGTGAACACAAAGCATGGGCATTCTTCTTCTGCTTCCAGTAACAACAATGGGCCTATCAGCGCAGGATCCGCATCGGGTGGCGGCGATATGAATAATGTGAGCATGACCTCGCCTACGTCGCCCAAGGTGGCACTATCCTCGTCTGTGTCTTCTGGAACCGGACAGCAGAACGGCAGCAGCAGTAGCAGCAGTAGGAATTGGAGTACTGCAGAAATGGACGACTTTATACGCGAGCATCGTATTCAACTGCGGGACTGTGGCGAGCTCACAAAGAGGGAGACGAAGCTGCTTGCGAATGTGACCCTAGGCATGTCTTCATCGATCCATGCACAGACCACAGGGTTTTCGAACAACCGGGAGTCATTCATGAAGTATCTGGATGAGTTGGATGAGATTGTGGACGAGAAACTGATAACGATTGTGACAATGTCGCAGAAATTGAAGGCGTTGCGCGGACACGGACAGACGTGAAGCGGAGGAAGGAGAAAGCATTTTTCAATGGTGGTCATTATAATCAATAGAAGCATCCTTTCTGCATATTATCGCTAGCGCAAGAATCGTTGAAGTAAACTTAACGAGATACCATTCCACCCTATTCTCTCCCCCCCCCATTACCTCCACTACCACTACCGCCGTGTATAATTTACAAATGTCATATTTAACAACAACAATGTAGGTTTTCAAGAACCCATTTTCATATATTGAAATATTACTGAAAGACACAAACGACACAGGTAATGAGGATGAGAGAAGACGACCGAGAAGTGTAAGAAGTGCCGTTTTGGATGGTCGAAAAAAGAACAGTTTAGTTTTCCTTGAGTTCCTCCTTCAATAGAGAGACAAAGATATCTGAGTCTGGGAATGCCAATCGTCTATGCAGAGTAGTAAGAAAATAACAAGGTTAGCGTCTTGTTCCCGTTTCCGTGTACTTTCCAGCTGTTGCGTCTGCAGAGTCGATTTCGCGATGTAAACAAGCCTGCATACTTTGGAGGCGCACGCGCTTTTCCACTCCAGATCAACTTGTCTAGGAACACAGAAGGGAAGAAAGCAAAGAAGGGAAGCAATCAATGTCAGTTCCCGTGCTCTGAACGACCGACCTCAGTATCCATTTTTCCTATGCATGTCCTTACTCTTCGATCCGTTGGTGCTGAGGTAGATCTCAAACTTCTTGGAGTTGGGAACCACGTCCTCCTGAAGAAGCGCATGCGGGTAAAGATCACTGGCCAACTATGAAAAAAAAATAAACAATCACGACATGGGTGCGACAGATTGGCTTAACTTTTGCGTTCAGGGCCACCCGCAAGCAGGACTAATAGAATGTTCGTTAGCTCACCTCAAAGATACGCTTGACGTTCCTGTGATACTGTGTGCATGTCGTGCTGGATTGGTTGTTCGGACGGGAGAAAAAAGAGATAAAGTATGATCGTATCGAGCAGGAAGACGATTGATATGTTAAGACCAAACAAAAACGCAAAAAAAGAGAGAGAGAGAGAGAGAGAGAGAGAGAGAAAAGATGTCAGCAATACGATTTGCCGTACAAGATAACATCCACAATGACTTGGCATATCCAGCGTCCCGCAAGAAAGACCATACCATCTTTCAATCGTCAACTTGATTCCACTGAATCCTCCCTCGACATCATCCTCCGCTGCGCCTTCAGTCTTCGCGACTTTTGCCGTCGTCGTTGTCGATGCCTTCTTGGCAGCAGGTGCCGCAGGAGCCTCTTCCTTTTTCACAGTCTTTGTCGTTGCCGTTGTCGTTGGTGTAGCCGCTGCTGCTGCTGCTGTTGCTGCCTTCTTTCCAGATCCAGCTGGCCGACCACGCTTCCTTGGCCCCTCACTCGCAACCGCAACCGCAGCCTTTTTGTTGGTCGTTGTCGTATCGTTCTCGGTATCCACCTTACGTTTCCTGCCACGCTTTGCCGGCTCAGCCTTCACATCCTTCTCAGTAGTCATCGTTGTGGTTGCGGATTTGGGTTTGCGTCCACGACGTTTTGGGGGTTCTGTCGAGGTTGAGGTCTTTGGGGCGGCGGCGGCGGCGGCCTTGCGGGCGGCCAGCACGGTTTTGGTGGAACCGGGAGGGCGGCCGGGTTTGCGCTTAATGATGCCGTCAGTCGTGTTAGCCGCGTCGGTGGTGGTGGTGGCGGTAGGTGTGGCGGTGGGTGTGGCGGCCGCGGTGGCAGTGGTGGTGGTGGCTGAGGCTCTATTCGAGCGACGCGACGAGGTCGTTGTTTCGGTTTCAGCTTTGGTCATGGCGCGTTCGTCAAGGTCGAGAAGGCGGAGAGGAGTGGAGGAAAAGAAGGGAGAAAAGAAGAGAGGCGGGCGCGAGGATAAGAAGCGAGGAAGGAGAGGAAGGAGGGGGAGGGGAGGGGAGGAGAAGGAGGAGCTGACAACCGAAAAAGAAAAAATTGAAAACAAAACAACGATCGTCGGGTGGAAAAAGTGCTGAGAGTCAGGCTCAAATGTATCTTTGACACCACACATATATCTACATAGTCTATAGTCTATACTCTATAGTCGCTTGGCGCCTGGGGTTTCCATCCCTTCCATGGGCGAGGCTGCTCGCTTGCATCCTCTAGCTCGTCCTTGCCCTTGGCCATGTCCCACTGCGCTACTGCTGCTGCTGCTACTCCCCCCGACTTCTGTATACGGTCTTGCATCTTGCATCCAAGGGTAGTGCCCGTCCTTATCTACTGGTTGAAGCTAGAGCAGTCGTTGTTGATGGAGTAAATGGCTGCGAACGACGTTGCAAATGTTGTGCCCTGCCATAATATCGCGGTGTATGAAAGTGCCGCAGGTTGAGCAGTATAGCCTGCGGATCTTGACCTGTGCAACAGCTTTCTTGCGAAGGTTCTCTCGGTGCATTTGAGTGCGTCCTTTTTCTTCCGAAGGAAGGCCGTCGAGGTAAAGAGCCAAGTTCGTCTGGGTCCCAAGCTTCAGTATCTCTCGCTCGACAATACGATGAGCATCGTCCATAGAGTAATGATTATAAAGAGTTTGAGATAAATGGGCTTGTACTTGGATACGCTTCGAATCCTGAAGCTGATACGCACGTCACGCGTGGCAGAAAAGGAGGGAAGGAAAGGTCAGCTCACTGGTAACAGAGGAAGAAGACTGATGGAGACACGCAACACATCGCCAGGATCATTGTCAGGGCCAGGATCATCGTCAGGGCCAGGGTCATCACCATCACCAGGACCAGGACCAGGACCAGGACATGGGTCTTCTTCATCCTCAGGAGCACACTACAATCCCATCAACACCCTGGCCTCACTCCAACAGCGGCGATCAAAGCCAACCCACTTCGCACACCCGAACACAAGCCTGAACCTCGCAGCCCGATCTGCCTTTATGTCATGGGACGACTCTGAGTTTCCTAGCCCGATCGAGAGTACAGGGTAAAACCAGAACCGTTGCTCTTTTTGCAGCCTTGTTTGGCGTACTATCCATTCATGCCTCAGGAACACCTGCCGACCATGTCCTTAATAATTTGATCCGCACTTGTTTCTCGCCTGCCTAACGATCGACACTGTGCCTGGATCTTTTTTTTTTCTTTTTTTCTTTCTTTCTTTTCTTTCTTTCTTTTCTTTCTTTTCTTTCTTTTCTTTCTTTCTTTCTTTTCTTTTCTTTCTTTCTTTTCTTTTCTTTCTTTCTTTCTTTCTTTCTTTCTTCTTTCATACTTTCATTCTTTCATTCTTTTCTTTTTTTACAGGATGAAGAGGACAGCATCGTATAGCAGCTTCCTCTCCAAGAAAGCAATACCCTTTTACAAGCCGACAGTGCAGCATGCACGAGCCTTGAGTGGGCAAATCCAGTAAGCGAACACATCAGGATGTCCATGATCGCCTTCTTGTTCTTTCGCTGTCGTGGATACCATCTACAAATTTTACGAAAAACGGTTTTCCATGACGACCCATTGACTTTGGGGAAATGAAACGTAGACCACCGGACATATACACGACGCCTATGGACGATTCATTACCGACAACATTGACAAAAACACCGACATATGAGTACTACGGTTTTGTGCTTTATCTCGTCTCCGGGATCACCTATGGCAAGTGCATAATATCTTGGTCGTTTTTCTGCTCAATAAATATCAATGAAGTAAATAACAGGAGTTTGTTGGCTGACAAGGATTCTGTTCGTTCGTTCGTTCGTTCATTCGTTGCTTTGCCTGCTTGCTTTTTTTTTTTTTTTTTTTTTTTTGCCCTGACAGCAATGTATCTGGGATGGGCATATCTTCCAAAAGAGGTCCTAGATTCCATGGGTATTACCTACTATCCCAGCAAGTATGTCAAGATGTTGTATTGGACTTCCGCAGGCTGTACAATCTTTGACACAAAACACTGATAAGATGTCTAATTTAGGTACTGGTCTCTGGCGCTACCGATCTGGCTATTCGTGCTGATCATCTATCTCTACATCGCGTTTTTCGCCATTAACTTGTATAACACCGCACCCTTCGATTCCTTTCAGACCATCACAGGCAAGGTCCTTCTCTGAATTACATCTTGCATTTTCGACACTGTAAAAATCAGTAACTCTTTTTAACCTAGCACACTCCAACACTCTTCTTAACTTCTTAGTGCTTTTTTTTTTCCCTTCAATAGACGAACACGCGAACCCATTCCATACGATGAACTCGGCATCGTCCATGACGGACGATTTTGTACCGGACTTGATGGATATCCCGATTGGGATGGTGAATGCGTGTCTATACCAGCATATCGAGGGTATTTCCGATGAGGAGGAAGAAGGCGACGAATTCGATTTCAATGAAGACGACGATGACGATGTGGATCGTGATGATGGGTCGTATTTTGACGACGCGAACTTGAGCGATTGGGACGATCCTGCCGAGATCTGAGTCTGTTCGGAAAGTCTGCAGAGTCAATGCTCTAGTCTTGGTGTGAAACCTCACTTTTGTAATAAAATAAAATAAAAAAAAAGTGAGAAATGAAACCTCCTGCTCGTTCTATGTCTTTGATCCCTGCTCAAGATATCGTTCTGCGACTTTTTATGACCGTGCTTTTTCATTACTCGGGGGCCACAGCTACGCTGCATCCGTCGATTTTAATGGGCAAGAAAAAAATATATATTTTCTGTTTCGGATCTAGATTAAATGTGGTAATACAAAATTTTGCCGGTGATCTCCTTAGAAGGAAGCCATGATCATATCATAGGCGATCTTTCCGGTCAAGGCCAACAGACCGATATCTCCAATATGTCCCCAGACACCCATCTGACGCTTGGCTGGGTCACCACTGGTGTATCCGACACTGTAAGCCATACGACCCAACATCCAGACCGAGCCCAGGGCGGGGGCGGCAATGGGGTAACGGAGACCAGCGACCAAAAGCGAAACCAGGTAGGGGGCAAAGCCCTCGAGGGTGTTCTGGTGGACACGCTGCTTGCAGTTGAAGATCATCTTCTTCTTGTCCTTGCGGGCCTCGGCGTCATCGGCGTACATGTTGGGGAGGGGCACACCTGCGATCTGGCGGTAGCTGCCGACCTTGAAGCCGAGCGCTGTAACGAGGATGGTCGAGGCGACCGAGACGGCGAGAGTCTATTAGGAGAGTGAGATATAAAGTGAGGGACGGGGTTAGTTATGGAATGCCGTGAGGGTCACTGGATAAGCAGCGTGGGAAGAGAATGCATAGAAAGAAATCGATGCATACATAGCCGTATTGGTTGGAGATGTCGATAATCATTTTTAATGTATGAAGAAAAGAGTGTGAAGAAGAGTATGTGGGTGAGGTGTGTGTGGGTGAAGGGATGATCTGTCTTTTTATACGTTTGCTGGCTTGTCTTCTGTTTCTACAGCCTTCGGTCGTTGTGCATCGGATCGATCTTGTATGTGAGAGCACTGGAAATGAGGATGACGAGTACAACTTCTTGCAGCTGTGGATCGTGGATCAGAACGGGCTATATGCCTTTAAACATGAATCAATATAGTATCATATCATGGTCATACCATACCCTGATGCCCCGAGAACATCTTTGCTGTCCCCCCTCTCCCGCTCAATCGCCACTCCCCTCTATCTCATTGGCACAAAAGGCTGGCTCCCCAGGTTGGCCCCCAGGGTTGGCTGACGACTTATTCGTCAGCAGCCAACGCGTCCTTTTTTTTTGTTTTCGATCGCTTTTTTATTTTTTCCACAAACCAAACCTTATTCCCAGAAGGCCGTGTCGATTAATCCTGGAAAAGGGAACGCTAGTAGACCAGCACTTCAAGGCCTCACCAAGGCCGCCGTTATGCTAGCTCCATACTTCCTAGGAGGACCAATAAGAACTAGGGCATCAACAGCTTTGACATCGACCACAGCATCGACCAAATATGTGTCACTGCCCCACGCTACTTTCTTGGTCTGAAGTGTTTCGTGTCAGAGACACGCACTGGCCAATCGCAATGGCCTCCCCTCTTTCCTCTCTCTTCCACCCCTCACTCCATGCAGAGATAAGACCAATGCTTGGCCCCTACGATTCAACAATGCGTGATAGGTGACATAGCATGCACCTTGCATGCGCACCTTGGACTGCCGTTGGACTCGGACCGCTGGTTTCTTTTTGGTTCAGCATTGCAGTCGGCCTAACATGACGCTATCTTTCAAGGCAGATCTATCGTAGATACATTTTACACATCACTTTTTTTTTTTTTTATTAAGGTATGTACAGTTGATGACACATAGCAGATAGATGAATGGAGATGTACGAGGCGTGGATAACCCAGCATCGGATATAGTACAGATAGAAAGTGCGAGATAAACCTGGGAAGCGAGCTACGAGGAGTGTAGGCACATGCACTTGTTGAACAAGAAATGCCTGTTACACTACTTGTCTTCATTGTCTGGGTCATCCTTCAATCAATTCACTCGCTTGTCTGTCTTGATTTGCCTTGGCTTATCTCGTCTTTACAGGCGCAGCTCCCGGCCCTCCATAATGGCCGGCTCATGTTGGCCCGCGGCCGCAGTCGCACCCTTCTCGTTCTTGGGTGAAAGAGGCGCCTCGTGAGACTGATGTGAGCCCGAGCTCACGGAGCGAGGCATGACTGGAGGTCGGACCACTCCATCACCGTTCGAGTTGGTGTGGTGCAGCAGACAGGGGTTCGAAACCGAAGTACGTCGACTGAGTAGCACCCGCGGCGAGTTACCCTCTGCAGTACTGTGGGACTCTGGTTTTGTGGGCAGCTCTTGAACGGGTGAAGCTGTTCTGGCCAAGGAAAAGTACGAGTGTCCTCCAAAGAGGTGGACACCGCTCATGGGCAAGGGTGAGACGCGACCGATATCTTCATGGTTTTGATGATGATGTCGATGGAGGAAATGGCCAAGGACGCCGGGCTGGAGACGAGGTACGTCTGACTCGAGCCCCGAGGATGCTCGACGGAGATGGGCGTTGAGCTCGGATCCATAGCCTTGGCAAACGCCCTCGTTCGGTGCCTTTGGAGAGTGCAGAGGCGAGTCTTTGGAGTAGAGGACATTCTCGGACTTGGGTCCGTTGTCGTATGCTTGGGCAAAGAAATCCATTGTGGTTGTAGTTATGGTTGCTGTAGTTGTGGTGGTGGTGTTGTTTGCCGTGTTGATGTTAGAGGCGGGAAGAGGAAAGAAGGGAGGGGTGAGAGAGAGGCGAGATGCGAGAGGATATATATCAGTGTGAAGATCGAATGGATATGATGAATCAAGGACCCGCTGTGGGCCAATGCGTCCTTTTATCCTTTTTTTGGCTACTGACGCCCTCTTCTCCTCTTGCGCTGAATGGTGGAGGAGGAGGGATTGGTCTGACTGGCAGCTTGTTGGCGGCAAAAGCAAGACTGAAACATGGGGAATGAGCTGGCGGAAGAAGTATCTCGGGTAGGGCTGTAAACAGCTGGTCCAGCTATCCTGACTCCTATATCTTGATAGTCCCTCCCAAAATACAATGCCAAATCAACTGTGAGAGGTACAATGGGCCCGCCTCGCTCGGGGTATTTTTTCAATCCCAGGCCTCTGATACCCTAATGAGGGAAGGAGGCCTGCTCCACATCCGATCGTCAAATCGACTGCACATCCGATCTCAAAAGCCTCTTTTTTTTGCCTTTTTTCTTTTTTTTCTTCTTTTTTCCAGTGGTGTTTATAATGAATATGATGATTCACTGCAAGTGTGCACTGTGTAAATGCATCGAGAGTACAATGAAGAAAATAAAATAATAAGAGGGTCCCTTCAGCTTTTGTAAATCATCATGTCGCCCCTCTGTTTCTATCCACCAGCACATCTCGTTATCGGGACATCGACACCCAGCTGAACCTGAACATGAACCCGATCCACAGATACACTTCAGTGCTCCCTTTTCCAGCAGAAAAACAAATCACCAATCGGCAAGGCCTAGAGGCGAAAATAATGCTGCATGTTAAAGAGAAAGACGTTGAAGAGGGCTGAACGGCCTTGATTCTCGAGGGAAGGGGCAAAGGCGATTTTTTTTGGGCAAAATGAAAAAAAGAGCGCGTGCCACACGTATTCGAGATTCAGGGTCTTGTATCCCATCGTGAGTCACTTTTCCAGGGAGCACCGATCTGTGTTCTGCTCAGCCCAATGTCCAGCCGGGGTCAACGGCGAACGACCTGTGTGATATGAACGGAAGAAATGCAGAGAGCTGGGACGTTCAAACATGCCTTTATATGTCACATCATTAGGGACAAAGAAAAAAAAATATGGAGTGGTGTGGCCACCCGATATTGAAGCACCCATGTCGCGTGCCCCTTATTCAACGAACCATTCCCGTGCGCCCAATTAACCAATATCCTCTTGAAGCAAACAAAGGATTCAGATGCCAGGAAGTATGCAAGACATAACAAGATCAACTCCTGCACCATTCGCTGAGCGAAAAGGAGAGATAGAAAAGGAAAGAAAAGAAAAAGTCATGGAGGTAATGAGGATAAAGAAAACGAACACGAGATATTGTCCTGCAAAGGGTGCGATGTATCCATCCGATTGAAAACTTTTCTTACGAGCCTCATCGGTCCATGGAACAACTGTTCCTAATTTTTGTCCCTCAGCATCGTTGCAAATTATCGTCATAGGCGCAACAGTTCAATTACAGTCATTGACAGCGCCACGCGTCCCTCCAATCCTGCCCATCCATGACCGATACTATCTATGCTGGATTTCTCTTCCTTGAACTGGTTGTGCTGATCCGTATGCTGTTATAGTCCAGCGAAACAACTGCGGTGAATGAATATGAGCAGTGGATAGGTTCCATGAAGCATAACATTGGGAGATCCATGAAAGAATAAGAAAGAGCACGAAAGATAGGAAAAGCGTCCAATTCATTCATGGGAACTGCAACACACCGCCTTCACCCTGTCAGATCTCTGTTCGACTCTCATCGTGTCCTTTTCATAGGATATTGCATAGCAATAAAATGAAGGACGCTCGTCGTATGTGAAGACTATCATCAACCAGGGTTCGGTAGTGGTCAGCTTTACAAAGGCGAAGGGGATATCCGTGGACACGAGACAACTCTGGCGATAGTTATGGATAGAATCTGTGTTTGCTTTATTGTTGTGCCTGTCTGACGATGTCCATGAGTGTCCATGAGCGTCCATGAGTGTCCATGAGTGTCCATGAGTGTCCATGAGTGTCCATGAGTGTCCATGAGTGCTGAAGAGCGATGGCGTAATGTTACTAATGAGATGATGATGAAAACAAAGGATCAAGACAACGAGAGGTTTGCCACCAAGCAGATAGACGTCACATTTCCAGGTCATTTGCCATGCAGCCGTTGCTTTGCACTACCCCTTCCTCTCGCGTAAAAATTGAGAGAGCGACAGGGGCTCGCAAAAAGGCAAGTTCCCATTCACTTACTTCTTTTCCTCATTCCTCCTCCCCAACCTCGTCTTACTCCACACTGCAGACAACCTCCCTTGACAACCCATACCATGTCAGTAGCAGTAAGTGGATCAGACCAGCGGTTTTTTCACTTTTTTTCCGTGTACTTTTTTCACTGGGCTAACCATGATACACACATGTCCTAAGAATCTTTTTGGTTTCTCAGCACCGGTCGATATTCAAATCGCCTTCAAGGGCGAGGAGAACCGGAAGATGGTCGAGGTCAAGGTCGACAAAGACAGGAGGGAAAAGTTCCCTCTCTACTTTGATGGCGAGAGCGTTTCAGGAAAGGTCAGCAAAAAAAAAAAAAAAAAAGGCGTATCCATGCCCAAAAGTCTCTCTTTCTTCCAAATTGCTCTCTCACAATATGTTTTCTCTGGCTTCCCTCCCCTCTGACGGTGCTATAGATCCAAATCCGTGTCAAGGATGGCAAGAAACTGGAACACAACGGCATCAGGGTCGAATTTGTCGGCAACATTGGTAAACAACCAAACCCTGCAAACTGTCAACTCAGAGACCCTCTCATGGAACGTGGGGGGCTCGGTCGGTCACAGACACAGCAGTTGCTCACGCGCTCTCTTCCCTCTTTTTTTTTTTTTTTTTTTTTTTTTTTTTCTCTCTCTCTCCCCTCTCATGACTGATATTGATGTTGGTGCTATACAGAGTTGTTTTATGATCGAGGAAACCACTACGAGTTCTCGTCCTTGCAGCAGGACCTCGCTGTGCCTGGAGAACTGCGCGCGAGCACGACCTATGACTTTGAATTCAAGAATGTGGAAAAGATGTACGAAAGCTATCATGGAATCAATGTCAAGCTGCGATACTTTGTCCGGGTGACGATCCTCCGGCGTCTCGCAGATGTCGTCAAGGAGCGCGACATCTGGGTTTACTCCTATGTCATGCCCTCCGAGAACGCCAACAACTCGATCAAGATGGAGGTCGGTATCGAGGATTGTTTACATATCGAGTTCGAATACAACCGATCCAAGTACGTCCTTCTTTGTTATCCTTTGTTATCTTTTTTTTTTTTTTTTTTTTTTTGCTTTGCTTTCCGGCTGGATATGGTTCCCAATACTGATTCGCAAACCTTTGATATAGATACCATTTAAAGGACGTTATCGTCGGCAAGATTTACTTTTTACTTGTCCGTATAAAGATCAAACACATGGAACTGTCCATCATCCGTCGGGAGACCACAGGTGCGGCACCGAACCAGTACAATGAAAGCGAGACCATTACCAAATTCGAGATCATGGATGGTGCCCCTGTCAGGGGCGAGACCATCCCTATCCGCCTCTTCTTGGGCGGCTTTGAGCTCACACCGACGTTCAGAGAGGGTATGTGGGCGACTGCACGTCAGGACCAAGGACGGACACGTTGATTATGAAAATCATTCAAGGGCTGACATTCTATCCATTGTTGTTCCATTGATACTAGTCAACAAGAAGTTCTCGACGAGGTACTACCTTAACCTCGTGTTGGTCGATGAAGAACATAGGCGATACTTCAAGCAGCAGGAAATCACGATCTTCCGTCGACGAAGTAGGTTACAATTTGCACAGCAGGCTAATTTCTTCCTAGACAGTGCAACAATGATCCCCTACTGACCATGTCTTTTCTCTCTCTCTCTCTCTTTTCTTCTTATAGTCGACGACGGACTAGAGCCAGAAGAGGGCGAGGACGACTCATAAAGTGAAACGAAGCATGGAAGCACATTTTGCATTGGAACCGTCGTCAATTGTAAAGACTGCATTGTATCATAACGATAGTCCTTTTATTGTTCTTAAATAAAAGGCGCCTTGTGGCCAAAATCGCGCTGTATCAGTAAAGGGACCTGCATGGTATTATCGTTGTTATTAATATTATTATTATTAGAATGCTGATCTTTGCATGGGGGGCTATCCTTTACTGAGCAAAGATAAGCATCCTAGGCGCCAGGATAGGTCCGACGGCAGCATAATACTCCCGCATAGCCTTCGATACCTTCTCGTCAGTCTTAAAGGCCTCAAAATCCTAATTAAATAGTTCGTTCCAACTGTGAGTTAGAATAAAAGAATCCATAATAACAATAATAAAACATACGCCAGGAAAGCATGATTCCTTACCGTAAGCATCATGGCCTTGTCTCCCTTGAACAAAACGAGCTGTGCTAGGTCCTGCTCCGATACATCATCAGGGTTCATCATGCCTGGGAGTGGAAGTGAGGACATGAGAGGAGGGGGCGTCAACGATGGCCGTTTGCCGCCACGCGTGTACTCTGACGGCACAGGCGATCCATCCTGAGGCCTCTTCCTGCTCCTATACCCTTCCTCATCATTGCTAACCAATCCTGATCCGTGGCCATGTTGCTGCGGCTGTACCTGGTGCTGCTCACGGATGTCTGTTACCTCAATACCCGCCGTCGGTGATCCCGTGTCCATTGGGCAAAAGTCGGCCAGCTCGTGCTCAGTGGGTTTCACTGTTGTCGCCGCAGATGAATTTTCCCTCGTCGTCTTTTCACGCGCTCTCTTTTCGGCGGCCATGGTGATCAAGAGTCCCTTGACCCTGGGGTTGAAGAGTTCGGATGCGCTAAACGAGAAATAACGCTTCGACTGCAGGAGGTGGATGCATCTTTCGAATGGTACCCATCCGTAGGTTTCCTATAAAGTCATGCATTCAACGAGTTCAGTATAACTGTTCCAAGCGCCACTTCGATAAGCAATAGAGCCTATGGTACTCTTCACATACCGGGTCCAGGAGGTAAGAGGGGTGATATGTGGCCTTGAAATGGGTCTTGGGAGCAGACGATACATAATGTCCCATGGTATAGTATTCCATTGCCTCAAATCCTGGGATAGCTTTGATCTCTTGCACGAGCGCAATCTCTCTCAACGTGCTGTATCTTCCGAGAGACAAGGTCGACAGCGAGGGATCATAATAAAAATGGCCAGATGAGATGCAGCGAGGAAGGATGTCGAGGACAGACACGGCCACCAGCTTGCCATCGATGTAGTAACAGTGATGGTACGTGCCAAAGCCCACAAATCCATGGCGTTCATGCTCTGGAATCGTAGTTTCGGTCTAATAAGTATAAAAAAATAATTAAAAAAAGGCGCGTTAGAACATTTACAAAAAAAAAAAAGACACCGATTTCTAGATCCATTAAGACACATCGTCGTTACCATGAGCGGTGTGCGTGTGATACTGCCATCAAAGGACTCTCGCGACAGCATCGATGAAGGAACTCGATGGATCTCTTGCTGATACTGGCAGTACAGGTCATATTTTTCCTGCGTAAACGTCGCCGGTTCCAAGACGACCTGTTAAAGCGCACAGAACATGTTGAGACGAGTGGGCGTACAAAAGTTAAGGCCTTATGAAATCCTGTCACCTTTCTGCCCAAAAAAGAATAAAATGAAAGAACCAGCAAAAAAAAAAAAAAAAAAAAAAACGAACCTTGAACTGCCTCCAATCTGATCTTGTCTCTATCTTATCCATATCTGCCGCATGAATGTTCTGTACAAAATCCGCATGCGCACTCTCGCTCCTACAGCTGCCGAAAGGAGGCGAGATGGATTTCCGGCGTGCGCCATGCCCAGCACTAAGTGCAGGTTCGGGACTAGGGCTGTGCTCTTCAGGAGGGTTCGTGTCCTCTCGGGCCATGCTCTCTCTCGAGATCTTAAGAGGCACATATTGATTTTTGATAAAGCGGTTCAGTCGGGCTACAGTCCGTCTCTGGCCCTTGGACGGTGTGAACTTGGATGTGTTTAGACTATTGAAAATTGAAGGGGATAGAGAGAAGGGACAAACCGCGCGGGTGCATTATTGGTTAAGGTATAAATATAGACAAAGCGACGGGGGCGTACAACAGAAAAAAAAAAAAAAAAAAAAAAAGGTTCAATTGCGGCGGTAGTCCTGGCTTACCGAATGGTATACTGGCGACAACAGCTGTGCAATCGTTGGAGAGAACAAACGCATGAACAAGGAACGAACAAGTGGTTGTTAATACTAGACCCCCCTTTTTTTCTTGTGCAGAAAAGTGCACATGCGGCGAGCCTCGGTCGGTATTGGATCGCCCAAAAATGCAAGAGTGCCAGGTGTCCTCTCTCAACCGCGACAAACGGGGCGCTGTACTTTACCTATCTCTGAGGTTCGGCAGGTACAGATAGAGGCCGAACCTACAAAGAACCGACGCAGAAAGTAATGACCAAAGAAAACAGAGGGATGTCAGTCTCTTCAGCAGTAAATGTCGGTATTCCGTGCTTGGATGGGCGGGCTTATTATGAAACAATAGAAAGCAAAAGAAATTTACCGTCGCCAGCCCTGGTCCAAAAGGTCTTGATAGTCCTAAAAGATCGCCGATCGCCAAATGGAGCAAATGAACATAGCACGGCAATGGCCAATTGGGCACGGTTAATCGGTCGTATCAATACGCGTCGTCGACCATGAGAGAGGGGATGCCGTGAATGTTCTGCGAGGTGGAGTTGCGCTGCTGGGAGACAGGAGCCATCGATGCCCAGAATTTCAAAGGTCACAAATATGTTCTCCGCACAACGCGCTCTCTTGTCAAAGTCCAATGAAGCCAGGAAGAGGGTAGGGGGGCAGAAGGAAAAGGTCGTCGTAATGTGGGTGGGTGGGATAACGAGGAAGTTCGCGGCGCGTACCTTGCACGTCAATCTGTAGGCGAATGCGCCGTAGACATGGGCCGAACTCTCGCCTCCACAGTAACCGCATGAGGCGATGGTAAACCCAACGGGCTTGATGATGCTGTAAGACTCTGACATGTGTGCAATGGGGTTCGAAGCGAATTGGAATGTGTGGTGTGTTCAAGTTGCATGGAGTATGGGAGAAAGGGGCAAAAGAGTATAGAAGCCTATTTTCATCATTACGCGCGGATGGGTGGAAATAAAGGATTCCATGGGTCATACAGCTGCAAGGTGCCCCCGGAAACATCGCTGAGCACCAGCAGCAAAAACAAAGACTTTGTCTTTTTACATTACAAATGGATGCGAGAGTTCATGTTACATACGATCGACTACAGTAGGCCGCTGTTCACAGTGCATATCATAATTGCACCCCGAAGTACTTTGAGGTCTTTATTTCCTATCACCGTAATATCTACGCTTGTGCTCAAACCAAATGGTCCGTGATTCAATTTCGCGTTTTTGGAGGTTTGTCGAATCATTGCCCTAAACAATGGAGAGACTCCCCAGAATCCACACCAGTTCTGTGGCTCAAAGTATAACGCGCATAGTCGAGTGTGATAATGCCTCTTTGATACTATTTACCTGACTAGGACATCCTACGAATGTCATCTATTTTGATATTCTCTATCTCAATTACAAATGAGCAGCCCAAGTTTAGACTGTGTGTAACATGACCGATTACGGAGGGTAGCATTTTATGCATCGCAGCAAGTGAGAACAAGAACGCAGAGATCGAGTTCAAGCTCGAGCTGTATATTTGATCGCTTTGATGAGCAACATATGGAGTACGAAGGAAGAAAGATAAAAGAAAGGACGTTGATATCAAACTAAAAAAAAAAAGTTGTATTTCATTATACAGATGGATCTGATGCGCACTATGGAGGACTATTCATCTAGTACAGTGGGGCCTCGTATGCACTCAGTCGTTCACGAGAAAAAAGGGTGTTGCTGCATCGCGGGATGTGGAGTGGGCTGTGCTCTACGTCGCTGGAGCAACAGTTGCTGCTGCTGGTATCGTTGAAGCTTCTGGCGATGTTGCTGAAGCTGCTGGCGTTGATAAGGATCCAACATCGCTGCACCACTCGAAAATGAGGACTGCAGATGTGAAGGTAAGGACGCAAAGGTGACCCCAACCTGTGCCGCTTGATAGCCTACATCGCCGCCGCCAGGGTGGCGACTGGGCGGATAGGGTGCACCGACAGGAATCGGACGTGACGACGTCGCCTGCATCTCATAGAGGTCTGCTGAAGACATCGTGGACCGCTGTGGTATTGACATCGACTTGACCTCGGGGACAGCGGAGCCAGTATCGCCCCAGGAATAAGGGGAGGGCGGGTGGCCGGGACTCAGCCGACGAAGGTTCACGTCTAGGCTTGGTATGGGAGGATGATCATCCGAGGTTGGAAACCGTGTTTGCGGACGGGATACGGCGCGTTGATGATGCTGGTGTAGTTGCTGTTGCTGTATGAGCTGGTGATGATGATGATGATGATGAGGATGAGGATGAGGGTATGGAAGGCGTTGCTGGGAATGGACTGGCAAATGATGCTGGGACTGCAACACGTACGGCAATGACTCGTGTGAGAGTGGCACGTATGAGAAAGATAGGGCGCGTTGGCGGTAGGACTGGTGCTCAGATGGGCCGCGCAGAGTCTGGTACGGGGTCCCAGGGAGCAGATGAAACCCTAAATGCTGCTGCTGCTGCCTGCCCGCAGGCACTCCGTCTGTTGTGGTCTTGTTACCGCCTTTCGGACGGCCTCTGGGCTTTGGCACGGCATCGCGGCAGTTGTTGGCCTTGGAGGGATGCTTGAGACAGTTCTGGCAAGGCCTTCCGTGGTCACACTTGATGTGGGACCGCTTGCAGTTGCCGCAAGCCACTATGGGCTGAACAATGTCGTCGTACGAAGGCGACGTTGGCGAGGAAGCATCAGAGGAAGTTGGAGTGGGTGAGCACGAGGATGAACGAGAGTCGGCGAGGTTAAGGGCCTCGGGCGCACTTTGTCTGACTTTTGAATCCAAGTTAGGGTTCAAATCCAGGGGTATGGACTCGGGCCATAGCGCAAACTCTGAGCGGGCTTCCGGAAGCGTGATATCACTAGCCGTCGGGACAGCAGAAGTCATCAGGATAGATCCTCCATTCACTAGGCATACGTCTGTTGTCGATGGGGAGCAGGAGCTGGATACGCTGGTAACTTCACCGGCTAGAGATGTCGAAGCGTCCGCTAGTGGGAACTCGAGATCATGCTGAGAAAACAGCTCGAAAGTGTCAAAGGCCTTGCTCTCTTCGGTCTGTCCGGTTGGCGGTGCGCGTGCGGTAAGTGCGGTAAACCGCCCGTGGGCGACTTCACCTGTTGGAGAGGTGGAGCCTGTAGGGGAGGATGCGATGGAGACGGTTGGACTTAGGAGTTCGTGCTGGTGTTGAATGTGTAGATCGTATGTTGTATCAAAACCAAAGTCGTCCCAGGCTGCAATGGCGGCATCGATCCGTTCGATCATTTGGTTTGAGTCATGATGGTAATCGCTATGGAATGGGAGGCCTACTAAGGGCACCGCCGAGGTTGAAGTTGTAGCCATAGTTGGGATAGAAGCCGAGAGCATTGTGTTGAAGGGGAAGGGAAAAATGGCCGGCTGAAGTTCGTCGTTAGTGTTGAGGTTGCTAAAGATAGTGCTGGTGTAGGTGCTCGAGCTGGGTGGAAAGAATGCGACCAGTGACTCGATGCTGTGGTCAGGACTGACACTGGTTGATGACAGATGCAGGGGCTGGTGGCCAAGGAAAGGGTTGAGGAGAGGAGCGGCGTGGGGGATGAATTGATGTTCGCCCTCAAAGGAGGATGGGGACGGAGGAAACGATGGTGGTCCTGCGGTCACCCAGGGCAGTGACAGAGGGGGGTCGTGGTGGAGAGGGAAGTGGTTGAGTGACGGGTGGCGATGGCTCTGGGGAGGAGGAGGAGGAGCAGGAGGAGGGGGATGTTGGCACTGCAGCTGGGACAGTGGATGAGGAGAAGAGTTGAGCGCAGAAAAGGATTCTCGGGGAGGAGGGGCCAGCAAATTGAGGGGATTGGGGTGATCTCTGTGGTTGTGACTAAACAAGGGCTGCGCGTGCTGGAGCTGGAGCTGTGGATCGAGAGGGTGACTGTGGTGGTGGCGGTCTGCCTCTGGCTTAGAAGGCTGGGTGGTGTGGAGGGATGGTGGGGGGGATGATGGTGACGGAGGTGGTGGTCGTGCAATGTGATCGGCCTGTTCTTGCTCTTCGGGAGCGGTGACTTGATCTCGCAGGAGGTCTTGAGCGTGGTCCTCGGCGGGGTTTTCGTAGGAGAGGGAGGCGAAGGAGGAGGGGGTCTTGTCCAGGGGGTGGTATGGGCTGCGTTGGTTCTGGCACTGGTCTAGGCGGTATGGGCGCGGGTGCGGGCGTTCGAGTGGGTATTGCCGCTGGGTATAGTTGTCTCTGTCGTCCGCAGGGATGGCTCGCTGTGTCTGTGTGTAACAGGGTGGCGAAGGGAGGAATGTCAGTGGGTACACCGAAAAATGTGCGTTGCGCTTTGTGTCACAGAGAGTGTGCGACACAAACCCTCCGAAGTTGTCTCAAACCCGCTGTGCTTCGACTGCCCCCAGCTGCCCTCCCTTTGTTTGTTTGTCAGCCCAGGAGTATTTCTCCCTTTTCGCCTTTCCTCCTCTTAACCTTACTCGACTCAATGCAGTCCAACACAGATATTGGGCGGAAGGGCAAAGCGGTCAAGGGGAAAGACGAATGGAACAGGGACACAGGAGGAGAGTAGTACCTTTCTTTTTTGTTTTTGTTTTTTTGCAATGGAAACAATGAGACAGGAAGGTGGTATCAGGAACGAGTTAAAAAGAAAGAAAGAAAAAGTAATCAGAACGAGCAAGAGGGTGAGAGTTGCGGGGGAGAGGGGGAGGAGGAGGAGGAGAGGAGAGAAGAGGAGCGAATCCATGTTCAGCAGGGTTTATATAGTGTGTTGTCTAGATGTGCATTAGAGCAGGCCGAGGAGATATGGCATATGTGTTATATAGGGAGGGAGGAAATGCATGCGAGGAATGGTATGGTTGCACACACTCAAAAAGCAAAAGCAATACGGTATAATTGTATAGCATGAGAGTGAGAGCATTCGGCGTGTTTCTGCTGCTTACTTCACTTCAGTCGCCTTATTGACGCTTGTTGGGTTGAGAGTGACAGGAAAATCAATTGACGGGCAGCGAAAAGAGATGGGGGGGGGGGGGGGAACAAATTTACGATGCAGGATGTGAAATAAGGGCGCGTGAGGATTGCATGTAACAGGGCAGCTGACAGCGGGTCGTTTCCTTTCGCTCGCGCGTCGTCGTCGCCTTTTTTTAAGTGTGTGATAGCTGGGAAGTGAGGAGAGAGACGATGTCTAAAGGAAGAGCAAGGAAGCGAGTGGTGCGGGAAAGTGAAGAAGGGATTGGCAAAGGGGGAGGAGAGCGAGGCTAGATGACGGTCGGCGGGTGAAGTGAGGGGAAGTGTTCTCTGCAGAGGAAGGTTGAACGCAGAGGTGCTGCAAGATCTTACGGTATACGTAACACGCAAAGAGTAGGACGGGTGGTGAGAGCTTTGAAGGGTATGTTGGGGAGAGAAGAGAGCCTCGAGAAGAGAAGACACGTTCATCCTTTATATCCTCTTTCTGGCGCAGTGCTGAGCTCCCAAACATCCAGTAGCGCTATTGTGTCCCACGTTCAATCGTAGAATAAGAATTATATAATAATATAACACCTGCTCCTGCATCGAGATTTGCAGTGTTCCTTCTCTCTGTACTCCCATGGACGGTGCGATGCTGCAGGCAGCAAGGGTCGACTTTGAAGAAAGACAGTCGATCTGATCTCTTGATCACCATGCCCCCGGAAAGCACTGCACTGTACCTATGGAGTTCCTTTGTCCTGGGCCCCCGATGGACGCAAACTGTGTCACAGATGGAGGGGAGGGGATGATGATCAGAAGACAGAGGAAGCTGTTCTGGGGAACTTTTTCTTGAACGTGGTCTTTGGCTCGTGTATTTGTACTCCTTCATCCGCATATTGAATCGACGTTCTTCCTTTCTTCTTTGGTGACACAGCAACTGCCCCCTTCTTTCTCTCTATCCTTTTTTGCACATGCCTCACAGAACTGCAGCAGTTGCAACAGTGTCATGTACGTATTTAACTGGGCTGGGACACACACACACACAGCATCCAGATGAACAGCCGGGGTAGGGAGCGGAGGAAACAATACTTGGCACGCACGGCATCCGTTCCGTTGCCGTGTAAAGACGAATGAGTTATCATGCGGAGAAACACCCAAAGAGACAACAGAGGGCGTTGCTTCGAGAGCGGTCTACAAAAATTGGCGGCAAAATCCACTAACACACTCGTAATCAGGCCCCCACCCCCTCTTCTGTGGGCAAAAAAGAAAAAAGAAAACTAGGCGTGGCGTACAATGTTCCTCAATCAAAACTTCTCTATTGGCCCCTCGCCTCTGCCTTCCAGGCGATCAACTGAGCATTCTCGCGTTACACTACCTCGATGCATTTTATTCATACATGAGCTCAAGCTTCTCTCATACTCCAAAAGCGTTCCCGTCATCGAGCGAACCCACCCCCTTCCACGTTAATTGGGCCTTTATTGCCCTCTCTGTCTCTCTCTTCATAATGCCACTTTAATCATTTTCTCCTTGTTGCCCCTGTCTCTATCATGGGCCCTGTGCAGGGCTGATGAGGGAGAGAAGAACACAATCGAAATAAGAAGTAAAGAAGACAGCAGCGCAGGTGCAGGCTGAAAAAAAAGCATCTGGTAATCACGTCAAGTCCAAGTTACAAAGCGGTGGTCCATGGTCCAAAGGGAATATGCATGGGGAAAAAAATTTATGTACTAGCATGTCATTGCATATAGATTGAATATATTTCATCAATTTTATCATTCAGAGTAACCTTCAGGTTGAGTCAGTTATGCAAGGGAAAACACCGTCCATAAAAATCGACGGCAACGGCAGAAGCAGCGCCGGCAACAGCAAACAACAACGTTGGACATGCATACGAGAGCTCTCGGGGTATGGGAGGCGCGTCCTCGCCGAGGAAATGGAGATCGTGGTAAATTATGGGTGTAATTACAGGCTGCAGGATGTGAACCGGTGATCACAGCGGGAATCTAATCTACATACAAAATTGCACTGCCCCAGTCTGCACTTGATGAAACGGTTCCTTACCTCAGATATCACGTTGGTCCAACATGATGCAGCCAACAAATTCACTCCTAACGAGTCATCGTGAATACGACGATCGCTGTCGACTTTATCCAGGGCCCCGTCTGCGAACATGCTGTGTCCCTTCTGCAAAGCAGGGTCCTGGTCATGGCCGTCATGATGGCCAACGGAGAATATACAACATCGATTTTAGTCGGGGAATGAGAATGAGGAGGCGGGTGTAACAGTAAAAAGGAAAATTCCTGCCAGACCATCGCTGGTCTGAGCGCCCTTGAAAAGAAAGAAAAAGAGAGTCCTGTAGAAGCAGCGGGCGTTGCCCCATCGACATGACTACAGTGCGGCCGGCATGAGATGATTCAGAAGACGACATCAATGAACTCATAGCTGAATTGTGTGGGGAAGCTGAGGTAAGCCCGCGTATTTTGCTGTGTGAGGTTGTTTGGGAGGAACTATAGTACACTGATACGTGCTATAAATGAGTCGTCCAGATCTGCAAGGGAGAGGACACGACTACCCAGGAGGGATATGGTAGGATGGGGCGGATGAGTAAACACCCCGAGTGCTCGGGTTGGCTAACAATGCCCGTACTCGCTACACACAGGTAGACAGGTAGACAGGTAGACAAGAGAGGTATCGAGCAATTGGGAGAGGATTTAGGGGGAGAAGGGGGGATGCGACTGGTGCAAGGGTCCAATCCCCAATCAGCAGGCAGCAGGAAAGCGGGTGAGTCTTTCTTTTGCTCAGTCCGCCGTTCATTTCATACTTCTGTCTCCTTTGTTTGTTACACCAAGGCGGTGCGCTGCTCTTTTTTTACAAATACAAATCAGAGACGCGGGAAGAAACTCATTTTCCTATTCATATCCGTATTCACTCGTCTGTATCACAGGCATAGGCATATAGGTTATGCATGGTATAGACTACACAGGACTCGTGTCCCTGGAAGGGCATGCTGACCAGTGTACTGCATGAATGCCATTAAAATAGACTGCAGTGTACATGAAAGCATGCGACTTCCCATCGCTGTCGTTGGTCCTTCTTGGTTGTAGCTCATTTCTATTTTTCGGTCAAGCTCAAGACTAGCCCAAACCCATGTTCCTCCTCTCATCCCCCATATACTATCACTAGCATGGCTGTCGTGTGCTTTGGTAACAAATCAAATCCAACATCTGCCATTTCCCGCGAAAAATACAGAGACACCTTTTCCTCCTCCCTGTTTACCGCCTTTTCCCTCCATCTCGCATTCATTCATGCGCCGACAGAAACAATAATAACAATGCCCTGGGACGGATAGGGCTGCTTTTCATTTCGTTTTATTGGTTTGTTACCTTGAAAATGCTGTTTATTGGCGATAGAGAGCCACGAGGCCGGTGGACGCGAACACAAAAGGTTCAACAGGCGTTGGGATAGACAGGGAGATATCCAAAGATAGAGACGAGGACTGTGCAGCAGGAGAAGGAGATGGCGAGAAGAAGGACTGGAAGGAGCTGGAGTGTGCATAAAATGAACCGAGGCTCCCCACCCCATGCCGCGGCGCAACAATGGCTTCTTTGGAACGGGCGTGAGACCATGACCAATGCAATACCGGATTTTGATGCATGAACTGGGAGACGAGGCAAAGCGACGGATGGGTTATTGCTCCGGCATGGTACAGCGCGCTCAGTCCTCGAGGTGGCCATTCCCTCATCCCCCTCTTCATCATTGTCAACATCAACATCAGCAACTGGCAACAAAAACCAATTGTCCTCCATCATTGATAAATGAACCAAGAAAGAGTCAGAGAGAGAGCTGTTTTCTTGTCTGCGCTTTGTTCCCCTCCGATCGGTGACCCAGAGGGGGAAAAAATAAAAGTTTTGCATGATCCATGATCGACTCTTATGTCTTGGTTTAGATGATATGTCATCAATTCAAGTTGACCTCGAAGACATTTTTCTGTGCCGACACACAGCTATTTTTCTATCTATTTTTTCTACTGTGACATTATTCATTGCATACATGTACCATACACGTACATACGATAGCCCAAGAGTTCAGGTTCACGTACGTGTGAGTACAGTGACCTACCCGCCTCTTTCCTTTGACTATCAGAAATTCAGAAGACGTTTATTCTTGTGTTACTGCATCAGAGTCGGGTGCGTCAGGCGGGTTGGCGGGAATGCATCCCTGTGCGCAAGCAAACGTTATTAGGACCTTGCACTTTCCTCAGTTCCCGCATTTCCGGGTCTATGGACAATGCAAACAGAACTCGTGGTAAGTTCTGGTCTCACCAATCGATCGCGCCTCGCGTCAGTTTTTACCCGTATCTTGTCTCTGGAAAGAGTGAAAAACACACGCGCGTGAATCACACACCAATAATAGCCCCGCCCTGGGTAATTGCCCCACTCGCGTCGTGTTTTTCGCCCAAACGCCATTCATATCAATACAATCATCATTCGAGCTGCCGCATGGTTTTTCCCACAGCGCTGAAGCACTCAATTATATGGTGTTGGAGCATAAAGCGCCGAGTAACGCGTATCATTTTATCCAGCTTTTACTTGTCTCTATTTTCTCATCCTCAATCCAGTGTCATGCATATTTGGCTCGTCCAGAAAACGGTCCTCTAGCGTCCTCTCAAACTCTCTGCCTCGCGTTGACTTTCACGGAGCTCACTCTCGGAATCTGCAAGATGTGTCTCAAGCAGATCTTTTTGCTCACGGAGACCCTGCATCACCTTGTCCAACTGCTTCAGGGCATCGCGCTGTCGCTGGATCTCGCGATCCTGGTCCAGTAGCTGCCGGTCAAGAATCGATGCATCATCGTTAAGCACCTGCTGCTGTTTGTATGCAAGTAATTCTTGTAGCTCCTTAACAGCTACGCCGATGTCTCCGCGGTTCAACCGTGACTTCTGCTCAGCATCCTCGATCTGTCGCTTAATGCTCTCCAGCTCATGTTTTAACCGCTCCTCCTGTGCTTGCGTTTCTAAAAAAAACACGGGCATCAAATAAATTGTTAGGTTCTAATAATTTACATCGTCCAGAAAATGCACAGGATGCACAGATGTTCAAAAACTAACCGTGGGCAGCATGGTCCTTCTGGTTCAATCGGCTCAAGTAGTCACCGGCGATAGCGTGGCCCTTTTCACTAGAGAATGCAGATTTTGTTGCGAATGAGAGCGGTACAGAAGGTCTTCCTGCCTGCTGACGGATTTCGTCGACAGCATAGTTGTCAGAAAGAGCAAAGTTGGAGCCACCCAAGAAAGAGGTCCGGAGAGCGCCTGGAAGAGTATTCGGGACACGCTTTCCGAGTCGTCGGCTGTTGAGAATATGGAAAAACACAATGCACTGCTCCTTTCCGATCTGAGGTGCTGAATGGACGTTGACCAGCGACCTAACATTTTCACGATAAAGGATAATGGGTAGCGATGGTATAGAGAGTAAGTAATCTTCATCGCCAACGATTTCAGACGAGCGTATTTGTTCTGTCAACTTACCAGGCAGCATTAATATCTTCTCTAGGAATCTGCAATGCCTGGTATAATTCTTCAAATTGACCCACTATTACACCAAACAAAAATAAGACGAGCGAGTTAGTATGTGTGTAGGATCGTATGAACAATGTGGGCAAGGCAGATTGTCAGGAGTTGGCCTACTTCGCACTTCGCCTGAAGACAGTTGAACATTATTCTTGTAGATAGTTTCGTAGTTGGATCGGTCGGACGGAGCAATGTACCAATCAAAATCGTCCGATAAGTTGCCTGTTACCGCCACCGCCGAGTCCTAAGAATGCGAGAAGGCATAGTTTGTCCGCGTTAGAGAGAATCAATGTCCTGTAATCATTTTCTTCCTAATGCTGGGGATGTGATCGCGACTTCGGGTGGACTTACGAGTGCAGAGATGGCAGAATAATTCGAGCCCTGCTGGCCGTAAGACTGAGGCGGTGTCATGAACGCTCCTGTAGGCTGAGGCTGTTGCATGTACGACTGGTTATATCCTTGGTTACCGAAGTAATGGGCCTTTGATGGCGGTATCATGTGTGGAGGAAGTGATGCTGGAATGTCCGAGATCTCGCCGTTGATAGAGGCGTATACAAAACGAAGCGCCAGACAAAACTCGTCAAAATCCATGTTGCCATCCTTGTCAATATCGCAAATATCCCTAATTAATCAATGGCAAACAGCAAAGAGGTGCAATGTCAATGCCATGGAGCCACGATACGATAATTGGAGTACCACTTGGAGATTCAGATACTTCAATTAACAACTTCACGACATCCACACTGATATGATTCAGGCACAGGACATACCAAATCTGACCCAGTTTGACAACATGAAGTCCAGAGTTCATGAAGATCTGTCGTGCCTGGACGCCTATCCGCAGGATTCAAGTAGTGGTGCTTGCAGTAAGTTTTTCGTTGCATGGCACCGTTTCTGACTCAAAGTCGACTTGGCACAGATGAGAAGGGGGCACTCACCAGTGATGTAGCCATTCGTGGGGTTGAGACTGGTGAATATCTCGGCGTACTTCTGGCGTTCTGCCTGAGACATGTCCATGATGCGCAGTATGTGTTGGTCGAGGAGATGTTGGGGTATTGAGGTAGTGTCGCGAAGATGAGGATGAGCGGAGGGAGGATGGGCGTAAAACGTGGAGATGGAGTGTAGACGTTCAAAGGCGGGTATGTGACGTTGCTTTGTGCTCGAATAGAATATAGAATAAACCCAATTGAATAAATTTATTTACACATATTTTTCATAGCCGGATCAGATCAACTTCTTCCGTTTCCAACGTCCAACGACCGAATCGATTCAGCAGGAGAGCCATGAGCAGGATTCCCGGCCACCAGAGCATTCAGTGGCTCGTCTCTTCTTTCGGGACAGGAACTTGTCGCAACAGTAGCAGTCTGAATACCCTTACCAGGAACAGGATCAACAAGATCAACAAGATCAGTTCAACAAACAGCCCGGACTACACCTACTCCCACTCTTGTCTCTTCTTCTCGACTTCTGCAAGACCAAATGCAAAGAAAAAGACCATCGACGCCGCCACCCTCGACAGTATCTCTCAAGCGCTCATCAATGATCTTTACACGCAACCATCCTCCTCAAGGGCAAAGGTCACACTTGACGACGTCCTTGCTCTTAAGCCTGCCCGCAATGCCATCACCGCAGATGAGTTTAACAAGCTGAAGGACCTCGTCGCTGCTTCCTTCAACGTAAGCCAGCTCAAATCCGTCCTCCGCTCTCAGAAAATGCCTGCCAATGGCAAGAAATCCGTGCTAGTCAACCAGATCATGATACTTATGGATCTTGACGTCAAGGCCCTGAAAGCAAAACTGCCCGTGGTCGAAGACCCCTACACACCAGCAGAGCCAATCGCACTACAAAAGGTTTTCCCGTCAAGCAGGAGAGAGCTTTTTTTTATTTTAGGGTCGGAGGGCGACTCCTTACGAGAGGTCGAACGGGAAAAGAATGTGCGCATCTCGATCAACATTGCTAACGAGACCTATATCATCAGAGGAGCAAGAGACTCGATTGAGGATGCCCAGAATCGGATCCGGGAGCTCGTTGCAGTCACAGAAGAGGCGTGGGATATTTCAGCATACGCCGACAGGGACTTGGTCACGAAGGAACCTTCAGTACTGGAAGACATCGCACGTAGATCACAAACCTTTGTCTCGGTAGGAGACCAAAACACACTGAATATCGCCTGCAGATCGAGCAAGGATATGGACGAGGCAAAACGACTTTTCGATCTCAGGCTCCACAAGGTATGCGGCATGAGGAATTAAAATCCAATGATCTTGATGAACTAAAATAGGTAGGAAGTGTGTTGGTCTCTAACCAGTGTCTTTTTTTTTTTTTTTTTTTTTTTTAACAGTTGACACATGGCGTTGAAAACCTCACATTATTACACCAAGAGGACGAATTGAAACCGTTAGGCATGTTCCCTGTCTACGACTCTGTCAGCATGACTGCGGATGAAAGTCAAAAGTCCTTCTTCCGTATTGCTCAGACGGAACCCGTAAGTTACTCGTACCGTCTCCGTCAATTGAGGGTTTGCATAATCCTAGGGATGAGTATTCTGACGCGGATTTTTTTTTCTAATCACTCTACAGTACGCGGACAAAACTGTGGACAACCCCACGATTTTACCTATTCAATCAGCATTGTCCCATGTTGGAACTCTGGAAGAACTCAAGAGGCACCTGAAAAGTTCAATCGACGAAGTACATACACCGCATCAAACGTTCGATTTATCTGCGAATTTTGGACAGGTGCTTTTCCACAACAAGAACCATGCGATGACTCAACTACCCTTATCTGGACCATTTGATGCTTTTGAGCTTGAGGGGTGGCTCAAGAAAGCCGAGGAGCCGTATTTTTTACAAAGGTGAGAACGAACTCTTTTAGATCAAGGATGTTTTTGGCAAGATTGGTATAATACCAGGCATATTCTAACCTCTTTGTACACTCTCCTTGCAGCCTTCCGTTCTTCAAGGCCGTCTCTCGACTTCCATTAGTAGGTCTTAAGACCAAGACCATTGAAGTCGAATACATCCCATCTTCGTCTTCGAGTGTGCAGAACCCAGTCCTGGATCCGATCCGTGTCATCTTTATGCTGGATAATGAGGGCGAGCTCTGTGTGCAGGATGGAAAGGCAATCAACAGGCAATGGTTGGCAAACCTCATGATGCTTGGCCAACCCACGGATATTCAGATTCGGAGTGAATTAGCAACCAGGATCGATGCGAAATCGCCAGTCTTGAATGAGCTTTTGAGTCAAACAGCATTGTCCTTTGCCAACAGACTGCAATGTCCAAACTTTTACTCTTTCAGGAATTTGTCATCAGAAACAGCTGCTGCACAGCTTGGCTTGAGTACTGGACCGACGCATACATTGAAGACTGTTTTGTTCAAGACGACGGGCATTTTTGATTATCATGGCCTGCCATTGGTCGCGTCCGATATCGTCAATCAACATGGCCGTATCCGCAAACAGGAGCTCAAGGTACAAATCTGGATTTGCCCTGTTTATTGTTTAGTTTTTACTTGCTCAATATTTTTGTCCGCATCTCTTGCTGTCCTGTACTTACTCATATGAATGTTTTTTTACATTTCTTTTCCACTTATAGCTTCTGCCACTACCACTGGAAGCGAGGCCGGAGCCCTCGGAAAGCGATATTGCTTCTGAATTAACTTCGACATCATCCTCATTATCGACGCTATCATTAGAGAACTGGGATGATTTCACGAAAGCTGCATTGCATCTCAGCCGAACCCTTTAGAGGATACTACTATCCATTGAGCAATAAAGCAAACTGCATTCATTCACTAATAGAATCAAACTGGCAGGCATTTGAGATGGATTTATTGAACAAGTCGACAGCGCTACGCTTAGGAAAGCTTTTGATGCAAGTTCCGTAGATCAGCAGCGACAATGATCGTGGAGGCGATCAGCAAAGCGACGTTGCCCATGATCGCGTATGCGCATCCAAATCTGACGGTTGTGCTGGCGTTCAGGAGCGTGAGATATGAGGCGCCATAATGAGAGACCAAGACCCAGAGAATACGTAGGTATGACCGTTGAGTGAATCCAGTGAACGAGACCATCATCCATACGCAGTGATGCAGGATGAATATGCAAGTGGTGATGGCTAATATATGTTTGTCAAAGTTAGAACCAGAGGATGTCAATTGACAACGTCTTCAGCGATCATATACCCTTCTCTCTTGTGATCCTTTTGAGAAAGCGGATCGTTCATTAATTACCTGAAATAAAATAAAGAGATATGCTTGGGCACGATGCGCACATGAGGACGCCCGGTCCTAAGGACTGCACAAGCTGAGTGATGTACGAGATGATGCCGAACATCAGTCCGAAGCCCATTCCTGCAGAAAATGCGTATCCAGGTCGATTGAACTTTGATTTAGGGTGCTTAGCGACCATGTTTAATCCTTGCTCAGCACGGCTATGGATGGACACGTTTGGATAGAGAGGTTCACGGGTTAGTAATAATAACTCTATGCGGCACAATCCAAGAAGAATAAAGTCGACAAGAAGCACTTTTACTTGATGAGCATGTATAGAAACCATCGAAAGAGTTCCTGAAGGAGAACCGTATAGATGATGGTGGACGTGTATGTATGTTGGCTGTCCTTAGCGATGAACCATATTGCGGAGGCTAAAAGTAATGACAGGAGCCAGAAAAAGGCGCTGTTTACGGACAGTTGATAGAGAAAGGCGATGGTCAGACAAGAAAGGCAGTTTGGTTGAAGTCCTTGTGGCACACAGAAGACCAGTATGAATGAACTGGTTACCTTGAGACCATGAGGATGACAAGCTGAGCATTGGACGCAATACATCCGAAAAATATGGCCAGGCTGGGCCCATAGGCTGTGAGGGCACATCCGAAGAAAGTGAAGAGGGTCATGATGCTGTGTTCATGGAGAGGGACAAGTGGATGGAATGCTGCCTAACAGAACGCTCTCAAGCAAAACTTGGCACATCCAGGAACGGATTCGACATGCATTTATTGCAACACTGCTCTCTAAGGGCGGCAAACCGCTCAATTCTAAATGTCTAAGGGTTATAGCGAGGTATAGCCTACACAGGCGAAGCTATGGAGGGCGGACGGGCCTGCACAATGATCCTGGACAGCATCAGATCAAAGGCTTCCTTCGAGCCAGCGTCCCTCAGCATCAGTTCCTTGACTCTTGCTTCAAGCTCGAACAGGTGCTGGTCGTTTCCTGAGGGGGCGACGATTCTCAATGCGTGCGCCAGATTCAGCAAGTAGTCCAGATTAGGTCCACTGGGGCCTATGTCAAATACAGATTCGTAAGTCAACTGTGCAGGATTGTCACTCAATGATGAAGACCTTCTATTGCCTCTCGCATGACATGATTTTTTTTTTTTACCTCGAGAAGAATAAATCTGTTGGGCAATGAGATCTAACGGGGCAGGCCCAGCAAATTCCGAGTTATCCGTAGACCCAATGTACACAATCGCCTATACCATCAGTACAACACAGGGAAAAAAAAAAAAAAAAAAAAAAAAAGGCGAGGGCAGTGTTAGTAAGCAGACAGGAACCGCATTGGAAATGGAAGAGTGCGTTGCACGAACCTTCTCAACCACTGGAGTATCGCTGCCGGGCTGATAGATGTCCAAAAAATGGGTTTCGTACCCGTTCTTTTCTCGGTGGTCCAGGTACGCCTTCGTCTCTTCGACCTTGGACTCTGGGATCTTGTAGGCAATGCCCCAGGTGATATCGTCCTGGTTGGTCGAGTGCTAGGCAATCACAAAGACATCCAATAAATATACACAGATCAGACAAATCAGAGTCTTCCTGGATGCTGGTGCATGGTGCGCAGACGGTGTCCTAGTCCTTCTCCATCACCGTACTTGGTCGTGTAGTGTGAACCGTTCAGAGAACTCGTTGAAAGGGATCAGAGTGACGACTCGACCCGGCGCCTCCTCTGTTCCTCGATGGTCTGTGCTTCGCTGCCAGAACCTGCGCACATGGCCCTTGATATATCCTACTTTGCTATATACATCAGAAACACAAAATTAATCCAGGTCATAGAATGCAAAGATGTTTCATGCATGTTGGAATGAGGCTGAATGACATCTTACCTATCCTCGTATTCCATGTCAGGACGCCAAATCAAGCTGCCGTATCCAAAGAGCCACATCGTTGTTGTACGGTTAAAAAAAAAGAGGGTTTTGGTGTTTATGAGGGGCGCGGGATGCAGAGGTTTTCAGTCAGAGTGCGGAAAGAGAATGAAGAAACACAGCGTGCTTTAGTCAACTGCAGTCTATGACTGTTTGCTTTTACCATTTGAGTGTAATTGGCGTGCTTGGGGTTATTCATTGCCGCTGCGCTTGCTATCTCCATTTCGACAATCGAGGACGGCATGCAACATAACTCGTCGCCAAATGCACAGCATACGATTCCTATAACGAACACCTTAACAGCTGAAAATACCGGTGCTTCTGGAACCTCAGCCGTAGCAGACGCAGGAACAGCGTCGGAGGGAGCAGCGACCTCGTATTCGTCATGGACAGTTCCCTCGCTCGATAGCCTCTTCTCAGCCCGTCGGGCGTCTGCATTTGGATCTCGATATGGCCTTATCCCATCTCATGCTGCGACCTTGATATCTGGCAGGACATCGCCGGCGACCAGTAGCATGTCCCTAGTGCTCGAGGGTGGTGCCGCTGGAGCATCGCTCCAAAGCAAGGCGCGTAAAGGTAGGCCAACTGATCTTTTTCTTTCTCTTCATCTCATTCATAGCGGTTTCATAGTCACTAATCGCCCTTAGCGCCTACATATAGCATCTGTACATTTGTCCGAGTCCATTACAAATGTGCTGAACGACTCTTCACTGGTTTTCTACAGGGTGAATGAGCACATCCATAAGAAGGTGCCTCAACTGGTCGAAGAAAAGGTATTTGGCCTTTGCTTGCTCAAATGACCTGAGAAATTAGGCATAGAGCCCCAACAACGTATGTTTGAGCTCGAATATCTTGGCACTAAGCGTTGTCTTCAATAGAAAGCACTTGCGGCAATCCACAAGGATGTCAAGACTGCGAACCAGGACTTGGAGGATGCGCGCCAGACGATCTCTGGGATGCAGCGGATCACAGAACTGAGTTCTATCGAGGCCCTTGTTGAGCGCTCGCTCGCTGCTATGCAATAAACCTACATAATTTCAAAACCATGACGTGGTATATGCTTTTTCAAAAAAAAACGAAAAGAAAAATATACCCTCCTTCCTCTGCCATCCACCCTCATCCATCGCACCGATACATCAGGGATCCATGGAGCAAGCAAAAATTAATCGCTTCTCTCCGTACGCACGGCCGGGTCCCCGTGAAGGCGCCAGGAGACCACCAAAAGAGGAGAGCACCCAAGTAACAAAAGACACACAATACCGATCCTCCACGTGTACCTTGATCGCCACGAAAACAATACACTAACCTCTCTCCCTTTTGAATACCAACAGATCCCCAGAGTAATTGCCAAGTTCATCAAAAAATCGCTCAGTTGGCTTGGAATAACGAATGACGAGCAGGAGACCGAAGTCCACCATGAGGCAACCAGCGAGGTTGAATCGGGAACGATCAAGACAAGCGAATCATCAAGTGGGCTGGACTCCAACGAGAGACTGTACCCTGATTTGAGAGAGTATATCACTTCTGTGAAGTCAACCACAGATGACAAAGGCGTTTTCAAACTTGGCAAGGTAACTACGGCCGCGCCTTTTCTTTTCTCGCTCTCTTCCTTTCTTCTTTTCTTTCTTTTTTCCCTTCCTTCCACATCAGGCTTTATTTATGTCACGCACAGTGGAAGGAGGACCTGTGGGTGACGCGACAGCAGTTTTTTTGGGGTGGCTCTTCCTAATGAGCAAACCTTTTTTTTAATTCGACCTTGTATTGCGGACCACAGCGGCCACAGGACGAGGATGATAATATGTCTGAGGCTATGAGACCAGATCGTGTCCAGCTCCGCTACAAGCTTCGCAAGGGCCTTTTGGACAGTGTCTCAAACACAGAGAATGAGGATGAGGTGGTAAGTCAGGAGTACAGCCTATCCCTGCGCTCCTCTGCTTCATATTAGTGAATGTTGACTTATATCCCTATCATGAATCGGATGGTGCTAGATCGCGGAGCCAATGGCAAACCCATTTTTAGAGCGGTTGGAAGATGTGCATAAGGATACTCAGAAGGACTCGCATAAGGACGTCCATAAGGATCCTGAAAACCAGGAGCACGAAGGTAATCATTGTTGCTGAAATTCTCCGCATATTGCATTAATGGAATCATTTTTTTGACAAAATCTTGCCTCTTTTCGAGATAGAAATCGATGGACTGACAGAGGCGGAACTCGTGCTATTGGGACGCATTCGGAGGTTGACTGAAACGCCCCTTGAGGTATGCATCCTTTTTACGACTGAGAACCGGATTAGAGTATATGGGACATTTAGAGCTAATATAAGAGAGCTTCGTCTGATTTCCTCATTTGATCTTTCCAGAAGGCCAGGAAGAACGCACAAAAGGTCGACCAAGGCTTGATTGAAAAATGCGTCCCACGCGAACTCTCCTCGCCGTATTCGGTGATTAACGTAAATGGAGCTCAGTATTCTTTGCAGGATGTGAGACTTTCCAAAATTGCAGCCAGCCTCTAATCTCTCTCGACGTTTTTTCTTTTTCTCTCCAGAGCGTGCATCAAGAACCAGCACCTGCTCCTAAACAGGCATCAAAACCTCTCGACACCATTCTGCCATACAATAGGGACCACAGACGGCATCGACAGACCGCAGCACAACGGGATGGTACCAACGATTATCTTATGGATTCTGGAGATGGCGGCTCAGATGCTGATGAATCAGAACACGCTGCGAATGACCTGCGCGAAGGCGCCAAGGGAGCTCGCATCCGTCGTCCAATTAGTCATCGGGAGAGGGTTGGAGAAATTACGCAGAGCTCCCCTGACAGGAAGCGTCAGGCTTGGCGTGATGAACAGAGAACCTCAAGAGGCGGGCTTCAAGTTAGATCTCAGGTCACTCCGAAGCGACATGTACGCTATATTCCAGGACGCTTTTCAGCACTTGACTCGGATGAGGAGGAAGAGTCGGTGCGCCAACATGAATTGGAGATGGTATGTTGTAGAGCTGCTCCTCAATTTCAGCATGGATTGTGGATGGCCATTAGCCGCTGTTTATTCGATTATGTACTCACTCGCCCATTATGATTTTTATTGATTCAAAAATAGGAGCAGCGCCGCGTTACTCAAGGAGCTTGCCCAACATGCGGTACCCATGGATCAGCCAACGGAAGTACGCATGCCTCCCATTCCCATGAAACACGCGACAAATTCCCTGGATTCAGAGTACCGCCGCAACTCTATCCCACTCTCAACTATGGTCGACGTACAAAGCTTTACAACCCTAAGCTGGATGAAGTTCTCAAATGGACGTCCTCTACTCATAATCCATCGGCAGGCCCCGACACCACCTCAACTTCTCATCATAACGTGAGCTTTTCATCCTCACCCATTGTATCTGAGGTGGTATCTGCAGCCCCCGCAATTATTGGCGCTCTTGCTACTGCTGCCGGGGCTACTGGAATTGCCAAACTTGCCGCGGACTGGGTTTCTGCAGGAGATAAACACTCCGACAACATTAGAAAACCTGAAGAGGGGCAGGAGACGGCCGTCAAAGACAAGCCTTCAGCAGCAGCACCTGCATTGTTCACTCCTCCGTCATTTGGGTTCGCCCCACCCTTGACAGCGTCAGCACCAACTTTAGCGGTGGTATCAGCACCGGCATCCGCAGCAGCAGCATCATCAACACCTGCAGCACCTGCATTGACGGATAAACAGAGCGAGAAGGAAATGGAACCAGAGAAGCCCAAGGAGACAGAAAAGGGAAAAGACGAGAAAGAAAAACCAGTCCCCGTCCCTGCATTCATCTGGGCGGCCGCAGACCACACCAACAAGTGGAAATGCCCGACTTGCGATTCCTACAATGGCAACCAGTTCGACAAATGCCAGTGTTGCGAAACCCCGAAGCCTGGTGCAAAACCTGCGGAACAGAAGCCAGCTGCAACCCCATCCTTGTTCACACCTTCCTTTGGAGCGACTACCTCTGCTTCAAAGGCAACGGCAGCGCCTTCGCTGTTTACATTTGGAACGCCCGCGGTATCATCGTCAACGGCAACAACACCCATAGCTTCGGCAGAGGATACGATTAAGAAGCCCACAGTTCCTGCTCTCTTTAGCTCGACGTTCACTACGCCAGACAAGCCTTCTGAAAAGGCACTCGAGAAGCCCGCGTTCACAGGCTTTAAAATGCCGGATAACAGTAACAAATGGAGGTGTCCTACGTGCGTGGTCATGAACGATAACAAGCTGGATAAATGTCCCTGTTGCGACACTGCCAAGCCCGGTGGTGCTACAGCAGCCGCGCCCGCAGCGCCTGCTGCTCCAGCGTTCTTCAGCTTTAAACCCCCATCTTCTACCCCGGCAACCTCTTCGACATCTTTCACTTCAACTCCTGTGCCTTTGTTTGGTGGTGCCACATCTGCTGCCTCGAGCGCGGGAGAGTCCAAGCCTGCGCCAGTGTTGTTTGGTGCTCCAGCCGCGAAGGAACCAGAGACGAAGCCGCCGACGTTTCCATTTGGCGGTATTCCGGCATCTACTTCATCATCATCTGCTTCTGCGGCAGCCCCGACGATTTCAGCACCCTCCTTGTTTGGATTCACATCAACTCCCGCCCCGGCATCTGCAGGAACATCTTCTGGCGCATCCGCTGTAACATCTGCAGCAGCCTCTGCTCCATTATTCACATCATCGCTATTTGGGGGGGTTACCACACCTGCAGCTTCTGGCGCGCCAGTAAGCACCTCGACTGTGACACCCGCATTGGGCTCAGTAACACCATCGCCCTTTGCGTTTGGACCAGGCACGTCAACTGTAACGTTTAACAAGCCAGCAGCGTCCAGCTCGACTCCGGTTACTCCTGCAGCTAGCATGGCCACAAGCGCACCATTATTTACGTTTAGTTCGAATGCAGCTTCAGGAGGGTCGGCTGGATCCGGATTTGGCCATAGTTCTGGCGGCTTTAGTGCGCCGACCTTATCTTTCGGTCAACCAGCAATTCCCGCCAGCTCCACGCCAACTCCTACTACTACAGTGGCAAGCACAGCTACAAGCGCGCCTATATTTACGTTTGGGTCAAGCACGGCCACAGGAACGCCAACGGGATCTGGATTTGGCTCGAGCTTTGGAGGATTCGGGACAGCCAAGACGACCACACCATCTCCGTTCGCGGGTACTACTCCTGCTGTGAGTACTTCAACCACTACTCCAAACACAGGATTCGCGTTCGGAGGCACCTCAGGTCTAGCAGCCACACCTCCAACTACGACGCCTTCATTTACGTTCGGGGGCCCGACAGCTAGCAGCACTGGCGGACTGGCAACTAGTTCGAAGCCGTCGCCTTTTGCATTTGGTGCCGCAAGCAATGCAGGCGCACAGCCAGGTACCACCGGCGGTGGGTTTGGAGGTTTTGGATCAGCAGTATCGTCCGCAAACAACAATAACAACAACCACAGCAGCAGTATGATGTCGCCTACGATCTCTAATTCGATACCCGCGATGGGGATTACTGGCAGTACTGGATTTGGAGGATTTGGATCGTCTGTGCAGACGACTGGAATGGGATTCGGATCGAGCTCACAGACGCCTAATATGGGATTCGGATCATCAACACCCTCGGTTAGCTTTGGAGGAGCGACAGCGACGCCGACGATTGGATTTGGATCACAGACATCTGCTCCATCGGCTGGATTTGGTGCATCGACACCACCTACTGGCTTTGGTGCGACTGGCACATCAGCACCCTCGATAGGATTTGGTGGATCAGCACCTTCTGGTGGGTTTGGCGTACCTGCCACGACACCGTCTGTTGGGTTCGGCATGAGCGGATCGACACAACCTAGTGGGTTCGGTGCGACGGGATCGATGCCCTCGGTTGGGTTTGGAGCAGGGGCTGGCCCGGGTCAGGCTGCGCCATTTGGACAGTCGTCAGGTGGGTTTGGCAGCAACGGACAGTTTGGGTTTCAAAATATTTCGAATGCGCCCGGAGGCGCGCAGTATGCTCCGTCAACGGGTGGGTTCAGCTTTAACGTGGGAACAGCACCTGCGCCTGGAGAGATGCCCGCCAACCGCAAGATTGCCAAGATGAGGAAGAAGCGGTAAAGTTTAAGGAGGGGGACTTTGGCGCTTAAGATGGTAGCAAACTGTATAGTAGTAAATAAAGTTGGGTTGCAAAGCGACGCGTTTAAATGCAGACGGGGAGGAGGGTGCGTATTGGCCCCACTACTAGGATTTGCAGGATTGATTGTGTGGTCAGATGGCTGTCCTAAAACTGGAAAACTGGGAAACTGGAAAACTGTAAAACTGAAAAAAAAATTCAGTTGAGACAGCAAAGGGCTGGGTTAGTAAAGCAATGAGAGGAGGGACCCCGCGTCCCATTGGACAATGGCACGTTGCCGAATACGGGCTAGGCCTGAAGTAAATCCAAGACATTTTTATTTTATAAAAAAGGAGCTAGATAGAAGTGGCAGTGGTTTATGTACTTGACATGATGAGGCATTATTGACAGCGATGTGCAGGCTGGGGACGCCTTCTTCTCCCTCTCCCTCTCCCGCCTCGGTCCCCAGTCCGCTACAGCCCTGTCTTCAGTTGACCGCCACGATCTACCATCTTTCTGTCTTCACACCTCCTCATCAGCACCATTCTATCCTAACACATCCTCTTCATCCCCTGTGTTCGCCCTCTCTTCCTCTCTTGCACCACAAACAAAGAAGCACGCAAGCACACAAGTACACAAGCGCGCGACCAAGGATACACAGCTCATTTCTTTCGTTAAAGTAACCGTCCGTGCTCACTGCAACTGCAACCCTGCACCTGTTATCGCCAATGGCTGTCTCGTCCTCGGAGGCGGTGCCAAGTTCAATCAACCGGCAGGCAGGGCCAATCCAGCCTGCACAGAACGTGCAGGATGTGCATGATATGCAGCAGCAACACAAGCAGCAAAGTTCATGCGTGCCAGAAATCTCCCTGCCATCATCGCCCCCACCATCGACTACGTCTGCGTCGGCGTCTGTGCTGTCTCCCTCGTTGTCGCCCTCAAAGCCAGCAGGGTCCACGTCTCCTGCATCTCACCACCATCAACAGCGCCATCCTGCACACCATTCTGACCCACGGCAGCTGATGCCCCCGCTACAAAGCCCACCGCAGATCGCAATCCAAACTGCTTCTCTGCACTCCCAACTACCACCGTCCTCTCGAGCAACGAACCAACAAAGCGGAACCCAATCGCACTCTGGTTATATCCCAGCAAAGTTTTCCACTTCTGCTCCCAACCCATCGACTTCATTTTACCCGTCTTCGTCCCCATGCCTATCAAACACATCCTATACAACGTCTCCAACCTTAACCTCAGCCTCGGGACACTTGGCCGTTCCTAGTCCTGAAAAGGATCGCTCGAGACGGTGGTCTCTGACAGGACGATTCTTTAATGATTATCGACGGAAAAGCAGTTCAACAGAGCCCTCTCACATGTCCGATTCGACCAAACAGCGAAACAACATCCAAGCAGTGGAACAGAGTACACGACAAGCGGGGAATGGTGTCAGCGGAATGAAGAGCAACGACAAATCTCCTTCTGGTAGCAGCAATGACAGCAGCAGTCGTCGATCCAGCTTTGTGGAATTCCCCAGAGCGTTTCTCTCATCCTTTCGTCGACCCTCTTTTACGAGTTCGAGTGATCCCAGCTATACTCCCAACAGCAACGCGATGGCAGCAGCTACGGCAGCAGTATCAGCATCGATCGCTGCAGCGACCGGAACATCACCCAGGGACGGATATCTCTACAAGGACAGACCAGCTCGCATTGAGATGGATCGTGATCGAATGTTCTCGGGCGGTTGGTTGGGTGGACAAGCGCAAGTGACGATGGCTATACCCAAGGCACCCCCACTGGATGCTCGCACATTGGCCATGAGAGCTCCACCCAAAAGCATTCTGAAGAAGCGGGCGTCGGATGTCGAGCAGAACGCGATGGATACCCAAAATCATGGCGTGGTTGCCCCTGTAGCGATCATTAGCGCTGGGGCTAAGATCACAAAGAGGGAAAATGAAGTGGATGGAGTGGCGGTCGCCAGCCCTAGTCGGAAAAACTCTGACGCAGACACAACATTGTTTTTGGCTGATGAGAACGTCCATCCGATGGACAATCCACATATTACACCGACCTCTGATCACCGCGCCAAGCTCGTCACGAACTCTCCGCCACCAAGCCATCCTCAGGCGCATGCAAGTGTTACATCTTCAATTCCGTCATGTTCCTCGACCTCCGAAGAGGAAGTAGAAGAAGAAGAGGACGAGGACGAGGAGGACGAGGAGGAGAGGGAAGGGGAGGAAGGGGAATCTCTACCCGATATTTCGGGCATGCCTATCGGAGGGGATGGATTACCCACAGCGCGCGACGATGTTTATCTTAGTAGCAAGGATACCAGAGACTCAATAGCGATTCATGCATCGACCTCACCACGTAATGTCTCCACTCCATCTGATTCCGTACCGCCGGGGACGCAATCCAACTCGAACAACCGGACGCAGGACCGTGAGTTGTCGCAGGCAGAGATGTTGAATGACGAGATGATGTCGGTCGGGGCACGCAGCCAAGGATATGACAGGTATGGTGGATCAGCAGCAACCTTAGGCGGCCGGAATGTCCAAGCTCCCAAACAGCGAGCGATTAATTTCGCGGACAGGATTGAGGTCATCCCGGTGCATCGGAAGTCGGATTATAACCGGCAAAGTGATAAGCACGCGACGTTTTTGAACTTGACGCCGGAGCTGAAGAACGAGATTCGCGGGGAGTTGAATACCTTCAAGTTGAGGGAGATGGCTGTGCATGAGAACAGTGTGAGGAACACGGCGTTCCATTAGAGGCATCGTTTCCTGGTTGTTTTTTTTTTTTTTTTCGTGGTGGCTCTCTTCTGTGGGTGTATCTTGTAGATAATCTATCTATTTATCTATCCATCTGTCTGTCTGTCTGTCTGTCTGTTTGTCCATGCATGTTCATTTTTTCATCTGTGCGAGAATAAATTAAGAATCTGCAACATAGTTTTGTCGCGCACACACCAAGAGGAGGAGTCTTGCGAAGCGCGCGTTTTCGTATGCACGGTCGTCTGTCCGTTTTTAGCAGCGCTCCGAGCGAAGGAAGGAGCTGGTTTTTAGAGTAGCACAGTAGGGATTACACGCGATGTGGTACGGAGGAAGGGAGATGGTCGGCTGGCCTTTGTGATTCCACAGTGAGAAATAAGACAGGGGGAGGGGGAAGGGAGAGGGATGGTCAAACGAGCCGATGTTCGATTTTCACAAGTATCTCCTGCAAGATGTATATATATCTGTACCATTGGTCTCCGATAAACTACCCAGTGTACGCGTCAAGAGGGGAGGAAGGACAAGAATGCGCATGGGCCATGTAGAAATTCTACGGAGCCGCGGTCTAAAGTAACCTATGTAGACGGAATAGACTCCATCAACAAGTTATCTACGCAGCCTATAGTTCATATAACTTGCGCATTAGGGTGTGGAAAAGCAATGTTCGCTTTAGAGGGAAAAATCAGCAGTTGACGCGTCTTAATTATTGTGGTTGCTGGTGTGTTCATAAGGGGGGGGGGGGGGGGGGGGGGGAGAGTACAGAACACGACTGAGCAATTAAAACAAAGAGGTGGAGTCTTTGTCACCTTTAAAAACGGCTGCATGCTCAGCACATGGTGGACAGACTACCGTAGTGTTTCTTGATGAAGGGCAGAGAACGAGAACAGGCTGCTGGGATTTCACTCTTCCTCCCCCCCCCCATGAATAAGCATGAGTAAGCAGCCAAGTGTTGGGATGTGTAGGGAGGATGCCTGTTTGGAGCTGTGTCCGTTGCATTCTTTTATTTTCCATTACCAAGGAACAATGGATGGAGGACACGGACGTTTGAGGACCAGCAAAAAACGTGGCGTCCGCCCACGGAGCATTGGACTGTGGAGAAGGAGCCCTTCAGAGGAGGCGGCTGTCCAGCGGGCAGGGGGGAGCACATGTGTGCCCTTCACGGACTCCTTATCACTCATCCCCCCCGTCGTTTCTCTTTCTCTTTCTTTCTTTCTCTTTCTTTCTTTTCTCTCCTCTTGTTTCATCACCACGCATCCACCGCTAGTTCTCACACTGCACGCCACCAAAAATAAAAATGACCGCGACCCAGCCTGTAATCGCCTCGCCCTCCATGGTCTCCATCGTCATCAAACTCCTTCGCCAGCGCCAGCGGGCCCTCGTTAACCGCGGCAAGGCCAAAAACCTCGGCATGGCCATGTTTGCCCTGACCACCATTCTCTACTTCTGGGTCGGTCGCATGCGCGCAAGCAAAAAGACCCCTCCGCGCGGCAAGGCCATCCCCCATCTCAAGACCAACTTCTTCATGGTGGATGTCGCCTTTCAGTATATCAAGGCCAGGTTCGAGGGCGACGAGCTCAAGTGGGTGCAGAACCTCTCGAAACAGGGCCTCACCCTGACTACGGAAATTGTGGGACACTGCCTGATTCTGGCCTTTGAGCCGTCGTCGGTCCAGCATATGCTGGTCAAGAACTTTGAGAACTATCCCAAAGGTAATGCAGACCACGCAAACCAGCAGCGGCAACCCTTCCACAGTAGCAGCGATGTCTGTTCTTGATTCCTTGGCTGGTTTGCTACTTGCACTGGATATAGTGGTGTGGTTATAGCTGGCAACTGTCGCTGTATTGCTGCCGCCCGTTTTGAGTGTACCGTGAGCGAACGCAAGCGATTTTCTACCCCTTTTAGTGTCTTCACCCTCAATTTCGCCAACCGAAGCATCCCTTCCTAGGCCGAGCAAACAACTTTCTTGGTCTGCCAGAGTTGGCATGGCTCAACGCGTCCGCTTCCAACGCCCATCTCACATAACATGACACCATGAACAATGACCATTCGTCAAACAAAAGCAGCTGCCAGGACACGCCCCAAATCTCTCGAACTATTCTATCTTTCAAAATTAACAAACATCAATTTAGACCGCAACTAGTTCCTCCTCACTGTTGTTTATTATGTTTTCTATAGTCATTATCCCCTGGTACGCTGCGCCATCCGATGATATCACACTGCCGCTAACTCTCTCACTCTGTTGACCATCTACGTGTAGGACCTGCTTTCCACAGGGCCTTCTTCCCATTCATGGGCACAGGCATCTTCAACGCCGATGGTGCTGCCTGGAAGAATCAGCGTGCCCTGGCTCGACCTCACTTCCAGGTCACCGAGTATAAGGGCGCGGCACATATCGAGACGCAGATCAACCAGGTCTTTGGCATCCTCGATAAAGCAATTGCTGCAGATGCAGTGATCGATGTGCAGGACCTCTGGTCGCGCTACACGATTGACACTGCGACGGGATTCCTCTTTGGAGACTGTATCAACGCCCTGGATGTACCCCAATCCAAGTTCGTGAGCGCGTTCAATTACACGCAAAAGCTCTGCGGTTGGAAAGTCCGGCTCTGCGAATACCAGGCGTTCGTTCCGGCGTTCGAGTTCCCGCAAAGGGTCAAAGATATGGATGCAGTTCTGATGCCGATCGTGGACACGGCTATTGCCAAGGAGATGAAGCGTCGAGCGGAGGCTGTTGAGGGTGAGGAGAACGCGCATCAGCACGATAATTTGTTGATGCACTTTTTGAATTCTGTAGACGAAAACGAAAAGCCATTCAACCGCATCTACCTGCGCGATATGTTGATGAACTTTTTGCTGGTAAGCAGTAAACATTTCTGGGGAAATGATAGAGCAGCAAACAGTGAATGTTAGTCATCCTTTACTAACATCTTTCTCCCTCTCTCTCTCTCCGTCTCTCTCCCCGCCTCTCTCTCCATCTCTCTCTCTCTCTCCTCTTTTGGGACGCATCAGGCTGGAAGAGACACGTCAACAAACTTGTTGACATTTATGTGCTATAATCTCGGAAAGCACCCTCTAGTGATGGAGCGCGTCCGCGAGGAGATCTTTGAGGTGGTAGGCCGTGACCGCAAGCCCGACCACAAGGACATCAAGAAGCTCAAGTTCCTAAAGCAGGTCATTAACGAGACATTGCGACTTTACCCAGCAGTGCCCTTCAACATCAAGACATGTCTAGAGGATGATGTTCTGCCCAATGGCTACTTCATCCCCAAAGGCTCCCTGGTCGTCCACTCATCTTACGTGACTCACCGCATGAAGGAGTACTGGGGCGAGGATGCAGAGGAATTTGACCCTGACCGCTGGGGACCAGAGCGCGTCAAGATGGTTCGGCCTTTCATGTTCTTCCCCTTCCACGCTGGTCCTCGTATTTGCTTGGGTCAAAACTTTGCATATAACCAGGCTATGAATACAATGACGCGCCTGCTGCAAAAGTACACATGGAAGGTCGTGGACGGATTTGTCCCCAAGCCCGAGTCGGATATAACGATGTATTCTCGAAACGGCATGCATATTATCTTTGACCATTTCCGCGGATGAAGTAGCAAGGATAGAACAGGCGTACTGAGATAAAAAGAAAGTTTTAGCAGCAAAATAGACTCCGCCTACCACAAGGATCATGTACGTGTATGTGTACTGTACGTGTACCTGCAGCACCAACTCATTCCCTGTACTCCCTGAACGCGTATCAACGTGAAGTTTGATGTTACTGCCCTCATTCCCACACCAGAACTTCCATTCAACCAGGAATGAGTAACCAGACAACGCCAGTCAGGCATAGCCCCGTTCTTGCCGCGCAGCCTGTCAGGGGCATCCTGAAGCGGCCGGCCTCGCACCAGCAGCACGACGAGCGTGCTCCAAGGTAAGAAACAGCCCTGTTACCTTGTGTGGGCACCGGGTCAACCCACGACTTGCTTTGCTGCTCTGTATGTTTTATTTTGCTAACGGATGAGCATTGAATCGTGCAACTGATAATTGGTATCGACGATGGCCATAATTAGACTTAAATGGGACGAGGAAAACCTGACGATTACGGAGGCACAGAAGGATTCGACTATGAAGATTGACGAGCCTAAGACGCCATATGTGCACTACAACCACGAGTTGGACAAGGTCATGGATATGGATGGTAAGCACGACCCGAAGGAACGATAGCGAACCGAGGAAAGGCATCTGCGTCCTCATATCACAATGCCACATTGTGGACAAAGATTGAGCGTAACAGTGTCTCCCACTCTTCCTACAGGCATTAGGCACTGGGCGTAAACCTTCGCAATGAGCGTGAGATTTGGTGTACTGATACTTTATTGTCGCCCATTCCATCTTTTAGACGCATTCTTGCTAGATGATAACAAAAAGAAGACTGTCGCGCTGGCTCATACGCCTCCAGTTTCCTCCTATATGAAAGGATCGGATGATGATGACGAAGAGGATGCGGATGACCAGGAAGATGATGGTCCCGAAGAATGGCAGGACTCTGACGAAGAAGACGAGGACGAAGACGAAGCACCTCACGAGAAGAGTAAGTGGATATTTTGATACGACAAAAGCTCAATGAATTTCTAGAGATACGCTACTGATAAACATATCTCTTCTAGTCGACCATGACAAATTTGCAAAGATGAGGGCGGAGCACTACAAGATGAAGGAAGCGTTGCAGTTAGGACACGAGCTTGCAGAGGAAGAGCTGGCGGCATTGGATAGCCCCAACCCTAGTTCTGCACCTGTGCCTCCACTGCCGTCATTCGCACGGCAGTCTAATGCAGACTTGAGGGGGCCACTGGACCGGACGGGACCAAGTAACAACAAGGGTGAGCATAGCAACATGGAGCTTTGACGGCGGTTGTAAAGATGGGCCGGCGATAGTCGATGCAGCAGATAAAATAAATCGATCACTTTCGCCGCTCCCCGTGTTCTGCAGCATGAGGGCCTGGTGTGACCGGCACCAGGGCGATTGTTTTGGTTTCTGGTATTTGTTATGTTGTTCAAGTGCATCGTGCCTCCCTTCTTTTTTCCTTTTCCCTTTTTCTGATGTCACCACACGACCCTCACCTGCCCATCCTCCTCCGCGGAACCCATCCTCGAGACACATTCCCCGCCTGACGAAACAACAATGGCCATCAAGGACTACCAGCGCGAATTCATCGATTTTGCCATCAAGAATGAGGTCTTGAAGTTTGGAGAGTTCATCCTGAAGTCCGGACGCATTTCGCCCTACTTCCTCAACGCAGGTCTCTTCAACACTGGTGCCTCGCTCGCCAAGATTGGCAAGTTCTATGCTGCGGCCGTTCAAGACTCAGGTATCGAGCACGATGTGATCTTTGGTCCTGCCTACAAGGGTGTTCCTCTGGCCTGCACGACCGTCATTGCTCTTGCAGAGGCGCCGTACAACAAGGATACGCCCTACTGCTTCAACCGCAAGGAGAAGAAGGACCACGGCGAGGGTGGCTCAATTGTCGGATCGCCCTTGAAGGGGAAGGTTCTGGTCATTGACGATGTTATCACTGCAGGCACTGCGATCCGGGAGTCCGTTCAGATCATTCAGGATTGCCATGCTCAGCTCGCAGGTGTGCTCGTTGCGGTTGACCGCCAGGAGACGGGAAGGAACGGCGATCTGTCTGCGATCCAGGAGGTCGAGAGAGATTTTGGGGTGCCCGTCAAGGCGATTGTGAACATGTCGCATATCATGGAGTACATGGAGGAGAAGGGTATCTACGGCGACCATCTTGCCCAGATGCGCAAGTACCGTGAGAAGTACGGCGTTTAAGAACTTTTATAATAAAGCCCTTCATTAACACGCATTTTTCATGCCTTTGTCCTTGTAATGCTCATATCCTTGTCAATGTCTTTGTCGGTGACCATGCCATTGCCTTTTGATCTTGTTCCTGTTCATGTACGTATCCGCGTGGTTTCTCATGCTCCGGCTCTTGCGCCCGAGCTGTCTTGGATGCTGGAATGCATCTTTTACTCCGACGGTCTTTCGTCACTGAAAAAAAGAAAAACAAATAAATATAGTGTATTTCTCTGTCCCGCTTCTCTTTTCCTTGCCCCATTCCACAAACACGTTTTCATTCATTCAACTTCACAATGGCAGAGACACTCACCCACCCTCTCGTCAAGGACGGCTGGTTCAAGGAAACCGGCACTCTCTGGCCCGGCCAGGCTATGACTCTTGAGGTCAAGGAGATCCTTCACGTTGAAAAGTCGCTCTACCAGGACGTCCTTGTCTTCCAGTCGACCTCCTACGGCAACGTCCTCGTCCTCGATGGTGTCATCCAGGCAACCGAGCGCGATGAGTTCTCGTAAGTCTTAGGAAAATTTGCATGGGAAAGAACAGCTGCCCTCGCTTCAATTAATCTCCTGTCATTCTCGGATCTGCAGAAGTTTCGTGTGTATGATCATATCCCTGGAATGATATCCGTCAAAGGCATTAACGACCTTTCTTTTCCTTGAATCGTTTTTTATTTTGTTACAACAGCTACCAGGAGATGATGACTCATGTGCCCATGAACGCCCACCCTTACCCCAAGAAGGTCTTGGTCATTGGAGGTGGTGATGGTGGTGTCTTGCGCGAGGTCGTCAAGCACGAGGGTGTCGAGGAGGTCACTCTCTGCGAGATTGACGAGGTAAGACCATTCGTAACCTGCAGCATTGTGGAGTCATGCTGGCATGCATGGCTATAGCGAATATCAAAAAAGAGGGGGGGATCTACCGTGTGATCAGCAGACGATTCCTGAGGAGATCCTGAGTTAACTTAACTCGACTGGACTCGACTGGACTCTGATCGCTTGAGGGCGCGAAAGATGTGGGATCAAACTACTCGATCTTTCTTTTATTCATGGTATCGAAATCCTGGACCATCCTCATTCTCATCATATCTTAATTGGACTAAATCATGTACGCTTAGGCTGTGATCCGCGCTTCTAAGAGGTTCTTGCCCGGCATGGCCGCTGGATTCGAGCACCCCAAGGTCAAGATCCACATTGGTGATGGTTTTGCTTTCCTTGAGGACAAGGTCGACAGCTTCGATGTCATTATCACGGACTCTTCTGATCCCGTCGGTGAGTTGATGTGAAAACACCACTGTCTATTCCTCATATCCACAATGCAATTGAAGAAAAGGTGGTTTTGCGTTTTGTTGGTGCGACATTGTGTTGGATTCAGAACTAATTATGCCGATTTACGGGCGATCGCAACCGCTGCTGTTATAGGACCCGCTGCCTCTCTTTTCCAGGCAAAGTTCTTTGAGCTGATGAAGAACGCCCTTCATGCCGGCGGAATCATCTGCACGCAGTGTATGTCGCTGCTCTATTGTAGATATCGGCTGTATTTCGTCCAACCTATTGTTCTCTAACGCCGTGTATCTCTCTTTGACAATGCAGGCGAGTGCATCTGGCTCCATATGCCTATTATCAAGGAGGTCATGGGCTTCAGCCGCAAGCTCTTCCCTCGTGTCGAGTATGGCTTCATTACCATCCCCACCTATCCCTGCGGACAGATCGGTCTCATGGTCTGCTCCAAGGACCCCAACGCGATTATCAAGGAGCCTCTCCGCCAGTGGCCCAAGGAGCAGGAGGCAAAGCTTTGCCGCTACTACAATTCTGAGATCCACAAGGGCTGCTTTATCCTGCCCCAGTTTGCCAAGGCTGCGTTGGAGGCTGGCGAGGGATCTCAGTAAAGAGTGTCGAGGCATTTCTGTTTGAATTGAAATAAAAAAAAAAAAAACGAATGCACAAATCATATCTAGTGGCTTGGCTGAGGCAATAAAATGGTTTTCGCGCTGCCCAACACCCCTTTCTCCTTTGCCCTCCCTTTTCCCTTTACCTCATTACAACATAACCAGCGTTGATCGCCACTTGCCTGCAGCACATCGCATTTCAGCAGCGACTAACAGGTACATCCTACGCGCACGCATCTCTGCCTCTGTTTCTCGAACCATAAGTGCTTTGGTGCACAGGCTATGGTACATTGTTTGCTTAACGACTTCGCCATCTCCTTCAGCCTAGCTCTCGTACTCATTCCCACCCACCCGATCCACGGAACCGGGCCTTTTGAATCCACAACAACCACACAATACCAGGCCGGACGCAGGGCTTTTTTTCTTCTTTAAGCATGGATAGCCACAACAGCAATAGTGTCCTGCCCGCTGACACAGTCGACGTTCTTATGCCTAACGATTTGGACCCCATGGACGACAACTACCAGCTCGAGGAGTCGCACTACCGTCGCTCATCCTTCAATCAGGACGATGCTCACGACAGCAATGGCGACAATAGAAATCGTCGAGACTCGCGTGACCGTGGCGTCCTAGATGACAGACGAGAGAGCCGCGGGCGTAGCCGCAGTCCTATCCGAGCGAGAGATTATAGTGGAGGCAGCCGGAATGATAGAGATGACAAGTATGACACGGATCGCCGTCCTTCACAGCACGATAATGATCGTGGAGGCCGTGGAAGATCCAGATCCAGGAGCCCTGGGCGCTCCAGCTCTGGATCGTCGTTGAGAGATCGACGTGTTTATGTCGGCAATCTGTCGTACGACGTCAAATGGACCAACCTCAAGGATTTTATGCGTCAGAGTACGTTTTTTTTTTTTTTTTTTTTTTTTTTTTTTTTGGGGGGGGGGGGGGGGGGGGAAGCAGCTTTATGTGCACCAATCATCATGGGCCCCCATGAAGGTCCCCTTCTATTTCATATCGGTATCTTTAGGCTAACCCTTTTCTTATTTTTATCATTTTCACATAGTTGGACCTGTCGCTCACGCCGACGTCTTGCTGGGCTCCGATGGCCGTTCCAAAGGCTGTGGCGTGGTCGAGTATCAGAATGCCGACGATGCCAAGGAAGCCATTCGTAAACTGAACGATGTTGTTCTGATGGGCCGCCCTGTCTTTGTGCGTGAGGACCGTGAATCTGAGGCAAGGATCGGTTTCTCTGGTGGACGTGGTGCTGGCCTCGCGGCATCGCGAGCCAGCGAATCGGGCACTCGTCAAGTCTATGTCGCCAATGTAAGTAGAGAGAAGACATTCGACTGTTTTATTTTATCTACGTTCTTGTTTTCCTGCGACAATTGCGTCAGTGGTTTCTCTGAAGATCTGCAACTCATCTGGTTCTTTGTTATTACTATCGTTCGATAATAGTTGCCATACTCGGTCAATTGGAAGGACATGAAGGACTTGTTCAGGAGAGCAGGACCCGTGGACAGGGCAGATGTTTTCATGACCAGTGACATGCGATCCAAGGGCTCTGGCACCGTTTCTTTTGAGAGATCGAGCGATGTGTCGCGGGCGGTTTGTACGTAACTCATGTTTGGCGCAAGGGACGTTGGATGTTATCATGGAGTACTTTCGGGATGCGTATTTCGCTCTGGACTGGTCGACCCTCCGTTGCGCTCAGTGATGTTTAGAGGCCGCGGAGTCAGCGGCAGAACGGAAGTAGGCGTGAGAAAGAGCATGAAGGGAGCATGCAAGTGTTGTCGAAGATGAGCGGATGAAATGGGCATGGGAGCACGCAGAGGATGAAGATGTTGAACGGAACACAGGAGTTCGTCGAAGAGTGGTTCAGGGCATCGGATCCGTTATGTGAAACTAAACTGCGTCTATACTTCTTATCTATGAACGCCTTCCGTTGTCGTTGCCGTTGTCATCGTCGCCGCCGCCGCTTACGCTTTCAAAACGCCGTTCGACTTTCGTCTCGCATGTTGCTGGGTTGGTCCTGGTCGTTAGCGATGTTCAACGGATTCGAGTGGCATGGTCGTCGTATCGAAGTTCGCGAGGTGGGCATTTTGCAAATTGTTGTTCGATGATGGTTGGTACATGAAGAGAGGCGCTATGGTCTTGTGTGTGTGCCGCTAGAAGTGCACAGCACTGTCTACTTGATACGCGGCGATGCGCATCGCTAGCCGCAATGGCTTGGCCGCATACCGTATATCCCTTTGCTCCATGGATCTTGGGCCAGAGCGATTGGAGGCATTACGAGCTGCGGTCTCAAGGCAGTGCAGAGACTTAATTCGATGATGAGAAGCAGAGAGAGAAATGACAGAATTGGTGGCAGGGGTACGCTCAGGAGGCCACAGGAAGATGCATTGTACTCATCTACGCTCATTTACATGCTTTGTTTGTTCAGGACAAATTCGGACCCCCTGCTGGCGGGTCTCGTGGTACATCTCGGTATGAGCCTTCCCGCAGCTCACGAGGCGAGGACTATGGCCGTAGCAGCAGCAGTGGCTATGGCGACTCGTATGCCTATGGAAGTGGTGGACATGGCGGACATGGCGGTCATGGCGGACATGGTGGGCATGGCAGTCATGGCACTCATGGCGATTACAGACATGAAAGCAGCAGCAGCAGCCGACAACATGATCTGTATGATGGCAGTGCACGCTCGAGCCACCACTCCACTGGCTACAATGACATGGCGATCGACTCTTCCATCCCTTCAGGGCCTGCTGCAGGCTCTGGCGACCAGATCTATATCCGCAATGTAAGTGCCGTTGGAACCGTGGCACTAAGACAATGGGAGGAATTATTAATATCTAACCTGATCCACTGCATTTATCGCCACAGTTGCCATTTACGACCACGGAGCAAGATCTCAAAGATCTCTTTAAGACTTGCGGGCCGATTCGTATGACAGAGATTCTTTTGTATAACGGTCGTCCCAAGGGTTCAGGCATTGTTCGATTCGAGATGTTCGAATCCGCTGACAAGGCAGTTGGTATGCTGAGGACACCCTTAGCCTTTGTGTTTCTTCGAATGTTAATAAAAGACGGAATACTAATTTTCTTTTCTTTTTCGCATATTATTACTCTTATAGCCAAGTTCAACGGATACACATATGGAGGCCGTCCTCTGGAGATCGTATACGATCGTTCTTGAACAACCTCACATCTTTTTTCTTTAACCTGAACCATTTCATTTTTTATTAGCAAAGACGAATAAATAAGAGGAGCATTTTCATGCACTCTGTCTTTTGGTTTTCCTGTAATGCGAGACAGGGTCTCCAATCTTGATATGGCACTAGCAACACGGAAGAGCGTCCTTTTGAATAACTGCCCTTGAGCAGATTGGGGCCAACTTACAGACGTTACAGACGTTGCAAACCTCCCATTGGGCTGAAAAGATATTCATTTGCTGTGCCATGTCTATCCTAAGCTTGTGTTTCTTGTGCACTTTCTTCGTCCTTGTGCGATATATGGTGCATGCTGACCGTCCCCCCTATCCTCAACTGTTGTATCACCCTGAGTATCGGCGGCCTCCTCATGGCCGTGCTCCTCATCGCTCGGCTGAAGGTAGTCGTCGGAGACGGTCTAGAGGAGAGGAGCAGGATCGTGTAAAAGGTGCGGCTGAGGGCGATGGCAGAAAGCAAGTCTTTGAGGCCTGAAGAGGACATTGTAGGGGATCCAGAGTGGGATGAACCAGCCAGTTCGAGCGATGAAGTAGGAGGCGCGTGTGAACCTTACAAAACCCAAAGTCGGTTTCTTCTAAAAATGGAAGGCAAAGCGTATCCTCAAAATGGAAAGGGAACTCATTTATGTGTTTTTTTTTTTGAGACTGATTGCATGGCTGACAGATCCCCAATCGATGATCAAGAACGATTGAACAGCCAAACATAACCAGGATCACCATGTCGGACGGATTCACTTCGCGCAAGCTGGCTATTCTTGTAGCGCTCAACTCTGACACGCCCGACAAATCTCCCAAGGGATATGTGGACGAACCTCTCCTACCGCTCATCGTACTGATCAACAACCACAAGGACTATGTCACCACCTCGTCTTGCTCTGGGCGCATCTGCACCTATCTCGAGGGCATGAACGAATTACAGTCGGAGGAGCTATATATGCAGGATATGGAAGCAATTGAAAGCAGAGTCGCGCAGGATAACGGCGATAAGGATGGGGGAGAGGATGCGCAAGTTGCCAAGGGATACGAGGAGAACACTTCGCTGGCTGCGGTCGAGGCTGCAAAGAGAGCCAAGGGCGGACAATGGCTCTACGTCAGCCATGATCCCGTCGTCTTCCCTTCAGAACAGGACACCGAAGACCAACAGTGGATCATCAACACCTTGTTTGGATCCGAAGCCCATAGGGTCGTCCCGATGGAAGACAGCAGCGAAACCCGCACGCTTGACATGGCCAGGTCGCAGTTGGTTTACTTCAAGTTTGAGCCAATGGTAACGACAGCAATAACATTACCTACACGATCCCGGAGTCCAACATTTTTATGCAGGATAAAAAAAAAAAAAAAAAAAAAACAGGTTCACGACGCTGACAGACACGTTGTTCTTCTTTCTGTCATCTTCACTCACTAGATCCTTCATATTGAGGCATCAACTCCAGCAGCCGCAAAGACCTTCCTCAACCACTCACTCTTCTCTGGCTATCGCAATTCAGGGATTTTACCTTCGGCTAAACGAACTATGCTCGCCATTCGTAGTACTCTCAAGCTGGACGCGCCAATTGCCTATATACCCTCAACATCATCCACAATGCCATCTTCAATACCGAAGATCCATCTCATGGTCTCGGTGGCATATCTTCGCGTGTTGGTGGAACTGAGCAACGACAAGTTCCAAATGAATGTTGCACAGATGAGCCGGTTCGAGAAGCGTCTGGCGGAGTATTTGAATAGTGATGCCGATTTGGCCTCAAAAAAGATGGGAGATCAAGGAGAGTGGGAGGATAAAGATGCAAGGCGTGAGCGCAAGCGCAAGGAGGGTCTGCTGAAGAAGCAGCAGGCTGCCATGAGGAAGGCCGAAGCTGAGACCCGGGATGCAAAAGTACAGGAACATTCAAACGAAGACCCAAACACAGACGCGGGTTCGACTGCAGGAATTGCGACCTCAGTACAATAAACAGCCGAGTACTTTGATATTAGCCATTGCGGATTGCAGCATCAAATGGACATTTTTGCGTTTGCGATATGACTGGGGCTGCGACCTGCGGTATTTTATTCACGAGCTGCCAGCTCAAAGAAATTAGGTAGAACAGCGGCCGCCGTTTGTGTGGCCATTGGCGTCGAGACTGACAAGGACTTGAAGGCAATCCTGGTTCTTATAATGTCCCATGTAGACTGACTTGAGGAACTGCCTTGATCCGCATAATACTTGAGAAGGACCAGAAGTCCTATTTTCGGCTCATATAAACGGGCTTGATTAGTACTTGTGCTCAGTATTGCGGCATCATTCACTGCTGTAAGCATTATGTTCGAGCGCCTACTTTGAGATGTAGCCTTCTCAAGATGTACGGGCACATTGTGCTGCTTCTCTTCCTCCATCGCTGTCAGGAGAACCTCGTGCATGACCTGAGCGATTTTGACATCGACTCCAAAGGCCTCCTTTGAAAGATCAATCACCTCCACAAGGCTCAGTCCATCCATGGCCACTCGCACGACTTCTATATATTGGGTGTACTGAACAAGGCGCAGTCTGAACTGTAGATCATTCTGCATGGGAGGATCGCAAGACAAAAGCGCTGCTCCATTTTTGAGTCGCTTGGGTATTCCTGGGTCAGTTTGACTGGAATCCTTAAACAGTCTGCTCCACGTAGAATCCGCTATCGTCAGCGACAGCCATAAACAAAAACGGATAGTATTAGTATTGGCTAACGATAGCAGAGTAATCAAGAAAAAGAGATAGTGGGCACTTCGATAGCCATCCTACTTTGCTTGTTGATATCGCCGACCGACAACATGAGTAGCGCCAGCCTCAGAATCTCAGGATAGGTGCTCATCATCATGCCACCCGACAGCTCAACTTGTACCTTGGGTCGAACGGGGGTCAGCGGCATCACACGGTCAGCGCCTGTTACCGACACATTCTCCATGATGCTGTCCTGCCTCGCGAAGAACTCATTTACCCGTCCTGCCAGTTTCCTCAGAATCCCAACCCTCTCGTTGACAACCCATTCAAACACAAAGAGGCGGCCAGTCAGTAATCGCGAGATCGTCAGCAGGCTTTGCTCGAGCACCTGTTCCCCTTCTCCCCCATCGACCTGCAACAGGAAATTGAGGCTACGTGCAAGCCATTCGATACTGGTCTCTGAAGCGACAAAGTTCTCAATCCACTGCAGACACTTGCTGAAGAACCCTGTCTCTGGCGTCCTGTAAACCGTCCGTAGAAGTACATTCGGCCAGGATAGATCGCCCTTAAATAACGCATTCATGGCCAACTTTGTCCCTTGCACAGTGTCCTCGGCCTCTGACGCACCCAACGATGGCAAAGGACAAAGACGAATCAAAAAGTACTCAAAAATATCCCGAACCTCCTGGAAGCGCTGCAGTGGATCCTGTGTGGGGTGATCATATACGACCCCATGCATGTTATCATTATCCATCACACTCTCCAGATATCCGACCAGTTTCCTTTGCACGTTGGAATCCACTGCTCCGCCTGTGGTACTAGGTTCGCCCTTGACCCCCGCGGCCCCCTTGTGTCCCATGACAATCGACCGGCAGTATCTGGCACAGAGTGTTGATGCTGGCAGTGCGTTGAGGATCTCTGGCACCTCTCGAAGCAACCGATCAACCCATGCAGCATCATCGTTACTCCCTACCATCCTTCCGAGGTAGTCGGGGTCTCTCGAGCTGGCTAACTTCATTCCCAGACCAAATCGCTCATTCATCCCTCGCAATTGCTGCATGATCTCTGGTGGTGGCGCCCTTGCCGGCTGGCTGGGTCCGAAATCCAAACACATGAGCCATCCAACGTACTCGCTTTCACTCAATTGCAGTGTAGCATCCCCACGAGACTCATTCCATTCACCTTGCACAACTATCGCATCCTTTTCCCACGCCAATACACACTCCTGATCCTTCTGATCCGCCTGGATGCTGAGCCTCAAAAGACGCTCCGATGACGGCTCTGAGCGCGGAGTATAGTTGGGAGGCGGAAAGGAATAGTGTTGAGAGATGCAAATCTCCAGAAGTGTGCGAACCACCGGCATGGAATCCCATACGACCAGCGCTAGAATTCTAAAAGATTGATGCCAAACATTTGGTGTTAAAGGTCGTCCGAATTAAATCCATAATAAATACAATGGTCATCAAAGAGTAATTTGTTCCGCACCTTGGATTACAGCTCGCAAGCATTGCTGTTATAAGGCAGCACGTCCAGAAGGATTGGATCCAGGCTAAAGGGACATCACTGGCAAGCTTCAGCACCTGACTGTTATTCGTTTCGCAAAATCGGGAGAGATCAAAGATTTTGACGACGATCTCTGGATTCTTGACCGCGCAACTCTCTGGGTACTATTAAAAAAGATGTGAGAAAAACAGTCAGTCAGTCTCGTATGTGTCTCTTACCACAGTTAAATAGCAGTTCTTGCGGTATCAACAATGTCGTTGCAACTTACAAAGCGAGATAGATCGGTGGCTCTGGAGACGTACTCTCCAACAATTGAGAGGAGCATTTTGTGCGGAAGTCGAATCCCCAATAATGCCGAAAGTCCTGCCTCCGTCAAGGGCAGTCCATTCTCAATGACTTTGCATATCAGCGTCGTATCGAATTCTTGAGAGCTCTATAAAATGACAAAAGAAGTACGTTTCAGTATCATCGACTGCAATTTTCCTTGGCAGCTCTGCAAAATCTGTGCCATCGTGCCATTGATATACACACCGAATCCATGGCATAGCTCTGCGGTGGATCCAAGAATAGTAGCCTTGTGATGCAGGTTCTCAGGGCATTCAAGGGTATAGGTCCAAATGGCGTCTTGCAGATGTCTCCTTCGCTTGGAACTCCAACGACCGCACCAACGTTGCTGATGGTCTGGAACCACCGAAGCGTAAAGCTGTGAACGTGCTCAATCGAAAACTTGCTTGCTTTGATGTCCTTCATTTCTTTTGCTTCCATCGCCGTCGCCATCATCACATTGCACACAACCTCGGTAACCAACAAGAGCCACAGCGTAGGTATATTTCGCCCACCCGGTGGGATATGCAAATGTTGTTGCTGCTCCTGTTTCTGGCCAAGTCGCGTGATAGAGGGCCCGTCCTTCAAAAGACCGACAACCAGATCTGCCGTCCATGACAGGCTTCTCTTGCCTAGGTGCCGTATCCATCGCTTGACAACCAGAATTATTGGTGCCAATGGCGGGCTGACGGCGGATCCTCCCATATGAAGCGCAGCGTCGGTAACGTATCCCTGTATTAGCTGCCCAAACGCGACTCCTGGATTGTCAGGGATTGCCTGCAAAAGGAGCTCCATCAAGTCTAGATGATATGGGTTCTTAAGCTCGTTCGGATTCATCTCCACTTCCATGATATGGTTCAGGCCTGCCCGGATCAGTTCTCCGCTGGAGAGTCCGAGCAGCACGACGCGGAGCTCTTCCTTGACGGTCTCCACCTGATGAGGTCTTCCTTTGTAGCGAAAATCGAGTAGCATCGTCCAGGCTTCGAGGTCCTCTTTTGACATTACTTCCTGTGTGCTAATCTGCCGGAGGACAAGTCGGAGAAGCGGCTTGGCGCTTTTTAGAAAACTTCCGAGCCAGACTAGAGTTTGACGAAAAAGTAGAGAGAGAAAATTCTGATTCAAGAGATGCAACACCACAAAGAACAAACATCAATATGTGTTACAAGGACGAAGTACAACATAAACAACACAAACACTTACACTCCATGCAGCTCATTGCTTTTAGTCGGACCTCGACCCACCGACAAGTAACTATCATGACCTTTATCAAACTCCGCACCGAGGTTTCCACTGCGCTTACGCCAATGGCCATAGGAATATGCTCCCACATAGTCTGTAGGGTAACCTGCTTGATGTTGTGTTTCGCGCCTGGTTCGTTGTACCGCTTTCTGACACTCAGCGACTTGGTGTATTGGTGGAAATCAATTGTCACCATGACCGCTGATGCCGTAGTCTTTTCATCCAGGCGAACCGCGTCCAGCTTTTCCTCTGCACTGCTGAGCGGATCATCTGTTCGAAACGCAGTCAGGATATTGCGCACAAATGTCTCTGTATCTGCATGGGCGCACCATGAGCGCTCCCCCAATGCATCCTCTAAATATGCCATGACAAAATCTGTTGGCCAGTCTTCGATTTCATTCCAGGCAAGATGCAGGAGTGCGCAAATCAAAAAGACTACCGCTCCATTAGTCCTGATCTTGAAACTGTGCGTGAACTCGGGTCGCAGCATCTGGATCATAATGGTGGATATTGTTTGGTCCCTAAGCAGCGCAGGCATCGCCTGTCCGAGTCGGAGAAGTCCAGAGGTGATCACAGGATCTGGCTTAAGAGCATTGAACTTAAGATATTGCAATGCAGCCCGAATATGTTGAAACGGAGGTGGTGTCTCCCATGAAGTCCGTGAAAATGATTTGTACACTAAATAAGGGCGTAGCAAATGGCGTTAACAATCACGATGAGGAATATTAAAGCCATTGCGGTAACTAACGCCAGTCGATTCTTGCCTTCTTCGTCAACTTGGCGCAAATTGACCAAACCCGTCTCTTGCTCGATTTTGACATTCCGCGTAAGAGACCAAAGGCTCTTTGGCCCGGTCTGTTGCTCCTGATGCTGATGATAGCCCTGTGTTTGCTGGGCTGGAAGTTTCCTGAGGGCAGATTTAAGTGTTGATTCCTCAGTCTTGATTCTGGGTGGCGTGGATGGTGCGCTGTTGCTGCCGGTTGATGCAGAGCTGATACGGACTCTCTTTTGCGCTGGCAGTGATGCTCCCTCGTTTGAAGAATCCGGCGTACTTTGTGAGGGTGAGTCGAGAGGCGGTGTGTGCGCTGAAGGAGAGGCTGTGGAGCTTGAGATGCCTTTGAGGAGCTGTGGTTCTAACTTCGAGGATGACTTGATAGGCCTACTTGGAGCCCTGCCTGATTCATGTTACAATCAAATCGAAAGAACAGATTAATGAGACACCCATGGTATGGACCTTTGACCTTAATCATCCTATTGAGCATACCAAGAGGGATAAGGTCTTGTGTTGGACGTGAGGAGGCATCAACGGTTAAAAGTTCACGGAGCTGGTTAGATCGCAGTTTGAGGTTAACAGGACGGGAGGAAAGTTGAAAGCGATGCTTAGATAGTCTACCTGGAAGATTCCGCTCTGGCGCTGTAGTCTTTCCTTTCCGCGAGTCCTTGCTCATGGTGAAAAGCTTTGGGACTAATGTAGACGTGTGATGGTGCCCAAAGATGAACTGAACTTTGTGGCCAGGGGAAGCTACGAGCAGTCACTCAGATCAAGCCACAGCTGACTTATGTCTGTGGTCTCCCAGCGAGCTGTTAGTTCCTCCTTTAACTTTCATATCACATCATGGTACATGATTGCGCTCCTGCCTTATATGGCAGTTTAGGGCTGGACGGATTGCGTATACCTATCGATCCATCGATCCATCGTTCGCTCCTTCATGATCTATCAATCGCCATTGCAGCTTCAGGGAGATGCGCAGAGGGACAGGAACAATACGTTTTGAGCAATTTTTACATCACTGGAAAACAGATCGTTCCACCATCTCGAAACAGAGGTTCAACCAGAACAGAGTGCGAGAAGGATCGTCGCCTTGCAGCATCTTATTCGACAGATCCTTTACGCCCCTCAGGATGCAACAGGCGCTAAATCAAGGGTGGCCCATCTCAAAGATGTTCGGATCTTTCTTGGACTTTTTGAATCACATGCATACGGCGAGCGAGAAGCAGGACCAAATACTATGCCACCGATATTGGGTAGTTTTCTTAGATGAAATAAGGAACGCAATCAACTACTCAATCGCTGTGGCAGGAATATAGATGATGTTGCGGATCAGCAGTACTATTGAAGCAGGATGCACAAGTCTACCGCTGATGTCAAGCTCTTTTGACCAGTGCGACTGCGGCGAACGGGATATAAGGGGACAGTTCAGTCTGAGGGTCAGAGCAACGACAATGCTCCGCAAAACAACCTTGGCTGACACTTCAATGCTACCTTTTACTTCGGTTTGACAGGGTAAAGTCCACGGTTCCCTGGCTCGTGCCGGTAAGGTCAAGTCGCAAACCCCCAAGGTTGCCAAGCAGGAGAAGAAGAAGAAGCTCACTGGTATGTTTAGCCCCTACTCAGGGCCATCATCAAGAAGAATATTGCTGAGTCTGTACCGTCTTGCAGGACTAATATATTGGTTGTTATACGCGTCATCTAGGTCGTGCCAAGAAGCGCGATACCTACAAGCGCAGATTCGTTAACGTCACCAACGCTCCCGGTGGCAAGCGTCGCGTAAGTGTTCCTACATTATCGCTGTGGAACCGGAGACCGCAATCTGTTACTGTTCTTTGTATAACAGTACTTTGGCATTTGTCTGACTATGATTGTTCCTATTTGTACCTGTAGATGAACGTCAACCCCGAGTCGAGCAAGAACTAAGCATTTTTTCAAAGAATGTTTTGCAACAAGTCGGCGATCAATACACAGAGTCCACATGCTGTCTTTTCGTCATGATCGAGGCAGGGATCTCTTGTTGGTCGTCTTCATGGCATTCAATAAAAATGCGAAGTTTAAAACCAGTGTGAATGACTATAAAAATTAACGTATTTTATATCGGTGCAGACGGATAAAAGGAAGCATGTTCAGCTTAAATACTCTCCTGTGCGGACAATTCATCTCCTGCAATTTAATGGATGACAGAAAATCCATGCAGCATGCCACTCTTTGAGGCCGTTACAAACAGTGAAGTGGTGCCTAAAGTTTACTAATTAATATATGTGGCAGGTGGAGGGCTGAGGCTATAGTAAACCGGCATGGGCAATCAGGTGCCGAAAGCAGCATTTTACAGGAATGTTCCGGCTGTGCTGTATCACTTGGTGTACTCAACTCAGCGGAAAGAGGCTCCTTATAGCCAGATCAGGGACGACCTTGACCAATTCTGAACGCATTTTTGTTTCTTCATGTGAAGCCTAGACTTTTTCAGGCCAACTGCAACTATCTACTAATGTGCACCATTTACACTTCTGACCAACGACGACGACAGCCCGTTACGAAGACAGCATGTTTAAAAAGTATGGAACCATAGCAACGCTTGGGAACGACCCGGCAAACACTGGCTTTCTGCTTCACTTTCAATCCTGAGCAAGAATGGATTCGCACGCAGGAAAATGCTTTATTGAAGTGAGGCGCTGAGCAGTGATTGTCGGTTCGACCCTCTATGTGAGATGATATTAAGGCCCACTTCTTGTCTCCATGTTCCTTGACAAGGTTCGCCAGGAGTTCAGTTTCTTCGGCTGTCCAGGGCCCCATTTTGAGATTTGGTGAAAGCACGTTCAAATATCGTTCTCGACATTGAATATCTGTCCTTCCAAGAACATGCTGCGCAACCTTGGTCCAGCGTCCTTCACCATACACCTTCAGTGCAGCTCTAAGGGCCCCATCCTCCTCCTCCAGCCAGCGACCACGGCGAATCGACGGGTTCAAGCTCTTTTTCCAGCGCTCCATGCACTGAGCGGGCGATCGGTTATCAAAACAATAAGAGACTTGCTGCCAGCTCCTCTCGCCCAACATTTCCACTGCCTCCTTTAAGACCCCATCCTCCTCCTCAGTCCAGGGCCTATCAATACATATGACCAAGAGGATGTTAACCGAAAAGTTGGATTGTTAGGCACATCGTGTCGGATGCTAGTGCCAATTATAAGAAATAAGCGTAAATGCGTAGCTTACTCTTTGGATATTTGCTTCGTCATCTTTTTGGTTTGATACTGCCTGAAGCACTGCGCGCCTGTCCGGTCCGTGCGAAGATCTAGCGCGATCTGGACCCAATTGTGCCCTTGGTGTTTCTTGACTAGATCCTCCAGCTTTGCAAACTCATCGCTCGACCATTCTGCCTTGTTAATACCAGGATGGTCGTTTCCTGCCCACTGAATGAGGCACTCTGAGGCTGTCCGTGTATCGACCTGACCCAAATGTAGAATCAGGAGAAAGATATTGTGGTTTACAGTTAGAAAAACGAAGCATTACACCGTCTGAGCAACCATTCAGTCAAACATGTAACCCTTACAAATCGTTGAGAGATCCGAGACCAGTTCAGTCCCTGCGTGTTGAGCATCATTTGAATATCCGCAGCCGTTTGCAGAGACCGAATGCCAGCCTCGTTACCAGCTTTCGTGAACTCATTGAAAAGAATCCGCTTGTTCTCAGATATGACGCCAGCCTTGAGGCTCTCCCGTTCTTGATCCGTCCACCTCCTCATCTTTCCGGTGACAATCAGAGGGCGCTTCTTTCGCCTGATTGTGTCTTCATTATCAGGAGGTGTCTACAAAAAAACGGCGCCAGTTGCCAAGTCTTTAGTACACTTGCATTGTGGGGAGAGCCTACTTCTCTTGCATATACAAACATAAAAACAAAAGAAGCTATATTGTACCTTGCCATCTCTATCCACGAAATACGGGGGGCCAAGCCGAGCCTTAGTTGTGGAAAGAATGAGTGGAGCGCGCTCTACCGCCTCCTGTCTGTCGTTCAGGGCTTGTAGTTGAGCCTGGATTGCAATGTTTGGATTAGTACACGATAGTCGTACCCGTAACACGAGAAGCAGAATATGTTTGACATGGATCTATCGTCCTTACCCCGAGCGCCTTGTTCCTGGCATACGCTTTTTCTACCTCCTGGAGCTGCTGCAACGCTGCTTTCTGATATTTCCTATTAATTGTTAGAGCCTTGGCCGCCTGGTCTCGAATCATTTTCGTTAATGAAGCTCTCTCCTCCGTGGTGATGTAGGGTGTATCGATGGCATCGTCCTCCGTCCTCAAGTCCATAGAATTGATACCGGTGTCATTTTGCTGGGCACTATCCTGCAACGTATTGTCCTTTAATATGTCTTGTAGCCTGCTTTGAGAAGGAGTTGTGTCCACGAACGTTGCAGTCGTATTGTTAGAAGACAAATTCGTCGGCCCCTGCAAGGCCGTGAGCGTTAATCCAGATCTACTCTGCTGTTCTGCACCTGTACCAGTAGAATCCCAACGTACAGGAGAAATATTGGTATCCTTGCTGCTATGGATGTCGTCTGCTTGGCTAGAGACACGCGCTGATTTGGTGGGCTGGGTTGGCACGAGATCTTCCAGAGATACGTTCTGACTGCGTAAAAGACGCAAGAGCTCAAGATCATTGTCGATCACATCGTCGTTCTCACTTTCGTCGCTGAGATACTCCTCCACATCCCTGCATGGCGTCTCCTCTGGGTCCGGTGGCATCTGCAAATGGTGTCCTGCCGCTGATGGTGCATGCATGCAGAGTCTGTCTACGTTCTTTTAGGTCAGCAAATGTGGCTTTTCGCACTCTTGTGTCACATGGCATTGGCGGTCAGGCCAGTGCGCCAAGCATGAGATATTATTACTCTTGCCTGCCTTTCTTATCGCCCAGACGCCCAGACATCCAGCATCCAAAATGGAGACACAGTACCTCGACTCCGTGAACAAAGAGCTCCAAGATATCGAGCGCTTCTTCCAGGAGCTTTATAATTCTCATCCATCAAACCCGCCCGCAGCCTACGCCTCCAGCCTTCTCCCTCTTCTCAAATTCGGCAGCTGCAAACCCTCACCGCGGAGCTCCAATGCTCCCTCCACTAATAGCTTCATCAGAAGCGCGGTCGACGACACAGACGAAGACTACGCGGTGGCAGACCTCAGAGCCAGATACCGGCAACTGAAGGCAGTCCAGGACCAGCTCCATATCGAACTGACTAGGTCTCGTATCTGGGAATGGAACAGACAACACGAGCAAGAGCGAAAGCCACGGTGCTCTGGTGCTTTTGCCGCTTCAAACGAACAAGTAGTATTTGTGAAAGATGCTCAGACCAACATCTCGGAGGTGGCAAGGGCGGGAACTAGCCACAGATTCTTTCTGTTCTGGCTGATCATTGGAGTCGTCATTCTCCTATCATTCATGGAAACTCCTGGCACCAAAGAGCCTTTCTCAAGATCCTATGCTTGGCCTCGACACTGAGGGATTCCCATGGCGTCCCTTCCCATGCTGTCGAAATAATAAAGCAAAGCATGGCGAGCAACTTCGTACCCTGTTGCACGTATTCACGCGCGCCAGTTTAGTCTTGACATTAAGCAAATAAGGTTGAGGATAGGACTATGATTGATATACAGTATATTAAACCCTCCGTACACAGCGTTGTGATAAATGTAACCTTCGCTTGCCTGAATCTCTAATCCGTTTTCTGGCTGTATCGCTCGCCTCTCCTTCCGACCAAAGTCCCTTCAGAATCAGAACATGGCTCGCAATGAGAACTCCGGAACTCTGAACTGTCGCCGGACACACATTCCATGGCCACTCAATCGCTGCCAACAAAAGTAAACGCACAACGACCGGTAGCTGCGTCCGCCATAGGAGATAAGGCAGTGTCATATAGTACCACGCATAAAACTGGTAATGCAGTGACCGTGCAAAGATGATACCGATAAAGTTGCTGGTAAATAGTAATGTCAGCACATGGCTCGCCTTCATATGCTGTGCGTGAATCGAGAGGGCAGTTTTCGAAGCTGTCAATCCTCGTAACACCACCGGAACTATCCCGCCTTCTGGCCTTAGTACATAGAAAGATGGAAAGAGACATATTGATGAGATAATGCTAGGTGCCAAGTGTTAAGTATCGAGCTTTGTCTGAGATCGCAAAAGCATACCTGCTCCAACGGAAGAACACAAAGGCGAAGAGCACAAGCAAATGGCCGACGAGCAGAAATTTAGCTAATTCCTCACTCAAAAACGTCTTTTCGTCAAAGAGCTTCCAATTGACTGTCTCTTTGTACCCAAAAGCGCGAGAGAACTCGAAGGCCTTGCGCAGGTAGTTCTCGGGATGATGAAGCGTAAAGGGTAGCGACAACAGTACCTTTTGATCACATTCAGTCCATATGAGAGAAGAGAGAATGATAGTGTTAGGATATATGACTTTGCACAACCCCCCCTCTCTTTCTTCATCAGATGTATTGCACAGGCATACCTGAATAAGGATCATGGTTGTCAACTGGATAATGGTTCCCAGCACTCCCTGGGTCTCCCAAATCAAGAACCCGAAAGCTGGAAAGAACAGTAGGATGTTCATTTTGATTGAGATAGCAAGACTGAATAGTGCGCTGCTAAGAGTCCATTTCTTGTAAAGAAACGAAAGCACTGACGCGTAAAGGAACAGCATCGCCACCGGGTCATTGAACAACCGAAGAACGTAGATCGAATGCAATCGTCTTGACAAGCACACGAATATCAGAACATAGGGCGGAATCTGATTGAGAACAAGAATATCAACATATGAAAGCATTAGTATATGTTTAGTTTTTCTTGCAAGAAAGTATTCTTTTGCTCATGTAGACATACAGTTTTATCCTTGGCGTAAATCGCAAACACGATCAAGAGAGTGAGCAGATAAATCCCCATGAAGATCCATTGGCCCTTGAGAATGTTCTTGCCAAAATCCGTGAGATGATACAGTATAGAGAAGATGTAGACGAATCCTGCGGGGTATACCAATGGTCCTGTGTCGCCTCGCAGCTTCATGTAGTCCGTTTCACCCTTGAGATAAGCCGCAACTTGCTGCATGTATGCGGTCCAGTCAATCTCGGTATCTGAAGGAGCGAACGAATGTTTGTCAGCCTTTGAAAAGATTTTAGCTGGGAAGAGATCCAAAATATCCAACACAGGGTACATAGGACATACAGGGGACCTTCTTGATAATGACAACGTTAAGTAGGAACTCTCCTAAAAACAAGAGTCCAGCCAGCTTCCAGATATGGGCATGGTTGGTTAGCAACTCGGAGACGAGTTCCACAGGGCGAAAGATGCTCAGGGGCACAGTCGCTGCCTTACGTGGGGAGCGATTGTAGCGAAATAGTGATGCTATGGACGATGCAGCCTGATGATAGGACGACCGGGCTTGGCCAACGGAATGCCTTAGTAGCTGTGCCTGTTTTTTGTTGATTGTCATGAGCTGGTCGAGATGCGATGTTGATGAGAATACTAGACATCTTTCGCAACTTATATACAAACTAGGCTCGGCCCAGCCCTCTCAATCTTAAAAGGAGGCCTGGAGACATACTGTTTCCTTTTTTGGCCGCCTACAGTCTCAGGCTCGACCTAGGCTCGGCCTAGGCTTGAATTCTTTTTTTAGAAGGGGATGGCATTTTGCTCTCTTACGGCTGGTTGCAAACTCGGGCGTTTACTATAGGTTATTCTTTTTGGAAGGTTGTTAAGGTTAATTGCTTTTCGCCAAAGATTTTGTACATGGATCTTGTATTACCATGTCTGCATGGCCGCATGGTCCCGATCTATTTGTTGTTTTTTTCTCCTACACTACGACTTCCTCCCCTTCACTCAATATGCCCTCTCAAAGCACCTCCTGCCTCCCTATTGTTTCCTATAACTTTGAGGTACCCTGCCTTTTCCCCCTAAGAATGAGAATGATCGAGAGTCCACCGTATCAACCTAAATTAAATGCAATTCAATCAACAACAACAGTGCGGGACCATGCGGCCATGCAGAGATCCACGTAAAAAATCTTTGGCGAAAAGCAATTAACCTTAACAACCTTCCAAAAAGAATAACCTATAGTAAACGCCCGAGTGTGCAACCAGCCGTAAGAGAGCAAAATGCCATCCCCTTCTAAAAAAAGGTATACTGGCTGGTGCTTTAACGAAGACTGGATTCGAACCTGGGCCAAGCCTAGGTCGAGTCTAACTTGCTTTTTGACCAATCAGAGCACAGTTTACTATCTCCTCGGACTCCAGACAATCAAACTCGGTAATGGGAGATGATGGTGTTTCATCCACGCAGTAGTGCAGAACCCAGTGTTCATGACCCAGGACAAGTGTGCGGGGTGGTAGCTTGTAGGCACGTCTTCCGCGGGCGCAGTATGGAAGTCGATATCTTGGTCGTCATCTGATGAATCGAAATCGTCGAGCATATTAGTGTTTATGGACGATGGCTGGTCTGTTTTAAAAAAGCGAATATATGTTCTGTTGCTTCGCATTTCCTCTATTCTCTGGAGAGCAAGTGCTGGTCTCCCCAGCTCGCGACTCAGCCGGCCATAGTGCTGTTGTGGAGTGCTTAAAGTAACGCGGGCTCCGAGTCCTCAGGTCCAAACTGGGCTGATAAGTCATCAACGGGGGTCAACTTGATCATTTGAGATGCCATTGAAGGGCGATGGTTCGAAATAGACACTTGGTATAGGGATTGACAATTGACAAAGCGTGTATGAGGTCGACGGCTGAGGCAGCTCATTGGACGCCGCGATATCTTCAAGATTGGCAGTGGCAGACCAATGAATCACAGACTCATGTCTTAGGATGGCCGAAGACGAATGTTCATCAGTAATGTACTCCTCGTTGACCTCGATAGGTTCCTCCGGTACCGGGAGAGACATCTTCTGGTTTATCTGATGGATGTTCAGCCGAATATTTTGAAAACAGCCATAACGTGTTTGTCTGGAACTGAGAAGGAGAGGTCGTTCTTGTGGCAGTTGTTGAAAATAGGGACATGGCGGAAGCAGTTGCGGATGGATTCTGGCTTCACATGATTCCACGCTTGAATAATGTGCTTCCATGCATCCCTGTTGGGAATGTTGCTACTCTGCCTTTTAGGTACGACTGTTCCGTTCGCTAAGGCTAATTATTCAGCTGTGTGCAGTTTGTGGCGATGGGCTATTGTTGATATGGCCAAGAAGTCCCCATAATATGACTTGAACACAGCGATGATTCCAGCACCCAGTGGTTGAGTTACTGAGGTCGAGTTTTTAGGGAGGGTGATGACCTCGATGTTGGGTATCTCAGCCATGAAGTCCTTGTCATTAATAATGAGATGCCCAGGCGCGTTGTCAATGAGCAAAACAATCTTTCGATTACGATCATCAGCGATGATGGATTCGTGGAGCCGTCGCAGCCAACTTGCAAAAACATATTTCCGCATATAGTCGACGCGTTTCTCGTCGGTAGGCTGTAAATACACCTGACTTCGGACAGTAGCAAGGAGTCCGTTCGGAATATGCTTACCTAGAAGAGACCCGCAAATGAGATATGCATTAAAAAAATAAAAATAAAAAAAAGACAAAGAAAAGAAAAGCACATCCTCAGGATAAAGGGTCTACGCTTGTCCGAACCAGTCGCGTTCGTACAGAACAGAACCGACACACGGTCTACCTTCCCTGGCTTAACACCAGCGACCTTAATTAGTCAAGAGTTCATTGAGACATCCACTTGAGGTAAAGGCCAGATTCGTCACAGTTGTAGATGTCATCGAGCTTGTATCGATCCAACTTCGCTGCAGTCTCCTTCAACTCCGGCTCAATGCCCTGCAAATCGATTGAAGACGCCTCTCCGACCAATGTGTAGTAGCTGATGTTCCAGTTCCTCATAAACCCCAGAGTCCACTTGTCTGACCAGGTAGGGGCTTGGTGCTTGTTACCAGGAGGGGGCCGACAGCTGTCTGCCAAAATTTGTGCCAAAAGTTTTAAAATATTGATGTTGATAGAGATGTGACGATCCCTGAAGTATTGAAGCCCTTGCTTGAGCATATCTTCAACCGGGAGGAAAGGTTGATCGACCAGCCTGCGTCGTCTGTCTCTAGCTCCCGACAGGGTTTCAGATAGACCATCCAGCTTCTCTGGAAGGCACGGCACCAGATCAGCATTGGAGCCGCTTTCACCCAACATGAGCGCCCGCACGCTTATATCACCAAGGTTCTCGCCAGCAGTTCCGAGGCCAAGAAGGAGAGGGCCGGTCAGATCAAGACACGCTATGACTGTCATCGCAGAGGTGTGAAGTACATGGTCAAGGGTAGGCAGCCAGGCGGAAAGCCTGGGAAGACCAGACTGAGACTTGCTTCGAATAAATGTGGATGCCCATCTCATTTTAATGCCATATATCGTCCACTACAAACACGCGACGGCATACCAGGAGAAACTTACCGCATCGAATACAATTACCAGCTCATACACACCCTGGGCGACAAAGGCAACATCGGCACTCAGCGAAGGTCCAAGACCATGAGAGAAAGGATTAAAGCTATGCTTATGAGGGGAATGTCGATCTCCATTATTATGAACCAGTTAACAATCGACTATGCAAGGTTTACTCGCTCCAGGGACGACTTCATCACCTACGACGACGTTTATAACCTTCTGTATGCGTTGACTGCTAAACAAATGAGAAAGGATGACGACCCACTCATTTCTGCTCGGCTTTGGATGGAGGACCTTGAGAACCAAAATTACTTCACCTATTACGATCGGGAACACGGCCTCTATCATAGATTTTCATCGCCATGGCAGCTGGATGAGCTGCGAAAGTGGGGGATTTTTTCTGTTTTGACGGGACTCACCATGCTTGTGGGTAAGTCCTCCTGTAATGTTACCAGTTACCTTTGTCACTAACATTTACAAACCTTATGGATAAAGAACGTGCCGCACCCAAGTGTGGAGGTTCTGCATGCTTTGACAAAGGACACATGAGCTGCGCGACGCCTTTATTGCAGTTGTATCTTCCCATGGCCGTAGTAACAAGCATGCACGGCAACGTTGAATGAAATAAAATGCCTGTTATTATCATTTCGATTGAGTCAAGTTGCTCACTTAGCTCCAAACCCATAACGAGCCATTAAGGCATGTAAATAGTTATAATATCGACTGGAAAAGAATGGGGCGATTGCGAACGAGTTCAGGAGAGATAGGCTCTCAATTGACCTACCATTGGCTTTTAACGCGTCGTCCAGTTTCAGGCAGTTCATAGCTGGACCAATTGAGTTGGACTCGGATGTGGTGTGCGCGAGTGCCTGCAAGGGGAATTGTGTGCCTGTGTGATGTGGATATGGGGATATGGCATGCGTGGGCGTGTTAGTGGGCGAGCATGTACCATCCTGGATGTTTTTTCTCGTTGTCTCTTTCACCATCCCCCTCTTCCTCACTTTGTCTGTTGCTCTCTGTATGCATGCAGGAGAGCTCAAGTGCAGTTATTGCTCGTTGTCTAGGAGTCTACTTGTCTACTTGGACGCGTCGTTTTGCAACTTTTGGATCTTAAGCTATTAAGGTCAGCAGGGGCATGATAGTCGACGATTTCCATCCAATGAAAGAGAGGATGCCATTGATATTGACCAGGGCAATTTCCACAACATTGCTCTTGGCAGTTCAGGTCATGTTGTTTGTCTTACTGGTTTTGTTTGTGCGCACAGCGGGTTTTGTTTACCACACAACGCGTTTCCACATCGTCAGGGGGTTGGATGAACAAACAGACTCTTCTCTCTCTTCCACACGCACAGCACAACTTATACCCTCTCTCGCTCACTCACTCACCCTCTCTCTCTCTCACACACAACACATATACCCATCCCTAAATACACCTATACGCCTCGAAGAAAGCTATGTATGCAAATGTCCTAGAACTAGCATGTCAGAGCCTATTTCCCACTTGCCATTACTAAAACTCTCCCCTACCGCACTCCTACTTGTAGTAACCATGGGCGTAGTGGGGCTGTGGAGCGTCTTGAAAAAGAAAAGATTCGAGCCTGGTACCGCGAAAGCAGACTACAGCAAGCCAAAGGTTGCATATCACCTGGATCTGTTCGCCTGTCTCTTCGTGCAAATTTGGTCGGCCTTTTGCACATACAAAGACACAGAGAAGGCGCATGAAGCCATCCAGCGAGCGCTACTGAGACTCTTCCCCGGTCCAAACAATATTACCATTTACCTGGATGGGCTTCAAGCCTTAGAGAAGAGGGCGACTCACCTCAAGCGTCTAAAGATTGCCGAAGATGCTTTGCTGAAAGCAAGAGAGTCCTACCCGTCCATCGAGAAACACATCGGCAACAGGCAGGACAAATGGTCATCCAAACAGAAGGAAAAGGAGTTTGTCAAGGCCTTTCAAAAGACAATGATTTTGAACTACGAGGACAGGCAGTAGTTGCAACAATTCCTAGTTTCCAAGGGTTGGAGGGTGAGGGTTTCTCCATTCGAGGCAGACGTGGATATTGCAAATTGGTGCCGCACAGGTGACATTGTTGTTTCAGGAGATAGCGACATGCTGATATATCCAATTGTGGAAACTGTCTGGAGACCCATCTCTCGGGGCCGGTTCTTGGTCTACAATCTTTTCGAAGTTGGCAAGTACTTGGAAATTGGACGCCCTGGACTCACGGTGCTCGGTATCGTGTCCAACAATGACTACAGCAAGAATATCTTCGGTCTTGGAGCCATATTGAACCTGGCAGTGATAAGGGACATTCCTTGGTCTTGTAAGGATGAATGCCACGTCTAGTTATTGGAACTGAAGTGTGACAAGTCCTTCTAATCCCGCCTCTTTTTTTTAAAAAAAAATTGTAGATGATATTCGTGATATGGTCCAGAAGTACTTGGACCATGATGATGTCGCGCGCTTAAACCAAAAAAACACGGACTTTGTTGATAGGAAGCAGACGCGATCTGACGACGTCACGCGAGGCGATAATCTTACGAGGGTTTCAAGAGCTTGCGACAATCGTTCTTGGCCCTCAAATTCAATTACCGGCAATGGCAAAAGCAGCTGCGAGAATCGAAACAAGCTCTGAAAAGGTACATACATAGCAGCTTTTATTCCTACACCACTGAATCACAATGATACCGCGTTTGTGTGCATTTGTATTAACAAGTTGTCAATGTTCTTTGATCTTGCTAAACGCCAAAAGGACTACGTATGACCATCCCATCCGCCACAAGAAGCATCAAACGTTCAACAAGTTCCGAACAGTCGAACCTTCCAAGGCACAAGCGAAGGGCAAGGCGAAGAGCATTCTGGAAAGTCTGCGGTCATTTGCTTGGAAGTCAGATAAGCCCCATCAACCCCAACAACCTCGATACCAGTACAAGACCGCGCCACAGAATCCAAACCGTGTTATTCCTAGGGAGATAGGGGCCCTTGTTTAGTTGAGCCAAAAGACGTACAGGACAGTAACCAAGGAAAAGGCGAAAGAGCAGGAAATGGAAGAAGCGAAAGAAGTTGCCAAGAACGCGGCTGTGGAGGATGAAAAAGAGACCACTGAGCAGAAAGAGGAAGCGACGTGGTCAGCCCGAGATGTTGCTAAGCGAGCTCATATGAAGCTTCATCCGTTAAGGTCTCTCCATGTCGGTTCGCTGAGACGAAACATCATACTCGCCCATGCCGCCAGTCCCCCTGCTCAAGGCGCCAGTATCACAACGAAGCCTCAAATGATAACCAACATCATATGCAGAATTGCCGATTTTTGGAACAATGGGAAGAGGGATGCGCAGTTTGCGTTGCTGGATCTTCTGTCTAAGAGTTCGAGCGATGATGATGGCAAGAATCTCAGAAAAAAGTTCATCAGCCTATTCAAGGACAAGTGCGTACGCGGGAAGGCAGCCACTACGCTGGAGGGGTTTTTGAAAACTCTTCTGTCTCGATTCTGTAGCTCCCTCGAGAAGTCGGCATTTACTGGTGTGGCCAAACTAGCACGAGAGGTGCGCGACATGTACATAGCCAAGCACGCTAAAGCTGGGCGACCCGACAGTTGGATGGCAACTTCTAATCTTCTTGCACCACTGGCCCATGAAATGGCAAAGGACTTTACCATGCTCTGGGAGTCGCAGAACGAACAAATGATCAAACAGGTAAGTCTTGCTTCCTCTTTTCTTCTTTCTTCCTCCTCTCTTCCTCCTTGAACGCTTATTAATCTACCTGCCTTGCCATTTGCATCTTCATTGCAAAGCTCAAGAAGCGCTATGGAGGCGATGGACGTTTCTTCGATGAGAGGACACTTCCCAAGGAGAGTCTTCTTGTCCGATTTCTGCACTTTCGAGAACTGGTGGATGTAGCCAAACGTCCAGTTGCAGTCCCTATCTCGCCGATCCGCCATGGTTTCATAACTATAACGAAGCGAGAGTTGTTCTACTCTATCCACGATAGCTACCGCGAGGACATTTTAGGAGCTTTAAAAATGGACTCAACCAAGAAGTACAAACTGAGCGAACTTGAGGCTACTTTTGGAAGGATGGCGCCCGGCAAGTTCCTTTGCAACCTAATATGTCCCATCAATAGGAAAAAGGGCTACTTCTCCAAGATCGAGGTCATCAAGCCTGAACCCAAAGGCCACGTGTACCAATACACAAAGCGGTACGTACTCACGGGCACGTTCCAGACGGACGGACTCCAGCTGCGGTTGCTAGCCTGCGACACGCGTGTCACAAAGGGGTACAGGCCGAGTTGAACCCAAGATGGGAACGAGTTCTCTGGATCGACAAAGGAACTCCAGGATACGTTTGGCAGGCAAGTTTTTTTTTTTTTTTGGAAGGTAGTCTCTTCAAGGACTAGAATATCAAACACTCATTCTATATTTCCCTTTGTGTAGTGATGGTAGGGATGTCTGCATTGGTGGCATTGACCTAGGCCAGGTGATCACAGCAACCGTCAGTGTTTTTATCCCTGATCCCCCTTGGCGGATGGAACACTACCTTGGCCACCGACAGGGAAGCACCGCACTCTCAATATCAAGCAAAAGGCCTTGATGCAGCCTCAGTTCAAGTACCGCAGAGCTATCGAAGGGTGCAAGACCGACGAGACCCATGATGCCGAAAATTCACTATTGCCGAGAAGTGGCATTCCTGATGAGGACGTTCGGTTGTTCTTGGACTCGATGGATAAAAACAGACCCGTGTTGAACGAGTACTACAACCAATCGTTCCGGCATCGTCGCGACACTTGGGATCTGAAAAAAGCGAGGGACGCGGAGGACCGAATCGCTATCGAGGCTATTGTCAACTTGGTGAAAGAAGACAACCAGAAGAAAGCCATTCCAGCCAACAAGGTACTGTGGGTTGTGGGTCTCGGCAAGTTCGGCACCTCGTCCGGGTTGACTTCGCTGCACGGCACATTCAGCGCGAAGTTGATTTCAGCTGTAAGAGCATTGATATAATGCTATGTTTTGTGGCCCTATTGACAGGCAAACACAATCTAATCGAGTCGCAAATTATCCTGTCCTTATAGTTCAGGACCAGGGGTCATGCGGTGGTCGGTATTAACGAATACTACACGTCGTAAAAGTGCCCGTTCAATAGCCCTGTTGATCCAAGCAGAAAATGCGACCATGGGTTTGTTAGACGGGTGAATATGCGTAGCATGTATTGTTTAGCCTGCCAGATGCCTTTCCACCGCGACAGCATGGCTGCACAAAACATGGTGCGAGCTGCTCAGTATAGGCTTTTCAAGGGTATACGACCTGCTGAACTTCAGCCTTTGGACTCCAACGGCCAGCCGATATGGTCCTAGCGACTCAATAATCAGCAAAACTATGCGGGTTTAAACTTTGCTAACAAATTTTCCGGATGCTTGTAAGTGAACTGTTTTTATATGATGTATCGGTATTAAGCTAATCATGCATTTTTATTTATTTTATTTGGGGAACAAAAGGACACCCGCTTTAGAATAGTCAAAATTGAAGACAGTGGGCTGTATTCTCATCAACATCGCATCTCGACCAGCTCATGACAATCAACAAAAAACAGGCACAGCTACTAAGGCATTCCGTTGGCCAAGCCCGGCCGTCCTATCATCAGGCTGCATCGTCCATAGCATCACCAGTTCCCTACAGTCGCTCCCCACATAAGGCAGCGACTGTGCCCCTGAGCATCTTTCGCCCTGTGGAACTCGTCTCCGAGTTGCTAACCAACCATGCCCATATCTGGAAGCTGGCTGGACTCTTGTTTTTAGGAGAGTTCCTACTTAACGTTGTCATTATCAAGAAGGTCCCCTGTATGTCCTATGTACCCTGTGTTGGATATTTTGGATCTCTTCCCAGCTAAAATCTTTTCAAAGGCTGACAAACATTCGTTCGCTCCTTCAGATACCGAGATTGACTGGACCGCATACATGCAGCAAGTTGCGGCTTATCTCAAGGGTGAAACGGACTACATGAAGCTGCGAGGCGACACAGGACCATTGGTATACCCCGCAGGATTCGTCTACATCTTCTCTATACTGTATCATCTCACGGATTTTGGCAAGAACATTCTCAAGGGCCAATGGATCTTCATGGGGATTTATCTGCTCACTCTCTTGATCGTGTTTGCGATTTACGCCAAGGATAAAACTGTATGTCTACATGAGCAAAAGAATACTTTCTTGCAAGAAAAACTAAACATATACTAATGCTTTCATATGTTGATATTCTTGTTCTCAATCAGATTCCGCCCTATGTTCTGATATTCGTGTGCTTGTCAAGACGATTGCATTCGATCTACGTTCTTCGGTTGTTCAATGACCCGGTGGCGATGCTGTTCCTTTACGCGTCAGTGCTTTCGTTTCTTTACAAGAAATGGACTCTTAGCAGCGCACTATTCAGTCTTGCTATCTCAATCAAAATGAACATCCTACTGTTCTTTCCAGCTTTCGGGTTCTTGATTTGGGAGACCCAGGGAGTGCTGGGAACCATTATCCAGTTGACAACCATGATCCTTATTCAGGTATGCCTGTGCAATACATCTGATGAAGAAAGAGAGGGGGGGTTGTGCAAAGTCATATATCCTAACTATCATTCTCTCTTCTCTCATATGGACTGAATGTGATCAAAAGGTACTGTTGTCGCTACCCTTTACGCTTCATCATCCCGAGAGCTACCTGCGCAAGGCCTTCGAGTTCTCTCGCGTTTTTCAGTACAAATGGACAGTCAATTGGAAGCTCTTTGACGAAAAGACGTTTTTGAGTGAGGAATTAGCTAAATTTCTGCTCGTCGGCCATTTGCTTGTGCTCTTCGCCTTTGTGTTCTTCCGTTGGAGCAGGTATGCTTTTGCGATCTCAGACAAAGCTCGATACTTAACACTTGGCACCTAGCATTATCTCATCAATATGTCTCTTTCCATCTTTCTATGTACTAAGGCCAGAAGGCGGGATAGTTCCGGTGGTGTTACGAGGATTGACAGCTTCGAAAACTGCCCTCTCGATTCACGCACAGCATATGAAGGCGAGCCATGTGCTGACATTACTATTTACCAGCAACTTTATCGGTATCATCTTTGCACGGTCACTGCATTACCAGTTTTATGCGTGGTACTATATGACACTGCCTTATCTCCTATGGCGGACGCAGCTACCGGTCGTTGTGCGTTTGCTTTTGTTGGCAGCGATTGAGTGGTCATGGAATGTATTTCCGGCGACAGTTCAGAGTTCCGGAGTTCTCATTGCGAGCCATGTTCTGATTCTGACGGGACTTTGGGTCGGAAGGAGAGGCAAGTGAAGGTTACATTTATCACAACGCTGTGTACGGAGGGTTTAATATACTGTATATCAATCATAGTCCTATCCTCAACCTTATTTGCTTAATGTCAAGACTAAACTGGCGCGCGTGAATACGTGCAACAGGGTACGAAGTTGCTCGCCATGCTTTGCTTTATTATTTCGACAGCATGGGAAGGGACGCCATGGGAATCCCTCAGTGTCGAGGCCAAGCATAGGATCTTGAGAAAGGCTCTTTGGTGCCAGGAGTTTCCATGAATGATAGGAGAATGACGACTCCAATGATCAGCCAGAACAGAAAGAATCTGTGGCTAGTTCCCGCCCTTGCCACCTCCGAGATGTTGGTCTGAGCATCTTTCACAAATACTACTTGTTCGTTTGAAGCGGCAAAAGCACCAGAGCACCGTGGCTTTCGCTCTTGCTCGTGTTGTCTGTTCCATTCCCAGATACGAGACCTAGTCAGTTCGATATGGAGCTGGTCCTGGACTGCCTTCAGTTGCCGGTATCTGGCTCTGAGGTCTGCCACCGCGTAGTCTTCGTCTGTGTCGTCGACCGCGCTTCTGATGAAGCTATTAGTGGAGGGAGCATTGGAGCTCCGCGGTGAGGGTTTGCAGCTGCCGAATTTGAGAAGAGGGAGAAGGCTGGAGGCGTAGGCTGCGGGCGGGTTTGATGGATGAGAATTATAAAGCTCCTGGAAGAAGCGCTCGATATCTTGGAGCTCTTTGTTCACGGAGTCGAGGTACTGTGTCTCCATTTTGGATGCTGGATGTCTGGGCGTCTGGGCGATAAGAAAGGCAGGCAAGAGTAATAATATCTCATGCTTGGCGCACTGGCCTGACCGCCAATGCCATGTGACACAAGAGTGCGAAAAGCCACATTTGCTGACCTAAAAGAACGTAGACAGACTCTGCATGCATGCACCATCAGCGGCAGGACACCATTTGCAGATGCCACCGGACCCAGAGGAGACGCCATGCAGGGATGTGGAGGAGTATCTCAGCGACGAAAGTGAGAACGACGATGTGATCGACAATGATCTTGAGCTCTTGCGTCTTTTACGCAGTCAGAACGTATCTCTGGAAGATCTCGTGCCAACCCAGCCCACCAAATCAGCGCGTGTCTCTAGCCAAGCAGACGACATCCATAGCAGCAAGGATACCAATATTTCTCCTGTACGTTGGGATTCTACTGGTACAGGTGCAGAACAGCAGAGTAGATCTGGATTAACGCTCACGGCCTTGCAGGGGCCGACGAATTTGTCTTCTAACAATACGACTGCAACGTTCGTGGACACAACTCCTTCTCAAAGCAGGCTACAAGACATATTAAAGGACAATACGTTGCAGGATAGTGCCCAGCAAAATGACACCGGTATCAATTCTATGGACTTGAGGACGGAGGACGATGCCATCGATACACCCTACATCACCACGGAGGAGAGAGCTTCATTAACGAAAATGATTCGAGACCAGGCGGCCAAGGCTCTAACAATTAATAGGAAATATCAGAAAGCAGCGTTGCAGCAGCTCCAGGAGGTAGAAAAAGCGTATGCCAGGAACAAGGCGCTCGGGGTAAGGACGATAGATCCATGTCAAACATATTCTGCTTCTCGTGTTACGGGTACGACTATCGTGTACTAATCCAAACATTGCAATCCAGGCTCAACTACAAGCCCTGAACGACAGACAGGAGGCGGTAGAGCGCGCTCCACTCATTCTTTCCACAACTAAGGCTCGGCTTGGCCCCCCGTATTTCGTGGATAGAGATGGCAAGGTACAATATAGCTTCTTTTGTTTTTATGTTTGTATATGCAAGAGAAGTAGGCTCTCCCCACAATGCAAGTGTACTAAAGACTTGGCAACTGGCGCCGTTTTTTTGTAGACACCTCCTGATAATGAAGACACAATCAGGCGAAAGAAGCGCCCTCTGATTGTCACCGGAAAGATGAGGAGGTGGACGGATCAAGAACGGGAGAGCCTCAAGGCTGGCGTCATATCTGAGAACAAGCGGATTCTTTTCAATGAGTTCACGAAAGCTGGTAACGAGGCTGGCATTCGGTCTCTGCAAACGGCTGCGGATATTCAAATGATGCTCAACACGCAGGGACTGAACTGGTCTCGGATCTCTCAACGATTTGTAAGGGTTACATGTTTGACTGAATGGTTGCTCAGACGGTGTAATGCTTCGTTTTTCTAACTGTAAACCACAATATCTTTCTCCTGATTCTACATTTGGGTCAGGTCGATACACGGACAGCCTCAGAGTGCCTCATTCAGTGGGCAGGAAACGACCATCCTGGTATTAACAAGGCAGAATGGTCGAGCGATGAGTTTGCAAAGCTGGAGGATCTAGTCAAGAAACACCAAGGGCACAATTGGGTCCAGATCGCGCTAGATCTTCGCACGGACCGGACAGGCGCGCAGTGCTTCAGGCAGTATCAAACCAAAAAGATGACGAAGCAAATATCCAAAGAGTAAGCTACGCATTTACGCTTATTTCTTATAATTGGCACTAGCATCCGACACGATGTGCCTAACAATCCAACTTTTCGGTTAACATCCTCTTGGTCATATGTATTGATAGGCCCTGGACTGAGGAGGAGGATGGGGTCTTAAAGGAGGCAGTGGAAATGTTGGGCGAGAGGAGCTGGCAGCAAGTCTCTTATTGTTTTGATAACCGATCGCCCGCTCAGTGCATGGAGCGCTGGAAAAAGAGCTTGAACCCGTCGATTCGCCGTGGTCGCTGGCTGGAGGAGGAGGATGGGGCCCTTAGAGCTGCACTGAAGGTGTATGGTGAAGGACGCTGGACCAAGGTTGCGCAGCATGTTCTTGGAAGGACAGATATTCAATGTCGAGAACGATATTTGAACGTGCTTTCACCAAATCTCAAAATGGGGCCCTGGACAGCCGAAGAAACTGAACTCCTGGCGAACCTTGTCAAGGAACATGGAGACAAGAAGTGGGCCTTAATATCATCTCACATAGAGGGTCGAACCGACAACCAATGCTCACGACGTTGGAAGCACTTGTGCGGCGCAGAGGAGAGGAAGACGCGCCATAAGGCACAGGAAGAGCGAAGAGCCAGGGAAAGGGAGGAGCGGCGGCGGCGATGGCAGGAGCGAATAGCAGCGGAAAAGAAGGCTATGAAGCAATCGCGACTCGCCACCAATTCTCAGATAAAGCAAGCGATTCCTACCGGCACCTCAAATCCAGAGCAGCATAGTGGAGAAATCCAAAGCCAGAAACAACAGGAACTGCAGCGGAGGAAGCGCGAAAAGCAGAGGAGTCGCATCAAGAGTAATCAGCAGAAGGAGTTGCGTCGCAATTACGAAACCTTTACGGATAGGCAGCGGCATATCTACGACCGATGGCATGAACTATGGGGGCAGTATGTGGATCCTATTGAGAAGGTCTTTAATCTCGGCATCCCTCCAAAACCTAAAGACAAGGACGAGAAAACGCAAGGCAATTCGTCGCCACTGAACATGGAGGTCCCTGAGCCGGCTTCTACTCTGCGACCTGGAAGGGTTCAGCCAACCCCCCCTTGCTTCGCAACCATGCTCGCCTTTTCCAAGAATCTCGAACAAGGAAATTACTCAGGCGGACGCTTTCGATTGAGACATGTTATCGAGAACACACGTGTGATTTCGCGTCCGCCAGCAACAGCGCCTTTATCCGTTGAAGAACAAAAGCGACCAGAGTACGTAGAGCTGGCGGAGCGGTTCGAGTCCGTGTTCATGTGGCCGATGATGCTGGGCATGCTGCATATGGGGATTGCACAAAGGTTGGCCAAACCTCCGCCGCCAACGACACAGCCTTCCACATCTGTGCCGCCTGCACCATCCTCACCCACTCCGCGATCTCAGTCTCGTCTAGAGACACGACATCCGCATGCCAAACAGTCAGCGTTAGGGCTAGGGTCGAAGGCGGGAGGTTTATCGCAGCATGGCTCGGCAATGATTGATATGGAAATATCGTCAGAGAACACTTCTTCAGAAGATGCCTCCTCAGAAGATCTTTCAGATGACCTTTCTACAGATGACCCTACTTCGGAGGATTATTCTTCAGACGACTCAGCCACAGGAGACATGACTTCAAGAAGGTTGCGTCCGAATGACCTGGCTGTGGAAGACCTGAGTTCCGATAATTCAAGTTCGGATGATCTGAGTTCAAGGGACTTGAGTTTAGACCTTTTTTCCGAGGAATCCACTTCGGAGGACGATTGGATACCAACTTCAAAGCGAAGGCGAGTGTCCACATCATCACACTGAAATCAGCTGTAGCACCAGCCGCGCAATGACAATAGCTAAAGCAATAGATAAAAACAGTAAGACCGATGGTCTCATGGGACACTTCGGATGCATTGCATTTGTTACTTAACAATAAAGCGCAGTCTATCCTGTCATATGGTGCAATGCCGCTGCATGCGTGTTTATTCATCTCTGGTATTCCTGCATTGTTCCTTTGCAATTGGTGCTTAAAGGTCCACCACTGTCTTCCACAAGCAATCGTTGAGATAGTGAACAGTTTCCACTCCAATGTTCTTGTTGATGCGTTTGCTATTGCCAGATCAAATCGAACATGATGTTAGTTCTCAGAATATAGAGATGTGACTCTCAAGACAGAAGAATGAAAAAAATAAAAAAATAGCGCTTACATATCCTCAGTTGACATTTTCGTGGTTCCTACAGCCAGGATCTCATTCTTGCCTTCGGCTGTAATCGCAACAACAGCATCGGCGGGCACGGAAACATCCATCCTTGCGCCCTTTGAGGTCAGTCCTGGACACATAATGTTAGCACCCGCCATGACAAACTTAATAGCACCACGATCCACTTGCAACCTTGGCAACATGTTAGGATCTAGAAGGAAGATTGTGCAAGACGTTTGTTTAGCTAATGAACCCGGCAAACTAATATGCAAGGACTACCTGTTAGACTCACTGAAACAGATCATTTTTCCTTCAATTGCTTACATTTGTGGAGCAGCTTGAGGGTAGGATAGTACGGTCCGTCAAAGTGATTGAAGAAAAGAACTTCGTTGTTCATGACGATGAGGTTGATGTGCTCGTGACTACCGGCAATTGCAAGCAGAATATAGACAAATGGTTAATTTTACAGCACATCTCACTATAGATAAACGCATTTCAGAGGCAAGTGCGTGGTAGAGAGCGTCCGCCATACCACTTCATCAGGATCAAGTGTGACTTTTTGGGCATCACATCGTCAATGATACCCTCGATCCCGTCCTTGTACTGCTCCAGGATTTTCGCGCGGATCGCGCGTTGGACTGAGGACTTGACCTGGGTGTGACCTGTAACGTCTTCCTTGATGTTAAATCTGTTTTGAAAAACGAGGTTGAATATTGTCGATGTTTTAGTCCTTGACTGCGACGTCCAAGAAAGAGCTTCACTTCAATAAAGCATTTTCTTGCATGCGAATCCATTCTTGTTCAAGATTGAAAGTGAAGCAGAAAGCCAGTGTTTGCCGAGTCGTTCCCAAGCGTTGCTATGTTTCCATACTTTTTAAACATGCTGCCTTCGTAACGGGCTGTCGTCGTCGTCGTTGGTCAAGGGTGTGAATGGTGCACATTGTAGAGATTCAGCAAAGTTGTGTTATTAAAGAAAGCTTATCAGGTGACCGATTCCATCTCCAAGTGAAAGTTTGGGCGACAGTCTCACGCTTCATCTGTTTCTTCAAAACGGTAGCAGTGGAGCTCAGCATCCTCTCACCTCATCCCTTCCTTCCTCATCTCACAAGACACCCTCCCCCCATTGTGAGTGGCAACCCGTGGACCACGCTTTGACACGATGGTTAAATCCACTTTGAGCCGCTTCAAGAATTTTGACGCCTATGCCAAAACACTCGATGACTTTCGAGTCAAGACCTCGACTGGTGCCGCAGGTACACGCACCGCTTTTTATCCCACTCTCGGCTATTAGCACACAGCTGTGGTGCCCTGTAGCCTGATGCTCTAATCCAATATTCCTTCTAGTACTCACATCCATTCAAATCCCTGTCTAACTCCTCCAGTGACCCTTGCGAGTGCACTTATTATTCTGATTTTGCTACTGGGCGAGTTCTTCGACTACCGGTCTATCCACCTCGAGTCATCCTTGATTGTCGACAGCGGACGCAAGGAGAAGATGTCCATCGACTTTGATATCACTTTCCCTAAGATCCCCTGCTACAGTGAGTGCTGTTCCGATTGTGCCGTCCGTTGTTCTACATAAATTGAGCACCACTGTCTGTGCGTTGGGCTGATATGGTTGGTTGATTTTCCTGAACTTAGTCTTGACGCTGGACGTTATGGACGTTGCGGGGGAGCACCAAAGCGACATTACCCATTCGGTGTACAAAGTGCAGCTGGCGCCTGATGGTACAGAAATTAAACGCGAGCGGTCGCCCAGTAAGTCGTTGGGATATTATAAAGATCGTATACCGGGATGAATAACGTCAGCGCAATGCTTCGGGTGACTTACAACAATCACGACCTCATCTGATCGTTTAGACCTGGGAAACACTGGACCAGATCCTAAGGAGGTCGGTGAGAACTACTGTGGCGCATGTGGTGGCGCATCACCCCCAGAGAGCGGATGCTGTAACACTTGCGAGGAAGTCAGGCAGGCCTACGTTCGATCAGGATGGTCATTCAACCACCCTGAAGGCATTGAGCAGGTACTGATCCCGAAGTTGCTGCCTTTGTAGGCAATGAGCAATATCCAAGATCAACGTTATTTTTTTATCACAACTGACTCATATGCATTTCATGGCTATTCCTGTGTCTATACGACTTTAGTGCGTTCGCGAAGGATACATGGAAAAGATGAAGGAGCAGGAGAATCAAGGATGCCGAATGCATGGCCAGCTCACTGTCAATAAGGTGGCAGGAAACTTCCATATTGCTCCTGGCCGCTCCTTTCAGCGCGCCACCATGCACGTACATGACATCCAGCAGTATCTCGAACACGGCCTCGACTTTTCTCATCACATCAAGCACCTGAGCTTTGGAGAGCTGGTGCCCAACGTGCACAACCCCTTAGATGATCAGACTGTGAACAACGCAGAAGGATTATTCATGTTCCAGTATTACATCAAGGTCGTCGGTACCACATATCAGTACTTGAACAAGCGTCCTGTTAAAACCAATCAGTACTCTGTCACACAGTTCAACAGGAACCTGCATTACAAGGATGCACTCGGCCAGGTTCACCAACCAAACGGACTGCCTGGTAAGGGTCGATTGATTGACGGTTTTAACGAAGCGGATTTCAAAACGCGTTTAGGATGAAGCCCCTTTACTGACCTTCAGTCTCTGATTTTGCATCTAGGCGTGTTCTTCAACTTTGACATCTCACCCATGATGGTGGTGCAGAAGGAGGAGCGTAAATCGTTCACGTCGTTCCTAACTGGTGTGTGTGCAATTGTCGGAGGCATCTTTACGGTGGCCAGTATCATTGATGGAGCAATCTGGCGGGCTGAGAGGTCATTGAAGCGAAAGATGGAGCTTGGTAAAGCGCTCTAGATATGACATGAAAAGTTAGGAAAATATAAAGCTTTCAGACACACCCTACACACGCATGCAGCGTGTTTCTGATTCATTTCGTTTTGTGCAACACACAAGTTACTAAAGCGGACTTCAATGTGCATTTGCGAACGATGACAGCGCACGACTGGCTATCTTTTCCTTTCCTCTTTTGTGTTTCTCCATCCTCAACTGCTTCGTCATTCTCATTCAGCCATTCATTCTGGTGTACAACAACACTCCACACTTTCTCATTCCCCATCAACTGTCTTGCCCACAAAAGTCATAGGATCGCAAGTGAACCCATTCTGAACCCATTCAAATTCTTGTGCGTTTGAAGACACAGCACATGGGCTTGAGCGCCTCCAAAAACTCGTCTGAGGGACGCAGGCTGTCCCACTCCTCGGACACGCGCAACGAGGGGCAACCACTGCTTGCGACTTACCATGGCCATGCCCAGGGCGGAGCCCCGCGGTCATTCCCAACTGCACCTGTAACTCCTCTTTTGAAGGAGGCTCGATATGGTATCTCTTCTTTTTTTATTCTTTTTTTAGTTGTATTTTCTGCACCCTGCATACAACAAGTTCAATGGCAATATGTAGGGCTTTGGATACTGGGCGTTAAACGCAAACCATTCTTCCTTTATGGCATATCTCATACATGCGAAACCTATTAGCGATCATCAATGCCCTTGATACATCGCTTACTCGCGATGAACTGGGGTCTCCAGAAATCTATTTGACATTGCTACTACCGATAGTCAGGAAGTATCGGGAGGAAAGGAGAGAGACTGCGGCGGTGTACTGTTTTCTCCTGAATCGGTGGCAGTTCCTCAAGGATGCCGAAAGTGATCTGGCCAATGCACGTTTAAGCGAGACTAGGTGGGCTATGGCACTATGACGTGCCAAGGATGAATAGATTTTATTGCATAACTATTTTTTTAACCGCTCTTTTGTACTATGTTGTCGTAGAGCACACGCATGCGAGATTGTCGCAACAAAGTATATTCGTGTTTTCGAACAAGTCCATGAAAAAGCGAATCCTAAATCGGCCTATTGACCCATTGCGCTAACATGCCCTATCTATCCTCTTGTGCCTGTAATAGGGTGCTAAAGGCATTTTCGATGCGTCAACTGATCGACGTGCTGACTTACGACTTTTCGCCGATGAGAAGTACGCTTACTATTCGTCCAAAATGAGTCCATGAATTAGGCTTCCAGAAACTGGCCGTGGTCCGAGCCCCTGAATGAAAAACGATGCACTTTATGCTTACTTCAAGCAAACCCGTTTTTATATAACATGCTGAACAGGAAAGGAATCAAGGCTGTATTTGCCGCACTTTGAGGGTGATCCGTCTACAGAACCGATGAGTGCGTTGGAAGTCGCAATATCCGCAAGGGCGAAGCGCTTTCTCTCGAATCCGCTTGTGCAGGAAATCATTAGTAAGGACCATGCGACTGGATCATGTCGAGTATACATATAGTGGATGCGCATACATGTACCACGATTGGCAGGCAGATCTCACCACGATCATTGTCATTTACCATAGACCAAATCTGGCTGGGAGAGATTGTATTTTTCTCGAATGCGATCGATAACCCGCAATCATGCCTCAATGCCTCACAGCAGGAGATACGTACTGTTACAGTATACGACAGCCGGGACATCAAGTTCCTGAGACTTTCAAGGCTTCGCGTTCCGAGATACAAAACTACATTCCAAATGGCCTCTTTCTCGGCCTTCATCTTTGTCTATACCTTGGTCACATTTGCAAAAGAGACAGAGTTCACTGTGATGGAACTGGTATGTTTCAATACTTATCTTATGCAAACGCTGGCTTGTCGAGCTGTTTTTATTTTCCTTTTGTACTTAACGATGAATATCTTGGCTCCTGGACTAGATCATGGACATATTCGCATTATCATTCACATTGGATGAATTCTTTCAACTCAAAGACTCGGGACCCTCGTTTTATTTTGAGACCGTCTGGAACTTGTTCGACGTGCCGATCTATATCATCTTTCTTGTGTTTATGAGCCTTCGCATCAGCACCTTTTTCACTGGGTCCATCGAAATGTCAAATTTTGCCTACGACTTTTTGGCATGTAACGCTATTTTGCTTTGGCCACGACTCTTTGCGGCGCTTGGTATGACGGACTTGAAGAATTGGTCGAAGATACGCTTAGGAATTGCTATCCAGCATCATTGTAGGCATCTACTGACTCTCCATACCCTATTTAGATCACTATCGATTCTTCGGTACAATGTTAGTTGTACTCAGGCAAATGTTGATAGACTCGATGCTCTTCCTTGCGCTCTCGTTCATCTTTTACGTCGGATTCTTGCAAGCATTCTATGTAAGTCGTGTGTACCAAATATGTTACGTATGGTGATTTACTGTTCGCAATAATCCTATTAGAAACTAAGCAAGGTTTCGCTTGTATGAATAGGGCCTCCACGATAACAAAAAGTCGTACGGGGAGATCGCGTGGTTGCTCTTGCAAGTATTTTTCGGTTCCGCTTTTCTGGGGTTTGAGGAGGCAGCAGAGCTATCAGAACTGTTCGGTGCCCCACTGATGGTTCTCTTTGTGGCTATCTCGGTCCTCATGCTGTATACTCTGCTTATCTCTATTTTTTCGCAAACTTTTTCCGAGGTATGCAGCATAGTGTGTCTAGTCATGAACGCTCATGGATATTGATGGAATGCATCTACACAGGTAAATGGCTGTCACGGTCTAACCGCATTGTGGTTATAACTCATTAGGTGAGCGCAAACGCCAAGGAAGAGTTCATGTTTTTGTTCTCTGTCAAGGTCATGGAGGAGGTCAAGTCGGATGCACTCTACGAATTCCAACCGCCTTTCAACATTTTGGCAGGTATCGCTGTATGGCCTTGTAGCCTCATCTATCCCCCCGAAACCGTTGGAAAAGTTAGCCGTGTGCTCCTGCGAGTGTTTTACTTTCCAGAGCTGGTTTTCATCTGGCTGTTCGAAACGTTGGCTCTGCGGAAAAAACCTCAATACATGCCCGTGCAGCCAGGCATGGTTAACCATCAGGGCATATATGGCACCATGCCATACGCATCTGTCGCAGGAAGTGTTGACGGTGGTGGTGTGGCCAAGCGGAGACAGGAAGAGACTGACAGCAGCAATAATAATAACAACAACAACAACAACAACAACATCAAGGCATCGACTGTGGAAGCTACACGCGAAGACGCATTGTCTCCGATGGAGCTGGAGGGCCTTGCAACGGACCCCTTCCAGTCCGCTGGCGGTCGGGCTCCTGCATCGAGCTCCTTGTCCCAGCAGCTTAATCAGATCAATACTGGCGGACTCTCGTCAACCAATACGCATGAGGTGCTCTCGCCATACTTTGAAAACATCCGCCGGTTTAGGGACTCGAGTAATGCCAACTCGGCTTCTGCAGCAACACCATCGCTCAGGGATGATATCGAGGGTCATCAGGAACGCACACAGTATTCATACTATCCCTCGGCGCCTATTGGGATGGGCATTGGGATTTCAAGGCAGGGCAGCATGAACCGTGGTCGCGTGCGTCATGGGACCGAGGCCACATTGGCAGGCACATTCCAGGGTATCTGGCCCTCGTATCATGACTCGATGACCGGTGGGGTCGGTGATTTCGCAGGCGGCGGTGATGCTTCAGCGACGATCGGAGGCAACTGTATGGGAGATACCTACTATCAACATCATTTTCAGCTGCAAGAGCAACTTCTGCAGCAGCACCAGCATTGGTGTATGGATGCAGAGCAAAAACGACAAGAGGATGGACAAGAGCTTACACGATTAATGGAATCACGGTACGCAGAGATGCGGATACGGATGGAACAGATCGAATCGAAGCTGGATCGACTGATGGACGTGATTGCAGCGGGCCATAGGGATACGCAGTGAAGCTACTTTCTTGCGCCATTGTCTTTTTTTCTGAAGCATCAGTCGCTTTACCTTGGCATATGACCTTCGCTGCATGCACTCGCGGATAGCTAGCAATACTCCTAGGCGAATAAAGAATACTTCGAGTGGAAAGACAAGTGGATTGAGCATCCCAAAGTGGTTTTCTGTCCCATATTGATCGACACGGATCCAGGAAGCGCGTATAAATACGTGTTGGACTCTACAGTAAAAGCATTCCTCAGCTCCGACAACATCTCTCTACGCAAACCAAAGCACTACTTCCTCAAACACTCAAAGCAACCACTCTCAACAACCATGCGTTCCCTCGCTTTACTCAGCCTCGTGGCCCTCCTCCTTGGCCTCGTTTCGGCCAACCCACTTCAAACAGAAGCTGCGACCGCTGTGACGACCGCTGTGACGACCGCCGTGACGACCGAGGCCGACAAGTATTCCTATGGCGGTGGTCGCGGCGGCTACGGTGACCACGGCGGTTATTCTCACGGCCGCAGCATGAAGCGCGATGACTACTCTGTGGACGATGCAGATGACACGGATAACGACCTGTACCACGGCGGTGGCGGCGGTTATGGTGGTGGCGGTTATGGCGGTCATGGCCATGGTGGTCGTTACAACAAACGTGATGAGATCGCGACCAGTGATGTCGAGGACGCTCGCGTGTTGTACCGCTATCGAGGTGGCTACGGCGGATATGGCGGTAGCTATGGTGGCGGCTACGGCGGCGGGTATGGGGGGTATGGCAGGTATGGCAGGTATGGCGGGTATGGCAGGTATGGTCGTGGGGGCCGCTGATAGATACCCTGATCCCCTGAATGGCCATTGTCACGGTGCCAGGATATGACTACTCTGTAGGTCCATTGAATGCGCCTTTTTTTCGTTTTCATGGGCGGCAAATAAACAGCAAGCAATAAAAAAAAAAAAAAGGCGAGCCAGCAGAACAATTGACGCGCTGTTCTTGGACCATCTAGGCTGTGGTGGAATGGTGGAATTGAAGGTTGGGGTGGCGTTTGCGGAGTGAGAAGTAGTAGTGATTTTACGGCATATAAAAAAGCCGTTTTCTTCAGGTTTCATCCCGGTGTAAGCTAGCACTTGTCCACAGGGCATCACCGCGCATGGATGACGCTGCATGCTAATCGTTTTAAAGGAAGTACGTTAGTTCAGCTTCCATCCCGAGAGGGAATAAATGGTCATTGCTTACAACACAACGGCTGCCCCCAAAGCGAGGAGCAAACAGCCTTAACAGTCTCCTTTCATCACGCATGGGATGTTTATCATGTTTCGTTGCTACGGCGCGCACAAAGACACAGCTTTGAGTTTTATTTCTGGCACAGGCTTCATTAAGCTAGCGTAGCATTCTTCGCAATAATCCAAAAGTCGTCCCAAGGGTAGCCGGGACTGACACTCCAAGGAGAGTAGTGATGTTGATGGGAACGACGGAGCGTGCCGGTTTGAGCGATTTCTGTCTCAGGCTTTGTACAGTTCATGTTAGCTGATACCGGTTGGTATGGGTTGGAATGGGAAGACAAAAATGTTTCCCCGTTCCTGTGTCACCCACCACACACTTGGAAAAGCAGACTTTATTATTATTATTATTATATTTTACAATGGTGGGATACACAATTGCCTAGGTATGAAGTGGCCCCTCACGCTGGCATCCTCCAGGAAGCAAGAACTTGAATCTCTGTCGGTTCTCGAGCACATATCGAGGCAACCCCACAGCCGATGTTGATTTGGGGATGGAACCCAGTCGGGTAAAGAGCTCCTTGAAGGAGTACGCCTCAGGAAACATGCCAAACAGATCCTTGCCTTCGCAGATTGCCTGCTGAATCCATGTGGGCTCCTTCAGATAGCTGTACCGGACCCTGTCCGAGTGAGAGTACGCTTCCATTTTGAATTGGAATTCTTTGATGGTGCGGAAGCAGAAGGAACAATGCCAACCTAATGAAATGAAGTTGAAAAGACAAAAGTTGGTCGGGTCAGTGTCGGCCAATGGGTCTAACGTTTCAAAAAAGGGGGGACAGGACAGGCTAGGAGTACGGCGTGAACTAAATTAAAAATAAGCACAAACAGATGAAGATACGATTAGTTTCGACTTTACCTGCATCGGTGAGGAGAAACTTGGATGTTTGTTGGTGGGTATAATAAGAGATGTCAGGCACCCACTTGTGGATGCTCGTCCGCCACATGCCCTCGTCTCCAAGAGGGAACTCGTAGCTGTACAGGTAGTTCCTGGTTTGCAGATGGAGCGACTGAGGCACCCCTTCGCACGCCTTAAGCAGCTCAATAGTGTGTCGACTGATGATCTCGTCCACGTCTGAAAAGGTTACCAGATCTCCCTGCTGCACACCGACCTCGAGCAAGAAGGTTGTCATCCCGTTCCTGGTCCTGCCCTCGTTGACCCAAGGCGACTCTCCCTTCTCAAGCGGGTAGAGCGGCAAGAACTTGTACATGATCTTGGATTCTGCAAATGCGAAACGCTCCCTGTTCATTTGGAAGACCCGCTCCTTGGGCAGGCCCGTGAAGGTCGCATTGGACTCGAGGATCACAAACTTGTCGACAACGTCCCACAGCTCCCGCATCCGGATCTCAAGCATGTCCAGTTCCACGCTGAAGATGATGGCGTCGTAGACCTTGTTCTGGTTGGTGGAGATATCTTGCGCAGGCAGGGTCCATCCATGAGCTTCACAGCGCTCCTTCATGGACATGCCTTCGGCGTAATTGTGGACGATGGTCTGGTCAAAATCCCATTGGGGTTTGTCCCAGAGCGGGCGCGACAGATAGCCGATATCGATGAAGAGATAGGGGAAGACGTTGAAGGTGATGAAGATGAGGAAGACTGCGGAACTAAGCAGGATAAGCAGGTGGGATCGACGGCGGAAGATACGGGCGGCCATGATGGTGATGGGCTGTTTATCTGGGAGGGATAGCGGAAGGAAGCTAAGGCAGGAGGGACATGAATGTACAGGGGCAGCAGCAAAAGAGTCCAGCACAAGAGCGTGCTTTCGTGCGAAGGAGGGGAAGGGAGCGGGGAAGGGAGAGGGGGAAGAAGAGGAGAAAGGGAGAAAGGGACGAAGGAAAGAAGGAAAAGAAGACAGGAAGGCGGGGTGAGGGGGGAAGGAAGGATGGATTGTCGGTTCTTGAAGGCGGTCAGGAACCCTAAAAGAGATAAAAAAAAATAAAAAAAAAAGGAAGCGAAGGAAAACTGTTAAATTCGTGCGGCTGCGATTGGCCGCCTCTCCTCAGGCACACATACTTCGCTTGCGTGCACGACAAGAGGGACACAGGGGGCAGTACCGTGTACTGTGTACTGCGAAGGCCGATGGCCAATAGGAAGCAGCGGACGGAGTTCCAGTGATCTTTGGAATCGAGTGGCTTTTTTTTCTCTTCCAGAGGGTAAGCAAGACTCCAAGCTTGCCACCAAACAAGAAAAGGTCGCAAATAGGAAAGGGATCATTCTCAACAACCTCTAAATCACATCTCACAGAATGAAGGAGCTCGAGCCATCAACAAACGAACGCGAGTTTCTCTTGGCAGCACTCAGACAGAGCGCACGCATCGATGGCCGCAACTTTTATGACTTCAGGACACTGCGACTCTCCTTCGGCGCAGACTATGGCGCTGTCGAGGTGCAGCTGGGTAACACCAGGTCAGTGGACCCTTGTCAACTTGGATCTACACTGAAGGCAATTGCTCCATCATATTTGCGCTCTATCCTACACCGCCGCTCAAACCTCAGTCATGGATCCCAGGCGACTAATGGGAACGATTTTTTTTATTGTGCAGGGTTATGGCAAAAGTGTCCTGTGAGGTGATCAGGCCATTCCAGGATAAGCCCACAGAGGGCTTTCTTATGTTCAACACAGAGCTCTCGCCCATGGCATCATCTGCGTTTGAGATCGGAAGGTAACCGTCGTGATGTTGGTCTACAAAAACGAATCAGAGAGTCGTCGATCCGTGTTGCCGCATGCACGCTAAAACCGACCGATTTTTTACGATCGTCCATCCCGCTTTGTAGACAAACGGACGAAGAAGTCCTTGTGAGTCGGCTAATCGAAAAGGCGATGAGGAGAAGCAGAGCTCTGGACACAGAAGGACTCTGCATTGTTGCAGGAGAGAAGGTATCGCCACGATCAAAGTTAGGCAATTCGTTTTTATCGGCGCACAATTCTGGCAAAACGAAATTAACATCGCTTACATTGATAGGTTTGGTCCATTCGCGTCGATATTCACTTCTTGGATCACGACGGAAACTTGGTCGATGCTGCCTGTATTGCAGCAATCACTGCATTGCTTCACTTCAGGAGGCCTGATGTAACAGTAGTCGGCGAGGAAGTTACTATTGTAAGCAGACTTGCATCTTTCCAGGAATCATGGACACCCTTATCTATCGTATTAGAGCTAATGACTCGGCGTCCGGCATTGCATCCACCTTCGTAGCACACTCTGGAGCAACGGAACCCTGTTCCCCTGAGCGTTCACCATATTCCGATCTGTATCACATTCGCATTCTTCGACAACGGGTAAGCATCCATCAACCAATGATTCGCTGTTGCAGCAGCAGATCGTAATTGATTAGGTTCCCTTTGAGTCGCCAACTTACACTCTTTTTGCTTGTGGACCTTACAGTGAACGTGTGATTGTGGATCCCACACATCTGGAGGAGCAGATCAAGGAGGGCGACATGACTTTCACGTTGAATGTGCACAAAGAAGTATGCGCGCTGTCAAAGGCCGGTGGTATCGCTATGGAAATGGATCAGATTCTTCAGTGTTCAAAGATCGCTGTTGTCAAGGTTACTGAGATCACTGCTCAGATCCAAGCAGCATTAGATGCTGACGCCAAGAAGAGGTTTGTCTCCTGAAGTATTGTTATCATGAATATGCATGGTCTACATTGCAACAACTCACATATCTCCCTTTCTTTGTTTCTCTTTCGACAGGCAAATCTCTAGGAAATAAGTTGAGAACCGCATATCCTGTAAAGCATACACCATCCAAGAACAGCATCTGAACAAATAAAAAGAAGTATGTCAACGACAATTGAACCAGCTGAGCCAAATGAACGTATGGTGTGTGCCTGACTTCCTACCATGGGCCGTTGACGTCAAGTCCGCCAGGCCAGACAAAGGGGGATAGAATCTCCCTTTCCAGTCACGTCTTTTTCAACTCGCAGAGATCATTCCTCACCTCTTTTCACGCACCCATCCTCACCCCTTCACGCGCACTCTCCCACGCACACTTCTCATCGACGCTTTTCCTCCTCCTTTCCTCCGTACATAAAGCCATGCCCGAATACTGGTTCGTGTCCGTTCCTGGCGAGCGCAATCGCACCGTCACCTTCCAAAACTTCAAGGCAAAGATCGCCAGTAGCCAGAATGACTTGAGCGAGGTCACGCCCTTGCCCATCCCCGAGTTCAAGGTACAGAAACATTCGTCGCCATGCACCTTTGCAAGAAGAGCGGGCCTCCAACGAAACAGACCTGCTCCTTGAGGCGACGAAGAGGCACTTTTGTCCTTGAAAAGGCGCGCGGGCATATGGTCATTGACGCGCATGACTAACAGTATAGGTTTTTCTTTGCGCGGAAATGGTAGATTGGCACTCTCGACACGCTCGTAGTGTTATCAGAGGACTTGGCCAAGCAAGACACCGCCTTTGAGTCGTCTTGCAACAAACTGGTGGACATTATTCGGTCGCTTCTCGGTACTGATGCTCATGCGAAGCTCGCGGGCAGTCTTTCAGTGAACGAAAGTGAGTAACCATCAAACAATCAAACATCTTAACATGCACGACGCTTTGTCTTTACTGGAAAACTTGGTACATTAAGTACTTTGACAGGGATCTGACCGTTTGAAACTTTTCTGTGCGGTGCCTTTATTCTGAAATCTTCTACAGAGACGATTGACAACTATCTCAAGACCTTTCAATGGAACACGATGAAATACCGCACGGACAAGTCTTTAGTCGAGTTGGCAGAGATTTTGAACAATGTACGTTTTTTTTTTTTTTTTTTTTTTTGGTCAGCAGGGAGGAGGAGGAGGGGGGAGGGGGGTTGATCATGCATTAGCCTAACACGAGTTGCTAACACATTGTATACTTTCGATCCTTGGCGGTATAGGAAGTGGCTTCGATCGACACGCTGATGAAAAACAAAATGGCCAACTATAGTGTCGTGAAGGGCAATTTGCAAGGAATCCAGAGACGCGAAGTGTACGCAAAATGTCGTTTTGGTCTTCTATGCAAATGGATAAAAAGAAAAAAAAAAAAAAGAACCGAGAATGCTAACAAAGCGTATAACGTTGTTGGTCTGAATAATCTCTTTCAATAGTGGAAACATGGCGTCGCGAAATGTTGTTCCTTTTGTCAAGAAGGAGCACGTTGTCTTGGATTCTGAATACCTTGAGACACTTGTCGTCGCTGTCCCAAAGTGAGTCCTCATTGAGATGGCTGCATCACACTGAAGGGAAGTTGGTGGCTAAATATGTACAAGTGCTTACTTCTCATCTCGATCAACACCAGGACCCTCTACAAGGATTGGCATAACAAGTACGAGACGCTGACGCAGATGGTCGTCCCTCGCTCCTCCCTGTATGTTTGTCCTCGATAGATTTTCGCAAGCTATGTGCCGCATTCCTGAAAAGGGAGGCGGATTTGACTTTGAAGGCAGTGATGGATATAATCTAACTAAGAATCCATCTGCACAACTAGAAAAATCGCCGAGGATGACGAATATGGGCTTTTTACTGTTACGCTGTTCAAGCGCATCGTGGACGACTTTACGAACAAGTGCCGGGAAGAAAGGTATAGATCACGGAACGAAATTATGCAGGGTTAATGCTGAAAGTAAATACAGATCGGAATGTCTAATTATAATGATCTTGCGCTGATATTTCTTGATAGGTTTATTGTTCGTGACTTCAAGTACAGTGAGGATGCGCTTGAAGAGCAAAGGCGTGAACTTCAGGAGATGGATGCTTCAGAGAAGGAACTCTGGGTAAGCAATGCGAGTCTCCAACGACTATTCCGTCTTTTTTTTTTTTTTTCTGTGCAAGTAATTTATCGTTGTTACTCATTCAGCTTCATGAACGTTTTCCTTGCTGCTTGTAGGCAACTATCTTGAGACTGGCTAGGACGAATTTTGGCGAGGTGTTCCAGGCTTGGGCACATCTGAAATCTTTGAGAGTGTTTGTCGAATCCGTACTCCGTTATGGTCTGCCTCCAGATTTTGTCGGCTTCACAATCAAACCGAAGCCCAAGCAGGAGCAAAAGATTCTTACGATCTTGACGACGCATTATGGCCATTTGGGCGGGTCGCCCTCGAGCAGAGGAGGTCATCATCAGGGCGGCTCTCATGAAGACAGTGCAGAGGATGCGATTCTTGGATTTAATGACAAGGACTACAAGCCCTTTGTGTTCTTCTCGCTTAAACTGGACATCGAGAGACAATAGATAAGAAGAATGAAGTTTGGATGCATTGAAGGTGCACAAGGACGAAAATATGAGCGAACAATAAAAAATACCAGGCGCATTGAAGCTGGGATAACAGTGCGCATGCGACATCAACCCTTGGCAGCATTTTTACAATTTCTTCCTTGAGGGTGTTTTTTTTATCTTTGTATAATACAGCAAAACGAGGTAATAACAACAATGAAGACGAGAAGACAAATAAACATACACAATGAAGATCTAATAATAACGGGAAGATAAAGTGAAACAAAAATGGTGAATTAAAGACCATCCGTGGCTGGCAACTCGTTCAGGACGTGGACTGAGACTGGTGACTCTGATAAAAGGCGTAGCCATAAGCCTGCTGCTGTTGTCCCTGCTGCTGCCCTTGCTGTCGTTGCTGTTGCTGTTGTTGCTGTTGCATGGTCTGTTGGTAAGCTGCATAATACGACGTCTGCTGCTCTTGCTGTTGCTGTAGCTGATTGCCCGGCTGTTGTTGCGTCGTCTGTTGAAGCATATCTAGTAGTTCCTTTGCGCGTTCAGCTGCTAGCATGGCGTTGGTGAGCGTGGGCGTCACCATAGCTTGCTGCTGTGGTGCTTGTTGCTGTTGCGGATGGTATTGCGCCTGGTATTGTTGCTGATACTGGAGCGGCTGGGCATATGCGGCTAAGGAGCCATAGAGTCCTGCAAACGAGGTCGTTTGCTGTTGCTGCTGCTGAGTGCCGTATGCATTATACCCTGGGTTCAACGCTGAGCCGGAGGCAGCTAGCGAACTTAGCAAAGCTGCAGAGTTTTCCGTGGGAGTCTAGTAGATCGGTAGAAATAAATGCCTTAATAAAGATGTTTGGAACATACAAATGAAGGAAAGATGAATGCTGCATTGACGAAAATTATCTTTACCTCATATATAACGTTTGGTTTAGATGATTGGCTTGATGCAACTGCTGCCGAGAGCGCCGCCAGTACCGCAGCTGTATTGTTACTTGGTGACGATGACGACCCAGTATCCGTCTGCAGCGGTTCTGGATCAGGTTCCGCTGGAGAAGCGGGAATGTACGTAGTTTGGCGATAGTATACAGAGAGTGTTTCTGATTCTCTTTTCTCCTGCACGCCCTTCTCAACGCTCTTGAACCCTCTTTCAGGTTGGCCAGTGGGTTCCAACTGCAGTCGCAAAGGTGGTTGCCACTTATCTCCGCGCAAAAGTACCTCGAGCTGTTGTTCAGTCATCATGAACGGAGGCTTGACCGAGTGCTGCATGTATGTATCCTCGTCCCCGAAATAGCTCTGGTTATTAGAATCTATGTCGAACTGTTCTTCTTCGTCTGAATAAAATCCACGAGGCTCAATAAACTGGATCGACACAAGCTCATGATCAGCTTTAAAGCGCACCGCTTTTTTCGATTTGACGATTGGCATAGTTGCGGCCGGTTCATTATTCATATTCATTGAGTCAGAAGGCTCCAGTGTCGTCGAAGGCTTAAAAGTGTCCGCATCCTCTTTGACAACACTGCTTTCAAGAAGCTGTGAAGGTTGGCTGTCAGAGGAGACAGGAGATTCTGACCGGTCCTTAGGCGATGATAGCGTTGTTGAGCTGATAGCCGTCGTTGGCGAGATATTGCTTCCAGATGCGGTTGTGACCTGCGTCTTGATCGAGAGCGACGAGGGCAACGAGGGCGGTGATGATGGCTTTGTTAAAGACACTATAGCCAAGGACTTGTTTGGGATTGACGCACTGCCTTGAGGAGCTGACCGCATCAATTCCCTGAAGAATCCTGTATTCTCCACAACATTTGATTTCTTGGACGTCTCTGTAGGAGCAGCGGGTTTTCCTTTGATGAACTTGGGCAGTGGAAGATCGGATATCTGGTATGAGCAGAATGATAAAGAGACGGTTAGCGTGCTAGGCCAAGGACATGCATCTAACAGAACAGCAAAACAGGGACTTGCCTCGTGTAGCTGATTGTCCCTGTCACGCTTACGGCCTTTATTGGCGCTGACAGACGCGGCATCCGATGTGGAACCCGATACGCTTGACGAGCCCTCTGTGAATTCATAGGTCCACTTATCCTTCAGCTGTGATGCTTGGTGCGAGATTTCTTTTTTTTTTTTTTTTTTTGAAGATAGAAAAGTACCAACGACCGCCGTATAACCACGCATTAGATAACTTTATTACGTTTAAGATTTCATATGCATTCCATTATCCAATGACCAGTGCGCGTAAGGTATGGGTGACCAAGCACGCGAAGAGAGATAAAGAACGCGCATAAGACCATACGCTTCGTAGTCGCTGCTCTTACCTTTGTCAATATCTTTGTCCTGTGCAAGTTTCTTCATCACTCTTCCAACTTTTGAATCATAAAGTGTTTGGAAATCAAAGGGGAGCGTCTTGAGGATTGCGATTGATTTCAGTAGAATATCCTTATTAGCCTCTGTATTAGGATCTTTTTTTGCCTCTAGCATCCATATGCGGAGTATATTGGGTCCCTTCAATTGCACGAATCTATTAGCAGGAGAGAATCCATGATCAGCCATGACATGCTCGTACAGGCGAAGTGTCTTTCGATAGATATCTTTTTGTACATGAACCGTATGAACTCACTTTTGGAGTACTGGCTGTGCCTTGGTGAAGAGCAGTGCATTCATGATGTATTTGCGCCCTTCATAATCCGATGCTGCATCCATAAGCTCAACTGCTGTTTTAATGTCCTCAGTCTTGACAAACGAATTGCCACGCGTGATACGTGAGATCATAAGCCCGACTTCAGACGACTAGTAAGACCCGATTTCCCAAGAATAAAGATGTTAGTATTAAAACCACATTTACGATTAACAACGCTTTCGTATCTCCAATAGTTACCGAGAGAGGTCCTGTCACCGATCCTGCACGCGACTCAGCTTTAATATCTGCTCCGACTTTCGACTCAATCTTAGTCGCAGCGCCTGTCAGCTTATTAAACAATGCGGCTCCTATTATTGCCTCGATCGATTCCTTCTCTTCTTTGTTCAGGCCAATATGAGGACTTGGAGCAGGTCGTTGTTCTAATATTTGTTCAAAATAAAACTCAGTGAAATGTTTGGAAGGTGTGGACAGAATTTGAACGCGTCCAACTCTTTGCGCTGCTCTATGGAGATGAATGCCACGAACCTATAGGGGCTTCAGAGGCGATATCTGATACAGAATTTAAAGACTTGTCAAGTTTTTCGAGCATTGCTTGCTTCTCCTTTTTTTCTTGCAGCTCCTGTGCTGCTCGCGTTCTGCGGCGGGCAAACCAATTTTGCACCTAAGATGCGCAAACAAAAAGAAATATATGCTGTTAAAAAATTGTCTCGACGATTGTGCTGTCCAAGATTTGCTCCACTCATCTTCACATTCGGTTTGTCATACCTGAACTTCAGTACAGCCAACATGCTCAGAGAGCTGACTCTTGATAGCCTTGGAAGGATATGGATGTAATTCAAACACCTTCTCAAGTGCAGCATTGTGCACGTCCAAGAACGTGAACCGGTTTTTTTGACCTTCAACTGTTTCCCCCACACAGCGTACCAACGTAACGAGGTGTTCCCACGATATATGAATGACCATAAAAATAGAGACATAAAGAAAAAAGATAATTATATACGGTCAGTCATCTTGTTTCATATAATGGATTCAATTGGCCTAATGAACCGTTTTATCAGGACGATGAATCATAAGGACTAAGTGATGCGCTGGCCTGATACAAACACAATCCCCTTCTCCGCTAATATCTGTCCTGAGCTAGATGATGGGACAAAGGCCATTTATCCCCATAAAAATGAACACTACAAAGATGACAACGGTCTCCTGCCAAAGTCAGACACGGACACGCAGAAAGATCATATTTGTATTCCTGCATGCAATACAGATCTAAGCAGGATGGATATCGGCTCTCTATTGTACGTCCTGATGCCCAAACCTCTTCTACACTCCCTCCCCTTTTGATAGCCATATTATGTCGGATCCACACGCATTTCTCTTCGACACTCAATATTGTTGTTTTGTTCTTTCTTCTTTCTCGGTCAGGAATATCCTTTGCAATTAATGAAACTATGTTTACATAGAACGATTCTTCACCTCTATTACGAAAGACCGTTTCTGATGGGGAGAGAGAGCTACTGGGGTCAATTACCAGCTCCATCCTCTCCCCTCTGTTATCGTTGACAGACAATGCTGGCGAGGAGGCCGAGCCATGACTTGAATCGATAAAGGCATCTTGCTTAGGCGAGGGGTTACTCACTGGGACCGCCACTGCAGTAACAACACCTTTACTACGGTAAGAGAGTAGGTCCCCACTTGAGTCAGGCATGGTCGTTGGCAGTGAGGGTGAAAGTGTTGTTGGTGTGGAGAGTGGCGTCGAAGGCGTAACTGATATTCCGTCCATTGTTGATACTACCATTGATTCTGTTGCTGAGTCGGCTGGGTGGTCCAATTTCGCTAGAGACATATTAGGAGACCATGCAAGTGTTGAAGAAGACGAGGTAGAGGACGGTGGTGTAGGTTGCTGAATGAGTTCAACAGCAGAGGTGATAAACGCTTGGTCTTTTGTCTGGTCAAACATGGTGGAATCGGAGGCAGCGATCTGCCAACCTTGAGATAGTCGGAGCGATAAAAAAATAAAAATAAGAATGGGAAAATGAGACCAATCGATGATCAGGAAGAATGGCGGCGATGGTGGTGATAGTGGTGGTGATGGCGGTGATGGCGGTGGTGATGGTGATGGTGATGGTGGTGGTGATGGTAACAAAGAAGCAAAGAGAGATGATTGCAAGCGCAATTACTTTTATTCTTGTTCGAATTCGGTCACGGGGTTGGTCTCATCCTGATGCTCATCTTTCTGCTGTGCACTCAATTTGGTCGCCTTGATCTTCGTGCCTGAGCTCTTTTTGATGCTCGTGGCCGTGCTGATGCTGGCAATACTGCTACTGGCACTCGATTTGGATGCGGCTTTCTTCTTGCGCCGCACTCGCACCACTTCCACCTCTGAAGATCCCACCGCCGCAATCAACGCGTCGTCCTGTGTCGACGAAACCTGAGGGAACCGGTCGACGCGGCCTTCTTGCTCGATACTTATTTCTAGGTCAGAGCGCATGGTGGAGTTGGAGGTCATAGAAATCGGAGACGTCACCACACTTTGATCTGATACTTTTCCAGGAAGAAGTGTTGATATTCTCGGAGCGAGTGAAGTCGGTGACGAATCTGTTCTGGCTGAGGAACGCATGGTCGAAACGATAGGGAACGCTGGTTTTGCTGGGAGAGGGAAAGGAAGGCGAGATGGCAACATGGGCGATGACTGCCGGTTATCCATCAATTGATGCGGGGAGTTGTCTTCCGGTGATGATAATGCGGTAGAAGGCGCAACAGTACTTGTTGATGCTGTACTAGCAGATGGTGGTGCAGGTGGGAGAGTTCCTGAGCGCTGTCCTGATGGCTGTATTTGTGAAGCTGGGGACATAGTCGCCTGTACTGCCGCCACAACCTGATCATAAGCCTGTTCCTTGGCCCTGGTGGCCAGCACTTTCGCCGCCTGCTTCTCCCGTCCTATGGCCACTTGATCTGCTCGACGCTTGAGCTTCCTGGACAACGCCGTTGTGGAGGCGATGGTGTTTTTCATGGCAACCAGTTTGGCAATATAATGCGGTAGCCTAGCAAACTGTAACAAAGTTGGGCATCATTGGTACGCCAGATCAGATATGTTTCCATGGACCTTGTTGTTCAAATTGTCGATCCCATAAACGTCGCCAGCTTACGGTGTCGTACGCCCTTTCCAGCTCTTCTTGTGTTAAATTCAGCTCTGAAGAGATCTCCACGACATTACTTTGGAGTATGGCCTGACCCTGTCTGGAGTGAATCGAGCAAGCAATGGCTGGTCAATGCGTAGTTCCTGAAAGCAGGTTGTCGTCGACATTGCCAGTTGTGCTTACACTAGGTCCCTAAGCTGGCTCTCGATTGTGTTGATGAGTGGCTCCAGTTTCTCCAGTAATGCTTGGTTCAATTGCTGCTCGGCAGATTCGTCCATTGCGTATGTTTAATTGTTCGTTCGTGGCAGAGTTGATTCGTGGGATAGCGAGATAAAAAGTATTTTTATTTTTGAACGATGTATCTATGAAAAATGAAATGCGCCTTACGATCAACACTTATCCCTCGAACTGAAAAAAGGCTGCTGTGACCTCCAAAGATCAACAAATACGCGCCGCAGACTTGTGCTTAGAAAGATGAAAAGATGCCGCTTTCCTGGTCATCCCATAATATTTCTGAAAAGAGTGCCTTTTTGCTTCAATCAACGGTCGAACAGCACTCTCCTGCTCGGGAGCCAGTCATCCCCTCTTTAGCGCTTGAGAGCCTTGGATTGCTCAGGGTAGTCTCTTGCGAACACCAACTGCGAGTTGGCAGCTTCGCGGAAACCGAGAGCACTCGTCAACTCAGCCTCTGTCCTAGCCATATCGATCGACTTGTCGAAGTACTCGATGGCTCGCTCGATCTTGCCCTGCTGGAGGAAGAGCTGTCCAAGGGTGGCAATTGCAACATCGCACTCAGGGTCAGCTATATGATGCACAGAACAACCATGTTAGAGGAACGACCCGTGAAACAGAAAAGACATCAGTGTAGCGCGCCGCATTTCAAAATAAGAAATAAAAAAGCTGCCTACCATCGAGTGACTGAAGGCACAGTTTCTCAGCACCTGCTGGGTCCTGTTTCCATTGGAAGACCAAAAGCGCCTTGTTGATGTAAGGAAGAGGGTTGGAGGGCTTCAGGTTGATGGCCTTGTCGAAGCGCTCGAAAGCCTGGTCGAATTGCTGCTGATCCAACAGCAATTCTCCGTAATAATTGTTGACGTCTCCTGATTCTGGGAAGTCCTTGAGCGCCTTTTTGAAAATATTCATGGCATCCGAGATGTTTCCAATCTTGTACTGGGCCACACCATATTGGATGTGAGAGAAAACAAACTTGGGTTCCAGCTCAATTGATTTGATGTAGTCCTTTGCAGCGCTTTCATATTCTCCAGTAATGAAGTAGACTTGACCACTATGAGTATCACAACCATTCAATTGATCGTCAGTATATCCGTTATGAAAGGCATACAGTCCTCAATACACGATAACAAACGGTCCGTAGTCCATACCGATGATAGTAGATGTTAGGATCCTCTGCATCGATCGAAATGGCCGTCTCGAACTCGTGGAAGGTCTTGGCAGCATCACCCTGCTCCATGAAGATGCTACCACGCTTAATGTAGGTCTGAACATAGTTAGGGTCGAGTTCGATTGCTTTGTCGAAATCAGCCAATGCCTTCTTTCCATCGCCCATCAAGAAGGTGAATGTGCCGCGCATGTTGAGAGCCTTTGCCATGTGAGTGGTTTTGAGCTGGATCGCCCTGTTGTAGGCCTCCATTGCCTTCTGGTACTCCCTCTGTCCAAGATAGTACTCTGCCAACTCGAACTGAGCATCGCCAGTCACTTCGTCTGCGGGCCTGGTATCAGGCACACGCGTCTTCCTGAAAGAATCCAAATACGCCGACATAAAGGTCTTTGATGGGAGACGCTCTTCGCGCGTCTTCAGGATCTCCTTGGCCTTGAAGTCTGCCACCTTCTTTAAGTTACGCTCCATGGACTGAGCGAACGACTCGTTCTTGAATCCATCCAGGATGCAGAGTGCCGTAAAGTCGTGCATGGCCTCTTGATGTTTGCCGGTGCTTTCATACGCGTGGGCCCGTCGTCCGAGCGCCTATATCAAATCGCAAGGATATTTTTCAGTAATTAAAGAACGCGCTTGCGGTTAACAATCATGAGGAAGCCTGACAGAAAATCTCTCTCTCAGGACAAATATATCGCAAACGTAGCACCGCGATTACCTTCTGATAGGTGGGATTCATCTTCAAAGCCAAGGTGGTGTCCTCGATGACCTTGTCAAACTTGTGAATAATCGAGTAGCATGCAGCACGGTTGCTGTAGAACACTGGGTCAGGGTTGAAGGCAATCGCCTGGGTATAGAGACGAATGGCCTCATCCCACTTCTTGGCCGAATACATGCTGTTGCCACGAGTCTTCAGGATGTTAGAGTTCTCCAGACGTTTCTAAGCAAATGCACAATAGATCGAACAGTCAGCATCTTTCCTTTCGCATCACAAAGAAACAAGACCACAATGGGGATATAGCCGTCGCATTCCAGTGGATACCTTTTCAGAAAGTCCAGCAATCGTCTCGGCACTCATGGTCTCCACATTGTCGTCAGATTCCTTGGCGACATCCTTGGCCTTTTCAGATGAAGCTGGGCTTTCTGCTGCTATGCAAGATAGTTATATTCAGAAAAGGGGGGAAACGCCGTCAGATCTGCGGGCTCACGATCTGACACAGAATAAGCGCACAGCGATAAATAAGAAGAGTAACGCTGTTCCGTGGCTCTCTGTACCTGTTTCCTCGGGAGTGGAAGCGCCCTTGTTGGCAGCCGACTTTTTCTTGTTCTTCTTCTTCTTGTTCTTTGACTTTGTCGATTTTGGCTCGTCAGCGTCGACATCAGAAGAGGATCGGGTGAGGTAGTAGATACCGGCTCCAGCAAGCAAGGAGACCGAGGCAACAGCGGCATAGAACTTCCAGTCCTTATCCTGAACGAACTTTTGAACAGCGCTCGTGGTGTTCGAGACGGGCACCGGCGCAGGCACCTTGGCAGGGAGGGACGATGCAGAGGACATTACTGTTGAGAATGAGGAGGTGGAGAAGGAGGTAAGAGAGAGGGAGAAAGGAGTGAATCAGAGATTCTGAATCAAAAAATAAGTCAAATCAGGAAAAGTCCACGCGGTGAGACCGGCTCGTCGGGGCGGGTGGGCATGATAAAGGGTAGATTACAACCTGCATAAAAGTAAACAAAGAGCTGCCATGGCAGCCACGTCACGTTCTTCGGTGTGTGCCCCTTCCGCAACTTGATCTCTGTGCTGGAACCGATCTCTCCATTTCCACTGTTCACTTTCTTTCCCTTCACTCCCTCCATCGCTCTCGATCACCATGTTCGCCACAAGACGCCTCTTCAGCGCCGTGACCAAGAAGGTACAGGATGCTTCTTCACCTCCTGCAGGACTATCAACATGGAATCAGTAGACAGCGCCCTCAATATCCAGATCTCGGAGATTTGTTCCGAATAGTGCGCCTGCAACGCGATCAGCATACTCCACACCAAAATGAAGAGAACTTCCGGTTAACGTCGCGTTTTTGCCTGTGATGAATAGACCACTGGCATGTATGGTCTGCCTGTCCATCCCGACCCTCGTCCTCATCTCATCACCATCTACAACGATACCCTCAAGACCCTGGAAAAGTTCCCCACCCACGCTGTCTATCGCCAGGCCACCGCTGCCTTGACCAACCATCGCTTGAACGTTGTCAAGAACACCGAGGACATCTCCAAGATCGAGGAGGCTTTAGACGCTGGTCAGATCGAGGAAGTGGTTGTCCAGGCTGTTGAGGAGCTCAAGTTGGCTGGCAAGATGCTTGAGTGGAAGCCGTAAGTGAATTACAGGAAGAAGCCGACCCCATCATTGGTTTAACTCTTTCTCTTTTGATCTGAGGCTGATGTACACTGAAACTTATTTCGTCTGTCTTTTCATGTTCATAGTTGGGAACCATTGGAGACCCCTGCACCAAAAGATCAATGGAACTACAAGTTTAACGAGCATAATTAAGTAAAAGCAGAAATCAAAGCAGGACTTCGACGACGAAAACGACAAATCAACACCATGCATTTAGACCAGGAAATCACGGTAGAACCGCAGCGCAATTGCTTCAATAAACTACCAGCAATTGATATGAAGTTCACGGATATCAAAGTGGCTTTTATCACTTTTTTTTTTCTTTTTTGTGATATCAAGGTCCTCGAGACCGCCACTGTGTCCCAGAAGACAGACCGATCCGAGAATCAGAAGTGACAGCGGTCTGAGAGTCTGAAGGCGGAGATGACCGACGGTCGTACATGCTGTTCGATGCGCTCTGCTCACGCTCAATCATATATTCGAATGCAGGGTCTTTCGCAAGGACATTACTGCTTCCGCTGGCTGTGTGCACGAAATACAGGAATCCCATGCTAATGACACCGCTTATCAGGAATATCACATCGAACCTGTCAAGAGAAAACAGACGCGAGTTCCAGAACAGGCTGGATTAGTTTCCATTACGAATAATTAAAAGCTATGCCTCTTCCACATTAAATTCTTCATTACACATACCACCGATGATAAAAGTCGAATTCTAGTGCACCGAATGAGTCCGAGATGATGGACCTGAAGAAGAAGAAAAAAAGATATTGCTTTCAGCAAATATGAAAATTTCATGTTATCAACTCCTCCAACACATTCAGAGACAAGATCCGTACTGACCTAAATTCCTGAGGCAGGCTCTGGCGCATCGTTAGAATGGAACTTAAAAAGTAGAGGCCCATGATGTGTGCTAGGAACAGAATGATGTTGCTGGAGGACACATGCCGCGAGAAGGCTCGTGAAAACTTAGATACCTCTGTCAGCAGTCCTCGGATCGACAGAAAAATCATGAGGCCGACAAAGAAGAAGCTGAGTTGTTGAGACCAGAACCGTACGTCGATAGTCATATTGGTATAAGAGACAAATTTGCTGATAAGAGCCGTAATAGGGTCGGTCGATCCTTTTCGTCTAAACACGGTGTTTATGAGGGCCTATGTTGATGATAGCGTTAGAATGTCGTCGAGCTTCTATAGTAAAGCTACTTCTGCTGAGTTCGTGCCATACCATAGCCAGTTTGTAGATACAGTACACCGAAAAGATGTACCCCATGAGATTGCTGTATTTGCCTTGCCATGTTTTTGCATGCTCTAATCGAGACTGAAACGGAACTTGAGGATGTAAGCTTAAAAAAAAAGACATACCTACGAAGTACTGAATCTTTATGAATTGCCCATACCTTTTCGACGTAAAGGTCGTCAATGTCCAAAAACAGTTGCCTGGATATCCCCTCTAGGGCCCCCAGCTCCTGTCTGAGTCCATTTAAATCTACCATTACATTTATTTCATAAGTCTGCGAGGTTCAACAAACTGTATGATAATAACAAGTCTCGGTAGTCACTTACTTGAGCCCTCTTTGCCTGATCCACTGCCAAATATTTTGCGTACAAATCCGCCGACCTTTGACTCGTTAGCCTATTATTTAAACAGGGCGAGTTAGGCAGCAGATCATGGATACTCGTTCCGCATGTCACTTCTTTGTATTGTATTAATGTGAGGACTTGCATCGGGAGTTCGAAACTTGGCCTCCTGAATTAGGATCTGCTTTTTTTTGCTCGCAATCATTTCCAGGGTCTGCATACACTTCTTTTCTGCAAGCTGAATATCGATATCTGTCACTTGGCTAAGGATTGAGGTGCGGACGAAATGTTAGTACCGCCAAGCGACCATGAAGAGTGTTGAGGTCAGAAGAGTATGCAAGGGTGTTACAGACAAACAAGTCATCCTACCGTAGAAAGAAGAAAAGATTAGAGTAGGGGCCGTTCACTGCTCCAAATCCCGAGAGAATGGCACTAATGGTTACTCCAATGATCCCAACTCGGGACATCCCCCATTCAGTCGATAGTATCCCTAGAGTTGCAGCAATATACTTTGGATGAGAGGCAGGATTGGATCTTTGGACACGAGACCACTGCCGATGCCTCACGCCACTTACCTGGAGCATCTCCTCCCTGCATCGGGAACCCATAGCCGACCTTTGCAAAGAGATAAAAGTATACAGCCCAGATAGCGCCGGCAATTGGCAGCGCTTTCTGAGTTGATATACCTGTTTTTTTAAAAAATAAATTAAGACACGCTCGCTATTTTCGAAACTGTTTCCAGCAAGACAAAATGGACCAGAGTCAAATACCTGTATGCCGTACAATGAGAACGCATTGATAGTATGGGATAATGGCAATGACGAGTAGTAGCATGGCATTCATTGTCAGTCGCCAGAAGTACCATCGGGACCTAATGGAATGGTTATCAACCAGGTTTAGCAAAACGACATCGCCATTTACAATTGAGTCCAGATAGTATGCGGTTCTGCTTAGTGTTAACGTACTCTTGTCCCAAAAGTCCGAGGATCTCCAGAATTATGAGCTCAAAGAGTTGACAGCTCCATGTGAGCGTGAGCGCAAATACGACCTGGACAAGCATACCCCCTTGCCACCATTTTTGCTGCCGTTTGTAGGTGTTTGTGGGGAAGGTCGAGAGGAGGAATTCTTGATCGGAGCTATTGGATGCATAATCGCGGACGAGGCCCTGAATGAGAAACGCCCAGGCGAGGGTGAAGAAAAAGGCCTGCGAGCCTAGGAGGAGCAGGGCCTCGATGACGAGCATGACGGACAGTTTCATGGTTGCTGATTCATGGTGTGGGTTCTAGCATCCTTACTTTTCTAGCAATTGGGGCAGAGCGCTGCGTGTCCTAAATCTTATTTCACTGCACTGGTCTTTTGCGGAGAAGCATAGCTTTTCTTTCAGCCAAATGAGAAAGAACAGGGGTCATTACCCCAGTCTTTGCATTGAACACGTTTCTCCGATAACCAACCATGATCAAAGCACAGCACGGCAGTGAATTATTAGCTATTCTTTTTGGTCATAGTGGTACGTGTTTAGACACGTCGTGGAAGCAGTGTAAATCAGGCAAAGTGGAAACGAGCCGTTGGTGTACTTTATTTTATCTTCTTTCCTCGACACGAGAAGACCGATGGTGCAACTTGGGGGGACGCGCCAGGTCAGGGATCACAATACCTTCCTCAAACGCTGTCGGCGGCGAGTTGTCATTCTGGCCAGCGGCTGTGGAAGCAACACTTGAAGAAGCGTCATTATGAGTTAAATCCGCAGCGCGGCTGCTCGACGCATGATACCGGGCCTCACCACTGCCAGATGTTCCTCCACTGTTGTTCTTTGCGAAGGGTGAGCTCTGGTACAGCGTGTTAGTGCTGAAGGGCACATTTGCAGCGCTGCTCATGTCCAGATCAGCATATCGATAACCGTACAATTGCTCCTCATCGTTAGCACCATAGCCAGCATTGTAGCTTGCTCCACCACCACCATACTGCTCTTGATCAGCGTCCGCCAGTGAAGAGTTGCGATTGTTGTTGTCTTTTCTGCGGCGCGCCTGTGCAGACGAAAATGAAAACGACTTTCGTTGGCCGAGGTCTTGGCTTTGACGATATTCAGCCGCTGCGGCCTTGGCTTTCGCCTCGGCAGCTTCCTTGACGTTTTTGGGCGCCGTCACGGGAGTGGGCATTTCTGGCTGGAGATCCAGGACACCACCTTCGATAGCACCGCCAGGAAGTAGTATCGCTTTCAAAACGTGGTATGCGATATCCCTAAAATAATAATAAGTCCCCATACAGGATCTATTAGTCAATGGATATTGAAAAAATGCCAGCGACCATGTACGAGCAATATTCTTCTCACCTATTGCCCCAATAACGGAAATGACTTCGCATCCCCAGCAGATACTCATTCGTGTACTGATCGACACGGGTCTCCTGTAGGACGTGATCGATACGGTACGGTACCTTGGTCTCTCGCCCGCCAACATGGATCGGCGAATGCGCCGTGTCCACATCCCCAGGCTTCATTGTCGTGTCACTCCCTTGTTCAAACGAACCAGTCTTGCCATACGGGTCCTCGTCTTCCACAACAGCCGCTCTCTTGGTGCTCTGAGGATTGTCTTCCTTCCTCTCTTCGTGCTGCTTCGCCCGTTCCCGCTCCTCATGCGCTGCTTGCATATCCTCGATCCTGTTTTCACCGCTAGTAATCTTTCTTTCGCGACCATGGGCATGGTGAGCATGTGAGTCGGTGACGGGGGACGATGGCATGGATCGGACGATACTCTCCTGCACAACATCCGACTTTGCGCCACGTCCCTGTTCCTTTTCGGCGGCTGTTGGACCGGTCTCCATGCCCAGGTAATACTCCATATCCAACACTGGGATGCTTTCAGAGTCGAACGTGTCGGCTGCCTGAGTCGTAGACAAGATCTGATCCTCATCGCCGGCGTCCTCGTCGGCCTCCTCGACTTTCTCAATGGGATTGGGCGATGTTTCGTTCGCAGCTTGGGCTGTGGCACTAGGCTTATAGTCCTCATTTCCATCTTCAACGCGACTACTGATCCGGCGAGCGCCTAGGCTGGGTCTCCTCGGCGAGCTGATGGGACCACTTGGCGAGGTTGTAGTTGTGTTGATGTTGTTGTCGATCATAGAGCCTCCTTCAGAGATTCCAGTTTGGTTGCCCTCCTTTTCATTGAGATACGTAGCCACTGTAGCAGCTGCAATTGCCTCTGTAACTGACACGCTTGAATCGACCTGCTGCGAAAAATGGCTTCTCTTTGAGGGTTGGTGCAGTTTTCTTGTCGCCCACTCCGATTCTGGATATATACCTTGATCAGTTCCCGGCTCCCGTTGTTGCCCTTCGCTGTTGCTGCTTGTGAGGTCCTCAGCGGTACTCTCACTCCCACTCTCATTTGAAGTTGCTCCATCAACTGAGCATCTCTGATCTCCTATAGATGCTGTCGTCCCACCTCCGCTCGCGCCTGTTAACCATCGTCCAGCCTTGAGGGACTGCGTCATCTGCGAGAGGGTCGAGAGCGCCGGAATAGTGGGACGAGGCAGCGTTGGAACTTTGTTTTCCCAGAAAGATGAAATAGATTCTGGGAGAGAGGGCAATAAAGATGGCAAGGAAATCGGAAAGAGCTGAGAGTTGCCGGCTGAGTTTAGAGTGACAGCTGGAATTGCCGCAAAGATTGGGTCGATCAAAGGCTCCAGCCTGTAGGCGAGCGGATCAAAAGGATGGAATATGTTATGGTGAACTATATCATCTGGCGGATGAAATGTCTCCCATTCTAGGTTCCGCATCACCATAACCGCCCCTATCGTATTTGGGGGAACATAGCAGAAAAAATAGTTAGTTGCAAAAGGAAAAAAAAAAAAAAAAAAAGATATTTGTAACGATATTAGACTTACCTACTGGCGATCCAACTGTAAAGAGGATGTTGGGTCTAAACTTTAGTTTTGGGACCACAGTACGGAACTTCGGCTGGTCCTGCTTCCTGGTCCGTGCCGTTTTAGAGGGCTCTGAAGTTGATGAGGTGGTGGAACTGCTGTTGGCGTCCTTTGCACCTTCTGAAGTAACTGCTGCTTTTTGTGTAGAACCTGCTGCATTGTCACTGCTCTCTTCGGGTTCGTCATCATCCATGCATGTCAGGATATCGAACATGGCAACACCTCCAAGAGATAGCGCAAAGACAGCGATCTTGCCATTGAAGTCTGGATGCTTGGCAATGAACGTCGCATAGGCTTCGTTCAATTCGTCGACGATAAGGCGAATGATTTCCGCGCCAAAGTGGTTATTGAAATCTATACAAAGCGCCAAAAAATGGAAGCAAGATGCATTAAGATGACAGCTGTGTCAACTCTTCCATTCGCAATTATTTTCAATCTCCTAATGTACTTACAGTAGAGGATATCCGCAAAATAGTCATTCATGACAAGGCGCACTGTTCAGTTTGCGCCGCAAAACGTCAGAATGGGGCGATGTTTGCAGCAGATCGAGGATTAATGCTTTAACAACTGGAACATGTAATAGTCTTACCTTTGGGAACAGTCCTCAAACTAGCCAAGGCCATGCGCTGATCAACCATGCTATGCAGTTTGGCATGCCACTCAATTGGGATGATATGTACATCGGTCTCCAGCTCGTGGAACTGGCTCTGAAGCACGGTCTTTGTGTTCTCGACGAGGTAGCTAACTAGTAAGATAAAGTGCAAAATGAAGCACAGATGTTAGATCTTCAAAGCGAGCACAAACGCAAATGGTGCACGGACAAACGTTCAGTTGGACGACCTGCCATTGACATATTACCGTTGCGCTCGTAGTTGCCGAACTCCTCAAGCTGTCGGCCCATGCCGTGCACGACAAAGATAACATGATGCGCTATGCGGATCGAATTGAGTTTTTGAGATATATGAATCCCATTAGGCGACAGCACGAAAACCGATAAAGAATGAGACGCAGATGAAAGGAGCGGAGCTGCATACGATATTGGTCGGGTTTGACGCCGGTTCGTTTTGTACTTGAAGGTGCCGAACTAGTCGCTGAGTCGTCTTTCGCAACGCTCCCCTTGGAGGGGGCGGAATATGTCTGTGCTGCGTCCGATGCTGTCTCATTCCGTGCTGCATCCACTGCAGCGATGGTGGCTGGCATCTGTGACATGGCTACTCAAAAGGCGTATGTGTTGCTCCCTTCCCGTTAAACGACAAAACAAGGCGAGGGCTGACAATTGACAGAGAAGAGAGGAGGGAGGATACAGAATAGATAACAAAGGAACCAAAGGAGCGCATCTGGCCGGGATTGAAATGACCATGGATTTTGTTTGCCAATTTGACCACTAGTGGACTTTTTTTTATGTGAAACGTACTACTTCTTGACGACCTTCTTCTTGGGGACGTTTGCCTTGACCTTGGTCTTGCCTTTTTTGATGCCTAAATCAACCTTGGCGCCCTTCTGCGAGCGCTCTCCTTCGACGATGGCATCCGTCTTCTTTGACAAAACATGTTTCTCGTTTGCTTTGCGACTTCTGAAGGCCAACCGTCTGGCCGCACCATCCATGACGATTGGTGCGTGCTGCGTCCTCACAGGCTTTCCGTCGTTGCCCTTGGATTCCCTGGCAACACCCTTATTCGAGCGAGGTCCCATCCCATTTGTCTTGGTATTTTCCTCCTCAAGGCGCTTACAGCGGACCACGCGCAGCTTGCGCGTTCCCATCTTAGTATCATGCAGTCTCAGGGCTACATCGACTGAGGCACGGTCCTGGAACTGAACATAGGCAAACCCCTTTCCAAGATTAGTCTTGCGGTCGCGAATAATGCGAACGTTCTCAATATCGCCAGAGTCCTTAAAAAAATTCCAGAGATCCTCTTCCTGTGCATCAAAAGCCAAGTTGCCAACGAACACACTCTTCTTCGGTTGGTGTTTCTATACAAGAACAAGACAAACAGATGCATCGTTAGCATTCTGTAGATCTCGATACAAGACATATCCCTGCGAGTATACATCACTATCAGTGCTTCGCATGATTCCTTTACCTTGGCGCCATCAACGGTATCGACGCGCATGTGTTTGTTGAGAAAAAGTTGGCCATTCAGGGCGGCGACTGCTTTGGCAACCGATTCTTTGTGTTTGAAAACGATATAGGCGTTCACAACATCGCGTTCCGGGTGCAGTTTTCCAGTGATAAAGGCGATCTTGCGCGGCAGCAGTTCTGAAAATGCAATTGATCGGAATCGAATCGACTCAACAGGTCCAAAGGCGGAAAAGGTTGATTTCAGTTTTCGAAAGTCGGCCTTGGACATCGAAGACACAGGCAGATTCCCGACAAAAGCTGTCCGTGCCTGTCTTTCGGGGTCATCTGACTTTTTGGTTCCGTCCTTGTTGGTGTCTGATGACGCATCCTCGTCGTCTGAATCACCGCCGTCTGCTGCTTTTGCTGAGATGCCCTTATTAGTCTTCTTCGCCCTTTTGTTATCTTTGTCGGTAGTCTTCTCGGACGCCGCTTCAGGGTCTGCCTTTCGCTTGTTGTTCTTCTTCAAGGACTCATGCACCAGATCTTCAACCTTAGACTCCTCCGTATTGATATCCTCGCCATAGTCGTATTTGGTCTGCTGCTCGATCAATTCCACGGTCTCCTTTGGAGCGTTGCTGGTCTTTTTCGAGCTCTTTTTGGCCGTTGGTGCAGTTGTCGCTTTCTTGGCCTCGTATTTGGCCTCTACGCTGGCCTTGCCTTTACTGATGCCCTCATCCTTATCCTCGTCGTCCTCATCCTCATTCGCATTCTCGACAGAGGTCTTGTTCTTGTTCTTTTTTGATACAGGTGTAGATTTGGGTTTGGGCACCTTTGTCTTCTTTTTGGGCTCCTCGGGCAGATCTTCTGGGAATGGCTGGCGAACCTTTGCGGGGATGGGTGCATACGACTGAGTGGGTCCAGCCTAAGGAGCAATATGTCATGTCAAAAATAAAAGAAATAGCATTGTCAATATCCGGATCGTGTTGAGTACAAAGCGCTGTCTATCCAATCCAGACAAGTAAAATTGACAGTATATCATACACTGTTCTTGAAAAGGGCATCAAGGGAGCCCTCGACGGTCTTTCCTTTGAGCAGGGCAGCGGATAATGACATTTGTGGGTGGTGCGAATAAAGGGAGAGAGTGTTCGGCAAAGCAGGCCAATATTAAAGCACTTTTTTTTTTTTTTTGTAGATTGTTTTGTGGGTGGCTTTTCTATAGATCGCAGTCCCCATGAGGAAGGCGTCTGGCTGCTTTTGGCTGGGCGTTTTTGCTCCCGAACGTCACTTCCCGCCACGGGTAGTGGGAAGGGGAAGAGAAAAGGAGGGTCCATCAAATAATAGTGGTAGGAGTACAGCACAACCAAAGGAGCCATTGATGATTCGCAGGTGCATAGACACAGATGCATTATATAGGAGAGTGTCTTCCTTGGAAACTCGTTCTGCACGGATGATTTCCACCAGCAGTTTGTACTGGGCACCATGCTGTGCTCCCGTGAACAAATTCACTGGACTCGCTTTTTCTGCTTTATCGCCTCCCTTTCCCAAGGGAGCCCGCTTCTCTTTTACCCTCCATTGCTCCAACACCCGCTCATCACCCCCATTGCTCGCTTTATCCCTAGAAGCGCGCATCTACTCCTCTCCCTCAACGGATAACTAAACTAGAAACAACAACATCAAGGAATACGCCCTGTGGAACCACGAAGGTAGCGAAGCGTCTTTGGTCGAACCGCCTACCAATGATCTAGTGTCCCAGTTACCGAAAGCGCTTTGGCTAAAAGCACGCCTTGCCTTTTCCTTATGTCTCTAGTCTACAAGCACTTGCCATTGTAACGACAACCACTCAGGCACGTCCGCATCTAACTTTTCTTGAGCGCGGGAATAACTCATCTGTGAGCTATGCCGGAGGTTGCCTCAGCCAGGACAGAGACATACGCAACACACCTCCCAGCAGCATTATCAACGGCCGCATCAGTGTCTAAGGCCGGATCCGATATGAAGAACAATGGCAAGGATAAGACTTTAGCTTCCGACGACAATCAGAAGGAGCTTGTTCAAAAGGAAGAGCAGGAAGAGGAGGCCACCAAAAGCGAAGCTGCTGTCGACCCATCCCTCAACGCCGACCTAAAGGCAACAGAGAAGCAGGAGAAAAACATCAATGGCAGGGGTGGGTCCAATAGCGATACAGAATCCGGTCCAATTGATACTCCTATCTTTGCAGGAGAAGCCAATCAAGACGCAGAGATGAGGGAGGCATCACCTACGCCAGCCGATGTGACTGAGCAGGACATGCCCATGATGGAGGCAGCTCCGCTTCGAGAAACCAGTGGCTCTGGAGCAAGTGAGGGAATAAGCCAGGAGGATCTCGATGGAGGACTCTTGGATGGTGCATTGGATGACTACGACGACTTAGATCAAGATACCGAAGATACCGAAGTGGGCAATGGCGATGATGACTTCAGTGATGACGATGATGATGATGACGATGATATGGACGGCAGGTTACTGGATTCCAGCAACAAGCCAGGTCCCGATGATGAGATGCATTCGCCAGCCACCATGTCGCGTGCCGATACCGTCAAGTCGGACGACCGAGACATGGACATGCACGATGATACTACAGATCATCAAGACAAGGAGACCACCTTAGGCCATTCCGACGACTCAGACAGTGATCTTCCAGAGCCTGAAGGAAGCGACAACGAGCACGAGGACGATGAAGACGAAGACGATGAGGAGGATGAGGGCGAGGACGACGAGATGGATGAGGAGGATGAGGAGATAATGCCAGTTAAGAAGGTGCCGGAACTCAAAAAGGATTTTGGGATGTCCCAGAAACCGATCCTCAACCGGCCACCAGCGACTGAAGAGGAACTCAAAGACAGCGGAGATGAATTATCGGACCTTTCAGAGTTTGATGATTCGGACGATTCGGATGAGGACGACATGCCCAAAATAAAAGTTTCCAACAAAGAGTTCGTCGCAAATTCTTCATCCGCTGCAACAGCATCAACAGCGCAAGGGAACGGGAAGCCAGAACCAGGTGGACGCAAGAGATCAGTTCAGGACAGTAGCACTATCAAGCAGGATCTGGACTCTGTTAAAACGGAGCATGAGGAGCAGAGTGAGGTTCCCAACGGTAAAGCAAGAGCCTCTGATCGAAAGGCCTCCGAGGCAGAAGATACGCACCACTCGGACAAGGAATCGTTTTCAGAAGCACATGGGGAGGAAGAGGAGAAGGTTGCCGAGGAAGAGGAGGAGGAAGAGGAAGGTATGGGCTACTAAGGACATTTTGAATATTCCAGGCACCCTGGGATACATTTCGCTGATCCGACATGGTCTTTCTGAATAGATTTGGAAAAGAAGCAACTACACAAGGACGCCCTGGAAGCTCTTACAAGTATTGAAGTCGAGTTTGCCAATCTTCGGGATAAGTAAGTGGACTGTGGAACCTGCAATGAGCGGTGAATGTTCTTTTTGCTAATCAAAGACCATCTTTATAGGATGTACGAAGAGCGCATGATGGAGCTGGACAGGGAGGTTGACATGATCAATGCCGGTAAGACTTTGAGTAACATAGTCGCTGACACTGTTGATTCTTTGCTTTCATGCAGTCTGTGGTACCAACGCAATACAATTCGCCCTCATATCCCATAGGTACACATCCTGAACTCTCGTCGCTGATGCAGGAAATCGAACATAAGCGCGAACAGAGGTTGCGCTTTGCAGAAATGGGCAAACGGTATTTGATCGACATTGCCGAGAGCGCGTATCAAGTTGCCGAGTACAGGGCCCATTGCACTTTCCAGGTAAACGTTCTACTCGAAGCACAAGAGTGCACCTGCTGATTACTCCATGGATCATACTGATCTATCATTTCTTTTTTGCGTATAGTCTTCAAGGCGCACTACGCGAACAGATATGGTGCGAGCTCTTGGGAAAAAGCAACGGCAAATAATGATGGAGCTCACATTGTCGTCTGAGACCTACAAGCGAAGAGGTAACAATTGCGAAAGCAGTTATACTGCTCTACAGAAGCACCAGGCGTGAATATCTCATACTCATTCGTCGATTCTTCTTTTTTTCGTTTTTTCTTTTTTAACTCTTTAGTCATCGATGACAAGGCGACGTTGGTGCGTGCACGAAAATTGAAGAGATTGGAGGCCAACGAACTCAGGGCCGTGAACGAGAGACGCGGCTTTCCAGCGAGCAGGAAACCCGCTCCTGCAACCCATTCAGAGTTGGACAGTGATTTATTGGCTATGGGGGTAAGCAACGCTGCAACGCTATGAACTCTCCATTGGTATGGGACTGACCTTTTGTTTTTTCTTTATTGATGCACACAGCTTGCTCGGCCAGCGCCTCCTTTACACTCAATAGAGCAGGAGCCTCAGCCATCGCGGATGGCAGGCCACATGCCACCATCCGTACCTATATCGCATTCGTCGATGTCATCGCGGCATGCCTCCAGCAATCGATGGGTTGGATCAGGCGAATATTTACCAGGATCGAATATGCAGCAACCAAGCGGATATTATGGTACGTGAGGATCATAGTTGCTGTATTCTTGTTCAACTTGCGTACTTAATAATGACATGTCATGTACCGACGCCATTTTTTTTTTTTTTTGTACCTAGGATCTCGACCGGAAGTAGAGATTTATGTGGATGGCAGTCGATGTTTGATAGACGGCATTTGGTACAAGCCCAACGATTCTGTAGTAGTTTTAGATGCAGCGATCGGAAAGTACAATGCCAAGTATCTCTTCTTAGCGAACGACGAGGTAAATGAGCCTAGGATTTGTGCCAGCAAAGTGCTTCATTCATGTCTATCGACTAACGCCATCGCCTCTACACTTGGATACTTCTCTCCACAGATTATGCTGCAAAGGACAGACGGCTCGAAGACGCGGCTACATCTCAGCTTGTTCAGAGGTCGCAAACTGTGTATGCAACCGAAGCCGTAGGCAATAAAATTAAGCTGTTTTTTATTGACCCCCAGATGCAGACGAATCAGTCTGCAGTCCTGCTCCTCACGTTTTCGCCAGTTGAAAAAAGATGAGCGTCCAATGAAATATACAAGCGCACTGCGCCGTGATCTGATCATTCATCGCACCCTCATCTTTGACACCATTTGCATCAGTTTCACCACCCTTTTCCTTCACGATTAGCCCTTTCGGCTCTTCCTCTTCGTCATCCAAATACACATCAGAGAACTGGTTCCGGCATTGACTCGCAAGATTCATATCTCGACGCGTGCACTGAACCGCCTGTTGTTGATGAGAGAAATTTGAAGCACAAAAAGGATGACATCGAAAGGATATGGAGCTGCGTGAACACTAGAGAGCAACTGGTTAAACAAAGACGGACTGTCGGTGCGAATGATGGGAGGAAAGGATGATATCTCAGGTACTTCTGCACTATCCTTGTATTTCTACATTGGAAAATGAAGACAGACACACAGTGATACTGATCCCCCCATAATGAAGAGCAGTGGCGTCGTGTATGGATGGAAACGAGATTACTTACTTCGCGCCATAAAGATATGAATTGTTCACTCATCCGCAATGTATCAACGTATCGTTACTTTGATGATTGGCAGCATTTAGCGAGCGCCTCAGGAAATATGTATCTTGCTGCTACTCAATCCTATTGCAATTACTACTTAAGTTTCACAACTCCAGGTTCTTTGAAGCGACATAGTTGTCAAGAAGTTCCTTGCACCCATCCAGCATTTCTTGGGCTTCCCATGTGCTCTCGCTCGCGTCGTACCCCTTCCACTTGATGAGAAACATGTGTGGACCATTTCGGCGTTTCATGTGGTCCAAAATCGACTCGACCTCATACTCAGGCTCTGGCACATCTCCGGCCTCATCTTCGGCCTCATCTGCGCCTTCGTCCTCATCATCCTTTGCCTGCACCTTCTTGCCCTTGTGCTCTGATACCGAAGTAGTAGCCTTGCTATGTGTTGCAGACTCTTTCGGTTCTTCCACCTGTACGCTCTTTCCTTTGTTGTAATACTTGATTGGACGAGCCTCCGTCGCCTCTACAGTTGATAAAACAACAAAGAGGCATTAAAGTGGGAAACAAGAACTCATCTGGCACTGTATCATACAATAAGCAAATGAAAGCCATACTTACGCGCTGCTTTCTGTCTTTTGGCCTTGGATGGTTCGTCACTCTCTGCGGCTCGCTTAGTGCCAGCCTGGACGCCTGTCTTTGGAGGACGTCCTCGTCCTCTTTTGGCAGCGGACTTGGGCTTAAGAGTTGCTTTTCTTGATCCAATTGATATCTTTGCTGATATGGCCTCGGAGACCGTGGCCTTGGCTGTCTCCTTCGCGATTATCTCGAATGCACGGGATAGACGGTCGAGGGTATCTTCAGTCACGATCGACCCCGTCGGTAGGAGAGTGTGAACAATTGTCCGAATATTGCTCTCGTTTGTCGAGGGGGATTGGCGCTCCTGCTCTTGTTCTGCGTGCTGCGAGGTGCCGACTACGACGACGGTGGTAGTGGTGGTGGTGGAGGAGGTCCCGGGGCCCTCAATTCCGCGCTGGTGATCGAAGAAGTCCGGTTCTTGGTCCTCGTCAGGGTTGTCGTCAGAGTGGATTGGTCTCTCCAAAGAGTCGATCAGATCCTCCAAAGAGTCGACGGGATTGGGATGGTCATCCTGACTGCTGGAGCTGGTGACGGAATCGGAGATGATGTCCATGGGGTTAACTGACTTGGCAGGGGAGGAGGACACAAGATTAAGGAAACGTTGCATGGTGCAGGAAGGACGGGGGATGTGTTTCGTAGACACAGATACACAGAACGCGTTTGTGAGTGGCTGGAGGGGAACACTGACGCCTTATGCAGTGCACTGTGCAAAAAAATATGTTCGTACCCTCAGAAGCCAAACAAAAAGACGGCTTTGCAGCAATTGAGCAGCAACTGAGCATAGTACCCGGGTAGGGTGGGTCGTTGTGCTCGTGTATAGCCATGTTTTAGACATGGCGCCTGTCAGAAGCCGATAATTAGGTGCATAGCGCGCGGTACGTCTCTACCTGGCTATCAAACCATGCTCCATCCCTATACAGAAACCTCGCTTTTTTTTTTATCAGCGTGGGATTGGCGCCATTCAATGCTGGCTATTCGATATACGCGTAAATTGATGATAAACGGGGTGCAGCTAGGCAGGCTATTGGTCTGGTCTACAAGCTGCAGTACAACAGCCACGTAAGGACCGCGAGGCAAGGACCAAGGGAGTCGCAGCTGAAAGCGCGCTCAGAATATGTCTCTGTGCCGCGTGGGTCGCTTTCATTCGTGGCTTTGTATAGCCCTCGTTCGTCATGGCCGAGAAAAAAAAGGGCAGGTGATGTACCACGTCTGCATTCCACTCATCACTCTCACTCTGAAAACGACTCTTTCCTCATTACCCCTGACCCAGTCCTCAGAAAGCACTCTCAGGAAACATATTACACTGCCATGAGCAACCTCGAGAGTACGTGCTATGCATTCACCTGGCCAAACTGCAAAAGCAAGGAACCCTCACTAGCCTCGTTTGACCATACTAAATAACCCCTCCTTCTGCTGCTTGTCCATAGAAAGTCTCTTCCAGCTCAAAGTACGTTCCATGCTCGACAACACTACACCTTGAGATGAAATCAAATAGAAAAGCGAGGAGGAAAAACAAGCGACACAGGGATATAAGATGGAGAATTGAAGCAACACATGGGTTATCAGTCATGTAATATTAGGTACATCATTGACCTTTTTGGCAATGTTCTCGACTAACCATTAAACCACATCTTGTTGTTGTTGTTTTTTACTTTGCCTACTAGTTTACAACAAAGCAGCTGCAGCGCCAAGCGAAAAAATGTGCCAAAGATGAAGGACTGGAGAAGGCCAAGCTGAAGAAGGTATACTGCTCTTCTGTACTTGCGCATGCGCCCTGTATTTATCGATCAATGCTAACCACAGACACTCCTTACACTCTCTCATGCCCATCTTTTTCTCTTTCCATATCCCACTATGAACTACAACAACAGGCGATCCAACAGGGTAACATGGAAGGCGCTAGGGTCTACGCCGCCAATGCGATCCGGAAAAAGAACGAGTCCCTCAACTTGCTCCGACTTTCGTCCAGGATCGACGGTGTTGCGAGTAGAGTCCAGACTGCGGTCACTATGCGAAATGTCACTATGTCGATGGCAAGTGTTGTCAAAGGAATGGATAAGGCCATGGAGTCCATGAATCTTGAGAAGGTAATTAAAATTTGCAGACTGCGATATGTAAGTGGAACGACTGGATACAGTTCTAATTGTCTTCTTTCCATGTCTATATGTTCTTTAGATCTCTCTGGTGATGGATAAATTTGAAAGTCAATTCGAGGATCTGGATGTGCAGACCCAGTATATGGAGAATACAATGGGCAACCAATCTGCATTGACAACACCGCAGGATGAGGTCGACACGTTGATGCAACGGGTCGCAGATGAACATGGATTGGAACTAAATTATTCGCTGAAGGAGACCCCCGATACCCTCTTGAGTCAATCCAACAAAGAAACTGAGAACAAGGAGCAGGACGAACTCACAGAGCGGCTCAGGGCACTGCGGGGCTAAACTCCACGGACATCAAGGAAAATGAGTGCGGTTGCGCGGCATCAATATTTGGGCGATGGAGAGGAATACGACAGAATTGACAATAAAGTGCGTTCAATTTGAAGCATTCGACATATATGCAGATCCGCTTGCCGTACATATCTGAGCTTTTATTGTTTTTATCAGTGCATATCCCGGCGGGATGATTCTATGCAAGCTTGGTGGTTTTGGTGACACGGAAGCCTGTCTTGGGCGAGTTGACGAGCGTGAATTGGCGGTAGTTGAAGTAGGCCCAATAGAGGACAAAACCGCCGGCACCCCAAAGTGCATTCAGGACCGCGTACAGATCGGGATAGCGGGCAGGTGGGGGCACAAAGATCTCGGCCAGGTGCATCGTTGCGATCGCGAGCAGGTTCAGCTATGTTGCGCAAATAATGGGAAGAGTTAAGGGCCATTAGGGTATGACAGTGGCAATATTTGAATGAGTAAACTGATCATGATGTACTTACAACGGCCGAGAACTCCAGAAGTCTGGAAGCGTTTTTGAATGTGCCCGAGGTCAGCCAGATCCAGAATCCCGAAAGCACAAGATAAGGCATTATAAGGCCCTCCTGCTTTAACAATGGATACATTGTAAACGTCGCCAGTGTCACAAACAAGGATGCGACGGCAGGTTCGTCTAAAATCAAGAGCGTGATTGGCAGTGCAGGGATAAGAATCGACTTTTCATGGACCTGGAACGAGAACAGGAAAAATGACAGGGAAGAGTTGACGAGTCCGTAGATAAGCCCGCGCTTGGTCGGCTTGGCGATCAAGTGGAGAACCGAAGGCAAGAACGACACCAATGTGGCGAATGTGCTGTGTTACAATTATGTAATAAAATATGGGTGACATGTTAATAACCGGCGTTTACATTGTTGGCTGTTTCAATCTCCACATAGCCTTCGTCGAGTGTTGTACCTGAAACGAACGAGCTCCTGAATATGAAACATTTCGCGCAGCTTGATTGCAACGTTCACTGCACACCAGACATTAGCGACCTTATCTTGGTAAAGGCCCCTGAACACTGGGAATATGCGATGCAAAACCTGCAGAAGCTCTTCCTGAGACCGCAGCCATGGCGAAAACAGTAAACTCAAGGTCAAGATTACTGTCGTGCCCAGTTTGATCAGCTTCCATGTACTACAAGTACGATACACAGCGATAAGTACAGTTGTCATGGTTATAATAGCTGTCATCTAGTACAAAGTTCAATTGCTATTCCCTTGCGGACAAAACTGTAGCGATATTATGAAATGTCAAGTAGGCTACTTACCATCCAAAGAAGCCCTGTCGGAAGGACTTGCCCAGTAAGTATGCGAAAATCGCTGGTGCAAAATAGAGTCCCATTTGCTTGAACGCCAAGGCCATGCAAAAGAATACGCTCCCCAGAACATCCTGATCGGCCAAGAAGCTGTTAATTGCCCATAGCACTAAGCCCAACATGACAGCATTATACTGGAAGTGTCCACTGTCGATCAGGATGAGGCCCGGCTGCAGAAGGATCAAGATTAAAGCCGTATGCTTGCGGGTCCAAGGCTTGTTAGCAAACCAGCGATTCGTGAAGACGGTGACAGCAGAAAAATAGACGAGGATTTCGCAGATAAGAACGGTCGTGCGCATGTACAACTTGGCATCCGGAGACTCGAAGCCACGCGAGGTTTGCCATGCGAACCATTCTGGATTGATCTTGTCGCCGCTTTTTTTTTTTTTTTTTTTTTTTTGAAAACGATAATGAAATAAGTCACAGGCGATCTTTCATGCCATTGGAGTTTTCATAGGTAAAGCTTCCAGTAGATGTTGCTCGACTTACATGTATCCACAGATCCAAGAGACGTAGGCAGTCAAGGGTGGATAGTCAAGATCCCACCATTTGGACTGGTCAGAATACCATTCCCTGATCGGGCGGTGTATCGTCAACTCCATCCAGTGTCTTTGCGCCTCGTAATCACCGTATCTCGGAAGCGTCGCCATACCTATTTAAAGAGTGAAATAGTGTCTGTTATATGTGCATGTTCAACGATCAAGTGATGGCAAAACTCAATAGCCAGTTGTTTGCTTACCGGAGTAGGGTTCAAGGCCAACGATCCAGCGCACCAAGACAGCGATGGCGATGGCGATCCAGGATGCAGTCTTTTTGAGTTGGTTTTCTTCCAGCCAGGTTGCATATCGATAGGCGGCCAAGTTGAGCCTTGGTGCCTTTCCTATGTTGGTTGCCTGTGCAACATTTGTCACAGTCGTTGTGGTGATGATGGTGGTTGATGAGATGATCCTGGAGGTCGCATACTCGGTGGGCTCTGGGGTGTGGGAGGACGAGGAGGGCTCTTTGGCCCTGGAAGCTGTGGCAGGCTTGGCCTTGCTTCCCTTGGCACGAAGGGTTGTTGGGGCCATGGGATGGGAATGGTGATGTCGAGAAACAGATGCGAATTGAACGCGTCGCAGTCCAACAGTTCAGGGCATGCGAGGGAACCTTAAATGCAGTTTCATTAGCATCATACAGGGGAGTGTGGGGTAGCACAGCGGGCTTGGATACGAATCCTTCAGGAGGCACACACGATCCCTCCATCCCAGTCTCCGTTATGCTGGGCTCTGGTCTAGAGGAGGATGACCCTTTCTGTCTCCATGGACATGTTCACCAACGGCGTGCAAAGACTCTTTTGGGCCCACGCGGGTTGGCCATTGCTCGTCCTCTTCTCTCTTTTCCTGTCTTCTTCACTGCAGTCAAGGGCTGTGTCCCAGCGCCGACAACAACAACGCGTTCTTCCGCGCCAAATCGGTCAGCTCATTGCATCCTGTGCCTGAAAGTGGTCTTTGTGGGCTGCTTGCCTTGCTGACCCCATGATCTGATACCTCAGTGGATTCCATCAGTTATGCACAAGTATGCCGTGGGCTTCGCATGCGCATACTTATCGATCTCCAGCTTTTGCTCTCTCTCTCTCTCTCTCTCTCTCTCTCTGCCTGTAACCCTTTTTTTTTTTTTTTTTTTTTCTTGGCTGTTTTCAACCTCAAACTGCTCCTACTCATGAACATGGGAGCTGCTGGTCATCTTCCGAATACCACTCCTCCTCCGCCTCCTTCAAAGAACCGCATCATCTCGCACTGGGCAAGATCAACACCCGAGGAAGGCATCCAGGTCATCTTCAGCGCAGTCGAAGTACTCCAACGCGGAAGTAGTGGTGTTCGCATGGATACACATCCGCTTTCAGCAGAGAGACCCTGTCAGTGGGATATGACTCTCCGTTCTGCATACCCACCAACGTCGCCAGCACCACTGCGGCAGCGACCGTTATCGCCAACGCTCGAGTCAGATCCTTCTTCGCAGACTTCTCTTCTCTCAGAATTTGCGCCTTCTTCTCCACGGGCGATAGCAGCAGACGCAGCGGATGCGTCAAGTGTTTCGTCCGTGTATACTCCGTCGCCTACACTTCTTATTCTCACCCTAGATCGAATACATCAGCATGACATGGGTAGCGGAACGGGCGTATACATGGAGAATCCTACAGGAGCTTGTCGCACACGATGTGATGCTTATCGAACGCTCTACATCTACAGTCCTAAACTGAAGCGCGATATTTGCGTGCACTCCATCAAGAGAGAAAGCTGGCCCCAAAAAGGTATCAATAGCCACTCTTGAAAGTACAGGAACATGTCACGTATTGTGAAAACTAGAATATTTATAAGCACCTACACCCTGTCAAAGTTGTGTTCGATGGAGTGGATGTAGCGGAGAATAGTGGCCAGGAGTACCATTTCCAGATATGGCTTGCCGGAGCCAGCCCGAGACAGATGGATGCGAGGACAAGCGCCATGCTTGACCAGTGCCAACAGCTACTATGGGTCCTGCGAAAGGATTCGGCCACCGCGAATGTCGAAATTATCGTCAGGGACATGAACCCAACTAGCGAGCAAAATGAAGAGCAGCACCGTTCCGAAGGCGTCAGCTGCAAAGCCAGGAAAACAGAAGTGTCCCATCACACAGGGGATGACAAGGACAGCAGCGCGCGCTCAAGGTCGTATTCCCGAGGCGGCAGTCGATCAGTCCATCGTCCCGGTGGGAGTGGCAACAACGAGACTGGATCTACCGTTTGCGAAGATATCTTGCAAGTGCGAGGAGTCGTCTTTCGAGCCCACAAGTGTATCCTTGAATCTGCTCCATTTTTCACTCGTATGCTGAGCGGCGTCTTTCGTGAAGCACAGGAGGACGAGGATGGGAAGTACAGGATCGAGCTATCGAACGACATGTTTAATGTTGAAATCATGGAGCATCTCTTGGACTACCTGTACACCAGGGAGCCAATCTCAAACGAGATTGCCCCTTCCTATGCTCATGGGCCTCACCATCTGTCCCCAACAGGAATACTCTCATCGTCCAGCGCATCCAACGAGCCTCAGGTCAGACATATCATTAGCGCAAATGTCGGTCTCAATCTGGAGACCATTGTTACGGAAACTCGAAACCCACCAGGCCTTTACCGCCATCGCAGCCATCACCAGTACCTGCTTCCGACAGCGAGTCTCACGCTATGGCACTGGGGTGCTCTCTACAGGGCAGCGATGCATTTGGAGGACAAGGAGTTGCAGGCTCACTCGCTGCATCAGATCCAGGCGCATTTGGATCCCGAGTCGACGTTGGAACAGGTGTTGACATGGGGACATCAGCACGCGGAAGTCAAGTCTGTGATGCTGGAGTACTTGATTAAGAAGCGGCGCGAGGTCTTTGGAGATGAGCAGCGAAGCAAGTTGAGGCCGTATTTGTGGGCAGAATACGAGGAGCAGGTCGAGACGTTGGTGGAGATCACGAGTCAACTAGCCAGACAGTAGCGGGTCCAATGCAGAGCAGTATATGTTGATGAATAAAGGATTAGCTGTGAGCATATCCATGGTCGAGAGCACAGACGAAGGGTCTAACATTCCACAACGGTCCGATAGATAGTCAATCTTCACTCAGGAAATTGCGCGGTCCGATGCGAGGCGCGTGGATACTACACCTGGACCCCCACTGCAGAATGTCGACCATGGCATAGTGTTGCTCATTGGACTGTCGTAGCGTGCCCACAAACTTTAATAACAACGCCTATATATGGATACAGATGACCCTGTGGGTCTTCATGCTGATAGTATTATTATTATTTTGGCTCATAAGCACGCTGGTCCCTTTTGATGATATGGTAGGCGTCCACAAGAAAACTGCCACAATGAGAACCCTATTTGCCCGAGTCCAATTGGCAGCACCAACCGGTCAAGAATGCTCTCAAGACACAATAGCCTAGCGCTGTCCACGCATGACACCCACCTTCCATTCCAGGGCTAAATGGTACATGTGCGTCGCACTATCGGATGGGGCCAGGTTTATCCAGCTACCGTGCATTCATCCCCCATCGCTTCTTGTACGCCCGGCGACATAATGCAATGCTGCATTGCGCTATATTATCGCAGTGCTCTCTCTTAGTGCCTGCTCCTCAGCTCCCTGGTGTCCCCCTTCTAGCATCCCCCTAGACAGCCTCTTCCTCTGTGATAACGCGCAAATAAAGCAACAACCGCCAGGGTTACATTCAAACCCGTCGTGTCCAGCTCCCCGCCTCTTTTTAATATCGAAACAGAAATTATCAACTATCATGAGAGCCGTGTGCTCCGCTCACCGAGGAGAAAACTGTAACACCATAAAAAGGACCTTGTCTGCAACTTTCCACTTTTCTCCTTGTTCCTCAAGAATCCCCCATACCTCTTCCCCTACCTACCTACTTATCTGTATTCACCTCCCGCTTTCCGCTCTCCACCCCTTCTTCGTCCTCACTCTCGTCCCCTGCATTTCCTCTCTCTCATCACAAATTATGAAGATCATTGCCTCCGTCCTATCACTGGCCGTTGCAGTTCTAGCCGTGGCTGAAGCTCGCCCTGAGGGCAAGATGGAGCTCGTCCGCAATCCAAACTACAAACCCAATGCCAAGGCCCAGATCGCGAAACTCAACAAGCGTTATCCTCACCTCAACATCCTCGGCCGCGGCGCTGGTGGCACGGGCAAGGTGCCCCTGGTCGATGTCAAGCCCGACCTTGAATACTACGGCTCCATTAAGGTCGGCACACCCGGCCAGGAGTTCCGCCTGGACTTTGACACGGGCTCGTCTGACATCTGGTTCCCCACTTCGACCTGCACGGCTCCTGCCTGCAAGAGCCACCGCCGTTTCAACGCCGCTAAATCTAGCACCTACAAGAAGGACGGCCGAAAGTGGTCGATCGGCTACGGCGATGGTTCCAGCGCCAGCGGCATCCTGGCCTCGGATATCGTAGATGTGGGCGGAATCAAGGTCCGTCAGACCATTGGTCTAGCCACGAAGGAGAGCGTCGATTTCGAAGAGTCACCCGAGGATGGTCTCTTCGGATTGGCCTTCAACAACATCGAGTCCGTGGCCGGTGTGAAGACCTTTATGGATAACGCGATCGCGAACGGCAAGCTGAAGGATCCTATTATCTCGGTCTTCTTGCCCTCGGAGCGCCGCAATGGTGGAAAGGGCGGTAACTACCTCTTTGGAGACATTGACCATTCTCTCTACACGGGTGAGCTGCATTACGTCCCTGTGTCACGTGCTGGATACTGGCAGGTCAAGATCGATGGACTCATGATTGATAATAAGTCGCTGAACCAGGCCTCTCAGGGAGTCATTGATACCGGCACGACCTTGATCATCCTTGGTGACGCTGCTGCGGAGGCTGTCCACAAGACTATCAAGGGCTCGAAGAACGATCCCGTGAACGGATGGACTGTGCCTTGCTCGATCAAGAGCTCCAAGGGAAACTTGGCTTTCCAGATGAATGGCAAGTACTTTGATGTCCCGCTCGCCGACCTTGCATACGAACCCGTCGACGAAGGAAGTAAGACCTGTGTCTCGGGCGTGCAGGGTGGTCAGGATGGCTTGTGGGTCTTGGGTGATGTCTTTATCAAGAACAACTACTGCGTCTTTGAGCAATCCAAGAGCCCAAGGATCGGCATTGCCCCTCTCAAGTATTAGATGTATATTAGATATATTAGCGCAGGAGGTGTCACAAAACGACCATTCATGATACCAATAAAACAAAAGCATAAAACCAACTGGCCTTTATTGCCTTCTTTTTTTTTTTTTTTTTTTTGGTATTTGTGTTGTCCTCTTGGCTAGCGATGCCCTCCACTCCTGCAACAGCAAACACGTTGATCTGAAGAGTGTTGCTTGGAATTTTTCTATCGTTGTCACCTGGAAGGGTTGCTGGGACGAGGATGGACCCGCGCTCAAGACTATTTCAGCCATGATTTTGCGCTTCGCACCGCTTTATATAGCTGACCACTAGGGCGTCAATTTCATTGAACAACGCCTCCCCGATGACGACTTTGGTACTGTCGTCCTCCGCACCCGATGGACTGCTCTTACCACATTGCTGGGAAACACTTTGTCGACCTCGTCTTTTGTCCTCCTTCTGCCCCTTCTGCTGCGATTTCTGTCCTGGCGCAAGTGTGGTCCCCGCCGTAGTTTCGAAATGGTTATCCTTGCTGTCCTTGTCCTTGTGACCGCAGGTCTGGATATTGAGTCTGAGGGCGGTGTCCTGTACGATATGGGCACCTGGTCTGGAAAGCATCTCTGCCTTGGTCGATCTCTTCGCACCGGAAAGAATGTTCTTGATATCGCTTGAATTGGTGCCGTGCTTGGATAAAGCATTCTGAAGACTGCTGTGAGAGGCTGGTCCGGCGACCTGGAGCGGTAAATTCTTGACAAGGCTCATCACCGTATTCACCTTGGCAACGTTGGACATTGAACTTGATGTGAGATCTTCCGGCATTATGGCGGACATAGGGGCGTGGGTTTTGGTGGTGTTGAAGGTGGGAGCAAAAGCATCCGGAGAGCGCCCACTTGGATCCACTGGAAGGTCTTCTGCTCTATGCATGTTCGAGACGGCGGTGTCGTCCATGTCCTTGGATTGCCGAATAGGATTTTCCGGTGTTCTTGAGGATGCGGGAGGGGATAACGGCAGTGATGACGACGGGTGGTCTGGTAAAGAAGGGTCCGATGGGACAGGCGCGAGTGGCGGTGAAGAATGTGAAGTCGCCAAGGAATGTGTCTCTTCTTCATTCCCCTGCTCCTGTATTTTTTCCTCATTCTTGGATGTGGGCTTGATGGTGCCTGGACTGACTGTAGCGTTGATCTGGTCCTTGTAGAAGACATCTAACACCGCGCCAGGCATGTACTCGATACGGAATGGTCGCAACCTATGCGACGAAGAGAGAAACGCGTAAGTAAGCAGGGCAAGCTCGACAATGGTCGCAGGAAAAACAACAGTAATTGACGGCGGTGTTCAGCAATTAACCTACCGATACTCGCGCTGACATCTCATAAGGGGTACCAGGGCATCATCATCCTGAACGCGAACTATACCTGGGAAGGCGAGGCGAAGGTCACCCCAGAAAACATATTTGAGACCAGTCGAAAGGCTCTCCGTGACCTTTACGCGTATGAGGGATCCGCGCGAACGGAATTGCTGATATTCTGGTTTTATTAATGACATGCAGCGTCGCAATATGTAGAGCGGGGAAAAGGATGAAGGATCGGGAGGAGGGGGAGGGGGAAAGGAAGGAATGAAGTAAGGATGAGGGATGGAATGAAAAGTGGGATGAGAGATCCTTTACGGGGTTTTGCAAGAGAGCAGCACAGCAATGAAGTAAGAGGTCCGTGTAGCAGTGTGTCCCCATGCTTGTGTACGTGTGATCGAGTAGAATACGTACGCTTGACATTACCAACGCGTCTTCGGGCCCGTCTTTTCATGCCTAGGATGTCTAGGACATCTAGGATATCTTCGTTGACAAATTGCTTACTGTAGACCTCCACCATTACACGATCACACTCGGCGTAAAAGCGGTGCATTTACGTGGAGAACGGATCGGCTAGGGCCTCTTTCAGATGCACGCACGATATTTGTCTCGCCAAGGGGGGGGGGGGTTCGCTCCAATGCTTGAGATACGTGGCAATAGGGGTGCAAAAGAAGGAACGAAAATAACGCGCTAGAGGCGTTCATTTTCTGCGCGGGCTGTGTCCGTCACATGCGCGTCCCTGAGACCTGAGACATATATAAAGGGATAACCGAACCCTCGCCATCAATTCCTTCCTCATCACCACTTTTTCATTCTTTCATCCAACCATGGCCATCCCCACTGTCTACCCAACTAGCCATGAAGAAGCGGTACAACCCACTTGCTCCCCACCCAGCATTGTGCTGGAATTCGCTCATGTGTGTGCATCAGTCAATGTTCCTAAAACCAACTTTTGGTTTCCTATTCACCGCTGCAGGCGCTGCTGGAGCCCTACACTTACATCTGCTCAAACCCTGGCAAGGAGATGCGTACAGAGCTGATCGAAGCATTCAATACGTGGATCAAAGTGCCCCCAAAGGAGCTTTCCATCATCACCAAAGTCGTCAAGATGCTTCACACCTCAAGTCTTTTGTACGGCTTGGAAAAAAAAAAAAGTGTGCTCCACGACTAAGAGCAACAATGGGAACTTTGTAATTGACTTGGAAAGCTGCTGCCCCTGTTCTCTAGGATTGACGATATTGAGGACGACTCTATATTGCGACGAGGTGAACCAGGTAATGGAATTTCCGCTTCTTTTTGTCACTTGGACAGATCAGGAGGAGGAGATGATCCCCCCCCTATGAGCTCGGTGCTGATCTGCTATGTGTCGTACAGTCGCGTGACGCGACGTTTGTGCTCCCCTGATGTCCTTTTGGTGCTGCCAAAGCGGTAAATACTAAATGTGTTATCCACTTCTGTTTTCTTGCGCTTTAAAAATAGTCGCCCACAAGATATTTGGAGTGCCGGCAACAATCAATTGTGCAAACTACGTTTATTTCTTGGCGCTCGCAGAGCTGAACAAGATTCCCAACCCAAAGATGCTCACCATCTTCACTGGTACGGCTTCTCAGTTGCTGAGCTGGATGAACTTGGAACTGATGCTGCTTTGAGTGGATTTATTGTGCATCCCATTGACATGGATCATGTTTTCGTATCTTGTAGAAGAATTACTGTGTCTGCACCGAGGACAAGGAATGGAGCTGCTGTGGAGAGATAGCCTAACCTGTCCAACAGAAGAGGAATATATCGCCATGGTAAACGATAGTAAGGACATTTTCAGGAACATGAAGATGCAGTTGATGGGAAAGCTTGGATTACAAAGATTGGTACTGACGTTGCATCCACTCTTACCTTGTATGACCTTTTGTTATGGCATAGAGACGGGAGGTCTACTACGTCTTGCCGTTAAACTGATGCAGGCTGCCAGCGATTGTCAAGTGTATGTTGCTCGTTTCATGCTCAATACCTTGGTATCCTACAAGCACATCAAATCCACGACCTTGACTCTACTTGTTTCGTTGAAACTACTTTCGAATCAATAGAGACTATGTTCCAATGGTAGAATTGATCGGTATCCATTTTCAGATCAGGGATGACTATCTCAACCTCCAGTCCAGTCAGGTAGAGCAGAATGAGGTATTAAGTTGCCATATCTCCTATGAAGGTTCACCATATTTACAAGTTTCAATATTCTTTATTCAACCATCTTGACTCTAGTACTCGGCTAACAAAGGATTCTGCGAAGACTTGACTGAAGGAAAATTCTCGTTTCCAATCATCCACTCTATCCGCGCCGACACCTCCAGTCGAAAGCTCTTAAGTACGTCAACTTCAGCAGCGGACATCTGCTACGCTTAACGCCACGCCATTGACATGAGGAGGGGGGAGGAAACAGGAATAATACCAAACTAACATTGGAAATGAACTTTTCGCTTCTAGACATCCTGAAACAAAAGCCCACAGAACCAGAGCTCAAGACCTACGCTGTCAGCTTAATGAACGCTACAAAGACCTTTGAGTACTGCAGAGAACGGATGGCATATTACGAGGAAAAGACCCGGGAAGAGGTCCAACGACTCGGTGGAAACGCAAGGCTGGAAAAGATCATTGATCGATTGAGTATCCCAGACCCTAACGTCGATGCCAACAAGGATGTGGTCCCAATGTTCATCGCCAATTCTGAGCACAAATAGTACACTACCGACCGCTCCCTATCATTGGAGAAAGCATAAAGATATAATAAACATAGACGCGGCTACAAACGACCAGCTTGAGTTTTTTTTTTATTCAACTAAAATCGCATTGGATTGATCGTCTTGGTTCTAGTAGTACTTCTCGCCATTGACAAGAAGATCGCTCATGTCCAGATCGATTGGGTCGAGAAGCTGGCACCACCGGAGACGATACTGCCATGGAGACTTGCCCGACTGCATCGCCTTCGCGACCGAGTACCAGTCATCCCTGCCCACGAACGTAACCATTCTCAGAAGCATCTTATCCTCGTTCGGAGTCCAATTTGTATGTCGGATCAAATACTGGAACGAGCTTTCCCAAACGCGTTTACAGGGCATCTTTTTCCAGCCAGGTCCCATGATCTTTTCGATCTCTGTCCATTGATGATTCTGAAGATGCTCTGCTCCTTCATGACCGCCCTGCATGCCCTCAGTATCGCCTATTGTATCCTTGACCGCACGTAAGAGCCGATAATACTCTTCCTCGTCAAGTATCGTTGCCTTATCAGAGATGCGGAACCAATGTCGAATAATATCATCCTTGGTCATGTGTGGCAGGAAATGGTCCCTAATCGCCGTCAACTTCTTGGGTCCCAGAAGCCGAACTCCTTCTTCTAGCTTTTTGATGTCCTCGTGTTTCCAGACCACCTGGCTTGAGTTGTCGTGCAAATACTTCCAATGGTTCTTGCAGACGCGCGACGTCGCATTTGGGTGCACGCGTCGAGAAACCCATAGCCAATTGATTTCGTCAAGATGAATTGCTCGAGACTTGTATGCCTGACGGACCACAGCTTGCAGACGTACGGAGAGCTCCTTATCCCAGACGAAAGCCTGACTCTTGGCTACTTTGGTCGTCCCAGCCGCATGGGTACCTGCATTAGCTTGAACGTTTTCTGAGAGTACGGCATCTGTGACGGCATTTGAGTCGTTATCGTCCGAGAATGAAGGTCCGCTCTTTTCTTCATAGTCGAACACCTTGTCCGTCAAGGATGATGAAGGTGATGGGATTGACGACGACAAAGATGAGGATGCCGGTGATGAGGACGATTCCGGCCCGTTGTTAGAATCGCTGGTACCTTCACGTTGCAGATGCTGCGAAGAATTATCGCTATTGTTTATCGAGGTGACCACTGGCATGTCCAGATTTTTCCAGCAGATCCGACACTGTTCCGGAGTAAACCTGCTCTTCAGTCCTTGCCTAGCGACGACATCCCATTTGTCCAAGCCATGCTTCAACACAAACTGAATCAACACCGCCTCCTCCTTGGCAGACCAGCCGGGATTCATCAAATACAGCTGCGAGAACGCATCCAGCTTCACCTTCTTCTTCCACGACCGATAATGACTGTACCGCTGCTCGTTCCTCAATAACGAATTCCAGCTCAACCGATCGTAATCCTTGTCCACCTGCTGGACCAGCCGCAGATTCGACGCCATCTCGCGCACGCTTTGGAGCTGCTCCTGGGCATTGGTGCGCTGCTGTTCGATCTGAAACTCCTGCTCTTGCCGCTGCTGTCTTTGCTTCTTCCGCCTTTGACGCAGTGCTGCCTTATCGTCCTGACTCTGGCTCGAAGGCACCGCGGCAGCTGCCAGACCCTCTAAGCCCATCTGTCGCCATCGTTCCATGCACGCCAAGCGGTGCACCCCCATGATCTGTGCGATCTCGGCCCAACTCTTGGCGGCGGTCACGAGCGCGTCCAGTTCCTGGTCCCGTTCCGAGGTCCAAAAATCCTTCAAAGTCGGATTTAGTGTGGATTCGAAGCGGGTCATGCAGGTGGCGGGCTCGCGCCCGAGTTGCTGTCCAATTTCGAGCCATTTTCTGTTCTGCACCGTGCGTAATTCCAAGAGAAGGGCGTCTGCTTCAGGGGTCCAATCGGGCTTCTGGCGCTTGCTGGGTTTCTTGACTTTGGTGATCGCTTCAGAGACCTCTCCGGATACTGCTGCTGCCTCAGGTGTGAGTATGGAGGTGGTCGCTGTCGTAGCGTTCGTAGTCGCATGATGGGAGGATTCTGATGTTGCTGTCGAGCTGTGTGAAAAGAGACGGATCCGGGTGGGTTGGGATCGATCGAAGTTGGATCGGTACGGCTGTGATGAGCGGGTAGCAGTGATCCCGCAGGGCGATGTCTTGTGTGGAAGGGCGGATCGTGCCAACCAGAGTGAGACGAATCGTTGTTGGAGCTGATTCGTCAGTGCCGTGGCAGGGAAGCGTGGTGGAACCATCCCGTGCGTGAGTGAATGAATGAATGAATGAGTGAGTGAATGAGTGAGCAGATTTTGCAGGGCTGTCCCTGGAGGAGAAAAAAATAACGAAATCGGACGCCACCAATTTTGTGCTGTTTTCCTTAGTGATTGTAACTCGAGTTAACTCGAGTTAACTCTTCGATGACCTTACTGAATGTATTGTCAATTATAGTCTTTTTATTTAAGACATTATTGCTAATTGACAATGCAATCAGCGATGTCATCGAAGAGTTAACTCGAGTTAACTCGAGTTACAATCACTGTTTATTCGTTTTTGCTGCACTTTTGCTGGCGCCGGTATTGCTCATCTTGATGGCAACAGACCGTGGGATCATCAGGCGAGCCATGCTCTGCTGCAGTTGATCAATCTCCATATCAGCCACGTCCTTCGATCCATCGGTAACAGCCTTCGATCCATCGGTAACAGCCCCCGATGTTGCTTTGGATTGCTCAAGAGGTACAGGCATAGGGTCCATATCCATGTCATGATCTACTGTGATGGACCTCTTTCTAAATGCTGGTTTATGCTCTGATGTCCTATACTGCCGGAACGTGTTCTTCTTGGGCGCCATTGCCGACGGGCCCATTGCTGCTGACCCAGATTTCGACGGCAAAGAACCACGTCGATTTGCATCTTGGTATGTCGATGTTGTCACAGCTGGATCGATCTCCATACTCCCTGGGCCCCTTTCGCTGCCATGGCCCTGCGCCTTCTGATGTTGAGATTTCGATGCCTGCTCGTTCGCTTTTTGCCGTCCCCGTTCCCTTGATTCCCACAAAGCCTTCTCTCTTTGCACCTGCTTCATTCTTTCTCCAAATGGAACAACACCAGTCAAAATGATTGAAAAATTGAACCGCTTCGGGTATTGATGTTTGTCGATCAAATGCATTTGTCTCTTTTTCGGTGTTGAGCATACACGGTCGCATCCTTCGACAAAGCACTGGTACTATTAGGGTGTGAGAAAACGATATTCAGAATAGATCATCAGTATCAGAACATTCTTGTGACCTCGACAGAGATCAAGTAAGCGACGTTATGAGGTAACTCAGCGTTGAGTGGGCTTACAGTCTTCTCGCCGCGCTCTTGCCTGATCTTGATCATGACATCGTGCACCTCACGAAGATGCAACTCCAACCACTTCTCTCCAGGGAACGGCTTCCGACAGGTTTCGCAGATATGGCGATGGTTGGTCTCATAGTGGTGTTCGTATGCTGCAGCGTTCGGATATGTTCTTTCTCCATGACATTGACCGACATAGCATGCCTGAGCCGGTCTATTCAGCACACCCACACGCAAATACGAGGTAAAAACCGTGTTAGGTCGCGCTCTGTGTTGAGAAGATGCGGAGACAATACGAAGAGAACGGATCTTACGTTAGATGGGAATGTGTCTCCATGGTGCCGTGGTTACTATCGTCAGGATCGACTATGTCTGGGATATATGCGTTTTCATTCTCGAGACGAAGCCATGCTGCTTTGTATTCGTATGTACCCTCCTGAAAGAACGGATCGTCCTGACGCAGCGGTCTCTTTCTCGGAAAATGATTCGAACTGTTGAATGCAGGGTGTGGTGGGGAGCTGGACTGAGTGTTGCTGCCGTTGGTTGTTGTGAATGCAGATTGGTCGATTTCCATGGTCGCTGTCTTGTTGTATCGTTGAGTGTACTGTACAGCTACAGTTCATACAAGATCAATGTTTGCAAGCTCGTGACTTTTGTACTCTCGGACATCCTGATCTTCGGTCGGTCCCCGGAATCCGCGTTTGAACCCTTTACCTCTCGGACAACAAACATCGCCATGAACTCAGGACTGATCCACACAGGAAAGGCTGCACAGCGACAATTCGGCTTTTTGGTCAGCGGGAGTAAAAGATCATCAGTATGGAGTCGTGCACTGATTGTACCCACGGTTGCACGCCGTCAGTACGCACACATTCACGATCACAACTGCGACCACGATCATGGCCATGACCACAAGAAACAATCGCCCTTCACCCTCGGATCCAGTGCACGCTCCTCGAAAAAAAGCAGTAATACAAAGAGAGAGCTCTTGCCCCGTCCAGATAAGGCGATCGAATACTGCCAGGATCTTGTCCGGTGCGTTTCTTCGAAAGAGACATTTTGGGCATTAAAATGATGTGTACAGATCGACTGACGATTTATTGTTCTGGCGATTCTTTATGTGTTGTAGGAAAGCAGATTATGAAGGGTTCCTCTGCACGCATTTCTTTCCGAAACACCAGCAATCAACACAGATGGCACTTCGAGCCTTCAACATCGAATTGGCCTCGATCCGCGAATCGGTCAGCAACACAGATATCGGGCGCATGCGCATGCAGTTCTGGAGAGATTCGCTCGATAAGGTCTTTGCAGGGGTGCCTCCACAGCAGCCCGTTGCTTTGGCGCTCGCCTATGCCATCCAGGAACAAGAGTTGTATAATCAACAGCAACAGCAAGGTGGATCAACCCCGGGTACTGGAAACTCGGAGATGTCACTGATCTGGTTCAAGCGCATGATCACAGAGCGAGAGCAGAATCTGTCTGATCCACAGTTCATGACTCTTGGTCAGATGGAGACGTATTGCGAAAACACATTTGGATCGCTGCTTTATCTGCAGCTGGAGTCTGTTGGCGTTAAGTCCCTGGAGGCGGATCATGCGGCCAGCCATTTGGCCAAGGCTATGGGTATCGCCACTATGCTGAGGGCGTTCCCTTTCCATATGCAACAGAACCGGATGATCATCCCTGCTGAGATTACTGCCAAGGTAACAAAAAAAAAAGGCGCTTGCGGATAGGGAGGACCAATGGAGGGAGTCCATCCCACGTAATCAACACCTCTCTAACTTTGGTTTTTATTTTTATTTTTATTTTTCAAAATACCACACAGCACAACTTGTCGCAGGAGGCACTTTTCAGGAACCCAGCGATAACCCCAGCACTACAGGACTCAACGCACGAGGTCGCATCAGCAGCGCATGTACATCTTGCGACAGCACAGTCGTATATGGACAACTTGCCCAAAGCAGCTCTCCCTGTGCTGATGGCGGGCATTCCAACAGAGTCATATTTGCAGCGGTTAGAGCAAGCGGATTTTAATCCGTTGGCACCAAACATCCAACAGCGCGAATGGTTCCTGCCTGCGAAGCTGTGGTACCGCTGGCGACGGGGCAAACTCCTAGACATCAAGTAGTGGGTCCTCTCTTCTCGCGATGTATCATATCAGCTTAATAAATAGAGAAGGCATGTTTGTGGAGACACTAGGACAATGGCAATAATGGGGAACCCCAAGCAGTGCACGACCGGGGATTAGAAAGGGCGGCATTTGAAGCACCGAAAGGTCGTCACATGATATGCCTTGAGTCACCCAGTGTCAACCTTGACGGAGAATTTATCTCCCTCGTCCATAGCCATGCAGCTCCTTTGAAAAGGGCAGGGCGACGTGGAGTTCAAGGGGACCCGGCAGTCAAGCGATCAAGCCATGAAGCCCTTGACGACTGCAAGGACAACATTCTATTTGCTTTTGAAAAAACACGGCCTGCCTTCATCGCTGCGATATGATGCATCAGGTCGATCTATGTACTTATTCGAGGTGTTCATTGGAACCTTGTTTCAAGGGTGCCGAACTGATATGTATACAAGTTCATGGATGCAATTGCAAGGGCCGATTGGGCCAGACGATCTGCTTGTACACTTAGGTTAGAAGGAGAGACCGCCCTGGGGCATATGGAGAAGAGACGTGTGATGTGGCGGATGGCCACGCGGGCTAAAGGCACAAGAACTTTAAAAGCGGCCGAGGGGAGTCCTTATCGGCAAGGAGATTCCCACATGAGGACAGTTCAAACAAATCCCCTGTGGCGATATTTTTTTTTTTTATATGGTTTGGGTTTCGGCAGATATAAAAAGGAATCAGAGAAAGCACACTTTCTTCTTTTCCTCCTTCTTCCTAACTCCCTTATCGCACACTCACCACAGCATCGCTTTTGCCCTCAAGCTACTCCCCTCGTGTTGTTTATCCTGACAGAATAAGCGACCACACAGCGGAAGCCTTCCACACCTACTCTTCTGTCCTAGCAGTACACCTTTCCATGTACTCCCACTCGCAAGAAAAGAACTCTGCCGATTACATCTCTGACCAAGGTAAGCAAGCAGCCAGAGCAATTGCAACTGCAATAGCATTCTTCAATTGCAGCGATCTTTCAATTGCTTCTTCATGTTCAGTGCCGGCGAATACTGTCCAGATACTGACATTCTGCACTTCATCTTATCTCTTTAGTCTGGAAGAACGCCAATCCAAACCAGCTCTAAGCACATCATTCACACCGTTATTCAGTACCACAGCACCACTTTTTTTTTTTTTTTTTGTTCCAAGTGCAACTAGTTTTATACATACTTGCACGCTTTCACCCTCTGTTTTCCATCCTCGTTGCCACTATCCTTTCACCACTCTTCTTTACCATTGAACCTTTTCTTTCGAGTCTTTCTACTCGTCTCTCCTCTCTTCTTTTACTGCCTCGTCCTCGTTTCTCTCTTTCATCTTAACCCACATATCTTTTTTTTTTTTTTCGGTTACCAATTTTTTGAGCCGATTTCTCCATCTCTTTTTGATTCTTACACAGTTCCCTTTTCAATTCCTCTTCGTTTTAATCCTCCTGGTTTCTACTCCTGGTTCCTTCCACGACAAAAGTCATCGAGATTAATCCCATCGGTCAGACCAACCCCCAGCTCTTATAATCAACAACTGCCTCAGCAAAAAATACGCCTTTCTAAAAGAAAAAAAATTATCAATCAAGAAAATCAAGAAAATCGCATACATATCACATCTCATTAGCAGTCTCTCTCCGACAAGCGATCTCTCCAGCCTATCGAAAAGCGCCAAACTAGAATACTATTCAGAAACAGCAAATAACCAACACAAACAACTATCCAACATGAGCATCTTCCGCCTCGCCGCCGCCTCTGCCTTGACCCGCTCCGTGGTCTTGCGCCCTACCCTCGCCCGTGCCGCCTTCAAGGCTGCCGCCCCCCACCGCAGCCTCGCCACCGTCGCCGACACTGTCTTCCCCGTCAACAAGGCTGCGCCCAAGAAGCCCACCCAGTACTCTGCCCCTTACCAGTTCGACTCGTCTGCCCCCAAGGCTACGCCTGCTGCCCTCAAGTTGAAGTCCGGACATGTCTTCACCGGCACTTCCTTCGGCGCCCAGAACTCGTCTTTTGGTGAGGCCGTCTTCACCACGTCCTTGGTCGGCTACCCCGAGTCCATGACCGATCCTTCGTACCGTGGCCAGATCTTGGTCTTCACCCAGCCCCTGATCGGAAACTACGGTGTGCCCTCGCAGGAGAAGGATCAGTTCGGACTGCTCAAGTACTTCGAGTCCAACAAGATCCAGTGCTCCGGCATCGTTGTCAATGACTATGCGACCAAGTACTCGCACTGGACCGCCGTCGAGTCCCTCGGCGAGTGGTGTGCGCGTGAGGGCATTCCTGCGATTTCAGGAGTCGACACTCGCGCCATTGTTCACCTGCTCCGTGACCAGGGCTCGACCCTCGCGAAGCTGGAGATCGGCGATGAAGTCCTGGAGAACAAGGAGGTGGTCGAGTTCCCCAACCCCAACACCCGCAACCTTGTCTCGGAGGCGAGCACCAAGGAAATCTATGAGTTGAACCCCATGGGCGATGTCAAGATTGCGCTCATTGATTGTGGAGTCAAGGAAAACATCCTCCGTTGTCTGGTGGCCCGCGGTGCGTCAGTGACGGTCTTCCCCTGGAACTACGACTTCAACAAGGTCATGGATCAGTACGACGGCCTCTTCATCTCGAACGGACCCGGCGATCCACGCGCTGCCATGGCCACGGTCCAGAACCTGGCCACAGCCTTCCAGAACCCTGCGCCCAAGCCCATTTTTGGAATCTGCATGGGCAATCAGCTCATGGGCATGGCCGCTGGTCTGGACGTGTACAAGCTGCAGTTCGGAAACCGTGGCCACAACCAGCCTGCGATTAACATGCAGAACGGTCGATGCAGCATCACGTCGCAGAACCACGGGTATGCTTTGGAGGACTCTGCTTTGGCCCCGGGCAAGACCTTTAACGGATGGGAGAAGTACTTTGTCAATGCCAACGACGGCTCGAACGAGGGTATCCGCCACACGGTCAAGCCCTTCTCGTCGGTTCAGTTCCACCCCGAGGCGAAGGGAGGCCCCCAGGATACGGAGTACCTCTTTGACGACTTCCTGAACGTCGCTCGTGCGGAGAAGGCCAAGATCAGCAGCAAGCCCTTCTTTGTCTCGGAGGGATTGACCAAGGATGCGCCCAAGTCCGTCGAGATTGCCGTCTAAAGCTCCGGTTGACGCGTACGATTCCCCCTCCCCCTCATGTTGTTTACCCAGTTGTTTTTGTTTTTTTTTTGTATTTCTTTTAATATTTGCCTTCTATGTGTTCTATCTGTTTCCCCATCTTTTCAATATGTTGGATTGATCCTTCGGATTGAGTTGCGTTGACGACCAACTGCGCGGTTCTACTTTTTCGTTGATCATGACAATCTCTTTTTATTCTTCTATTTTGCTTTCAGTTGTCGATTGGTGGGATTGGTTTGCTCCATGAACGGAGAGCGGGTTATAAAAAAAAGGGAAAAGTTGAAAAAAAAAAAAGAAGAGTGCGAGAAACGCGACCAAACTATATAACAAAAAAAAAAGAAGATCGCTGTGAGTCTAGACAAAAAGAAGAAAAAAGGCGGAGCAAAAAAAAAGAAAAAAGGAAAAAAAGAGACGAACCCAGAAAAAGAATTGACTCTGAGATGAGACTTTGATGAAGAAGACGATGGTCCAAGGCGAGTTGACAAAGAGAACAAAAGAAAACGGAGGCATCCCGACCAAACTAGTTGCTTTCCCACTTTCTTCTCTTCATCTCCTTTCCGCAAACCCTCATTTTCTTTCTTGTTGGTTTTTTTTCTTCTTGGTTCTTTTCATGTCCCCCTTTTTTTTTTCTCTTTTCCTTGCCGAATTCGATAGCTCCTGTTCTACTCTCTCTTGATGTCGATCTCTTGTTAGATCTCTTCTTGCTTCCTTTGTTCTATTTTGTTTCTAACAACTTTTTTAACATTCATACTGCTCCATTTTTGCAGCACGCTTTCTACATCAATTGCAGTCCAACCATCGTTTTTTTGTTTCGAGAAAAAAAAATTTATGAAAACCATCTTTAAAAAAATCAATAAAACTACTATGTGCAAAAGTAATATCTGATGGGGATGCATGGTCTCTATGAAAATGTGTGGAAAATGAAAAAAGAAATGGGTCCGGGGTGATCTCAGACGCTTTCCAAGCACGTCCCCTCCCCTGCAGATGTGCGTGCAACGGATGTTTCAGGATCATCAAAAAAGAAAATGCGATCGCCCAACGAACGGACTCTGACAAACAGTGCAGGCGACAAAAAAAGACACGCACGCATGCACACACACACACACGCACACACACACAAAGCAGCATTGAGAAAATTATAAAGACATGTATGAAATGACGTACGTACACGTCCGGTACCTGGCACTAATAGTGTGCGGATGTTTCCGGATGATGGCAATATAAAGTTTCCTACCTGTTCCTACAGTAGACACCCGTCAAGCCAGCCAGGCGGGCGACCCCTCCTTTCATTCCATGTGAATGAAAAAAGCATGTGTATAGTGCACTTTCCATTTGTGATCTCACCATGACATCGATGGTATTATTTATTTTATTATTATTATTATTATTGACTGACAAAAGGGACCAAGGGGGAGAGAGTCAGGTACAAATATACCAAAAGGTTAATTGAAAAATAAGCAGCGATGATGGAGGAGTGCTTGTTGCTGCTGCTGCTGCTGCAAATGACGAGACTGGGATATAATAAAAAGAGTCCACGGATGCACAGAGAGAGACCTTTTGTTCTGCGGCTGTTTTCTGAATTGAATTGGGAGCAGTTGTAGCCCAGTTGATTTCCCCCCAAAGAACCGGTACATGTGCCATGGACACAACAAGACAAAAGGGTATATAAACTCGCCCTTTGCAAAGCAACATGTAGACTACATATACATGTACATTCATGAAGACTAACTTTGTGGGTGCCTGGCTTTGTCTGTTGGGGTCCCCCCTTTCGCCTTTCCTTGTTTGGGCAAAAGGGATCTCTGTGTGGGGTGGAAAATACTCGAGCGAGCGACGAGCGACGAGCGGGGGGGACGGACTTTTTTTTTTTTTTTTTTTTCTGGGGTTGACCAATCAGCGCGCTTGCTGAAGAGTCATATAAAAATCCAATTGTGTCAAGAGCGGGGGCGGGGCATGGTCTCGCACATGGGAAGGAAGATATTTGACCTGCGGGCACCGTCTACTACATATTGAATGGGATTTGTCGGCGGCGACTCTGAAGGGATGGGCAGGAAAGGATCCGACCTGACTGTCAGCACGCTGAGGGAATGGGTGGACAAAGCGCGAAGGAAGGAAAGGAAGGGTTTGAATAGTTTTTTTATTTTTTTTTATTTTTTTTCTTGCGGGCGTCGTTCGGAATTAGGCCGTTCTTTCTTTTTCTTATTGTATTTTTCTCACGGCAGGGGCAGGTCCAATTGGCGACGTCAATACTACCCCGCTTTTATTTTGTCATCGTCGCCTTCAACTTCATCGGGGGGGGGAGCAATTCTTAACAATGTCCTCATCGTCCGTCTCTCTGTCAGCCCGTCCATCGATGTGGAGAACAGGGCCCATAATTAGCTCCTTTTTCCTTTAATTCCATCGCACTTTCTTCCCTGAGCTGAGCTGAGCTGAGTGTTGCTCCTGTTCATCTGTTGATAATTGACACTCCTACGCGCGTTGTCTCTTATTGGGAGTTCTCTTCCTTTTGCGTGCATGGGGTGTAAAGAAAAGTGTTTGGCCGTCCTTGTGTAATACGAAGGCATTATTTTGGACCAACAAATAGACTAACATGGTCCATGCATTCGCGACGCTCTTTTTTAGCGTCCTTTTTTTACTCTCTCTCTCTCTCTCTCTGTCTTTGTTTTTACCCTCCCATCATTGCCAGTTGTCTATCTGGAAGGTATTGTCTGCGGACGAAACCTCTGGCGCGAAACGCGAAGATGGACCGAGTGTAGGCCAGCCAGCAATTTTTTTTTTTGTTCCTCTTTGGCCTGATTCGACCGAACACGACACTGTGTTCAGAGTCTTTAGAGAGGCCCAAGATATCGCAACTTATTTCAATTGCCATTGCAGCATGTGTAAAAGCAAGTGAACAAGCATGGTCTTTTTTATTTTACTTTTTTAAACAAGAGACATAGACTAGGACATGCTGTCAAAGGCCTCGAAGGATCCGTGGGCCTGTATTGTAGGGGGGGGGGGGGGGGGGGTTTTGTTGTGCTTGTAAACAGACCGGGCTGAACCGTCATCAGAAACAGCCTCCGTGGCAGGCAGAACAAGAGTCGAGCAATAGGGTTTTCCATTGAATGGATATAAACAAAGAGGGATCCAATATACATAAAAAAAAAAAAGAAAGCGAAAAAGAGTTTAAAAGAGTCCGGGGTATGAAATAACAACGGGCGGGGTGTGTAAAAATAAATACCATTGTGCATGCTAAGAGGGAAAAAAGCGATGGTTAGACTATGGCTGGGGGATGGCTGGTCCATGTGTGCGTGTAATAAATCCGCCCGTCCGTCAACAGTTCAAGACTGAATAGCTGACTCAATCGGTCCCTTACTTACACTTTAAAAAAAACGCTAAAGAACCAGTGAATGAACCACCTGTTCCGTGTCCCTTTCTGCTTCCTGATCCTTCCGGTCCTTTGTCCCTTCGCATGCTTTTTGCCATCGTATAAATACCTAGCACTCCTCCTCCGCTCGCTCCTTGACATCCTATTCTCAACTCACCAAGCCGCATTCTCCCTCTTCCCTCCTCATCCTTCTTCTTTCGCCCTCCCCACTCAAAAACAAGCAGTAGAAACCCATACCAAGATGACAAAGTCCCCTACTCCCTCCATCCACAAGCACGACCCCGAGCTCGAGGCCTCTGTCGGCAAGGACGGCATTGACTACACCCACGTCCATCTCCTCCGCAACCCCTCCGTCGCCAAGCTCTACGAGGATGCCCTCCGCTATGAGGTCGGCACCTTCGTCTCCTCCGCCGGCGCCCTTGTCACCTCCTCCGGAAAGAAGACCGGACGCTCCCCCAAGGACAAGCGTATCGTCGACGAGGAGAGCACCACCGAGGACATCTGGTGGGGACCCGTGAACACAAAGATGACCGAGCACGCCTTCCTGATCAACCACGAGCGCGCTGTCGACTACCTCAACACCCGCGAGCGCCTTTATGTCTTTGACGGATATGCTGGCTGGGACCCCAAGTACCGGTAAGTCCTTTGTTCGTCTTCGCCATGCACGCGCCTGTCTTTTTTTTGGAAACGGCAATATTTTCTGCGGGGAAAAGGCGGAGTGTTACTTTCAACTAATTAATTTCTTTTTCCCACAATGACATCTCTAGCCTGAAGATCCGTGTCGTCTGCGCCCGCGCCTACCACTGCCTGTTCATGCGCAACATGTTGATTCGCCCCACGGACGAGGAGCTCAAGAACTACGGCGAGCCCGACTTCACCATCCTCAACGCCGGCGCCTTCCCCGCCAACAGATACACCACCGGCATGACCTCAACCACCTCGGTCTCCATCAACTTCAAGCTGCGCCAGATGGTCATTCTCGGAACCGAGTACGCCGGAGAGATGAAGAAGGGCGTCTTCACCATCATGCACTACCTCATGCCCAAGGCCGGCGTCCTTTCTCTCCACTCCTCCGCTAACCAGGGCCCCGACGGCGACACCTCCCTCTTCTTCGGTCTCTCCGGAACCGGCAAGACTACCCTCTCTGCCGACCCCGCCCGCGCCCTTATTGGAGATGACGAGCACGTCTGGACCGACACTGGAGTCTTCAACATCGAGGGAGGCTGCTACGCCAAGTGCATTGATCTCTCGGCCGAGAAGGAGCCCGAGATTTTCGGTGCCATCCGCTTCGGATCTGTTCTCGAGAACGTTGTCTTTGACGAGGACACTCGCCTGGTCGATTACTCTGACAAGTCCTTGACCGAGAACACTCGCTGCGCCTACCCCATCGAGTACATCCCCAATGCTCTCTTGCCCTGCATTGGTGCCCACCCCAAGAACATCATCATGTTGACCTGCGATGCCTTCGGTGTCCTCCCCCCAGTCTCCAAGTTGACCTCGGCCCAGGCTATGTACCACTTCATCTCTGGATACACCGCCAAGATTGCCGGTACTGAGGAGGGTGTCACCGAGCCCGAGGCCACCTTCTCTGCCTGCTTCGGCCAGCCCTTCTTGGTCCTCCACCCTACCCAGTACGCCACTATGCTGGCTCAGAAGATGCACGAGCACACTGCTGATGCCTGGTTGATCAACACTGGCTGGAACGGCGGTGTCTATGGCACTGGTAAGCGCATTGCCCTCAAGTACTCTCGCGCCATCATCGATGCCATCCACAACGGCGAGCTCAAGAAGGCCGAGTACGAGACCTACCCTGTGTTTGGCCTCCAGATTCCCAAGGCCGTCACTGGCGTTCCCGCCGAGGTTTTGAACCCCGCCGTTGCCTGGCAGGGAACCAAGGAGGAGTACAACGGCACTGTCACGAAGTTGGCCAACCTCTTCAACGAGAACTTTACCAAGTACGCTGACCAGGCCACCGAGGATGTCATTGCCGTCGGACCCAAGCTCTAAATTAGCAGCGTCTTTTTTTTTTCATTTCTCTGCATCACAAAGCATCGTTTCTTTTGCATGTAATTTTTCTCTCTCGTGTAAATATTAGAATCCTCATTCCTTTGAGGAAAAAAAAAAAAAAATCATATTAATACATATTTTTTGTTCAAAACAACAACATTGACGATTTGTGAATTGCTTGAAATTGGTTGAATATGTAAGCGTAGTCGTTGAAATCATCATCAGGCGCCAACATTCGATTTTTTTTTTTTTTTTTTCGGACGCGTCAAAAAAAAGCTGACGCATGCCGATGTAGGTCCTTGGAAGTTGTCGAGGACTATAATACGCCGGATAGACTATAGATTCCGGTATTTGAAAGGGTGAAAGAGTCCGTAAGAAGAACTCATTGGTTTTGCATAGAAGGGAGAGAAGGGAGAGAAGGGAGGGGGGGTCAGCATATTCATTCTGCTCACGTTGGCGAAAAGGTATAAAAAGAAGGCAGGCCTTGCTTCTTTCTTTGAAGAGAATCACAATCCCATAACCCGACTTTCTTCTCCTCTTTTCAATATGCTCCTGTAATCCATTCAACCTAGCCGACTACGAATCGAAAGCAATACGAAAAAAAAAAAAAAAAAAATGTAATAACTTTATAGACATCTCTATCCCAAGCACGAAGGAATCAGAAGTGATGGAACTACTAGGACCCACATCTGGAGTCTCCCATCAGATCCCAGGGATCATATACTTGGATCCTGGATAGCTAAAAGATTGTCCAGCTCAAGTACCTCTCCGCTGCATTTGTTAGCTATGGTTCGCACAGGAAGGTCCGGTCCCTCGTTTTTTCAGAACACTGTCATGAAAAAAAAAAAAAAAAAAAAAGAAACGCTACACTCTAACACTCGCTTGTCCGGTCCTCCTTTGTCTCCCGTCTCGTAACCTAAGCGGGGCTATGTTACGTTCGCGATAGGGATCCCATTCTACAAGACCGGATTTCCGGGCGATTGACAAATCAACGACGGAGAGTACGCCTTCCCATTCCAGCTCTCTATCCTGAGTGACCTGGCCATAAGGGATAGCATATCAAGAGCCTCATCTAATTTCGCGTTTTAAAATTGAAGACGACGGACAAGAAAAGACACGACCAACAACCTTTAATCGAGACCACCCGCAAAAAGACCACCTCTTACCCTGCCGCCGTCATCAGCCCCGAGCGATAGGAACGCTCCTCAGCCCGATAGGGCGCAAGATTTTAAGGTGGAACTGTTACTCGACTAGATGCTCCCCCGATGGAGACCCGTCCTTGGGTCCTGATTAACCATGCGACCGAGCTCACAATATAGTCTTTGCCGACCATTACCAGAAACCACTCTCTGTGAAAGTGCCCTTCAATGTGGCATATATCTTGAATTCAAGGAATACGATGGTTATACTGGAATACTGGATCAGAAGCAGGAGCAGGAGCAGAGATAGTGTTGCCGGCGCATAGCACAGATATGTATGAGACAGTCGATACCGTTGGGTTTGAATATGGGATCTGGCGATCAGATGAATAGTGGTGAAACGAAGGAGAAAGTGTAGATAAGATTGAAAAAGTGGTGGAGCAGTTGGAGATACAGAAGTATTGAGGCGAGTTGGTCCCCCTCCCTGTTTACGAAACCTGATAGACATGTCGAGCCGTTTTCTAAAAAGTAGGACCATCCACCGCCCATTAATATCCCAATATCTGTAAGGGACAATCTATTTGACAACCCAGGTTGACACTGCTATTTGGTAACCCCTATACTAACTCCATGTAAGGCCAACATTTTTTAAATGTCGATTATGCCAGTAGTCCTTATGGTACCTGGCCCCGGCTCTTTAAGCTAGATCGTCATCTGTCTCTTAAAGGACTCCACAATGTAACTGATTTCCCATTTCGTCATCGATAAAATCCTGTTTTCCGTCATGAAGAAGGCTTCTCCCAAGGTCGCAAAAGGTTGCATGGAGTGCCAGGTGGAGGAAGGAATGGTTCTCAACCTCTCGCCGCGTTGTTTCGACTTGAAATTCGCAAAAGATACGAGTCTTGTTTTACATGGGATTTGTGCAGGGGTTGCCAAATAGATTGTCCCGTATATCAATGGCAACAGTAATGGCGCCTTGACAAAGGAAAAAGGAAAGCCTCTTCTCGTTAGAGAAGAGGAATACCTGACAACTTTGGAGAACCTGGGCATCGATCCCAGTGCCTCTCGCATGCTAAGCGAGCGCTCTACCATTTGAGCTAGATCCCCATGGCGTTAGAAATACAGTTTCTAAAACCTATATATTTCTATAACCATAATTTTCATTATTTCCATGCATTTATTTCTTTATTTCCTGTTTCTATTAAATTTTGCCCGCGCTGGAGCCGCCGCTGCTGCACCGAAACCCATTCGATGGGTTTGTCCTAACAACGAGACCCACATCCGAGGTCTATCCTGTATCGCCGGGACCCGATCAATGCTCAAAGGCGACGAGTATTATGACCGCTCTCCGGATCTGACCTGGAGCATCAGCGTTTTATGCCGTGGCATCACACCCGTCAGCCTTATCAAGGAGTGGGGCAGTCTATTTACCTCGCCATCGTCGATTGCGCGCCAGGTCATTCACAAGTTCGTCGGCTTTATTGAGGAGAAAGCTACGGAGCTGATCTGGAAACCACGCTGCAAGGCCACCATTGCTCGAGAGCGAGAATGGGGGATCACAGCCAAGATGAAACGAACTCCATACAAGGGACCGAGAGGGGACTGGAGTGATGGGTATGGATACATTAGCGACGATGACCAATGTCCGTGTGGTGCATTACTCGCTGACCATGTAAACGGGAGCTGCCCTGGCCCCGTGCTTGACCCAGACGCAGCGGATCGGACGCTGCTGGATTGCCTGCAAGGGAGGAGGCGGTTGACAACCATGGAGGGGATGGGGAAGATACCCTTCTTATAACAAGGTGTTTTCAGCTTTTAACACACTGATGAGGTGTGGCAATTGTTGCGCAGGCCCTAGGGGCAGGCCCGGGGAATGTGACCTGTCTTTTGGCGACTGTGGATCGGTTCCGCTTTGGTGGTGAGGACAGCGATAGTAGATCTTTGCTAGTTAGTCTGATAGATTCGCAGAGTCAATTGACTCGAGAGACAAGTTGTTATAAAAAAAAAAAATGCCTCTATTAAATTGCCAGCAATTTTTTTTTTTAAAAAAAGACGCAGGCTACGTACGCTACATTTCACACAACCCCACTTGTTACACCCCTTACGACCAAGATAGAGGAAGTCAAACGATTTCAAAAAACATAAAGGAACCATGCAAGGACAGCACACCGTTCCAGCCAGCGGCGCAGAGCAGAACTAACGGGACCGGTGCACTTCCTGTTTCTGGATCGAATGGTGGACCATCGAGCGTTTATCACCCACACCAAGGACTACAGGGCATGAGGAAGGCTGCATACCAGCAGGTATTGGACGAGGACGCCAAGGACTTCACCATGGTGGATAAAGACGAATGACACCAAGTGGCGCCCGCCAGGGAACGCTCTTTTGCCGCAGTCGTGTCGCTGGGGAAGTTGCATGGGGAGATAGCCTTTGAAAAACGAAAGGAACTGGAGGAGCTGAGGCTGGAAGCCCAAATTCGCTGCACCGAAGGACCTACGAGGACCATGGTCGGGACCGATGAAGCTGTTTTCCGGGTAGCAGCCGAGACAAAAAAGGAGCCGCAAAGGCTACTGGAGCACACCGTGGAAATCGAGGATGAAAACGGTGTGTTGTGGACGGACAATGTCGCATGGTAGCAATGGTTCTGCACCACCCTGTCCCTGCATAATTTTTTTTCCCTGTGCCCAACCGCCCTGTCCCTGCATAATTTCTTTCCGCCCTGTTCCTGAAAAATTTTCCTGAGACTGGTCGACCCTGACTCCCTCTCATTTTCAATCATCTCTTGCCTTACACCAACCGCCTCGTCACACTCGGCAGCATAAGTCCAGGGACCATATGGTTGCGTGAATCAACGCGTCGCTGACTGGTAAGTTAGGGGTTCTCTTCCCTCACCTTCTTTCTCTCTTTCCGCACCGTGTTATTTTTCTCCTGTCCCTCTCTGCACACCGCCCTTCTTCGTCTCTCTCTTTCTCTCTCCCTCTCTCGTTTTCTTCTTTCTCTTTATCCTTTACGTACTGATTCTTTTTCAGCGAATCCTGTTTAGTACGCGGCAGGGAGGCGGAAAGAGGAGCGCGTCTTTCTGACTGTGTGCTTCAAGTTCCTCCTTCATTCACTTTGCTTCGTCTGTTGCAGCTTTTGACATTGGACAATGCTGCTAACCCTTTATGTCCTCTTTGTTTTCTCTCGTTGGTGTTGAACCCGGAGTCCATTGGTTCATTTGTAATGTATTGCTAAACACTAACCTATGCTCGGGCAAAGACAACCATAATGGATTCAATCAAGATTGGCAACAACAACAACAACAACAACGACAGCAACAACAACAGCGACAACAACACCAGTAACAGCAACAGCAACAGTGTAAATAGCCACACGTAATACCGCAGTATGTATTCGTGCGCAATAGCGACGACAGGACTTATAAATGCGAAGGAGTCCCTGACTCATCTCCAGCTCTCAGGCTGGTAATATTTTATTTCCTAAAGGCTTGCATCTTTGTACCCACTATTTCAAGACTGAAGGGCCACCAGAAACAGCTTCAGCGATGTATATATTCGACTTATCACCCGCTGCTGAGCGCTCAACATCATTCTCCCAAACTCCTCCCAAAACCACAACAGCACGCGATAGTAACTCTTCCAGTCCCACCAGGCATGAAAACCAAGGTCCCATCAAGAGCCGGGCAGGCGCTAGAGCCCTTCCTAAGGCTGAAAATCAATCCTCCCAAAGAGCCAGTCTTCCTCAACAAAATTGCTAGCTGGATCTGCGGCTGCAGCAGTCGTAACCGCCGTCGTGCTCACAATCCCTCGGAGGATGCCTATGAGGATGCCTGTGAGGATGAGGATGGCAATTGTGGATGCGATTATACCCAATCGTCCTATCCGACCAGTCCATACACAATGAGCTTGAATATCTATCATCAAGGATCGTTGTGTAGCGACTACAACGGCATTCATATTGAGCCGGCTGAATCCCGCGAAAGAGAAGAAGGACTCGTACGCTGTGAAAAACAATTGTGCGCAGGCATCGATAGCGCCGACGCGCCGACTACGATCTCCCCTCCCATTAGTCCTATGGACATAGGTGCCAGTGGTAGTGCTGACGATGAGGTAGCAGCTATTTTTCGGTTGCAATTGGAGCTGGAGTGGCGACTGATCCTAGATCGAGAGCAGTGTATGAGGGCAATGGAGAGATGGGATCCGACAGTGTACCTCAGGTCAGTTGTCCCAGAAAAGTCGATTGGCGTGGACTGGAACAGTTGCGGAGCAACTGAACAACAAAGCACGGCTACGGTGATAGTCCCACCAGTGCACAAGACGACATCCGATGCGATTCCCATACTTTCGGCATTGACGGCTAGAAACGTGAATAGCGAGATTGCTGCGGATGTAAAACAAGGAGTGATTAGTCGATGCAGCAGTGTGGTCAATGGTAGTGATGAAGGTATTTTGACGCAAAGGTTGTGGATGTTGAAGCCCAATATTCAGACGACCACTATGTATCCACATGTACCGTCGAGACCACTCCCACCGATTCCACCTAACTACCTGCGCAATAGACTTCTCGATAAGAGCAGCGTGGTCTCATTCCCAGCGCTCCCTGAGGATGAGGAGGAGAAGGGTGAAGAAGAAACGTGGGAGAGTGCGCGAGAGAGTAAGGAGGTATAGTCAACAGAGGCAGCATCGGGGGGTCGAGTGACCCTTGGGAGACTATCTGGCGACCACAAAAGAGGCCTGGAATGAAAGCAACCTAGTTCCATTAGGAGTAAGTAACATTGTCTTTTAGGTGCGAAAGAAGTCAAGTAAGACTGCATGTTTGCACCGGTGACCACAAAGAGAAGAAAATAAAACCGCGCCTTGTCGCTGCATGTGTGAGGGTATCAGCAGACGTCTTTCAGAGAACATGGAAAAAGAGAATCGCGTAAAGGGCTGAGATCATGGGTGTCCGCCATCGGAAGCCTTGTACATATATAGACCAAGGAGAGGACGCGAACGCATGAAGATGAGTCTCGTTTTCCTTTTGCACGCTCTGTTTGGGTCGCGCTTCAGATATTCAAACAAAACACCATTGCGAGCAAAACTAATGTGTGATTCGTCCCATGTCGAATCACGAAAGTAGCAACTGAAGCAGCAGATGAAAAGAAGCAACAAAAACAAAAAAGCGCAGGCAAGAAGAGCGCCAGCCAAGGGCTTGTCACATCGTGGCACAAAGAGTATCACCATCCTTCTTGCTTATGTGTGCGTGCATGGGGGCATGAGAGCAACGGACCAATGGTGTGGTACATGCATCTGCAAAAGTACGATGGGAGGAGTAGAAGCAGTGCTTGAATGCTTGAATATCTTTTTATGGATTTCAGGCGTTTCCGGCAAGCAATCCGCGTCGCGCATGTAGGAACGGAGAGGCTCTATATTAACCTAATTGGCATTGAGTTTGGGCATTGTGATTTTGGGGCAAGATAATCATGACACCATTGGCTCGAAGGATGGGAGCATGCACGCATGTCCACTGAGGTTGGAAAGATGCCAGACCGCGAAGAAGAGATATTCAAAAGGAGTAAGGAGTGACATCCTTACTTGCACACGCAAAAAGGGGGGGTGAATGATGATCATTGCACTTTCTTTCAAAGAGCGGGAGGGAGTCGGAGCGGCGACCTGCGGTCATTCGCCCTCGCCATAAGAGAGGGCCGTAGGTTGGATATATACGTACATGAATAAGTACAATACTTCGCACTATTGCGCCCACTTCCCGCTGTCGCTTTCGCCGTCGTCCCTGTCGACTCTGTCGGCTCATTCCTTTTGTTCTCATTCCACTCTGCTCATTCTCATTCTCATTCTACTCTCAAACTCCCTACGACACTTCCTCACCCCCCCGTATGATACCCAAGTCACTGACGCCATGAAAAGACCTGCTCTGCGCTCCGCTATACACACACTCAGTGTCTCCTCGGCCCTGCTTCTTGTCCTCGTCTCACTCGACCCGCACAGGACAGTCGTCCAAAGCTGCGGTGTCACCATCCACAACGAGATCGCCTTCCGCGCCAGTCGCATCCTCCTCTCAGGGATCTCAATATCAGACTCACATTCATCCTCGTATCCCTCGCATTCTCAATCGTATTCACCTTCACAATCACACTCAAAATGGAGTGTCCCAGAGGGCCAGCGTGGGAACTGGTCCAAGGGCCTGTATGACTACGTCCCGCTACTGGAACAAAAGGAGTCCCTTTTCGCTGGTAGCTTCTTCCCTGACTGGGGCTACAATTGCATCGGCAAGCTGTGGAACGAGGCTGCGGAGGAGGTAAGAGCATGTCTTTTTTAATTCATTCAACAAAGCACAGTCTGTGTGTCTGTGTGTCAATAGGTGTGCAGCCCTGCTTTTTCTCAACCCCTGTACGACTAGCACTAGTCAAGACAGGCTTAAAAAAGATCCTCATCGACCATCTGAGCAATGCTTCGTGCACCAGCAAAACAAAAAGTGCGGTGCTCAATATGGCCGCCTGCTCACTTTGCTAACATTGAAAAATAAACGCTTCTTTTATTATATCGTTCGTCGATAGGCACATTGGCCACCATTTGCAGAGGCTGCTGTCAAGTACATCCTCGAGACTTATCCAAAACCTTGGACAGACCATACTAAGGTAACAAAAAAAAAAAAAAGAAAAGCTTAGCATCTCTTTATCTCACGTTGGTACTGTTACGAGAACGATTACCTACTGACTTTGCCTGGACTCCCTATTAATTGTAGGCGTTGATTGTATTCCTGTTTGGTACAGTGTCGCATTCTCTGGGGGACATGTCCTGGCACGCTCTGCGAGGCCTGGACGCTGGATTCATCAGGGCACTGGCCTACACGAGCTTTGATGGCGATTATTCCAAGGGACACACACTGGCTGATATTGGCGCCGAATTCGTCTTGAGCCACATGAGCGAGATGGATCATCTTGTCACCTCCTGGAAGGTTCCCGTCAAAGACATCTCTGCCATCTACAAGCGGATGGGATATTACGTTCCAGGGCCAGTTCTAAGTCACTGCATGCGAAACGGCTATGCGGGGGCGCAAGCCAACGCAAGGCTCGGCACCCAGCTCTTCCCTGTGTATGCATCAAAGGTAATAGCGTAGCTGCGCACATTTTTCATTTTTTTATTCACTCTCAATATCATGTAAATGAATGCTGATCCGTACTTTTCTTGTCCGTCTGTAGTCGCCATTCTTGATTGAACAGGTAGAAAATTACCCGATGGGAGGTCTTCGAGACATGGCAGGGTGGACTATCGATTGCTGGAATGGCCTTGCGGACTATCTGGACCAGGGGCGCAAATTACCGGACAACAACAACAGCAGCAATAGTACGGCCACCTCGTTTGACATGTGCTATGCCCTCTCGGACGAGCGGATAAAGCAAGAGCGCAAGGACGCAATGGAGAATATACGCGAGGGACTAGTCAGGCATCAGCATGGGCTCGGCACCATTACTGAGGGCCCTTCGGCTGTTACGCGGTTGCGCCTTGCTGGCCTGAGAGTCTTAAGCGAAGTTGACGACGACACCGGGATGGTCACATTCTCCATGCTTGGAGCAGAACTAGAAGAAGAGCAGAAACTCAAATATGAGGATATTAAGACCGAGACTGCGAAAGAGGTTTTTCAGGACGAGCTCAGAGAACAGCCAGACGTCAAGGATGGGGGTCCATTCACTCAGTTATCCCACTCGACCACACAGCAACCTCTAACCTGGAAAAGCCGTGCACGGGAAGAAGAGACAGAGCTACATCTTCAGCAATTGAAATCGGAAGAGCACGCAGAAGGATCTGGCATTTGCTTATCTTTCTCGGACGAGCTCGAATCACAGGCGCGTACGCTCTTTCTCCCTATCGAATACTCCTCTTTTGGACATGCGGTTGCGACTGGCGACTTTGATGGGGATGGAAACACTGATCTAGTGGTGGCAGCACCACATGCAACCTTTGATCCTCTACTACCATCTCAAGGATCCGTCTTTATTGTGCCTGGTCAATCTCTTTTTGTCGACCAAGGATCGTTTGATGGCGAAACCGGTACGGATATTCGATCTATTGCCTCACGTGTATTGCTTGGTGACCCTGAAGAGCCACAGTCCCGGTTCGGTTGGTCCCTTGCAGTCGTTGATCTTAATCAGGATGGCATTGATGACCTTGCTATTGGTGCGCCTGGTCATGGAGCCAAAGATTTAAAATACGATGGGTCCGTCTATGTCTACTTTGGACACAAGGGTTCTGGACTGAGCGAGAAGCCAGATCTAGTGATCCGCCACGACCGTACAAAGGATGCGAAGCAGAAGATTCCCAAGGGGATGGATACTCTCGGAGGGCTGGGATACATTCTTCAAGGGCTGGACTTGACAGGATCTGGGTACGTGGATCTAGTGGTTGGAATGCCCATGGCCACGACTCGCATCGATGAGACAACGGAAAAATCACCACCAAATCCTAGCAGCGATGATACTGATGGAGATAGAACAAACCCTCAGAAGAGGTTCAAGCCACAGGCTGGCAAGATTCTCGTTTTCTTGGCTCAGACCAAGCACCGTGGTCATAGGCTGGACACGGATCACGATTGGGAATTGCTCGGTGAGGATCCGTTTGGATGGTTCGGGGCAGCGTTCACTGTTGTCTCCCAAAGAGTTCAGCAGGTGATGACTTCAGGGACGTCAGGCCTGTCCTCTCTTTTGTCATGGATTCCTTTAATACAGCCCAAGCAATACAGATCGCGGGCGATGAAGAAGTCCTATGAACGAAGAATACTGGTGGTTGGGTCGCCCGCGTTTGGTGTAGGGGAACAGGAGGCTATGCGCGGCAAGATCCAGGGCTTTGTCATACCCGACTTTTCCAATTCTTCCCCACCTTTCCAGGCGCCGCAAAGAGTCTTTACCATCCACGGCGATAGCAAATTTCAGCAGCTCGGATCCAGTCTCGCGATGAACCGCATCCCAAAGCCCTCCGCCTTTCAGAGTTCTTCTCAGATCAAAGGAGAAGCACCGCTCGAACTTTTAGTCGTCGGATCGCAATCAGAGGACATTTTGAGCCGCCTTCCACGGATCGGTCGCTACTGGCAAGCGGGAATGGTTCGGATTTTGGATATTTCCGTGTTGTCTGATGCTTCAGATGTCAAGATCTCGGACTTGGATGCGGATCCTAAAATCGTCCGCGACTACTTGCATGGATCTCAGTCAATGGCTCACTTATCTGCGGCAATGAAGGTCTCAACAGACGGTAAGAGCCTTTGGCTAACAGAGCCATACGCGAAAGCTGAGGTCGGTCGTATCCTAGAATGGGTGCCAGACCTTGATGGGGAAGGCGCTGGTGGCGACCGTGTTGGGGGAGGAAGTAGACGAGGCGGAAAGAAGCAAAGAAAAGACATTGTTGTACTTCGTGGTCGACGTCTAGTTCATGGAAATCGTGGCGATGGCGGGGACGACGATGACGATGATGATAGCGATCAGGATCGGATCAAGCAGTGCTTCATTGGATCGGATTCAAGAGGGCGGTTTGGATCGCAGTTGCTAGTTCACGATCTGAATAAGGATGGTTTCGATGACATTGTGGTCACCTCCTCGCATGCCTCTCAGTATGCAACGTAAGAATCCATCATTGAGGAGCTGTTCTTGTTAATGCTGAACTGTTGACTTGGGTGCTGACAGACGTTTTCTTTTTATTCTCATGAATTAGGATGGCTGGTACTATTACCATTAAGTTCAGGTCCTAGGAGATATCGCTCTGTCACATTCATGTCGCAAGAGTCAATTCTTCATATCGAAGCATTATTTTGTAGTTTTGTAGCCTTGGCAGCGCTGCTATCCTTAATGAGCACTGCTTATATCCCATCCCCTCATTATAATCAGTATTCCAGCTTTTTTGTCCGATAAAGCATCAGCTTTCCGTGCCTCAAGCATAATGAAGGCGTGTAAGGCGAAGAACCTCATGTAGACGGCAAATATGCAATAGTCTGAACTCACTTTATGATTATGACCACCCAAATGAAAATTCTCTCTCCTAAGTGATCGTACAAATAAGAAGGAATATAGGCACTACCTAGAACTTTTGAATAATACCCCCAAGTTTGCCCTCACTCGTGACCTTGAGCGAGTACTCTGGAGCAGATATGGCGTACCCCATAGAGCAGTACGGGTTCCTGAACTCCATCCTAGATTCTTTGGTGCCTCCAGCACCCACATGTATTTCAGACGCGCCTGTTGCCGATACAATCTTGTTCACGTTCCGATCAGTGATACCTATATAATAGAGACATTGGAGCGCCAAAGTCAGTGCAGAATGAGTAATATTTTGCTGTCTTTTGACGGCGGATGAAAAAACTGCGCATGATGGCTTACCAGCTCCTGGCATGATGATAATCCTGCCATTGGCCCGCTTGAACAGCTCGACAAGCATGTCAAGACCCTCGTACGCAGAGCGTTCGCATCCGCTGGTGAGAATTCTTTGGATTCCACCGATGGCGATAATGTCTTCAAGTGCCTGGAAAGGGTCCTTGACCATGTCAAATGCGCGGTGGAATGTGACTACAAACGTTGATGGTTTTCTTTAGGATTTGATCGTCCTTCCATATATGATCACGCATACCGATCTTTGGCAAGAGAAACCCTTACCTAGCATTGGATGTGCGGCTTCAACTAGTCTATATTAATAGATTCGGAGCGATTAACACAGTGCCTTTGGGACTTGACTGGAATGTCATAAATAGATCTCTTTGGTGTTATGTACCTTTTCACACGGACCTTGTCTACTGAGCCGTCAGGTAAGAGAACTCCAAAGACGACGCCCTCTATTTTCAGCGAATGGCAAAACTGATAGTGAAGAGGAGGATTAAAAAAAAAGGAGATCTGATGATATTTAGACTGTCCGGAATACTTGCCGAGCAGCAGCGTATGCAGTTGATAATCTACCTTGATGTCCTGCAACATGGCCTCGAACTCATCATCATCGTAACAAAAGTCGCCTCCTCTATGAGATTGCCGTTGTGGGATGTTGTGGGATGTTGTCGGTCGGTATCCAGGATCTTTTGAATCAAAAAGATCACGCGATGCGGGAAGAGCACGAGCATTTTGCAACATTTACCTGGGGCGGATCATTACCTGAATAACAAAAAAAAAAAAGAAAAAGAAAAAAAAGGATGAATACCGCGCCCGCCTTTCAAAAAGCAGTGCAGGATTCCCGCTCTTTGATTAATTTAATTGCTACCATGACTGGGAGCGAGGTTTTCGCTTTCACGGTGGAGATCAGTCCTAGTTTACAGATCACATTCACAAGCAAACGGCGTGAGGGAATAATGAGAAGGAGAGCGAGCGAGGAGGAGAGGAGAGGTATCTGTTAGATCAGCATGCCTGACAAGTTGGAAATCTAAATCCCAAAGGGTAAAGATATCAGTCAATCGCGTTTTACCTGCCGAAGGCGTGATACCACCTTCCATGAGCCCCGCGCACAGCTCAATTCTCTTTCCTCCAGTCCTCTCTAGGTGGTTTGGATTATGTATGAGCTCGGTTGAAGATTAAGAACACGCACGTTATTACACTAAACGAGCCCATCCTCAATTAAAGTAATCGAGGCAGTACCTGCAATAATGGCCGAGGCCACACTATCCAGGCAAACCTATCATTGTGCAGGGCACAGAGATCAACTTCTGTTCATCGAGTCATCGCTATTCACATGAATGAGCAGCATGTCTCCAATACTGAGACATAACTGAACATTCCTCTTTCGCACTCACTTCAAAAATTGGTGCCATGGTTCTATTTCCCCAGGTTCTTGTTGGTTCTTCTTTTTTGGGATGTAGGAATGAGCTTGGAAGAGGAACAACACAGTGCACACGAAGTGACGTGTAGTAAGCAAAGTCCAGCAGGGGTGAAAAGGTTATTCGTGCTACCAGCAAATCAAATGCACCGACTCAATTGCTCTCGCACGCTGTTGACGTATCGATCGGGGTCGTGACCCGTTCAATGGCCAGGATACCATGCTACAATATGAGTTGACAGGGTCAACAATGCCGCATGGAAGCTAAGAGCAAGCGGAGCAAATTATTTTCAGCCAACCCTCATTGGATAGTAAACCGTGAGATGGACAAAGGTCTTGGTCGCACAAGGTGGCACGCCACACGCGCTGAGTGCTCACTTCTTATGATGACCTTTTGCGCTGTTTTTTTTATTATGTTCGCATTCTCCACCTTCCTTGGGTGTATGTTTTTTTTTCTGTATCGTTATCTCTCTGTTCAGCGCCTCGGAAGCGGTTGGAGACAAAGATGCAAGGACACAAGGCGCGTTTTCAATTGGCCACATTATCCACATTATATACGGCGGTATAAGTTATCCTCGGCTAGATCGACAGCGGTAAAAATCAAAGAGTACATGCGAGGGCTTCCTGCATCCGTGGGTTGATATCGTATGATACCTTTTGTTCAACTGAAGGAATGAGATGGAAGAGGACAGCAGCATCAAAAAAAAGTCCGAGGCTGCGCGACATCATCGAGAGCAGATTTGGAATGATCGTGTGAGTTTTGTGCCCCATCCACACCAGGAAAACACGCATGCAGAAGGACACCGGACGCAAAGGAGTGAACGCACTATTAGATGCGATGCATGCATATTGTTTTGCTCTCAATCCTGTGGTATGCGACCAAATGTTACAGGCGACAACAAACGAGCAAACGAAGGAAAAATAGGAAGCGAGTGCAGTCCCATGAGGAATAGGGAGAAGATCCAAGTGATCCATCTCATTGTTATTTTGATTATATTAATATCTGGATCTCGTTTGCCGACTGCCAGTGAGGGTGAAATGAAGCAAGAGAACAATCCGTTGTGCCGGCAGTGACCAAACAATCAACAATTGGTCAGCAACAACAATGAGAGGGAGCAGGAACACAAAAAGAGCGCGGACGCTGGAGGGGCTATAGCCTCTGTAGGGCACAGTAGGCTAGTCTATGTCTGTATTAAGCAGATCGTAGCCGAGAGGATGCATGCAGCTATAAGGGGAAGGAGCAGTAAACCAATTTAAACCATTCACTCTTTACTTCCTCTTCTCCTTCCCTTTTACCCACTAACAAGAATCCCCTATTGATTTTTTACTTTCACTCCACGGGACAAGGATCAGAAGCGATCTTGTTCGTTTTGTTTACTTCCAACTCAGTGCTCATTCGTTTCCTGCCATCAACCCTTTGTTCTTTTTCTGAGATCCTCCAGTTTCCTTTTTTTTTTATATTCATCTTGAACGTTCCTTGACCGCTATACATCCCTAATATACATTTCATGGATAAATATCAGGTACATGGGGAACACAATGGCATTCGTTAATAGACCCTTGGTCTGAGTGGACACTAATGCCACGTAATTCTGTCTTCTATCTTCTAGAAAATCGAGAAGTTGGGTGAAGGTACCGTTTTTCTCAAACCCCGTTGGTACATTTGCCAGGACATGCGCCATCACTTTTGTGAAATGAGTGTCGAGGACGATCAGCCACGAGACGGACTAGACAACTCGAAACTGAGATTCAGAGTGGTTCTGCTGCAGGAAGCGACTTCAAACGCGGAAGTGGCTGTTGAGTCGATCAGCATGGAGTTGTCCATCTCGACGCTGAATGAGTTGCCTCGACAAACGATTCCATGGGATAATATCACTCACCTCTCTCTCTTGCCTGCTGTTTCATATCATTGCCCTATTTTCCCGCCTCCTGGCTATTGATCCGCGTGGACCTTGCGGATTCAGGAACGTACGGCATTGTCTACAAGGCTCAGAACCGAGAAACGAATGACGTTGTGGCTCTGAAGAGAATCCGGCTGGACAACGAAGAAGAAGGAGTACGTGACCTGAATATTGAGGGTCTTCCCGATCCAATTCGATACCCACTGGATGCTGGATGCTGATACTTCTTGTTTGTTATCAACCGCCTCTTCCAGGTGCCATGTACCGCAATCCGCGAGATCTCACTACTCAAGGAGCTCAAGCAGAACAACATTGTCCGGTAAAGCTACTTTTTCCACAGTGTTTTAGTTACTGGCATTCAATTGCCATGCCCATGTGTATCCTCACATTTTTTTTTTCTTCCTTGTCTCATGATAGACTGTACGATGTATTGCACACAGAGAAAAAGTTGACGCTCGTGTTTGAATTCCTGGACTCGGACCTGAAAAAGTTCCTCGACACATACAGCGGGGATATTGATGTCTTGACGATAAAGGTACAATGTATACTAGCTCACCTCGGGTGATTGAATTTGCTGTTACCCATCGTATACTCAACAGTGACTCAATGTCTTGTGTCCTACTAGCAATTAATGTACCAGCTGTTGAAGGGAATCGCATACTGCCACGAACACCGAGTCCTGCATCGAGTATGGTCTAATCTGAGTCCCATGCGTTTCTTGTTGGTTATATATATATGGATTATCATTGTTGGATCGCTGATTCTATATTCTGCTATCCCTCATTGCTATGATTGTTAGGACTTGAAGCCGCAAAACTTGCTGATCAACAAGAAGGGCGATCTAAAGTTGGGAGACTTTGGACTCGCGCGAGCATTCGGTATCCCTGTCAGGAGTTACTCCCACGAGGTACAAACTAGCATTTTTCTTACCAACAAAAAAGCAGGAACCATTGGACGGCAAAATTTTGTGGGGGTGCCTCTTTACAGCCTTGGTTGAATTGATAACTGGAATTTGCATGATTGTTTACAAAGAACGTATGAGTGTCACAAAAAAAGACAACCTTCGTGCTAACGTCAACCTATTCATTCCTTTATATTGTATCGCTCGATATTATAGGTCGTGACGCTGTGGTACAGGGCGCCGGACGTGTTGATGGGCTCGAAGCAGTACTCGACCTCGATCGATATCTGGTCTGCAGGATGTATTTTTGCGGAAATGGCTTCTGGTCGTCCTTTATTCCCCGGATCCTCAGTCAAGGATCAATTGCTCAAGATCTTCAAGATTTTGGGGACACCAACAGAAGAGACATGGCCTAGTGTGTCGAGGTTACCTGAGTATCGATCAGACTTTCCAGTCTACAACCCTATCCCACTTGAGAACTTGGTCCCGAAGCTGGACGCGGCTGGCATCGATTTGCTTGCTGTAAGTTGCCACGAATCACTTTTGCTCCTGTTGCAAACTCTGCTATCCATGGCCAGAGGGCGGCGAATATACCAAAAAAAAAAAAGGATTTACAAGGGGAAGCGCAGGATTACAAGGACACGAGACGGAAATCACAAGATCAATGTCAGAGCAGTTGCAGAGAAAAGCAGACAAATCAAAGCACGACAACAGGATAACGCATTAAGGACAATCGATTAGAATGTACAACGAGGAAAAGGAAGGAAAGAGGGAGAAAAAGCACGAGTTGATGTTTGGTTGACTCTCGTTGTGCTTGCGTTGTACTCGCACTTCAAAGTCAGGCAGCATGATCACACCGAAAAGCGCTAAAAAAAAAAAAAAAAAAGGAAAAGGAAAAGGAAAAAAGAGACCAACGACAAGGAAACGTGGGCGAAACCTTTGGCGGAGAGAAATTCTCTTTTGTCGTTTGATCCGCCATTTTTCTGTGTTTGTAACTCACTTTTTTTTTCTCTCCTTTACTTTTCTATTGGTAATGATGACTGCCCCTGTGTTTCTACAAATGTGCATTCATTTATTTTAGCGCCTTGTAACATACAATCCTGACAGGAGGATATCAGCGGAAGCTGCGCTTGCTCGTAAGTTCTCCTTGGGCTCTTTTCATTTTGTTATGTTGTCCTTAAGCAAATCATGAGCAGATCGAAAACTGAACCTATAAATCTGACCGGGCTGCTCTTTGTTTGATCCATAGATCCTTATTTTGAAGAAATTCGAAGACGCGAAGCAAGCAGTGGTGGCGGAGGCGGCGGCACAGGGCAGTGAGTATCCTTCCGCACGTATCCATTCAATTTCCGTAATAAAGAAATCATGAAAAAGAAATCATGAAAACGAAAGCTTTGTCCGCTTTTTTATTGTGATTGGATGGCATATGTTGGGATCACTATAACCGCTTGTTAGCAGTCTATAGAAAGGCATGGATCAGAGTGACGATCTCTTCACGCTGTGCAGCGAAATATTTTATGGAAAGATATTATTATGGTCCTAGTGGCCAGTCTCCTGATGCGCACTGCGGCCAGCGTAGGTACCCCAGAATCCGCGCTTAGGTTTAAACCACTTTTCAGAGTCCCTATAGAGATGACCAACCAGTGCGAACAGTTGTCAATACCACCTACACAATGCATGTGCTGTATCGCAGAACAAACAGTGGAAAAAAGACGTCGTTACTTACTTGGCGAGTTTCCTGGTGATGTAGTTCAAGTCGACATTCAGGTACTTAATCATAGCAGTACCGATGTCCGTGTTCTCGTGGTTGCCCCTGAGATCCTTGTAGCCGTCGCTATCACCGTCTGCATACAAATTGACATCCACTCCAGTGTGGCCGATGGTGGTCCATCCGAGATTGGCGCGGTAACTGATCGCATGTCCAAGGAAGGTCAAGATGTCGCTTGGCAGGGCTTGGGGGTCTGCCAAGAAGGAAATCTCCTTGTCGGTCGCGTCCGTGATGCCCAAACCATTCTGCAAGATCTCGGTCTTGACAAATTCCTGTCGGCGCTTGGTGTCCTGAACCTGATACTCGACCAGCTTCTTGGTCAAGAGCTCGGTCGAAGCATGGCCCTTGGCATCGTGCGCCTTCTTGATGACATCTGGCCTCCAAAGATAGTCTGGGTACGTCCTTGGATCTGGCTGGAGCCCGAGTGTGAATCCGCCCGTCTCATGGTCGCTTGTTGAGATCAAGAGCGTGTCCGGGTTCTTCGAAACAAACTCGCGTACCGCCTTGACAGTCTCGTAGTACTGAATGATATCGTACGCATGTGCAACGGGATCGTTGTTATGCGCTGCCATGTCAATGCGGCTGCCCTCGATCATCAAAAAGAACCCCTGGTTGGGTTTTGCGTTTCCCTGAAGGGCCTTGAGTGCCGCAATCGTCATCTCTACGAGCGAGGGCTCCTGTTTGGGGTCGCGATCGATTTCATAATTCATATGGTCATGGTTGAATAATCCCAAGGCCGGGAGGGGAATACCTGTGTCCTCTGCATCTAGAGTGTCAAAGTCCTTTCGAGTCAGCATCACCTCCTTCCAACCAAGATTCGCGCTCTCCTTGATCAGGTCTCGGCTATCCTGACGGCATCCACCCTCAGTTGTGTTGGGCAAGAAGAAGCATCGTCCACCTCCCATCAGCAGATCAACCTGGCGCTTCAGCACATAATCTCCAATCTGTTGCTCTGCAATCTCGGACTCCATGTCGCGGTGGACTACATGTGCGGAGAAGGCTGCGGGAGTGGCGTGGGTGACTCGGCTGGTGACAACGAGACCTGTCAACATGTCCAGGTGCTTGGCGGCTTCCAGGATCGTTCCACAGGGGACTCCTTCCGGGTCCACTATATCGCATGGATTAAAAAAAAAAAAAAAAAAAAAAAAAAACATAGGGTTAATTATCAAGTGCGGTAAGAGCAGGGTGTGGTACAAGATGTTCAATGGCGAATGGGGTGTAGTTCGCGCAAGAGCAGTGCTTGTAAGCATGGACGGGAAGAGCAACACCCAGGTAATAGTTCTTCTAGCCCAGTTTTTCTGTTGACGGTATCATTATCACATCAAGATTCCCACGTCAAGATTCTCACGAAAGAGCACGTCTTACCCCCAATGGCAGCATTGTAGGTCTTTATAGCGCATGAGAAGGCTGTGGCACCGGCGGCAGAGTCTGTGATTAATGAATCGCTGCTCCTGGTTCTCGAAGAGCCGACGAGGATCTTATCCAGCGGCGACATGTATCCCTCGGTCAAGTTGTGAACATATTGGAAATAGGACCGAGCATAGGTCTGAGAGGCCGGTCCGAACCCGTCAGAGACCATCATGATCACATTACGACTTCTTCCTGTTCATGATGGAATGGAATCGTGGCATTCATGTTAACATTGCAGGAAATTTCCCATTTCACACCGACACGAGTTCCGCTTTGCAATTCGACCGCGAATAAAGGACTTACCCAAGGACTTTTTGGCAAAGAAGAATGTGAATGCCACGGCCGACGAGGTCAAGATGATAGCCAGGCCCAGACAGAGCATCATACGCTTTCGTTCCTATTGTAATCCCCCCCATGTAGCCGGTACGAAAACAGCGTGAGAACACTTGGTCGTTTAAGCAGACGCGAACGAGCAATTGAGGGGATGTCATTCGGATAACTGTACCCTGCGGATCTGCTTGTTTTCTTCATGTCTCAGCAATGCGAGTTCGTCTATGGGTTACAAATAGAGGATGAGCATTGAGATAGGTTAGCACATTGTAGCAGAGACGGAGTACATGGACAGGATTGCCAATGAAGGGTTGGCTGTACCGGCATCAAAGATATCGTCGGGGTTCTGGTCGGGCAGCAGCCGTGAGGTTTCGTGCGCAGACATGGCTGATGATCGATGCTTGGTCCTTGCTTGAGGGAGGGAAGAAAGATGAAAGAGGCTGGTTGGATGTGTAAGGAGACAGAGGATCTTTATCCCGCGGGAACTGCTTACGATTCCTCTGATGTGGCGATGTATATTTTTGGTGGCGTCTTTTTATATTCCCATACGCGTCCCATGGTAGCCTTGTCCAATTGCTCAGGTACGGCCCACGCTTTCGACTTGGACTAGAGCACAGGCCACATCAAAGTGCCAACCATTACACATGCACAAAGCCACTCGGCTCTTCGAACTAGCTCCTCTCCCAAGCTGATCAGTTCTTCATCGTTTCCAGCTCAATTCCATCCTACCCATGGCATCATCCAGTCAGGAACAGGAGCAAGAACAGGGAGAGGGACAGGGACAAAGACAAGACTCTGGGACAACGGACCTTATCCCATGGAAATATTGCAACGTATACGCCAACAACCGCAGCCCCGAACGGCTCTTTGTCTTCCAGGGACACTCAAGTATGTACAGAAAGACAATGGGAGCTCCATGGACATAGGACGCATCGTGCATGGTCTACTCAATTAAAGGTCGCCTATCGCTTCCCCTTATCCCCTTTTTACTCCTTCACTGCAGTATTCATTCACCAGCGTCTCGATGAAAAAGTTACCATTGACCAAAACACCGGCAACGTCGTTTGGGATGGCGTAAGTATCTTATGAACATTATTCTCAATTGATCTTTTCGCAGTTCAGAACTACTCACATTCAACTATCAAAACTTCCAATGTAGGCATACCTCATGTCAAAATACCTAGAGTCTCATATCAAAGATCTGCAAGGAAAGACGTGCCTCGAGCTAGGGTCTGGAACAGGACTTGTTAGCATCGTTGCATGGTTGCTTGGTATGTTGTATTACAATGTGAGTCGAGCGGATAACCACTAAAGCAGATGCTCACTTTTCGAGTGATTCACCTACATAATCGCCTTAACCTGTTTGCTGCATCGTTTTATGTGTGTTTTTTGCTCCATAAGGTGCCGAAAATGTACTGGCAACAGATCTGGCAGGGCCCCATACGGAGCATGTGGCAAGAAATACATCCACAAACGCCTTAAGGATCGCCCTTGAACGTCAACAGGCCATTCAAGAAGAGGCTGGTGCAGCAGCCCCTGAAACACGGCATGGGGCTTCGTTCCTGAGAAGACGGCGGGATCGACTGAAAACAACAGAACTCAAGAGCGAAAACCTGCAGGTCGCGCCTCTTGACTGGTAAAGTATCGGGTCAAGAAGGACGCACACCTTTCTCGCTCTTACTCCCGGTGCATTTGAACTATGCGCGTTGCCTCACTTCTGCGAGCCACACCACCCTATTTCTTAACGCCAGTGCCTCTCTTTACTGTTTATACTCTATAGGGGTTCGCCTACGCTTCCGGAGAGTGTCACGTTCCAGGGTCCATTCTCATACATTCTTTGCTCCGAAATATTGTACTTGCCACAGTTCCATCGGGCACTCCTCAAGACGATCACTCAGTTCTCGGATGAACAAACGGTCGTTGTCTTGCTCTGGAAACAGCGTGGGCTAGGCGAGGAACGGTTCTTTGAGATTGCATCTCGGCCTTCAACAGGGTGGCATGTTGAATTCGTAAGTCGAGATAATCGTGTTTTTTGTTCCTGTACGACATAGGTTTCCTTGTTTCTAACACGAATCAAATGTTTTTGCAATATCTTTTTTATATCCTTGTGTGGTCTACATAGCTGGACAAGAGCGTACTTGATGTCGAGTTCCAGGAACAGCCATATGGAGTAGCGCGAATGACCAGGAGAACAACGGCGACGCCAGTTACTTCTGCAACACAGAAATAAAGATTTTGAAATTCGTGGTATCCTTTGACTATGTTCAATAACCCCTTGACATACCAAGGTTAATTGGTCGCAACTAAAAAAAAATCTGCGAAAGTAGGGCTGTAAGGCGGAAGCTATCATATATATCTCAGAAGACATGAGACCCGACTTTCAGAAACACTAGAAACCAAAAAAAAAAAAAAGGAGGACCAAGGGCACGCAGGTATTTTGCTATAGGCGTCCCTGGGGACCGATGGAAATGACATGTATCTATTTCTATACTTTTTTTTTTTTTTTTTTTTTTTTCTACCCGCGTTTTGCTCCTTTGCGATATGGCGCAAAAGAAACGAAGCATAGGAAACGATGAGCAGGGGTCGGCCGAGGTTGGCGGTTGCGCGATCGATAGTCGTCTCCAGGGTGAGCCTACAGCCGTGGAAGTAAAGACCGCAGTTCGCGCACGCCGAATCACGTCGTATCGCGTCGTATCGCGCGCTTCTTCTGTCAAACCTACAGTACTAAAACAGTAAAGTATGCGCATAATGCGCCTAAAGTCCCGGCACCAAAGCCGTCCTTTACTCATCCCGCTGCAACGCCTCATCAGCAACTACTCATTCCTACTCTCAAAGACAAGGGTCCTTCCGAAGACTACAAGCAAAACTATAAAAGCATACAAATATAAAAAAGAGCAAAAGAGGATGCGTCTTCGAGCATTTTCATCCACGAGTCTCTGCTCACTACTCCGCCACTGCCAACTGCAGACACATCAACAGCATCAGCGCACATTCTCCACCGCACTCAATAACACAAATAGTACTATGACTACTGAGAAGGCCACCTTTGCTGCAGGATGCTTCTGGTGGGTCATTCCTTCTACTTTTCTTCCTTATAATCGTTGTCCTTGTCTGAGAAGAAGATTTTTATTTGATCTTTAACACTCGGCATCGATTTCTTTATCTTCATACCATGTAGGGGTGTCGAGAAGGCATTCCAGAAACAATACAAGGACGAGCACATCAAGACCCGCGTCGGCTACATCGGCGGCATCGACAGCCATCCCACATACAAGAAGGTAGTCTATAGCACCTTTTCAAAGTCCTTAACATACACCTCTCATGTTCTCAACGCAATCCTAACCCCCGCCTTGTCTCATTTTTCTCACCTTACTTTCTTTGACTTTTTTTTATTTTATTTTTTTTTTTTTTTGCACCAGGTCTGCACAGGAATGACCCAGCATGCAGAAGCCCTCCAGATCGAATACACACCGAGCGAAAAAATCAGCTATCCAGCACTTGTCGAATTCTTCTACCGGATGCATGACCCCACCACCCTCAACTCCCAGGGCCCTGATCGTGGGACCCAGTACCGTTCCGCCATCTTCTTCCATTCTCCCGAACAAGAGGAAATCGCCAAGAGGGTTACGGCCGAAGTCCAGGAGAAGCATTACAAGAACAAGAAGATCGTCACCCAGATCGCTCCTGCGGGGACATGGTTCAGTGCAGAGGATTATCACCAAAAGTACCTAGATAAGAATCCGCACGGATATGAATGTCCATCGCATTTTTTGAGATGGTGAAGTCTTTATACAATCGACATGTCAATGTAAGAAAAATAAAGCACTGTGTCTTCATACTTATTAATCAATTTCAACGGAGCACCATTGTTGTTTGAAAGAGTATGGTGGAAGAGTTTTATTTATTGTTGAACTTGAAGGAAACGCGAGCCAAGATGTTCAGAGGATGTGTCGAAAAAAGAAGGAAAGAAAGGGCGAGAGCAGGAGAGTGAAATGAGTGAGGGAACAAAGAGATAGATGGTAGTATGTCTTTGATGTTGATTGACGGTTTCAACGCTTTAGCATTTCGCGTCCGAAGCCTTGGTGTTCAAGATAAGGGCGACGATCAAACCGTACAGGGCCAACACCTCAGCGAAAATCAGCACGAGAATCTAAGAGATAATGAACGTACAATTACGGGTATCATTAAGAGCGGATTAGTGAGTGCCTATAACCCTTCGTTCTTGAATGCAACAACATCACCATGCCTAGTCCACTCCAGTCGTGTTGTATCGCACGTACCATTCCTGTGAAGAGTCTGGGCTGCTGCGCAGAGGCACGAACACCGGCATCACCGACAATACCAACTGCAAAACCCGCAGCCATTCCAGCAAGACCGACACTTAGACCTGCGCCCAGCTGAATGAATCCTGCATACAATGACATTGTTTGCGAGACTATATGTTGATCGAGAGGAGCAAGGTAGCTAGCACAGTTAACGTTTTTTCCTTTAAACATTTCCAACCGTAGTATCTCCAAAAAGAACAATTAGATTCAAAAAAAAAGCGACTTACATCCGTTGCCGATCAATACGGACACGACCAGTCCGTAAATACCGATAATACCGGCCATAATGATGGGAACGACTCCCTTCATGATCAAATCAGGGCGGAGAACTCCCATGGAGGTAAGACCAACGCCAGACTTGGCAGTACCGTATGCAGCGCCGAAGCCTATCGAGGCGACAAATGAGGACTATCGTTAGCACATGTCTTATGGTGGATGAGTGCGATGGATGTTTCGAGTCTACGATCGTCATATCGCGCAACGAGTCAGGGCACACACGCTCAGGTACGCCTTCATATTCTGTTCATATCTTTGCGCCGAAGAGTTTCGTTCCTGAAAATTTCTGAGGTCCACGTTGACATGTATTGTGTAAGCCGGAAAGATCCATGGAGTTGACCGCCATATCGTACGACAGGGAGTGATGTGATATACGGGTTCCCGGCGACGTTTGAGTAGGGCGAGCTTCATGTTGACCGGAGTGCTGCTGTCCATGTCCAGAGAATTCACATAATACACTCAATTCATGATCGTGAACTTACAGCAAAAGACGATGGCGCTGGTGGCACCCATGACTCCGAAGAAAGGAGAGTATACGGGGCTATATACACAAACAGGAAAGAGGACTGGTGTTAGCCGCGTGTTGCTCGAGGGTCGACAAAATTCTCCCCCTGGGGTTTCGCTTCTAGTTTCAGCGCCCTCAAAAGAAAAAGGTGCCGTTGCCTCCTGTGTAGAGTGTTTATATCGAGAGATAGCGAATCGATTGACGCCAACTTCAGGGCTCCTAGAGATAGTGACCTTAGAGACCGGCAGACTCGCTGAAGCCCTGAGCTGCTTCGTTGCGAAAAACGCGCTCAGCTCCATTAGAGCAAAAAGTTTTCAGGCCGTGGAAGGAGGAGGGGGGGGGGGGTTTCTTTTTTCTTCCTTTACCAGTATTCAGTGGCGACGAGAGCGGACATGTTGAATTCGTATTGTTCTTTTCAAGGACTGGTGAATGAGGTTGAGTATGCCAGGTACTGTTGGTTGATTTGCAAAGTGGACAAAGTGGAGGGATGAGAGGGGAAGCAAAGTCGAGACACGAAAGGGGGCTCAAATCAGAGGAGGGGGATGGCACACCACGGACAATTCCAGCTCCAAATACGTCACCAGACGCGATTTGCGAAAAACACCAAGATTGGGGATAGAAACCATCAACAGATGGATAAAGCACACGAAGTTCCTCCATATATCCACCGCTTATTAACAAACGCGCCTCTTATAACGCGCCGCTCTTTGTCTCATCCACAAATAGCCATATTTATGCATCCACCTCACTCTTCTCCCCTTCTTTCTACTTCTTTTACTCACGCCAAAAGCACATTCCATCCATGACAACCCTTTCGATCAAAAAAAATCCATTCCATATCCCCGAGATCAGAAGCCGCATCAGTCGCCTAGTCTCCGTGAAGGATGCTATCTCTTGCGTTCGGGTCTCTAAAGGCTGATCGAATGATTTCGTTGCTCCGATTTGGTATGCCATCGATTTCAACGTCCACAACACTTTTAAACAACTCAACGCCGACATTGTCGCCAAGCATGGACACCACATCCGCACAGTTGAGAATCTCGAAACCCAACTCCAGCTGAATTCCCTTCTTTCTCCAAGTATCAAGAACATACAAGATCTCCAAATAACGTGCACCAGCAGTGCCCGATTCCGCACCCTGTGCATGGATCTCATCAGCAGGAACAACAGCAACCTCAGGACGCTGACATTGGAGATGGATGAAAATGCAAAACAGCGTGATATGTCTTCCCGAATGATTTTCGTTGCTGCGCTCGTCCCTCACTCTTCTGTCTCCAGACTCTCTTCTGTAAGACTCCATGGTATCTGCCTCAGCCGGGATTCATTTGCCTCTTTACTGAGAGGTTGTCCTCTGCTCACAAGTGTGGACTTGCAACAGGATGTCGCGCTGCTCTCAGGCTCCTCCATAGACACCTTTCAGCACACGGGAGTGACCACACTGGTGGCTCCTATCTCTCAAGTCTTCAAACCCGATCCCGAATCAAATTCCTCGTCCCCAGGCTCGTCGTTGCTCGTACATTTCCCCAACCTGGCTTACTGGCATGTCTATAACCGAGTGACGACCCTGATCGTTCCTATCGAGCGAATCAAGGCCGAGGTTCGAATGTGCTGCCCAAAAGTGACTCAAATCGATACATGGATCACACCAAGTCCTGTTCTATATGACCTGGTGGCAAACGTGTTTCGCAAACTGACGATTGTCAGGTTTGCGTACAAAGAACTCTCTACAGATATCATTACAGCACTGTTATTCCATAACGCGACGTTATTCAATATCTCCACCTTTTGGAATACTCAAAAATACCAGACTGAAAGAGATGACTTCCCTCGCGAGGACGATCACTTTCAATCGAGGGGTCGAGCTCTACAGTTACTGCCGCGCTGCTGTTCAAACCTTCAGACCCTTGCGCTTGAGCGTCACGAGATGGAAATGGACCATGTGGAGGAGTCAGAATGGGCATGCAAACAATTACAACAACTTCGTGTCCGAATTCGAGGATTAGATACCAAAGAAAAGGTTAACAGAGCTCTGGAATTGTGGAGAGAGGGAATGGAAAAGGATGAAACAGACTTGATGGACGAGGAAGGGAAGGAGGTTGTCGATGGGTCTAACGAATCTCATGTGAAGAAGGAGGACACATCGATCGAGGCACGCGTGGCAAAACATCTCTTGAAGTTCGATGAACTGAAGGAAGTCTGGCTGGGTACTCGCACATGCTATGCGTAGAAGATAGTCTAACTAGTCGATGGCTCCCTATTAAAAAAAGCAATATAAAAATAAAGCGCACCCTCCATAGGGCGACATGGGGACACTGAGAGCAGAAAACGGCCTCGTATCCAAGCTTTCGGATTGAGAGCCATAGACTCACAATACCTACCACTGACACTTACGAGATGAGTAAAGAAGGTTGTCAAGCTGGGGCTAATCAGATACCAAAGGATGTGCAGCGAACTGTGTTGCGGAAGAGGAGGAAAATGAGAGTGAAGGAGCGCGTGAAAGGATAAGGTTTATATCCGAAATTTGAATTTGGACTGACCTGGCTCATGACTAACTGTGGGTGGATTGTTCTGTCGTAGAATCCAACACATAATATCCACAAATTCCATGCTGATCAATGTTATTCTCTACAGTTCTTAGTCAATTCTTTCACTCGACCCAGTGCAGAGTACTCCATCATTGTGAACATGGCCAGGGCCTTTCTTCTTTCTCGTACGTGTCCTGGTTACGTTCAGCACAGGTCGCCCTGCAAGCACATGTGTCTTGTACCAAGGATCTACAGAGGCATGGAGACCAACTACGGCGGGGAGCCTGTGCTTCCTCAAGAACCACAAGAACCGATCAGTATTGAAAACGACTTCGAAGACTATTTCGGACCCCCTCTTGAAAACCTGCTTTCACCGCAACTCCGCTCCGTCTCCAACTACGAGCAATGAGAGCTAAACAGCAGGAAGCACAGAGAAGAACGAGAGAAGCTGAAAATGAAGAGGCATTTCAGGAATGTGAATTCGAGCAGGAAAATGCTTTGAAGAAACTAGGTGATATCATTCGCGATAAAAAGAAAGACGATGCACGCTGCAGTATTCCCAAAGCACGGTGAAAGGACTGAAGAATACAATGCTAGATGTTCAGGGAATTAATGCTGTTGGGGCAGGGCACAAGTACCAGTGAATGAAAAATACAATTCACAATCGCATATACGGTACGGGGTCCTATTTCCATTGACTATGCTTATTTTCCGACTAATGGGAGAATTTTCGCCCACTCGTGAAACCAGCTTTATTAGAACTCGTAGTCCCCGCTCATGCTGAGAAGCTCCATTTCACGCTCCAGCGTCCTAGGGCGCGCGTCCTGTTGTCGACTACCATGGTCAAAATTAAGGCTATGACCGTGGCCATGGCTATGACCGTGCTCATCTTGTAGTTGTAGCTGTTGTTGCTGATGCTGTAGCTGATACTCACGCTGCATCCTCAGCTCGTGCCGTTGCTGATCCTGCTGCAATTGAAGTAGCTGTCGCGCCTGCTCCTCAGAAGCCTGTCCATTTCCATCCAAATATACTTGCGATCTCACATTAGTGCCGTGCTGACTGTAGATACCAGCCTGCAAAAACTGTAAGCCGTTGGAGGGAGTCGACGTTCCAGACGATGCCCCTGATGATGTGCCATGCATGTTCACAGCAAGATTTGGGCCCCCGTTGACAGAGCCGCTAGATATTGCTTTCGAAGCCGGATCAGCAGCCGATGACAGTCCTTCAGCGCCTTTGCCACTGTCCGTGCTGGCGCTCTCCGTCAAATAGCCATTGACCCTCAGCCATTGCTCGACATCCTTACAGTCGCGCTCGAGCCACAGGATGTTCATGCGAATACCCTCCAGACAAGTCGCCAGAATGCGGTCATATGCACTAGTATCTTTGTTGGCAAAGAACGCTTGCACCTCCTGATATCGCTCCAATGTCGAAAAGGACTCGATACTCAGTAACACGAAGTAATCCAGAAATCCGATATCAGCACAATGGCGTTCATAGAGTACGTCCCAGTGATGCCGCATAAAGTTCCACAGCTCTGCTCGTCCGACAACTGATGATCGCAGTGTTGCAATTGCGCTCAAGATGTCTTGCGTTCGGACCTCGGGTGACATCGCAAACGCCAGTGTCCTCCGGACCAATTCCAGGGAGCTACTGTATCCAAGAACAGAGAGCGCTACGACCTTTTCTGCTGGGATAAAGGTCTCGCGGTAGTAGTTGACAATTTCCTCATATTCCTCCACGCCCTGAGTTGTCCTGATCACAATTTCGAAAACGGGGAATCGCAGATCTGGGGGCAGCGCTGATACGTCTCTGTCCTTCATAAATGCATTGAACCGTCTTCTTGCTTCTGCCACAATTCTATATAGGAGTCAATAATAGTAATAATAATAAAAAATACAGACGGAAGAAAGATTAGGACAGAGAAATTTCAATATCTGACTTGTCATCTGTGATGGCAGCAATTACATACTCTGGATCTCCTGCTCTTCCGGCATATCGAATAGCGACAGCACGAAGATTGACAGTCGAAGGATCCTCTCCTTCTGGGAACTCCCATCCAAGGCGCTTGACGATCTTTGTGAAAAGGCGCCTCTGTACTTCTTTCAAGGCATTCATAATGGGTTCAGGCTGCTCAAGCCAGACGGCCAACAATTCGTGCAATCTTAATGACACCTCAGCCCATACCCTAAAAGATTGATAGCCAAGCATCAGTTTGAGTCGCCCCAGCACCAGACATAGGAAGAACATAATTGAATTCTCGCCTTACATGTAGTCCTGCTCGTCCTCAAAGTACTTGAGAAGAGTTAAGAAGCTGCTTGTCGGGGCTATACCGCTCGCCACTAATGCAGCCACGTCAGTCAGCAAGCCTACTCGATTTGCTGCATTCAATTGTCCTGTTCCGAACGTCTGTCCCAGTAGATCCAGGGTTTTTGATGGATAGGATACTCGGTAGAATCCAGTTTGACCCATATTGAATTTGTACCACCGTGTTGTGTCCACCTTTAGAACCATTTCTTTCGTATCCATCATGATGTTACGAGGGGTTGGGTCGGATGCCGTCGCTAATCCCAAAGGAACGGGCCAGAGTAGGGTATCCTCCTCCTCACGCACATCTCCTGTAGATAGAAAGATGTTTTGTCGTACCAATATGCTTGAATCATCTAGCTCCGTGATCGATAGCACAGGATACTAAAAAGCAGATCAAAAGAGGTCAACATATGAACATGTAGTTATTGAATATTAGCGCGCAAAAGGATCCATGTCCGACATATCATCAGAACTCAGACTTACCCCTGTCTGCCTTGTCCACCTGCTCATGAATCCAGGGACGTCAACTTGGCATTCTTCTGCCAGGGTGACCCACAAATCTTCGGTATTGGCATTGCTCCACATGTACTTGTGGATAAACTTTCGAAGTCCAAGCAGCATCTGATCTTGTCCCAGCCAGGCATTAAGCATCCGCAAGACGGACGCACCTTTCATGTAACTGACCTCGTCAAAGATCTGCGTGATCTCAGTTGGGTTAGCGACACCGACCTCGACGGGATGGGACGTGCGAAGTGAGTCATGCTTTAGCACCTCCTGAATTCGTTTGACGAACTCGGACCAAATATCCCAGCGCGGAAATAGCTCATCTACAACAATATAGGCCAAATGTGTCGCGATGCCCTCAAATAGCCACAGGTCGGACCACCATTCCATCGTTACCAAGTTTCCTAACCACTAATAGGAATAAGAACATCCAAACGTCAGAAACGATGTTGAGCGCAACAAATCGCTCCGTAATTCATTGACATATTGGGCAGTAATAACATAATTACGGCACCTGATGTGCGATTTCGTGGATGACAGTAGCAGCGATTTCGTGCTTTCTGTCCTGAGGCCCATATTCATCCATCAGGAGTGCGTACGTTCGAAAAGTGATCAAGCCCCAGTTCTCCATAGCACCGGGCGCAAAATCGGGTACTGCCACCAAGTCCAGCTTGGGCAGTGGATAAGGTATATTGAACAAACGTGAAAAGTATTCGACCGACTATGCGTGCAGTTCGATTACAGATTCAAAGAGTTCTGATTAGTATACATAAGCTCACATTCTAGTTATTCGCTTGCCTATGATACATATTTTTCATCTCACCTTAACGGCCAAATCCAGAGAGTAATGTCCTTGGTCAGCTAGGCCCACAGGAGCGTAAACACGGCATCGAATCCTCTCCCCATTGAACTCTCCAGAGGTATATGCTTCGATATAGTCGAAATCACCAATCACCCAAGCTAGCAGCTATATCGCAGAACGTCGATAAAAGTTTTACTTTGATTTCAGAGACGATTCATGCTCAGAGTAGAGCCATGGAGCAATATTGAAAAGATGGCTTACATAGGTGGACATGATGGGTGTCTTCAGGAACGAGACTTCCTGCATACCGTTCTCAAGAAGTGTCCTCGACCGAACGCTCATGTTGGATAGACATGTCATTCCTTGAGGGGCCTGAAGCGTTAAAGAGAACGTTGCTTTGATGGCGGGCTATGTTGCAGTGTGTAGAAAAGGCGAGATATACCTGATGTTATTGCACAGCAACGTTGCTTCGGGCACAGCTAGTGGTGGTGTTGAGCACTGCAGCTTCATGCACAATAGAACACATTTTTTGTCCGCTTCTCCAAAACTGCTGTACCTCGTCCCAACAAGGAAATGCTCTTCGTGCATGAGTTGATTGGAACTGAGTTGTAGTCAATTGGCTAGTGAATAATGAATGGAGAACCAAAAGATCGGGAGGTGAGCAAAGAAGTGACTATCGTCCACTGGCATGAAAATTGAAATTAGCAAGAATGACCCTCTGTTTCTAGACTTACTGCACATTGTTATCGGCATCGGTGTAGACAGAGCGGTAAAAGCCATTGAGCTTGTCATTAACGAGGCCGATGTACGTAACGTCCAGAATCCAGGAAGAACCAACATGTAAGACTTGGGGGAACTCCAGGGCAATGGTCTCTTCTTCGACATTATAGCTGACACTCGTTGCCGTGACACTTTCAAAAAAAAAAAAAAAAAAAACGAAAGCCGACGTTAGTTGATCGTCCACGCAAGGTACGATGTTCTCAGCGGGCTGGTGTAACCTGGTTTGTGTAAACATTTCATGCAAACTGCATTTTATTCATGTGCCAATTCGCGGCATGTGGAGAATATGCAGTTTTGGGAATGTTCACAACGCATGCCTCATGTCGATCCGATCTGGTCCTATCCATGTTATCCCATCGTCGTCTGTAAGTCTGTAATCGCATCTTGGTCTACATTCAAGTCTATACCAAGCCCGTTTCCATTTGCTGCTGTTATGCTGCATGTCATCATTTTGCATGGGATCAGGGGTTGGGAAAGGTGGCGATGGTGGCGTGGGGACTGGAATCAAGGCGGTTGCGCTTGGTTGCTTCTCGGCTGACAATGATTCTAACACCTTAGCTGGCCCGAGCGAGCAATCAGATAGCGCTGGATCGAGTAGATGATAAGTCATTAGCCCTTACCTATATCCATTCAGAAGGTGATCCCTTGCGGTCGCAGTCTGAATGTTGAGTTCCTTTGCATTCAGAGTGATGCTGAACGTTGGTTCAGCGATACATAACCTATTAAAAGAAGGAGAATGTCAAGAATGGCGCTGATTAGTGAAGGGCAGAGGCGAAAAGGAAGGGGGGAGGAGACGTGTGCCTGCAAATCCATATTTTAATTGCTTGTCGTCCAGTATGATCCGCTCTCCTGGTCAGTGCCCTCCCTCATATCCAGAGAAACAGACGTGTACATATTCGGAAAGCGTCGGATTCAATGGACAGTGAGGTGATCAGGCAACTGTCTCATAGGTGGAGAGAAGGAGAGAGAGAGAGAGAGAGAGAGAGAGAGAGAGAGAGAGAGAGAGAGAGAGAGAGAGAGAGAGAGAGAGAAAAAGCGAATGAAGGGTGTTGTTGTGCTTCCTTACTCGATGGAGCATTCGCCGAGGAATGAAAAGTTGACTGGACAGGGCACAATCTTGAGGTTATAGTGGACGGGAATAATGGACCGCTGCAAGGTCAGGCTTGGCCTCTTGGGCACGGTCATGGCGAAACAGTGCTGAGACTGGTTGGTTGTGGTTCGATCGGATCAGAATGCAAAAAAAAAAAAAAAGAATGTAGAGGTTGTGAATGTCACTCTCCCGCTGTCTTTTTGGGATGTAACACGTTGTTTGTTGCAGGGACAGATCGTTTGCTGAGGAGCAGAATGGTAGTAATGGTGGTCTGAGGTTAAGGGCGTGTGTGAGAATGAGGAGAAGGGTGGGAAGCAGGGAGTGGGGCAGAGCGGGGAGACAACACAAGGGAAAGAGAAGAGCGAACCCAAAGACGAAGAAGCCTGGGATGGGGCAGGACTGGAGAGCCTCAGGAGGGTTCGCTTGGGTTGGCTAGCGATCCAATACTTCTTTTTTATTATTTACTGCGGTGTGGTTGGCTGGAGGAGGTTCCGGTCAAGGTGCAACAAGCAGAAACACCAGCGAATGAACAAAAGAAAGAAGCAGGCAGTGGACAATTGTATATAACAACAGGGAGAAAGGGACCTTTGGAGAGAAGGAGGGCAGTGGTAGAAAAGTATATATATTATTTAGGTTGGGTTGACAGTGGTGGAGCGGAGTTGTTTCGAAAGGAAAAGAAACGCGGTGGAAAGAAGACAAGAGAAGAAAATGAGGTGCCTGGGGAAAAGAGGAAGGAAGTGGTGCCGTACCTGACGCCCTTTGTACCCATTTTCTTCTTGGTCGCATGTGAGTGGAATGCGTCAGTCAGTGCAGCAATCAGTTTGTATGCGTATTGTCTTCCCCGTTCTTTCCTTTCTGCTTCCCTGCCTGGGAAGAAGAAGGGTCGATAAATCCAGTGGTCTGCAAGGCTGCGCTGGGAACCATACTGAAGAAGCAATTAAACAAACAAGCTGCTTCATTTGGCTCCAGTGTTCTTTCGCTCCATTTTCAGTGTTCCATGCTCTCTTATGCACTATGCTCTCCTCTGCTTTGCTCTGCTTGTAATGTACAATTGATGCAGAAGAACACACTGGTTGAGCCCCCTCCGCTGTGCTCGCACTTAAACCTGGTGGAAAACCAGTCTGAAGTGCCCTCTTTTTGTGAGTATGCTTATCATTGAAGGTTTGTCGTCCCGCCATTGTTTGTGTACACACACACCTTTTCGTCCCTCGTCTCAGTCTCGCGGTCTTCTCTGGTTTATACTTGTGTATCGACACGATTTTTTTAATATCTGCCTCTTATTGCTACCTTGAGATGCCTGTGGCTAACATAACCACAATCTTTTGGTGCATCCAACGGCCAAGATGGACAGGATTCTTCAGTTTCCCATGAGTCCACCTATGCTTCACGCTCCACAACACACTTTAGAATAAAGTGCGGGAGTTCATGCATGAGTCGTATGAATAAGCCAATCTGAAATGAGTTCAATTAGCATATGATTATCCCGAGGGGGTTCTGTTCCCATCTAGCGTCACCTTTCATCGTTGTCTCGTCAATAGCCATGTCCACAAGTCATGCCAAAATTCACTCCCGCTGATGCTCATCCGATCTTGGAAGTGAATACCAAGCAGGACGCAAAGCCTCTTGTCGAATATATCGCGCCGAAGAAGCTACATGTTGTTTTTCAACACAGCATGACGCTGAATGTTCGTACTGCATTGGACACGTCGGGAAACTCTTTTTATCATGAGCAATACTGGTCCAGGAAGTCATTTCTTTGTCTAGTCAAGTCTTGTAGAGACTTTCCTACAGCTGCGGCTTGCAGAAGAAACAAATGTTTGGGTCGCTCCAAACTTTGGATCGAACGCACAAACCCCAATGGTTCGATGAATACGTTTGATATTACAAGGCACCATGGAAAGGGGCAGAGTGCATCCTCATGTCAATGTTTATTCCGTATGTTTCATTCGCTGGAAAGATGGTCTGAGAGCTCTTGTACGAACGATTTGTATGTGATTGTGTGCGTAAGTATATAAGCACCGAGACAAAAAAAAAAGGCGAAGTTCAAGTGTACGCGTCCATTTAGAAACGCGTTCACGCGTTCAAAAAAGATCAACAAGACTTTCCCTGTGTTGCCACCAAATTGACTAAGCCGTTCCTCTCTAAGTTCGTTGCCACCAACTCACCTATTCATCTTCTCATCCCGATTCCCAAACATTGTCAACTAACACTTCCTCATTCGCGCCATCCTTCTCTTTCATTCTCAACCTCGGGTCTCCCATTCATCAAAACTTGTGATTCGTGCTCGTCATGAGACTTAGAGCCAAGATACAACGAGACCTCTTATTCTTCAGTAAGAACATAAAACGTACACTACCTGGCCCAAGTCTGCTTCAGTTAAATAACAAATATCATCTTTGTATTAGAAATCGCCCAGGCTGTGGAAAAGATCGGACGGTCGTGCTTTCTCAAATTCACCCCTGACTTTGTTGCCTTCGGGGCTATCCACGGCCTAGGCGACAGCGATCCCACTACTGGGGGTGGGTCTATCCAATGCTGGTCGTAAGTTTGCTCTTTTTCCCACTCACGGCAAACGATGGGTATAGTTTTTAAGAGGCAGATACTCAATCCCGACCCTACTCTCCGTCCCATCATACAATAGGAGGCTACCCAAGGTGCGCAGGCAACAAACGATGGGCTGAGACGGATTGTAATAACGGCTATACATATTTTAAACGTCAGTGGCCTTTGGTCTTCATTTGATAGGAGAGTTTGTTCCACGAGTACAAGATCGAATCCAATTCAAATAACGAGATCTATTTGGAGATGAAGGTCGAGGATATGATACTAGCGATGAGAACGTGCAACAATGCCTCTGCGATAGTAATGCGCATGACAGGACGGTCCGCAGATGCCTACCTTACCTTCACTATCACGACTGAGGTATACCTCCCACAGTCCATTTGCATACCGCGGTGATGTTTGCTGTCTTCTCGATGTGAATTTGCTGATGAGGACGTATCATCACATCGTTAGGATCATCAAGGGAATTCACGACCTATCACTCAGAACGTCCCGATCGTCAAGATCTTAACAGCAGATGGAGCAAGTAATACATCGGTTTTCGATGAGCCCATGATTCCGACCCCTGAAGTGCATATCATGCTGCCTCAGCTCGAACGGCTTCGCCATGTGGCCTCCAGCTACAAAAGCATCTCAGACTATGTTGTGATTTCGGCAAATCTTGCTGGCGAGATGGTCTTTACAACATCGGATGGCGTACAGCAGCTCAGTCATTATGATTCAGACAAGGATGGAGGAATGATAGCAGCGCACTATGGTGCCGCTGAGAAGGCACATGTGGAGACCCGGTTTACGAACCTGCACAACCCTGTCTTGAAGGACGATGACGAAGAACACCCACATCTCGATAGATTGCGGTCACAGCCAAAGGACTTTGCAAGCGTCTTGGTCAGGGTGTCGGATCTTCAGAAAGTGCTGCAGAGCCATTACGTGAAGCCGCTGAATGTGATTTGCAGTAAGTACCGTGTTACAATGCGCTCTCACTTCTTGTGATGCTTAATGGCTCCATCTCATAATTCCTTGTGGCATAACTATAGGTATCGTTCCGAGCCATTCTATCCTGTTCTACGTCTACTTGAAGGACAACACCCAGGATGCCACTTTGACGTACTTTATCCCTGAAAGCGCCAAATAGCACAATAAATGTCCTATTTCAGCTGCGAGTGTAATGGAGCATGAGCTAACCAGCCGCGTGGCTGACCCAAAGACTTTGTCCTGAGTTCTCGGCGTGAAAGAGACCATGTATAATGGCATGGGTATTGGGACTTGGAGGTTGTGGGCTCATCAATGGTATCTTCAGAACATAGAAAGCCCCTTCTACCCCCTTACCTCGTCCTTGAGATGCACCAGTAAAGTGGGAGTCTGCTGTTGCCCTGTATAAGAAGATGTGGTCGAATTCGAGGTTCAGGCCAAAGGGGCAAGGCGAAGGTAATGGTCAAGGGTGCCGAACAGGGATGCATCTTCTGGCTGCTCCCATTTCCTACCTAAAAACAAAATAAAATTAGCCGGAAGAGAGATCGGTGACCATCCGTATCCTGGCTGGTGACTCCTCTCTTCACGTTCTGCGTTATTGTTTTGCAACCTTCTCCTCTACAAGTCTTCATTATTTCTCTCATTGCAGGCTCCCAAAATATATCTACTGGCCGTCCCACATTGTCACAAGCATTGCAGCCACTTTATTCTAACGAACACAGCAATGATAAGACTATCTTCTTACAGCTTCAGATCCACAGCTTCAAAGTGGCTGATCGTATCCACCATAGCCCTTGCCGTACTGCTTTCTGTGGTATCTGCCTCGGAATCTAATAACCATCGACTTTATGGTACTTTTTTTACGCACTATCGAATGGACGCGAAGTAATGTCCCTACTGAGAGAGCGCAAGTACTCATGTACTCCTCTTTATCAACCCTCGCTATATTTTCCCTTACTCCAGTCCGACAACAGCAGAATCCATCCTCCACAGGAACCCCACCTTCAGCACTCATAGATTCAAATAGAGGGGGAGGAGAAAGAAGAGGTCTTGGCGGTAATGGCGACGGTTCTGCACCGCAATTGGAAACTTTGTCAGTACCTTCTCAGCCATCGTCACCTTCGCAGCAACCCGATAGCAGTGGTGGAACTATGGTCGGACCTGGAGGGGCCATTATCTCGCCGCCGCGATCGCCCGGAACAATCAGCTCTACGCTGCCACCCATCGGCGGAACTGTGATAGGAACAGGCGGCGGCACTGTGATTGGTGGTAGTTCCGTGATAGACCCTCGCCGCCCTGTCAGTCGCCTGTCCATGGTTCAGCCCAAACAAAACACGGCTAATCCACCGCTGTTTCCCGTGGGGTCTAACATTATCTTTGAGTGGGCGTTCGACAATACGACTCTGGTATTTCCGCCGACAAACTTGACCATCGAGATCAGTTTGTCGGGGACCACAAAGATGGTATGGCCCGTGGCTAATGTCTCTGGATTGACGACCTCTGTGGTCTGGAACACAGCCACAGTGACGAGCCCGGCCCTATTCATGGGATTTTACACTTTGTAAGTGACGGCGACCGCTCACGACCTCTGCTACACAACTGCGTTCTATGTCTAATGACCCCACTTTTTACGATGTGTACGTAGGAATGTATATGACACCAATATCGGGAAGCAAGGAATAGCGACCAGCGGGCACCTGATGCCATTTTCTGACCTGCAGTTTGGTCTTTACATCCCTGTAAGGATCGTTTTAAGATCTGTCCGTGCTCTTCATTATAGTATTGTAGCTGGTCGGTGCACAGTAAAGCAGATTGCGCTGACTCTAATGATTTTTCTTTGCTATTCCTGGCGCCATTGTCATGCAGGAGCCATATATTCCAAGGACAGGGGGTAATACCGGAGTACATTGCATGCTGGGAGCGAACGCATGAGGAGAATGGAAGATTACTTGGTTTAGATATATCGCCCTTGATGCGTACTGACGGCAAGTTGTATGTGTGTGTGTGCACTCCTTGATATTATAGCATTCTGTCAGACTTGCAGCTCGGGTTCGCAAGTGGTGCTTGCCGGTGGCCTATTCCAATGGGTGGCGATAGCATTTGCTTTTTTTGCTGCGACATGGAGTCCGTTCCAGTAATTGGTCCATCGATCAACTCAAGTTGCACCCATTTATGGTTATAAAACATTGGCCCACGCCATTCGTTGCTCTCAGGATCTGAATATTGGCGTTTTTGGCGTCGATGAAACTTCAACTGGTACATCTATTCGTTTATTCGTCCATTCATGCCATTCATCTATACTTCTATACACTAATAAATTACAGCCGCAGTATGATGTTTGCACTTTTTGAGGCGTGAATTGTGAACGAACAAGATTGCAAGCAAAAAACAACAACAAGTCTCCACTTTGAAAAGATGCCTCTGCTCTCTTACCGAGCAAAGACCATGTTTTCTTTTGGTGGATGCGACCGATCGTTCACTTTGAGATTGCAATATAGCTCCGTTGGCAAATTTTATTTGTCTCTTTATCTTTGTGTTCAGGTTACTCAAAGAATACCGGAATATTGTACAACAAGGCGCAACGTACATGTGTATCTCTAGAATGGGGTCTGAACATAATGGTAGATGATTTTGCATGAAGTCTCTGTGATGCAAGACTTAGTCTACCAAAGGGTTGAGAGATAAAGTGGTTACCCTTCTGTAAATGGTAAGAAGTGTCCAGCTCGGCTTGACTCAAAGTGGGTTTGTTGATTGGACGAATTGCATAAACGAATGAATTTTGGAAGATATCACCCTTCCCCCATATATATCTTGGAGAAAGTACCGTCGACTTGATAGATAGGTTTACGCGAGAACAGGCTTCTGCTGCGACACTACCTACACCTTTAGGCTTTGACTATGAGGTCCAGGTTTATTGAAGGACTAGGGTTCTCGTTAACTAGCAGTGAATAAAGCACGTAGATGGCTTGTCCAGAGACGCAAGTTTTTATGTAAGGGGACCCTTAGCCACCTAAGCAGGTACAGAATGAGTGTAGAGGGAGGAGGGTTATCGTTCCCTTCTTGCAGGCGGTTCTTTTGGGTTTGGACTGGGGTATACCTGTTGTTGTCAGTGGTTCGCGGAGTTGGTGCACAAGGTTGAGTTTGGATTTCGGCAGTGTTCTTGTCTGTGTGCCCCTGTCCTGTTTCAAATTCATTTTACTCGAGTGTTCATATATTGCAATCAACGTGGTCGCCATGACAGCGTATATACACCGCTTCGATTCGCCTGACCTCCCTGTACTGTACTTCAGGCTGTAGAAACTATCATTCTACATCATTTGACACACGAATGTGCGCCGCAAACGGCAATCAAGGAAGGAAAACAAACAAATATCAGTTCTCCCTTCAATATAACATGCAATATTGCGCATCACACGTTTGCACAGAGAGGCACCAAAGACAGCAGCGGGTTTCATCCGTCGTCCTTCACATCAGTGGCTCCTTGGTCGTATCCTCATTCTGCTGACTTCTACGGATTCGTATAAAACCGGCCACTCCCTCCCTCCTTCCCCGGCCCACTCTCACTACCTCATTCATAATTCATTCCCTATTGTTGAAGCCTCTTGGCGCCAATTGTCCGACCATATCCTTTCTTGCCGCCTTTTGTTTACCGCTTAGTGAGAAATTAGATTGCATCCTGTCTTCACGCCCCGACTGATTCCCCTGTCTGCATTCCAGACCCATCCTATTCGCCCACTGCCCGTATGCCCATCAGTCGTCGCACAGCGCCATATAAATCTCCGGACTCGGATTCAAGAACAAAAATGTCTCTTTCTTCAACCCCTCGCACAGCCTCGACACTATCCTCCACAGCATCTTTCTTGCTTCCATCAGTCTCATCCTCATCCTCGACCTCACGCGCGACCTCCTCGTTCTTCATTCTTGTCCTCGTCGTCATCAGTCTGTGCTCAAACCTTTGGTTGGCTCCAGTAGAATCCGCTCTTTCGCCTGTCGTAGCAGCATCTCAACTCATATCTACCCCAGTGCCAACAGTAGTACCTGAAATCGACACTAGTTCCCATCAACTCCTCAAGCGAGCGCCATACACTGCAGAAACTCAGCACACTTCTACAGCATCCCCTTCACCCTCATCAACAAGGTCTGCATCCACCCCAACTTCCAAACCAACCATGTCCACATCAACAGTATCCTCAATACCATCCTCCGCTACCTCACCCACATCCTCCTCCATCGCAGTCCCCTCGCCTGTCACGACCCCTCTCCCCGACACCAAAGGTGACACAGTCCTCTTCGGTCGCCCAGCAGTCATCGCTGGCTACAACCTGACCACGGGTATCCTCGTCAACGGTGCCTTCTTCCTTATTTTCTCGATCGTCATCGTTATCGCAACCGTGAAACGAGCACAGTTCAGGAGACAATTCCGAAGGGACATCGAGAAGTTCGGTTCTGTTGAAGCCGGTCGTACGTCCCCGGGAGGTAAAGGTGGAAAGGGTAGTCCGGCGATCGAAAAGAAAAGTGAGAAGCATAGCGGTGATGCTCTGTCCAAGCAGACCTCCACCAGCAAACAAAGGCTTATGGATGATATCGGGCCTGGAGGGATGCAGAATACCCACATCGCAGATGCCAATAGAAGCGCCCCTACTTACGAGAACCGCTCTGAGGAACATCGCCAAGGCCCACGAGGCGGGGCAGGTGTCAGGTTCGGTGAAAGTGAACGGTATGTTCCCGCTGGGGGAAGGACGGGACAACAACTACCGAGGAGAAACAATAGTGGCCGCCTTCCAGAGAGATCGAACTCTGAGAGATCGAACTCTGAGAGAAACGCACATGCGCAACAAGGCCGTGGTGAGCGACGAGACATCGCCGACCCATTGGCGCGCTACCAAGATGAGCCCCAAGACAGAACCGACTATAGCCTTCCTCCACTCACGGCTTCAACCATCGACAACTCCTATAAGCCAGCTCGTGTCATTCAAGCCTATGAGGACTATAATACACCACAGGCACCGCGTCCCACATACCAGCAGCAACTTCTTAGTCAGCAGCAAGCTCTTAGCCAACCCCGGCCCTTGCAACCTGTGAAGAGATCGAACTCTAACCGCACCCCTGTGGCCCGCTCAGAATCGTCGTCGTCGTCGTCCATGCCCGTCGGTCTCCCACCATCCGCTCGTGCTATTGAGCGCGCCAATTCTAGGCCAAGGATCACAACCCAAGGCTTGGCCGACCTCTCAGGATCCAGTCTGTCGTCGCACTCTGGTTCGAGCTTAGGCTCATATGCCAATTCCCCCGCTGATCGGTACGGTCGTTCGGGCAGCCGTGGAGGCTCTCCTGTCGTGCCAATCGAGATGGACGCATACCCAACACCGATTGCACGGTCCAACAGCGCAAGATTGCCGACGCAAATGCGTGTAGGAGGTGGTGGCCAGGCATACGATGGCAGCTATGCGTAAAATCCATCAGAGAAGACACACTTGTACAGTAGACTAATATTCAATGGCAGCCCACCATGTAAAGATATAGAAAAAATAAAATATACACAGACTATTACTTGCATACTACGACCTTTTCTAACGAATAGCCGGCTATCAAGGACAGATGGACAGGGGAAGACATACCGTCGCGGGAGGAAAGGGACCAATAAGGGGCCTGGAGAAGACGCACGGATCCAAGTCCACATCGTGATACGGAAACTGGCTGGAAGGGTAAGGCGAAGCCCCTCCCTTTTCTTCTTTTGAAGAGCTGCCATATCTTTGTCATCCAGTCTCAAGTTATCTCGAAGAAAGATGGCTATCAACAGTTGTCTCTCACACGCCCCTTCCTTCTCCGTCTCACCCCCTTGGACCCCCTGATCTTACTAATAAATTAACGCGTGCAGTGCAGCAACGCTCAAGAACGCTCAAGGACACTCGGGGCTGGACCAGATCCGAGAAGGACCGCTTCAGTATATGGTTTGCCAATGCAGTGGGAGACGAGGCGGTGGAAGAGAGGGAGTGGCATGAAGTAAGCTTCCTTCTCTCGCCTTTATTTTCCTCGTTGCTATCGCTGAGCTGTTATAATCACGAAAAGCAGGTTGGACGTCTGTCAAAGCGCGCCTTTTGAAAGGAGGGAGGGGGCCTGTCCGTCCCTCCGACTGTCGTATATCGATCAATGCGATCTGGGCGCCTTCTTTGCATCCGACGCACTGAGGCGCCTGTATTTGTACTCGCCGCTCCTCCACTCTTCACTCCCCCACTCTCTCACTTTCTCGCTTTCTCTTTCTCTCTCTCCCTCTCTCTCCCTCTAACCACCATCTCCTCGAAATCCCTGAACTTTGCCACTGAACCCATTACGCGCCCCCTAATCCGTTTTTCCCGTTTAATCTTGTCTCGTACTTTTCCCGTCGAAGGCCTTCGTGGTGGCGAGCGCGAATTTAAAATCTCGGTAACACAGAAGCCATCCTGAACAAGAAAATTAATACGGCGAAGCAGTTACATGCGTGTGCTCACACAACATGAACGTACTTTCTGGTATCAGTAGCAATGGCCAATGGGCACATCTCGACGGACACGGCTCGAACCGATGCCCTGGCTATGGCTGTCGACGCGGTTACCCTGCACGAATCTCCAACAAAACCACCGACAAATGTGGTGGCCGCTCCAGACGATAAGGAGTTGACCACAGACAATATTGCAAGACTGGATGTTGATGAGATAGTCAAAGAGCCCGGTGACAGCGATTTGGATGCAGCTGAAGTCGATGTGATGGAGGATGCATATGATATCGCGGCTGTGAGAGCCAAAAGGGACGGTTCAGACTCAAAAACGGAGCAAGGGCCTCCAAAGCAGGAGCCATCAGGAGCAGAAGATATCGATGCAAAAGTGAGCACAGAGCAGCAGCTTCCAGAACCACTGTTGAGCAGTACTCGCCAAGGCGATGATAACAAGGACAGCGACGATGACAAGGCTTGTAGACATGTCGGAAAGCATAGTGTTCAGCAACACAGTATGCGACCAGAGGACATTCATGTCCTTGACAAGGATTGGGAGGATGGAGAAGGAGAGCCCGGGACATCTCGTATTCTGGGAAGCACTCATTTCCGGCCCTTCGACTTCGGCAGCAGCAACATAGACAGTAGCACCAGAGTCCGACACCGACGGAACCCTCTGGACTCAGCTTCGTCGGCCACCTCAGCCGTCAGCTCGATATCGGTTCACTCCTCTAAGAGCCGCGGGGTGCTAGGGGCTGCAGTGCAAATTACGAGGTCAGAAGCCCCCCGCAGTAGCAATATTCACGGCGGCTACGACGGCTTTGACGATCGCGACGAGTGCCAAGATAGCCTGGAGCAACAGCATTCGCTGCTTATCCTCAATCCAAGTGACATCCTGCCCGATGAGACTACGGCAGTTGTGCCCAGCTCGTCCTCACCATTCTCGTCTGCCTCTTCTTCCGCGCTCTCATCATCTGTCACCTCTCCAGTATCAAGTCAGCCAAGGTGTCGGCCGCATTCTCAACTCCAGCCAAAATCACTCTTTCAGAGCCATGTAAATCGTCCAGACAGCCAGAATCAGGTCACATTCCACCAGGCAGATCAAAGACAGCTGAGGCGTTCACGCAGTTTGCCCTCTTTACCTTGCTCGGGCGCACCTTCACGCTCGACTATCCCGCAGCCGATCTCTGTAAGCTCGCCTTTTTCAGTTCATAAAAGGGTAAAGAGCAGTACCTCAGTTTTGGTAGCGGGTGCGAGTGCGGGTGTGGGACAGGCCCAGGGTCAAGGGACTATTGAAGGAACTGCAGCACTAACATCGATATTAAGGATCAACAATGGCGAAACAACTCCACCTGTACAGCAGCCGTCAATAACAGTGCCCGTAATGGCGCCACAGGAGCCTCGTTCACCCATCGTTGAGCGACCTCGTCGACAGTCTTTACTATTGCCACGTCAGTTCCAACTAATGGGTCAGCAACATCAGCAGAAGCAAAATGGGCAATCTGCAAATGTAAAAGATACAATCACTGGTAGAAGGTCTGGGTTCGCCAGCTTTATCAAGGAGCATAGCAAGAGATCGGGATCCAAAAAAAACTGCAGAAGGTGGGACTCTGAACCTCATGCACCTTCGAATGACTCTGCAGAAAGCCCTGTCAAGCAACAGTATCCACAAGGACACAGGAACCAACGCCCTACGGCTCAGAACATGCCGACGATCACATTTCAGCCGCGCTCGATCGAGATCCCAACCGATCGACCCTCAGTATCAGGCAGATTAATCTTGCACATCCCACGATTGCCCGGGCGGAAATTTCACTTTGTTTCGCTGGTGCTGCACTTACGTCTAAAGGAATCAATATCGTGGGCGCGGCAGGATTTGGTGTCTTTCGAGATTGACAAGCATCACTGGTCGCGGACGGTATGGGATAAGAAGTTGATATTACCCTTCCAGGACAGGCAAGTGGAGGAAGTTGGTGTGGATGCCTTTAGCACTGGGCAAATCAAGGGCCTTTCACTAGCTGCCACTGTCGCAGCAGCAGTGGCATCAGGATCTACGTTGAGTACAATGCATGATAATCAGAACAACATCCAGGCATCTCCATTGACAAGCCATCAAACCAATATGAACCCCACAGCAGCAGCAGCGATTGATGAGTGGCGCTGGGAGTGGCTCTTGCCTGTGACTAAGAACGAGGTCCGACCGGAGAGTTTCGAGGGTTCGATGGGTATGGTGTGGTATGAGCTTGAGGCTAAATGCCTCTTCCGCTGGGACAAGGTCGGTTCGGATGGCAACGTCTCGTTGGGCAGCTATCGTATGCAATCACCAGCCTCTTTGGATGCAAAATTGACAGGTAAAGGGCCCTCGGGCTCCAGCAAGTTGTTCAGAGGCCTTGGAGGTAATGTTTATGTACAGATCTAGGCGAGAAGACATTTTTTTCTTACAACAAACATGTTGTGGTTGACCTATTTGATAAATTCCTTTCCTACACACTACGTAGCGTCGACAAATAAGTCTATCGCGCAGGTCTTTGGCAAGTTGCGCGTTGCAGGCAAGGTCAAGAAGCCCCAGTGGGCAGGCGATTTTAAACTGAACACGCAGCACCAAGAGTACATTAAGAACAGTTTGAAGAGAGCTGACGACGCAGCAAAAGCGGCAGCAGATGTTTACAGTCAGGACACCGACCAATCAGCGCTACAACCTCATGATCTTGATTGCGACCATACGGGCACCCCGGACAATCAACCCGAGTCGACTCGTGCGCCTTTGGACTCTGCTCATGGCAGTTCAGACAGCAGCAAATTAGCGGCGCACCCTTCCAATACGAAGGGCAGTAGAAATTCAAAGCCGCCTCGAGAGGCTGTTCCATTCTTGATCCGCAAGACCCTCAAGCTATACTTCAGCCGTCCAGCTCCCAGAATGTCGTCCAGTGCCGCATTCTTTCTCCCGCCGCCATCCATGTCCCTTCCGACCCTACCGAGCACGCGTCACCTAAAGGCCATTATCCCTGGGGCAAAGGTCCAAGTTCAAATCCAGGTGCCGTCCATCATCCCTATGCCGAGCTATGCGCGCAGGTCTCGCTTGGTGCCCTGTCCTAAAACGGGCGGTCTAATTCTGCTCAAAGATAGAAATAATGTCCACAATCAAGCTATCAGTGCTTCTATGGGTAATACTGATATCGGTGGAAAACACATTGGAGAGCAGTGCTCTAAGAAGAAACATCTCGATCCTCAGTACCCTAACAGCTTCCAGGCGGCACTGACTGTTCGCATGGTCACAAGGCGGGAGATCGACGAGAACGATACATTAAGGAGGCGGTATCAGAATGTAGAGGCAGCGGCGAACGCGGCCAGCAACTTCGCTGGTAACCAGCAGAACAACAGGACTGGGAGTGCAGCTGTAACAGCGGAATGGACTCGGCGGAGGATGTTGAGCTGTCAGTCCACATCTGAGATGCCGAGCGCGACTCAAGTCAGGTCATCCACAGTGGCTACGGTAGCAAATGAAGATACAGACGATGTGAATGAAGAAACTATTACGGAGTATGACAATGGACGCGACAAGAGCTGGAGAAAGGAGATTCGCGTCCGCAAGCTCGAGTGCGAGTTCTGGCAAAAGGAGACCTGCAGGTAACGACGAAAGCCTGCCGAAGTGAGATGCGTTTTTCATTTTTGGATGATTGCTTTGAGGTATTAAACTCGAGGGTCTATTTTTTTTTTAAGAATTCCTACGGCGGGTGTTCCGTCACGGTCTATCAAGCTTTTGTTAGGACCAACCTTTACCTACTCTGAAAAGGAGCAGGAAGAGGAGCGTATCCGAAATGCGAATACTGGCCACCAGAGCATAGACATTTCTAATCCTTATACTTTCTTAGCAGTTCCAGATCCGCTTTCACTTATACCTCCATCTCGGCTGAGAGCACCATTGAATATTCGGAAAGACGGTAGTTCGTCTGCACCCTTGTCCCCGATCCTCTCGGCCTACAATGATGTTGATGTCGATATCAATTCGCCCCTGAAGCCTCCTTCTCGTCTGGGTGCCAGTATGGGTCGTAAGGGCTCTCTAGGGTCCATTACCTTTTCGCCAATGCTCCAGGCGTCTTCCCTATCCCCCATCAGTGCTTCTCAGTTCCGACCTGTAGTTACTCCAGCACCACAGGCGCAGGCACCCTCCAATAAGCCGTTTACGCTCCTTATTCCTGTGCCTCTGGATTCTCCAAAGCTAAGACAAACTTATGCCTGGCCGTCTTCGGAGACATCGTTGCCGACAGGACAAGGATACGAGAACATGTCAACTAGAGGCCTGGCGGCAGAATCGTCCGGTCTTGAATTCGGTTCTGAGCTAGAGTACCAGTCCCAGGCGACCATGTTTGATACCGTCAGTGGAACAAGTCTTTGGAACGACGTTGGCAGTTTCAGCAACAATCATAGCACCAGCGGCGTTGGGATACATGGAAAAAACGGCAAAGATGTTCCATTTCATACCTCAGCCGTGAGGGCTCGAATCGAGTTGAAGCACTACCTAACCTTCCGATTGTCGATCGACGTGCTTGAATACGAGGGTGAGCCTGAACAGGAGGACATTGATCTGGGAGTAATGGAGAAGCAGTTGCTGCAGCAGGCCGCGAACCGCCAAGAAACTTCACTTGGGGAAGACGGTTATTTGTTTTCGAAAACCAAAAGTTCAGGGTATTTAACGCCGTTGTCAACGCCTGCTTTGGGCCATAACAACAAGCTATCGTCGTCTGCTTCTCTAGCAACGGTCGGTCATGCATGTGTAGAGTCATCGAATCCGCCTGACCATGCGAGCGGAGGCACGATGTCCATAGCAGGAGGGAAAACCATTGGTGGAACAGGGGGGCAGACGGCAATTGGACAAGCAATCAAGTTCTTGAATACTGCGGATGGACTGTTGGACTCGCCCCCAGATGCAGGTGTGGATATGGGTGGACCTAGTGTAGCAACAGGGCCAGGTCCGTTCGGCTTGGCCTACAATTTTACAAAAAGGCGTGGATCCAGAGCTTCAATGGGAACTGTCAAGAGCTGGGCCAGCGGTATCAGCGGCTGTGGTGTCAGCACCGGAGGTAGTTATGGTGCTTCAGGCAACCATCCGCTAGCGGCTAGTTCTAGTGCGTCTGAAGCTGGAGCTGGAGCTGGAGGTCTGATTGCTGGTGCGATTGAGGCAATCAGGAAGAAGGCATCTGGGTCAGCACTGGCGAATCTATACCATAACCAGCAACGGCAACAACAACAACAACAACAACAACAGCAGCAGCAGCAGCAGCAGCAGCAGCAGCAACAGCAACAACATGATCAACCGCAGAATCGAGTGTCTGTTCAGAAACTCAAGGACTTCGTGATTCGGGTTCCTATTACGGTTGTTGTCCAAGTGGGCGAGGGTGGGCAAGAGGTTGAGGCATTTGGACGGATCGGCAATGGTGACGACAGCATCAACCACACCTTTGAAAATATCACTTCCTACGCTCATAACAGCGATTTAGACGCGACAGCAGGACGTTTGGGACAATCGGTTGGTTCCAACGGCCTGAGTCAGACTCAGCGAGGCACAGCGGCTCTCTCCAGCAGTGAGACCTTCTCAAGCATGAACAGCGTTGCGGCCTCTATAGGATCTGAGCCCTCGGTAAAAAGGATGGGGGACTTTGCGTCTTCCTCACTTTTGAACATGCTTTCCAGACTGAAGAGCCCTCCAGAAGGCGTTGGTATCCGGGGTACTGCATCCTCTTTGAGTACAGAGTCGCATCAGGGTCCAAGTATAGAGCTGGCTATGGTTCACAGTCTGAGTGGAGACGAACATGAAGACGAAGAGGAAGGGGAGTTCGTGGTGGTAGATGCAGAAGAAATGGAGGAGGACGAGATGCCAGGAGTGTTATCTGCAGAGGAGGTCAATCGCGCCGATGTTGTTCTTAAAAGAATTAGCCAGCTTTGCTAAAGTTCATCGCTGCCTTAATTGAGTCCAGATATACTATACGTTTATTGCGCTAAGCTTTTCCATAGATTGTGTCCTTACGAGATTGCGATTGTAATGAAGAAGGATGCATACTTGATAGTACAGATTTCAAGGGAAAGCCGTGTCGCTGGTCTTTACGGGTTGGCGACTGGCGCTGGTGTTCTGAGGTTGCTGTTGCTGGTGTAGCTGATGTTGGGCATGCAGAACAAGGCCGAGGTTTCTCAAGAAGTTGAATCCCTTATATCCAACAACCAGCCAGAAGAACGTAAACACCGTGAGCACGACGATAGTTCCGAGGATGAAGAGGAGGATCGCGCCGGCGATGCACACGACGATGGACTGGACGACAAGCACAAACACGGCTGCGGTGCCAACGAGGATGCCCAATGACACGCCTGTGACGCAGGCAAAGACGATGACTGGCCCTGCAGATAGAAGCACCAGAGCAGATATGAACATCTGAAGCGTTTGTTGATATCAGTAATCCAAGAGAAGAACATATTCGACCGTTAGAAAGAAAAAAAAAAAAAAGGGCTTCTGGGCGGAAGGCAACAGTTCATGGCAGAAGCACAGGTGAACGGACGTTACCGTCAGCAGAGGGTACGTTTGCGCATACGAGAGGTACTGGTGCCAGGCCTGTATGGCCACAATGTTTAGTCTAGGTGTGTTTTGACAAAAGGAAGAGGTTGTTCTTCAGTACAATGGGGAGACCTGGTTGCGGGTATTCTTCACGCATCCGTTCCCAGCATGGTGCTTGCACTTTATACGTACTTTTCACGAAGTGGCTTCGAGGTAGAGACGATCTCAAGGATGAATGCCGTGATGACCTGCCTGATATTCAGCAGTGATGGCCAACGGTCGCTCGCAGTTCCACTTTTGCCACTATGGTTGCCAGTGCCATAGAAACCGGGGCTGCCTGTGGTTGCGGTATTCGACGGGGCTACTCCTGAGCCTACATGGGATTCGAACGCCATGAGTGGTTCTGTCTGATGAGGCTGGTCTGAGGATGGGGTTCTGGGATCGACGACCTGGGTCATGAAAGTTTTTGTTTTCTAACGGGCGACGTGAATAAGAGTTCGAAGAGGTGGATGCGTGAGAAGAGGCGGATGTGTGAGAAGAGAGGGCGGGATGAGATGAGTGGAAGGGATGGGCAGATGAACAGAGAGTGAGAGATGAGAGATTTGGATTTGTTCCTTTGGTGCGTCGGCGGCAGGGTCTTACGCGTGTGCGGGTCAGTCGCATGGCCCGGGTGCACGGATGCACAGACGCAATTTACGCACGCACCAAATGCATGTGCAAATAACAAAAAGGATGCCGAATGGGGATTGGAGATTGGTGGCAACGACACTGTGACAGGTGAATGCTGCTGTTTCGATCAAACCAAGCAGAGTCAACATGCTTGGACTTGTACACACCGCGAATGCCCTCGTCAGGGTCCGTAGGCTCCGTAGCCGATTTCCCCATGGAGCACGAACCTTTATCGTGGCCCAACATGGTTACACAACGGTGTTAATATAACCCATCCACGAGGCTTCAGCAGCATTTTCACCGCCCTTATGCAGATCAGCAGAAGCGTGCTCGCACAGTATTACTCTGCAAACTCTGGATCTTTGCTAGACAACAACAACAATCAAAACAACAACAACAACAGAAATACAGCCACGAACAACGAACAATATACAGTTTTTAGGTCCTCTGACTGATAAAATCTCGACATGTTTAAGTGGTACTCCTAGTCGAGGCACTTAGCCGATCTTAGATCCCTGAATAAAAGAGCCGCACCCGCTGGTCGGCACAGAACAAGCATGTTCGGCGCCTTGCATCTACTGATGCCATTGAGAAAAGGACTCTTGGTGTCTGCTAGGTGTCTGTTGCTACTGACAGTCAGTAGTGGACCTAATTTTAGATGCGTTTAGGACCCAGGACCTGAAAACTGTTGGTTTCACATACGAAAAAGACCTTCAAACAGCAGGTAAGTTTTAGAAAGCGCGCTGTGCTCCATTGACAAACATCTCCTTTGCCGGTAAAGAGGCGTCGTATGCACATAAAACTGCATGCCCTTTGATCGAATGTAGAGAACGGACGCATGTTTGCAACGACTAGGTCCACAGTCCCCGGTCTATCTCATAGAAATAGGACATCAAACGCGAGGCAAATGCTGGAAAGAGCTCTCCTGGTATATCATATCATATCATATCATATAATATGAACGTGAATATTCATTCAGTCTAAAGCCAGGCCTGTCTCGTCTGCTAAGGGCGCAGATAGGGGGGCGAACCACACCCAGTCTATAGCCTGTCAAGGATGGTCGTAGCAGACATCGAAGGAGGGAGTATCAAAATGGACTACTGTGAACTCGGGTAGTTAGAAGAGATTCTTCCTTTTCGCAGCAAAAAAAAGGGTGTGGCTCGCGTTTGAATTAGGGGGATGGCCTAGCCCCGAAAGTTCTTGGGCCTCCCCGCCCCTTTCCGTCAAGTCAAGCGCGAGTGTTTGTAGGAGAGAGTAGTGCAGTAGAATATGCCTCCTAAGCGGTGATTCTACAGAGGTTATGCCTATTAATGCCACCCTCCTTTGAGGTCTGCAGATGAAAACTCTCATCCCTCCACCATATAGGTCGCACCGCCCTATATAGCATCCCAGGAATCATGAATTCGCATGAGGACTTGACCGACCGTCCTGATAGTACAGCATCTGTTTCCTCGTTGCTCCTCTTGTCCTTCGCCGACCGCAACCCATCAGTTCATCCGCCCTTCCGCGCAGTCTCTTCGTTACCACTAGAGAGAACGTCTGACGGACCAAGATGGAGTTGATGAAATCTATACCCCAGTGTTTAGCTGCCTACGCGGTTATCGTGGGCGTCGCTTGTCTTCTATCGACCCTAGCTGTACACGCCAGTGGAGATGCGATTGCGAACACCGATGTCGATCGTCAGGTTAGCTTTGCTGTCCCCGGTTTTGGCTTGTTGACCCACCTCCATTATCACTCTCATAACAAGGAGGAGCAGCGTGAGAACCATTACTACCATTCTAAACTGAAGTCACCCAAGCTTATCACGAGAAGTAAGTCTTAGACTCGGTTTGCGAAACAACTGATTCGTTGCAGAGTACTTTTCAGATTGCTGACCCGCCTCTACTCCTCTTTTACACTATGATTGTTTTCTTGCTACTGAACAGAAGCTCAACTGAATCTCATCTGTAATTCAGTCCTGATCGACAAAGTGATCTGCAAGACCGAAATTCACCGTCCCTTCCGTATTTCCGAGTCCGAGGATGGCCAGACATCTGCTCAGGCGTCATTTGATGCCCTCAGTAACGGCGGTACTGGCAGCTCCATCTCCCGGGTATTCATCAAAATGGGAACCCCTTGCTCCAATAAGCCGTCAAAGCCAGTCATTTGGCCCATTGACGAGATACTTGCCAGTGATAGCTATCGGCTCTCCGACGAGGGCGCTCTTGTCGAGGGCCCTGGCAATACCAACATTTGGTTCAAGAAGAAGCACCGCATGCATGACGGACACAGCAAGTCCTATGTACATGGCAAGCACGGAAAGCACCGCAAATATGGGAAGCATCGCAGGCGCAGAAAGGATCACAGGCACAGCAAGCATGGAAAGCATTATAGACACGGCAAACAAAACAAGCACCACATCACGAACAAGCGCCCTTGGCTAGGGCTCTGCGCAGCCAAGGGAAAGTTCTGCGGCAGTAATATCTTTGGTTGTATGTTCGGGGCCACGGCGCTTTACAGGTGTGATGCTGTTGGGAAGAAACCTGAGATCCTCAAGTCCGATGCTGAGATCTGCGGAGGTTCCGGTGGAAATCTTGCTTGCAAATGTGGTGGGTCCTTCTGGCCCGTATGCGGATCCCAGCTCTCAGCTGAGTGTAAAGCCGATCCTACCGCCATTTATCACTGTCCTGGAGGTTCCGGTAGCCGTTACCAGATTCTGAAGCTTTGCATGCCTGGTACCCAGTGTCGCACTCCACCTGGTGGCTATCCCATTTGCGGTTTTGCCAGCTGCAATTGCAAGGGCGATAATGAGATCTGCTCGGAGCAGTTCCCGGAATCCTGTGAGGCCAAAAAGAATTCAGACTACAAGTGCACTGCTCAAGGCAAACCCGACTTCATCCGGTCTTGCGATGGCAACAGTGCTTGCGTTGCGGTTTCTGATGGCGCGACATGCACCAACGACAGCTGTAAGTGCGCGACTGACGGTATCGTCTGTAGCGATGCCTTCCCTTCATCATGGCGCATTTCTGTCCCCGGATTGTACATCTGTAAGAAAGGCCGGGACCCCGAACTTCTGCAAAGATGCTCGCCTGACCGTTGCTTGGCAACACTCGCCTCATTGTCTGGCAGGCTTGCAATTGACAAGCACATAGATTCTTGTAAATGCACTGCCAAAGGAGCCATAAGTGAACAGAGCATAGAACTTCGATAATCATGCTTTGAATCATGCTGTAAAAGCAATGTTGTACTCTCGATTGTAGTTTGACTGAAAGTCTTTCCGTATCACCCGGTGTTACTGCTATCAATAGGTTTGTGGCTCTTCTTTCCCTACGTCCTGTGCTCTTAATAAGAATGCCCTATGTACTTGTGACAGCGCTGGATCTCCCCCAAAGAGGGGTGAGGTCTGCTCCAAGGGCTGTATCATCAACGCTGGCGAGGACACCTGCAAGCTGGTTAAAATTAACACTTGCCTTTGTCCCCCCGGAATGACTAGGCCCATTTGCGGATCCCAACTCCCTGCATGGTGCAACCATGACCCTACAGCCATCTATTACTGTCCCAACGGTGTTGGGTCCGAGCCTGAAGTTCTCAAGCAATGCCATCCAGACACTCAGTGCAACGTAGTTCCAGATGGTGACTCTAACTGCGGCTTCTCCAGCTGCAGCTGCAGCTGCAGTGGCAATGGACAATTCTGCTCGCAGCAGTTCCCTAGGAGCTGCAGATTGGATCCCAGCAGTATCTATACGTGTAGCTCCAGAGGAGCACCCAAACTCGTCGAGGCATGCAGGGGCGTCAAGGAGTGTGCTCCTGTTACTGATGGCGCTGTCTGCGCTTCCGAGGTCTGCACATGTGCCGATGACGGTGTTACCTGCGGTGAGGCTTTTCCCTTGTCGTGTCGTTTGCCAGCTGATGCCCTGTATACTTGCCAGAGGGGAAGACGTCCTGCCCTGCTCAAGAGCTGTGCTCCTGGCACTTGCACTGCCACAGCTGCGTCCGTTCAAATTACTGCCGTCTTTGAGGCGAACAGTAATAACAAGTGTCTTCCAGCCTGCGTTTGTACCTCGCACAACGCTGTAGGTGCCCATTTTACGGCGTTACTCTACTCAGCAATTGGCCTGATCATGAACTCAATTTATTTTTATGCTTCCCAACACAGGTCTGCGGTTCTACATTCTCGCCCAGCTGCAACCTTGATCCCAAGACCATCTACACGTGCAACGGAAAGGGTTCTACGCCTAGGTCAAGTCGACAGTGCAGGTACGGATGCACTGTGCAGGCTGGTGGTAGCTCCTGCTGGGTCAATCCCTACAGCTGCATCAAGCCTGGCCCAACCTTCGCATTCGAGCTCCTAGACAGCTGTAACCCTACAAAAGATGCTTTGCATTATTTAGACGGTACTGACGCCAGACTCCTTGTCAGCAAAAGGTACCCAAAGGGTTGCAGTGATGGCAAGTGCGTAGGCAATATCACCAAGATCTGCAGTGGTGGCAAGTGCATAAACGATACCACCAAGGACTGCAGCGATGGAAAATGCACAGACGGTACCACCAAAGACTGCGGATGCGTCAATGACAGGGTCACCTTCGGAAGTTCCTATCCCAAGTCCTACGGATATGATTCTAAATATCTCTATTCTTGTGCTGGTCCCGGCCAACCTTTAGCGCTGAAGCAGATGTGTACGGCCAACCGCCTCTTTATTTCCAATGGTGACGATCACTGCTTGTCGCCTTGCGCGTCTTTAGCTGCAGGTGTCGCTGGCTTGCTCGACACTGCTAGTCAAACACTGAAGGAGATTGTTAACAGGAACCACACGCACGACGACCCTCTGGACCGCATGTTGGTGGCGCCCTTCATCAACGTTATTGGTGCGCTTGCGACCAACCTTACCAATACAGTGACTGACTCCGCGATGCTTGGTATCGTTGCTGGATCTATCAATAATACAGTCAGTGGCACCATCCAGACCTTCCAGATTGTGCAGAATCTCCTCGCACCGGGAACGACCACTCTCACCGCCCCAGTAATAGCAAAGTTGGAGAGCATTCTGCCGACTGCACAACAACTAGTTACCTGCACTGGAAACCAGACAAGTTGTGTTGGTTTGACCCAACTCTACCGCAATTTTGCTAACGCTGCATTGACAGCCGTTGCCAACATCACAACTCCTCTTCCTGACACTAACCTGCCCGTTATTGGAGGCCCATCGAAGACCGTATTGGATCTTCTCCAGACGGAGCTGAATAACGTTGACACAGCTCTCAACACTGGGAATTATACCCTCATTGCACCGGCTGCAGACCTTATCAACGGCATCATCGGCACCACCGCTGGAAACGAGGCCGTGTTTGAACCTGTTGGCGGCATTTTAAAGGTACTCATCACCACCATCAACGGCATCCTAAAATGCTATGGTAAGTTCATGAAGAAATATTGTAACTTCTTTGTTAAAAATATCTATTGCAACTCATCAAAATGCTCATGTTTTAGGCCTCACCCCGATTAACGAATATACTACCGATGGAGCGCGCTTGAGTGGTCTCATTGCCAACGCCATCACGTTCATTCAGAGTAATATCGGAGCCATCCCAGTCATCGGGCCTCTGATCATCAATCCCATCTTGGAAACACTCAAGCTGTTGGCCAATGATCTGCAGAACGGCGCGGGTACGGCGATCGGTGGTATCCTGGCCGTCTTCGACGGATTCTTGCAGGCTGTAAACCTTTCATCACCGGGCGATCAGACCAGCTCGATCCGTGTCTTCCTTGACCTCCTCTTGAACCCGGTGGGCATCATTGCTGTTCCTGGCAACTATGGTGTACAGTCTTCGCCATGCGTGGGTATCATTGAAATCGTCAGGTTCTTGGCGAACGCAGCTATCAACGCTATCGCCCAAATTCCGCTCATTGATGCTGTGGTCAAGTCCACCTTGCCTCCGCTGATCAATGGGATACTTGATGCCATCTCTTCTGGCACAGTCCCCCTTATTCAGGCGGCATACGATTTGTTGGTAACTCCTATTAGCATCGTGACAAGTCTTCCTTTGATTGGGAACATCGCTATCCCGCTCAAGATCTTCCTCAACGCTGTCAAGAAGCTCTTAATTTACTTGATCGCCAGTCCATCATTGAAGGAGATCCCGCTCATTTCAGTATCTATCCCAATCCCTCTAGTGGCAAGTAGGTAGTTGCACCGAAAGATCGAGAACAAGAATACGTATAATTAAAAAAACACGATTTAGAAAAGCTAGTGTTCAGATGCTATGCTTCGTGTTTTGTTTTGGACAATGTAGCCAATACTTTTGATGAGCAAAACACGCTCCTGCTCCCCCGAGGGATGCGAATAGATGGACATCAGGGTGCACTGTCCTCCTCAGGCACGGCCCTCACATTACACAACAGTGAAGTATATACAAGGGAGGCAAATAAGGTTTCGTAACGCTGTTGGTGGAATGAGTACTCCGCGCTCCATTGGGAACACAGAGGCTTTAGCTTTGTGCATACGGTTTGTGCATGTGAGAAGCGATAGGACATGAGCACACGACATGTCACACGAAGACGGTATAGGCGTGCATGCATACCGGTAGTCGGCCGACAGCTGACAGTCTAATCACTTTTTTATTTTTGGGAAGCATGGCCGATGGGGTGCTGGGAGAAAAAAAAAAGATCAAGATTTTTAAATGGATCAGAATGTATCTCGTCATATTCGCGATTCTCTGAGACCGCTAGATGAGATGGAGTACACACGCAGATAGTGTGTGCACAAAGAGAACAAAGTGAAAGAATGAGGATGGAAGGCTGACAACGTTTATTGTGCACCTTTAGTTTCAATTTCCTGTTCGAACAACAGGTACTCATCCCGCTACTGTACCCTTTGTTTTTTCGGGGTCGCTGCATGCGTGTCATTAGCAATGGGCGCCAATGTCATACATCGCAATTCGATGCATCCCTATTTGTTTGCCATGTCCTTTTCAACTGTGCACTCTATGATCCCCTGGACCCTTTTTTCGCTTGACTTCTATGGGTTTCTATCCTGCGTGCTGGCAGATGGAAACAGACAGGTGACCTTGTCTACTGACATTTTTTTCCCCCTTTAACAAACCGCATTGTCCTCTTTTCGACATAATTGCTTGTGATCCGCTGTTCATGCTGGCTCCTCGACATCAATCAACGACAACTTTATCATGAAGCGTGTGCAACTTCCTTCTAGAGAGAACAAAGAAAAAACATATCTGCTGATCAATGGGGGGACAAGGTGCTGTGGAAGCACACCTCCGAGACGCGCGTCATGGTGCGCCATCTTGTTACGGAAAGATGCGAATGAATGAATGTGTGGCAGAAAGGCAGAGGCAAACAGGGAGGCAGGGAAGATCAACAACGAAAGTGGACGTGCAGCCACCGTGCGCTAAGAATGAATATGTCGTTGTACATGTGCAGCCTACCGACACCATTTCTGACCCTTTATTCTCTTTTTCTTACCTCTTCTCCCGCATAATCTCACAGCCGCTCGTCTCTATTTTCCTTCTCCACCTGCGAGAAAAAGGAAGTAAGAGAGCTTTTCATACCATATTCATCATCTACTTCTTCGCATTTTGTAGGTAAAAAGGCAATTGAGTGTCTTCGCCACCATCACTGTGCCGTGATAGCAAGCTATACCTGCTCGTTTTGCAATCTATTTGTCTGTGTGCCTGGAAAAAAATCTATATTTTAATCATTTGTGTGTTCGTTAATTTTTTAGGAAAGGAGACGGATCCGACATACAAGACCGCAACCAATTCGGCAGTTGCTCGCCTGGTTATTATTTATTGGTATTTATGTATGGATGCAAGCGAACACGTAAGTAAATATGAGATGGAGTGGGAGCGGAATGGGATGTGTTTTACAGCAGAACGGGAGCATTCAGGACAATGCTACTGAAAAGATGAATGAGCACCAATCGGAACTCGTATGCGCTGCGCATGGAGCAGAACATCTCCATATAATACATTATACCGTATCCTGGTTCACATCAGCAACAACAACACGATAGCTTTTTAAAGGCCCCTTTCTCTCCCTCGCCTGCTGTCTTTTTTTTTTTCTGGTGCCGTGCTCTTGTTCTCACCTTACCCCATTCCTTGGCCACATGGGCGTAGAGCCGTTCGCGTTAAGCATTTCCGTAAGTGTTTCGAGGCGCACACACGCGAGGCAATTAGGTTTCGCTCTCCTAGGAGAGAATTGGCCCTGCAATAACCCCTACAACACACAACACCTCGACGCTCAATGCTCAACGCTCAACCCTGCCCGCCCGCCTACTCCACCTGCCCCATTCGCATGTACGTGCCAGCCCTGCTCTCTTTGGATGTGTACAACCCACATTCCATTGCCCCTGCCCCCCGTTCCATTCCCCCTCTCCCCCATTCCATCCCCCTGGAGCTCACGCGTAGACACAGTTCTCCTCATCTCTGTGCCACACATGTAGCTGCGAGGCAAACGATAGCGACGCGACAACGTCAATTCAGCGATTCCATACAGCTATCCCTCCCACTGCTATGTGTCACCCTCACCGTTTATATCCACCTTCCCTTTTATTCTCCGTCGCCAGCAAATATGCATCGTCATTGACATCCTATCTTCACCAGTCATCTCTCCGCTAGAAATTAGGCCCAAGTGAGCTGAATATGCCTCTCTCAAACGTGCTTCGTCGCTCAATTCCGAACCCTTTCCGTGCGATGTCAAGGAGGAAGAGCAGTCAGCAACCAGGCTACATCCGTCCCGGAGCCGCTGTCAGCATCGTCCCCGCAGGCATTGTGATACTTCCTGTGGCCAAAAGTAATTTGCCCAGTAACCATCCCAAAGACCGCGCCTTGGATTCCTTCGTCCACCTGGATAAATCCGACACCCCTTCCTGCGAGCTTGTTACTCAGCTCGAAATCTCCAGTACCCCGACATCAACAGCAACATCCCCACTTCACAAAAAATCCTCGATGTCCTCCTGCGAAGACACTCCCACTTCAGCCTCGTTCTCACCCCGCCCTCCTTCACCAGACATGCAAATGCCTCCTTCGCCTAACACGCCCTCAACCCCAGCTTTCTCGCCACAGAATCCCTTCTTCAATAATGACCGGAACCTCACATCTTCTCCAGAACTCATGTCTCCCAGCACCCCGACCAAAGTAGCAGGGCGGACAAGAACGATCGGAGCGAAATTCGGATCCATGTTCAAGAAGACCCGTACTCAGCAGCAGACGTGCCACGATTTCAACCAGGAATACACCCTCTCGATCCCTCATTCTAATGACTATTTTGCGCAGAAACAGGGTCAAGGACACAGCAAGGAAAAGGTGAAGCAGCCGAAGAGGAAGGGAGCTCAGGAGGGAGGGAAGTGGAGACAAATCTCCACAAGGTCTTTGCAGATTCCAATCGGTACGTTCTTGTCCAGCACATTTCGATCCAAGCGGGCTACACCACCACCATTCCCAGCAAGTGCGCCTGGCGTCCAGGAACATTCGGCACACAATGTAGATCAACGATCCCGATCTCAGTCCCCACAGGAGCAACAGGTTCAGCATCAAGTCCTACCATCTCAGCCCAAGAAGAGACGTGGCTTACTCTCAAAGCTCCCAAAGCTTGACACGCGGCCCAAGATCCTCTCTGCACCCAGGGACGACAAAAGTAACGTGGCAAAGGCCCCCATTGCCGCCTCTGCCACGCAACAAGTTGATCAAGATCAGCAAGAGTGTCCATTTGAGCATGATGCTGAAGGCGCAAGCACACGCCCTGAACATGACGGCCTGTTTCCACCAGTCGATCTCCCCAGTACTTTCCAATGTAGTTCCCCCTCCAACCTGGAGAGTCCCGACCTCAAGCTCCTACAGCCCCCATTACCCTTATCAAGCGATAACGAAGAGGGAACACACAGTTCCACTCTCTCGCTCCAGGAATCCAATCCTCAAACGACCCAACGGTCATTTGAGAATGAACCTGAACCCAACAACAGCATGTCATATGTAAACTGGCGTCTCAATAGCCATATTTATCACGATGAACGCTGGGACCGAGCCTCGGTCTTCACGACGGATTCCGAGATTCACCATCTTTCGGACGACCCCAACTTTCCGGGGTATCCAGAGCGGAACGCGTACTGGCAGAAGCATTGTCGCATCCGTCAGCGCCGCTGGAAGCAACAACTGCAATTGCATCAGCACCACCAGGGAGTAGAGTTTCAAAGCCCTGGGGCAGGAGTAGCCCCACAGCTCTTAAAGAGTAGCAAGGCGGGCGCAGTGACGGGAATCGCAGAGGGCAACACGATATCCTTCTTGGACGACAGTGATTATAATGATATTGATGATAATGACGCCGATGACAAAAGCGAAGCCGAAGAGAACGGAGACAGTGAGCAGGAACAGTCCTTTGGTGAGATGCTAAAGGATGCCCGGAGCCGCCTACAATCGCCTGCAGAGAGGGATATCCCGAGGAGATTCCGCCAGCAGCGTGTCCGCTATACGGACTACGCTGCTTACGTAGCGACAATGCAGCGCAAGGCTAAAGAACGTGCCGAGCGCAAGCGATCAATTGACTCAGTTTCAGCAGAACTGGATCTACCGCCAAAGATCTCTGACAAGCTGATCCAGGACGTGCGTGCGCTCCACCAGAGGTCTCTTAGTCAAAGACCAATGAAGATAACGACCGTCCCACATAAACCGACCAAACACATCAAAAAAAGTGCAGACCTGGATACTGATACGATTGAGCAGCAGCAGCGACAACTCCAGCGGTATGAAAACGGCAGTAACGTGGGCAGTAGCGAAGAAGGAAATGATGACATCGAGGTCCAGCACGAGGAACAAGCGAACTATGCCACCAGGCCACAGTGGCAGCATCAGCTGGATAGCGGAATCCTTTTTGTGGCCTCCACAGCGACATCAGCAGAGGTTTACTCCAGTCTGATACATGACCCACGATCCAAGATGACCAAGGCGCTATCGACCCCCAGGGCGGACTCTATGGACAATAACAAGACAAGTACGCACAGAGATAAGGAAGGATATGTGGGCAGTGATAAATTTGGTTATAACGAGACGAAGGCTGGATGCCTTGTGGCATCCTCTTTTGACAAGAAAGCTTTCGCGGATGGTTGCGGTGATGGTGTTGATGTTAATGCTGATGAAGATATTGTGAGAGCGCCGGCTATAGATAATAATGCCGGTACTGCCATTGTTGCTGTTGTTATTGGTGGCGGTGGTGGTGTTGATGGCGATAGTGCGGGGGAAAGTAGGGTCGTGGGGCAATGGCTTCTTGATGTTCCAGTCTTTGTCCGGTGACCAAGGTTTCTACAAGAGACTGAACGCATCTCAACGTCTCTCCTCGTATAGGGCCACCTAGTAACTACAGCAATTATAATGGACTTTCTGACGACAGCAGCAGCAGCAGCAGCAGCAGCAGCAGCAGCAACGGCAACCTCGACAGCCACGGTGGTAGCGGCGGTAACACTCATCACAGCCCAAGCCCCAGTCTTCGGATCCGGAAAGAGGACGACCACTGCCTGAGCCAACCGGGTCTGTATGCATCTCACAATCACATCCTACCTCTGCAACAGCTCCTCGAGCTGCAGGAGCAGGAGGAGTGGCGAGTCAAGCAGCTGCAGAATCGACTGAGAGGGTGTCTGCAACGAACGAAGTTGCAAAAGCAATCATCCTCATTATCCATACCATCGACACCACAGCTGCTGAGCAGATCCTCCTCCCTCCTCTCACCAAAACCGTCCTACATGTCCCTCACATTCTCCGCCTCCCAGGCGTCCCTGTACAGCCGATCCACAGCCTCCTCTTCCACACAGTTTTTGCAAGGGTGGAGCAGACCCACTACCCCTGCTTCTTCAAGAGCCTCGCCCTCGCCCACTCTTCTAGCTACCGAAGAACCGCTTCCGCTGCAGTCAAATCCCTCTTCGACATCACCCGAAATTCCCACTGCTGCTCTGTCTGAAGTCCCCTCAGCCAGCACCGATGCCAATCTATTGCAAGAACAAGAGCAAGAATACCAGCCACGGAGGCAGCATCCACACCGACACTTAATTCCCCAGCACCAACACAACACCTCTCCGAAACAGGAATCTAATCATGGCCACATGCTCCTGATGCTGGTACAAGGCCGCACGCATTACTACAAGAACGGCACCCGCAAGGCTGACCCACAATGGAATGGTGATAGTGACCTGTGCGATGACGATGATGACAATGATAATGGAGTGCTCGGTGAAGAGGAAGGGCGCGAACGAGTCCTTGAAGCAGCGGGCCTCGAGACTCGGCAGGATTTCGTCAACCTCGAAGGCGAGAGCGTGAACGGACCTTGCTTTACAAGTTCGCCTCTATCGTCTTCGCCTTCGTCTGCCAACCCATCACTACTGCTGGAGCGAGCGGACCCTGCCAGCGCTGATCTGGCCACTAGCGCTGAGAAGACAGCGTTGGGATCTCTACGACGCCACTCTGCTCACATGGACGCTTCATTGTCGTCCTCAAACTCGGTGCCGCCCAAGCTCTCGCCTCGACCTACCAAGCCAGCCCGCATTTCAAGTCTCGGCAGTGTACGTGGGACGAAATCTCGTGCTTCGATCTCCTGCTCGGTGTTACCAACGCTGGCCATGCCTTCGTCGTCGCACCTCTACCATCTGGTGCCTAGTCCAACAACTGAATCTGATGTCAACCATCAAGTTGGATTCACAGAATGAAGCAGGCTATGGGGACGTATAGCCGTGCCTGTTATTATACCCAGACGCATATAACGAATATAATATAAAAAAATGATAGAATGAAATAAAATACATGTAAACAGTAATCCAATGACAGGTTTATTTGTAGTCAGGTTCTGTCAAGACGCGCTGCTCGGGCTCTCATTCTACGATTTGAGCTTAAGTATCTGCATCGTCGGGTTATACCTTTTTGACAACCATCATGTGGGCGCTTTACTCTTTCGCGTTTCAGAAAGCACCGCCTTTCGATGCCATGGCGACAGCCTAGAATGGATCGTAGGGCATCGATGTTGTAAAAGTGTATTCGGAAGGATAGATCCTCTGTGCATGTCGAGTTCAACGCTGGCAAAGGTGACCCTCTCGTAGTTAGTGCGATAGGTAGCGTAGCAGGGTAGGCGACGCTGGGACGACGCGAGCTGGACCTGCTTGACTCGCCAGCGCTCTCGCTCTGAGGGTATGATCGGATCCTGTACTGGAAACCCCTGAGAGCCTGATGGTCGAACGTGGGAACGATCAGACTCTGGTTCTCTTCTCCCTCTTCCAATCGTGCCTTCATCTTTCCTTTATTGTCCTGACGATTGCTGTTGTTGTCACCAAAGCCCTTGTCGCGTTTATGTTCTTGGAGTTGGCTGTGCTCGAAATTAGAGGCTATACCCTTCTTTTTCTCACCAGGTTCTTGGTCATGCTGTTGGTGAGGTTTGAATAACGTGATCTGAGGAATCGTGGGTGCAGTTGGGGCCGAACAAGGTCTTTCTGAGTCACAGGTGAGGAACATAGCCGCATTAGTGGATCGAATCAGGGCGTAGATAATATCCGACGCAAGAGTGGTAGTCATTGTCCATGAATCTGTAAAGTAAGCAAAATATATTAAGCAGCGGTCAATACGCGCATATTCACTCCAGCGAAACCTCATTATCCAATACATACATGGAAGCGCGTCAACCATACCCTCAGATTCGTGTCCTGTGGTCGCTATTGATACCAAACTAGATGTTCCTGAATCGGCGGTTATTATTCCGGAAACTTCATTAGCCCAGTTGCTGACAATAGCATCTATTCCTGATCTTGCGCTAGTAGATGTGGGCATGTCCCTAATTGGTATAGCACTGCCTCTAATACTGGTAGCCCGTCTGGGCCTAGCATTAGGGGTAGTGCCGTTGTCCGCCAGCCAATTTGAGCCAGCAGTTCCTGATGGGCCGCCTGCTATCTGTTGTTGCTGCTGATCCATGACCGTGACAAGATAATAGAATGCACCCAGACACAGGACTACCAAGAGACTCAGCCGGACCAAGAGGTTGGACGCTAGCATGGCCAAAACCGGATGGGGTGCAACCCCAAGTGGGGTGTGTGTATTGCGGGATGTGTCCAGGTGCGATAATGGATACGTGTTTAAGATACACAGATGAATATCGTAGTTGTTGCATACCAAAAATAATATGAAATTCAAGATATTCTGCATGGCGCTATGGTGAGAAGCAATTTTCACTCGAATGTTGCTAAAAAGTTCTGTGATAGATGAAATGAAGGAAATCTGTTGGGATTTGGAAAGCGCTCTATAGCCGTTGGTCCTATCATGTTTGCCAAAGTGGTTGCTACTGCTGCCGGTGCTGAGTAGATCGGAATATAGATGGTCATCATACTGTCATCTATATCGGCACCCAGGAAAATGACGGTAGCTGGATTCCTTGGCCTGCTCCTGCCGGTCCCAGTAGTGGTGCTGGTGCGCATAGGAACTTTGTCCGCGTGCACTTGGACCGCTAAGATCCCAAGTCCTCGGTACTAATTGGCCACAACTGAAGGAGGTAGCGCTTGCATGTGGCCTTAGCAAAAGATATCCATTTCGATCACTCCCACTACTTCCGTATCGACTATCCTGGGATCCGCTGGAGTACATCTCATTGTCTCTGAGGCCGCGATGACGGTTCATGAGATTGCTCTTGATCTGAAAGGAGATCTCCCTGTTGTACTTGTCTCGGGAGGACTTGTCGGAACCATAATCAAAATCGACATGGTATGCATACTCGGGCCTTTTCTCGTATTCATGTCTGTGGGAGTGATACAGATCTTGTCGAGTATTTGATAGAAACGAAAAAAAGTATTTTGACGAAGTTTTCAAGGAGGAGCATAGGTCCGAAGGATTCAGCCCTTCTACTTGCGAGAACCTCGGGAGCGAGACCCAGCGGTTTGTGGGTAGGTACTCAGATGAGGGCAGTGGCGAGGAAGATGCTGTGGAACAAGGCGGCGTGATAGCGGAGCAGATCAAGGCTGTGGAGATGATCAAGGTGCAAAGAATGGAAGTAAGGTGCGTAGCAAGACGATATGACATGGTTGTGCTGCTCTCCTGTGGTCCTTGTCGTTTCTGCTTTCGTTCGTTTGTTCGTTCTCAGTGTTGCAAGAGAGTAGCTGATGTGACGGTTAGGGCAGCAAGAGAATACGTATGATGGCCAGTTCAAGGGCTGAAGAGGTTTTTGTTTGTCAAGGGGTCGGCATTAGCACTGGCATTCGGAGGCTCTATCGAAAATACCGTACCCGCAAGATACGCATGCTACCGCCATACAACATGCCAAATGCTGAACCTCAGGGCGTGAATTAAAGTTATGGGCGCGAGCAGTTGAGAATGGAAGGTGGAATCTGATGCAGATACCCACTCTTCTTCGCGATCCACTACTTTCATCCCCACCCAAAATGGAGGACGCACAGATGAACCCACAACTTTGTGTCATGGTGAACATCAGGATCTGTTTGGACCACTGTAATGAAAGAGTACTGTCCTCGAGGAAATATCCGTCCGCGTATCGGGTCCTCACAGTAACTCGTTCACCTTACTGTCTCTATTATTTTATTTTTATTTCTTCGTACCGTTTCAGCTCTTAAGATATTTCCGATGTATGCAATGGCACATAAAGACGAGGATGTAATCGCTATTATGATTTATTATTCTTTTATCTGTGTGTCTGTCTATGTTTCCAGGAATCGACGAAGACAGGAGAACTGGACCCAATCTACATTGGCAGCAACGCCATACAAAGCCATGGTTATTCAACGACCTATTCGGTTATTTTTACCCTGAGAATCTTAAGAGAGGCACTTACCAACGTTGTCCTTGGGATCGCAAGCGCACTTCAGCTGGAGCGCAGGGCTCTCTGGACAGTGCTCGTACATCTCGTGGCGATACCCGATCTCGTTGAAAAAATGAATTTCCCGCCTATCTAGCATCAGGGCTGCAGCAATAGAGTGTACAGGTGCATCGCCCCAGCGCTCATAGAAAAATCCACCCGTTTTGTCAAGTAGGTTGAAAAAGTCCATGTAGGCCTTGGACCTGAAGAAGGAGAGATCGACGATCTCAAAATTTGACCTAAGGCACACACACACAACAAGAAGGCACTCTTACTACAAAAGGATGTGTTTGCATCATGAAGCATACTTTTTTTTTTTTTTTTTTTTTTTTGTTATTGTTATTGCTGTAGTGTTCATACCAGAAATGACAGTTATTGTATGTCTCGCCTTTGTCGTAGCTGATCCACTCAAGGGAGTTCCTCTTGGAGATGTGCTCTGGGTAGGTCTGCATGAAGTGCCTGACGTTCTCCCAGAGCGTTGGGATTGTATCCACATACTCTGGCAGGGCAATTGCAAATCCTGCGGTGCAATAAAAAAAATCAACTGCTTAGTCCATGCTTTCCAACGCTGCTGATAGAAAAATCTGGCAAGCGACATCGTACCATATTTGTATTTTTTGGTCTTCATGACCATGAAGGGATCAAAGTCGAGGTCGCACGAGAAGGAGACGCCTGGCTCCACTCGCCAGAAGTAGTCGTACTCTTGGACGAGTTCGTGCTGGAAAATAAACCCAGATTCGTACCTGATAGTGTGAAGAAGTGAGAGAAATCAGGAACATAAAGCGCGATACACGAAACACGAAACACGGACACGGCGCGTAACTTTTGGGACGAGCGCGTCGTAGAAAATTTACCGGCACATGTGTCTGTACGATTCGCTCTCGCCATAGGGCACGTGGCGTGCCTCCATATCCTTGCGGTTCAAGGCAGCCTGGGTCTGGTTGACGAAAGCAGGGTAGCTCCAGTGCTCTCTCGGGATCAGGCCTGGTGGTGGTGGTATTTTGGGAGTAAATGAGCAATTGAGCAATTGAAGCAGGCTTCTAATAGACTTTCGTACCAACAGCAAAGACAGGACCATACCAAACTTGACGGTGGCTGTGGTCATGGCTCGGATATGAGTCTTGAAGTGGTCTGTGAAGGGCACGTTGTTGAGAAAGACATAGGAGTATCCGTGCCGACGATTGAACGTCGACTCGAGCATCCTCATCGTCTTTCGCATCTCGTGCAAGTCCTTGTTCTGTAACAGGATCACAAATGCAGCATTGGCCTTGACTGCATCGGCTGTTCTGTCGAGGAGCGATGTTGGTGGCGATCGTGCTGGTGTCGGGGTCGGGGTCGGTATTGGTGTTAGTGCCTGAAGATAGTTGTTGACTACGAGCCCCTGCTTGGTGCCCAGTTTGCGAGTGACATCGTTGTCGAGGATCCGACTGGCGGTGAATCCGAGGATGAATGCCCCGATGAGGTAGCAGAGGCGAGTGTTTCTGACCATCATCCTTGATCTTGATGATGAACAATCGAAGATATGATAAACTTTTCTGACTGTTCCCTTGCTCCATCCTCTCTTACTTCTTTTCTTTGTCTTTCATTCAACAACAGCAACAGCAGCAACAACAACAACAACAACAACAACAGCAGCAACAGCAACAGCAACAGCTCGTGCCTGGACTAAGCCCAGCCTGGCATCCATCCACTCCCACCTCCACCTCCACCTCCGCCTTTTTTACTTCTTATTCCCTTTTGTCCTCCTTCCTCTCTCCTTGACAACGGATCCCACCCTCTCCCTTGCATTCACTTTTGGATTCCAGAAAACCCATCGTCCTCTTTCTTCATTCCTTTTCTCTCTCTTTTTTCTCTCTTCTCTCTCTCTCGCTCTTTTTCTCTTCCTCTTCTCCTTCCTCTTCCTCCCTCCCTGACCCTTCTAGTAATCTCCTCAAGGACACATCCATTATCAGCTACATGATGAAGCCAACCGTTGATCGCTTACCGATCCCCTCCTCAACTTCCTCCTCCCCTTCCACTCCACTTTCCTCCCAACAATCCTCCAGAGCAACCTCCCCAAGCCCCTCCCTATCGTCTGTTTCCTCTGCTGCTTCCAGTCAACGTACATCAATGTATTCTTCCCCTCGCCCTATCAGTCGCCAGCAGCATCAACAGCTGCCGGCCTCAAGTGTTGGACTTGGAGGAGGCAGTATCAGTAGTCTGATCCGCAAGATTCCCTCTCTCGTGGCCGCGACGACAACCCCAAAGTCTGTGCTACCAACACCCATGGAGCGACAGCAACACAGCGACCAGACCAGTACAGTATCATCGACGCTCGCGGCGGTCAATGCCTCCTCTCTGGCCGCTCCTGCGCCGTCAGAACAACACCTGCGCCCTGCCTCTCCGTCCCTGGTTGGTGCAGCCAATCCTCCTGCCTCCAAGACGGAGAACGTCACCGTGACAGTCCGTATCCGACCCTTCAGCAGCTCAGAACTGAAAGTCGCTGGCGGACCTACGGATGTGTGGGCTGTATCTGATGATGGGTCGAAAATTGGATACAATGACGACTATGCGGTCAATGCGCGAAAGACCGCTGTGGAGTATGCTTTTGGTATGTGGACAAAGGGGTCGGTCAGTAATCTAAAGCAATACAGACGATTTTTTTCTAACCGCCTTTAATTTTATCGTCTTTGCTCTTTATCACAAAAAGACCATGCCTTAACTGGGAGTAATAATGAAGAGATCTACAGCTCGAGTGTCAAGAATCTGGTCCAGTCGGCTATGGAGGGATACAATGGTAATGGCAACGGCAATGTCATATCCTATTCAATTCTAGCGGGTTGGGACCTGCGTGAAAACATTGCTTTTATTGACTTTTTTTTCTCCCTTTTTTTCAGGAACGGTGTTCGCATACGGTCAGACCTCTTCAGGAAAAACATATGTACGAACGGACAGATGTCTAGCACCTTTGTTGTTCCAGGAGTGCAGTTCGAATAACTAACCTGTTCGTTCTCTACCCCCAATGACTCCACTGCCCCGTCACTGTTGACATGTAGACCATGGTAAGGAATGGAGGAACTATCCATGAGGTGATCGGATCACATATTTTCTAATATTGACCCATTATCATCTTCATCTTCGTCATAGAGCGGAAACGAGACGCAGCCAGGAATCACCCCTCGTGCAGTCGAGGACATTTTCAAATATATCCGCGAAAACTCAGACCGCGAGTTCCTGCTGCGTGTATCATATCTGGAGATTTATAACGAGTCCATCCGGGACCTGCTTTCGCCAGAGTCAATTGATTTACGTATACATGAGGATCGACGAGTAAGATAGAATGAAGATGTGAACCGTGGATGTGCCATCGGCTTTGTGGTGCAAGGCATGGAGTTGGATGACTAACCTTATAATTTCTTTATCATATTGCTGCCCTCACAGCGCGGGGTATATGTCAGCCCTCTGAAGGAGGAGATCGTAACCACACCGAGCCAGGTGATGAGAATCATCGAGAGAGGAGACTGTACGTGCAGCAGCATTCGTGGATGCAAGGAAATCTTTATCTTCATTTGTTTCTCGTTGCTGCATAGCGTCTAACGCGCCACCATCACCCAACATTTCTGATATGACAAAATAGATCAACGGCATGTCAGTTCTACGGATTTCAACGCACACAGCAGTCGCTCGCACTCGATCTTTCAAATCGTCATTGAAAGCAGAGACCGTTCGCCTGGCAATGCAGCAGGAAGCCCTACAACACGCAAACCGACCCTGGGTGCCAAATCCGCCAGTGCAGTTCGTGTGTCACAGCTAAATTTGATCGACTTGGCAGGATCTGAAAAGGCTGCATCGAACGAGGAGCGACGAAAGGAGGGAGCCTTCATCAACAAGTCGCTGTTGACACTCGGATCCGTTATCTCTAAGTTAACAGAGGAGAAAGGGTGAGTGGTGGAGAGAAAATTGTCCAGCATCTGTATAGGACCCACATTGTGGCCCCATGCTAACACCTCTTTTTTCTTGTATTTGGTCGGAAATATAGGGCACATATCCCATATCGCGACTCGAAGTTGACTCGAATCTTGCAATCATCGCTCAACGGAAATGCACGTGTCTCGGTGATCTGTACCATCAGCCCGTCGTCCTTGAATGTAGAGGAATCCCATAACACCCTCAAATTTGCTGCGCGTGTCAAGAAGGTCGTGACAAGGGCGCAGACGAACCAGGTTATGGATGATAAGGCGCTGCTGGAGAAGTATCGTCGCGAGATTAGCGAACTCAAGGCGCAGCTCATGCTGACGGCTGCTGGTAGTGGCGAGGCAGTCGATGCTAGATCTGCAGGTGCCATGGGCGGTAAACAGCAGGCGGAGCTGTCCACACTTCTGGAGAAGGAGAGGTTGAAGCATGAGGAAGAGATGGTGGAAATGAATATGGTCAGAAATGCACTCAAGGAACGTATCGATCATCTCACCAAGCTAATTCTGACTTCGCAGTCGATCAACACCAAAACGACTGCGCCGGAGCAGCTGGCGGGTCGGTCTACGGTTGAGACCTCGGCTGATGGCACAGTGCTCGAATTTCCCAAGGAGATTGAGTCGCGCTTGGCACGCAAAGATGCGGTTGTGAAGCAGCTACAGCTCGAATTGGAGGCTCAGCAGGAGAAGATGGCACTGATGAAGTCAGCGCTTGAGAAGACGGCCAAGGGAGAGACTGTGGATATCGAAAAGACTCTAGCCCGCATAGAGCAACAGGACTCCTTGCCAAGAGACAAATTGTTGAGTGAGAAGAGGGCTTCAATCGTAAATGTCCATGCGTTGGCGCACCTGGATGGAGCAGACGGTGCTGACCTGATGGCCCTGAGGACTTTGCAGGAGAAGCAGGGGGAAGGGGGACAGCCACAATCTACCTTCGCTGGTTCTATTTCTACGCAGGTAAAGGGCTCTGCAAGCTCAGAGAATGGATCCAGCAGTTTCTTAGGGCCCAACAACACATACGAGGATGAAGACTTGATGGATACGCCCTGGAACCGAGAAGAGCTTCAGAGTCTCCGGCAGGCCAAGCGTGAACTCGAGATCATTGTGATCGAGCAAGAAAAGAAATTGGAGGACATGGTTGCGTTTGAGGACTCTGACGACTTTCGAAATCTGGTCCTTGAGCTCGAGGAGCAGCGTGAGAAGATTCTGGCGATGGAGGAGGAGCGAGAGAGCCAGAGGGTGACCGTTGCAGAGCTCCGGAATACAATCCGTAAAATGGAACTTCGGCAGTCTGGTCCTGGCACTGCGTCAGCAGGGTTTCCAGGGACTGGAGCGGCTGCTGTCTCTTTGGCAGCGGCGGGCGCACGGATCAAGGATCTGGAAATGGTAGCACAGAAGGAGCGGCGGCTACGAATGGAAGAGCAGAGCCGAAATATGGGTCGGATTACTTCGCTGGAAGCCGAGCTGACCATGATGAAGGCTGAGCTTTCTGTGCGCAACCTGGCGGCATTTTCGTAAAGTAGAACACATCTGGATATTGAAATGGCATTCGCATAGACACAAGCGAGCAAGTAACACACCTGTAACAATAATACTTTTAATAATAATGAAAACTCTATTGAGGAGGCATTATCCTTTCTTTATTGCAATCGCAGACTACTGTAAATGTAGAGCATTTGGCTTCGTAAGCTCACGTTTGGTTCTGGTTTACGCGAATGCGAACCCGGTACTGCACTCAGAGATTGCTGTCAGCAACTGTTGTCGCAGCTCTTCATACGTCTCATACTCTGGCAAATCGAGTTGGTTAAAGCTAATGAACAAGAATATCAAGTGAGGAAAAGAAGGACGTTAGCAATATGTTAAGATGGGAAATAAGAACATTAAAGATAAGTTCAATGACTTGCAACGGAGTCTTACCATGTATGTGCAGATGGCAGCCGCTTCGTCGATGAAAAGTCCTTGTGGATCTGGAACTTTTGTACGCCCGAAATGCCCTGGAGCTGAGAGAACCCTCCCAGAGGCACCTTCGATGTTCCTGTCACAAACTGCAGTAGCTTCGCTCGCTCTGTCTGATCAAAAGACCGAACCGCTCTCCAAAAGTTTTGGATCTGTGGAGAAGCCTGCGAGTAGTTCTGATACTCCGTGTTATTCTTCCACTCGTCCACATCGATGTCTGGCAGACCTGAGATCAGCAGCTCTAGCTCCTGTTCGTTGAAGATACTGATCAGGTGCGCGGGGATGATCTCGTGGAATCCTTGCAGAAATGAGTGGATCTGATCCTTGATTGCCAGCGTCAGCTTCTGCTCCGTAATATACTTGACATATTCGTGCTTGTTCTCCTCTGTCACTGGGATGTTGCGTCCATTGGGTTTCAAATCAACAATCTTCTTGTTGCCGAAATCATCCGTTTCCATCGAGAATGTCTCCTCCACAATGTCCGTGATATCATTCTCCAACATCCACACCAATGACTTGTAGTACTCAGGGTCGACGGCTTCAACATCGCGGTAGTCGACTGGTCGTCCCAGGATATGCTTGTAGAAAGACCTTGTGAAGTAAGCGTCCAGAAGCCGCCCGTCGTAGATAGCCTTGCCAATGACTCGTCCAATGAACTTGAAGAATAGCAAATGGTCAGAGTTGACCCATGATGCGCGATTAGGTTGGTACGTCAACTTGTCTGCGGCCGACGTCTTGAACAGCGCATAGTCCGGATTGAACATTTGTCTCGCCAGCACTTGGAACCATTCTCGAGTCACTCCTCCTGCATCAACTCCCTCCTCGCCATGAAAGTGCACATTCAGCTTGCTATACTTGATCTCCTCGCCTGTCCGAGACTGCAGTTGCGAGAATGAGTCAACAAAGACCATCTCACGGCGCACGTTCATCTGCAAGGTGCCGTAGTGCTCCCGTGTCGGATTGCGCTTATGCAGCTGCTGCGTGAAATAGTTGCGCTTGTTGTCGAATTCCAGCATCTTCGGGTTATGCACCAGCAGCGAGAACGATCCTGACATCAGAGCGGGGTTGTTACGAACCATGATGTTTAAAATCTTGCTGTGCTTCTCCGTGAACAGTAAGAAGAGCTCCTCTGTCGAGTTCGTCGTCGCTTTGCACTCTGCCTCCTCCATTTCCAGTGTCGAGGGCCTCAGTCCAACGTACTTGCAAACAACCATGAACGATTCGATCAAAGGCAGTAGCACCGTTGCAACATGAATCATATCACTTCGTTCTCGAATCAACTCCAGCGCGTTCCCAACCTCAGCCCACAGCAAGTGGAAGGAAAGACTGTTGTAGATCGTAGAAACCTTCTCCTCGTCCTCGTTCAACTTGAGCGCCCCTGAGCCCACGTCACGCATCGATCTCGGCATAACCGCGTCCGCCTCCTCGGGATCCAGTGTTGGTGCCAGTTCAATGTTGACCTGCGTTGTCGCTGGTGCTTGGGTCAGGCTCTGCTTTCTGGAATACATGTAATCGATGGTCTTGAGCACACGAAGCAGTTTAGCCTGCTTGGACGATGCGGGCGAAAATTTCTCAAGGGCGACACCTTGAACATCGACTCCGCTCATTGCATTCGCCAGTGTCCGAGAGAGCGTCTCGAGATCCCCAAAAATGCTACCTCCCAGTTCACGAGCAACCCGAACCAGCTCGGCGGTAATCACATCTCTAGCACCTTCCAACACGGAAAGATTCTGGATGACAGACAATGTAAACTGAAATGTCTTGCTTGAGCACTCTCCGGCAGTCAGGACACGAACTATCAGCTGCATACAATGGTCCGGGATTACTGGGGGCTTCAGCGCTGAAGGCTCCGTGTCGGCCTCCTTAATCTCTGTATTGCTCTCTATCGCCAATACACCCGATGCGCCCGTTAGTGTTGTCGTTGTCGAACTAAAGTTCTCGCCCGCGTTCTCAGCTGTCCTTGGGTCATCCGTATGTACAGCTGCACTCGATTCCGCTGACGGAGCCACGGTATTCTGTCCAGCAGTCGACACTGTTGCCGTCGAAGTCGTAGCTTCCTCTTCCTTTCGCTTGCTCTCCGCCTCCTTCTCCCGTTTCTTTCTGTCCTCTTCGTCCTTTGCAAGCGTTGCCAGAGGTCTGCAAATCACAGATAGTAGAGTCATGAGCTGTTCCATCAACGCCGAGCTCTCCACAAAAATTGGCCGCTCCAAGAGATCGAGTAGAAGCACAATCGGGTATTTCTCGCTGACAAGTCTCTCCTTGCCTTTGCCCTTCTTCGATGAAGACCTTCTCAGCGTGACATTCTCGTGCTCCATGAGGAAGAATAGCACAGCCTGCGAGTTGAATGAGACAATGTAATACAGAGCTTCTAGGCACCGACGGGCCACCAGATTCGGTACATTGTCCATCGCGGCGGGCACCGGAGTTGGAAGGGCAGCTGCGGTGGCCTCCTTGCCCTTATGGTGTGGGTGCGCCTTCACAACTGTTTTTCCGCGAAGCGACATCTGCGCAAACCCCTTGTCTACGGCCGCCAGATCGGCACCGCCATCCTGCAAGATGGAAAGTAGGAGTGAGAGGAGCTCTGATCGTGTCTTACTATTCTCGCACAGGTTAACCAAGAGCTTATTCAGGATGTTCCTAGAGGGGGGCTGAGGCAGGAACATGAGGCGAACAAGCGTCGCCAAAGATGACTTGTCCACAAGCTGGATGGCATCTCGTGGAGCAATGGCTTTCTTACTTGAGCTTGTACCAGAAGGCCCTGAGGCTGCGCCTGCAAGAATGTCGCGGGCCTCTCGCAATCCTGGGAAGTGCCGCGGGATTTGGTCCAACAGCGCGCTCGTCTCGGCCAACAAGGCAGGCGGCACTGGCGATCGAGATCCCCCATCCCGGTACATCTGTCTCAGCTGAGGCACCAAACGCGAAAGTGTGTACTCGTTAAATGCAGAAACCAGTGGCTCGGACCTAGCAGCACCGCTTGCACCCTGCCCGCGCATTATGTCCTCCAGCTCGGCACGCATGTTTCCTGGAAGAACATCCAAAAAGTCCGTGTTGATAGCTTGCGTTCCTGAAGTTGATGTTGACTGCTGTGTTGCTGGAGGTGCTGGTCGCTGCGACTGCAGATAATCGTTGTACACTTCACGGCGCATCTCCTCTGGAAGAGCCTCCAAGAACTCCGGATCGATGTCGCTGTCCGTAATGTCCACCATTTCTCCTTCAATCATCACCATCCTGCGTGTTGGTGGGGCGGATTCTGCCTCTGCTTCAGGCTCTGCGGTTGCCGATGCAGCGCCTTCCACATCCATTGCAGACTCTTCAGACGCCATGGGCGCGCCTTCTATCTCTCCTTGTGTAGCGCGAGTGGCGGCTTCCTCAGCCCGACGAGCCTCCTCTGCAAGACGTGCCTTTTCAGCTTCCTCGGCTTTGATACGCTCCTCTTCCTCCTCGGCCTTTCGCTTCTCTTCCGCGATCTGTTTCCGTGCTGCCTCGGCCTTTCGCCTCCGTTCCAACTCTCTGGTTTTGAGACGATGCTCCTCCTCGGCAGCTGGAATTAATGCATTGATAACATGGTTCGCCAGTCGCGACGCCTTATCCTGTGCTGTTGCGCCATACATCATCCGGCACTCCTGTGACCATCTCTGTGATGTGGAGTAAGGAACGAAGTCGCGGACTGTGCTAAACATGGTAGTCTTGTTCGCGCTGGCAGCATCCGCCGTGGATCCAGCTGAGATCGCGCCGGTCGCAGGATCTACTGCTGGAATGCTGCGATCAATTGGAGTAACAATAGCGGTATTACCATGATTGACCTCCACGCGGAACGCTCCGTGGCTCGCTCGAATGGCTCCACCGTTCATCAAGGTGCCCAGGATCTGCGAGGGATTCCCATTTAAGAATTCTCCAAATGCTTGCCAATCCGTAAGTCCTGCGCCACGCGAACCTCCACGACGATGGCCATTCGAGGCAGTATTCGCAGTCGTCGAACGAGGTTGAGCAAGCAGAGGGTGGGTAATCACATCGTCCGACACCTGCAGGAAGGGGTTTCGAGCCGGTGCTCCGAGTGACGGGAAGTCGTCGTCCTCGATGTAGGAGAGCCGTCCTTGATCAGCGTCGCCGTCATTCCAAAAGAATCCGCGGTCATCCAAGCGCCGAGCCGCTGTCCGAGGCCGGCGACCGCGAAGATCGATGATTTGGGCTCCATTTAGCAATCCGTCCTGGTCGTTGATGACAAAGGCGCTGGTCATATCCCAAGCGCCGCCATGTCCGAGTCCTCGAACAGGATCGAATCCTTCAGCGTCGTCGAGAAGCACGATATCATCACCTTCTTCGTCGAGGTCGTCCTCATCATCTTCGTCATCCTCATCCACATCTTCATCCTCCTCATCTTCTTCGTCCTCGTCCTCTATGCCTCCTTCGTCTGCTGGATGAAGGTGCGGATTATGTGTATGAGTATGGTGGCGATGGGCGCGATCCTGTTCCTCATAGTACTCGGGATCTGCAACCTGAGGCTCGTCCTCCGTATCGATAATGACATTTCCAATCCCGCCTTCTTGAAGAATGACAGGTCGCGAATCTGTATCCCACTCCATCATTTCCTCATCTTCAGCCTCGTCCTGTGCGAGTGCCTCGTGCAGCTCGGCCTCCATATCTTCATCAAGGTCGTCGTCCTCTTCACCGTCCATGTCCTCGTCATCTTGATCCACCTCGTCGTCTGAGATCTCGTGGCTATGGTGATGGAAGGGGTTGCGATCAACAGCCTCCTCCAGGGCTTCATCGACATCGTCATCGTCACTAAAGTCCTCCTCGCTGAGGTCGCTGGCATCGCTTGCAGTCTCTTCCTCATACTCGTCACCTTCATAGATATCGTCCTCTCCGGTAGAGTCGTCCGATTCGTCGTCCCCGTCAGTTTCCATGCTGACTCCATCAAACATACCGAGGGAAGAATTTCTATACAAGTCGGGGGTATCGGCCTCATCTCCTGACGCGTTTCCGCTTCCAGCTCCGGACAGTGGAGTGGATTGACGGGCAGCCCTGGAAGCTCCTGGTTCAGCTGCCCTGCTCATCTTGAGTGACAGCTTTGTCAAGTGCTCCAACGGCTTCAGGACAGCATTGACAAGAATCTTGGCGTGAGGATAGTTGAGGTCAATATCCGCCAAGACGTTGGTCAAAATGACGATAAAGTTCTTTTCCAGCATAACCTTCACGATGTTGATTGAATGGTCGTCGTTGGCCTTCACACCGATTACAGAGGACGAAGATGCGCCCAAAATTTTGTAGCTGAGCTCCGATAGCGAAAGGAACTTGCCATACTTGATCTCGACTGGATCGGTCGAGGCAATTGCGTCCTTAAACGACCGAATCATACCATCGATAACGAAACGACGAGCCTGAACCACGTGGCTAAACGGTTGCTTTTCCTCCTCCTCGTCACTGTTGGCGAACATGGCAACGAGTACGGCAGATGCGAAGTTTGACTCGATCGAATGCTTTTGAAGCTCTGTCTCACTCGACTGCGCTACAGTACCCCTGTATGGGATTAAGTCGTTCAGAAGGTAGCCAAGCCAGTTCGCTCTGGGTTTGCTGGCAACGTTGATAGATTCCTTGCCTGACTTGCGCCTTGAAAAGTTCATCATGTCAACCTTGCAAGACGGGTAGGAAATTAGGAGTTCGTTTAGGCATTGAAGCACGAAGCAGCGGTGAACAAAGTTGGCGTCATTTGAAGCTTCGTCTGGTGTTCTTGCATCGTTGTCCGTGGTAGTCGTTTGCGCCACCATCGATGGTGCGGAAGCAGAGACCATTGGCATATGGCCTGGCGAAGCGGATGTACTCGAATGTACACCAGACACGGGCACTAATCTGGTGCTGAGCAACTCGAATACCAGGAAGTGAATGACGGTTTCCGATATCTGGGAAGAGTACTTCTTTGCAGCCTCAGAAATGTCGCGCGTCGACTGAACTGTGCTGGCGCGCTGCTCTGATAATGATGAGCCCTCTCCTGCATCTTGATCACCATCCTTGGCCTTGCCTTTGTCATCTGCACCATCATCCCCCGAAGTGTCGTCCTGGTCCTTGTCGTTTTCCAACTTTGATAGAGCGGCAGGCTTGGCCAAAGTCAGTTGTAGGGTCCTGAAGGCACTGTCGTACTTTGAGACCTTGCAGACGTTGAGCGTTCCAGCAATGAATGCATCTAATTCGCGCAGTCCCAAAAAGCTGTTGTGTCGAAGGTAGCTCTGGATGTCGCTTGTTCGTGCACGGGAGGGCTGTGCAAACCAGCGCACAATCTCCCTTTCCATGGTTGCTTGCAGGACAACGGCATCCTCGACGATATGGCGCATAATCATGATGACAAGACTCTGCTGTCCCTGCACGCCAATCCGTTCGGGTTTCAATGTCGAGAAAACCAGCTCCAACCCGCCCTTGTTCAAGAACTCCATCGCTAGCGAGTGGTGTCGAGTCAGTCGCACGAGAATGCGGAAAACGGAGAGAGCAATGTCCTTTACGAGGTCCTGCTGATTGAGAAGTACGATGGATTGGTGAAGTAGTCTCTCCTTCTCAGCAGGTGTGATAATGTCATCCTTCATCTCCTTATCTTCTTGGGCTGCCTTCTCCTTTCCTTCTGTTGTCGTCAAGTCCGGAACTACCCTAGGCTCGTCTGCGAGAGACAAAAAGTTTTCCACCATGAGCAGCAGGGGAGAAAGCCAGTTGTTGTCCTTTTGAGGCGCCTGAGACTCGACATGTTTTGTCAGAATTGTCATCAGAAGAGGTGCCAGCGTTGTACTATACTCGCCCATCTTGGCCTGGATCGTGACATCCCCGAAGAGTAGTGCCAAAAGCCGCAAGCGCGCGCCAAATGCCTTTCCAGCTAAGCCAACCTGGTCCACTTGGATGTTGCTAGCTTTTTCGAGATCCTTGACTAGCTCATCCAATGCATTACTGTTTTTATCCTTGCATAGGAGTACAAGGAGATCTCGGACGTTGAAAATGACATCCTCGATTGCCTCAATCAACTCAAGAGACCTAGGAATGAGGAGGGGTCTCAACTCCTCACGGCCCTTCGACAACTCCTCCTTATGTGCTTCATGTAAAGCGAGTGCAGTCTTGTATTCCTGTTCGTTCTTGGCTTCCTCGTCATTGGTGCTCATCTCAACATCCCCCTTCGCATCCTCCCCTTCAATATCGACAGGGTCGTCTTGGTTGAGACTGATGGCCAGCTCTCCAGAAGTCGAGGATAACTCTCCGGCAATGGATTCCTGAGTGTGGGGGCCATCCCCAGACGGGTCTTCAGATAAGGAGGCGTCCAGCGCTTGAGACAGTGCTAGCGCCTGTCGAAGCATCTCTTCTTCGTCCTCATCTTCTTCGTCACCTTCATCATCCTCGTCGTTATCTTCGTCGTCATCGGCCGTACCTTCTGCTTCTGGTGCGGGTTCTGTGTGCTCAGTAAGGATGGATCTGGAAGCATCACCATTTTGGTTGTTGCCGGCGTCAGTGACGGGTCCTGTTGAAGGTTCCGCAGGTGTTTCACTGGTGCTTGGGGCATTAGCGGCAGCAACCGCCACAGCACGCGCTGCAGCCTCTTCGCGTTCCTGTTCATATATAGCGGCAGCTACAACTTCTTGGTGGGTCAGCAAGTATTCAGTTGCTCGATCCAGCTGATTGCCGCAGCGCGTCAGGGCAAGTTCTGCAGCTGAACGTGGGAAACCCATATCGAGAAGGGTCGCGACGCTTGTTGCATCCGGCGCAAGAGGTCGAGCGCCAAAGATATTGGGAGTCGCTGTTCCAACAATAACTGGCGAGGCGGTCGAAACAGGGGGCTTGAGCTCTCCAGCTGCCTTCAAGATGTTGGTAATGATCTGAATGACATAGCGTGAAGCAGCAGCGGGCGCCCTGTCCAACTGCTTGTCCAACCAAAGGCTCCTTATGTGAGGTAGCACCACCAATCGAACATCCACCAGAAACTCATGTGGCTCGAAAAAGTCCTCCTTCCTGGTCTTGTCGTCCTTGGAAGTCAATGGCGATGTATGCGACGATTCGAGCAACAGTTTGGACGACGTGAGTATCTGGAGCACGCTAAGGATGACCTCGATAGATCCATACAGCTGGTCCAGTAGCACTCTTTGCTCCTCAGTGATAGTAGCTGACGAATTTTGGATGGAGGACGCTTCTATCCAAAACGAGTCCAGCCACATGAATAACGATTCCATGCCTCCTGTCCTGACAAATGAGACCACTGTAATGGTTTGAAGAGTTGCCGGATTGCGATCGTCCAAGAACACGTATGGAAGTAACTTGATCATTGTACTCAAGTAAGCATGCTTGTCACTCGTAGAAACATTGGTATCTAGTGAAGTAGTACGAGAAAAGTAAGCTAACGTATCAAAATGAGCCTATTGTCGGTCTCTGAAATCTCTATCATTAGAGAACTTACCGAGTCGTTTCCAAGAAATATGCGCCTGCAGGACTTTGGATAGAGAATCTGCAACTTGGAAAGAGTGCGCACGCTGAGTAGCCTCGATGTCTCTTCGGTTAAACAGCATCTTGGTAATGCCTGCAAAATTGAGGGAAATGGCGTGTTAGAATATGCAGCGCGGGAACTCATTTCATCAGATGCTACCAACAGCAAAGAAGCTCATGAATACCTTGATACATAGGCGAGAGATAATGCGGGATCTGTGTGAGCACAAATTTGAAATACTTTGTATTGATGGCGCTGGGGGTGTAAGCGTCAATGGTGGGTGTCGCTGGTGCCATCTCCTTGTCTTCGCCTTCAGCTTCCTCAACAAACTCGTCCAATGTTCCCGGGACCTGTGGTGGACTGTAGTGCTTCTTCGACTTTGGGCTCGGATCATTCCAGTTCTTTTGCAATGCACGCTTCAACACAGTGGTCTCCCAAACACAGAATCTAAGATGAACAAGAGCAAGAATAGCGTGTCAGCGACACATAAAATAACGGGGACTATTTCTATTTCTTGGGGCTATCATCATACCTGTGGAGTTGGCCAAGACCAGCAAGGGCCGGAGCACCCTGCGCATTCACAAATGCAGTTAGAACAGATGCCGAGTTTCGACTGTGAGAGAACGCGGGTGTACAAAACATGTCCGAGATCAGTCCGCTCAGTGCATGCAGACTAATTAAGCTCCTGAGAATTTCGTTTCCTCGCACGACGTCCTCCAGATTTGAATCTATCAGGGTAAAAGATGAGGAACAGTAACCATTCAGTATAATGTACGCTGGGGATTCATTTCAGCGTTCATGCAAATGTATCATCTAATAAAAACCAGCAACTTACTCGAAATGTCAATGTACTGAAGCAAATCGGAACCAGGGTTGGTGGACTCTAGTAAGAATTGCACCCCTTCGAGCAACCTGTTCACTTCCTTCAGCACTGCTGATATGGCCGTGCCAGGGTCTGTTTCGCTCAATAACCGAACCAAATGAGAAAGGGTGAAGAACGCGGGTGTATTAGCCAGATCGTACGGTTGAGTTGGAAGGGTGTAAAACTTCATCAAGATGTTGATTCCATCTGCTTTCAAGAAATCCTTGGCGCTGGAAGAATTCTGGAAGAAACTCTCGCAGAACTAAATTGATAAAGAAATGCGTCGTTTAGTCATGATTATTGATACTCACGATAAAGCTTCTTTTCAGAAACAACGTATGCATCCACTTACTCTAGCAGAGGCCTCAATGAGCTGAGCCACGAGTGAGTCCTTTCTGTCATCCTTGTTTGCCTCGTCTTCGACAGTTACACCCAATTGGGGAGCATCCTTGGCTCGCGTCTTTTGAAGTGTGCTAAAGACGATATCATCTCCAATAACCTCGTCCGATTCGCACATCTGCAGAGCCTCGTTCAGCATAGCAACCAGCTCCACCATCACATTCGCCTTTAAGCTGGGTTGATGTCGCACAAGCTCATCCATCGAAACACCCAGATTCGATGCAATGTCGTTGTCCTGGAAAGCCTGCACGTGTGGAATGGATGTAAAAATTCCAAAGAATTTTTTCATGGGAAACTCTTTCGTGAACATCTCCAAGCCGGTTGGGTTCAAACAGATAGCCCCAAACGCTCCAGGTAGGTTCATCGCAACGTCGTTGGACGCTGGGATATCTCTAGATAGGCTCGCGAGAAGAGTTTGGGGTATCTTCGCCTCCTGCAAGATAGCCAGCGAAGTCGGCTCATTGTGAATGAACGATGTCATGGTATTAATGGCTGTAATAGTTGGCGGACCAAAAAAAGAAAAAAAAAAGTAAGGATTCCAATCCCTTCTACTAAAGCCCTCAATGAAGCTGCAAACCTCTTCGTGGACATACCATGAGCGTATATGGAAGTTCCAAGCGCAATAGGGTTCTCCATAATGACTCTGAGTGTCGATGGCAACGAAGTGTCGATCAAATTGCGCAATCCTTCCTGAGTACCAGGACTTTGCATCATATGGATCACAAACTTGAACATCGCTTTCAGCAGCGCGGTCCTTCCGAACGGAATGGGTAAAGGCTCTTCCTCTATAGTTTCAAGGACGCGGGTTTAATTAATACATAGGTTCATTAAAGAACCCCTTGTGGCGACATTCCTTGTTTACCCAAAGCTTTAACTCTTACCTTTGCTGATGTTCCTGTCGCTAGAAGCAGAAGTAGAGGCGACTCCAGTCATTTGTGACGCCTCTGCTTCTTTAACCAAGTTCAGAGAGTAATCTACTTCATCCTTGATCCTTGCTACCAAATTGTTAAGACCATTAGACGCGCAAAACGAAGTGAACGCAGTGCTAAAGCCGTAGATAAGACTGTCCAGGATTGAAATACTCTTTGTAACATTCTGTAATGTCATAGCAAGTAAAAAATGAAGCCATTATTAGTAACACAGTCACGAGTGCCATCCATCACTCCTTCCAATAATACGCGCGTAAATCAGCCTACTCTCAAATGTGCAGGGCGCTTGTTTGAAAGCAGCTGCAGAAAAACAGGAACAATGCCGGCAGATATAACCATGTTGCCGCCTGTAGCCGAACTAATGATGAATGAAATGAGCGCAAACATCGCATCCAAGAAGTCCTGAGGATATGGTGCTAATAGCACAAAGATCATACCGAGACGATTAGAAGTACTGCGCCTGGTTTTGAAGTGCTTCTATGTACAGAAAAATAACCAACGTGCATTACCATCCTCAGAACCAAGGCCTGCGACAATTTTGCGCAGCGCATAGAGCAGAACACCATGGCTTGCTGACGCATTGATGGCAGTCAGCACGTCAGGATGTTTGTTCTTAAGGTGCGCCAACCCATCCAGAGCAAATAGGGCCACCGTTTGCAGATCCTAAAGAACAAACAGAAAAGGACGTTGGTCATCAAGAAAGAGTCTTTAAACAGAACAAAGCCGTTGCAATATGAAGATTATCGCTTACAAAGGACACATTGTGATCAGGATGGATCAGATCGCTCAAGCTCTGGATAATCTCCGGCTCAAATGCGAAGAATTTTTCAACTACGACTGCCTCAGAGAGAACATGCGACATGACCGCTATTGCCAAAATACGGATTGCCAAAAGTTGCTGCCGACGTCTTGGATCGCTGATGCCAGTAGCTATCCTAATGCGGCTAAGGAGCTGGAATTGATATTCCTCTGGGACCATGTACTCCTGGATCAAGTGCTGCAGAATCTCGTAATCAGAAGACCCTAACTGAGTGGGATCTGAAACCTGAATGACAACCATTCCTTCACTTGTAGGTGAAACGGCACTGACGTTGATCGACGAGGGCGCTCCTGAACTGGATGATCGTCGTTGTTTTCCGGAGGATGCCGTGGCATGAGATGATGGCGCCGTTGGCGTTGTGCTGCTAGGTTCTGATTGAGCGGATGAACTTCCAGACGAAGTGGAAGCGGCTGCGGCTGCGGCTGTAGCTGCGTCTGCTGCTGTAGGCTTTACGAGTGATACTGTTCTGTAAAACTGGAAATTGAGGGTCTTCAGTCGCTCGGGAATCTCTGTCTTGTGATCTGCGAGCTGCTGGAGATCCAGGCCGTACTCCTTGCTTCCCCAGGAATGTGCGAGTGCGAGAAGTCGATCCTGCGACACTGTGAATATTGATTTGGCCGAACGCTGAGCGCTGTGACGCTGTGCGGGTCGAAGCAAAAGACGAAGACACGATTCGAGGACATCCAAATCGCGTGCATGGAGTAGATCGTTTAGTTGCTAGTTTATGATGTTGAGCAAGACGTCAGTTAGCGCGGTGACAGAAAGCGACTTTTTGTTAAATCTCACATTCGGTCCGCCTTGGGATGCTGAGCTTACCTCGTAGGAAGCGTATAGGTTTCGATTTGTACAGCTCTCCAGCAAAAGACGTGAAAAGAAGAGGATAGCCAATACCAGGCGTCGTTCTTCGGATGTAAACTCCTTCGGCTGCGGCTTCTTCATGTCATGACTCTTGCAGATGTTGTCAAGGATCTCGTCAAAGCGGTTGAGCACGCCCACCCAGTGGAAGAGATCGCCTCTTGGCCAAATCCATTCCGGAGTTGCCTCGATATGGGTCGCAATCTCGACCTCGGGACACTCTCTGAGGGTCTTGATGAGGTTTCTGATGGGAAGTGGCTATGAAGAGATTGTTTGAAAAATAGTAAAGAGGATGCCTTAATACATGTGAAAATATAAAATGGATATAGCACATTCCCACATCGATTCTGTCTGTCCATGTCTTGACCCGTATGCGTTACAGCTCGGTCATGCCCACGGTTGCCACACGTCCTCGACCAACAGTATTTCTCTATGCCTTCTTCTCTGTCCTCCCAGCTCTGTATGTGGTCTACTTCGAGTCAAACAAAAAGTCATGTGCAACTGCATGACCACGCGGCTGGCTAAAAGCAGCATGCTGCTGATGCATTGGGCCAACAGCCCTTTGTCACATTCGCCCTTTGTCACATTCGCCAGTTGTACCCTCCAGTCCGCAACGCAGTAAAGGATACGTGTCGCTGTCGATATTTTGCTAATAGTGACAGCACATTGTCGTCACCCCGTTCTGGACGCTGTTTCGAGTTGGCGTATGTGTCTTGCGTGAATGGTACTAGAGTCCATCTCTTCTGATGGGCGATTCAGGTGAATATCAGACATTCTTCTTCCTCCCCTACGTAATGTGGCCGGGGGGATGGATTGATGGATATAAAACGATATGACATGTGGGTTACTGCGGCAAGGAAAGGCCACTTACCGGCACAGCCAGCTTCTTGACAGGTGTCTTTTTAATCTTCATTTGAATCCGCTTTAGTAGGTGCTGGGTTGATGGCGAGGGAATCAAAGGAGAGTGAAGAAGAGTAGGAAAAGGAAGGCTTGCGTGCTGTGTGTCTGGATGTCAAAAAAGGAGACGCGTCTGTGTCCTGTATTTCCAGAGGCGAAGGAGGGAATGAAAGAACCCTATGATGGTAAATGAGGGCACGAAAGAAGTTGGGCACAGAGAGTGTAGGAGCGTAGAAGGTAAACTGGAATGGAGAGAATGACCAGAAGAAATATAGGTTTGGATTCGACTTTTGCCAATGCTCGTACGAAAGAGATACTTTGGCCAGTGAGAAAGAAAGACGAAAGGTTGTTGAGCCAGAGAAGAGCAAGGAAGAAAGAGTAAGGTGCTTGAAAAGGATCTGAGACTGCCACTTTTGCATTGGTGGCAACAATCTCCTTCTCAACCTATTGCGCGCAGACACTGAAGGACAGCAGCGTAATGGCCACGACATCATGCGCTGCATGATAAAAACATCACGCATGCCGGGGCTGGGAACCCAGCTGAGTTCTCTCTTTCGTTGTGAGCCTTTCGGTTCACACCAGTTTACCCTCTCGCGAAAACAAGCAGCCCTGGGACCAGGGTTGCAGTACACTTCTCACCCATCGTACCCAGAACAGTCACCTTCCAAATAAACAACTTTTTTTTCTTTTTTTTTTGACACCACTCATTCCTTCTCTAATACCACCCACACAGGACAATGTCATCTCGACGCTTCTACACTGGAGACGAGCAGGGTCTTATCAAAGGTATCCTACCTTTTTGCATTTTGAGACTGTCGACCTCTTCAAGATCCTTGCACCCATCAATACAACTCAACTGAACAATCCGCTGGCTTTCTTTTGTTACCTACAGTCGTCACCATCACAGAGGCCCCGGTCGTCAAAGTGAAGCGTCTGCGCAGGAATCAGCCTACTCCCGAGCCTCCTGCCAAGCCTGTGCCAACTGTAGAGGCCTGGGGTACGCCTGATCGTGAGAGGGCCATCCAATTGCTTTGCTGGGACCATGAAAAGAAGTATCTGGTGGCTGCTCGCAAGAACGGACTGGTGCAATTGATCGACCCCAAAAGTAGCGGCGCTGTCATCGCAGAATTCAAACAGCAGCTCGTCAAGGAGGGCAAAGCCGACACCATCTTTGTCGGGCTGTTTGCTAATTCTGAGTACGATGGATTGTGTTTTCGTTTGAGATACCAAGATGAAGCGTTTATATCTTTTTCTTTCGTAATAACTGACGTTTTTCTATATATCACAACTACTCTAGGTCGCTCATCACTTGCACAAATACCGGAATTCTCACCATTCAATCCATTCAGAATCCATCTCAGACGAAACATTTGAACGTCGGCAAGGGCATTTGTAGGATGAGAGTACACCCTAAGGAACATCACATCATCGCAACAGGAGGCAATGAGCAAGAGCTCACCATTTGGGATCTGAACGAGTTCAGCAAAGAGTTCAGCAAAGACTTGCAGGGGCCCGTCATAAATGGAAAGAAGGCTGGCAAGGACGGAAAGGTGCCAGCGTCAACAGCTTCAGCGGGAACGGCAATAGAAAAACAGAGTGAATCGCGCTACAAATCCAAGGAGATTCTCGCCGGGGGCCAGATCTTCAGGTCCAAGAATGTCAAGAATGATCATCTGGATCTACGAGTCCCCGTCTGGAATACTGATCTGCAGTTTTTGAGCCACAGCGACATTTCGCGCATTGCCGTCGGTACACGGCACCATCAGATTCGCGTGTATGATACGAAGAGCGGGGCCAGGAGGCCTGTTGTCGACAAAGAGGTGGGGGAGATGCCTGTCGTTGCCCTGTCGAATGGTCAAGATGCGAGCGAGATTGTCTTTTCGGATACAGTGACAAACGTTTACTCCATTGATACCCTCACCGGCAGTATTCTCGGACAATACAAGGGTAAGCGGCACATGAGGTCACAGTGTCCATTCCGGAGTGTTCGCTTGTGCTTCAACAACTTCTAAACTAAAATTATTTGTTCGCTCTACTGCAGGGTTTACAGGAGTTGCCACTGCATTGGCTACATTCAGACCCTTTGAGGGCGGGTCGACTCCACATCTGGTCAGTGTTGCAATGGACCGCTGTCTGCGCGTGCACGAGATGAACAAGTCTCGAAAATTGTTGCATAAGGTCTATCTAAAGCAGCGTATGACTGCTGTTGTGGTAGGCGAATACACTCCCGCGGAACACGCAGAGGATGATGAGGAAGGAGCCAACCCCGCCAAAAGTAAGAAGGCTGGCAAGGAGGAGGATGATAAGGGTGATGACGATGAGCTCTGGGAGAGCATGGGCAAACTTCAAGACAAGAAGTCGAAGAAGAGGAAAGCGGCGAAATAGTAGAACGGATGCCGACAATACTTTGCATATGCCATTAAATATCACCCCGCATTCTCACTTCCGCATTGCAACAAAGAATGAATGAAACGCCATATTCATTGTTACAATTGGTATGATGTTATCTTTCAAACTGTGATGAAAAACTATTAGCTACTATATAAATGTGTCGACAGATACAAAGCATGGTTGATGGGAGCATATGTCTGTTCTTTCTACATAAAAAATGCGATCAAAATGACAGAAACTAGCCTCAAACCAACTCCAGTCTGGCTCTTGAGCGCCGTCGCCGAGGAGGCATATTGCTCATAGTCGGATTTGGATACATGCCTGTTGCGGTCTAGGCCTCCTCTTGAGCCACTGTATAGGTCCCTCCCGTGTGTTAATCTTACTTGGGCATTGGCGTTAGCTATGGTTATAAGCAAAACTATTGCCGTATAGCCGTGTCCGTGGTTGCCACCTTGTTTATCGTCGTTACCATCGTTACCGTTATCGTTATCATCGTTATCATTGCAGGTTTGCTTTGGCATAGTCATGGATTCATGTAGTATTTCAACAGGAGTACGGTCGTGTCGCTCAAGAGAACTGGTCTGGACTTGTGCCGCGGCCATGGCGATCGAGGACATGTCGCGTTTGGCGAGGACCTGATTGGAAGGGAGGATTGATGACCGCGCCGCTGATAGGCAAGGGAAGAGCGAGGATGTATTTTTCTAAATCCTTTTTGGTTAGTGGGATGGATGTTGATATATGCTGGCATGAAGTTGCAAAAAAACGATAGATCGATGGATAATGAGACGAATATGGGGGCCCATGTCGAAGTGCACTTTTATATAGGCAGTGAGAACCGATGGTGCACGCGAAAAATTATCTAGTTTCTCTTCCTTTCTTTCTCTCTCTCTCTCTCTCTCTACCGCCCGCCCTATGCTACCAGATCTCATTTCTCATCGAGCGGACCCATAGAAGATCTAAATCCGCCCTAGTGTTCGCCCCAATTTTCTTCTCGAGCCATTTTCAATTACCCTGCGGCTCTGCATCTCAATCCTTACAGCACAATGTTGCGATGTGAAAGAACAATGTACTTGTGTTGCTGTCTTAAAAACATTTTAGGATGCTCATGCAGGACGGACTATGAATCAGGAGGCAACCTCTTTGTTCAAACACGCGTCTGCAAATCTGATATCAGCGCACAGGCCAGCTGCCCAATGCGTCGTTTTATCTCTTACCTTTCTTTCCTTTATCCTTTTAAGGGTAGCGCTAGCTATGTTCTAGCCAGCGATGTGGTTTTGATTGCGCTGGAGGCCGTCTTGGGGTCTTGGCGTTCAGCATGTGTGCTGTGTCATACACTAATAGCCGAAGACCACTACAAGTCAGGCCAGAACTGATGACCGAACGGCTCTGAGTCTGGGCTTTCTGGCAGCATCTGCAACAAGGTATTGACGTTCAGAATTCATCAACGCAGCATACCAGCACCCCCTCGCCGGTAGCCTATACACGTAGCAGTAGGTCCAGTGAAAGAGAGTTGCTTGAAATATGCTATTAAGCTGTCCGGGGACGCGATCGCTCAGCCTGCTTTTCATGAACAAAAGGCTGTCTAAAGATCGACGTGCTATTGACTAGCGTCATTTTAGATCATCCAAGTCCGACTTGAACTCCTTGAATCCCCCATCGTACTCGTCTTCCGTATCTGTCTCAAACTCTAGTGGAGAACCTGGACGCTCATTGAGGCGGATACGATCCTCAGTGCTGTATTCCATCTCATTTAAATTGCCTGTCTCTCTAGCTTGTACACTGAACTGGCTTCCGAAGTCTCGTCATCCTAATGATCGGGGATCACGATGACAACCATGTTTAAAGAGAAATTACTCAACGCTGACCAAACACAAAACCGGTTGTAGGTCAAGGAATAGTAATCAAAGATAAAAAAAAAAAAAGAACAGGCAGTGAGAGTAGGGTAAAACGTATTTTCATGCAATACTTATGCAAACAACGGTCGAAACTGGCTTAAGGAGAGTAGTATCGACTTACAAAAGAAGGACTGGAAAGTCGAAAAGGCTGGATCCAAAGTGATACAGATCGATCACAAAGACATGAAGAGCCAATGTATTTCTGACTTTCAGAAGAGTATATGGTAGGCAAGCTTTCCCTTTTTTTCACATACAACGCTCTAGCTATGTCTACTTTATTTGATATTTCTATCGACGACCCATCATGCGGATCAAAGGACGAAGTTTGAAAAAGTAATACCCGGCACCAAAGAGCCCTCCGCCCAAGTGACCTGCGGAATCAAATCGCCCCGTCTAGTTCCACAACGAAAAAAAAGAAAAAAAAAAAAAGAAAAAAAAAGAGCGCGATCAGATACTGTCATATATATCTATTAGGTCTCATAGAAACAACGACATATTCAACTTACATTGACGGCCAGCACATTGTACAATTCGTATGCACCAAAGAGACCTATATCGCAGGAAGACCAGCAAGGACCGGTAAATGTCAAGGTGCTACCTCAGACCATAATACATTGATATTACTTCTCACTGTTATCCCTCCCTTACCAATCAGTGCAGCTGCAGGCATGTTGATGACAAAGAATAGCGAGTACTGTGACATGGGGTGTACGCACGCAAACGCTGTAGTAATACCCATGATCGCTCCTGAAGCACCCAATGAAAAGTGCATTGCGCTGCTTTGCGGCTTGTTTTGCATTTTCCGCAAGTAAGGCCCTATGTGTGAGTAATATCCGATGCTGGCAAGGGATGATGCCACCGCAGAACCCAGGTACACAGCCAGGAACCGTCTCGTACCCAACATCCTCCAAACCTATATTATCGAACACGCATCAGATAGAGCCTTCTTGGAAAGACAGTTGATTATGCAGACTAGGAAACATTGAGAACTTACAGGATCTCCGAACGACAAGAGCACCATGGTATTCAGAATGATGTGGTACCATTCCTTATGACTGAAAGCACTTGTCACCAGCGTCCACACCCTTCCTTCCTTCAGATTCTGGACCGAGTCTGTAAAATTTCTGAACATGAAGTAATATAACCTCCCATCCCGGAACCGCTGTGCCTTCGCCTCTGCATATTGCCATATTGCAAAAACGGCGACATTGATTGCAACAATGGTATAAACGACTTTGTTGGACGAGTCGACAGAGAAGGAGCTGGCGAACCGTTGTAACGATTTGCTTCCATTGCTAGCCATACCCCTCCATTGCTGGGACTGGAATGGGTGCCGAAGATATGGGAGGGTGACTTTCTCCAAGGAATTGAACATTGCCCTGTTACTCTGGTTGTAAAAGAAGGCGCTGCTTCGGACGAGAAGGACGTTGGAGGACGGTGCAGACAGTGATCTCGAAGGCGAGAGTGCGTTGATCCATCGCGCCCTTGACTTTGTGCCATGCGGAAGATGTGTGTTCGGGAAGCAGAGGAGCGACCCGTGCCTGGCACTACAACCAGACGTTGCTTTGGTGAGCGTGCGAAGCATCGTGGCTCGATTGCGCGGAAGAGGGTGGATGCAAACGGACCCTGAGCTCGGATCCAACCTGCAATGAAGCTGGCAGGTCAAACAAACTCATTTTTACGACTAAAAAGGAAAACGATCAACTGCCAAATGTCAGAGCGATGCATGGCTGTTTCCTACATTGGGAAAAATCCTGGACTTCACGCATTGCTGAACAATGAACATTTTGAGATCCCATGAATGATCAAAAGGCATCGTATTATTATTTATGTGTAGAAAAAAGGCTGCCTATACTGGAGAGACAATATGGTGGAGAAAGAAAGGGCGAGTCCAGAACTGACTAAAGCCGTTCTGCGCCCTGGATCTCTGATTATCATTCTCTGTCCCTAAGAAGGCAGCGATGCCACATATCTCCTGCGCTTTCATCTGCGGCGTCTAGGGGGAGACATTGAACGGCTGATAGATCGATCACGGCGACCTGTTCGTCCTCCGCGATCCGAAAACGGACTCCTACTCCTGCTCCTGCTCCTCGGCGACCGACTCCTGGAAAGGCTCCTGCTGAGAGATCTCGATCGACTCAGACTGCGCGTCCATGAACGTCTCGCTCCTCCTTTAGCAACAACGCTGCGCCCGCGGCTTCTGCTCCTGCTCCGGCTTAAGCTTCCGCCTCTGCTATAATCTCTACGAGGCGGCGATCGGCTTCTACTAATACTATAGCTCCTTCCACGGCCACCACGACCACGCGGACTTCTGCTGCGGCTGCGGCTTCTTGATCTATATGGGCTGTACGAGCGTGACCTCTTCCTGCCTCGCACAGGAGATCTCGACATGGATCGGCTGTACGATCTGTGTCGACCCCTTACTGGCGGCAGAGGTGAGCGTCCACGAACAGGGCCACGCGCTCCAAGCGGGGCTGCATTCACCCCTCTGGCCCGACGCGGTGGCGAATAGTTACTTATGTTGTAGCGGCGACGAGCCGAAGGTGGTGGAGAAAAATCGTTCCTGCGGCGAGCTGGTGGTGGGGAGTGATAATCACGGCGTCCTGGTGGAGGCGCAAATGAATTGAGCCGGCGAGGAGGCGAGTAATGATCTATAATTGTAACGTGCAATCACGTTAGTATGCATGCCATACAAGCTGCCACCATCTCTTCTCCTTGGTACAGAAATAATGGAAGGGAACAGATCGTGAAGCCTTACCCTCAATTCGGCGGCGAGGAGGAGGAGGAGTGCGCATGCGTCCGGTACGTCGCGGAGACAGCGGGGCGCGTGAGCGGACAGGTCTTTCGGACGGTGGAGAGATTTTCGTGAGCTTGGTTGCGAACGCAACCTCAACAACTTCTCCATCCAGTTGGCCTCCATTCCATCCCTCCAATGCCAGCTTTGCTTCCTCTTGTGTTTCATATTCAACCTCTGCAAATCCCATGTTGAAGCGGACTAGCGGATAGTGAGCAAATGAGAAGAAGTATGATAAGCTCATTAGCGTTCAGCCCCCTCTGCAGTACAAATAGACTCAAGGGTGCAAAAAGATATAAAAATTCGTATGAAAGCGCAATCAAAGGCGTATCGTCTCTTACATCGTGGGTTAATGGGAAAATTGATCGATTTGATCTTTCCATAGGTGCCAAAAATCTCCCTGATATGACCCTCTGCCACATTCTTGGTCAGGTTACCCACTTTGATAGTAGACGCCAAAGAAACACCGTTGCTAGGGGACTGTGACCGAGATCGAGATCGAGGGTCGCGACGCTGAAGCTTGCGAGGGCGCGATCCGGAGCGGGAACGCGACAGTGAGCGCGATCTAGAATGCCTCAATAATCTGCCTCTGGAAAGACTGAGGGATCGCGCGTCGTCTGTAGGCTTGGGCGATGGTGATCGAGAATACGAACGACTGCGCGAGAGCGATCTACTGCGGCTCAGAGAGCGAGGGCGAGGTCGGGAATGAGATCGGGATCGGGGCCGAGAGTGAGAGCGAGAACCAGAACGAGAACGGGAGCGAGATCGCGAGTGAGAACGCGAACGAGAGCGTGAACCTGATCTGCCCATGGACACATCTTTATCGTTCTTCCCCTTGATAGCAATGTCTTCGCCGATGTTGCCGTCTGCATTGTCGTCCGCGCTGGCGCTTGCTGAAGTATCCGGTGCCGCACTGGGGCTTCGTGATGCCATTTTGGAACTGTTGGTTGAATCGAGATTAACAAGATGTGGGCCGCGGTAGTCGCCTTGCGTTTTGTCTCAGAAAACGACGTCAGAAGCGGACTGCTTTTTTCTCTTCCATTATCGCACGCTTATGAAAGGGCACCTTGAACCCTTTCTCCTTCACTTACTTTTGAACAATCGTCATGAAGCTGGTCAAGCAGTACATCGAAAAAGACAAGTCAGGATATGTAACGCTCATTCCTGAGGAGTTCGAGGACATGTGGCATGTTTATAATCTCATTCAGAAGCACGATCAGCTCCGAGCTGTCACTATTCGGTATGTACACGAGTCGCCATGTTCACATAACTCGTATTCGTTTCTGCACCCGCACCCTATATTATCGATCTCCAGCTAAGCAATATGTCACAATTGCTTTTTCTTGTCCGTGGATTTGTAGTCGCATCCAGTCTGAGAGTTCAACTGGATCTGTCGATAGTCAGAGGATACGACTCACCCTCACCATCTCCATTGACAATGTTGACTTTGATACACAAGTGGGAATGCTGCGGATAAACGGCCGTGTTATTGTCGAGAACCCTCATGTCAAGGTATGCCAAGAGAACGGATAGAAGCGATGTGCTGAATATGCCCTTGAATTTAATATATATTATGTTACTGGCGTCTCCTAGCTCGGAACCTTCCATACTATCGATCTGGAAATGAACCGCAGCTTTACGCTTATCAAACCAGAATGGGACATCATTGCATTGGAAAGGGTTCAGGAGGCATGCGACATTACAAAAAAGGCAGACGTTGCTGCAGTAGTCTGTCAGGAAGGCCTTGCTAACGTGTGTCTGATGACCTCAAGCATGACTATTATCCGCCAACACATCGATTGCCCGGTACCAAGAAAGCGTAAAGGATCAGTTACGAATTATGAGAAGGTAGTTGCGGATGTGGTCCTTGATCTACGTAGTAAAAATCTATGAGAAAGACTTTCGATGCTTACAATTTTCTTGTACATTTTTATTTGGTGCTAGGGATTGAAACGCTTTTTCGAACAAATTTACCAGGCAATTCTAAGGCATATCGACTTCGACATTGTCAAATGTGTTATCTTGGGGAGTCCGGGATTTGTGAGGGAGCAGTTGTACGAGTTCATTTTCGCAGAAGCAGTGGTAATGTATTGTGTTTTGATTGACCTGTAGTTGCTGTTTATCTTCCGACAATATGTCTGTCTATCCAAACTGATAACTCTGATTTTTCTTGGACTGTACTTATAGCGAACGGATAACAAGACCATCATGCAGAACCGCAGCAAATTCATCATGGTTCACACTTCAACGGGGCACAAGCAGGCGCTGCAGGAAGTCATGAACGATCCTACCATCAGGACTAAGCTAGCAGATACCAAGGCGGCCCAAGAAGTTCAGGCTTTGGACCAGTTTTACGAAATGATGAACATGGACCCAGACAGGGCATTCTATGGATTTAAGGATGTCTCTAAGGCAGCTGAGCGTGGAGCCATTGGAACACTTTTGGTCACAGACGAACTCTTCAGGGCAGCGGACATTATCAAGCGGCGACAGTATATTGCGCTGGTGGAGGAAGCACGAGCCTCGGGCGCTAAAGTTTATGTTTTTTCCAGCCTGCACGTCTCTGGAGAGAGTAAGCGAGGCAAATGGAGTTATCTTGATGAGATGGATTTGTTGAGCCCAGTAGAATCTAACAAGCATTGCTTCTTGCTTCTTGATATGTAGATTTGAACCAACTCACAGGAGTAGCGGCTATCCTCAACTTCCCGCTGCCGGACATTGACGACGAAGAAGAGGAACAGATCGTGGACGACAATCTAGAGGACGCACCAATGCACTCCAACTACGACAAAGAGATTTTAGATGCTGTTTTAGGCTAACTGCATGAACAATGAAATAAATAAGGCACGTCGTTAACAAATAGTTATCCGAATAGAGATTCTGGAATATCGGGCAAGCAAAACCACATTATGGAACGCTCCTTCATATTATTTTTATAAGATTTCGGTGGCCAATGGGAGAATGTAGTGTATGGCATCTATCTCACTGAAAGCTTTCCATGAAGGTCTCGATAGTCCTTCGCTCGGAGTCGCGGTATTCTCGGTGGAGGCTTATTACCGCATCTAGAGTATTTTTCATATCCTAAAGAGCAATCTCATGGTCAGTATCGATGCGGACCAAATTTAAAAAGCAATATTAAAAGATCATTAAGCGGCAATACACCTACCAAGAGCAGGGCACTCTTATCCCAGTCATGCCGATGCTCCCAGATATCTGCATAAAGAGAGGCACGTAACTGATCAAGCTCCTCGACGCTGCATCCTTCGGTATCCTTAATAAGATTCTCACGAAGATGAGCAACTTCGTTCTGATCTAGTATCATATCCTTAGACTCCTCTTCCGCTTCAGCCGTTGGCGCCGGATTCTTCAGTTCGGCTTGCTGGTCGGTTGTATCCATGACCAAGCCGACATCGGTCATCATATCTTGCACCGCCTGGTTCTCATTTGCAATGTCAACTGGAGGGACAGGCGTGTTTTCCCTCGGCGTTTTGACAATGGCCGCATCATCCTTTGTCTGTATCGCAATCTCGACTCCTAGCCCTGGGCTCCCTGCGGGCGCTGCGATGATCCCATTGCTAGCTTTGGGCGAGTCGACCTCCATGCTCGCGTTCCCGTCCAGGAGGGAGGAAGAGCCTTCATCGAGTATATCGCCCGTTGCTTCCATACTGGTGACACTTGAAGCCGCTTGTGACGAGTACAATGACAAAGAAGTTCCGCTATCATTGCCATCATCCTCCTCGCGTTGTTCAGCTGGTTGATGACCAATTGTCTCCTGATTCTGACTATCCTCCATCTTGACAGAGACATCTGCGCTGTCCTCGCGAGCAGAGTCCAGCCCCAATCTATTCAGAGTAGCCCGATTACGGAGAAGCATCTCTGGATCATCAAGAACAGCTGGTGCTTCCAGACCCATTTGACGTCGGCTTATCCTCTCGCCTTGTGATCTTTGCTGTGCTCTGATCTCTTGTCGGACACGGGCGGCAGTCTTCTCGGTCTCGATAATCAACTCCGGATCCAGTCGACCGACCATCGCATAGGCGACATCCTGAAAAGCACGCGCCTAAGATTGGAGATCAGCAAATCCCTGATTAGTTTCCGGTTGATGCAAGAATGCCACAAATAAGCATGTCCAAATCCACTCACTCTGTAGATCACCCTACTTGGGTCCTGTGTGTCATAATATAGCGTAGTATTCTCAACAATGAGGTCAATGTCCGCCAAAAAATCCTTGGCCTCCAGATACATCCTGTAGTTAATCTTCTCGCTGATAGTGGCCAAATCCATAGGTTTCTTCACGATCTGGTAATAATCCACGGACTCCTCGGGCTCGACCGGTCTAAAAAACGGCTTGAATTTGCGCTCCTTGTATAATTCGTCTACGATTGTGCGAAGAGAGATGCGTAACTCGCGGAGCACATACTGGTCATGCTCCATCAACAACTTTTTCTCTTCGGCAGTCGGCACGCGTGGCTGAGGTGGCGGTGCCTTCTTCAGTGTCTCTGGTTGCGCTAGCGTTGCTGGATGTATTTTGAAGTCCGTGGGTGGGCGCGATAAGTCATGAATGAGCGCCTCAAAGAACATCTCGCGACGTGTGGTGATAGGACTTGATAACTCTACGCGGCCTTTGGCGCTCGATAGGAACCAGCGCTTGACGGTTATAGGTAAATTGGACAACGGCGTCTCGCTTGTGGCCAAGAACAGGATCCCGTCTTCGGGGCTGAGGTCCTCTAGGAGGTTAGAGAAGGTTGCCTTCACAGCATCCGATACGACAGACCACCACGTGTCAATATGTGGAATGTATATAACGCTCGGTGCATGTCGCTTCACCTCAACAAAGTATTGAACGCATGCCGCCTCGGGCGTCCTGCTCGACTCTGATAGTAGGGCCGCTAAGTCAAATAGCTGGACTGTACATCCTTCGAGGTAATGGAGAAGAGCTGGCCCGATGTATCGTTGTCCCATCCCGCGCTGGCCCATGATAATCATCCGTGGCCTGAACGTCCTCAGCTTCTCAAAGCTTCGATATCCCATTGCTTGAAATGAAGAATCTTCGTCCTCGTTGTAATTCCCCTTGGAGGAGAGCCCGCTTGTTCCTGAAAACAACATATCGACAGTTTTACAAATCGTGTCGAGCTGATGCTGGAGCAGTGGCTTTATGTTTTCTGGTAAGGGTGAAGCCGAGGCACCGCTGACACGATATGAGGCGGGGGTCAAGGCTTTAGCTGATTTGAGCATATCGATCTCCTCCACAATAATCGTTGAAGCATCGATCTGCAATTTCTCGTTGCTCTCGTAGATCTGCGGGTAGCGTCGCCGAATTGCCCTCAACGCAGCCTCCGTACACAATGCCTTGATATCTGCTCCGCAATATCGCGTTGTCATCCTTGCCAACTGATCCTTGAACCCTTCGTCCAGAGCAGGGACCCATCCGCAAGTATTGATGTCGATTATGGCTCTGCGAGCAGCTTCGTTGGGTAGAGGAAAGTAGAACTCTCTATCAAAACGCCCTGGGCGACGCAGGGCGGGATCAATGGCGTCTATACGATTGGTGGCACCGATGACAATGACTTGGCCTAAAGGGTTCAGCGTATGCAATGATTAACACGCCATTTTCGGCAGACGACAGAGCGCTCCATCGAAGTACATACGCTGCTCTCATTACCTCGTCCATCAAGACCATCCATAAGGGCAAGCATAGTTGATACGATGGATGCATGGATCTGCTCCTGCTTACTGGACCGCACCGGGCAGAGGCCATCGATCTCGTCAAAAAAAATGATGCTGGGCTGCCAGGCCTTGGCTTCCTCAAACAACAGGCGGAGCTGTCTTTCAGCTTCTCCAACCCATTTGCTCAAACAGTCTGCGCCCTTCCTCATAAAGAACGCGACCTTTTGCGTCTCTGTCGAGCAGCTTGAAGCTAAAGCACGGGCCAGCAGCGTCTTCCCCGTGCCTGGAGGCCCGTGAAAAAGCACACCTCGGGGAGGCATCATTTGGAAATGCGAATACACCTCTGGATAGAGCAATGGCAAGATGACCATCTCCTTCAGCGATTTGATATGATGATCCAGTCCACCAACCTTGCCAAAGTCAATGCTGTTACCTACAGCTAACGGATCTGTGTCTGCCAACTGTCCCGATCGTGCAGCAATAACATCTCTCCTGGATTCGGCGAGTTCGTGCATATTCATTGGCAGAATACGTGAAGATGAGCCACGGGATTCTGAGGCCCCCGCCCGTCTCTTGAAGTTCGGTACCTCATGTTCATCACTCGATGATGCTCCAGCTCGTGCAAGCGCCTCTAGTAGACCGGAGCGGTTCTGTCGAGGTCGTGAAAAAGGGTTGTGTCCACCAAATGAGCTGATCCTGGATGACCTTGACCTGCTCGGAGATGGCATAGGTCGGTCGGCGATATAGGTCGGTCTGTTTTTGGGTCGTTCCCTTAAATCGTATTTACGGTCTGCTTCCTGTTGAGACTGGGTGTCGGCTGGCTTTGACCTTGACGATATCCTTTGTGAGGTATGTCTAGAGCTCCCTGCTGGTTGTGCCTGGATTCGAGCCCTCAAACGAGTCATACGAGTGAGGCCGTTGTCGTCCTGGAGATTCAAGCTCGACGCCTGCTCATCGTCAGCTGGTCCTCCCTCCAACTCATCCTCGCCGTCATCATGCTGTCTCTCCTGGTCGTTGAGATCCTGTTCTTCGTCCGAGTAGCTATTGCAATGGAAACGTGACGTGGCCCTACCATTCTGACGACCTGTTCGGTCCGGCGTCACGTCGCGGCTATTTGGAGAATCCGGCGCTAGCGAGCCACTCATGCCTCGAGTGATCCTCATATTCTCAGTAATAGGCCGCGCAGTGGGAAATGACCGTTTAAGAGGTAGCGAACGAGAGCCGGATTGGTAAGTTTTGTGGGGGTCGTCGTGCCGTCCGCCGTTCTGTCGCGAATTGCCGACTTGCCCCTTAGAACGCGATTGCTGTCGAGGTGCAGGTGGATTACTCACCGGAAAAGGTTTGGGTGCAGTGATGGAGCGGCGATCTCGCAGCGTCCTCGGTCCAAATAAGTCTGGCTTTTGCTCCGACTTGACGTCGTTGCTCTTATCAGATTCATCTTCTTCGTCGCTGATAGGATGATGCCGAGAAGACGGATGCGACTGGACATAGTTTGATCGAGCATGATCTCTCCCTCGTTTCGATGGCGCAACATCCTCTTCCTCCTCCTCCTCCTCCTCCTCCTCCTCCTCCTCATCCTCCACATAATTGACCCTTTTAATCTGTCGACGTAGCTCAAACGACTGTGATTCGGAATCGAGTCCTGGCAGGCTTTGCTGAGGATGGGGGGCCTTGGTCCTTGTGGTTACGGTAGTTGTTTGTACTGTTGATGATACTGCACCGCTGTGACCTTGATCACTGCTATCGATGGAGCTATTGTTCGTAGCGGATAGGGTCAAAGGGTCGTCTTCGCCCTGGATCCTGCGTCGCTTGGTCTCGTTCATGTCGTTGTCCGAGTAGCCGTGATTCAATTGTGTCGGTAGCGCTCCAGCCATATCATGGTCATTGTCAAAGCGCGAATCGTCGTCACTGGATATGCCCCGCTTGAGAATGAAAGAGTCGTTGTTGGTTGATGGGGTGGAAACGTCGATCTAAAATCCATATCAAAAACAGAAAGATTGAGCGTCTCGAACCTTCGCGTCGCATTGATGGGGCGGTATCCTCTAACAGATATCATACTTACCAGTGGATCATGGTCCATGGTAGAGCAAATAGACTCTTTGATTCTTGATGAGATTAATGTTTCTGAGAGACACTTGTGCCTTGGCCGATCTATCTTTGACAATAGTTGAGAGACCAGGTCAATGATGTGTTACCGTACTGCCCTTAGAGATAAGCGAAGGACGACATTGTCATATAAAAAACGCCTTTTATTTCATTTATCTTATTAGATTGGGCAAAGTCAATTGGCAACATACAGCGGTAAGAGTCTGTGAGATATCGCACACGACGTGCCCGTCTACGGGTGGGACAAATACAGAACTGGCACTTTGCTGAACTAATAATCGGTGGAAACAATCGGGGCGGAATGAAGTGATGGCAGAATGAGGTTCAAATATACTTTTTGGAAGGAATAGAGATTCGTACGCGGTGTCTGAAGTAAGACAAGGGTTCAGTGCCGAGGCGTACTTCAGGAGAAGCAAACCCAAGGACCTTTTGTGGGTTAGCAGTGGCTTGGCTTGCTTACAATACAGCATTTCGTGCCTAGCAGGAAGTAAACGCTCTGTTCAACTTGCCAACCATCATCAACATCATGAGTGCCAGGAAAATCAGGAATCGAGTCCAGGATACCATGCTTTTTGAGAGGCGGTCCGGAGACAGCTCGTGGGCGTGTTGCGACTTGATCTTTACTCTCCCGTCTGACATATATAGACATATCGCCTCTTATCACAAGGACTTACTCGAGCGCCGGACACAGGAAGAATTATCGACTATACAGCTCAAGGCAGATTCGCACAAGGACAACAGCGACTCAACTTTCATATCAAGGCGTGCGAAAAAGTATGGAAGCGATCCTATCAGCCTTAATTGCAGCTGTGATCCATCGCTGGGAAACGTCATTCTATTCTACGCATATCAACCCATCAACGACCCACTTGCCCTTGCCAGGCTGCACAAGACGTGGTCTGTCGATCTCGACCTCTGTGGGAAAGTCAAGATTGCAGGCGAAGGCATCAATGCCACCCTTTCAGGATGCTCATCATCTATTACCGCCTACATTGACCATCTCACAGATCTCACAGAATTCAAACCACTCGGTCTCTCTCGCTCAGCCAATCCCGAAACAAAGGAAGAAAGAGCTATTCTTGAGAAAAGAAGGTACGACTTCTTTAAGCCAACACCAGGCTGTCGGCACGTTTTTGGCGGGACGATTTCCATCAAAGTTGTCGAGGAAATCTGTCCTCTTGGAGCGCCGGAAGTCAGCGTTTACAATGATCCAGAATACAAGCGAGGCAAACTCTCACCCAGTGTATTTCACCAGAAGCTGAAGGAGCTGGAGGGCAAGGAAAATGTGGTCGTTCTGGATGTACGTAACTATTATGAGTCTTCCATTGGGCAGTTTCCTGGAGCCATAACGCCCCCAATTCGAAAGTTTTCATCATTTCGAGACTATGTCGACCGCAATAAGAATCAATTCACCGGTAAAACAATCCTGTCGTACTGCACAGGAGGGATCCGTTGGTAAGCGCTGTATGCGTCTAATCGATCATCGAGGCCGCATATTCGTATTTGCACGACAAGCATCTAGGCTAATTTATTCCTTCTTTTATGAATTTCTATGTCAGTGAGAAGGCCACTAGCTATTTACGTCAATCGTTGGAGTCTTCTGGTGATGCGCCGCCTGCCAAAGTATTGATGTTGGAGGGAGGCATTCACAATTATCTGGAATGGATCAAGCAGGAGGGCTCTACGAATGACTCGCTCTGGCTCGGGAAAAATTACGTCTTCGACGCTAGGCAGTCATTGGGCCTGGACGATGCATCGACAGCTGGAACCTCATCTAACGAAGGAGAGCGGTTGATCTCGTATTGCCAGGGATGCGATATATCCTGCGCACGATATGTTAAATGCGATGGATTTGGATGCCATCGTCTTATAATCGCATGCATACCCTGCTCGCCCGCTGGGGCCGAAGGTGAGAGCGGGATGTACTGCTGTCAAGAATGTCAGGACATGGGGGAAAAGGTGCGTGAATACGTGCTTTCAGGACAAGTCAGCGCTCGAGGTGGAACGCGTGTCAAGCGCGGAATATGCAGATGTGAAAGAGAACGGAGAACAGCTCTTGGTGTAGAATAAAGAATTTGGTCCGCAACCTGGGTGATGACCAAGTTTTTTTTTTTTAAGCGAGGACTATTAAACTTGTCCAATAATATATTTCAGTACCCAAATCTTATTATATTTACTTTGGGAGTGTCCCGTCAAGCAATCCGAGCTGAGAGCGAAGAAGCCTTCGTTTTTTTGCTGCCTGGCAACCAGCGACAAACACCCACACAGCCTTCTCTCTCTCGCCTCGAACACTGTCCCATTGCGGGCATATCTAGGGCTCCACCTCTGCATACGGCAACGGAACAAAGAACTTTGCATCCAGCACGACCACTATCCCAACAACAACGATTACAACACATATATGCAGGATGACCAGCAGCAGCGCACCCGAGAACCAATGGCTGTTTAAGAAGGAGGATCTGTACAGGACGCCGTCGTTGATGGCTGGAACGACTTATCAACTTGAGAAGGAGAGTCGTAGCAAGGGCATCACATTCATTTTCCAAGTGGGAATGCATCTGAAGCTGTGAGTGCTGGCTGATTTGCTACGTTGGCACGCTGCATCAGTGCTCTTGACGACAACCACTTCATGGCATTGTTTGCAAACGACCTGTGGACTGATCCAACGCACATGCACACGCTAAACGCATTTCAAACTGGTCATACACACGCGAAAAACAACTCTAGACCACAAATCACGATGGCAACCGCGGCGCTCTTTTTCCACCGTTTCTATATGCGACACTCTCTCAAAGACTACAAGTTCTATGCAAGTGCTACCTTCCCCTTTCCGCTTTGAAAGAGGCATTCATGGACGGTCGCCAAGATTAGACCATGACGACTAATAGGTATCGCCAACCGGGGATCTCTCCTTGCTTTTCTTTTCTCTTCTATCGCCGCTTTATTTTCAGCAGGACATTGGTGCAACCTGCATCTATCTCGCCAGCAAAACGGAAGAATCGACGCGCAAGTTCAAAGACGTGATCATTGCATGCGCACAAAAGGCTGCAAAAAGGGAGATACAGATTGACGATTCATCAAAGGCAAGGTGCACATACGAAACAATGATCTTTGTCTCTTCATTTGGTCCACCCCGCCTAACACTACTTCAACAATATAGGAATTCCGCGTCTGGAAGGATACAATCATTTATACAGAGGAGGTGCTGCTGGAGGCCCTCTGCTTCGAGCTCAGTGTGGAACATCCATACCATTTCATGCTAACTCTATTAACCAATCATTATACGAAGGATATTCACCGTACGTTCTGGACTGAACGCTCTAAGGACATAATAGCTGAAACTTGGAAGCAGCTTCTGTGCTGATAAATTACTTTCCTCAAATCTGCTTTATGTCGATATTAGGCTCAAGGAAGCTGAAGCAAGTGGCCTGGGCTTTCATAAATGACAGGTGGGCAAATTGAAAACGTGAGATATGGTATGAAAGCATTACTCTATGCAACTAGATTCATGTGTTTCGCTAACGCAGCATGATTACTCTATGTTTTGCAATAGTTTGAGGACAACATTGTGTCTGCTATATCCTCCCAAGATCATTGCCCTTGCAGCACTACATATTGCGGCCAAATATCTGGATGAGAACCTGAATGAAGCCCTCGGAGACATCTGGCGGGAACTGTTTGAACCAGATGTTCAGGACATCCAAGGTATGATCGTATCATTCCTAGAACACTTGTACTTTGAGGAGCAACCGCATTCTTATTTCTTCCTATTGGGACCCATATAGATGCTGCGAATGAGATTCTGGACCAGTACACACAGTTCCCGAACAGACGATCTTTGGACAAAGTATGGAACCACAATTGTACTGCATACTGGACAAGTCAGGGCACTATAACACACACTATCTGCATTCTTACAAATTACTTGTGATCTCTGGTAACTCTAGATGATGCCTGGGTCGAAACCAGGAAGCGAATATCAAGAGAATGGGACACCCTCTTACGGAGGCTACCTCAGCAGCCCTGCCAAACTTGCCACACCAGCCTATAACGAACCGGACAGATCCAATGGCGACCGAAGTGTAGCTTGATAGTCAAAAATAACACACTCGTTGCCTATTCGTACTTATTGTATCTCGATGGATCTCTGATGACAGAATATTGTTGTTCCTTACATGCATCTTTGGACCTACAAGGCAAAGAATGAACTGCTGCACAAGCATGCGCTTTGTACGTAGATCTCAAGGTGGATAGAATAAAAGACAAGGGATGACTTACAAGATATATTGATATGCGCCGTTCCAGTGGGCGCTTCTTGCATCTTGACAAATTGCCAGTTCAGCGCTTCAGGCCACTTAAACCCCTTTATCCTTTTGAGGGTTGCGCTAGCTATGTTCTAGCCAGCGATGTGGTTTTGATTGCGCTGGAGGCCGTCTTGGGGTCTTGGCGTTCAGCATGTGTGCTGTGTCATACACTAATAGCCGAAGACCACTACAAGTCAGGCCAGAACTGATGACCGAACGGCTCTGAGTCTGGGCTTTCTGGCAGCATCTGCAACAAGGTATTGACGTTCAGAATTCATCAACGCAGCATACCAGCGCCTCCTCGCCGGTAGCCTGTATGCATAGCAGTACCTGCAACAGTGGGACGATCCTTGGCCTTGTTCCTGCTCGTGTAGTTCGTGCTGCTCTGGCCAGTCTCCTCGCTAATGCCATTCGTCTCGCTCTTCGTGCTGGCGACCTTAAGCCTAAAATAAGATGAGAAAGGAAATAGCTAGCGCGATGAATAATAGATAAGTAGAGGCCAAGGTTCTTTGCATCTATGTTCCGAACCAGGGCCATGTCTACGGACATTGCCTCTATCTCCAGTTCTTTTTTTATTGACGCCAGATCCCCCCAGGCGCGCAGGCGTGCCACAGGCTGCATTGTCCAGATCCCCCAAATTGGGGAGATGCATTCTCCTACAGGACTATAGTCACATGATTTGGTTCGAGTTCTCCTCTCTGGTTTAGCTCGTTCATCACTCCACTCTCCCCTCTTCTCCATCCATCCTTCCAGCCTTGCTTCTGGACTCTACATTTTACCCTCTCGACTTTGAACCACAATTTTTTTTTTTTGTTTTGTTTTGTTGTTTTTTTTATTTAATTATATGAAATCCAGCTATTCCAGAGCCGCTACCATCCTTACATACACATTCAGCGCTCTCTTTGGCTAGGCAATGTCGAGCAGACGAATCGCGACGGGGGATACCATCTTTGCCAGCCAACTCTTCACAAGACAGGAGCTTGTAGGACGCGGCGCTTATGGGGCCGTCTACAAAGGGTAAGCCCTCAGCTACCAACTCGTCCATCGTCTCTTCTGCATTAATGTCTGCCGCATGCATCATTAAATTGCGTGGCAAGTTCCATGCGACAGCTGAAACCATTACCACAATCGCTACCACTATTTTGCATCTCTGCCTCAGTAATGCTTTCTTTGCAGATACTATGCTATCACTGCTAGAGCCCTCATTGACCACTATCTTTACGGGCCTGGGCTGTGTATGCTGTGTTATATTTATTCGTGGCATTTAGGATTGAGAATGCAACACAACAAGTGGTCGCTATCAAGGTTCTCAATCTCGACACTGAGGAAGAAGACGTTTCAGATATCCAGCGAGAGATCGCGACCTTATCGCAGCTCAAGAATTGCGACTCACAGAACATTACGCGATACCATGGCAGCTTTTTGAATGGGACAAAACTCTGGATCGTCATGGACTATGCCGCGGGAGGAAGCATACGATCTCTGGTAAGAGGAAATTCATTAGGGGCCTAAGAGCAGATGTCCGTTTGGCCGAGAATACGGTCGGGGATGATACAGTTACACAGTGAACAGTGACCATCCCATCAACAAACACCCCTTCAAAGCTCCTTGGTCCCTCTTTGGACATAGACTCGCGTCTGTGACAATGCGGTTATTCAGGGCGTCCAGGGCGTCTAATGATTTCACTATCTCCTGTTCCCTGTAGCTACAAGCCTTGACGAGGATAGACGAAAAATGCATAGCAGTCATTGCGAGGGAGGTTCTCCAAGCACTGGGATATCTTCATAAGCATGGCATTATCCACAGAGACATTAAAGGTATGCTATTTTCGCCTGCTCGCATATATCTTCGATTGCCAGGGCCTTACGCCGAGACTACAGAATAGTTCGAAGCACATTACTGACCACCGATCGACTTTGTCTTTTCTTTTCTTTTTCTTTTGTTTTGCACACCCGTTGGATTGCCTGCATGTTTGCCCTTGCTCGTCTTCATATTTCCAACTACATGGCATTATGCATATCGATCGAATAGCCGCCAACATTCTCTTAACGGACGAGGGGCGGGTACAACTATGCGACTTTGGCGTGGCGGGTCAAGTAACGATGAACTCATTGAAGCGCAACTCGTTTGTTGGCACACCGTACTGGATGGCACCAGAGGTGATCAGGGAAGGCCAGACTTATGACTATAAGGTAACTGGAATGGCCTAAGTGTATTTCAGATCTGCCTATTTTCGTCAGCGTGCTTATCTGTTTATCTTGTCCAGGCTGACATCTGGTCCTTAGGAATTACGATATATGAGATTGCCACGGGGAATCCACCGTTCGCAGATCAGGACCCTATGCGAGCCGTGTCATTAATTCCAAAGTCAAGACCTGCTCAGTTAGAGGGCGACTGGTCCCCAGCCATGAAGGAGTTTGTCGCTCTCTGCCTTCACGAAGAACCCAATGAGGTATGCACTCGGAGCATTTCCCATGGATAACTGTAATAGTGCCAGTAAGGCTTACACTGCATTTATACTCATCGACAAAATTTAGCGGCCCTCAGCAGAGGATTTATTGAAGACAAAGTGGATCAAGAGTAACAGCAAGAATTCAATCTCATTACTGAAAGATCTGGTCGCCAAGTTCAAGCAGCATAAACTGGATTCGGCACTCCATAAAGAAGAGACCAACAGGTAAGTCGTTTTAGGGGATGGGTCTAGGGCACCATGTTGATGAGTCCGCCTATTTTCTAACACATCTGTTATATCATATATTCCTAGTGATATTGACATTGACCATGAGCTAGAGAGCTTTGACATGGAGATGGATCCAGACGCATGGAGATTTGATGTAAGTGTTCATGGGGACGGCTATCAATGTATTAATCACTCATGTTGCGTTTGTGCTAACACGCTCCCTTTTTTGAATAGACTGCAAAAACAGTTCCGACGATAACACCATCGAGAGCGTCCAGTATCAGCCGGCCGTCTCTGGATTCTAAAGGCGAGCATTCGAATGGGATAAAGAGCCCAACCCTCTCAACACAGGACAGCGGAGTTGTCATGCAAGGACGGGGCGGGAGACAGCCAGAACACACTCAACAAAGATGGGAGAATATGACCTCCATACCTCCATCTACTCAGGGATCCTCCCCAACGGTGAAGGCCAAATCTTCGTACAAATCACGAAGCTCAAAAGAACAGACACCACCCAAGTCGCAGCCAACGGTCATCTCTCACGAATCTCATCCGCTGCTCCGGCTTTTCATGAATCACAAGAGCGCAAGCGAAGAGGACGTGTCCGCATCGTACCCCATGCTCTCCTCACAGGGGCCCCATCTGGTCTCATCGCCCATGACCCTCACTATCCCTAATCTGGAGGAGATCACCAATGCCAGGCTTGCCTCTCGGTCACCTGTTCCCAACCCGGATGCCAACGCGATGCTGGACCAAACCCAGTTATCGGGACTAAATCAACAGCACCAGCATCAGCCTACGCCAGGGATCCGACCGGTTGAGTCCGCACGGCTACCCTTCGGCTTCAACGTGGCAAAGCCCTTCAGGTTCGACAGAAGACCTTCGGCACCCGTCTTGATGGGCTCTGCTCCTGGACCGGACTATCCGTTTCACAACCACCATGTACTCAACCGTGGAGCAGTCAGCAGCTCGCCATTGAGCTCACCTAGAGCGGTGCCGCCGCCTCCACAATCGTCTATTTTGTCGAGTATGCACATAAAGCAGGGAACATCCGACTCGGATGGCTCCACATCTTTGCCTCCCGCCAACAAGGGCAGTTTCAGCCACGAGATCATTATTCCTAGTCATCTGCTTACTCAACAACAGAATGCACGGCCTAGCTCCACACCAGCTTCGCCCGCCATTCCGCCAACCGCTGTCGTGGCTTCGGCCTCAAATTCAACAAGCGGTTCAATCGCAGTTGCAAACACTTCGCTGGGCTCTTCGAAAGATCTAGCTCGACTCACAGGGCAGAGACGGCCATCGCCCACGATACCGTCATCAATGGTGGGACTATCGCAGCAGCAATCGCAACAACAGCAACAACAGAACCGCGTCCTCAATGACTCGCGGAGCAATTTACCCCCAGCGATTCCCCACCGCAAGGCCAGTCTGGACTTCTCGCAGACGGAGCGTTACTCCCATCTACGTCCCAGCTTGCCGATGCGGCCACCCAGTGCAGCGGCGGTACGGAGCTCGACTTTCCATGGCTTGGAATCTGGATCTGGGATGGGCAGTGCACACAGTAGTGAAAGCGCCAGCTCGGCGTCCGGCATGTCCTATACGGGATCGATTGCAGGAATCTCATCCGGTATTGCTGCATTGAGCATGCAACCCATCAACATTAGTGAAGAAAAATTACCGCCTTTCGGTCATTCTCCCGCCCACCTGAGAATGATTAACGCCTTGCCCGATAGCGCATTCTCGGCTGCCCATGATCAACATCGCGGTAGTATTACCTCGAGCGACAAGGATGGGCTCTCACCCGGTTCGAATATCAACAGCGATCCGACATTCGGTCAACTGAGCAACCCAGCTCTAACCAATCATGCTATCTCATTATCTTCTTCGTCCACGTCTTCTGTATCATCCGCGTCTGTATCAACCCCTGCTGCAGCCACTGGAGGCTTCACAACAGCGGGATCTGGATCAGGCCCTGGGGTTGTGATGGCACGACCTGGTTTACGGACAGTTGGCTCGAGCGAAAACTTTGCAAGAAGAATACGCTCTGCCAGCATGTTGAGACGGAATGAGGAGCAGGAGGGAATCTCGAAAAGTAGCTTTCAGTCGAGTCGTCCACCACATGTACTGGGCTCTTTCTCCGCACAACAGGCACAGCAGCCAACTTTGCCACAGGCCCATTTCCATCAGCATCCAGCGTATTATCAACAACAGTACTCTTATGCACACGAGTCAAACTCGGCAGATATCCACCGGTACAGACGCGCCAGCTCGCCGCGTCGACGTAGTATCAGCATGACAAATCTGAACGGTGGACTCTCGGTCATCATGATTCCTCCGAAAAAGGTTCGTGGACCGGTCAAATTGACACTATCCCGGGGGCCGAGATAAGATCATGATCTATTGGCTTACTGACGACTGTTCTTTTCATACCCTATGCTTGTATACATTCATACATTCATACATTCATCTAGAGCTCTGTGGATGACTATGCACCGAATCCTCTCTTACTACCTCCATCGCCTTCAACCACTCGCTTCATTGCGCCATCGTCCATGAATGTGTCGACTCTGTCTTCGAGCCCTCTGCGTCCTGCACTGCACTCTATGCCATCGTCCTCCTCACTATCATCGTCCTTTGGCAGTATATCCGGAGCCATGGCTGCTGGGCAGGCAAATGGAGGAACTAGCAACGGATTAACGCATGGAAACCAGCAGCTGACATCGGGCGCTTCATATTCCGTTAACAGTTCTTCCTCCTTGTCATCGTCTGTGCCCACGAACATCTCATCACCTTCAACTCAACCGCTGATTACCAACACCAGTAACACCAGTTCGACCAACGTTTCATCGCCGTACAACAGTTCCTCTACCATGGCTCCTTTCACCAATGCAAAGCCCGTGGTGAATATCACCAATCCCTCATACAATCAAGGCAGTAGCCATCTCAGCAATGGCAACATCAACAGTAATGCGAGTAATATCTCCGTCGCCCCCACTCTCGTGGCAAGCAACGATCAACAGAACGTCAGTCAACACCTGGGCCCTCACAGTCTTCATCATCACCCTCACCAGCACTATTCTCAGCACCATAGTAACGTTCATCCCCATCACTCTCCAATGCCACAACAGCAACAGCAGCAGCAGCAGCAGCATCACCATCATAATCAACAGCAACTGCAGGCTGTCCCGATGCATATGCTTATGGTCACTCCAGAACCACGATCACTACAGATGGAAGCCTTGCGCAGGAACGACGACTTACTAGAGGAACTGCAGTTGACCGTCAACGAACTTTCGCAATGGCTAGAAGTGTTTGAAACGGGAATCAAGAGCGTCCGCTCATCGTGATAGTTACGTTTTCTCTGGTTTCGCGACTAATCAAGTCTGCGCGTTGCTTTAAAATCGCCGAATAGCTTAACAAGAATGCCGCTTCGCTTAACAACGCCAGGAAAGAGCGGGGTCATCTTGCTATTACGTTTTCATGCCATGTACCATAGCTCATTACGGATTCACACTTATGTACATATTATTACAAGGAATGTGTCGCTGTGCGATGCGATGATAGAGATATTCCGCCACAGTCTTCTCATAAAGAATTTACATTTAAAAAAGGCCTCATTGTACTTTTATATCACCGTGCTGTCTAAGTCGGTCGTAATCCTCCATCGTGCACAGATCCTTTAGCGCAATCTCAGATTTGTCAACTTTGGGTCTTATTACCGCGATGAACCCATGCGTCGAAGCCTGGGTGATGGAAGAATAAAGACGCGTTATCAGTGCTTCCGCTCGCATGTGATCAACGAAACTATGAACAACAGCAAAAAAAAAAAAAAAAAAAATGCATACCTTGTCTAATATGGTTTGGATGACGACCGGATCTGTGATTTCAGGAGCATCGCGCCGAAGCAATCTTTCGTTCAGCTCAATGACATGTCCACTGATAGCTCCCCGGACCACGAACAGCACCCTCGACGAATCAACTGACTCTTTTGGTTTCGTAGTCTGTCCTTGGCTCTCCGGTGTCATTGTTTCTAGTTCTAATGTCGACGACGTTTTAGACGCTTCAATGCCTGCCGATCCGGTCACTGGTCCCTCTAATACATTTAGCGCTGCTGCCGCTGATGCTGGCACCGACCCTGAGTTTGATTCTGCCTTAGCAAATGCGTCCCCCTGGCTCTGTTGAACCAATGCCAACAGATCTCGCGCCTCAATCTTGCAGATTACGGTCTCGGAATGGCAAGGCGGAGGTGGCTGCTTTTTCGAGTTAGCCGGGACGGAGGTTGGCTGTGGGAGACAGGTCAGAATTTTTGGATCAAAACGAATGCTCAAGACCTGATAACGGCTCCTTTCGGCGATGAGTGGATGTGTGGGCGCCAGACCAGTTATACAGAGTTTGTTGGGAGATTGATAGACGAACTGGTCGCCGCGAAGGACTTGGAGTCCTGTCTCAAAGTCGATGATATTGCTGGTGATGAGGTGCTTCAGCTCTTTGCCGCCTAATTCGAGAAAGAGGAGTAAAGACAGCACTTTGTTGGTTTTGGTGCTTATCTATTCACGATGCTCTCTTTCCTCTCTGCTGGCAGGCCATGCCTTAAAATGGCACATCTCCGACATCCTTTTGACGACGCAATGGATGATATAGAACGTTATGTGCAGATCAGATAGTCATTTCCTTACTTGTTGCCAAGAAGTAATATTTAGTGTAGTAGCGCAGCAGATATGCGGAAGGATCCGTGCCCCAATGCTTGGTCTCCTCCTTGTACTGAGTTAGGTCGTATACGATTGGAGCGTGTTCGTCCATGGTGGTGCGTTGCGGGATGCTGAATGAGTATGTTGGAATGGCAGAAGCTTCTGTTGATCAAAAGACCCTCGAGGCGTGGCTTACGAATGAACGGATTTTTTTATCGTTTACAGAATACAAGTATGATACAAACATTATATTCAATGTATCGCTCTAAGGTCTATAAGAAATGAGGTATTCGTTGTCGAGGAGACGATTAAAGGCGCTTGCAGATGGCGTCAGTAACCTCCTGCGTGGTGCTCTTGCCCCCGAGATCGGGTGTCTTGATCCGTCCCTCGCGAAGGACGCCGTCGACAGCCTGATAAATTCGTGCAGCATCTGCGGCATATCCCATGTGCTCCAGCAACAGACCCGCACTCCTGATGGCAGCAACAGGATTCGCCTTTTGCTGTCCCGCAATGTCCGGTGCAGATCCGTGGACTGGCTCACCAACAACGAAATGGTCGCCTACATTGGCCGAGGGAACCAAGCCAAGGGACCCCACCAATGCAGCTGCACCATCCGAGATAATGTCACCATAAAGGTTAGGAGCAACAACAACATCAAAAGCCTCGGGCTCGCGGAACATGCGGTAGACCATCGAGTCGACTAGCTGCTCATCCATATCAACGCCTGCGAACTCAGGGTTGTTCTCCTTGACGGAACGAACTGTCTCGCGCCAGAGTCCGTCCGTCACGCTCAGGACATTGGACTTGTGGACGATCGTGACCTTGGGCTTGCCCTGCCAGAGTCTTTCTGAGGCTGGGACATTTGAACGAAGTTTGTCGCGCATTAAGGCCATGTTGAAAGCCATTTGGCCAGCTCTCCTGGAGGCGTATTCTGAGATCTTGCGATCGGCATATGCAACCTTTTGGCCATTGGCATCCGTCTCGATTCTCTCCTGCTTGATATACTGTAGGCGTGAAACGATCATGTGCCGTGAAGAGATCGCAGCGGTTAGCAGCCTTGAGCTAAAAGAAGACGCAAGGCAACGACAGGCAGTATAAAAGAAAAGAGAACATCAAAGAAACTAGTATCCTTACCAAGCACTCGGTGTTTTCACGGATGATCAGCATGTCTAATTGCTTCTGGTCTGCTCCAGCAACCGAGGCGACGGGGCGAACGTTCGCATAGAGATCCAAGTGCTTTCTGAGGGCGACAATGGGTGATGAATATCCAGCAACCTTGTGAGAAGGCGAACTATGAAGATTTCAAAATAGAGACGGTTAGAAAGTGAAGTTTTATCTCTTGTCACGAAGGACTGCTTTTCCTCGATATCCATCGTATCACTTTCGATCTGGATCTCTATTCTTTGGCCAATGCGCCGAATATAACCCAGCCAGAGAAGGTTCATGCAGTCAACCAAGGAAGAGATGAGTTGGGCCTCCTTTCCGTATCTGTTTGTTTTTCTTATTACCTGACAGCACCAAAGAGTGCTCCTTGGCATTCACCGCGGAGACGAGCAAGAGTTTCCTCGGGAAGAGCTACTCCATGCTTTTGAAAGTGCTCAAATCCTGCATCCAAATGAATAAACTCAAAGCGAGGGCTGGACCCAGACTTAGGCAAGGACTCGAGGACTTGACGGGCAGCCTATATTAACAATATTAACAGAGCGATTAGATTTTAGCCCTTTGTGACAAACTATTAAGCACGACGTGAAGCGGGGACCCCGGTCATTGAGGGTATCCATGTGTACTCGACTTACAGGGATGACCTCGCGGCCGATACCGTCTGCTGGGATCAAACCGATGGTGACTTTGTTGGATTGGGCAGCTGTGGCAAACCCACGACGAAGGAAAGAGGCCATGCTGAGGTGACAAGCGTGCAAGACTTCTGTGAAGTAGAGTGGAGAATTAGAGAAGGGACGAGGGTGCGGAGTAGAATAGACAGAAGAAAGAAGAGAGAGAAAGAAAGAACCAGCAATGATTGGTTTTTATGCAAATGTCGGGTAGTGACAAGATAATCAAATCTTAGTGTATCACACTTATCTTGATCGCATCTGCACAAAGGCATACAAGACGCCGGATCGACTACGTATCCAATCATTTGTTGTATACTCGCTTTATTTTTCACTGCTTTTGCCAGGATGCTATTGTTACAAGACTCTCTATATATACTCTATTCTACAATTCAGTTCGCTGTTAGATGGCCCGCCATGTAACTGCGTGCTGCTCGGGATCGAATCGGCCGCTGATTCGCTTCTCGCGAGGACTTTGTCGATCCAGGTGAGTTCGAGCGGGAGCGTGCGGCAGACGACGTCTCAGGGACGAGTCCCTGAAGCTGCAACTTCCCATTCGGCGCTTGGTCAGACGCGCCCAGCACCGTTGAGGACGACGAGATCACAGACGAGGCCCCAGATATGGAGCCCTGATTGGATTGTTGGTATCCACCTTGTAACGAACCTCCTAATGACACTGTCGTGATATTGGCTGCCTTATATGCCTCGAGCTCCCGCTCCATTTTTAGACACTTGAGCCGCAGTGAGTCCCGGGTATTAGAAAGAGTTATGTTTTTCTTCTTGAGGGCAAGGATCTCTTCCTTCAGCTGCACGATCTGTTTGATCTAATAATGACATTTTGTAGGTGGCCAGCAACGCGTTCGTGTTAGAATCCAGCCTACCACTAATGTCGGAGGTCTAACGAAACGTAAGAAACAATGACGACTCTATACCTTCTGTTTCAAATTCATGTTCTGTGTAGAGTTGGTGCTCATCTTCGAAAGCCGCGAGAGCTCATCGCTAGATAGGCTGCTCTTCTTAATCAAAGCACTGACCTCGGCCTGGAGCTGGTTCTCGACCTGAAGGCGCGCTTGCTCAGCCTCTGCAAGCTCGTCATGCAGCTTTGCCATGTCGAGCAATGTCTCTTCACGCGCCACATCAGCCTTTACATACGCTTCTCTGTACTTGTTGTTGTCTTCCTGAACTTGTTTGATCCACTCGTCTGTTTCACGTGTGTGGTCTGTCATTCTCCGGAGTTCATCCTCGAGTTGGGCGACTTCCTTTGCCAAATCTTCATTTTTGGAGAGATCCCGAATGATTTTTTCCTGATAATCGTATTCGTCCTGAAGAGCCTTGATGATGGCCACTTTGCCAATGCTCTCAGCTTCTAATAACTCGACCTGGACGTTCAGCTGGCGAATCTGATCCTCGAGTTCAGCAATCTTGGCAAGTAGACCCGCGTGTTTGTCCAGGGCTTCCTTGAACGTGGCTTCCTGTTCCTGAAGAGCGGCTCTTAATGTAGCTGATGTCTGTTCGAGCGACGACTTCTCCTCCAGAAGAGCAGCATGTTCGGTCTTGCTGATGGAGCACTCGTTAGTGTGGTAAGAGAGGACATCAAGCACTGCGGCAGAGTACTGCTCCCAGGTCTCTTTCGATTGGTTCTGTTTGATCTCCTGTGTTGATCCTGACTTGTCAAACATCAGCTTGAATGCACTCTCCATTGCACGACATCGGTCCTCGAGTTCCTTGATGCGGCCAGCGCTTGCCTTGGATTCGACCTGCTTCTCGATAGTTGTCTTGGCCAGTGTGCACTGAAGGATCTCGATCTGCTCCTTCTGACTCGCGGCATCCTGAATAGACCTGGCTTTCTCGGACACCCATTCCTTCTCCTTTGCACGAAACAGCTCCACCTCTTTTGCAGCTATCAGATGCATGTTCTCCAACTCCTTTATCCGCTTTTGATCCTGGAAACTCTGCTCTTTGGAGTCGCTTGCAATCACCTTGATCTCGGATTCAAGTGAACCGATAGACTTCTCCTTGGCCGCGACTGCGTGCTTCAGTTGATCGCGTTCAGTCTCCAAAGCTTCCTTATCCTTTCCTATTGCTGACATCTGCTGCGTCGCTGCGATATTTTTCTGCTCTAACTCTGTGAGTCTCTCCATCATCTTGATTGCCTTCCTCTCTTCCTCAATTCTTTGGGTTGTGACCTCCTCACGCTGGGATTCGACTGCTTCCAGTTCGGCCTGAATGACTACAACACTCTTCATCACCCGTGATAACTCCTCATTCCTCTTGTCAAGCCTCTCCTTCAGCTCTGCCATGGCGACATCAGACTCCTGTTTCTGGCTTTCTGATTCTGCTAAAAGAGTGTTGTATTTCTCAGCCCACCGCTCCTGCTCCTGCTCAAACGACAACTTCAGCTGCTCATGTTTTTGGTCTAGGATCGCCTTGGCACTCGATATCTGTTGGAGTTCTGATTGACTTTGGTCGTACTTGTCCTGCAAGCTCGCCTTCTCCTGTTGCATCTTGAATAATGCCTCGCGGTTGCGACTGAGCTCGGAGATCAGGTGTGCCATTGACTCCTCCAGATCCTGTCGTGCCCTTGAATGCTCCTGACGCTCCTTTGCGAACTCTGCCTGCTGTTCTTCGTATCGCTGGGTCATGATCTCGACAGTGTCCAAGTGCCGTGCGCGCTGCTCTTCTAACATTCTCTCGTTCGTCTCGTACCTCTCTGTCAACTCCTCTAGTTCCTGGCGAGTTGTCAGCAGCGCCTGATCAAGGTTAGCCTTTTCCTCCTGTAAGTGGTTTACGGCCGCTTTTGATGCGATTTCTATATCCATCTTTTCCTGCTCCATTTTTCGAATACGGACGTTGGCGGAATCGATTTGGCCCTGTAGCTCTTCTCGCTCGCGCTTCAAAGCTGCTCTTAGCTCCTCGACTGTCCTCCTCTCAGTCTCTAGCTTTTGCTCTAGGTCCCTGAGCAGCCGCTCAAGGTCTTCAAATTTAATCATCCATCCATTCGAATTCTCTCTCGCCACTTTGAGTTCTTCTGCGTGTCGTCCATCGATAAGTCGTTGTCGCTCACTTGCTTGTAGGGCGTCCTGCTCGACTAATTCTTTTTGGTTGATTAACTGCTGCTGTAGTTGCTGGCGCTCCAGATCAAGCTTCTGCAGGGCTTCACTCGAAATTGATTCCTGTTCCTCCAGAGACGCCTTGGTTCTGATGAGGAGTTTTTCTAGCTCGTCAATCCGCTTCTGCAGCTGGTTGGTCTTGCCGATTTTCTCATTCACTACGGTAGCAGCCTTTTCTGATTTTTCGAGCTATATGTGCCGATATAGAGAGCAAAGTAGGGGGGAGCCGTAGGCATAGGGGTTGTGAGCATAGATTATTTTCAGCAAGCTGCTCATTAACCTTAAATCAACTTTAATTTTGCGGCAGATGTGGTGCACTGCCGTCCCACAGAGCATTAGCACTTACAGTAGCCTTCAGCATATTGTGCCGTACGCCGAGTTCAGCTATGCACGCATGTTTTGTGGTTTCAAAAAAAAAGGCCGAAGGAGGATTAGTTGGGTTGTTTGTGCGACATTAGACATGCCTCGCAAGAGCAGTTGAGCGTGCTTCATAAATATAGAATTCCCTTGTTCCCGCCAAATGCCACGAAAAAAAATGAATTAGTGTTAAAGACAAGCAACGTACCGATTTCAGATTCTTTGCTAGCTAATTGGGTTTGAACCGCGTTCTTGTCCTTGACGACGGTTTGATACATGATCTCGGCCTTCTTCTGCTTCTCGCTCATCACGTCCAGCTCCTTCTGTCGTGCGATACGGTACTTTTCGAATTTCTCCGTCAGGTCTGCCAGCTGGTTTATTTGAGAAAAACCATCGCGTAAGAATTTTGCGTCAACCATATAAGGAATAACTGTTTGGTTTCATGGACAACGCATCTCTGCCGCTGGAAGATGCTAAATACAGGACACCAATGACCTGCTGAACTCAGCATACATTTGACCATCGGCAGAATACACGGACATTTGATTTACTAACCTCTCGCTTGAGCCTCTCCTCAACTTTGCTCGTGTTGGCGGCAAATGCGAGTCCCAGTTTGTCGCTACTCTTGGACCGAGGATTGGTAGGCCTCTTTGTATGATCTGGTGTCGTGGACCCGTTCGAGTGTACAGAGGCGGTGTCCGGAGACTGTGTGCCATCATCAATAACAAGCGAGGGCAATGATGTTGAAAGCGAGTTGCGTTCATAGAGTCCTCCTGGTCCTCCTGACCCTGTTCCTCCAGTCCCAGAGCCTTTTGTGTTTTCGTTGAAGCGCTTGGTCTTGCCCAAGAATCCAAATCGCTTGTAAGGATCATCGTCGCCAGCCCTGACATCGTAATGGTTAGGCCCAGGAGTGATTTCAATCTGGGGTTCAATGCCAGCGAATAGAGGGTGAATTGAGTGTATCACAGAATACTATTAGATGCCGCATCCTGAGTAATTACTTGTGTCCATGAAAATACAGTTGAGTGGTACACACCTTCTCCACAAAACGCTCGCTTCGCGGAAACATGTTTCGTCTGTGCTGTCGGTCACCTCAAAGAGGGAATGGTGATGAATGAATGGTGAATGGCAAAAGCTGAATGGAGAAAATGAAAGAAAAATGAGGTTGCAGACGGGGGAGAAAAGATAGAGAGCAAGTTAATAAAATCATACATGGATGCAAAAAAAAAAAAGGCTCCATCTTTTTTTTCTCCTGCATGCTTCGTCCTTACTGAACTCCACAGTCGGAAAAGTCCAATCAAAGCAATCCCTCCTACTGCTCGTTGACGGCATTCTTCGGGCCAGAGGCACGTTTTCGATTCTGTTCTTTCTCTTTTTTTTTTTTTTCTTTTCCTTCCACTCCTGGTCTCTTGCCGTATCCCTTCGGGCACCTGCGAGACAAAACTCAAAACGCGACCCACACACACAGTGGATATACGCACGTGATCATACTTTTGCTGGAGATTTGGGATTCAGGGGACTCGCTGGGCGAGGGAAGATGGCTATCAGTCTGGTTAGCTTGGTTGTGTTGCCCTTCCATGCTGATATTTGTTGTTGGGATAATTGTAAAAGGATCGCCTCAATAAACCGGTAGAAACCAATATACGAACAATCAAACCATCGTAGATATTCGAACCAAGAAAAAGAGGCCTGCATTAGATATTGCTATGGAACGTATAACTTCATGCTTCTACATCGGAAGAACCAAGAAAAGAGGCAAGGTTCGAATCCTACAGGCAACCTCTTCTTTTAAATCACGCTCTATTAAGGGCTACCCGAGCTCGATATGTACCACACTCGATCCGAACGCATAACCCACAACTCTTCGCCATGTCTGCCACGAAAAACAGAGATTTAGATGATGAAGGCGCCGGATCTGCTGCAGGACCCAAGAAACATCATTTCACGCCTCTGGAATTACAAAAGAAACAATTGGACAGGCTGCTGGAGAAGATCGACAAGCCCATCCATATCCCAGAACGGCCCAATCAAAAACGAACTACGAGGGAACCCAAGGATTATGTCAAGAATGTTCAAGGATCGAGTGCAGGAGCAGGAAGTGGAGAGTTCCATGTCTATAGAGCAGGACGTAGGCGAGAATATGCGCGACTGAGGAACATGGAACTGGAGTCAAAAGAGGTACCTAACAATCACCAATAATATAGCATTAACTATATCTTCTTATACAAGAGTTCTTCGCGCTCTCGTTGGCGATGGCACCATAGGGTGTATTTATTGTGATCTTTCTATGCCTTAACCTATGCCTTATCCTTTGTTTATCCATAGGAACGTGAGCAACGCGAATATGAGGAAAAGATTCGAGCGAAACGGACAGCGGATGAGGAAAAGACAGACAAGAACAGAGTGAAGCGGCAGAGGCGGAAACAGAGGGCAGCAAACAACAAGATGAGCAAGAGGAAGGGCGACACTCGATCAAGCGACGACGAGGAACACGACCAAGAGGATCAGGAAGATAGGAAGCAATCGCAACACGAATCCGTCAGCGAAAAGCAATAGTTGACTCAAAATAAACTCTGCTTCATAGTACGCTGTGTGAGTCTGATGTACGTTTCTCAATCGGACCGCTAAATCTATTTGTTGTCGCGCGTTGTTCTTTTTCTTTGTAGTCAGCTCATCCAACAACAAATCAACAACAGCATGTCCACAGCGCCATCTCCTTCAAAGCGCGAACGGGACGACGACGGAGTCGCTTCCTCGGAGGAGGACTATTTCACACCAGACTCTTCTGCTTCGCCAGGACCTTCAAAAAAACCAAAGTCACCGACATCTTTAAATGAGTCCGGCGACCACGAATCTATTGCAACACCTTCAGCAACCAAAGCACCGCCTGCCGAAGCTAGCGAATGTGCTAGTCAGAGTGAGCAACTGGAATGGATTTTCAAAAACTTGAGACTTCGTCGTATTGTCAAGGAAAACCATTCAAGTGAAATCAACCAGCTAGCGTTCTGTCTAAACCAGAAGCACAACAAGACGCCTTTCGGACTGGATCATGTTAAGGTGTATGAGAAGCGAGGAGCTGTCAAAAGAGATCCTATGGATAATAGCAATGTCCTGGGAACAACCGGAGGACCACAGGTATACCTTTATTTAGCGGATTTGCTGGCTGAATATCATGCAAGCAAAGCGCCCCGAGTGACCCTTACGTCTGCCTTACCTGTTACTGTAGGCCAATATCTATGACAATGAGCATTGTGGAGACCATTTGGACATTATGTCGCACTTTTTGTTAGACCCTATTGGCGAGGAGGGTGACGAGGAGCTTCCTGTAAGGATTAGTACAAGTTTTGAAGATCCTTATGTCATCTTAGTTCTCACTGCCGGTCGTACTTATACACTCTCATTTTTTGGTCTCCCAGGAAATGCTGACATGCTGCTGGATACACCAGCCTCAAGATGCTATTCTTGTAACAGCAGGGACGGACAAAATTATTCATGTACTGAGCCTGGCTCGATCCAAGGAACTAATGCGGCTATCAGGACACAATCGTAAAGAAACAAGGAACATGACTCAACTGTAGCCGGACGAAGATGAAGTGGGCTCCGACTGACCCAATAGCCTAATATCTATCTCGTTGGTTAGATACGGTCACGGATATTCAGGCTCATCCTGCCAAAGACGAATACTTGCTGTCGGCATCAAAAGATGGAACTGTGCGCATGTGGAACACCCTCACAGGGATATGCCTAGTCATATTTGAATATAAAGCGTCGGTCGTGGTGAGTTATAAATATGAAAGAATTTACTGGCGCCAAAGCTGAAGTCTCCGTATACTTTGTAGTTTAATCGGACTGATGTCTTTGCTTTGTTTTATAGTGCTTTAATCCTGGTACAGAGGGCAACACGTTTGTAACAGGAGGCTACAACGGGGAAATTCGCGAGTGGACTGTGCCTGCCTTTGAGTCTGAGCCGGAAGAACCTATTGTTGTACCATTGGATAATAGTCGAGTGCTTCAGTCGGATCTTCACTCTACAAGGATAGGTATGCGCATGGAAGAAATCAATCTGAATTCTCATCGTCGACGACAAACTATGGAGACTAATAAGCTATGCCTGCCACTGCTTTGAACCGGGGCTAGACTGTATTCGCTTTGCTAAGGGCAAGGCTTTATCAAAATCTGTCAATGGAAAGGTTGAACATTGGGATCCAGAGACACTGCAGCGAATCCGGACATTCAATATTAAGAACACTGCTAGCAATCAATGCAGATTCGATGTCAGGTACATGAAAAAGTGATCGGATAACTCTCGATTATATGGAGATTCGCTTTCTATTTGTCCAAGATCGGCTTCTCATTAATTATTTTTGTATGCTATAGCTTGGATGAGCTTTTTTTCTGCGTCGGCACAAGCAATGGTTCCGTTTATGTTTATAACATTGACACTGGACGTACAGTGACAGAACTGAAACACCGCCGATCAACAAAGGCGATTCGCACATGCATTTTCTCGAGGGATTGCAGGTACATCCAATATCTTCACAGTTTATTCATTATGCAGATAACCAGTAGGATACTTATCAACATATAACTTTCGCGAACTTTTTTAGAACTGTGGTTTGTGCAGGAGAGGACTCATTCATCTGGCGCTATGACTATGTGACGGACGAAATCCTGAGTGAATGGGCTGCATGGAGACCCGAACTATAGGCTACCTATTTAATGTATGACATCAACAACCAATAAAATGCGTGGACTAGACGCCCACTCCAACATAAATGCATCGCTAGGGTGCCTTTTATAGATGATTTCGGCGCTCTTTTTTTGATATCGGCAACGTGCTAGATTATGGGTGTATGCCGCGTTTTTCTTTTTCCGCCGTCGTTGTGGCCGCAATAATGCAGGGGGGACGTTTCTTCTGATGCGATCGATCTATCCACAGCTGATAATGGTATAGTGATTGTCGCGACTGGACTTGGTAAACATGGCCACATAACAGACGCAGAGGCTGTGTGCTTTATGCAGACCGTGAGACACAGCAACAGCGCTCAAGCGGAATGCGCACAGATCTTTACCGCCTTTCCTCCTTTAGCACCGCTTCTTCCCCCTATTCTCTACGGCCAATTCCATGGAAAAGAAAAGGCATGGAAGGCGACGATCCTTACATTGAACTGATTTTGTTCGGTAATGCTTCGATACTCAATTAGGAGTTGAGGGATGTTCGCTGGCAGGCTGGCAGCTGCAAAAAATTCTTATACCCTCCGTGAGATTATCTTTGTTTCGATATAATAACAGGGTGTAAGATTAGAGCTCTCACGGGGGATGTGAGAAGATGGATATCTTCCAAATAAGATTGACATTCCAGGTTGCCAAGCCCTCAACAAAAAAACTAGAGAGAGCCGATCGCTGATTTCAAGCAAAAAAGTTATCATGTATGCGCATGTGCCTCTTGCAGGGATCGAACCTGCTACCTTCTGCTTACTAGGCAGACGCTCTACCAATGAGCTAAAGAGGCATTTCTCAGCTGAAGAGGCTGAAGTTTACAGCCCGCCACTCCATTATATTTCAGGAAATTTTAGAGTTTGCTCAACATTGAACGCATTTTTTATGTCATTTTTCGCTGCCCTGGGCGATTGCGCGCCAGGTGACGGGCCGCGGATTATAGGGTGCTACAGCATTGCTTGGGGCGAGGGAAGTTGGACATAATGGAGGGGTTATTCGGTTTAAAAACAACTTTATTAACATTGGATCTGGATTAGGAGACGTGTATCGCGCAACAGGTCACGCAGGAGTTAGGTTAGGCTAGCTATGCGACATGGGTTATGAATTTGACGCCTCAAGCCAACATAGTTGGTAGGGGATGCGGCTCTGCCGTGCATGGAAGGCATCTATGGCTTCAAGGCCTTTGCGGACCATGCGTCGCGTGCTCATGGGGATTTATGTTAATAAAAAAAAAAAAAAAAAAAAAAAAAAACCAATGTCCGTGTGGTGCATTACTCGCTGACCATGTAAACGGGAGCTGCCCTGGCCCCGTGCTTGACCCAGACGCAGCGGACCGGACGCTGCTGGACTGCCTGCAAGGGAGAAGGCGGCTGACAACCATGGAGGGGATGGGGAAAATACCCTTTTTGTAATAAAGAGTTTTCAGTTTTTAACTATAAAAAAAAAAAAGTTTTCAGCTTTTAACATACTCGACTCGAGAGACAAATTATGTTATAACACACGTCCTCGTGGGCCCTAGTTATCAAAAAAAAAAAAAAAATCAGCTTTTAACATACTGATGAGGTGTGGCAATTCTTGCGCAGGCCCTAGGGGTAGGCCCGGGGAATGTGACTTGTCAACTGGCGACTGTGGATCGGTTCCGCTTTGGTGGTGATGACAGCGATAGTGGATCTTTGCTAGTTAGTCTGATAGATTCACAGAGTCGATTGACTCGAGAGACAAGTTGATATAAAAAAAAAAAGAATTATACTATGTAGAAGCTGGCGGGAAGCCGTATTGAAAAAGAAAAATGACCCGAGAAGAGTGGATTGGAGACATAAGGGCGGAGTTGTAGAAGGCCTCTGTTGCCAAAAAGAAAGGAGGGGAGGGATATGTTACAAGGAGAGAAAAATAGTAAAAATACAAAAATAGAAAAGTGTGGGGAAGCACAGCTACAGAAAAAAAGTAAAAAAATAAAAATAAAAAAAAAAAAAGACAGACAGCAAAAATAATAAAAAATAATAAAACGCTTCCTCCGCATTACTGATCGGCTCCTGCCGCGGCAGGTTTCTCCTGTGCTTCTGGTTCAGACCAGAGTTCGCCAAAGGCTACCCCGTCCCGTTGCATCATAATGTGCGGCAGGTGGTGCCATTCTTGGCGCATGCGCTCGTAGTACTCGTCCCCAACAGCCTCTAGTACCCGATGCTCGACCGGCGTCGTCACCTTGTCTCGTCGCTCTTGGTCCTTGAACTTGGCGCGACTCTTTATCGCGTGCACCGCCATGATCTGCAGCTGGTTGTGGTACAGCTTCTCCTTGTCTCCCAGTTGGCAGTACGTCCGCCAGATCGCATGTGTGACGCACGAGTGGATGTGGATCACAATCGGTGGCACCTTTTCCACCTCTGGCCAGCCAAGTATAAGCTGGTTCGGATCGTTCCTCAGGTCCATCGTCGGGCACAACTCAGAAAACCAAGACAGGGTTTGGGTCCGGAGAGCTCGCACTGTCGGACAGTCGTGGAATGTATGCTCGCGCGACTCGTACGCAGGCTCCTCTCCTGGGCGTTCGTGAAGGCATCGTCGGCAGTCGCTTTTGATAGCCTTTGCGCCCATGTACGCGTACAGGTATTTGATGCTGAAGAATATGACTGTATCCAGAATCAATCAGAACAAGAGAGGGATCTTTAATTACAGCGACCGAGCAATTACTTATTGCTCAGTGGCTTAAGTTAATATCTGAACTCAGTCTAGCTATCGAACACAGAGGCAGTGTGTAAAATAGGCTATATGCCACACTTCCACACTTGTGTCATTTGGTTTTGGTCGAGGAGGGGGCAGTGGTGGTGCGGTGTAGGGGGTAGGGGGTCTACTAATGGGTTCTATAACTTCTACCATTAGTTCTATTTACAACAGGAGTTACCACGCGAATAGGACTTCGGCAAGGGCGTGCTTTGGTCACTTACTGGTTCGTGGTGCAGGGTCCTCCTTTAGATCGGAATGTATGAACACAAAGGTAAAATAGACTAGACGTAAATGGAAAGGAATAAATATGGGGATCTGTTTAGCTAAATGGTGCGAGCTAGGACTATATTCCTTTGGGAATGACCGGGATAGTTGCAAGGAGTTCGCATATTGTAATGTCCGATAAGGTAAGGAGTCGTGACAATGAAGTTCACCCCTCTGGAGTCGTTATGGCGTATAGCCTATTTTACACACTGCCTCTGTGTTCGATAGCTAGACTGAGTTCAGATATTAACTTAAGCCACTGAGCAATAAGTAATTGCTCGGTCGCTGTAATTAAAGATCCCTCTCTTGTTCTCATTGATTCTGGACATAGTCATGCTCTTCAGTCGCTGTATGCCAATGTTCGCTGATCAGGCCTCTGCTGTACCTTTATAATGCCGTTTCACGAGGGTAGGCCGATGACGGATGCTCAATGAGACGATCGGTGATCGAGGAAGCGTTGCAGGGTAAGTACAATGTCTAAATAAGAGCGATTGACGGTGCAAAGGTAGTGAATGATCAGACCGGCATTTCTTATTGATTGTATCTCGTTGCATGGGTTACTGACGGTGGACGTCAGTACCTGTCGTTGATGCGGTCTTATTCGGATAATCTGGACGAATACAATGTGTGATACAAATGATTTAGGTAGAAAGAAGACTCTGGTTCAGGTACCAGACCGTTTATTCTTTTATTCTGAGGGCGGTGCTCTTCCCCGTGATCTAATATTAACTTTGCAAGAACAACCAACTGATTCTCATTTACTACACCACAGGAGACCGGGAGGGGCTGTTCCTGGCCCACAGAATTGAAGAACTTCACCAAGATGGGGGAGACTTCCGCCTTGAAGGCCCTGTAGAACTCATAGGAGAGCCCATCCGAGCCCGGAGACGATCTGTTGGCTATGGAGTTGATCGAAAATCCAATCTCTCCCCGGGTGATGTTAGCGTCCAGCGACGTGCGGTCCGCATCCGAGATCCGGCGCTGGTCACAGTCCAGAAGTGCATCCTGGGCCGCACAGTCCGTGGGCTGGGAACTGTAGAGTGTGCTGTAGAATTCAATGGCGATCTTCTCCATCTCTGCGAGGTGCTGACGCCGTCCCGATTCTTGAGCGATTTAATAGTCTTTTTGTCTCTGCCCGCTTTGAGTTGGACGGTAAAGTAGGGAGAGGGTCTCTCGCCTTCTTCCAGCCACTTGACCTTCGTCATGGTGGCGGCTCGGTCCAGGTATTCCATCTCAAGATCCCGCAGATCCGCAAGTGCTGTGGTGTGAGGGTGGTCGCATCCAGGTCGTTGGGATTGCCATTTAGTTTCCTGTCTACGTCCTTTACTGCCCCCTGCAGCCGTGTCCTCTCTCTACGATTGTCTGCCTCTTTCTGTTGCGATATTGTTGGGCCAACAAAAGGAGTCTGGCCTTGCATTCCTCCCAGAGAGGGCCCACTGATGGGTACCTGTCTGGCTGGGTCGTGCGTTTGCCCAAGATCTTTTCCAACATCTCCAGGATCTCCCTCTTGGATTCAGCATCCTTGAGGAACCTGGCATCCATCGCAGGAGCTGCTTTGGCTTGCTTGTCTTCTCGCTGTCGTCCTTGAGGTGAGCGAGATGAGTTGAGGGTGATAGTGATGAGGCGGTGGTCAGTCTTGACGATGGGTTGGGAAAGGACCTGGTGGTCTGAAACGCAGTCGATACGTGTCATCACCTTGGTCCTATCTCTTACGGTGTGTTCGTGAGTGAAGTGGGTCTCCTTTATGTCGCCATCGGAACCTATGTTCGGAGGTGGGGCCATGCCCCGCACTCCTATCTTTTCGAACACGGGAGCGTAGATATGCCACTTGACTCCTCGGCCTCGGAGGTCCAGGAGCGGAGGTGAGCGATCGCGGATCGGGTCACGGATCGCGTTGAGAGCGCCAAGCACAAGCTTGTGGGGGTGTTGGTTGATATCGTCAACAGGGAACTGTGCGACAAAGTCAGGAGGTTTGGGTGTTCCTCCCCAGTTTACTGGTGCATAGATGTTGGCGATGCGGATGGTGTTGTCTAGAGCTGCGTCTCCGTCAATGGCAACATCGACCGAGATCACCCTCCCATCGACCGAGGTGCTGTGGGAGGTTATGGATAAAAGTTTGTGGCTGATGAAGATGGCACAGTGGGATGAGAGGTGAGCTGGGCCGCCCCACTCTCGCGCCCACTTGACCCTTCTTTCGGGAGCCATTGAAGTGGAAGGGATGGCCAATTCCTGCAAAGCGATGATATGGTATTGACATATAGTGGTTCTTGAAGTCAGTGAGAAAGAGATGTGTCTCCAAACACACATCTACACGATATTTATTAACCAACTCTAGATTAAGTTTCAGAGGCGATAGATTTATATAGTAATAAAGTACACTGGACTCGGCTGAATATGCAGCAGGTATTCCTGTTGGGTCTGGAGCCACGTAAAAAGGTGGTGACGGGATCCATCATTGACGATGGATCGCACGTTAAGGGTGCGCACTCGAAGGTTCTGTAACCCAGTCATTAAGAGTCGGAGTGTGTGTGTTAAGGATGGGTGAGAGGTAGGAACAAAGGGGGATGGCTGGCTGTGTGCCTTTTTTTTATTTTATTTTTCTCTTATTCTTTCTCCTCGCCTTCGTCTCTTGCTTTTGTGTACTCTCCACCTTCTCTCCTCCTCTCCTGATCCAGGTGTGAAGCGACAAAAAAATAATAGTAATAAATCCCACATACCCTTGGTTAATACCACGCTAATAAAGCCCACACGTCCCCGTGGGTCCTAGTTATCAAAAAAAAAAAATTCGCACATATCCTTGGTGGAAAGGACGACTGTAGTAGATCATTGCAAGTTAGGTCTGATAGATTTGCAGTGTCAATCGGCTCGAGAGATATATTATTATAAAAAACAAAAAAAACCGTGGGTGTGGTGGTGTATTCACTATTTTATCTTGCCTAATGAAAGCGCCCTATTCCTCGGAATCTGCCACCACTTGGTGCCGATTCTTTGTTAAGAGCATAGTGCCTCTGAGACTACCTCGTATGTTTCTAGTCTCCTATACTAGATGCATTTATAGATAGACCATTTCCTAGTATACAAAGCACGACTCGCCCATTATTGAAGGGGGATCTCGTTTCTCACAGATATCATTCCCACATACTCCTCGTAGGTTCTTGTTATCAAAAAAAAGGCCCTAGGAGGAAAAGAACCCTTCCCAATCCACCAAATCAGTGTGGTGTAGTGGATCCGCGTGGGACCCAGGCAGGGTATCCAGGGTGGAAGACCCAGCTACTTCACTTGGTATGACACGATGAGCGGAATAGGTACAGGGCATTCATACGGTCATATCAAGCGCAGGCTATACTGTACGTGCAACTATGGGGTGTGCAACTAAGGAGCAAATGCGGTTATAGAAGTCAATTGGTTTTGCACTTATAGAGTTTACTAAGTCATAACAAAGAAAGACGGGACCCAAATGATTCCTGGTCTGTTTTCTCAATACTTCTGCCCTGTACGACTCCCTAAGTCGCTCCACGCACCAATTGTCCCACTACACTGTACCCGATTTGGTATACTCTGCCGTAGCTGGTCATTATAGCGCATCGCCCAGCAAGAGTAGAGACGGGACCTGTGCATCTGAACTTCTGCATCCCTAGTGCAATCAAGTGTCCCTGCGAGTCCGCTTCGCGTAGCCTGGAGGTCCCTCGACCAGGTAGCGGTCGTTGTCTATCTACTGTAGTCCCGCTAACCCTTTGTTATACGGATCGTGATCCTCGTCGTCGCTCATTTATTCGCATGATACATTTACAGTAAGTTAATTATTATTTAGAAACTTCGTTGACCAGTGGTGACCTTCATTGAGAAGCGTATTTACAGCTAGTGCTTTTACCTGATATGTATGGAACCACCACACCGCATCGGACGCTACATTTCACACACCCCTCTCTATCTATCCCCTCTCCACATCCCCTGTCAGCGCACAAGAGTGCCATCGACCCCACCAAGCATGCAAAGCGGAAACTCAAGAAATCCGCAACACGATCGGCCTGATGATGGCGGAATGGCGAATGCCAAAAAATTGAAACCTACAGGAGGCGCAATAGAACCTAGCCAGCCTGTTCGCGTCGCTGAGACCACCACCTCAGCTGCACTGTCCAATCCCGGAGGTCCTTCAGGAACTGCACCGCCACCGAGCACCGCCCTGATATACAGCTCCAAGATTGGGCTTAAAGCTATGCACGCTAAACAGCACCAAGACGTCGCCGAGGCGGCAGCCATGGAGGACAAAACCATGGAGCAAGAGGCCCAGGAGGATTGGATCGAGGTCCAACGCGCCCGCGACCGATTTTTCGCTGCATCGATTCACCTGGATAACATCCACAGCGACACCGCCGCGGAAAATAAATCTGAGCTGCAGGACATCCTTCTACGGGCTCCTGTGGTGTAGTAAATGAGAATCAGTTGGTTGTTCTTGCAAAGTTAATATTAGATCACGGGGAAGAGCACCGCCCTCAGAATAAAAGAATAAACGGTCTGGTACCTGAACCAGAGTCTTCTTTCTACCTAAATCATTTGTATCACACATTGTATTCGTCCAGATTATCCGAATAAGACCGCATCAACGACAGGTACTGACGTCCACCGTCAGTAACCCATGCAACGAGATACAATCAATAAGAAATGCCGGTCTGATCATTCACTACCTTTGCACCGTCAATCGCTCTTATTTAGACATTGTACTTACCCTGCAACGCTTCCTCGATCACCGATCGTCTCATTGAGCATCCGTCATCGGCCTACCCTCGTGAAACGGCATTATAAAGGTACAGCAGAGGCCTGATCAGCGAACATTGGCATACAGCGACTGAAGAGCATGACTATGTCCAGAATCAATGAGAACAAGAGAGGGATCTTTAATTACAGCGACCGAGCAATTACTTATTGCTCAGTGGCTTAAGTTAATATCTGAACTCAGTCTAGCTATCGAACACAGAGGCAGTGTGTAAAATAGGCTATACGCCATAACGACTCCAGAGGGGTGAACTTCATTGTCACGACTCCTTACCTTATCGGACATTACAATATGCGAACTCCTTGCAACTATCCCGGTCATTCCCAAAGGAATATAGTCCTAGCTCGCACCATTTAGCTAAACAGATCCCCATATTTATTCCTTTCCATTTACGTCTAGTCTATTTTACCTTTGTGTTCATACATTCCGATCTAAAGGAGGACCCTGCACCACGAACCAGTAAGTGACCAAAGCACGCCCTTGCCGAAGTCCTATTCGCGTGGTAACTCCTGTTGTAAATAGAACTAATGGTAGAAGTTATAGAACCCATTAGTAGACCCCCTACCCCCTACACCGCACCACCACTGCCCCCTCCTCGACCAAAACCAAATGACACAAGTGTGGAAGTGTGGCATATAGCCTATTTTACACACTGCCTCTGTGTTCGATAGCTAGACTGAGTTCAGATATTAACTTAAGCCACTGAGCAATAAGTAATTGCTCGGTCGCTGTAATTAAAGATCCCTCTCTTGTTCTGATTGATTCTGGATACAGTCATATTCTTCAGCATCAAATACCTGTACGCGTACATGGGCGCAAAGGCTATCAAAAGCGACTGCCGACGATGCCTTCACGAACGCCCAGGAGAGGAGCCTGCGTACGAGTCGCGCGAGCATACATTCCACGACTGTCCGACAGTGCGAGCTCTCCGGACCCAAACCCTGTCTTGGTTTTCTGAGTTGTGCCCGACGATGGACCTGAGGAACGATCCGAACCAGCTTATACTTGGCTGGCCAGAGGTGGAAAAGGTGCCACCGATTGTGATCCACATCCACTCGTGCGTCACACATGCGATCTGGCGGACGTACTGCCAACTGGGAGACAAGGAGAAGCTGTACCACAACCAGCTGCAGATCATGGCGGTGCACGCGATAAAGAGTCGCGCCAAGTTCAAGGACCAAGAGCGACGAGACAAGGTGACGACGCCGGTCGAGCATCGGGTACTAGAGGCTGTTGGGGACGAGTACTACGAGCGCATGCGCCAAGAATGGCACCACCTGCCGCACATTATGATGCAACGGGACGGGGTAGCCTTTGGCGAACTCTGGTCTGAACCAGAAGCACAGGAGAAACCTGCCGCGGCAGGAGCCGATCAGTAATGCGGAGGAAGCGTTTTATTATTTTTTATTATTTTTGCTGTCTGTCTTTTTTTTTTTTTTATTTTTATTTTTTTACTTTTTTTCTGTAGCTGTGCTTCCCCACACTTTTCTATTTTTGTATTTTTACTATTTTTCTCTCCTTGTAACATATCCCTCCCCTCCTTTCTTTTTGGCAACAGAGGCCTTCTACAACTCCGCCCTTATGTCTCCAATCCACTCTTCTCGGGTCATTTTTCTTTTTCAATACGGCTTCCCGCCAGCTTCTACATAGTATAATTCTTTTTTTTTTTATATCAACTTGTCTCTCGAGTCAATCGACTCTGTGAATCTATCAGACTAACTAGCAAAGATCCACTATCGCTGTCATCACCACCAAAGCGGAACCGATCCACAGTCGCCAGTTGACAAGTCACATTCCCCGGGCCTACCCCTAGGGCCTGCGCAAGAATTGCCACACCTCATCAGTATGTTAAAAGCTGATTTTTTTTTTTTTTTTGATAACTAGGGCCCACGAGGACGTGTGTTATAACATAATTTGTCTCTCGAGTCGAGTATGTTAAAAGCTGAAAACTTTTTTTTTTTTATAGTTAAAAACTGAAAACTCTTTATTACAAAAAGGGTATTTTCCCCATCCCCTCCATGGTTGTCAGCCGCCTTCTCCCTTGCAGGCAGTCCAGCAGCGTCCGGTCCGCTGCGTCTGGGTCAAGCACGGGGCCAGGGCAGCTCCCGTTTACATGGTCAGCGAGTAATGCACCACACGGACATTGGTTTTTTTTTTTTTTTTTTTTTTTTTTATTAACATAAATCCCCATGAGCACGCGACGCATGGTCCGCAAAGGCCTTGAAGCCATAGATGCCTTCCATGCACGGCAGAGCCGCATCCCCTACCAACTATGTTGGCTTGAGGCGTCAAATTCATAACCCATGTCGCATAGCTAGCCTAACCTAACTCCTGCGTGACCTGTTGCGCGATACACGTCTCCTAATCCAGATCCAATGTTAATAAAGTTGTTTTTAAACCGAATAACCCCTCCATTATGTCCAACTTCCCTCGCCCCAAGCAATGCTGTAGCACCCTATAATCCGCGGCCCGTCACCTGGCGCGCAATCGCCCAGGGCAGCGAAAAATGACATAAAAAATGCGTTCAATGTTGAGCAAACTCTAAAATTTCCTGAAATATAATGGAGTGGCGGGCTGTAAACTTCAGCCTCTTCAGCTGAGAAATGCCTCTTTAGCTCATTGGTAGAGCGTCTGCCTAGTAAGCAGAAGGTAGCAGGTTCGATCCCTGCAAGAGGCACATGCGCATACATGATAACTTTTTTGCTTGAAATCAGCGATCGGCTCTCTCTAGTTTTTTTGTTGAGGGCTTGGCAACCTGGAATGTCAATCTTATTTGGAAGATATCCATCTTCTCACATCCCCCGTGAGAGCTCTAATCTTACACCCTGTTATTATATCGAAACAAAGATAATCTCACGGAGGGTATAAGAATTTTTTGCAGCTGCCAGCCTGCCAGCGAACATCCCTCAACTCCTAATTGAGTATCGAAGCATTACCGAACAAAATCAGTTCAATGTAAGGATCGTCGCCTTCCATGCCTTTTCTTTTCCATGGAATTGGCCGTAGAGAATAGGGGGAAGAAGCGGTGCTAAAGGAGGAAAGGCGGTAAAGATCTGTGCGCATTCCGCTTGAGCGCTGTTGCTGTGTCTCACGGTCTGCATAAAGCACACAGCCTCTGCGTCTGTTATGTGGCCATGTTTACCAAGTCCAGTCGCGACAATCACTATACCATTATCAGCTGTGGATAGATCGATCGCATCAGAAGAAACGTCCCCCCTGCATTATTGCGGCCACAACGACGGCGGAAAAAGAAAAACGCGGCATACACCCATAATCTAGCACGTTGCCGATATCAAAAAAAGAGCGCCGAAATCATCTATAAAAGGCACCCTAGCGATGCATTTATGTTGGAGTGGGCGTCTAGTCCACGCATTTTATTGGTTATTGGCTACTAAGAAGTGCAGGAATGAAGTGAGCCACGTTTTATGTTCAGACCAAAAGTAGGGTTTTCATCTTTCGGTGTTCCCGAAATAAAATTAAGGTTGCTTATGAGCGACAGTGCCGTAGATGTTGTACCTGGATTCGCCATCAACAATCAATCTTCACATCGCCTTTTCTCTTTCTTTTTTTTCCTCCTTCTCATCGTTTCTTTTCATCGCTCCTCGTCACTGTTACATCCTCGGCCGGCCATATACCCTTGTTGACATTTAAACGACTGCATAGACTGCAGCCGTGTTCCTATTTGCCCTGTTTCCAAAAGCAACTTGCCTTGTCCGCCAGTCTCACGGCGCCATTCCTCCAACTCACTTCCACCCTTCCTTTCATTCAAATTCACGCGCTCTCCCTCAGCTGCCCTGTTCAACATATAGCATCCTGCTCCTTATTCAGCAATTTGGAGAACGAATACAGCTTTTATTTCACTGTCGAATCCCTCACTATTTGGATCCTTGCTTTTTTTTAAACTTTTCTTGTTCCTGACCCTCTTCAGTGTCACCCCCTCAAACGGTACAGGGCCAAGACTGATGCAAATATTAATGAAGAGACGTTGCCGCTTCGCCGCGGTGGCTATCTCTTTGGTGTCACTAGCCCTGGGAGCAATCGGATCCGTTTATGGTGAGTACAACATATTTTTATCTGAGTCCAATTGGATTCGAATTGAAATGATACCTGGATATTTTGCTATGCGTATTCTTCCATGTATCCTTTTTTTCCATTTTTGCACTAATCTGCCCATCATAAATTATTACGCCAACAACAGCCCACTCCACTGCATGGCCAACCATCGTCCACTCTGAGCACATCCTCAGTGTTCGCCACGACATCCTCCCAAAGGACTATAACGATCCTGCACCACTCCGCAAACGCAGCCTCGTCGATATTGATAACAACGGCAATGGTCTTTCAGCTATTACGAGGCATGATATGGTCCGCATACAATTCAGGGCGTATAATACCACGTTCTACCTCCATCTGGAACCCAACCTGGATCTCATCCACCCTGAGGCTGATCTTGGAGAAGGGATTTCACTCGATGAAATCATGGCATTTAAAGGCGTCGTCGTTGAGGACGAGTTCCACTCCGACCGCAAGTGGGATAGGGCCGCGAGGACTACAAGGGCCGAGACCAAGCGGACAGTCGAGTACATGTTGTATGAGGAAGGCGTCCTCGGATGGGCTCGCATGATGATTGAGCACGACCCAGAAAATGAGTAAGGAGCACAAACCAAGCGCTGTTAGTTGGCGATCCGGCAGGAATTTTGGCTCTAATGAATGTGGCTAACTTCATGTTTGTATTTTAGGAATGCATTGGTCCTCAGAGGCGCATTCATGGCGAATGGAGACACATATCATGTCACCACACAGCAACATTATCACATTCAAAAGAGATCTGACGACGCTGTACCGCCGACCCCATCTTCAGGATCCCATCTCATCATCTACAGGGACTCTGATCTTTACGCCCGACCAAACAGTTTTCAAAGGAAACGTGGATTGGTCCCGCAGGACGAATCCTCATGCGGTGCAGAAGCGCTAATCAGGACAGGTGTATCGGAAGCAGAGGCAGGGAGCGTCGACAGTGCAAGATCATTGCTTCATGAATACTACTACCCACCCAACCTGACAACCTCGATTCCAGCTACAAGAGAATTCGATTTGAGCTCGTCGTGGACAGATCTTTGGAAGAAGGGCCCTCTGACGAAACGAGATGTCGCTGTCAAGGTCGCGGGACCCAACCCAGTTCCAGAGGGATGCCCCGCCAATCGTCTCGTCAACTACATGGTATGGGAATATAATTGCGGTAGGAACTATTCTATTGCTCTAAATGCTATACGATCACTGAACCTGGATATATGTCGCAATGCACGCTAGGGTGTTGCCGCAGATTGTACCTACGTCCGCAGTTATCGAAGCGTCGCTAATGCCCGGAAGCAGATCTTTGCAGACTTTAACACGGCATCAGGGATTTATGAGAGCACGTTCAACGTTGCACTCGGAGTGATTGCACTCAACATTATCCAGGATGAATGTCCTACCACGCCAGTCAAGGGGCAGGAATGGAACCAGGAGTGCTCGAATGACTATTCAATCGACCAGCGCTTGAGCGATTTCTCGTTCTGGAGAGGTCAGTCAGGACGGGCGAGCGATGGAGCTGGACTGTGGCATCTGTTGACAAAGTGCAATTCGGGAGCAGTGGTTGGGATCGCGTGGACCAAGGCCCTCTGCCAGGCAAAGACGCAGTCGCAGCCCGGGCAGGGGAAAGGTGGTCAGCAGTATACTGCGGGAACGGGTGTTTCATCAATCTCGCCAAACGAGTGGATGGTGGTGGCGCACGAAATTGGACATAACTTTGGAGCAATCCATGATTGCAACCAGCAAACATGCCCTGCGAGTGGATCGAGTGGCCAGTGCTGTCCCTTGTCATCAACGACATGTGATGCAGGTGCAAAGTATATCATGAATCCCTCAGAATCGACACCGACAAAGCTCTTCTCGCCTTGCAGTATCAAGGCCATCTGTGGCACCATCAAGAGCTCTTCAGGCCAATGTCTCAAGCCGCCAGGAACGCGCACGACCCAAAATTCAGAGAGCAATATCTGCGGCAATGGACTCAAGGAGGCGGGCGAGGAATGCGACTGTGGGTCTCCGGAGGATTGTGCAAAGGATCCGTGCTGCGACGGCACAACCTGCAAGCTAAAGAATGGAGCCGTGTGTGATGATTTGAATGATGATTGCTGTCAGAACTGTAAGCTGCGTCCTGCAGGTCAGGTCTGTCGTAAGGCTATCTCAAATTGCGATATCCAGGAGGTCTGTTCAGGGACGAATGCCACCTGTCCACCGGACGAGCGAGTCGCCGATCAGACGCCGTGCGAAGGAACAGGGAACCAAACAGGACTCGCGTGTGCCAATGGGGTGTGCACTTCGAGGGACCTGCAGTGTCAACAGCAGGACCGTTCCGGGATCAGCAAGCAGTGCGGAGCATCCAATTCTTGCGATTTGACCTGCAACGACCCTAAAGGCTCGGCCTTGAGCTGCATGCAGATCCCAGGCACATTCTTTATCGACGGCACCCCCTGCGGCTTTGGAGGCACATGCAATGCAGGAACTTGCGAGTATAGCAGTGGTGCGGATGGGGTTTGGAACTGGATCAAGACTCACCTCATGATCGCCATCCCTGTCGCGATTATTCTGGGACTAAGCATTCTGTGCTGTATCTGGAGTTGCTGTTGTGCTGGATGTGTCGCCAGAAGGAGACATCAACAGATGGGCAAACCCCAGATGTTGGGAGCGAATGGATATCAATATGCGGGCTATGTGCCACCTCAAGGCGCTCCTGGTCCAGTTCCACCACAGCATTATCCGATGCAACCGATGCCACCGGCACCAGCGTATCAGGATGGAGGACTTGCGCAAAATCAAGGACATCCTTCGGGCTACACATACCATGCGGACGACAGTAACAATACCGCTAACCCATTTGGGGATCATAATGCAGTGAATCCGCACCAGCAACAGCAGAGGCCGGCTCCTAGCGGATATATTTAACGAAGCAACATAGACATCATGTACCATAAACCACAAGAAGCCATAAAAAAATTATCAATTTAACTCGTGCTCCTCTACAGGGAAAGGAAACCCTCCTCACGACTTGTTTGTACAATACCCAATGCTTAATCAACCCCTGCGCCTGGCTCTCCTCTAGCATGGCTGTGAGGTCTCCCATGCGATCGGTGGCCAGCATGGAAATACCAAACACCATCGCACTGCCAGACTGGTCCAGCAGCGTCGACTCGGGCATAGTTTGTCTTATCGCAGCTGACATCTCCTGCCAATGAGACGCATCCGCAGAAGGCGCTCGAGCCGCTTGGATGGCGCTATTGCCCTGGGCCATATGTGGGCTCGAGGAAACCTGGGTTGCTGGGGCGTTGACTCCCAGCGCAATCTCAACACGGTATCCGTTTCTAAACTCGTTCTTGAGTCGTGTAGTGTTGCCGATGGCCTTGAGATGACCAGCGATCAAGATCGCACCCTTATCACTCAATGCATCGGCCTCCTCCATGGAGTAGGCCGTCAACAATATGGATCGGCCGTGCTTGAACTGGGCCAAGGAGGCCCATACGTATCGGCGATGGGCAGGATTCATGCCTGTGGTGGGCTCGTCCAGGATCAAGACGTCTGGATCACCGATGGTCGAGACAATAATCGAGAGACGGCGTTTCATGCCTCCAGAGAGTTGACCTGCCATCGTGTTCCGGTCCTTCCAGAGCTGGATAGCCCCGAGACGAGAGCGGATCCAAGTGAGGTCTCTCGCGAGTGTTCTCCTTCACGGACTCTGTTTCATTGACAGAGGCGAGCAGTGCTTCTGCAGGCAGATCTTTGATGCGAGCATAGAGTTACATGTGCTCTCAGCAGGTCGAGTCGTTGAAGAAGACGTCATGTTGCGGGCAGACATCCATGGAGGCGCTGATCTCGGACATGCCCGTGAGGATGGATTGATTGAACAGGAAGGCGTTTTCAGAGGTCGGATTCGTCACTCTGTGAAAGATCTGCAATGTCGTCGATTTACCGACACCACCCTGTTCCAGAAGCGCAAATAACTCGTTGGGTTCGGTGAACATTTTCAAGAGATCAGCGGCCTTTGTGATTCCCTTGCTGGATCGTCCGCGTTGACTACAGCAGCAGCAGCAGCAGCAAAGAATCCGGACCCCAACTCCGTGATGTGGATCGTAGCCTGACTCTGACAGTTTAGGGCACGCTCGCGTTCTGCGACGACGTTGCTGTCCTCGTTTGCAAGGGAACTGACCTCCGTACCGGATCCATTTGAAGAACCGAGTGATACTCTCAAAGAAGAAGAACATGCCGCGCGACTTTTCGTGCTCGTTTGGGACCACCTGGTCGAAATAGATCGTCAGAACTATGGGAATAATGATGTTTACGCCGTAATGCGTCAATACCGATACTGGTTGGGGGCAAGTAATCCTGAAGATCCTCGCTCTTTTGAGTGTAGTTAGTTAGCGATGAAAAGTTGAGTCCTGGTCCAAGTTTGTGCTCGACCATGTTATGATCGAAGGATTCCAGTGAGCAGTGTCCGAACTGTCCCCACAATCTGTCAAGGTGCATGAACGGAAAGAGCAAGCTGAGGATCTATGTGTAAATCCTTGAGGGCGGACCGATCACCACATTTGAACCTGTCCAGGTTTTTTGCCCCTTCTCTGCCCACAAGCCTTCCCACGACTCCTGTGAAAGAGTCGGCACGGCAACCAGGACTGCCACGACCATTGCGAACACGAGCGCAAGGGAGGTTACAGACCTTTGACAGAAGGTCGACATTAGGAACCCCATTAGAGTCATGCCATAGGTCAATAGCGCGAACACACACCAGAGGACGAACCAGTTCGTGTCGGTGAACATGGTCATCTTGAAAGCGTATCCCGGTCCGACCATGACTGATGCCTGTAGGAGCGCAACAATCCAGGCCGTCAATCACTGTGCAGTCTAGTAAAGTACCGTGCTCAGTCCCGTCATCCGCACTTTGACTCCTTTTCCTTTGTGACTCTCAGAATCGCGAGAACCATGGTGATACATGCTGGAAAGGCCATTCATTTGGTTCGAGAGAGGCGTTCTTTTCATAAATCTCCGTCAACTCTCTCGATTTTCCTCAATGGGCGACTACGTCCAAAGGTAAATATTTTTGATAAGCACTAAACCATTTCGAAACCTCAATCGCGCCACAGGCCGCTCGGGAACTCGTCCAAGCGTTTCGGTCCGGCTGTTATAGAAAATTCGTCCTGCTATCCCAAAAGATGGGCTGTTGGGGTTCGGTTTTGCGGTGGGATGCAAAAACTGTAGGAACTGTAGGGCCAGAATCTGTTTTGTTTCGTCGCCAAGCTGCCAGAGATTTCCGTAGGAACGAGAGACCTGTACCATGGAAGGATAAGTCGCATGAGTTTCTCGAGATTGAAGGTGTAATAGCAGTGAATACCAGAGACGAGTCCACTAACAAGGAGAACCTTCGTCATTTGAATACCGGCCTTGATGTTGAAAACAATGAGACAGCTTGTTCATCGTTCTATCGCTCCTAAATAATAATAATAATAATAATAATAATAATAATAATAATAATAATAGTAACGATAACAATAAAAACGACGTGCTTGTTATGTCGCAGGAAAATCCAGCAAGGTGTCGACTTTTTTTTTTTGGCCTCGAGTACCAAGTTCTTTTCGAGTAGTCAATCGATGGCGCAAGGTTAGCAGATATCCCCAAATATACGTGTTTGCAAAATTCGCGGAAATAAACCATCATAGTGTAGCAAGCACAGAAGAATTAGTCGTCAGTGAAGATGTAAGAAACGCGAAGAGAGTGAGAGTGAGAGAGTGAGAGAGAGAGAGAGAGAGAGAGAGAGAGGAGAGAGAGAGAGAGGGCTGAAATCACAGCGTCCCTAATCAAGGTCTGCGGCCTAGGTTCCTGGCGCATCCACTGCGAAGGCGCGGGGAGGAAGTGGGGGTGTTGGATATTGTATAGAATATAGTTATTTTCATCCCCTTCACGAACCATCCATTCAAAAGAACATAGGAGGTCAACGTAAGAGGTCATCGTTAGGATGTGAACTTGGGAGAGCCAAGAACTGCGCCCAAACTTTACTTTTTTTTTTTAAAAACCTGATCAATCGTTGTTTCGTCCCGTTATTTTGAGTAGTCTACGTACATACCAAATGTATGCGCGTCTCTGCACCGTAGACCCTTTTGTGCGTTCGATTCTGAGTCATGCAGATCCACCATGCTCTACAATTCATTGCCGTATGGTTACACATGTCATTAGCACGTTAAAAAGGCTTTAGGGTAGTGATGGGTAGGTACCTAGGACGACTTCTGAGGAAAACCGCTCAAAGGAAAAAAAAAAAAAAAAAAGATGGGCTAATCCCTCTCCCTGGTGTCTGTCGATTCAGCCAATTTTATTTGCATGGTGCTTTATTTTAGTTATTAGTAAAAGAGGGACTCGAGGGAGGTTAAGCCAAGTGAGACGTGTTGCAGAAGCCGACGAGAGCGAGAGAGAAAAAGAAAGAAAGAATAGGCGGGATCCAGTCGAAAAGAGTCTGGATCAAAGAGAGGTAATGGGATACTAGTAAAAAAAAACAACCAAACTCGCACACTCCTATGAGCAAATGCAGAAAAACAGTTTTATTGCTTTAAATCCATGCAGTGTCTTCACACCGCAAGGAATTTTTTTTTTTGGACTCAAACAGGAAGGGCCATCGAACATCGCATAGCGGCAATAAAAACTATGCAGATGCACTCCACGATCGTGTAAGGGACCGACAAATCCAGCGTAGAAGAATGGGTAAAAGGTTACCCAGACGAGATGAACACGACTATGAACACTTAGAAGTAAATGGGTTCTCTAGTTCTCGTGCAAGTGGGCAGATGTTTTTAGGGCGCATGGGTTGTTGGTGTTTTCCAGCTCCAGTAACAAGAAGAAAAAAGTGGTATGATTCTGTTGCCATGGCTTGATCCGGTAATGCGAAGTTGTCGTTGGCGAAATTGGGTGAAACAACCGAATTGGGAAAAACGAACTTAATACTCTGCATGGTTTAGCTATTTGAAAGATCGATTGTCAGGCACATTCTCCCACTGATAACAGTGAGGAAGGTCGACAGTTCGTTGTATTAATAGGGAGAAGAAAAGTGAGCATGCGAGTGAAATGGAGTGCAGTGGAGACAGAGGGAGAAAGAGAGAGAGGGTGAAAATTAGCAGTGGTGCACAGGACAAGTGAGTATTTGTGTCCCCGCTGTTACCCATCGTTTTTTCTTTGGGCGAAGACCCTAGAGAGATAAAAAAAAAATCGAATGATTTCCTTTGCTGGTCCTTCTACAGAGTATGCACCCAGACCAAAGCACTGTCTTGGCCCACGTTCCCGCTAGGATTCGATTGGCCATCGACAGCCTGAGGTGATACCCCCTCCCTCTCTTCGATACCTCGACAGGAACCCCCGGGTTGCCGATATAAAAGGAACCAGAAACAGCCAGCCCTCCCTTCTACTCCTCCTCCGTCCTTCTTCTCTCCTCGTTTTTCTTTTTATATATTTATTTTCCCACCCTTGCCTGCGTAGTCGTTTAGTCGTTTATTCGCTTGATCGTGTTCTGTTCCTGTCTGTTTAGTACATACACAATGTGAGTGGACCCAATCGCAAACATCCCCCCACATTCCTCACGGGAATCTGATAACGACCGCCGTGCAAATCTCTTACACATCCTATCCTGCCCCCTCCCCCCTGTCCCTCTCTCCCTCTAATGTCTCCTCTTGATAGGTCCAACACGACGACGATCCCACTGACGTCGCATTCCTCGTCCCCGTTCGTCGACCACCTCGAGGTCTACTGGGCCTCACTCTTCGAGAACCGAAACGAGGCCCTGGTGACGCTGCTGATCCTCTTTATCTCCCACGAGATCATCTACTTTGGTCGCTGTGTGCCCTACCTCATTGCGGACCAGATCCCGTCCTTGCAAAAATACAAGATCCAACAAAAGACCATCCAGAACACCTCCCAGAACCAGTGGAAAGTCTTTCGATATGTCCTCATGTCCCACTTCTTCTTTGAATTACCCATGATCGCCGGTTTCCATCCCGTCGCCGTCTACTTTGGCATGGCCATCTCTGCCGTACCCTTCCCGCCATTGTAAGAGAGCCCTTGTTCATCTTGAGCGCGCGTTTTTTTTTTTTCCTTCTTCATTGAAGTGCCCTTGTTAGTTTAACCATCAGCTAACGACCTTTTTTTTTTTTTTTGATATACAGGTCAAAGATGATCCCCCAGATCTTCCTGTTCTTCGTGTTCGAAGACTTCTTCCACTACTGGGCCCACCGTGCCCTGCACTACGGACCGCTCTACAAACACATCCACAAACTCCACCACGAATGGTCCGCTCCCTTCGGTCTCGCTGCGGAATACGCCCATCCGATCGAGGTCATCATCCTCGGCACCGGCACCATCGGCGGCCCCCTGATCTGGTGCTACTTCACCCACGACCTCCATCTCATCACCACTCTGATCTGGATGACCCTCCGACTCTTCCAGGCCGTTGAAGCCCATTCAGGATACGATTTCCCTTGGTCGACCCATAACTGGTTGCCCGGCTGGTCCGGTTCTGAACACCATGATTATCACCACATGGCCTTCACCAACAACTTCTCGACCAGCTTCCGATGGTGGGATCATATCTTTGGCACCAATAAGAAGTATATCGCCTACAAGGACCGACTGAGGAGGGAACGCAAGGAACGAGAGGCAAAGAAGGCACTTTAGACCATTCATCATTCATTCATCACCATCAAATAAATGTAAGTTATAGCAAATAATTCCATACTTGATTCCCCAATCCTGGCTGATCGACCGGGATTCATCATAAACCATTCAAAGCCCAGAACTGTAAATGCCTTTGACGCAAAAGTTATTTTTATTAGGGGGAGGGGGGGGGGAGAGAAAGAGAAAGAGAAAGGCGGAATGAACTAACAAGACGGCAAAAAAAAAATAAAAATAAAGAAGAGGTATAGGTGGAGAGCCAGGGGGGGGGGGGGGGGGGGGAAGAGGATTAAAGGCGTGTTAAGACAAGGCTAATTACAGGATAGATTATGGTACACATCAGATGGGAGGGGGAATAGGTAGGTAGGGTAGGGTTAGTCTGCACAACACACTGCAAAGACTCAAAAATTTCGAGGGGAGGGGACAAAGTCGATCAAGACACGACGCTCAAGAACTGTGTGGGCTCCGGGATTCGACCTCGATAGATCCTGCCCCGACGGCTAAGCGAGTCCGACAAATAAGGCTCCACCGCCTTCGACAACTCGTCCTCCTCAGTCGATCGACGGCCATGCTCCGCCTCCGTCTCGCTTTTGGTATTCGAGTACTTGCGCGACCCCGCACGATCGTCGTCCTTGTCGTTGTCGTTGTCGTCGTCCTCGCTTTCCTCCAGCGTGTGCTGCTGAAGTTTCATGCTCGATCCCTTCAAGCGCGTGCTCCTCCTCAGAGCAACATCGCTCTCGTAAGCACTGCTATCGTCCCCATCATACTCAAGTCCGTACTTCTTGTTCGCCTTGCTTGCACGGTGTCGAAGAGGAACCTTTTGTAGCTTCAGGACCTCTTCTTTCTCGGACACACCGCTGCCGACAACGTCATCGCTCGCAGTACGGCTGGCCAAGTGTTCATCGTCCTCCTCCTGGTTGCCATTGCGCTGACTCTTGATCAGAATGTCGACCACGAAATGAATCACCGCAAACGTGCTGCGGACAATCGAGATCACTGCCGGGTGGCGGAAGAACTTCCTGAGAGAAGCCTGAGTCGACTGAGGCACCATGGTGTTGGCCCAGAATGCGGCGGTCGTTGGAGAAGGTGGAGCGGATCCAGCGTTGGACAAAGAAGAAGAAGAAGAAGAAGAAGAAGAAGAGGAAGAAGAGGGTGGTGCGGGAACCGAGAGAGCCTTGGAGACCTTGGTAGTGAGAGAACCAGGCAGGGCCTTGACAGTTCCATCACGCAAAAGCAAAAAAGTCTGATCACGCCAATCGACAGTCGATCCCACTACAGCATAGGCGTACAAAGGCAACGCAACCAATTCACGCAGACACCAGGCCATCAAGAATCCACGGATGTTATCCATCTTCTCGCCAGACAAGGCCTGGTACATCGACAGGTCGACCAAGAACCAGATGACGACATGGAAGGCCAAGAAGTTTAGCATATGGATGTTCCAGAGCAGGTTGAAACCGTAGGATGCAACCAATCCACACCCGATCATCTCGATGAAGGGTTCCACGACCGTTGCAGCCGTCACGGTGTACTTGCGGATGCGGGTCCAGCGTGCACGACGCAAAAAGTAATCCGAGGTGGTCATGGATCCCAACGACTGGTAGGCGAGGTCACTGGTCATCTCATGTTTGTATCCCATGTTGAAGATCACGGTCGCAACAAGGTTGTCCTCAGCCATATACTTTCCGAACGCAGCCATGCCTCCGACCTTGTCCAGATCCGAGCGCCTGTACAGATTCGACTTGCCGATGACGCACGAGGCCAATCCGGTCCAGTTGATAAAGAGATACATCTTGGCATGGACCGTATCGAGGAACATCAGCTCAAGCTCTGATCCGAGAGTCTGAGGACGGACACCGAATGGCAGGTGATGGACGAGTCCGACTCCGGGCTTCATCATCTTATCAACAGACCTGCCCATGCAACCAGGGTCGACATAAACATTGGAATCACAGACCCAGACAATGTCGTGCTTGGCGGTCTCATACGATTGAATCATGTTGTTGATCTTTGGGTTGATGCCCACGTTCTTTTCACCTGTTGAGGAAGAACATAAACAAATCAACAGTGGTTAGAGATGAGACAGACGCGCCGGACAGTTGGAGTGTCATGCAGCGGACACAAAAAAAAATATATAGAGAAAGAGGAGCTGATGACCAAGACAAACGCGTGTTGAACAAGCCGAATACCGAAAACAAAACAAACTGTGCGACCATTGTGCACAGTAAAGCACAAGGCGCCGACTGCTGCATGATCGCCTCTTGAACCCCCCTGTAACGCATTTTTCATGAACACAGATAGGAATGGCGTTGCTGAATCTCCCCCCCTCCCCCTATTTTTCACACTGGCATTTTGCTGTTGTCAGGTCTGGTGCAAGTCGTCTTTTCAAAAGATGAATAGTTTTTGTCCATAGAACCGGGCCACGATGGTCCTCCTTACCGCTGGTCCGTTGTCGGTTGTCAAAACGCACATGGGGGTGGAATGACCCACATTCCACACGCATTTTCTCCTATCATTGTTGTTGTTGTTGTTGTTGTTGTTGGCATGGCCTCTTCCCCTCCCCCCTAGTCGTCCCGTTAGCCTCCTTCGTGGTCCACAAAAAATGCATGAACCAACAACGTCTCCTGCTTTAACCACCAGGTTAGGACCAATGGATGGTCCTGCTAGGGCCCGGTTCAGGTAGGGTACCGCGGATAAAGGGTTTGAACACATATACACCCGAATAGAAACACAAAATAAAAAAGATCCGAGAGCACATCAACTGTAATCCATGTGCCGCTGGACAACACATAAAGTTGGTGCGTGCAGAGTACAAAAAGGATGGGTTGGGATAAGCTCGAAAGGGAGGCCATAGGCGGAGGATAAATAATAATAGAAAAGAAAAGAAAGAAAAGAAAAAAAAACATACAGAAGCAGGGTGTGGAGAAAAAGAGCAAATCGCATCCATCCTCCACGTTGCATATTGCACGTTGCAGTAACTTACCAATGATGATTCGGGCATCGACCTTGGGGAACTTCTTCATAAGATCTCTGACGACCGCAATGGCAGGATCGTTGGGCTGAGCGACCGAGAAGATGATCTCGAAATTAGGGTAATCTTGACGGAAACTGGAGGCCAGGTTCTCATACATGTTGCAGTCAATCCCGCGGAGCGGGCGGATGATGGTCACTCCAGGGGCCTCCCTCTTGCTCATTCTGGAGGACAAAGATCTCTTGTGTCCCGCATATCGCACTCGGCTATAGGATGAAGTTCAATGAAAAAAAATAAATAAAAAGGTTAGGATAAAGTAGGCCACATTGCTCCTGTGCCGGTACCCGAGTGTGAATAAAAACGTAGAAGAGAGTGTCAAGAGGATCAGACGCGTAGGAGAGAGATACTCTCTACTCTCCTCATAGCCCTTTTCATTCATACGTCGTGTTTTCTGACACGCAGCAATTGTCGTGGTTTGTCTCTTTAAAGGCCGTCAAAGTCGGGGCCAGCGGCTATCTGCGAGTTGGTCGGTCGCGCTGATCCGTGAATGAGTGAGTTCAGTAATCTTTGCGGAAGAATGAAAGAGGGTGTGTGTTTTGGTACTCCATGGTGTGCTGATCTGATCTGATCCGCACATTCGGTCGAATGCCAACAACAACAACAACAACAACAACAGTAGAACTGGATGGGGAGCAAAAAAAAAAAAAAAAAAAAAAAAAGGAAGGGAGAGGAGGACGCTGGGAAGGAAGGTGTGGTTTACCTGATGAGGATGGCGGCAAAGGCAGCAGTGAAGGAAAAGACCCAGGCAAAGATGGAGAGGACCATGCAGAAGAACTGCAGGTTCGAGAGTCTCTCCCGGACCGAGCCCAGGGGCTGTGAGGGCGCTGAGGGGGCGAGTCCGGCAAAGGAGGGCCCAAGGTGGTAATGAAGCCCGTCCATTGGGCAAATGCAGTGAGCAGCAAGGGGGGGGGAAGGTTGAGGTTGGAGAGGAAGGAGTGATAGGATGAGATATTATTAGGGTATCAGCAAACTAAGAGAGAGAGAGAGAGAGAGAGAGAGAGAGAGAGAGAGAGAGAGAGAGAGAGAGAGAGAGAGCGATTGAAGGGAGAGCGAAAGGAAGAAAGAGAGAGAGAGAAGACGAGGCGGACTGGAGAAAGAGGTCGTGGGCAGGCCCGGTTGCGGTCCAGACATATGTCAATTGAATGGATGGGGAAAAGAAAAGAAGATTGCCGAGGAGACTGCGGAGGGAAGAAGGAGCGGTGGATGGTGTCGAGAGAAGCGGAGGAAGGGAGGGAGCTGGGCCAGAATGAAACGGCGCAGTAGAGGGGCGTGAGGGTGGAGTCGATACAGGGATATGGAGGGTGCGAGGGTGTGAACAGAAGAAGTACAGAAGTGTGAAGAGAAGAAGACGACGACGCTTTAAGGGAATGCAAAGAAGAGAGAGTGAGGAGTTGGCGGCGTCTTTGTCATCGGTTGGTTTCCAGGGCCTTGGCTCCTCTCTCTTTTTCTCTTTTTATTTTGACGCATCTGCGCATCATCCTCGTGCCGATTTATCCACTAGGCAACATGGAGCCACTGCGCTCAACTCCGCACAAAGACGCTGTGGTGATTACGATGGCAGTCCCCCTCCCTCTTCCCGCTTTGTTTGGCGTCCCCTCTCGCCAGGGGGCTGTGTCGTGCCCGACAGCCGCCAATGTGGTGGGGGAGGGGGAGTCTCCAATGGGGGTAAAGACCCTGTTCCCTTTTTTGTGCAGTGCTTGTTGTCGTTGTTGTCGTTGTTGTTGTCGTTGTTGCTGATGCTGCCCCTAGATCTCGATTTGTCAAACGCCCAAGGCTTGGCTGCGCAGACAAACCCCGCTCTCAAACCATGTCCTCTTTTTCTGCTGAGCTCCCATTGCGGCACATTTGTCATGCGAATGAATCATATTTTCCCTACTCAATTAATTCTTTAATTCAAGAATAGAAAATAAGAATATATTTATTAACATCATCATCATCACCATGATCATGTCCCATAAAAAGAGATGGACCATTTCTGCGTCATTGATACCCCTGTAGTATTTTTGTGTCTAGCACCCGAAAAGATCATCTCCCGCGGTGCATGAATGTGGACACTGTAGTCTAGCCCGGGAGAGGAAAAAAGTTGAATAGTAGTCTAATGGTGCATGCGGAAATTTTGCTTTGCTCTCCAAGGCTACATGTATCCACAAGGGGGAGGGGGGGAGATTTCGATTTATTTATTTTGCGCGGCAAAACGATTATACCAACGCCCAAGCTCTGCTTTTTTGCTCTGCTCGATCTCTTTGTTCAAGCGGAGCACGAGCACAATCTCCTTTGCCGAAGGGGGACTTTCCTACTTTGGGAGACACGGACCTTGCTCGGATCAAGCAAAGCAGCGGCCTCATATACTTGCTTTTTTTCATATCAACTCTCAACCTTTATTCCCCTCAGGCCCCATTCATCTCATCCTCACAGGTGATAGACCGCAATCCGTCCCTGCTGCTTCTTCTCGCCTATCCGGGCATGCGTTCCTGCCACAAACAACTTCCTCTGTTCCTCAGCACCCTTACTTGTCGAGACACAGTTGATCCGCTCAAACACATCCGTCGTCCTGAACTCTTGCACAGGTTGCAAGGGTCGAGCGTAAGCTAGCGCCTCTTGACTTTCATCTCCTTGTTGGTCCTTCACCCGCTCCAGTAGTCGTTGTTGCTGCTGGATAGACTCGTATCTTGCTGCTTGATCGTCCCAAATGGCCACGGTGCCATTACTCGCGGACGTAACGAGCCAATTCGGATCGAATCCCGCGTACTCACTGCTCGTACCCAAGATTCAAATATAAAGGAAGTGGGTCGTATTAACAGCCAGACACTGGGCGCTTATGAGGATGAACACGAACTTGAAGGGTGGGTTTCTTCTATTTTCTCTTCTTTTTTGTCACTTACATCGTGGCAATGGCACTCGCATGGGCATCGATCAGTCTGCCACCTAGCAGCCATCCCTCAGATCCCTTGCCACTACTACCACTAGCAGCCTTCTTCTTACTCTTTTTCGATGCACCCGCAGACGGCAGTCCCTCATCCGCTGCGGTGGGCGCATTAGGTGGATCAGCAGATGTATGTAGGAACTGAACAGTCCCATCGCCCAAGCCAACGGCCACGCGTGTTCCTGACGGATGCACTGCAATCGAATGCACAAACGGAGGATTGAACAGCTGTTTTGACTGGACACCTTCGGGCTGTGGATTGTCTGGATGGTTAAAAGATCAAAACAGCATTGCTTAAGAATATTGCTCAAAGATAATAGAAAGGTAATGGTTTTGTCAAAACGTTCTTGTTACCAGTGTCGATGACTTGAATGGCACGGCCCTTATAAAAATCCCAGGCAACAACCAGCTTGTCCATGCCTCCGGAGATTGCTGTTATCATTGGGTGAGTGCTATACTCTATTAGACTAAAGAAAAAAAGTGCCGAATCGATCCTTCATATCTAATTGCCATTGCGATGTTACCTTGTAGTTCCTTCTTGGGTATAAATTGAACTGTCATGGCAATCTAGAAGAGAGAAAGACCGAATGTTATAGCGAGTGCCGGAAAAAAAAAAAAAAAAAAAAAAAAAAAAAAAGTGGCTGGCTGCAGTAACTGGGGGAGGGGTCGGCAACAAGGAACCTCCAGTAATGGTTCTCTTACGTTATGGTGCTTGCGGTCAAGGTGTCTCATCCACTTATGAGACCTGAGGTCCAGGACGCGTATGTCTCCAGCATCATCACATGCAACCAGATAGGACCCTTTGTGGTTCACATGGATCTAGGGTTGTTTAGAACCGATGATTCATTTAAGGATCCTTGGCGATGATCTGCATAAACCGTAAAAGTAGAGAGACCAATACAATTACCTGGTTGATCTCATCCTCAGCTACATCATAGCATCTGGTGGACTGCGTTGTATTGAGAAGAAGTGAATCCATTCTCAAGTCATACGTGTAGACCTTATCGCCCGAGCCAACATAGATCGTGTGTGAATCTGCAGGCGTGAATGCTGTTGTAGTCACCTTTTGGTTGAAACCAGAGTATCAGGTCGTTAGCAAAATGTGTTGCGGATTGACAATCTACAAGCGAAAGAAAAAAAAAAAGGAGAGGGCGAGAAATCGCATTCTAGACTCACAGAGGAATCGAATCCTGTAAGGGCCTTGTGGACCTTGTCTGTCCGAAGATCCCAGATACGACACGTCTTGTCCTCTATACAGCCGCGTTGGCATCAAACCATCGATTATGGGACACCGTTAGTAATTTCCCTGGTTTGCTCACATTGTGCCCAATAGCGTCCTCAGAGGACAGACACAGCCCAACCCAATTGGGGGACAACACGCGTAACGGAAAAAGAGAGGGAAATACAGAGTTCGGGCTGAAAGAGGCTGAGAGAGATAAAGTCCTTTCGCCAATCACACCGTTTCTCGACTGGTGCTAATGTTATCGTGGTGTTGCTGCTGCAGTCGCTGTAGACGTACCAGACCCTGAGGCAAGCATCCAGTCCCTGCTATCGAGGGTGAGTACTGGGGCGACATGTCCGAGCAAGAAGGATGCAGGCTAGGTATTTTTATCCATTTGACACGGGTGTATGCAGCACGTTGTGGTGGCGTTAGCTGAGGCATCTAAAAATGAAAATCAATTCGCTCACTTGAATATACAGAGTGTGCTGTAGGAGGTAGAGCGTGGAGTGGAGAGAGAGAGAGAGGAGGAGGGAGAAGGAGCGAGGGGTGTTCTAAATATAACGATGTGATACTCAACCTGTTGCTGGTGGTTATGGTGAGCCATGGCCTGTCTCTCAACTGATGGATGAGGAGGGATGACTGGCCGGGGGAGATTGGTTGATCAGAGTGTAGCTGTGGTGATTGTTGTTATTGTTGGTTGTGGTGGTGTATGGTATCTGTAAATGAGAATGGGTCGCAGGAAGGGGCGAGGGGGAGTGTCACCCTGTGTAATTGCACACAGCAAATGAGACAGTCGAATTCAGCCCAATCCGAGGCAGTCCATGCAGTCCTCTGCAATGCCATACAGTCCAGGAATAGATTCGGACTGACACGAGACGACGCGACTTTACGAAAGCGTATATCGCATCCGATCTGGAGGAAGAGACCCTTCCTTCACCGCCTCTTCTTTCCCTCCCGACCTGCTCCTCCCCCACGGCCTCTCCTTCTCTTCTCTTCTCCAGCTCCATCCATTGCCCTCCATCTCCCTTCCCTTTTTGGGATCTGCGCGCTGTCAGCATCGGACCCCATGCACGCGGACTAATTCCTTTTTAATTCGACACCGTCCCTGGAAAATACAAAATCCCTCTCCTCCACAGCAGCAGCAGCAGCAGACCATAGCCATAGCCATAGCCCTAGCCCTAGCCCTTCTCTTCTTACTACCTTGCCCCTCCCTCTTCCCCTCCTCCTTCCCTCTCTTTACTCTTTACTTCCCTCTCTTTACTTCCCTTGCCAAAGCCAACCCCCATCCTCCTCCCTTCGCTTCCTTTATTTCCTCACAGCGTCCTTCATTCGTTTCCCTCCCTTTTACTTGACCCAGCTGGACCCTCCTTCGGTGAGTATCCCCCCTCCTCCTCCTCCCCTTTGTTCCCTGCAGCAGCGCCTCCCCCCCGTCCTCTTTTCCCCATCGAACAAACACGCCACCCTGCACCACGCAGTCTCCATCCTCCTCTTATTTTTTTTCTTTGGCTGGTTGTACACACCAAAAAACAGCACCACCTGCCCCATCTGCTTCCCTCCTATCTCTTTTCTCGGTCACACGTCCCCTTCCTTGTGCCTGGCTTGCTCCTCTTCCCCTCTTCCTTCTTCTTACTAACCCTTTACACTCTCCAACACACCAGAACATCCTCACTCCACCCAATAGTCAGTCATACAGCATGTGGTCGCCATTATCCCCACTACCACCACCACCGCCATTACCACATTCATCCCGAACTGGCAGGACTGCCAGGACCGGCAGGGCATCATCGGTCCTCGCCATGGTCGCCGCCTTTGCTCTGCTATCCTCTTCAAAGCCCGTCCAGGCCGACATCCAATGCACCCAGTTCGGGGCCGACACCTTCCGCGTGGGGTCCAACCTCAGGTTTGTGTGGGCAGACACTCAATCGGTCCCGATCGAGACCTTTGTCCTGAATTTGTACTGCTACGAGAACAACAAGTTGATCCAAACCCTCGCGACCCTGAACACCTCGACCTCGGTCTCGCCACAGTCCTGGCTTGTCGATCAGTCCATCATGACCACCGCTTCTGAATGTCCTTTGAATGTAAGTCTGTCTTGTCTTGTCTTGTTTGTTCTGTCTGTCTGTCGCTTGGAATCGATTTCTTTCTTTCTTTTTTTTTTTTTTTTTTTTTTTTTCCTTCTTCAAATGGACAGTTCTGGAAAGCCCGAAGTCAGGAACAATTTGTTCATAGATGGATTCAGAACAAAAAAAAAAAAAAAAAAAAAAAAAAAACGCCCATTTTTTTGTCCCAAAATAGCAAGCAATAGAACTCATCCGTTCCGTCCGTGCTTCGTTGGCTTCGATGATTGCCCCATGCACCCTCACACAACCTCACACAACCTCACACAACCTCACAGCCTCACACAACTTCTCACACATACTCACTAAAACAATTCTTTCCCCCCCTTCTTCCTCCTCCTCTTCCTCCTCCTTCCCTCCTTCTGTAGCAATATCAAGGCAGCTTTGACTGGGCCTACACGGACCCGAACACGGGCGCCCCTATCTATGGCTCCTCACGCTGCAAGAACATGCTCCTCATCGGCCCCGGGATCGTGCCCCCACCCGGAACGCCCTCTGACGTTGCTGACCCCCCCTTGGCCGAAGACCCCACCCCCTCAGACATCATCATCTCTGACAAGACAAAACATGTTGTCATCGGCGTCGGCTCTGCAGTCGGCGTCCTCGTCCTCGCAGGAATCGTCGGATTCTATTTCATCCGCTACAAGAACAGGCGTGCGGAACAGGAGTTGGTCAACTCCAAGCTGAGAGAGCCCCTCCAGAGTGAGGGCAGTCTCAACGGCTATGGTTATGACCATCCATCTACCGGAGGAGGAGGAGGAAAGGGAGGAAATGGAGACTCGAACGGTCAATATAGTGATCTCACGAGCGTCAACACCACCACAGCAGGATATGTCCCCGTCAGGACCTCGACCTCGACCACCACCGCCACCCCAGGCGTAGGCGAAATGGTCGAATTGAACGGCCTCCCCGCCGTCAAGGGAGCTGCGCTTGCATCTCGTAACAGCTATGCCTCTGCATCGGGTTCTTCGCTTCAACCTCCTTCTGGACCAGCACGGGGTTCCTTCGTGAGTGGCCGGCCGCCATCGGTCCTGACCAGTCCCTTCATCCCACCCGAGGACGACGATCAGGACCAGTTACAAAGACAGAACCAAAAGCGCTTAGAGGAAGAACAGCTACAGTACGAACAACAGCTTCAGCACCAACACCAACAACAACAGCTTCATATGCAGCAGCAACAACAGCAGCAGCAGCAAATGAACTATGGAAACTATCCATACCAGTGAAAAAACTCGGTCTCCTGTAATCGGTCCACCAACCAACTCAAGTCGAAATCAACAACCATTCTATCCATTTCATCCGAGTTTACTTCTTCCTCTATCGATCGTCCCTCATCTATCGGGTCGTGCAAAAAAAAAAAAAAAATACATATACATACATACTTACATACATACATACCAATCATTCAAAAAACACTTCTCTCAAAGCTCCCAAAGTCATGTTTGCGTGTTCAACCTGAAGAATTGGGGTTTGCAATAAAAATATGAAGCCGTTTTTACTTCCCATTTATCTTTTCGTAATTTGCATTTTTTTTTCTTTCTTTCTTTCTATTATGATATATATCTCTTGCTCTGGTTCTCTTCCAGGCCTCCCCATGACCACCTAAAAACAATTCCTGTCTTTACAGGTAATTCAAGTCCTGAAGAGTCTTTCTCTTCTCAGGCGTAATGCTGTTCCAGATCGTCGACGTCGTGTTCGAGTCCATCGAGCTCAACGCCGCCTTCATCGTGTGCACCATACGCGTGGCAATCGGTTCTGGAATAATACCCGCAACCAGTGCCTCCACCATAACCGTCACCAAATGAGGCATGTTCACATTGTTCAGTCCGAGCACCGAGGGATGTTGACTATATCGGTAAAATCATCAAAAATCAATAACATGGCATCGTTAATAAAAAAAACTATCAGAGACACACACACACACACACAAAAAAAAAAAAACCCCCCTCTGCCATGACATGAGCTGTAAAAAACAAGAAATAATATACGTACGCATCCATGAGATCCAAGAGGTAGGTATAGGTAGTGGGGGCTTCGTCCTCGTCGTTCAACAAAGGCAAGGCTTGGACCCACGATGGCAGGACCGTATTCACATCAAACTTGCTGCTATTAAACTTGCAGATCTTCGTCACCGCCGAGATCGCGTTCTCTGTCACATACACGTTCTCAACCTCCCTTGACTGGGGCGCATTGATCACCTGGAACAACGGCGTCAACGCTGCACTGCACACCTCTGCGTACTCCGGGCCGCCAAACTCTCCACACAATCCAAGTCCGTAGCATGCTGCCTGGCGCACATCCGATGCGCTGTCCAGAATCGACTCTAGCATCTTGGGCAAATAAGGAACCATCGTAGACCACGAGTTGGGGCCCGTGAATTCAATCAGGTCGTCCAGCACACAGATCGCCCATTGGCGCGAGGCAGAGTTCGAGTCGTTCAAAAACGTCGCAATCACGGGCTCCAATGACTTGAACATTGGCAAGTATGCAGTTCCGTGCGTCTTCATCAGGCTGTGGATCGTGCGCGACATCTCCGCCAAAACTGCCTCCTCGTTCATCTCCTCCTCCTGAATCTCTTCCTCGTCCTCGACCTCAAACTCGGCGCTCTTGCGGGCCTCCTCACGGTGCTTCAGACGGGCATAGAACTCCTTCAACTGGGCCTCGGTCGCACGGGTGAATTCCTCCAGCAACTGGGGGCTCAGACTGGGTCCGTTCATAAAGTCCAGGGATTCGTAGAACGACACATAGAGCTGAAGCAAGAATGCAGGGTCAGCTTCTGTGGTCATGACCTCCATGATCTTGGAGCAGATGCCATGCCAGAGGTTGATAACATATTCTTCGCCGAGCTCGGCCTGCTTAGCGCAAGAGATCAACTGAGGGAGCGTCGCAGCGGCGGCGTGACGGACTCCATCGTGGAAGTAGAACTTGAGGAGAGGGAGCACAATATCGCGGACCTTCTCGATGTAAGGACGGAAGCCAGGTCCGAGCTCACGGGCATAGCAAATCAGCATCTCCACAGCAGTGCATTTCTCCTCCAGGACAGTTGTCTTGATTCCAATCTGCTGACCATCGACACCAACAAACTCCCAGCCGTCCTCAGCAGAGTACTTGGACTCGATATCATCCTCGGGGTCCAACACGGCGAAATCGGGCTTGAGCTGAGCACTGGCCAGCAGAGGAGGCATAACAATGTCCAGGTAAGGAACAAAGTCGCGTCCCAATACCTTGCAGACACGAGCCCAAGCTGCCAACAAATACGAAACCTGAGGATCATCGGCCTCAGTGACGCTGGCCTGGGTCTGGACCAAAAGCTGGATGAACTCTTGTGCGTGTGGGGCAAAGACTTCCTTGCCGACAGCCAAGGCAATCAAACTGGCGCACTCCATGGCTTTTCCGCGCAACAATCTGTACTCCTTGTTGGTGGCCTGACGAAGGACGTTAATCAACAGAGGCATGATGCTGCTGTAGTACTTCACGAAGCGGTCCTCGGCACTATCGGCAACAGTGGCGATGGTCGTGATAGCCTGCTCCTGAACGTAGGTCGTGCCAGTGTTGAGAAGTGACAAGAGGCGCTCAAAGATGGCGTCCAAGTAGGGCTCCAGGGTGCCCTTCTCCACAGCCTCGCAAAAGTTGACCAGAGCAGCGGCGGCGTGGGCGCGAACACGGGGGAAAGGCGCATCATCCATGACGGGAATCAGGTTGGTCAAGACAATAGCGTGATGGTTCTTTTGCATGGGTCCAGCAAAGTCAGTCGACATTTGACCGATAGCATTGCAGGCAGCATAGCGAACACGGGGGTGGGGATCACGCAAGAAGGGAAGGACCATGTTGATAATCTTGCCGAGCTCGGCCTCCATAATGCGAACGCAGCCCTCACCAATAGCCGAAACAGCGAACAAAGCTGCGTGGCGGGCCTTCCAGCTCTCGTTGGCGAGCATTTGAGGGATGTAGACAAAGGAGACGGGCAACATGGCCTTGCCTCCCAAGGCACGAGCCAAGCGGTCCATGGCATGCTCTCCAATGACGTAGTTCTCGTCGTTGTCGCCTTCATCCAGATCGTCCGTCGTGTACCATTCCTCATCCTCGTCCAGTTCGGTCATCATCTCCAAGGCAACAGGGACGATAGTGGTGGTATAATCTGGCACCTTACGGACCATACCGGGGGCGCACTCGGCCAAGGTCAACAACAGCTCCAAGGCCGACTGTCTGGTGCGGTCCTCGAGCTCCTTCTTCTTAACGATCTCGATCATGAAGGGGAGGACATCGACAATAACGTGACGGAAAAGACGAGGAGAGTGCTCAGCCAACTCAATCATGACAACCAATCCCTCGATCAAGGACTCCTCGTCTCCAGCAGCAACCAGGGAGTTCAGGACCTCGAGGAGCTGAGGCATCAGTGGGGCCATAGAGTTGCGAGTGGTGTTGTTGGTATCCAGCATGAATGAGACAGCAGCCTTGGCAGCAGCCAAACGGACCTAAGGAATGCGATTCGGAGAAGGGCAAAATGGAAAGTCGATTAGCTGTGATAGATCTGATCCTTATAAACATTGTCCGTGATCCCTCTCCGTGTCCATATTTCGCCAGATAGTTCCAAAACTTACATGGATGTTCTCATCACGAAGACTGTTGGCAAAGACAGACTTGAGGATGTCCACATGCTGTCCAGAGATCAAGTTGGGGACCGAGGTGAAGATGCGGAAAGCCGATTCTCTATGCTCGGGAGAGGGGGACTTTGTGCATTCAAACAAGGCGGGCAAGAGTTCTGGCCAGGCTTCTATAGAACACATAGAAACATTGAAAGGGTATTTGGTTAGCAATTGCTCTATATCATGAAATCATACAAAGAACTTCCCGCTTGACGTTGAAATATAACAGCACAAACACGTACGTTCTTTCAAAGTGGAAGCCCGAGCCATCTCAGCAATGGTGTCGCAGACCTTGTTGCGGACTGACTTGTTGGGTTCCTGCGAGAGACCAGTGAGGAAATGGGTCTTCATGGCCTGACGGGTCGACTCCTGCGTCACGTCCCAAAGAGTCTGCTCGTCAGCCTCTGGGTCCTGGTTGGGGATTCCCTTGAAAGCAACGCGGCGAGTCAGGACCGCAGCAAAGGAACGGAGCTGATCGTGGGTAAAAAATAACAGGAGCGCCCGTTGAGATGTGGTTGCAGAAGGAATCGGAGGAATTGTTTTGTAGTACAAGGATGAACGCGGATTCGCAGCGGCGCGACGAAGGACATAATGAGAAATCAAGTAAAATAATAAGTTTTATTGTTGTTAGTAGGTTGAATCGAAAAAAGTTTGTTCGTTCGCTTATACAATTGGTGGCAAAGAAAGAATGAAAGAGACGTGTGCTTACATCGGGCTCGTCGCTGTGGCGGGAAAGGTAAGCAAATCCAGAGAGGAGGGCATCGGGGCTCTTGACCATCCATTCGTTGTTAAGCTGCTCCTCTGCAGCGGAGCGCACGGCATTGTCGTTGGAGACGAGGTTCGCGAGGACCTGGACCAGCTGTTGCAGGACGTCTTGGGGTACGTTCGACATGGTGGATTATATATGAACAAAAGGAGGAGAGGAGTAAAAGAGGGAGAAAAAAGGTGAGGGAGGATATGCGAATTAAATTACAAAAGAGGTGGAATGCAGGTGGAGACTAGAAAAAAAAGAAAAGAAAGAAAGAGAAACAAAGACAAAGGTGGATAGAATGAGGAGAATGGGGATTGACAAAAACGTGAAAGAGATGGATGAGAGGATGCAGCAAAGACAAACAAGAGGACGGTCAAGGAGAGGAGCGGTGGCAAAAAGAAAGAGAAAGAGAGAGAGAGAGAAGAGAGGAGGAGAAAAAAAAAAAAAAAAAAGGAGACACGAGCAGGTCAAGACAGGGCAAGCTCGTTTTGTTTATCTGGTGCATGACCCTTAACAGGCATCGCCGTAAAACAGTCCCATCCACCGCCATGAGATGAGAGAGAAGAAGGAGAGCGTGAGAGACGAGAGAGAAGAGAGAAAAAAAATCGACCAATCAGATCGCGAGACGATCTTTCCTGCGCGTTCACTCGGTTCGCCTGTGCAACCACCAGGAAAACCGAATTCTTATCTTGCTGTTGAAAAAGTGCTCTCTCTCTTTTCTTTCTTCTTTCATCTTCATCTCCCTCATCTCCCCTTTTTCACCTCCCTCATCCTGTACATAAAACTGCCCACAGCCATGTTTGGTTTGAAGAACACCCTCAAGGCCCTTTTCTGTGGCGCCCTCGTCCTCGCCTCAGGTACTCCTTGGTTCGAACACTTTGGCGACCTGACATCTTGGAACAGCACTGCTCGATGACCAAATACTGCCGGATCAGATGGAGATGGGACACGATGACATAAGGATAATAATAAACAACGATTAGGCCCTATCTCACAGGGTCTTTAGCACTACAGCAGGACCATCAATTGATATCCAACGCTATCTTTCAGGACAACTACCCTTGGAACTCCTACGCTCGCCCAGTACTGGAAACCTATGGACACGGGAGACAAAACACTGATCAGCCTTGTTGCTCACACTTGTTCCCTTGCTTCAATTGCTTCCTTTCTTTAGTCTCTGCTGCACCCCTTGTCGAGACCCCCAACGTTGCCGTCTCCGCAGAGTTCCCTAATGCCATTGAAGGCTGTAAGTCTCTTTTGTCTGTTCCCACCATCGAATTGTACCTTGGATCAACTGGAACCCTGCCAAAAATGGCTGCTAATCTTCGCTTTTCTATCCTTGGCTCCTGCAGTGAACCCCACTTTGGTCTCGGGAGAACCCAACAAGTTGAAGGTCACCTTCCGCAACACCGGCAAGACCGACCTCAAGGTCAGCCTGATCGTCGGCAGTGTTGCCGAGAGCGACGACTACACCAACGTCATTCGCAACGTATGTTCAAACCTTGAGAGACCTCAGCAGCCGCCTTTGGACAAACAACCTTTGCCTTTCTATGATGAGCCCCGTTACTTATCACCTTGACATATACTGTGCTGTGCTCAATATAGCTGACCTCGTACAGATACGATGCTACCCTCAAGGCCGACGCCACCCTGGTCTTGCCCTACACCATCAGCATGGACCATGCCTCGCGTGAGGTTGGCTTGACCCTAATTGCCGATATCGTTGACTCGTCTAAGAGTCATTTCCCTCTCCTCATCCACAACGGCACCATCACCTTTTCGGAGCCCATGCAGTCCTGGATCGACTTTCAGTTGTAAGTCTTCTAGAATTCTTTTTTCTCTCCCTTCTCTTGTGCTACATGAACCAGAGTTCCAGAGTACTCATCTGAACTATTTCGCTCTTAGGATCTTCCTGTACGTTTTGATTGCCGGTGTCTTCGTCGCCGCTGGCATGTTCATTAAGGATTCAATGGCTCCCGAAACCAAGAAGACCGTTAAGAAAATCCCTGCTATGACCCCTGAGGAGCGCGAGGCTGCTTTGGAGAAGATGAAGGTTTTGGATGAGGACTGGATCCCTGAGCACCACAAGAAGTCCCCTCGTGTCACTAAGAGACGTTAAGAGTAATCCAGAGATCGGCAGTTCTACCTCGTTGTGTCATCCTTCTTTCTTAGCTGCATATGTGTGTATCATATATATATCTTTAACCGTTTTTTAATATAAAGCAAGTCGATCCTGAAAAGTTACCCAAATGCTTGCGAATCTAGCTATGTTTAAAAAAGCAGAGCTGTGCTATTGCCACTCTGTTAGTAACTGCTTATTTCTCTTTTTCGAGAGGAATGGCGCCTTCTCTTGGCTTCTTGAGCGTTTTCAGAGCTCTTGATCTTCTCCTTGTTAGAGACCGCTTCGCTTTCCTCCATGGTTGTTGGCGTAGATTCGTGAATACTCTGCATGTCCTCGGCGTTAGTGGATAATAACAGTGAAGCGGATCTGGGTCTTCTTGGCGGGATCGCAACGGCTACCATGCGTTGCATCCGGTAACGCTCCTTGATCTGCGGCGGATCTTGTGCTTTTAGGTTTATTGAAGTTATAACGCCGCTGCTGTCGTCATTTCCATCGCTGGCTTGACTAGCTTTACCATCTGTTTCCACGAGAGGTGAAATAGATATCCGTGCCAACGTCGAAGGCGACACGAGAGCCGAAGAAGAGCTGGATGACTGGTCGGAGGGCTTGACCAGAGGAGCCTTGTACTTCCGAGCAGCCAAGGCGGCATCCTGTATAATCCTTTGGGGCAACGCAGGGGGTTTAGATTGACCAAGCAGGGATCTAGACATACGACGGAGCAGCTGCTGGGGCGTCATTGATTTGAGATCCTGGGGCGTCATGGAAGATTGACTCTTGACCACAGGACTAAAGGGGGTGACATGTCTTGTCCTGTTGAGTGCTAGGCGTTTGCGGATGTCTCTGACGCTCCTGGTCTTGTTCGAGCTAACGGACTGTTTGCTTCCGACAGTCGAAACACCGTCGCTCATGTGCCCAATTTCCTCAATGATAATGGCACCCTCGTTGGAGGTGGTTGGCTGTTCATTTGATCCCTCATTGGTGACCTTCCTCTCCTTGCTTTCCAAAGTTGCACTGGACCTTGCGCCCCCAAACTCGGTCAGGAGTGCCTTCGGGAGAATTATGGACTTGGAACGCTCATCCATGTCCTCGCTGCCCTGGCGGGAAGTCGAAAATAATGTCGCTCGATCAGCTGTTAATACACTCGGTGCACCGGACCCAGACTCATGATCGTATTTCAAATTCTGTACAATGTAGTCCTGTGTTTGTGCTGGTTGCGCCTGCGGTGGTTTGAGCTGTGGCATCTGTGGTGGTGACAACAGCGAAAACAGCTCTTCTTGCGGAGAGAGCTGGGACTCCATGGTGTCCAGTCCGCTGACCGAGGGAAGCATGTTAAAATCTAGATGATTTTTCAGGGTCTATAACATGACGCGCGGAGTCAGCAAGACTTGAATATCGTAATAGGGGACACGCCATGACTCCAAAATGGCATTAGATTTACAGGGCGAGACGCGCGCGCTTTTTCGGGGGGATCAGAGTCTCTCATGTCGCGGTTGAATCGGACAAATTTTTCCGCAAATATCTCGTGCCTTGCCTCTGAGGCATTTGCTTGGGGCTGGAGACCACGACGGGTATCAGGCGAAAACACCGAGTGGCCCGCCGGCCGCATCCTGGAAGCGGCCAAAAGAGAAGTTACTTCACCACGATTCAGCCCTTGCGTGGTCGTTCCCTTATGATGTTCATTTGTAAACAACGGTGAGCGTGGATGCTGTAAAGACAGCCGATATCGGCGAGACAGAGGCGAGGCACTCTTTCCAAGGGAGTCTCTATGCGCAGCAGGTGGCACTTGGGGCGACTCCGAGATGTCCCGGCTATGGTTGTGAGAAGAACGGTATGAACGGGCTAGTGGCGGGCGCTGTGGGCTATGTTCAACAGATTCGTGGGCTCCTCGACTTGCGCTCTGTCCTCCAAGGGCCTCGGTCTCTAGTGCGAGAAGCAAATCCTTGTAAAGGCGGCCAGTAGTGTTGAGGCTTTTGGTCATGGAGCATACGGTGTCGTGCTCGCACTAAAGATGCATAGGAAACGCATTTCAGGATATGTCATTATTAAACAGCAAAACTGCAGATGTGTTGTTTGACACAAAGACACTTTACCTGATAGATTGCTTGGACTTGGTTTAGCTTCGAAATAAGAGTGTATTTCGATAGTCCGGATAACTCAGAGATTGGCTGCGTTCGCTGTCTCTTGACGCGACGGAAGGAATCGTCCACATCCTGCCTTTGTCCCACCCCTTGTCCGCTCTCATATTCCTCGTCGATTCTTTCCATCGCGTCCGCTCTGTTTCGTTTCGAATGATGCCGTCTTGATGATGTGCTTGCTTCTGATTGATCTTTCTCGAAACGACTCTCAGTTCTGTCCTCAAACAGTGATGGCAAACGTGAGAGTGGGGAACACGAACGCGATGAAAAGGTCTCAGCCTGAGTCTCTAGCCGACGTTCCAGGTACCTTAGCATCACCATCAGGTCCAGATTTTCCTTCTCGAGTTGCGATAGCTTGTCCTCAGACTGCCGGATCTGGACGGACTTGAGAGTGCAGAGACGAATGATTTCTTGATTCTGTCGAAGCAGGCGTTCCAGTTCAGCAGCTCGATGAGGGCTCGGGATTGATGATGGAAGCGCTTGTGGATGGGGTTCGAAGTGGGTTGATAGTCTGACCCTGGAGGCAGACGGTGGCACTGACGTCCAGGAAGTAGCTGGCCTCTGTGGAGGGTTCATTGCTTGAAAGGTGATTATCGGGTGCTGTTGAATGAATGAATTTGGAGGAGGGTAGGGTGGAGACAAGAAGGAGGAGAAGGAGGAAGAAATGAAGTATGGGCCTGGTGCGCCACCAAAACGGATGTCGTTGCTTTGTGAAGCGAAGCGATCCCTCTGTGCTGAGTTCATGACCCCCTTTGATTCGTCTTTGTGTACGCGACTTATCTGTGGTACGAGCACGAAACACCGACAGATCTTTATCCTCACATACGCGCCGACGCATTCATACAGTTCACAATGTTTTATTTTCTTCGCCTATTACTTATCAGAGCATCTACCTGGCAACAAGCAAAGTCGATCGAACGATGTTTGGAGATCGTGGACACAATAAAGGATCGTTGTCAAAGCAAGGAAGCAAGTGAGCGTATGAAACCAGCATGCACACAGCAGCAAAAACATGATAGGAGGATAAGGAGGGTACAACAAAAAAACGATTGGAACACAAAAGGCGCAAGGAATGGCACGCGACGGTACAAAAGGAATGGTTTTTTTTTCAAAGGCCGGAAACAGTGTATATTCATGTCCATATCCAGCATGGACACAGTATATTACATCCCATTACGCCAGCAAGAGTATATTATTTATTGCTCTGGAGGTCGACAGTATTTTTCCATGGGCATGGGCATGGGCATGAGCGTAAATTTGTCTGTGGGTGTATTAAGGTACATATATATATCCACGGAATCATACATCCCAGACTGGGAAGCGCCTAAAATGTCTGCGCTACATAGTCTGCGACTCGATTGAAAACAAAAATATTAAAGAAACACAAAAGCACACCGACATCACTCCCTGCCCAGCAGTAGCAACCAATGAATCCTGAGGAATGCATTGCAGCCCTGCCCCGGATCGAGAAGGGCGATTCACGAGACAGTACGCATCCCAACCTGGATCACCATCACTAAGACATCGCCTTCATTCTTCAAGAACCTAACGCCTCTTTATATACCGTCGTATCGTCTGTGGTCTTGTTCAAAGTCTTCAGTCCAATACCTACTCGTCCAGAGCCATACTCTTTAGACCTCGTTCAAGAATACGCTCGTTTCTCTGCCCCGCCTACGAAGGACCAGCCGACCGCATCATCAAAGCAGCATGAGTCATCACCATCACAGCGAACCCCTCAGCAACAGCAACAGCAGCAAGGACAGCTTTCGCAAAAGGGAGGAGGAAACACATCGGACCCACGATACAACTGCACAGTCTGCAAGAAGTCCTTTGGTTCAGAAGCAACCTGGAACAACCATCAGATGAGCGCTAAACACATCGCCGCTGTTAAAGATGCGGAAAAGTCAAAGAAGAATACCAACGCCAAGGGCGGATCAAAAAGTGGATCAACCAAAAAGGGTAAGCAGCCGCAGCGGCAGAGGACGAAGGACGCGGAAGATGATCAGGAACAGGTCTCACCCGAGGTTACTGAGGCATTGATGTCGTTCCGGAAAGTCGAAAAGCTCGTCAAGGAGAATCCAGGCATGGCTGCATCCGTACTTTGGAAGATTGCTAAGGGTAATAACAAAACACACCTTGGATCTCGAGTTGCGACTTTTTTTTTTTACTTTGCAAATCTCTCATATCTTTTTTTTTTTCTTTTCTTTTCTTTTCTTTTATTATTGTGATAGCATTATGGACATACCGACAATCCCTCGAGACCGCCAGGGCACTTTTTCTTTTAATCCAAGTCCTCAACGATCTGCAGTCAGGAACAGGACCCGCCTCTGACACACAATCGCTCCCGACTCCTGGATCACTCTCGCCCACCCAGATCAGTATGACCCTCTACCTCTCACGACTCGCCTTTGCCCGTCTCATCGTCTATCATTCACCCTCTGTCGCACTACACTTCTACCTCGATGCGATTCAGGGACGCTGGCATATCGGACCCTCGGATCTTCAGGCCCTGTGTGATCTGATCAGCACAGGATCCGTCCCACAACTCCTCGATCGATGCAAAGACTTTTTGGAAACACACCCAAAGACTGAGAAACTCATGGCATCCTCCTCCTCCTCCTCAACAACAACAACAACAACAACAACAGTAGCGGCTGCTGCGACGACAGCTTCAATACCAGGATCGTCAACATCTTCGACATCATCAGTACCCACGGCGGCTAAAAAGCCGACGGACCCCAACTTGAAGTTACTCACCGTCCTCCTAGAAGCCGCCTCGATGATCTCTCAACACTCCAGCAGACCTTCACTATCATCAACACCGTCCACCGCCGCGCAGGAGAACCGCAGCCGAGCAGAGACATCCTTGACCCTCTTCAGCATGGCCCTCGTTTTGAGACAAGGCGCCGGAGGAGCAAAGGACGGAAACACAGACGACGCCAAAGTAGACGATGCCGCTATCCTGAGGAGCATGGCCAGCGTGTACAAACATTTGAGCATGTCCTCGTCTGCGGCAGCATGTTTGATCCGCCTCGGAGAACTGAGTCGTCCTCAGGACGACAAGGACGACAAGGACGACAGGGTGCTCTGGGATTTATTCCAGGCTCTGTTATGGGCTATGGAAGCGGGTGACTTTGTTCGAATGCAGGGCGCAATCCGTCTGGTGCAGAGTTCTGGACGATGGAACCAGTACCAGGACATTAAGGTAAAATATATATACATATAAATATATAGCAAGAAACTAATGCGCACTTCTTCCCAACGGCCTCAAAAAAAAGACGTTTCGCTAACGACATAATTTTCGTCCGCACCGCCTTTCCCTTCCATATCTTTATAGGATATCGTGAATATTGCGAATGCTGTCATCTCGCAGGACAATGAATATCTCTATAACGGTGTAGCTCACGTTTTGGATCATCTCTCACTACTGATCGAGGCAGGCAGCGACGATGACAAGAGCCATCTACTGCTTTGTCGATACAACACATCATCTGCCAGTATAGACATCATTCGTCGAGTAAAACGACTTGTAACATAAATTCAAAAGTATTCCCGTCTCGTCTTTTTTTTATTTTAATTGTGTGATGTTTTGTTCTTTGCTGAAAAATTAGCTGGAAAATATTAGTTGTGAATGATATTTAAAAGGAGAGAAAGATGCAAAGGACACTAGAGAAAAAAAAAATATAAAAAGCCGTACTTGGTTCATGGATATCCGCCAGAGCTCCATGAAATGGCATGTCCTCCTCCCGGCTGGTGCTGCTGTTGATCCGTCGTTCCAGTTGCCACATCCAAGTCTGGAGGAACAAAGACCTGAGGATAAGGCTGCTGCGAGGGCGCATAAGGATGCACAGGATATGCCGGCACAATATGCGGATGCGACAGCCCAGGCAAGGGCCGTTGAGGAATCGGAGGCGGTGGGAGCGGGTGATTGAACTGCGGTGTAACATTTAGCATAGGCTGCAGGGGGGGATGCTGCTGCTGGTAATGTGTAGTAGGGCTGGAGGGCGTATGTGTTGTAAGTACTGCTGGTCCAGCGCCGTTCGTAGACAAAACGGGCTGCAGCACCGGTGCCATCAGATGCGACGGTGTCGGTGAGGCCTGATGATGCTTTGTCTGGGGCACATAGACGGCCTTGGGCTTATAATCAATGGGCTCCAGCAGCGTCTTAGGAGGCGGGGGCGCCTTGACCAGCTTGACGATTTGTCGGTTCTCGGCATTGTTGGGATCTGACATGACCATCTGGACGACGGTATTACCGTTCAGGTCAACATTCGAGTAGAGTCGACGGATGTTATCGCCGAGAATGATCTGCTCCAATGCCCCGGTTTCGATATGGCGAATCTCGATCAATCCATTCTCGAACGCCATCACGTACGGATATGCGACTGCAAACGACTCTGGGCGACCTTCCCACTCGATCAATTCGCGCTTAGCAAGCTCACCCTTCTTGGTCATCCTAAACGCAAAGTCTACAGAAGAAAGAACATGATTTGAGCTCTCCATTCATAGATGTCATACGAAAACAAGAGATAGATTACAGTACACAGAGCAAGAAAAAAATCTTACCAGTGTAGCACATCAAAAAGTCGTCAGAGCTGATCTTAAACATGCTGATAGGTACACTCCCGGGACGCAGATCCAAAAACGCAAAATTGGGGTCCTTTCTCGACGGGAAGACTTGAGTGTTACGAAGATTATCGAGCATTAGAATCTCGAATCCTTTGGGACAGACTACACAGACCATCTTGGCAAGCATCAGCAGCTGCGACGAGTCCGTTCCGACGTAGAATTCTTGGTAAAGCTTGAACCACTCGGACTTGCTAGACTTTCCAAACGACAGACTAAATCCTCCGCGATGATGTCCGCCCAAGACTGCATTCTCGACCGGCTCATAGGCAGAAAAGTGGCTCTCGCCCGCATTCCTGCGCTTCATTGTAATGACAAGTGTCTTGCCGGCACAGATGCCTGCTGTAAAGTACTGAACACTCTTTCCGAGCTGCTGGCCGATCTGGAGCGACTTATCAGAGTTGGGATCGAGACAACTGAGGTTGAACGCCTTAAGGACCTTGCCCGTCAGAACCAAAAGGATGTGGTACGCCTCCAAAACGCTGACCTGGCTGACGTTCTGCTCTTTGATCGCAAGCCTGAAACTGTAGGGGTCGTCCTCCATGCCCACATAGACTCCCTCTTCTGTTCCGATCACCACTCGTCTCCTTCCATCCAGAACATTGAGGTAGGGCGCGGAGCAGGTGGACCGTCGACCATCCATGGGGTTGTGAACTAGGTTCGAGGATGGGATGGGTGGCGTGGCGTTGTAGTGGGTGATAACAGTCGTCTTGAACAGCTTGGATCCAGAAACGGCCTCCTGTCGACGTGCCTGTGCAATCTCCGCTTGCTCTAGAAATTGCTCCCTATCCTGAGGCGTCATGTAAAGAGTGTAGACAGCACCTCGTCGCCCACGGTGCTCAATGGTCACAGGTACGATGTACTTGGTCTCTTGGAAGCCCACGCGGTGATTCAAGCTGGCCTCGTTAGACAGGAACGTTGAATGACGATGTCCAGAACCGGATGACTTTGTGCTGTTGGTCAACTTTCTTCCAGGTGCCGGCTCTCGTCCGTTGAGAATCGACATGGGCTTGCCCTCCTCCGCCCAAACGTGCATGAGTTCTAATGGAATAGGCTAACGACATCAATACCACCCAAAAAAAAAAAAAAAAAAAAAAAAAAAAAGTGAGCGATTATGCTCTGCAGACGTTGGAAGCGATAGTTGAAAGAAAAAAAAGAAAAAAAAAAGCTTACGTTCTTGGAGACCTGATACAGCATGTCGTCTTTCTCTCCGGTCTTGTCGCGTTTCTCCTTAGTCATCAGTAATACCTGGTCAAAGAGGAAAAGTCGAAGTTCGATCATCTGGACGTCCAGATTGGATCGTCGCTTGACAACACACTCAAAGTGCAGCTTTCTCTCTCTATCAGACAACTTGAGGTCCTGACGCACTTCCCCAGACTTCCAAATGATCTTGTCTTGGATCGTCAGTAGTCTGAGTCTTCGATTTGCCTCTGGTATGCAGGCATCAACGTGTTTTCCGAGCTCCTTGCAGACGTTGATCACCTCCTGTACAATCTCGCGATCCGAGACGCCCTCGGCAGTCCTCTTGACCACTTCATGTAGCAGGAGCGGGTACCTTGGGATTCGCTGATAAGGCTGACCAACAAAGTGTCGCAGATTCAAACGTCGCGCCTCAGGGTGTCGGGTGCAGTCCTTCAAGAACTGAGCAAACTTTGGATTTCGGCTCTCCTCCTTCTTGTAGGTGAATTCAGAAAGCGAGATCCGGGGGACGTATCGCGCATATGCCGACTCGAATCCTGAGACGTGTGCGAGAAGGACATCGCCGATGGCTTCGACTAATGGCTGCTGTTCCTGACGCTCCCTCAGATCTGCCAGTAGCTTCTTGTTCAGCTCGAGAACCTCGCGGTAGTTGAGAAAGATGTCCTCGATCAACTGCTCTCTTTTTTCAGGGTCGACAATGTCTCCTGTTCGAAGAGGGGCAATGAAGATCTAGTTTATAGAGAGAAGGATCCGCATCAGCATCTGGCGACATTAGATTACAATATTGCTGGTGCATATCATACAGAAGGTAGTAAAAGAACAGGCGACTTACCTCTTCCATGAGCTCGAGATCACGGACGTAATTATGCTCGGTTTGGATGACCTCGAAAATGGCCTCCTGCCGATTTCGCTCCTGTTTGGATGCAGCAGCAACAACACTTGCTGGGACAGAATTGGCCCAGACCTTTTCCTGCGTACTAACTGTCGACATGTCGCTGTTCTGCCGACCCAGCACGCCTGCCTATTTAAACACCAAGGCGAATCCAAAGCGATTGTTGAGTACCAAAGCGCAATACGTTCCTCCAGTGCTTAAAATTCAACACAATCTTTATGCGCACTTACAATATTCTGGCGGTTCGGGCAAAGGTACGAGTAACATGGGGCACCATCAGGCTGACAGTCGTAAGTGTAACAAGGGCTGCTGTACGGAAACACCCCAACTGGCACTGTCGGGAACTCTGTCTTGCCTGGGATATACGCCAATGTCGCCTCAGAGAAAAAGTACTGGTCGTTGTTTGAATCAAAGAGCATGTTGACTCCACCTCCAAAGAATAAGAGCTGCTGCTCCAATGATCGCGTAATGGCCAACGCATGGCGTCTGTCGTCCAGCTTTGTTAGTTCAACGACCACGTCCTATTAATAAGACATTTCAAAAAAGACGGATAACAAAAAAAAGTTAAACCTTTGCTCATGACATGTGGAGTGTGATCCTCAACCAAAGATAGAATAAATGTGTGCCTGGTCACAACATACCACTGCCTCCTTGCCCGTAAATGTCACTGGGAATTCAAGCCCATAGTTGGCGGACTCGACTCTCTTTGCCTCGTTTTGCAGCATCTTTTCGCGAAACGCGACCGCAATCGTCGAAAGAATACCGGGATTAAAGTCGATCAAGTGCAACGCAGCTTCGGAAAGATGAGTGGCCTCACTGCCTTCTCCCAAATAGGACGCGGGTGGGAACCCTGGTGACGAAGGTTGACTCCATGTGGTGTGGGTTGTTGAGGATCCCGTTGATGTCCGATAGAGCTGACTCACAGAACTGGATGTGGGTGATTGTTGAGGATAAGGATGACCTTCTGCATAGGGGTGCGGACTTTGTTGCTGTTCATATGACGGATATTGTTGCGAGCCCTGCAGGGGGTTGTAGGGGTTCGTGTGAGGTTGCTGATTTATCGAGGTGCTATCATGGTGCCGTGGTCGAGGAGGCGATGCAATATTCAGGTTGGAGACTTCATGCTGCATATCATTATAGGATTCGTTGTAGTTCCTGAAACTAGGTGCTTGGAAGGATTGCCTTGGTTCAAGTCCCTCATCCTCGTTGACTTGCGACAGCTTGGCCATCGATGGATGGTAGACAGGCTGCTGTGCGAGCTGTCGCTGAGATGCAGACTCGTAAATAGAACCGTTGTGCACGGATGAAAGCTGATCCGTGGAGCGTCTTGCAGCTGCACTGGTATATCCATACTGCGCCTGGTATTGTTGCTGGTATTGCTGTTGTTGGTACTCTGGTTTTGGGGATGAATGCTGATGCTGGAAGGGCGTGAAGGGGTATTGAGCTGACGATCCATTGGGCGGCACTAGGTGCTGTGTTGTGTCGTCCAGTACTGTGCTGATGTTGCTGGCGTTGCTGGTGTTGCTATGGTGACGGTACGGGCTGTTGGGGCTGGGATTATGGACAGGCTTCTTCTTGGAGGAAGAAGGCACGTATGAGCTCTGTGGAGTGTAGGTGACAGGCGCGAGTGGATTGACACGGTTTCCAGTTTCCTGACTGCTGGATGACGAGGTAGTGTAAGCGGCCATGGTTTGGTACGTGTCCTTGCACTAGGATCCTGATATGTAAATGTGTTTTTGACTACAGAAAGGGAGTAAAGAATAGGATGACAGGCGTGAGATGAGACGGACGGGCACGACAATCAATCGGAAGTGGATCAGTGAAGAGGTAGCGACAAGAAGCGAGGAGAAGGAAGCAAAAGAGCAAAGGAACGAAAAGTGAAAGATGGGACTATGTCCAAGAGCTCTTTGTTTGGTAGGCTGTAGGCTGCGCCGTTGGGTCAATTTGGATGAGAATGATACCCAAAATTGCTGTTCCTCCTCGGAACTCTGGGCCAGGAAATTATTAATCCCTCACTTCGCCGCTAAGAAAGAAGAGGCGGCTGTCGCCCAAGAAAAAAAAGGTAGAGACGCGTTTCTGATATGAAGGCAGCCCCTCCACACTGTTTCTCCGGTCGGAGGGCATTTCGTTGCTTTTTTTGTTTACCAGTCTTTTTGATGTGTCTCCGTGTGAAAAAAAAGAATAAGTAAAAGAAAAAGATGAAAAAAACGAAAAGAAACCTTCAGTGTACTTCTCAACAGAGTGCTCACTATTAGTTCGAGACTAAGGAACGATTGAAGATCCGTTCTAATTGAAGAAGTTAAGAAGCAACTGGCATAACTCAATTGTGACAACAGAGGGAAAAATGGAACGCCTGACCAACAACAGCAAACAAAGGCGAACAACGGAGATCAAGAGGGAAATATGTATGTGCGTGTGTGTGAGGCACTACATGAGGATTGGACACATACAAGAGTAGCAGCAGCAGAGCGCTGAGGGGATAGCCTCTGACGGTGGTGATAGTGTTAGGATCAGGTAGGGTTGCTGGTGGGGGCGACGGTGATGGATGGATGGAGTGCGCTGAGGCTATAGAAGAACGGAGCCAGCGATGGCGTTAAAAAAAAAGAAGGAATGGACTCGAGAGCACAGTACGCAGGTGAATAAAAGGAATGGGGTGCTGGGATGGAAGGGAGAGAGGGGAGGAGGAAGGGAGGATGTGGGTGGGCAAAGAGAGGGAGAAAGAAAGGGATGGGAGCGATTGAGAATGGAGAGATGGGAAGGAAGGGAGCAATGGTGGGGAAACAAAGGACGACGAAAGAGATAATAATAATTATAATAGTAATAGTAAATAACGTGCACATGAAAGTTTGCAGCCGTATGCGCCTGTTGTCCCTGGGGGGTGGGTGCTATGTCTGCACTGGCTGCGTACCACATCCCACTCGTTGAACTCCGTTGTCGCCAAAATGGATGCAGTCCCCCCTCTTCCTCCACAGACACAGCCCAGCTTCACAGCCCATGTCTGCCTGCTTCACTGCCCATGCCTGCCTGCTTCACTGCCCCACCTTATCCTACCCTGTCCAGGAAGAGAAACACCCCTCCAGTCCTTCTTCTCTTCGACTCTTGCGTGGTTCCTCCTCCTTGGGTTCATTCGCCATGTACGGTATACAACTTTTTTATATTTTTTATTATCTTTTATTGAACTTCTGTATTCAAACCACACCACATTCACGCTCTCGGTTCCTGCGCCTAGCGTTATCTGGAAGTCAAGAAACTCTTGGTATTGGCAATCTGCCTTAGCACCACACCCCATGACACAAATGATGAGCACTGGGTCGACCAACAATACTCTGCGGTAGCCTAGCCCATACATACATACATCATGTCCTTCCGTCCTTGCTCACCTCACTAGAGCCGACAATGTGCGTGTGTGTGTGTATATGTGTGAATGTTCTATAATGTGTGTCTGTATTATATATGTGTGTACGTGTGAACAGCCCAGTCATGGAGCGAAGCAGGTGCAAAGGCCGCCTCACAATTATCATTGCGATCGATATTCGTGTTCATGGGGGTTGTTTTTATATTCGATCCAATGCTGGAAGACAGTATGCTTTGTCGCTTGCTGTCACCCCTGCTAATAAAACTCTACGCGTAGACATCCACAGTTTCAGCCTCCATCGTAAGTGCCGTCTTCTTCACGCTCTCGTTCCAAGCTCCTAGACGCTCCTGCATTCCCTTGATCTGATTCCTATCAAGGACACGAGGCTGTACCCAGTGCACGCGCACCACAGAGTCCACCTGGTCAATGGTTCCCTTGATCAAACCGAGCGACAATGCCTTCATCACTAGAATCTCAACCTCCTCCATCGGCAACTTAGTTTCCGACGAGATTGTCGCAAAGGGGATCGAGCGGTTGTCAGAACTGCGCTTGAACACAGTCTCTGTCAAGGACATCAAACAGATCTTCTGACGCAAAGCAGTAATGTTCGACTGCAAGATGTGCTAAAAGAGAAAGGAAAATAAAGTACAGAAAACAGTATTCAATAAAGAAAATTCAGAGCTTGATCAGCACTGCCACTGTCATACCATTGCGAACCATTCTATTGCTACCTCTTGAGCAAAGTGCGGTGCTAGGGCCTCGAACTTTCCAATGTCTCCACTGTTGAACGCAAAGAGCAGGTTCTTTAGCCATTCACGCTCCGTTCCAACAAGCGACTCCAAAATAGGATGCATCAACTATTTTCAATAATAGATGGAGTTATTGTAAGTCCACAAATCTTCATTGCTGCTGGTATACGCGTCGCGTTCACCTCTGACCAAAGCACTGAGGCCTTACTAGCTCTCCAAAGTTGTAGATCGAGTCTCCCAAAAGTGCGGAGAGGGCGAGGTCATTTGCGCGGCTAGCCTTTTCAGCCTGGGAGAGATCGTCGATATTCACGCATGCCAAGTAAAGCAATGCGTTCTTGTAGTACTTGGCATAGTCTGCCTTGATCTATACATCACGGAAGACAAACGTCAATCAGACGTCCAAATCCAAAAGTGTTCGCCTCAAGTCAACGCCAATTGCTTCTCCGCAAGTCAGTTCCTCCGCAGTACCTTGTAATAGTCCGCAGAGACACGCAGATAGCTGGCATTAATTTGAGGGTCGACTGAATCAAAGTGGTCGAGGTGCTTTGAGCACTCTTCCAAATCCTTCTTTGTCGAGTCCAGGTCGCCCAGCAACAGTCCATAATGAGTCGCCTCCATCTTTGCCAGCACGTAAGCATCCCTCGTCTCGTCCTTGTTAACCTTTTCTGTCAAGGTCTTCAGAAACTCCCTAGCTTGCTTATGGTCTTGAAAAGCGAGAATATGGCAATATGGGTCAATAAAAAAATGGATTACTCGAATGAATCGTGGCACATGGGCTTTGATACGACAAGTGACCATACGCACCTGGAATCTGCTTCGAAGCAGAGACGCCGAGGACGACCAGCTTGAGCTGACTCATCTTTGATTCCCAGTCTGAAATAAACTGGTTATAGAGATCCACCTGGAATGGTCCGGACTCGGGCTTTGATACAAATTCCTGAACAGCCAAAGTCAGTTGGTGCCACAGCCTAGGTCAGAGCAAAACAAAGCGAGTTTACAAAATGTTGAGAAAGACAATCGACTAGCATAGGAGGTGGAAACGGATGCTGGAGCATAAAAGGCTTCGGCGATTGAGCAACTGACATACTTGCGCTCGTAAAGGTCCTCAAAGGTGTTGTAGTAGTTCTGGAGGTGGGCTGGAACCTGGCGCTTCTGGGAAGCCAGGAACTGAGGAATGTCAGAGTCGATCTCCATTGTATAATAGCTACGTCTGCCGGCGAGGGTGGTCCTGAGAATGGTGAGTGTGTTGTTTGAATTGGTCGCTTGTCTTTCCTGGCAGGAGTGTTGAATGAAGAATGGTCCTGAACAGGAATTGTGGTTGGAAGGCAGAAAGGAAAGGTGCGCGTCTGGTTCGAGTGCAGACGTGTCTAGGAGTTCCTCGCCGCCGTCGGTGACGTGGATATGATACGGTCAATTAAAGAGTGCTGTCAATTAGAGATACCCATACTCTCTTCCCTGTCCAAATTTGAGCAAGCGCTCTTCTTTTGTCCCACTCCGCCCTCTCCTCTTGCCTCCTCATTCTCAACATCCTTAATCCCATTCAAGAAAGCACTGATGCGCCACCTTTGGACCACAGCCAGCCTGGCACTCTCCTGTGCCGTGCTCTCTCTCGCTTATCCAAACCCACAATCCCATCCTCAGCTGTCATGGACAGACCTGCAACAGGAGCAACAACAACATTCCTTCGCCCCCTTCCACCGCAGCACACACCATCCTGGCAGCAACAGCGACCATAGCGGCATTAATGCTTATGCCCGCTTTGATGGCGAACAGGTTCTCCGCGTCGAGATCACATCGCTGGCCCAGCTAAGGCAGCTCGAAACAGTTGTAGAGGTGAGTTTGCCTCTTCCTTCCCTCCTCCCTCCTCCTTCCTTCCCGCCGGGGCTCGAATCGTTGGAAGCATAGGACACGGGTACTCGCGTGAGGAGGGCGCAAATTACAATGAAACATATGCGCACCAACCAGCCGATTCCTACGCTAGACGACCAGTGGATCGTCTACCAAGGTCCATAACCCAACTCTGACTTTTCTGCGCCGTTATCTGGATAATCTCGTGCATAGAATCACAGTCTCGACTTGTGGTCTAATCTCAGGATTGGAACTGTAGATGTGAGAATTCCAGCGTCGAAGATGGAGGCCTTTGAGGCCGCCACCCACAATATCCCCTCCACCGTCATGATACCTAACTTACAGGAGCTCGTCCCCAGCCAGTCCCCAGCGTCTCTGCTTCACGCCGCCAACAACGAGTGGAACTTCACCGACAACTCGTTCTGGCTCAATTACCATGACTTTGCAACGCTCAGCAATTTTACAGAGGCGATGGTCCAACAGTTCCCAGATCTGGTCAAGCGGGTATCGATCGGACACACCTATGAAGGCAGGGAGGTCTTTGGTATGTCGATTCATGGATACAAGGGCAAGAAAGAGAAGGAGGGCAAGAAGGGCTTCCTCGACGACGATAATGACGCTGCAGACGATGGTGACGAGGATGAAGATGAGAAGACAGCACTTAAGCAAGTGGAGGAGCAGATCGAGTCATGGTGGTCCTGGCTGTTTGGAAACCCAAAGCAGTCTAAGCGTAAGCCCTCGAAGCCAAAGAAGCACCCGAAGGCCATTGTCCTCCACGCAGGACAGCACGCCCGAGGTAAGTCACTTTGGTGTGAGAAAAACTATCTTGCGGAAGGGCTCACACGAGCACACGTTGTTGGTTTCCTGCAGAAATTGGATGTCGATAGTCACCTCCAATCGATGTCGCGTGTGCGCCAACTCTGCCGATGGTGACACCACAATTTTCATTTCCCAATATAGTCCTGACTCTCGCCAACACTATTTTTTTTTTCTTTTTTCTATAGAGTGGATTAGTCCTGCTGTAGTCACCTACATCGCCAAGGAACTGATCTTGGGGTATAGCCACAACAAGAAGATCACTCGGCTAGTCAACCAGTTCGAATTCATAATTGTGCCGGTGCTGAATGCAGATGGCTATGCCTTCACCTGGGAACACAACCGAATGTGGAGGAAAAATCGGCAGCCAACCTCGGTTCCCTTTTGCCCTGGTATCGTAAGTGCATCCTCCCCTTTCAACTATTCCTGAGTACCCTATATGGCTTTTTTTGTCGCCACATTGCTGACTGTATCGTTTTGCTCTCCTTTAAAAATAACAACGTGTATAGGATCCCAATCGCAGTTGGGGATACAAATGGAACACTGGCGGCAGCTCAAGCAACCCTTGCAACGAGGCCTATAATGGACCCGAGGCCTTTGCTGCCCTGGAGGCCAAGATGATGTCAGATTTCATTCGTAAGCGCAAGAACGTGGTCGCCTACATCGACTTTCACGCCTATTCCCAGCTTTGGATGACACCTTTTGGAGGTGATTGCGATCAGATTCCCAAGGATGATGAGGACATCATGGAGGCCGCCATGGGAGCAGCCAAGGCATTGTATGGTATTCACGGCAAGAAATTTGCTGTTGGCAGCATCTGCAGCATCATCTATCAGGCCAGCGGTGGATCTATTGACTGGTAAGGAGATTACCTGTGTGCTTTTGTTTCCGGAGTGATTATTTGGCGTGCTATAACTACGGCGCTGACAACACTGTTAAAAACTTGGTGTAGGACATATGCTGAGGGCAAGGTCAAGTACTCGTACGGAGTAGAGCTGCGAGACACTGGTCGCTACGGGTTTCTTCTCCCAGAATCCGAGATCCTGCCGTCGTCCGAGGAGACCTTTGCTGCTGTCATCTATCTATCTAACTTTATCCGCAAACGCGAGAAGCAGTGGGGCTACATGCTGTAAGCAAATTAGATCCATCATAGCCAGAGCGGCGTTGTATATTTCGTTTTCACTATAATAAATACTGAAACCTCCATAGCTGAATTCACTCTTTGTGCACAGTTGGCCACTTGGAGTGAAAAGCAATCGGTTATTGTATTGCAACACTACGACAAGTTTCATGGACATGGAGGGGCAACGGTCTGTGCATCTCTAAGGGCTATTTTATTCACTGTTCAATGACATGGATCCCCAAAATATCGCGATGGAGCTGCTTGCCTCAGCATCAGCAAAGGCTGATATATGATCCCTTGACCGTTTCATTTTTATTTTTTTTGAGTGCGGTATGGGTGTTGTTGGTTGTTGCGATTGCTCAGCAAAGATCTCCCCGATATCCATATGTGTCTTGCTTTGACCCTGGAGATTTCTCCAATGTCTAATTAGGGACAGGGCTAACTTTTTTGTGAAGAACGTGCGACATCATTTTATTTTTATTTTTCGTGAGGTATAGGGACACATTGCGAAAAAGGAACTCGGCGATTTACACATGAAAAAAGAAAAAAGCATTGGGGCTTGGACCGCTTGCGCTTCGTAAAGAGCTTTTCTTCGAAAAGAGCTTTTGTAAGAGCGCTGCTGCGCTAACTGTAAACGGCCAACATAAAAAGGTAGACAATGGTTCCATTGCAATAACCATGGGGTGTCACACCTGGAAATCCCGTCAAGATCCTCCTCAACTGACAGACAAAAGTGTTGTATGCACCTGGCAATTAAAATAAGAAAAAAGAGAGAGATAGAGAAGGAAAGACAGAGGAAGATTATGCTGTTGAAAAGACTGACGAGGGACGACAACAAGATCTAGAGCGTGTAGGTAAGGGGTCCGTCTGCGTGGAGTTAGTTTCCTTCCAAAGTACCGTCTGACTGTCGGTAACTTTTTTTTTTGTTCATATATGAGCCACTTGCTCACCCGCGTGCCCCCAACCCCCAACAGTGCGAATGAACCTTGTCTCGAGCGCACTGATGCTCTCAGCAGTCGAGGTGCGGTACACCTATGGCTCAGAAAATAACGGCCCCAATAGTGTGAAACGTGGGTTCGATGGATTAAAAGTACATGTAGGGGCCTAGGTATGGCCTAGACATGTCTTTTGTCTCTTATGTCCAGCAGAGGATAGAAAGGCCAATTTGATGTTGGTGGACCATCCATGGCGCTCTAGTCTACTCTAGTAGTTTCCATATTTGATCCTTCCTCCTCCCCTCTGGCGCCTGACAAGGCAACCGTATTGGTAGGACCTGGTAAATCGTTTCTCCTTCAGAGTGAACGCCCAATTGTCGACTGTGGATCCAGAAAGTAGGCGAACCCTTCCAGCGAATGAAAATTCGGGCAGTCTAGAAACAACCCGCAAACTGGGTGAGGGATGGGAGGAGGACAGGCACTGCAGCGGTTGTCCGGTTGTCCCTGGATGAATAATGAAGGGATGATGTGTATGGCATGTAGACTATAACATGTTTTCTCAGGCCCCTGTCCTTCCATGGAGGCTTGGCTTGCTCGCGTGCCCGCTCCAGTCTGGCAGTTGCAGTCTTGTCTGTAATCGGTACGACCTTGGCGACCAATGGGTCGCAAAGAAAAAAAGTCGTGCATGCCCGTGTACTGTGGGCTAGTGTGGAGAGAGATAGGAGGCGAGTAAGCAAGAAAACATAAGCATGTGCAATCAGCGCAAGGCGCACACACACATTTACAAATAGATATATCGCACCGAGGAGAAAGAGGAAGTCTCTGCAGAAATAAGTGCCTGAATGTGGGTGCATGCAGGAATGTGTATTAGGTGATACAAACTGGAGCTCCTTCCTTCTCGGTGTTCTCTCTCCAACCGACTGAATACAAATGAATTAAGAGAATACTGGACTGTGGACTATCCCCCTTCTCTCTCTCCATCCAATCGAGGGAGAAGGATTAACGAGCGGTCTCCTCTCCCACTCTCCCCTCCCACCTCTTGCTGTCTTCTCTCCTTCTCTTTTCTGTCTTCTCTCTTCCCTCTCTCTCTCTCTTCTCCCTTTCTCTCTTTCTCTCTTCTCTCTCCCTCTCCCTCTCCCTCTCCGTCTCGTCCGATACCCTCTCGCCATACGTCCGTATCCCCCTAGTCTCCACTTCCCTCCTCCCCCCTCCATGGCCTCTCGCCCTCTGTAACGTCCCCCCCTTTGTACATACACACATTCCCTTCCATACCCTCCGACCTGTTTATTCCTTCTCACACACCCGCCTCGGTTCGTTAATACGATTAAAGTTCCGCACCAAGTGCCTGTCTGTGCCTGCACCTGTCTCTCCCCCCCCACAAACAACACACGCCAAACCCTTGCCTCCACACCCCACATATCCGACCCAGTCCTCGCCCAGAGTCAACCACAAAGCAATGGTCAGGATCGCACGGTCGCTCATCGGCGGTCTCCTGGCACTGTCCATGCTCCTCCCAGCATCAGTCGCCGCTCAAAAAGCCACCACCACCATCACTAAGGCTGTTGCTCCCACAACCACCGCCCCCGTAGTGGCCGCCACCTCCCACGCAGCACCCACAACCAACTTCGTCCTCCCTACGACTACCCCAACAGCCCCCGGCACAACTTCCCCAAACGGCGCCAGCAACCAAACCTCGGCCAGCTGCCCTGGCCCACTGATCCCCAACACAAAGGGACTTAAGATCTCGACCTGCATGGGCCCCTGCTGTATCAAATGCCCTGCAATCGAGAGCTTTTACAAGCCCAACCAGGTCGAGAATGTGCTCAAGGCCGCCTACATCACCAGGCAGGTCTCCATGGGATTTGCCGTCTTCATAGCCATCTCATACCTGGTCCTGCCAGGCAAGCGGTCCCAGCCGCACATCTCGGTCCTGTTCCTGACGGTCTCACTCTCGCTCTGGTACGCGGCCTTTGATGTGATGCCGGGCGTGTCAAATGCCTGCGTCGATGACTTTGAGCAATCGACCGGCCATAACTCGAGGCTGTGCGGTGTCCAGGGCGTGCTGATCATCTACCTGACCCAGACCAGTGCATTGTGGTGCTCGCTCCTGATTTACAAGCTGCACATGGTAAACAAATCCGCGCCCTTTGTTTTTGTTTCTACTTTACGCAGACCCTGCCCTGTTTTTTTTTTTTTTTTTTTTTTTTCTTCGTGCTCATCTGCATTGACGCCTCAGCCCTCATTCGCTCTCTCTAAATACATCCATCGAGATGTTTATCGCGTTATGATCCACCCGTATATTACACATATTGTATCTCGATAACGATGCCCGCATATCGCCTTTTCATTTTTCTGTATCCTTGGAATTGCTCTCGCGCATGGTCTTGTGTTCCCTGAAAAATTTCTGCCATCCCTCTGACAATATGGCGCCCAGACAGCAAGGAACTTTCGCTGGAGCAACTGCCAACAAAGTGGAGGAGTAGAAACAGCAGCGAAAAGCACGGTCGAGGCTGAGTGCCGTAAAGTGATAAAGTGAATAAGCAAACAAACAAAGCCCTCCCCCTTTTGAGAGCGCGCTAACCTATTTTCGCAAGCAATTCTCGCCCATCCAACGCGTGTCCTTTTACTTCGCTTCGTTCTCGAGTTTCGTTGGTGCTCCGCTCTGCCCCATTAACCTTAATCGGATTCTCCACTCCTATTGCACACAATTTATCCTAACCACTAACCATCTTTATCATCTTTATTCCCACCAAATCAGCTGGCGGTCTGGCGTTCCAACTGGATCGACGCCTACTATGGATGGTTCACCGGTCTCTGCTGGATCCTCCCTCTGGCATTCGCGATCCCAGTCGCTGTCAAGAACCTGGCCGAGTATCCCGGAATCGGATTCAGCTGTCTGGTCAACACCTCCAACTTGAACACCTATCTGTTTTACCCCACGGCCGTATACATATATCCAGCCATGCTCTGTCACATCGTCACTGTCGCAAAGATGATTCATGTAAGTGCTGTTCCTCACCAGTGCACACGAAAAGCGCTCCCGCGAGTGAATGGGGCCATATCAGACACTTATCAATTTCATGTTCGTTCCTTTGTCGTTCACATAGTTGGCGGTCATGTCCTCCAAGATCGACACTGGTCTTTCGCAGCTGTCATCAGACGCCAGAATGAGGATTACGACGACCATGCAGGCCAAGCGCCTCCTTCGTGGCCAGTGGCGTCCAGCTCTGATGATGGGTACAGTCATGACCTCGCTCACGGTCTTTTGGCTGTTTTACTTTGTGGATGCTCATCGTATCGCTAGCCTCGGTCCCAGTACTCCCTGGCTCCAAGAATGGGTTGCTTGCGTCATGGCAAACGGTGCCCAAGGAAAGTCTTCGGTTGAGACCCAGACCATCTGCGCCAAGGGAGCTGTCCATAATCTTCCCTCGATCCCTTGGTTTACAGCTGCAGAAATGTTGGTGGCGGTCCTCGGTGTTATTGTCGCCGCAGTATTCATCTCCAAGTCCGAGTTTTGGGAAGAGTGGGCCTATCTCCTGAGCAACCTGCTCCGCCGCGGCAAGACTGGCCGCGGTTCCTCAAGAGGCAGAAGCTCGCCCGATGGCGGTTCGAGTGCCCCCACCAGAACGTTTAACAATCAGCACCTGGATGACAGGAAGGTAGCACCTCTTCGTCCGGATATGAAGGGTAGTGCTCCGGGCGTATACAGGAGCAACAGCAAGGCCAGCTTGAACGGCTCGCCTGCATCGCAGTGGTACGATATGGATGACCTGATTGACAAGGAATACGACGACCAGGGCAACCGCAGACTGCAGAGGAGCATGAGCTATGGATCTCGCGCAGGAATCGCGGTCCATTCCGGTCCCAATCCAGTCTCTGATCCGCCGCACTACAACAACACCGACACTATCAGCGGCGACCTGCTCTACAGACCCCCCATCCAAGAGGCCACACCTACGCACTGGTCCCCAAGTGCACACACCCTTGCGAGTCCCACCAGGGCCTATATGAACCAGAGCGACCATGAGCGCTATGTTGAGGAGCCTGTAGTCCCCAGCCCTGTGCCTAGGACACCCAAGGTAGCCAATAGCGAGCCCGTGTTCCTCTCCAGCCCCGTCGGTGTTGCCTCCTCGCCCACTTCGGCTACGGGCTACCACAGCAACTCACTTTCACCCATGCCGCCGAGGTCGCCCACATATCCGCAACGATCCCAGCCTCTCGAGTCAGTTCCGATCATTGGAGTCGCGACGCGTGGCTCACCAGCACTGGCATACCAACAACCACAGGTGCAGGCGCAATATCCTCATCAAAAGATGTACTCGACCTCCCCCTCACAGAAGCAAAAAGAAGCACTCTACAGCTCAAACGAGAGCGAGCAGATTATGATGGCCTCGCGTGGAAGTGTGACTATGGGCAAGAACATGGGCCCCTCGACCAAGAACAACGGATCCCCTCAACCACACCCCATGCGGATCAACACGACTCTTGCTCAATCATCACAAATAGATGAACGGTCCAAGAGTCCGCCACCGTCGGTGCCCGTCAAGAGTCCCCATCGACATCTTCAACAAGGGTACACATCACCACCGATTCGCACACCTGCTTCGCCATCGAGCAATCATTATCGCGAGTAAACATGGAGCTGAAGAGGTGGAAAACGTGGTATAAAGAAGAGCATCGGGGGGGGGGGGGGGGGGGACGATTACAGATGTAAGGGAGGGACATGCAGAAACGAAATGAAAGGAAAAAAAATAAACAACGCGGGTCGTTCATAGATTATACTTCTCGTATACACGACGCATATTTTCCCCTTCAAGCAAAAAGAAAAGAAAGAAAAAGACAACAACAGCCCATTATTAAATACTACAATAATCAACATCCAACGGTGCGAGTGTCGAAGTTTTATGAGTTCATCCCACGGTCTCTGATGTATTTCTGTTACCATGAGCAATTGGACGCCAGGGACGTGAAAGGAGAAAAGGGTTTAGCGGGGAAGGAGAGTTGTACAAGACCTTTATTAATGTCTTTGCGATCGACCACTCATCGTTTCATCCGGAGTGCGTAGCAGGGGGTTAATTTGGTTGTGCTTTGTGCGACGTATACACGCGTATATTGCGTGGGATATATTGTAATATCCCCTCCTTTTCTTGTATGTAGATAATGACCATGCCACGTACATACCTTGTGCAAGCGTACACATGGAACTGTACAAGTAGTCTACTCGTACGCTTGCCTTTTTAATCAGCAATTGGTATAATCATCGCTCTCGTTTATTCAAGGAGAGAGAGAGAGAGAGAGAGAGAGAGAGAGAGAGAGAGAGAGAGAACAACTACATCCTGCTTTATGCTTCAAGCGTTGTCACTGCTTCGTATGTATCAGTGAACAGATGTGTTTAACGACCTCGCTGTGGTCCGAATATGCTCATCTGTTTAGACTGTTTGCTTCCTCGATGGTGTTGTGGAGAAAAAGGGAAAAGAAGAGTAAAGTCCAGAGGGCTCACGATTCGGCATTACGTTTGTTTGTTCACCTTCCCAAATAAATGTAATAATTATCGACATCGAAGGAGTGGAGTATCGCAAGCTGTACCTGAATACTACTTCACTACAGGCTTTACACTACGCCATATTAGAGACATGGCGTAGTATGGCTAGCATGGCTAAGGTGTGCTATCTCTCCGCCTTTGATTGTTTGGCCCAATGAGTTCTGTCTTCAAAGGTTTCTCCGCATTTCGTCCTGTCAACGGTGCCATCGATAGCCTCATACCGCGGGACGTCTTCCACACTTTCTCTCGTGTTCTTTTTGTTCTTGTTCATCCTTCCTCTTCCACTTCCTCTTCTCTCTTCAAAGCCCTCCCCACGCACACCTTATATACCCCATATACTCTCCACTTCACTTTTGACGATCACTACCATCTCTAATATATCCACAAATGTCCATGCGGCGGACAACCACGTCCACCCTGGTGCTTGTCGCAATCCTTTTCTTCGTCACAACCCTGTTCTCAGCCCACCCCTTGGTCTCATCGACCACTACTTCCAATGTTATCACCATCGGGCCTCTTCCTTCAATCACCACTAAAACATCCGTAACCACGACAACACCGGCCACTACCACTACATCCACTGCTCGAGCATCAAAAACATCCAGTATTACAACACCTACAACCAACTTCATCCTTCCAAAGCCCACGCCCACAGCAGGCGGCAACGGAAATTCATCACTTTTGACGACTTGCCCGCCTCCACTGATACCCAATGTCAATAACCTCGTCTCCTCATCCTGCATGGGATCTTGCTGCATGCCATGTCCCGCGTCCTCTATATTCTATGCACCCCATCAAATGGAAACGGTGCACACAGTAACAAGCGTCCTCAGGGCCATCTCTGCAGCGGCCTGTATGATTCTGGCCGTGTCCTATTGGACTCTACCCAGTCGGCGCAAACATCCACATCTGATCGTATGGCTACTCGCGATCACCATCGTGCTCTGGGAGGCTCTGGGAACCGTGTGGTTACATAAGAAAGAAGAGCTGTTGTGCGAGAGCGCGTATGAGGTTGCGAACATGACCAATTCATGGCTTTGTGCAGTCCAAGGTAATTGTAATTGTAATTGTAGATTATTCCGTAACGACCTAAACATTCAACCACGTTGCTTCATGCTCACCATGGCTCTCGAACCTTTTGTTTAGGTATTGGTATCACGTATCTGGTCCTAGTGATTCTCTGGCTGGGGCTGTTGTTGATCACCAACCTACACGTCTTGGCCGTCTACCGGTCCTCGATTGTCCAGACCTACATGTCCAGATTTATGGTGCTCGCCTTTTCCCTGCCCCTGGCCATGGTCATCCCCGTGGTGGTCAGGAAGGAAATCATGAACCCAGGATTTGGCTCGATTTGCTTTGTGGGCCCTAATGTTGCGGACGCGTACTTTTTCATCCCACTGTCTGTCATCGTGTGCCTCGCGACGCTGATGCATCTGGGTACAATCGGGTACATGATCAGGGTAACAATGCTGCTCTATACACTACCAAGATTAATGGGTACCGGAACGTTTAGAACACGGATCTCACTTATCGTACTATCCTCTCCTCCCTATAGACGAAAGTCGAGGCTGGCAAGGACTCGTTCAGCCAGGGTATTGCTAACCCACACCTGCCTGTCTCGACCAAGGAGCGACGTCTCCAAATCTCACGCGACATCTCCCTCTTCCTCAAGCAGCAATGGCGTCCTGGTGTTTTCGCTCTGGGTCTGTTGTTCATCGACATGGTCTACTGGTTGTTTTATTTCGTCGAGAGTAAAAAACTCATGAACGTCGGACCCAAGGTCCCCTGGTTCCAGGACTGGATCTCCTGTCTCGGTCAACAAACCGTTCTTGCCATCAAGGCCGGCACCCTCTCCGCCAAGAACCCCACTCCGGACCAGATCCAGGCGACAGGAGACTTTGCTCAAATGTTCTGTTCTGGTATCGCAAGACCCCATGTACCGAACGCTGCCTGGGCTGCCCTGACAGATATTTTGCCATCAATATTTGGGATCGTGGTGCTGTTAATTTTTGGATCCAGGATGGAACTGTGGCGGGACTTGAAGTCGCATCTGTTCGGACAAAGTCGTCATGAGGACGATCAGGGTGGAGAGAACGGTGGCGGGGGCAAGTACATGCTGGGCGAGGTCACCAAAGGAAACAGAGACAAGACCCTGGAAAAGCAGCAGCATGTGCCTCCGAGACCCATGCTCAGCAACATCAGCCAGATGCGTGAAGAGTGTCGCGCTGCTGATCAGGATCTTAGGAACCTCGACAACTTTTACAGCGATCGGATGAATCCCACCGCCGCCATGAGAACAGGCGCAGCCCAAGGAACCATATTCATGGGCAATTCTGGCGACCGTAATCTCCACTCACCGACCCTGCGGGTCGATACACCCGACCCATGGAAACTCACGTCCTTACCGAATTCTGTGCAGGAGAGCGATCAATACAGCCTTGTAAGCGGTCGCTCATTAACACCCCAGCTCAAGATCAACACGGATTCAGTATCCCAGCCCAGGTCGACAACAGAGTCGCAGAAGCGGTTCTATAACACTGAGGACTTGCAGGCGTCACCCATCAGTCTCATTACCCCACCTCCACTGTACATTCCTAATAACAACAGTAACAATAGCCGCGGAGTCTCGCCTACATCCAGGGCCCACAACTTTCCGGATCTGGACCCACAGCTGGCTGTAGTCGGGGAGGCAAGTCGCGTCCGTTTGGATTACCGATCTAATTCGGAGATACGCCAATTCCAGTCCGAGGCACACTCCTTGTACTACCAACCGCAGCAGGCAAAACCGCAGCTTCTCTCCAGAGATTCATCTTTGCGTTCCATGCGGGCAGCTTCGCCCGTGCCTGTCCGACCGCGCAAGAGCCTTGCTCGACGTTCATAGAAAAAGATTCCATTTTTTTTATTTTTGTTGGTTTGTTTTTGTACAGCCCTCCCCTTCCAAACCGCTTTTGTTGATATCATCTGCCTTGCTTTTCTTTGCTGTCAATGTAATAAATAAATAAAAAAGAACAACGATTTTATTTATCCGCAAGCGTTCGTGTCCAGTCCCAGGCGTGCCAACCCTTCTTAAACGCCTCGATGCGTCTAGGACTCTCTGCAGTCGGAATCCTCTTGTTATTCCTTCGTGACCACTGCAATGAGTCCATCTCGCAGATCGAGGCTAAGACCTCCTTTACAAAATAGTCTTCGAACCTATCCGCATCCTCAATGACATGGCCATACCCCTTGTCAGGCGACCCAAACCAGACGTGAACGAACGGCATCTTGCTGGTCAACCGCCGACGGAATCCTCCGTTCTTGGGGTCCTTGGTGTCGGTCTCAATCAGCTTCTTATGCTGCGACCACTCTTCGTCTGCATTCAGAATGGCCTCCTTGAAGTATCCTGGAGCGGTTTGGCCAGCATCCCAGGGAATAGGGATACACTCGATCACCGTGTGTTTCTGCCACTTGAGGTTAATCACTGTTTCCGAAAAGACCACGTATCTCTCCTGTGCTGCGTTCATCTGGATCAGACACTTCATAAAGTTCCGGATCTCATCCCAGGCATCGTCGTCGCACTCCAGGGTCGAGGTGACATGTTGAACGGGGACAATCATGCAATGGCCCGGTAGGAACTCTTTGTACAGTGGCAGACCGAGATAAACGCGTGCGCCCATAGAAACCACTGGCATGACCGGTGGAGTGCGACCCTCGTCCTTGAAGCACATGGAGCAGTTATCGAGTGCTGTCTGTGTTTTGCGATAGTCGTTAATGGCAGAGCTCTTGAGCTGAGCGTCGTTTTTCTTGACTGTGCGCGCAATTTTGTCCGCATTCTCGTCCATGTAGTCAAGATCATCCTATCAAGAGCAGAAATCCGGGTGTTAAAATTTCTGATAAAGCGATAGTTTATCCTAGATCCTGGATGCGAACTGTACACAGGGGCCTCGGCGTACTTACTTTGAAAACAGCATCTCGAGTGATCCTGCGAGCGAGCTCCTTATCCATGCCTTCCTCCAGACCCAGCTTTTCGCGTCTCACCAACTCGTGAAGATCCATATCACCCTCTTCGCCCTGATAAGCGATACGGTTTCCTTGCTCATCATGTGTCACCTCCTTCTTGTTGCCCGGTGTCTTCCTGTTACCAGGACCAAGAGGTGCTGGAGACGAAGACCCACTGGACCGTCCCATAGTTTGCACAATGACCGTCCTCTGCATATCCGGCGATTTGATAGAAATCTCCAGGGCAGCCTTCTGTGCTTGTTCGTACTCCTTCTCTAGGGCCTCTGCGTCCGGCGTTCCCAGCATCTTGGCGCGGATAGCCTTCGCCTTTAACTTGTTCAGCTGATCAGGTGTTATGGTAGGCTCGGCCGAGTGATTCGGAATTGGTGAGGATACATGGGTTGCAAATGGAGATGGAATTGGCGTAAATCTTCTTTCTTGCTCCTTTTCCCTTTCCTTCTCCCTGTTGCGCCTCACCAGCTCCTTTTCTAGCCGTTCCTGCTCATCCATAGGTCGCTGAAAGGGTGAAGAAGCCGCAGAGCTGAATTCTGAAAGACGCCCGCTCTTCGACGGTCGGTCATCTCTGCTGCGACGATCGTCGTCTCGAGCCCGTCGATCATCATCATCGTCGCGGCGTCTATCGTCCCTGCGGCTGTCTCTTCTGTCATCCCTCCGGTCGTCCCTGTCATCGCCTCTGTCACTTCGGCGCCCCTTCCTCCTTGATGCTCTCCTGTCCAATTCCCTGCGCTCCTCCATCGCTTCATTGAACTTTTCTATTGACTATTACATATAGAATGAAAGGATAACATTAATATAGACCATCACATGGTCGACGCTCGAACGTACTGGCCGAGACACAAGGACGAGGTACACACCCCGTAGCGCTCGATCCCAATGACTTCTGGAGCGACGCCTTCCTCCGCCGCAGTTTCCAGAACGCGCTTCAGCTTGGTCATTCGCCAGCTTGATCCTGCATCCCCAATAGTATACGACGGCTTTTCTACGACTGATATGAACCATCCGAAATGTGAGTGTCCGAAACTGCATCCAAGGTCATCACTGGCAGTTTATGGAAATATGTCCGAAAATGCGTACCCATTTCTGGGTACTGGTCTATATGGAGGCCAGCTTTGTAGTGGACGTTTAGTTCACGACTGCTGATCCGGGGCTATTACGATGGAATATAAATAAAAAAAAAAAAAAAAAAAAAAAAAAAAGGGTGTCTGTTAGCCTGCTGAGTACGATTGCCGAACAGCCAGCTGACGCACTAAGTGGCAAGAACAGAAACCACAGTTGCATACCTTGTCTGGATTAGGCTGGTCCTCTTTCGGTTTCTTAACCCTCAATGCTCCCATAAGCCCAAAATCTATGCCACCGCCTTCCATCATCCATGCATCATGTTTTGGACCATCATTTCCCTTTGATGCGGGTGTATTTGAGGATTGGTACTGATCGCTTGATAAATCAACTGGTTCTGTGCTAGGTTGGCTGGCGATTTGTGCCTGCAAGGGATTCGGATCAACTCCTGGGACTTCCTTCTCCACCCACATGTCCTCGTCGCCGCTGTCCTCTTTGTCGACTCTACGACCACTGCTCTTGGAACTTCTGTCCTTATCCCTGTCATGTTTTGATGATGATGATTTGTGGTGATGACGTCGATGTCTATCTTCGTCGTCCCGATCATGGTGCCGAGTCTTGGAGGAAGACGAAGAGGACTTGTGCTTCTTATGTCGGTCCTCGTGTTCGTCCTTGTCGTGGTGACGGTGCTTCTTGTCCCGCTCACGGTCTTGGTCGCGGTCCTTGTCGTCCTTCCAGTCCTTATCCCGCCGATGACTGCTCGCACTGCTTCGTGAAGGCGCGTCCATGCTGAGTTCTCAAAAGTTGGTTGAATGGGGGGAGAATGCAAGAGTACCGTGCAAAAAAAAAAAAGTGAGACCTTATTCTTCTCGCGCCTTGAAAGACCGCTCTTTCAAGGTTTGAACACTTACAGGTGTAAAGAGTGGCTTTGGCCTGTTTTGGAGACAAGCTGATCTTCGTCCTCCCGTTAGCATGGTCTAACTCACTCTTCAGTTCTGGCACCGAAACCATTTCAACGGAATTCCACACAAGAATCATGGCAGCAACATATTTCAGGAAAACTCTCTGGTTGAGCACCAAGTTCGCCATGCCTGCGCTCCGACCAGGATCCCAGTTCTGCAGGTTCAGGTCTTCGTGGAGCGCTCCCGACTCTGCAGTTCACAGTGGTAACAGCGACAACAGCGACACAACAAGGCAAAGGAAGATCGACAATAAACCTTTCAAGGGTAAAAACAAAGGAAGCAAAAACCCAGAGGTCGGCGACAAATATGTTGAGGAACCCTTTGAAGACAAAATCCCGTCCATCAAGAAATCCACCGACCCTGACCTCTACCGCATTTTTTTCAGGAGTCCAGATAAGATCCGATCTCTGGAGGACGCCCAGGTTTTCATCAGCCATATTAAATTCAGCTACGGTCCATTAACACAATACCAGTTTGCAAGGGTATGTATGATCTACAGAAGCGAACTGCGTGACTACTACTTTTTTATCATCAGTCCTCATCTATTAGACAATTCACTAACGCAATACTGCTCTCCGAGCATTCTGCTGAACAGTGCCCTGAAACGAATAGGTATCTTGGATACGGATTTTTGACGTTCAAGTACGAGGAGTCGCTCAACAAGGCTTTATCGGATGAATATATTCGGGTCGGAATGAAGGATTTTGAGCTCATACGGACAGGACACATGCCCTCGCGTCGTGCCATCCTCCACAAAAACATAGGTTTCCCTGGATTTCATAACTTAGAGGAGCTGAGGGCTGCAAAGGCGAAGAAACAACAAGAGCAACAGCAACAAGGTAGCTCTGGGGATCAGGATACTAGTAGCAGTAGCTTGAACAGGACAGAGGAACATCCCAAGGATGACACAACAAAGGAGGCAGAACTGTTCGTCTCTGCATTAGCAGAATCGGTTTCCCAGTCTGATTCTTCAGGTTCATCGGCAACCACAACGCCCAGGATGGGCTCTACATCCAGGCCGTACTACAAACCTCTGCAGAAGAAGGGCATGGCTCAGCTCTGGAAAACAATCCCTAATGAGATTGAGCGATCGGAACAATCGCCTGATCCACAGAATGTGGATGGTGCCAGTGATGAGAGCTCCAATTTTGAGGCGTTGAACAGCAAAGACGTCTCTGAAGAGGTGGGCAGCACCATGTCCGACAAACTATCATAGGGGGATGGACAGATTAATAGAATTACCGTTCATCGCTTACAGCTTGCTTGTGGATCTATGGAATGCATGTTGCTCTGGAGTGTGCAGGGTCTAGAGTACCATGCACATTCGCGCATAAACAAATTCGACCTGACCCAGTTCATTTAAGGATACAATTGCTCTGTTGTACAAACCCTCTTTCTTCCTTATCTTTCTACCGCTCTTTCATTCACACGCACCTACTTTTATTTTATCTCACTTCCGTTCCTCTTTTTCTTTATTCCTTTCCATCTCGGCTGCTTTACTTTAATCCTTGAACCTTTTCCCCTCAATTACACTCAACCGAAACCCACCCGGTCGAATTTCCCCCCTGTCTCGCCCACAACTCCACCATAACCATAACAAACCCCCATGGCCTATAATACACTCGTCCCTTGGACAAGGCCAACCATGGTGCTCTCCACCATCCTGGCACTCTACCTCGGCTACAAGGCCTTTCGTCTCATAGAGGCTCGACAGAGGGAAAACGCCATACAACCCTCACCCACCAGTCCGGTCCTCGTCAACCATTTCCAATTCGTCACCGTGAATGGCAAGCGGTTGCGAATCGTTCACATTCCTCATGAGTTGGGCTCCAAAGTACCGCTGCTGGTCTTTATTCATGGAGTTGGTGGCCAGGTACTGTTTTCAGTATTTCGTTTCTGTCCTATGGCTGCTCAACTGGCTTGATAATGGATGCGTTTCTTGGATCGGGCAAATCACTGACAGGTTACTTTATGTTATTGTGTATACGGCGCCGCCATTGGATTGTTTTCAGCTGGAGCAGTTTGAAAAGCAGATCGAGTATTTTAGTCATAGCACGCATATCTTGGCCATTGACATGTGCGGATACGGTGCAAGCGATGTGCCAGACAGGTAACTACAAAGAGCAATTGTCGGTCCCCCTCCCCCCCAATTGATTCTAGGTTCTAGGCGCTGATCGATCGGTTTTTTGCGTTATCCTTTTTCTTTTGTTTTTTTTTTCTTCAGTTTCGAACACTACACAACAGATGCCTTTACGGAGGATATCGTTGTATTGCTGCAGCGATATAAGAGCGAGGACACCGTCCTGATCTGTCACTCGTACGGTTGTGCCGTCGGCACGCATCTGTACTCTCGGCTTGAGACCCTCGAAAACCTCAACAACTCGATCAAGGCGATGGTCATGATCGGACCCAAAGCCATTATCACACAGCACGAGCTGGAGAGTCGGGAGCAATTGAGAAGAACACCGGACTGGGCCGTAAATCTGGCCCGTCACCTGGACAGGATGGGCGGGATTCACTCCAAATCCGTCGACCGACTGTTGCATGCGACCGCGAGCGACGACC